ATCTTTTTAGCTAAAGTAACAAAAGTATTACTCTTAGCAACTTACTTAAAGCGTTGCTTACTTAAAGCAACAGGAGCATTAGATTATTTAGATTATCTAAAGCAAAACATCGCTCCAGTTATCTTAGTTATCCTTTTACTCCATTACATAACCTGCTTCTATTACATAGCAAATCCTTCTAGGCCTGCCCTACTAGCCTATAGGGTTTATCTACGCCTTTAAGGAACCAACAGTACTCCCTTAGTTCTATTCCTATTACATTTGTAATATATACTTATTAAATAGAAGTATAATATTGCTTAACCTTTCTAATAAACTAATAGGCCTTAATAGGTACCTATTTACAAGTAATTCCTATAATTCTAGCAGTACTTTTAAACTTTACAAAAGCAAAATTAATGCTAACATTATAAACAATATAGTTAGGAGATCTAAAGTAAGTATTAATCTATACTAAATATAAAGCTTCTTATATATCCTTTACTAATAGAGATAAAAGAAAATACCTAGCTTAAAATAAAGTTGCTAAATTAACTATATATAAAACTAGCTTATTACTTAAATATATAATATTAATAATAAGCTTATAATTAAAGTTTAAATTATTTTTAAAGTTAAACTTAAACCTTTTTAAAGCTAAATTATAAAGTTAATAATAATAATAAAATTTAAAAATTACTTTTAAAGTAAAAAGTTTAATAATATACCTAATATTAGTTAATAAATAAGTTAATCGCTTAATAAATAAATATTTAAAATAATAGTATAATTATTTAAGCTTAAGTTTAGTTAAAAATATATTCTTAGCCTAGTTTTTAATAGAAATAAAGAACTATAAATATCCTTATTTCTATATAATAGGAAAGGTTTTCTCTTACTATCCTAGCTTATATTAAACTATCTTATTTATAATATTCTAAAAAAAAATAAAAAGTTAGCTTATATTTTAAATACAAAATAAAAAAAAGGTAAATATATTAATTATATAAAAAGTAATTATTTTAATAAATATAAAAAGAAAAACTATACTAAGTAATATAAGCTATAAGCCTTATTTAAATTTAATAAAAGCTTTATTAGCCTAAAAAATATTTATTATTACAAATAGGTTCTCTTACTAAAAAGCAAAAAGTTACTTATATTTAATAATAAAAAATACTATTACTTTAGTATTTAAAATAATACCTTAAAACTTTATTACTAAATATTATCCCTTTAAAGCAAAAATATTAATAAACTCTAAAATATCCTTATTTATAAAAATATTTATATTAAAAAATATTAAATATAAAAAGGCTTAATTAATAAAAAAATAAATTATTTACCTTCTATTCTTATTATTTTTAATATTATAATCCTTAAAATTTAAACCTTTAAAATTAGCTAAAAATACTATAAAATCAGTATTAATAACTTTTTTACTATTATTTTTATAAATAATAAAGTAAATTATCCTTATTTAATAGCATTTTTTAAAATTATATTAAATTAACTAATACCCTTTTTTATTATATATAAAGCATTTCTTCTTTTTATTATTATTATTCTAATAGCTACCTTACTATAAAGCTTAATAACTATTATAGCTATAAAAATTACCTTAGCTATTATAATAACTACTATAAAAACTACCTTAAAAATTATTATACTAAAAATAATTATTATAATAATTAAAATTATTATACTATTAATTAAAATATAACTAGTCATTAGCTTCTTCTATATTTTTATTACCTATATTAAAAAACTAAATACTAATACTTATATTAGTATTAAATAATACTTATAAGCTAAAAAATAAAGTTTTAATTAAAATTAAAATAATATATAAAATAAAGCTAAACTTTAATATATTTTTAATAGCTTAAAATATATTATTTTTTAAAAGTTAATTACTATACTTATTATACTTAAATACCTAAAAATATAAAATTATTTTATTAATTAATATTTATAAAATTTTAGTATAGCTTTTATTTAAATACTTCTATTAAAAACTAAAAAAGATTATAATATTCTAGTTTATATAATAGTTTTAATAATTCATATTAATATTAAACTAAAGTTTAATTTTATAATAAGCTTTAATAAAGTTATTTAATTTATTAATATTATATAAGTAAAAAGTTTTAATATTACTTTTAAATATAAATAAAAAAGCTGCTTTAAACTAATTAAGCTTAATTTCTAAATTTTTATAAATACTAAAAAAAATTAAAACTTTATTATTAAAAATATTATATAGCTATTTAGTATATATCTTATTATTTTAGTAAATCTTATTAAAATTTACTACTATAATAAAATCTAACAGTTTATTAGTAATTAAAGCTAATAAAAGTATTAAATAAAAGTTAAAACCTTTAAATATATTTATAAATTTAATAAAATTATTAAAAAAAAATAAATTATTATAATTATTATTATCCAAAAAATTATTATTATTATTTAATAGCAATAAAGAATTATTACTATCACCAAATTTATTATTCTTTTTCTTTTTCTTTTTCTGCTTTTTTTCCTTCTTCTTTTTATCTTTATCCTCTTTCTTTTTCTTCTTTTTATCCCTCTTTTTTTTCTTATCTTTATTTATTTTAAAATCAAAAAAAAAAAATAATTTATTATTAGGATTACTATTAATTTTCTTCTTCTTCTTCTTAAACTTATCCTTAAAAAACTTTTTATTAATAAGCTTTACCATCTTTTTCTTTTTCTTTTTTTTCTTTTTCTCCTTTTAATTAAATTTATTTAAATTAAAATTATTTATATTAAAATAATTCTCTATATTAAAATAATTACTAATAGCTAAATTCTTATTCTTCTTTAACTTTAAATTATAGCTAAATATAACTTTATTTAAATTTTAATATTTTTAAAAAGTTATTATTAGTTATATTAAAAAATCTATTAATTTAAAAATAATTATTAAAACTTTTAAATATTTAATTTTTTTATTAAAACCTATAAAAATACTTTTAATATATAAAATCCTTTTAAGCTTAAAGGTATAGTTAAATATAATACTTTTAAAAATATCTTTTAATTATTTAATAAAGTTATCCTAAAAGCGCTTAAAAATTATTTTTAATTATAAATATTTATAGTTATTAATATAAAATATAATAAAAGTATTAAAATAAACTAGTTTATTATTAAAAATAATAAACTATCCTTATAAGGAAAAGTTAAATTATTTTACTTAATAGTATTTAAAGTAAATACTATTTTATATAATATTAAAGAATAAATTATACTTTAATAACTTATTTTTTAATAATAAAATAAATTTAGTTTTATTATTTACTATAATATTAATAAAAGTTATTAATAATAAAATATTAAAATAAAATAAGTAAATAAAAAGTAAATATTATATTATATAAAAAAGTTAAAGTTTTTATAATTAATAAAAGGGTTATAAATAAAAAAAATTAAATATAGCTATATTTAAGGTTATTTATTAAATATATAATAAATATATATAAGTAATAGCTTTTCTTTTATATATTATAGTATTGCTAAAATATAATAAATTTATTTATTAATAAAAATAAATAAAAAGTTTAGGGTTTAATAAAAATTAATATTTAGTTTAAAGTATAATAAATACTTAAAATAATTAAATTAAAGAGTATATTTATTATATTTAAATTCTTTTAATTATATAATAATTTATTAATATTTATAGAGAATACCTATAATGGATATAAGTTTATAAATATAAATAAACGTTAGTATAGCTGCTTTATAAAAAGTATATATAAATAGTATATAAGTTTTAAAGTAGTAAACTATTTCTTTCTATATTTAGCTATTTATAATTGCTTTTATAACTATTAATTAGTATTAGTTAGGTTATATATTTAAATATAATGTGTATTTAAAAATATTAGTGTTTATTTGGGTATAGGTTGCTTGCTTAGTTACAGGAAGCAGCTAAAGGCTGCATCCCTCTAAGGCCTACTTATAGCTATAAGCCCAACAGACTAATCAGCTTGCTACAAACGCTAACGCTACAATTCACACAAGTATATAATTAGCCCCCCCTACAGACCTGTAGTATTGACCAACAATTTTACAGTATTGTACCTTTGGACGAGTATCGGAAATGTAAACTTTTACAACATCCGCAGAAGCAACAAAGCCGTAATACTTGGTGTAAGTAATTTCACAACAATCTTTGGCTGGTTGCCATTTGACCGCAGCTGTAGCTGCATTCATTTTCGGCGTAGGATAGGAAGGCAGAGATATAACTCTAGGCGTGGGTGTGAGACACTGTCGGTATCCATCATTCAAGATGAGGCCCGTTACTACAATGCATTTCTCAGGACTAATATGCTCTCTTCCTAACTTCACAACTACTTTTGATGAATTACAAAAAGTACAAAAATGACTTTGTGAATGACTTTGTCACAACAAAGGTTTGGAGGTAGAGAGTAAGACTTACAATAGATACTATACTTGATAGCAAAGCTGTGAGTCAATTATGTAGGTTTAGCAAAGTCTACGAAGCCGCAGTAGCTGATTGTTGGAACACTGTCCTGTTAAATTATTTACGCTTAGGAGGACTCATTCTGTCTCACTCAGCCTGATGATTTCGTTTGCTCACCGTTTGTTCACGGCTGCTTGTAATTTCCCTCGACTGAAATCAATGATCACACAGCCGTGAAGTGGTTGCTATACATGAGTGATTAACAGTATGACATACATTTGTGATCACACACAGCTCAGTCTGGCTATCATATGACTGGCAACAAATTTTGCGACAATCAGTGTTGACTCAGTCCCGGGGGAGGGAGGGCAGACTACTCCATTTTCACGGCGCAGATGGATATAAAGAAGCTCTCCGGCATCTTAGGCTGTTCCCTCTAGAAACTCAATCTCACTCATCTTCTAACTTCGGCAGAAAAGTTGCTCCTACAAAAGCTTTGATTTGACGAAGTTCCAACCACACAAGTCACATCCATACTTCCCCTCCCACGGCAAATACGTCAACCAAGATGTCGTCGTCATCATCCTCTGATAACAAGATCTCTGAATCTGGACCCACGGACTCCAAATCATCCTCTTCAGGCTCGGCGGCCCCAAGCCAGGGCGGTCCTTTCAAATCCAACTACCAGATAATCAAGGAGGGGTGGGGCGACCGACCGACTTTCCAAGCTTCTTACGGTTTGCCGATGGATCCTGACGGGATTGAGGAAGGAAACAAGATTCTGGACGGCTTTAGAGAAGCTGACTCAAAGAAAGAGTGAGCCTATCGGCAGCAACTGGTGCCATTTAATGGGTAGCGAAAGTGTCGCAAGTACATTGGGGGAGTGTCGGATTACAACTGCGCGTTAGTAGGGACGACAATGGATTCTCGAGTCTCAGAGATATTTAAGTCTTCAGTCGAATAAGATTGAGTAACATTGATGATACTGACGAAACCGTGACCATTTGCTACCCATAAGAATATCCGTATATCTAGCTATCGTCCTTGAAAACTTGTTTGAACCAAAGCCAAAGATCGCGAAGCTCAGACCCGCCAACATCATGACCTAAGTCTTGATATACGTGGCCTTCGATACTCTCTTGCTCAACGTACTGCTGCAGCCTTTTTTGCCCTTCTGCGAACAAATTGACAGACACAAGCCTATCACCCATGCCATGGCCAAAGAACCAACTGCACGCATGCTGTTTTCCCCCTTCTGTTTTCTTCCCAGCTTCGGACACCGCGTTTATGTTAGGGAAATAGCCGCTCAACCCAAACACTCCAGCTACTTTGCCCCTCCACTCACTCCTCAGACCCCACACCATTGACACTGCACAGCCCTGACTAAATCCTCCGACCGCGATCTTCCCAGGGTCTACTCCCCTGTCCACCTCACTCTTAACGAGCTCATCGATGTAAGCCACAGTCCTCAAGATACCCTCTTCGTCCTCGGACTCGTCCACCCCTGCGTCATCGTCATGGCCGGGCACGCGCGGCTTAAGCGGCGAAGGGAGGTCGTGTGGCTTATACCAGCAACGCTGCCCGACCCCCGGGTCGATAGAGGCCGTAGGAAGAACCCATCTGGTAAAACGCAGCTTCTGGTACCGCTGGAACTGTTGGCCTAGGCCGTATCCCGTGCCGTGGCCGTCATCGCCAAGGCCGTGCAGGAAAATGACGGTTGATCTTTTTGAGGGCTCTGCGAGCTTATCTAGGGGCTCGAGTATTGCCGGGTCGCCTGGAACCCAAGGTGTCATTTTTGCTGGCAGATTTGAATGAGTTGGAAGATGAAGTAGTTGAATGTTGTGTCCCGAGGTTGACGTTGAGAGTTTGCTTACCACGATCCGTTGCTCCGAAGCCGATGTGGGGATCGACGGTTGACATCATCGGCAACGTTGGATAAGGATACTTTGGCAACCTGCGCGTCCTAAGCAAGTTGCGAAACGATTAGAAACAGTATGTGCCAATAATTTGTTTAGTTAGTCAGCATATTCAATCACCATGCGAATTTCTCACGTCGCTGCTCACTACGAATTTAGATCCCTCGATTGTGGGTAAGCACCTTATCTCTGAGCATGGCGCTGAGGAAGCAAGCTTGGAACACCGCTATAAGCATCATATCCTTTTAAGCACAAGACAGCAAATTCTGCGATACTGACCAACGTTTTGAATATACTTGTTGAGTTGGTATTTGGTCTATTATTCACACTCTCTACAGAGTTCCCGTAGTGGAAAGAGGGCTTGAATCTAAGAGAAGTGATATTGTAAGGGAAACCCTAGGTAATATCTATTGATAGATCACGAAATATTTCACAGCATTATCTGCTCTATATAAGCGATTGTTAGTATCTTTTTATGATAATTTTGAATATATGTTTCCTTCAAAGATGTCTGGTACGGCAGGTTACGAGTTCAGCCACGACGTCAAGGCGTGAGTGCCAAACTTAGCTGATCCCAGTGGATACCATTGGCATTGAGCAAAAGTTGCCCAGGCTACAGAATCCCTTGTAGCTCAATCTTCATTTGCGAAACAACAGTCTTTCAACACTTGAGCGAAAGAGGATCTCAGCATTCGTCAATGTGGCGCACTTTGAGCGATATCCCATCAACTCGGAGCCAACGCTTGCAAGTGGCGACGAAAGGAACACATCCCAGTCCTGCTCGAACAAAGTATGCAGTCCACACGCGCACCTACAAGCTGCGACCACGTTTTGCAAATGCAACAGTCGCTACTGCGGTGACGGCTTATTCAGACAAAGTAGACCGTAAGTTTATTTTGTCGCTAGCTGTTGCTGACAATTTATCTACGCGTCGCTGCCGAACACTTACGGGGAAGATGCCGAGGTCCACCGGTACAGCACATCTCCGCAGCAATTAGTTTCAAGCCAACTCGAGTTCTTGCACCCCGCATAACCGAACTACAGACACGACCCTTTACATCTCCCCTCCCGAAGTTTGTGCTCCTGTAGGAAGGCGTTTCTGAGATCTCAAGTAGTGCAAGCTTATGGTCCTCTACCGTATTGATCGTCACAACAAGTCCTAACATGACGAGTCCAAATACCAATGGCTGGCAGGCTCGCGCAGCCGAGAAACGAGCACGTTGCCAGAGCCAGATACCAAAAGCTTGGGAACTGCCAGCGGCGCTCGTACAGAGCCTAGCACACCCGCTAGAGTCGTCAAAGAACAACCTTGTCGAGCTCAATATCCCACGCCGCTCCGGCCTGCTCACAGAGAAGGAACTCAACATCACGGAAGCCCACGATGTCCGGAGCCTCCTAAAAGCGCTGGCATCTGGTGAACTCACCTCGCTCGAGGTGACGGTGGCATTCTGCAAGAGGGCAGCTATTGCTCAGCAGCTGGTCTGAACGAAACCTCCCGTGTTTTTGCAATCACTATTCTCTTTGGCTGACATCGATATGCAGACGTCCTGTCTCACCGAGATATTTTTTGGCCAGGCCCTTGAGCGAGCTCGGTACCTGGATACCCTCAGGGAGAAGGGCGAAGTAGTCGGTCCCCTCCATGGCCTGCCGATCAGCCTTAAAGACAGCTTCCAGGTCCGTGGTACGGATGCCACGCTTGGCTTGATCGCTTACCTCGATAATGGCCCCTCTCAAGAGAACTCGTACTTGGTAGACACGTTGCTCAATTTGGGGGCTGTTCTATACTGCAAGACAAACATACCACAGACACTTATGGCAAGTCCTTCTTAAATTTCTCAGCTTTCACATGTAGGATTCGTCAAGTTAATATCGTGGCCCCTCAAGACTGCTGATTCGCACAATCACGTCTTTGGCAGAGCCCTCAATCCTTGGAATACCAGCCTCACTGCTGGAGGATCCAGCGGAGGGGAAGGTGCTCTGATTGCTTTTCGGGGGTCGCCACTCGGTGTAGGGACTGATGTCGCTGGTGGGTACTCCGGCTCCTGGAGACAGGGAAAGAATTCTGACGCGTACAGGATCGATTCGCATTCCTGCTCTATGCTGCGGGCTATACGGATTCCGACCGACTACATCAAGAGTTCCGTACGGGAATCAAGCCCCCATCGCCAACCCGGGCCTGCGGACCATTCTCTCCTCTGCCGGTCCTCTGGCAAACGACGTGGGTGCCCTGGAGATCTTCTTGAAATCGGTGATTGGCTCTAGACCGGCCCTGTTGGACTCGACTGCGGTAGATGTACCCTGGAGAAATGTTGGCCCACCGCAGTCGAAGCTCCGGTTTGGCGTCCTGGCCGAAGATCCCCTGCTGCCTTGGCATCCTACCGTGAAGAAAGCTGTATCTGATACCGTGGATACACTACGATCGCAAGGACACGAGCTCGTGTGGTTGAGCGCCCAGGAATGTCTTACTGCAGCATGCTACGACGTGGCTACCCAAATGTTCAGCCTTGACAAGACGTCAGCCGAGATACTCGCGAAAGGCGGCGAGCCCCTGATTCCGTCATTAGTCTACATTCGGGACGCCATGAAAGAAGTTAAGTGGGACCGAAATTTCCTGCCCGATACAAGGACTACCAAGGACGGATTGCAGAGACTTTCACTCCTGAATATCAAGAGATTCGAGATCCAGGACCTTTGGAAGAAGATGTGGGTAGCTCATGGGCTCGATGCCGTTATTGGTCCTGGAGCGCAGACCACTGCAGTTGAGCATGACATGTATGCGTTGGCTCCGTATACGTGTCTCTTCAGTTTCCTTGATGTGAGTGCCCATTTCGTCTCGAATATTCTGCGTTAATTACTGGCTTACATTCAAATAGTACCCCGCGTGTGTCATTCCTGTCGGCCGAGTCGAGAACCCAAGTCCAGCGGGAAGCCTCGTCAAGGCTCCAGGCCAGACTGTGCCACCATGTGAGTGATCCCATTGTACCTTTCAATCACTTTGCGCTTTTGCTGCCCCTTCTCTTCTGGTGACCCTGGCAAGACTTGGGATCTTTCTTTGTTAACGCCTTGGACAGACAATCCAGCGAATCTGGAGGGTGCTCCTACAGCCATTCAGATCATCACTACCACGATGCGTGACGAAGAGTGCCTGGAGATCGCCAAGCTCATTGACACATACGTGAAAGCCGAAAGCCGGAACGGCGCACCTAAGCTTTAGAAATCTGGGTATGCCCAGCAGACTTCACAGCTTCCCTAAAAGGTATCTACGTCTCAGAGATCCGTCCTAAGCTCATATTCCGAGAGGACCTTTACACGGCTGTGAGAGCATTTCATGAAATTGATAGAAAGCTATAATTAAATTATAACTTGAACAGTGTAATGTCAAATCCAGGATTCAAACACTTGCACATTTGGATCTCGAGCCGAGGGCAGGCGCAGGCTATGGGCATAGAAATGATTTGTTATGGACAATCAAACATGATGATTCATATAATTCACGATGTGAGAATTGTATGTTTCACGCCACCGTAAAACGGGTTTCATGAGCAGTAAATATGGTTTATTATTCTTATTGATTAGATTCTCTTGATGAGTGAAGTATCCAGGGAGCCAACACAAACACCACCCGCTCCGTCGTAAATGCTATAAAAGTAGCAGCAAGAAAATCTACTGTATGCGAACAGGCCCGATCACTGAGGCGACTCCGCCTTATAGAAGCTCGCCATCAGATCCGCGAGCCCCTTTGCTCCATCCTCAGCAAACATCATCTCCTTGTTCCGCCACGTCTCCTCGGCCTTTTCCTCTGCGCGTGCGAACAGAGCCTCCTCGAAGTCCTTGAGCCGGGGACCCAGTTCTGTCCTGAAGTCACTCCTATCACCTCCCGTCTCCGTTTGTGCCTCCCATGCCTTCGAAATAGCCGCCGTCAGGTCCAGAGCATCCCACATCGCCAGGTTGACGCCCTCGCCCGCGAAGGGCGTCATTAGGTGCGCCGCGTCCCCGATGAGCGTTGCTCCTGACTTATTCTCCCACCTGTGGCCGATAGGGAGCATGGCGAGTGGCTTGATCTGGACAGTGCCGTTGTTCCGGGCCTCCTCATCAAAGGCGACTGTGATGAGCTCCTTCAGAACCGAGCCCCAATCGCCGTAGCTTTTCTCGTCGCTGAGAAAGTGCTCCTTGAGCTCAGGGATGGAAAGGCTGGAGAGCGACTCGACGATCTTACTTTCGTCTCCGCCGAGCGCATTGGTCAACAGGTATATCTGCGCTGAGCCCTGCGCGGCTCGGTGGCTGTCGAGGCCGTGCTTGTTGCCGAGGGCGAGGAACGAGCCCTTGCCGACCAGGGATGCTAGGTGTGGGTAGCGTGTTGCGATGTCCCTGATGAGCAGAGTGAGGTACTGCAGCCCGCTTGACTGAGGCCTCACATCGCTGAGGATGGGCCGGATCTTGGACCACGCTCCGTCTGCGCCGATGACGAGATCAAAGGTTTCCGAAATATTTTCGCCGGCATCTTGCGTCGAATTCAGCTTCAGTGTGACCTCGCCTGAGGTGGAGTTCCTATCTGCCGAAAGCACTTTGGTGCCGTACTTAATCGACTCGGCCGGTATCTTCGACAGGAACAGCTTGATGATGTTGTGTCTGGCAATCTCAGGTCTCGCTTCAGCTCCGCCTTGGTCTGAGTGCAAAATGTTGCCGTGCTTGTCTGCAACTATCATTGCCTCCTCGCAGTCTCCGGTTAGAGGGAGAAATTCCTCGTAGAGGCCACAGGCACGAATAGCTGCCAAGCCTGATTCATCGTGGAGGTCAAGCATTCCTGATGGTGCAGCAAGCTCTTTGTCTGTCGGACGGGGCCGAAGTTCGTAAACAGTGAAAGGGATGCCGCGCTGGTGCAGCAAGGCGCCTAGGGTGAGGCCAGCAGGGCCTCCACCGATGATAGCAATTCTCGGTTGCTTTTGAGGCATTACGTGAGGTTTTCCTGGCGTGTTTAAGGACTGGTGTTTAAGTTGCTCTCGGTATTGAGAGTATGAGACTTGATGATAATGGGTTATAGAGGCTCAAATGCTCTTCCACGACCAAGGAGAGTGTCTTGGCTTTTATAATCGAGCTTTCGAATATGAACATCCGGTTGCCTTATTTTGCTTACCCACGCACGGAAGCAAACTTGTCCGCAATCTATCCGGCCCCAGATTCTGCCTGGCCTTGAGGCCAGCCTAGAGGCAGCAGGCAGCTCTTGTTGGACCCGGAAAATTCGGGACATTCGGAGGCTTCGGGGCATTGGGGCCAATTTACAAAGGAATCATACAATTGGCAGCATCTTTCGGCCCCGAGCGGCTAGTGAGCGGCTAGGCTCTTACATAAGTACGCGTTGCTTCGGATGCGAGCTGCTGAAGAGCCAGCATCCCTTACGAAATCCACTAATTTCAGTGCACTTGGGCGATTCAGACGAGGTGCTCGCACCTGTCCTAGTCTTTTGACCACACTTTCGGCACAGACAGATCGCAATCTGGGTCTGCAGGAGGTGGGTGGTTACATGAAGGTGCTTCCTTCTTTTCACATGCGTCTTCGTTATCATCCACTGTTCATTAGTTATTGATATACATTCGTGGTATTAGCGACCATTCAAGAAGCTGTTGGAGCGTTCATGGTCAAAAGGTATCACAAGTACCAGACTTGGTAGGCCGATACACGCGCTCAAGCTTGAGCTTCACAAGGCTTGCAACAATTTCCGGGCTGAGGAAAATGATCTTTTGACAATTAGTCCCTCTGAAAACGTCTCGGTCTTGCATTTTGCACATTCAGCATCATTTGATGGCTAAAATGGTGGCTCGATTTTCCCGTAACCATTTATAGGTAATATGAGCAGGGCGGAGGGGGAGGGGGCTGATGCATGGGTTTTGACGTGCTTGCTTGACGAACTGTCCACGCGAGATATGTCAAGGCTCACGCACAAGATTAGTGTCAAGTTTGTTTGAAAGGTCACGTCTCGTCCACTGTTCTAGGCGGGTCTCATGGTCGAGAGTTGTGGATCAGGCAAGGCTCCAAGTCTGCTGTTGACTCTTACTACAAGAGTGAACATCCAATCTTGGCCGTCAAGATCCATCACCATCCTCAAAACTCAACGCCGGCGACTGCACATTACGTCTCTCAAAGTCTGAAAGCCGTTCTCGATAACTCTGATCCGCTGGCACAATGAGTCGACGACAATGGAGGTATTGTTCAGTTCGCCATCTTGTACAGGGTTGACACTCGTGCTGGACAGCTGTTCAAGCCTATTGCGACTCTCCGACGTGAATGTCTCATACGCATCTTCGAGCCTTGCCATCCTGCTAGAGAGACAATCAATTGCGCTATTGAGTGTGGCGAGGCTGCTGTGGCCTTGACCTGTTGGCTGGTTGGCAATGCTCTGTGTCTGGGACAGTGTATTGAACTCGGCCCTTAGCGCTTGCACATCATCGCTTCTTGCCAGGCCGAAGAGTAAATTCTCCATCGATTTGAGAGACTGGGACAGTCCATCGATGCGTGATGACTGGTCTTGCAACATGAGTGCATCATGGGACACCTCCATATCATCGAGGCGCCTTGAGGTTTCAATCCCGTGCTCTTCAACAGCTGCAAGCCTGGCTTGTATCTCGGCAACGCCATCAGAAATGGCCTTGGTGAGGGGCAGGCTGCCTACTTCATCGACCCTCTTTGAAAGCTCTTTTATCATCTCCTCGAAACGCGTTTGCAAATCGTCGACCATGCGAGCGTTCACATCCAAGTGGTTGATCTGGTTCTCCTCCACTGAAGACACTCTGGTCTCCAGTTTGGATATCTCCTGGGTCGGGTCTGGCTGACTTTCAAGGGTTGCAATCCTGGCATGAATGCTGGTAACGGCCTGGTCTCCAAGAGCCAGCACTCGGTCGGTGACTCCTTGGGCCGCTTGAAAATGTCTCTCCATTCCTTCCTCAATGGCCCTGAGCCTTGTAGACGAATCTTGAATCCTTGGCTCTTGGGCAGATTCGGAATTTGAGGCGACCGCTTTGTCTTTCGAAGCCGCGATTTGTCTCCTCATTTCATCAACCTCTTCCTGTAAAAGGCTGCTCTGAACTTCAAGAAACATGGTGCTAAGCCTCATGTCTAAGTGCTCTCTCTTTTCGCCTCCTGAATCCACATCATTTACCATCTCTGTTTCAGTAGCCGTAAGCGTCGTCTGTGGTCCCCGGGCCATTCTACCCTGACCTGTTGATTGTGCCTGGGCTGTCAGCTTGTTTTGGAGCGAGGAAATGGTGGCTTGCATTTCTTGAGTAATTTCATTGCTGCGTTCAAGTTGGGCCCCCATCTTTTGCAGCTTTTCTCCTTGAGAAGCGACGTTTCCCATCATCACTTGCATCTCTTGGGCCATTTTCCCATTCACTGAAGATTGGGCGTCCGCAGCTGCAAACATCTTCTCGAAAGTTGCACACTGGATCTGAAGCATTCTGATGGCGTCATCTCTGTCTTTTTGAGCCATTGCAGCCTCCACTTTCTCCCTTTCCAGGATATCAACGCGTTCTTGAAGCTCATTGTTTACCCGGTCAAGCATCTCGTACTGTTCCGCAACAAAGTGGTGACTTGGTGAGTTGCGATTCTCCCTTAGTGCTTGACCACGGATTTTCAATCCGAAATACGACTCATCTTGACTTGTACGGCGGATATGATCCCCTTGGTATTGACATCCATTTGTACTTAGCGATGCCTCATGAGGCTCTTGTTCATCACGGTTCGAATTTTGATATTCAGGAGCCAAACATAAAGACAGGCTTCTTCCAGGGGTTGAGCTATGAACGGAAGCGTTTGTGCTTCTCGAAACCGTTCTTCTCTTCGCATTCGGTGACAATTGCAAAACATTCGGCGATGATGAGCGTTTCCGCGGACCACGAGGCGCTTCTATGGCAGTCCGTTTCGAGAGAATGCACGCTAGATCCCCGTTTGCCGCCTTTTCTTTCTTGAAGAAGTCATCGACTGCTTTGAAGACATCATTATCCGATCCTGGCATCGGGTCGGTTCGCTCCCTCAGGGGTGAAGTCCACTTGTCTACCCAGTACGTAGCCTCAGTCACCAGCGGGGCATGCTTGTAAGCCGCGGGATTGTTGCGGAGATATATAGCACGGGCTTCGATGAAGAGATCGGCTACAGCTTTGACCACCTCGGGCCTCGCTCCGAAGCCTCGAGAGATAGCCGTCCAGAAACAGTGAGAGCCATGAAAGATTCTAGAAGAGAAGCAGGCCTTGAAGAGCACGGTGATGTTGTTTCCGTAGCGGACTTCCTGCAGGCGGTGTTCGCGAGAGTTGTATTCCTCGGCTGACAAACCTTCGGCTGCCAAACCCAACTGGATAGATGGATCTGCTTCGTTGGTGTAGATTCTCCTGAGCCAAATAGCGCCGAATTTGATGGTTGCAAATTCTAATGTGAGCTGTGTTTGACGATCAAAGCCTGGAAGAATGATGGGCTGTCTCTTTGGGTGAGGCATACGTGACACCATGGTGGAGCACCTAGCCGTGGGGTTGTTCGTTTGCCTCGAGCAGGTTCGCAGGTGAGCACAGGGCGTGTAGGTGCATGGACAGAGGTTTGAGTTGTGGCCTGGGCCACAGAGATGGAACTCCTCGTCCTCCTGTGTTCATATATGTGGAATGCTCCAATGCGCCGTTTAAATCAGTCACATTGGGTGCGAAGCGGCCCACTGCAGCTGGGTTTAGGGCAACGTAAAAATGTTGTCTTTCGGAAGAGGCATGGACTGCATAAGTGATGGGTATACGTTGCTGAAACAGAATGGTCTTCGTATGACTGCGTAGAGAGGAGCTAGAATTTATAAATGGACCCCGCCGCTATCGATAAATATTTGGGAGTGGAGTTACGTGGCACGAGCACTGAAGGGGACAGGGGTTGAGCTCTGTGAGAGAGGTACCTGGCAAACAAGCAAATTCAAGAACGCAGTCACTATGGAAATTTGGTAATATTGTGTCACCAGAGCAATTCGGGGAAAGGAGGCTGTTACCAGTCACCATAGTAAGCCTTATTGAGGGATGTGAGAGCGCTTGGGCGGCACTAGTTGCAGCAATTGTCATGCTAGAGCTGGAGAGTCAGGGTACTTGATCTTCACTGCATACACTCAACTTGGCTGTCTTCTGTGCGTCCAGGTCCCTCTGTAGACTGCACCATGCAGAACTCATTGATCCCACCATGACTGTCCTCAATTTCCAAGATCGGGAATTACTAGAACCGTGAATGCGGCCGACAATCAATGTAGAGGTCATGATTGACATATATGGAGCCAAGCCCCCGGAGTCTAGTCTACCTGCGTCGAAGGAAGGTGAGCGCCCATCTTCGTAGCATGCAGACAGGCCAGCATAGAGTTTGCCGAGCCTGGTGAATCCATTCACGCCTGAGAATTCGAGGCCAATGCTACTCTGTTCCGATCTCCTAAGCTGTATCACATAGATACTATAAACAAGGTTTCTGCACTTGACATGGCTATTGTGTGTCACGGATCCTGAGATGCCGGACTAAGATCTCCTAGTACGAGTGATGGATGCCGTCTGCGTATCTTGGGTGCCACAAGGCCGGTGGAAGTTACAAGCTTGTGATCTCATGAGAATTTAGAGGTGCATTTGCAGCCCTGCAGATAGACAGAGACAGATGGGCCGTGGCACGCGAATAGCCGTTTATAGCGTGGCGGCAAAGCAAGGGTCCCCTGTTGAGATCCAGGGGAGCTGTTGGGGTACTGCCGTAGCCTCGAAATCCTTCGCCATTCATGTGCAAAAGCCAACCGACCACTTTCCAGACCCCGACGTCATCTTCAGTCTGGTTGCATTTCAGCCATCCTCACCGGAAACTCGCTTACTCTCGTCGGCTGTGAGCAGGTTCATTTTCCGGAGCATCCAGGTTTGTTCCACTTCACTGTTCGATTGCCCCATGTGGCCCACTTTCCACTCACCAATTGAACTCCAGAATGGCCGGCGGAAAGCCTGACGACAGCATCCCCTCTGACCTTGTTAAAATCGGCTCCTTCACGGATCCTCACCCCGCCATCACGGCTGCCTTGACGATGGCTTCCCCCACGGACAACCAGCCCAACAGCAACAACTCCGACCCTCCTCCACCCCTGCCCGCGCAGCTCGACCAGCCCACCCCAGCCGAAGACCTCGCCCTCGACAATTGGATCAAGCGCAACCCCGCCTACCTCTCCGCCATCCCCTGGCACAAGTACGCCAACCTGCCCGTCCTGGCCTGGCTCTGGGGCTACGCCGACTGCGAGTTCCGCAACGAGTGCATCTCGACCTACATGTTCTACACGCGCGCTACCGGCCGCAAGCTGACAGAGGACGAGCGCGACGCGGTGCTCGAGCCCGTGACGCGCTCGTCGGCCGCCGCGAGCTACGACCGCCCCATCGCGCTCGGCCTGGGCTCGTGGCTGACGGCGCGCAGCTGGAGCAAGAGCGGGGTCAAGGAGGCCTTCCGGAGGGCGGCCGAGGCAGCTGCGGCTGCGCCAACCGCCATGGGCGGCGGGCTGGGTACCGGCAGAGTCGGCGCGGACGGCCACATCACGCACTTCTCGACGCCTCAGCAGCACGCGGGCACCACGGGTCGGTTCGGCTTCGGCACGGGAGGCATCAACAGAGGCAAGGCCTTTGGTCAGCTCCTCAGAAGGGCTGGCAGGGCGTCGGTGCCCGGCATGCTGTGCTTCGTGGGCCTCCAGGTGCTCAGCGAGCCCTACCGGATGTACCTGAGCGACAACGAGAGCTGGTCCATGCACCAGGACATCCGCCTCATGCACCTGGCTGAGGACATGGACAAGAACCTGTCCAAGAGGGTCGGTGATATAGAAGATCTCCTTCGCCGCAGGGGCTTTTAGTTGTCTACGGGAGTAGGCATGGGGCAATCATACAGGTGTACACCGGTGTGCATCGCATCTTGCTCGACTTGCACCACTCAGAGGAGTGATGGCACCTGGAGACTTGAGCAGATGAAAGAGAGGCAGCTCATTGATGGCTGTGCACAACTGATTCTGAGGTTTTGAATATGTACAAAAGAGACAGGTGAAGCCCTGGACTTGGATTGAGGCAGGTGCGTGAGCATGTGCATAAGCTACTGCTACACAGGTGTGTGTATTTTACATGGCATACGGAGAGATACCCAAGCTCAAAGGGAGGCAGATAGTACACCAGCAAGGCGTCCAGGTTCTTAATTTCACAAATAGACGGCATCTGGACAGCCAGAAGAGGATGATGAATTCAAGCCCTTGATACCCTGCACAGCGAGTCAATCGAGTATCAACAAAGGGTAATAATGATCATGTACAAAAGTAGCCACCCCAATTGGGCTTCGCATTTCTTTATTTTGTCCCTGTGAGCGCGATGGCCAAGAATAACCCACCGGTTCCCGGTTGCCCTTCCGTGAGCCATAAATATTTGCCCAGTCCCAACCAATACATGTCCATGATCACGGTATAGATAGTGTAGATCAATTCCTCCAGACAAACGCCGTGTCTCCCAGGTCATCAAACATATCATAAAAATCCCAAAGCCAGAACATTTGTCTAGGCCATTTCATCCCAAGAAGATGTTATACAACGCCAGATGCATGAAGAAAAAAAGCAATTCAAGAAAGCGACATTAGATGAAGTCTTTGCCCTGCGCCGGCCGCCCGTTCTCCACGCTGTCGACCTGCCGCAGTGGGTAGGACGGCGGTGATGAGTAACTGGGTGGGCCGTAGTCGGACCGGGCCATGCCCACATCGCCCGTGTTATCAGCGTTGTGGTAATAGCTGTCCTCGTCGTAGTGGCCGTATGGCCCGTGGGGACCACCTGCATTTGCGGTGCCGTACGTTCGGTTGGGCTCGGGCCGGTAGGGCGCGTACCCCTGCGGTTGTTGTTGTTGTGGAGTCTGCGGTATGCTGAAGGACTGGGTCGACGGCTGCGAGTGGTAGATGACGCTGTTGTTGCGCATCATGCCGGCGGTGGGCGGCATGGGCTCATCGTGGGGGTTGGTGCCTGGTGCGCCCGCCCCATAGCCGCTGTCATTGCGTGTCAGGCCCAGGCGCTGCGCTTCCTTGTTGGCGTTCCTCTCAGCCTGCTCCGCCAGCAGCTGCTTCTTGTACTTTGCCATCTTGAACCAGATCCACACGCCCGCCAGCACGGTGACGACGCCCGCGACGGCGAACAGGGCATTCTTGACGGTCGCGCCGTCCTGCTCCTGCACTAGGAGCACGCCGAGGTAGACCAGGATCAGCTGCTTGGGCAGGGTCAGGAAGGTCGAGACGGCGAAGTGCCAGAATTTGACGTCGCAAGTTGAGAAGACGGCCGTGGACAGATGGGAGGGGATGATGGAGAAGCGGATCACGAAGACGATCTGGATGATATGTTAGTCGCTTGTAACAAAGTGTCGAATGAATTGACGTACCCAGAATCCACCGTCACGACATAGCCTCGCCATCGCGCCGTATGTGAGATTAGTCCTCTCCATCTTCTCGGCCTTCCTTCGCAGAAACTTCTTAAAGGCGAACCATGTTCCGACTGCGCGAGTATGTTAGCCATTGCCACCGCCTAGGAATTTAATTGTCCTGCTTGCGACAAGATAGAAGACTTACTCTCGCCAACGAAAGTTCCTGCCGAGACGACTGCGAACCCGATCCACAGCCCATATACGACACCGGCCAGCAGCGCGACGACCTCGTGGCCGAACAAAGGTGGGAATGAAATGATAAAGAGGACGGCGACAAAAATGAGCCATCCAGCAGGGACGTTGCGGACCTTCTCAGCGAACGGTCGAAGCGCTGCGACAACCTCATCGTGCTTTAGGGTTATTATGGCCGTCAAGACGCCGACGATGATCAGGATGATCCACACGGGAATGTACTTGGGCGCGAGGAAGACCCTCTTCCAGTTTACGGGCTGGTAGTTTGGCTCGAGGTCATCTGGGGTGGTGTCGGCCTCCGTCTTTGTCCCTTTTCGTTTTGGGTCGTTGGCGTTGCTGCTGGCTTCTGATGACGTTGAGTTCCACATCCCCTGGTGCCCCATCTCGATATCCTCGCTTCTGTCTTTTCTGCCTCCCATATCCGCATGTGGTGTATTTTTGTGTGTAATTGTATAAATCCTGCGTCTTCTTTTTTCGTCCTGAATCTCTTTCTCCTCCAATTCCCTCCGTCAGAGCGGGTGGTCGATCTCCAAAGATGTCTCTCTCTCCAGTAGCGAAACGGTGATGCTGGTCTGCTTGGTGTAAGAGCCCAAATGTGTTGTAAGAGTCGAGTGGTGTTCGAAGTAGATAGTTTGTGTGAGAGAGAATGTATGTGTATGATGCCCAAACTCAAAAGGAATACGGGGTCGAGTGGATGGGCAGTAGGAAGAGTCAAATGTTAATCAGTCTAAATTTGGTACGCGGATACAAAGAAACAAGTCGAGAGGGGGGCGGATTCATCAAGAATGGGAGATCCCAAGAAGGCGGGCCAGGGAGGTTTTGGGGAGCGTGGAGCCTAATGATATTATGGAATGGGGGTCGGCTAGCGCTGGAATCCACATAATAGAGGTTGAAACCACTTCCTTTGTGGGTCCGCGCTGGGCAGAATGCAGGCTGGGAGTGGCAGGTTGGTAGGCTGGAGGGCGGACAGACTTGAAAGTGAGTGGTGCCGCCACCCCCAAAACCAGTGGGGTCTGAGACGAGATGGGACCTGAAACTCGATGACTGCCACTTCCTTACCAGGCTACAACCGCACTGCCGTGTCCGTGTTGGCCTGCTGTAGTGCCGCGCCAGGGTGTGGGGTCTGGATGCACAGGCTGGCTGGGCTGGACGGGCTACAGATGGGCACAACGGGCTGGCTGGCACAGGCTGGAAGAGGTATCTGGCAGTCTGGTAAGGCAGAGAACCCCTGCTCCGCCACCAGTGCCATCAACCCTCCCCCCTGCAGCGCTTATTTCCCTCTTTTATTCGGCTTGGCAGCCGAACTGTCATTTCGAATTGGTCCTCCTTTTTTCGCCCTCGACTGTCGAACTGGAGATGGGACATGGGACATGGAGATTGCCAAGTCGAGAACCCAGCTGCCAACACTGTCAATCGCAATTCACTACAGTCATCATCGTGATCCCACAATCCCACATAACTCTGGTACAACCCTTGGAAGCAATGTACATGTGTACTGTATGTGCTCAGACTACAGTGTGTACGAGCAGTGCCGCGATCCGATGCGAGAGATGCGATGCGATGCGATACGATACACGATATGATGCGATGCACTGCCCACTGCTGTGTGGGTGTGGGTGCCACTTGGTGCTGGCGCTGACCTCCCAGCAGCTCGTGTAAAACACCAGGAGCAGGCTGCTGTGACGGCAGTGACGCTATCAGACGAAATCCATTCGCGCGGGCTCCTCCAAAAGGGTCGGTTTGCTGGCCAGGGCTGGCCGGGCTGGGCTGGCTGGTCGACTACCACAGTACAACGGATGGCTGAGATACTACGATGATCGTTGCAGGCTCAGCACTGCCACATCAAAGCGCCATCCCAATCCCGCAGATCAATGCAAATCAATCCCCAATCCCAGATTGGACATTCCTTGCTGGTGTGCTACTGCCGCGCCGTTGCCGCGCCGTGCTGCTGCTTGCTGCTTCGCGTTCTCGCCTGGCTCGTCCACTCACTCACTCCTTCACTACCCATCTGGGAATACGAGGGTGTTGCACACCACGCAGCACGCAGCACACAGGGGGGGGGGTCTTACAGGCAAACCCACATTTGCGCCCGACGTTGCGCTTTAGAACTGTGGCACCCACGGGTATTTTGAGAACTGCCCTAACCTGCCATGGCTGCCCGCGGACCGGAATCGCGGCCTGGCTACACTTCTGTGACAGCTTGAGGCGGTTCGCTACCATCACGCACCGCGATGGAGCCCGTCAGTCTTTACTACCGATCTCTACCCGCGAGGCCCATACGGTCGTGGCCAAGCCCGGAGATCAATCCTTTAATCCCCGGGGCCCTCACAAATCGCACGCGGGGGATGGATACGTGTGTATGTGGCCCAGACAACATGGCGATCCAGACCACTGCCATCTATCCGGCCGAGTCCACCGCAGGCCCCTGACTCGGGCCAAACTGGTGTGCATACACGAGGCTGTCGAAGGGCTGTCTGGCAGTCAAGACAAGCTCTCTGCCCAGCCCTTCTGTGCTCCTTCCCCTGGACTTGGCTTGCATCGGAACGGTTCGCAAGCACCTTGGCGTCCTGACAGTCAGCGAAGAGAACTCGACCAAAAATCCGAACCGCAGCATAACCTTTCACGTCGGCCTTAAAGCTGCTCGTCCCATCAGCACGCACCGAACCTTCGTGGCCGAACAGCCGACACGACCAGCTACTAAGCTGCGGTGTTGTCGCTTCACCGAAACAAACTCTGTACGAAGCAGCCCAGAATGTGCAGCTATCGCGAAAGTCATCCCAACTCTGATTGTGCGAACGAGCTCTGGAGCTCTTCTGTCGCGCCCTGTACCTGTGAAACCCAGTGAAACCAGCCCGCCTCGGAGGCTTGGCGGCCGGTGATACTGCGCAGCCTGGGCGACCAATTCCTGCGCGCTCTCATTAATGGGATCGAGCAAAAAGCCACGACATGGCATGTTCACCGCGCAGGTTGATCTGCTCACTAATCTACAGACGGAATTATCGTGCCACTGTCAAAACCATCCAAAATACAGCTCACTGACCATCGACTCAGCAAAATGGGAGGGCAGGAGTGGTCGGCTTTTTACCGGTGGATTTGATGCTGGGCGATAAAGCAACCCGGCGTCCCGTCGGCGGCATCGTGCCGTCAACAGCTTGTCGTCGTTTCATATCGCTGCCCAGTGTGCGGCTGCACCCTGCGGCGGACCCTGGAGGGGACGCGAGCCTTTCCACGAAGCGAAGCTTCTCCAGGCGTGTTCGTGATTGCCCACGTTCGTGCACAGACTCAGCACCGCAGAGCCACTCGGGCCACTAGACAGCGAATGGATGCATCCTGCTGCGATTGCTACCATGCTCGCTGTCAGTCAGTCAACCTTGAGGGATTCTTACAGCCCCACAATCCAGTGTCGCAGTCCGTCGCCGATCCGCTTCACCGAGCCCAATCATGGAGCAACGAACACCCATATCCCTTGGATCGTAGAAGAGATTTGGCATGTTCCACACTAGTCGTAGATTCACCAGTCTTCCCGACAAGTTGTTTCACGCAGATATCGAGACCTCGAGTGAAGTTTGTCCGTACCTGAGCACGCATGGACGCCGTGATGTCACCAGAAGCCAACGCCAAGGGAGGTCGCTGCTTGTGGGTCAGCAAACTCCACGGTTCGTCTATCCACGAACATCACACCCCAAGATGTCACAGAACCGGGCCGTGATGCAAGCATATGTTGATCTTATATCTGATCAGCGTTGGATGCCCAGGCGCTTCTCGAATCTCCGGACGATGTGGCGCCGAGGTGACAAATTTCCCTCGACCATCATGTCAAGTATGGTAGATAATCTAGCAAACCAGTGCGTGGGCTGCGGGGAGTCACTATAGTTCAACTCGCGTATTACTTTAATGTGCAAGAGGGCGCCGGGAAGAACGGCTATGATCGCCATTCATCCTATTTGATACGGAGATCCTGGGATCATTGCAGTATATTCCTCCCAACATATCAAACCACGTTGATCCATCCAGACTGCCAGGCTACATAGTCTAAATGTCACTGCGCCCTCCGCCCAATAAGCATCTTGACCTCGGGACACCACTCCTCGATATTAGCCATCTTGGCCGCCTGCCACCTCTGCGGCTGGTGGTATCCCAGCGGCGTCTCGTAGTACATGGTCTCGACGGCGAAGGGCATGGCGGCCTCGACGGTGGGCAGCTCGGCGCCGGCCTTCTTGAGCTCGGTGTAGAAGTACTGGTCCTCGAACTCGTGGCCGGACGCGGCGAAGTCGACGGAGCGCGTGATGTTGAGGAAGGCCCGCGGGTTGCGCAGGCTCAGCCCGCCGTTGAAGCCCTGGCCGTACTGCTCGGCGATCGGCGCCCCGACCAGGTCGTACTTGAAGTAGTCGTCGGCCTGGGCCTCGGACCGCGAGCACAGGATGCTGTCGCTCTGGAACAGCAGCACGCGCCGCGCCGAGGACATCTGCTCCCACACCCACGGCGACGTAAGGAACCGCGACACGGACCCCGAGTTTGTGAGTTGCGTCTCCGTCGGCAGGAACCGCACCTCCACGCGCCCCGCGTCCTGCAGCCGCTGGAACGGCGCCGACAGCGGCTCCACCCAGTTCTCCTTGAGCGTGAACAGCACCATCCCCCACGCTGGCCCGAGCACTGACGCGAAGTGCAGCATGACGGGGATCAGGTTGGGGATCATGGTGGTCTCGATGATGACAGCCATGGGTCGGTCGGAAGGGATTGAGGGCGAGCCCCCTTGCTGCTGCTGTTGCTGGGCGAGGCCGTCGGAAGCCGACAAGCCACCGCTGCTCCCGCCGGCCGCGCTGCCGACGCCCTCCCCGAGACTGCCGGCCATTGGCTGGGTTTGAGTAACGCCGCCCGTGTCGTCGGCCAACACGGGGGGCGAGAGCGTTGAAGCCCCGGCGCCGGTCCCGTCGCCTACTAGGGGAAAGACATGCTGGAAGTCCGGCGCGGCACCGCCGTTGTCCCGGAAGAAGAAGATGTAGCCCAGCACGATGAGGGCGGCCACCAGTGCGTACGTATACTCCTTGGAGCGGAGCCTCGACCAGGCCGGTGGGGACATGTTGTGGGGTGAAGAAGGCCGCGCCATCTCGATCGAAGTCTGGGGCCGATTGCTTTCTCGATTGCCCCCGCTTACGTTGCACAGAGAAAAACGGTAAGAAAAAGAAAGGAGTCGAATAAGGTTCTGACCGTGCTGGAGCCTGTGCACCGATTTTATTATTAGATGAATGCCCACGCGTCCTGGGGAAATCTGGCAGATAAGGTTTGGACAGGTGGGTCGAAGTCTTCTCTCCGTCTTCTCTCCCTTGCCTCTGCACGCCAGCTGCTGTCGTTCATGCAAGCACCCGGGAGCTGAAGATAGGGAACACGCCTAAGGGGCTGCTCCCTTCTTTCAATCCCAGCAATGAAGGGTGCACCAGTGATAAGACATGTCCTGGCCGGCACTTCCTACTTGTAAGCTTCTTGGAATCTGGGTCAATGAACGCAGTTGATGGAACAGCTGTGCAACCCCCTTTTCTACAGCCGATTGCGTGAGTTTGCCGGGCCGTCTCGAGATAGACATTTCGTCACAGAGTCTTTCGCCAAGAATTGATTTCCATGTCTCTGGAGGATTCCTGGAGACATGTTGAAAGGTCTCATCATTTGTGGTTCCCATTGGGCAGTCGGTAATCAGTACTGATTAGAAGTGGCGTCTCGTCCAGAATGTCTCAGTTCTCAGTACTCAGTTGTACCGTCGGCTTTCTTACATGATGCTGAGTGACTCCGCACAATACGGCTATTTGTCTTCACAGATGCTGTGATCCGTTTGTATGGAGTAACGCTGTAGCAATCGTTGTATGCCTCCTCAACACCGCCGAAGACTATAAGGCTTTAGACATTGGTCGTGCCAAACCCACATCGGTACAACAAGTCCCGGCCACGGCGAAGCTGGAACTCGGCCACGACCGTTAACGCTGGCAATCTTTGCGTCAATGCCAGCTGTTTCCAGTAGCTGAAGTATCGCACAAAGCGTTTCTCCAGTGGGGAGCACATCGTCCACCACTACCACTGCAGCCCACACAACCGAGGAATCATCTTGGTCACGAGGCCAGACGCGTGGTATCACGCAAGCAAAGTCCTAGTCTCGACAGCAGAAAACAGTAACATCTGACGAACCATCGCCTACTGCTCCGCTGCCTTGTAGTAAATGGAGGTAACAGAATGGCGTGGGACGGCTCTTGACTGCCGCGACCAAGCAGCTGGCAATGTCTGCTTCTCCAATATGTTCTAGGAATATACACCACTCGAACAAGGAGGTCTTGCCGCCATGATGTTCACCGTGTATCCCATACATATGCATCTCAGCATCGAACAGGCCCACACCGTCCACAGCCTTGGGCTGGACTTCTGGTCCCCGGTCCGCAGCCACGAACATGGACATGGGTGTTTCGAAGGTTGACTTGGGCTCAGCCATGGAAGACTCGAACATGCCCGCGCCGAGATGCAGCTTACCGGCATCCCGCTACAGATGAACATAAGCAGAAGAGTTCCTGTGAAGGCCCTTGGCGACGAGGCTGTCGAACTCGCTAGTCTGAGCTGTGCATCGAGGCTGACAGCCAGCAGGACAACCCAGTCCAGATCAGGTGGGTCGGCGCCATGGAAGAGCTTTGGACGTCACACTGACCACAATGGCAAAGCTGATCCCTGTGCTCTTGATTGCTCATAGGAGGTCAGCCTCGTCCTTCGGATGGACGGTGTCAAGACTACCAGTGTTGGCTCGGTACACAACCGACGCAGAGGATCTGGCCGAGGCTATTGATGCTGACAATCACCGCACCTATGATTCGGAGCCTCTCATATCAAGAGAAAATTAAAGGTTTTCTAGGATTCATCAATTCTATTAAACACAACTGTCAACAGGCAATATTGTATAAGCAATTAGAGAGTGAGCATAACAAAACAAGAAGATAAAGCGTTCGCTCACTTTTGATTTCAAAAGAAGTAAAACACCGCTGTCAATTATTTTCATGACCTTCGGACTACTACCTTCGGATTTTCTCGCATTTAAAAATGTGATGAAGTTTACTCGTTCTACTGCACTCCTTGACCGCATTTGATATCACACATCCTTCCGTGAAATAGGGGATTAAAGAAGCAAGTATATCATGCACTGACCTGTGAGCTTGGCTCCGCAATCAAGAATGAACTCATTCTCATCCAACTTAGTTATACTAATTATGTCGCTTCAGTATCACGTGAACACTTTTTCTATGAAATTCAGCCGCAAGACTGTTTAGTCAGATCTAGAGTTGCTAGTCAAACATAAGCAAGAGCACAACCTGCGATTATCGTCATGGTATTCCCCACTGCCTCGGTACCGTTTGAAATGTCTGCCAAAGTTTTGGTTCTAGCTGAAGGGAAGATATAAGAATTAGATTGGGGAAAAGGAAAGAAACTCGTAGGAGAAACTTAAGCTGGGATAGTTCTAGGGATGCATTCTTCAAGCTCAGGATCTGGCCCTATACCAGACTTACTATGGTAGAGATAGCACCGTAGCCTTTGAGGAGAAACGAAAGCTCTTCACGCGTGTGATCGATACCTAGCATGTATGAGAGATGTACAGAAAGCCCAAGCCTTGGCCGCCCCTAAGCCCAGACCCAAGAGTGGTCGTCAGGCTGGGCAGTAGCCTTGGAAGTGGGGAAGGCGTTCATCCGGATTGTACTCGGAGACAGGCCTTGGCAAACAAAGCATGATGGAGAACAACACGAATAGAGAAGCACAAGTATTGGCCACAGTCGTTGACTTGAAAGGATCACACCGAAGAAGTGAGGCCAAGAATGTACTTGGTGAGAGCAAGGGCTAGAACCCATTTAGCGGCACACTCTGAGAGAATCAGACTCGGAAGCTGCAGTCAGTGGCAATATCTTGCCCAGCCTTGGGAGACATGCTCAAGCTTGAGGCCGACCGCTTGCTTCGCTTGGCTCGTTTTCCGTCCACTCAACGCCGGCGATGTTCTTATCAACTCGTAAGATAGTTGGCGCCTAGCATCCTGCCAACTTTTTGAAGGCCGGTGAGATGGTCGGTTAACGCCGGAGTGGTACAGGGCTTCTGACCATCTTTTTCAGATAAAACATGAAGAAGAACGTCGTCCTACGAAGATATGGATGTTTGAAACACGAGTCTATTCATCCACTTTTCTTAGTCGACCTCGACCTGTTCGACCAGCCGACTCATACCTTTCACCGAATAAATGGGCAAAGAAATTCAGAGTGCGGAAACACGCGAGACGTGGCGGTCAGACTCGTCACGCACAGTCGCCGTCGAAGATGTTCCTGTCACCTCAGTCGTGGAGCCCAAGAAACCGTGGTGGCTTCCAATCAAGGAGCCTGGGTCAGCGGCGCAGATTGTCATCTCAGCAGTGATAGCTATCGCAATCGGCCTCGCGGTGACGAGCACTGTCGACTCTGTGCCCGTCGCCTGTAGCACGATCCTTGAAATCCCAGGAACGACATGGCTCAGAGCGTTGAGGGCCACCGGTGAGCAGAGATCTCTTGCAAACTTGGTTCTGATATCACATGAGCTGACACTCGTGATGTAGTGCTCCCTCTCATTATCACGTCCCTCATTCTCGCAGTTCAGTCCCTGCGCGACCTTGGAACCGGCAATGGCGCGCGCATCGCAAAGTGGACACTGGGATACTACCTCATCACCACCATCATCGCCATCGTTTTTTCTGTTGTAACTGTCGCCGTTGGATGGTCCCGCCTTATGGTGCCAGTCGAAGGTGAAGACAGGGAACAAATTGACCCCGAACGAGAAGAAGTCGCGCCTCATGACGTTGTGGTGGACTTGTTCGAGTCGTTGATCCCGCAGAACATCGTCAGTGCCTTGGCCGAGGATACCCTGCTGAGCGTGATGGTCGTTAGCATCATCGTGGGCTACCTTCTCAAGCCAGCCAGCCCTATTCTGAGAGTTGTGAAGGAGATCGAAGAGATGGTAATCAAAATCATCATTTTCCTCATCAAACTCGCGCCGATCGGAGTCTTTTTCCTCATCCTGCCCAACATGTTCAGGCTGGACATCTCAGAGATCGGGCAGAATCTTGGCGTGTTGATTGGAGCGGCGCTGTCGGGGATGTTTGTCCATGTGTTCGTCACCCTGTCAATCATCTTTGCGGTGTTGGTGAAGGAGAACCCGTATACGTTCTTCATACGCATCTCACCGGCCTGGATGACTGCTTGGGGTTCTGCGAGCTCGGCTGCTACGCTGCCGGTTACTATGCGCACGACCTTGGCACAAGGGGTCCCGATGGTTGTAACGAAGTTCGCTGTACCAGTTGGGTGTCTTGTGAACATGGATGGGTGAGTCACTTCCGTATACTGTGGGAGCTCCAGAGGCTAATCATCCAAAAGCACCGCGATTTATTTCCCCGTTGTAGTGACATTCATGGCTGCTACACAGTCAATTACTATCGGGCCGGCGCAGTACGTGATAATAACACTGCTATCTACGCTCGCAACAATCGGAGCCTCGCCAATTCCGAGCTCTTCACTCGTCCTTACCGTCATGATCTGTGAGGCTGTGAACGTACCCATTACGGGGATGTATGCCGTCGTTGTGGCGATTGACTGGTTCCTAGACCGCTTCAGGACAGCAGTGAATGTTAGTGGGGATTGCTATGCAGCTAAAGTAGTTGCCAAAATGACCGGCATCAAGGATAGTGATGACGAATATGACGAGGAAATAGTTGAAGGCGTCCCGGTGAGAAGAGATTCTAACGAGCAAGCATGATGTTCTGCCAGCGAGTACGCCAATATCTTGGCTAGGGGCTTTGGAGATGTCGATGCTGCAATGATATGAGATAAATGCATGTGACCTTTATATTTACTTCAGATAGTACAAGATCATGATATTCTCCAGAGCACTACGCCGATCTTTTCTTAGCATCAAACATCACAGATGAATTTTAAAGGCATACGCTTGGTAGACCATGGTCATGATTTGCTGCATACTGAGATGCGGCTTGAGAGCTGCCCTTAAAATTCGAAGGTCACGAGCATGAGTACTAAGTCAATGTGAATTACATGATTATCACTAAGCTTTGAGGCTGATCCTCCGCAGGAACAATACAGAACTATCATTTAGCACATCGGATAGTTCCGAATTTGGTTCTCGGATTTTCCGTGTTGCAGCACACCAGCCTGGTTAAAGAGTGTCAGGTGTTGCATTCTCCAACAGTGGCGATGGAACGTGGAACCGGAACGAGCCAGCCCCATGAAAAGGACGAGCTCGATTTTGCGAAGGAAAGATGGTGCTAAATTGTATTAATGAGTGGGGTTTGCCGGTGATTGCTTTCGACCCTGGATATTCACACTCACATTCGGCTTTTTGTGGGGAGTACAGAATACCTGCCAGACTTTTTCTCAAGAAACACGTGCAATCGAATCAGAACCCCGTGGCTTTTCATGGCGAAGACATCCGCAGAGACCTCTCACTTGGAGAGGACGATATCGCAGCCGTTGAACGGAGCCCAAAGCTCGGAAGATGAACCAACCAGCATTTATCGAGTTGGGTGGCGGACCCTGATGGCCATTGTAGCTTTATCCATGGCAAATGCGTGTGCGGCCATTGCTAATACGGTCTGTCGATTCAATGTGTTGCGTGATACATCGCTTGTGTGATATTCGGTATTCGCTAACAGACTTTGCTAACCGATAGACAAATACAATAATCCGTTTTCAGGTGATGAGCCTCGGCGATGCCAAGAATGCCTCTTGGATAGCGAATGCGAACTTCTTGATGACTCTGGCGTTTGGACCTGTCCTCGGATCTCTCAGTGACCGCTTTGGCAAGAGGTGGTTTATTATTGTCGCCACCGTGTTTGGGGTCGTAGGATCATGTATCTCGGGATCTGCACAGAAGACCACGGTCGTCATCGGGGGTAATATCCTCACAGGTCTTGCCAATGCCGGATGTGTAAGAAGACGCTCTTCAAGAATTCCCTGCAAAGTCTCTAAGGCTGACCCACGTTAAACATTCTGACTTGTAGATCATGGGTACGCCCTCTGCCCAAGAGGTTACACCGAATAGACTGAGGCCTTGGACCATGGGGTTTGGGCAATGCCTGGCCAGCATAGCTGTAATCGGTGGCACTATTGGTGCTGGTGCTTTTGTCAAATTTCATACCTGGCGATGGTCATACTACCTCAACGCAATTTTCTACGGTACTACCTTTGTGTTGGTGAGTATCTTTTATCACCCACCCCCTCCAGGTTTGCGTCGTCACGGGGCTCGACTACAAAGTCTAGTCCTAAAAATCGACTATGTTGGCATCCTCATCTTCACCGGATCCCTCGCATCGATCATCATTGGTGTAACCTGGGGCGGAACTACATATGCTTGGGACTCGCCTCAGTGCCTCGCCACGCTGATCATCGGTTGCATTGGGCTCGGCTTGTTTGGTATTTGGGAGGGGTTTGTCGTTAGTGAGGGTATCTTGGACCATCGGCTATTCCAGTCGCGCAACTTTCCTATCCTGATCTTTGTGTGCGTGATCGACGGCATGCTCCTCCTTGGCGTCAATGTCTTGTTTTCACAAGAGATTCCGACCCTGTTTACCGTTGATCCAGTCCAGATCAGTGTGATCTTGACACCTTATCTGGCGACCTCGGCTTTTGGCTGCATTCCTGCTGGAGCACTGATGGCCCGCACCAAATCATACAGAGTCATGCTCGTGGCGGCCTTGCTGTGGTGTGCCTTGTTTACCGGTAAGCCTCTCAGAGTGGTGGTACTGGAGCATTCGCAGCCGCTGACGAAGTCGACGCCAGGTCTGATGGCCATGCTGAACCCATCGCGCCAAGGCTGGGCGTATGCGTTCTCAGCCATGTTCGGAATTGGCACAGCTGTGACGACAGTCATTCCTATCGTTGCACTCGCACTTTCCGTACCGTCTTTCCTCCTTGGCACAGCAGGGACTTTCAGTGTCTCGTGCCGTGCGCTGGGTGGAATCATTGGCATCACTATTTTCACGGCAATCTATAACAATAAGATGGCTGTACGTTTGCCGGCCGACGTGGGCGCTGTACTTGGCCGGGCTGGACAATCGGCGCTCTTACCAGACACATTGGGTGCTCTGCAACTTGGAGACCCCAGCGCGTTACAGCATGTTGCTGGCTTGCCAGCATCGCTGATACCCAGCATACTTGACGCTCAGACAGATGCAAATGTGTACAGTTGGAAGTATGTGTGGATTGCTATCACCGCGATAGTCACTGCCAATGCAATAGCTGCCTGTTTTCTGGAAAGCGTGGCAGGGAGGATGAACAACCATATCGAGTCGGCTTTAGAAGAGTCCGAGGCTAGAGAGAAGCAAAAGGGAGCAGTGCTTTGAATGATACTTCATTCGAACCTTCGACAGAACAAGTTCGGTTTTCGTTGGAAGGAGACACGGCTTCAGCTTTGAGGTTATTCCACATGGATTGCACGGATTGTGACATCGTATTTTACTTGCATTGAATTTGCCTCACTTTCACTAAAATACGAAGAAATGAAATAGTTTAAAAAATCATGCCTTTTTGCCTACTGCTTGCGCCTGCTCTTCAACATCTCTCGTGCAGTCGACAAATCTCCCCTTCAGGGAAGCTCCCTTGCCCGAGCACAGCCATACACATGTCCACGCCGGCAGTTCACCTTCGTAATGTGGTCGTCGCTTGCTAATTTCCGCCATATGCTCTATCACATAGGGTGCTTCTCTCTTTGTCTTCTCTGGATACGCAGTTTGGTGCAGGTCCGTCTCTATTTCACCAGGGTGTATGCTGAACACCGATATCCCGTTACTGTGCTCGTCCATCCTGGACAGCTGATCCAACTCGACTTGCAGAGTCCCGGCAAACTTCGTGATCCCAGTCTTGGCACAGTTGTATGCTGTCGTCCACGGGAGATTGAGGTCCGGTGCTGCAGCGCGACTACTCGTATAGATGATAGTGCCTGAGTTGCGCTCCCTCATTTCCGGCAACGCTAGCCTTGTGAGTTCTACCGGTGCCCGCAAGTTGAGTTCCATGATGTCCCACCACTCGACCGGGTCTGTGAGATGAAAAGGCTGGAAGATGTTTGATCCAGCATTGCAAATCAGAATGTCAACGGGACCTAGCTGTGATCGAAATTCGAGCAGAAGACGTTGTTGGTCATTGCGGTCAAGTATATCGGCGACGATACCCACAACCTTTCCAGTTCCTTCCCGTTTCTCGCTGCCATCTATCGACTGTATTCCGGCCACAGTTGTCTCGACCTGGCTTGCAGTCCGTCCGGTCACACATACATTGGCGCCTGCATGTGCCAATGCAATCGCGATGTGGCGACCGATGCCCCGACCAGACCCAGTGACAAGTGCGTTCTGGCCCTGAAGCGACCCTTTCAGACCCTTAGGGTCAATGGCCGCGTAAATGCCAGTCCTCAAAGTGTATGGCGAAGGCGGCGGTGCCATAATGGCGTTGTAGTTGTTCCAAGTAACCAAGGTTTTCAACTGGAAGGGACCAGTGCGTGAGCGCAGATTGTACGACCAGTCCTAACAAATGAGTCGCCAAAATTCACGAAGCGCATTTGTGTTGAAACCTTTCCATGGATTCCAGAGCCCGCAGAAAGACTCACCAAATCAGCTAGGTTATTGCTTTACGGTCTGATCGTCCGAGCGCCATCAATGAGTCGTTCCATGGCGTATTCGGAGTATCCGCGCGCGGGGATGTGCGCAGCCGGAATTTCCGTCAAGCACGCGCTACTTCGGCTTCAGCGGATTGCGACACCTCAAACTTGACACCATATGGTGCAAGGTGGCTTGGATTTGGCATCAATTGCAATCCTACTTCTATTTCCTACGACAGTCCAACATCTGGGTGCAGCAGCGAAGCATAAAAAATGACATTTGAGATCTACATCCCTGAGAACTTGAAGTTCTCCGATTATATTGCCGTACTACAAACGGCGAGGACGTGGGCAGATGGTTATGATAGAAAGGTCAGCGATTTTCGGCTAGTCCTCACCTCTTCCCACAAGGCAGGTAGACTGACGTAAGAATCAGGACATCGACAGACTCTCTGCTTCGCTGGCTAGTTCAGTCGTTGTTGACTATTCGCACATCGTTCCACATTGGGGAGAAAAGACTTACACAGGCCTTGGTTTCGCCCAGGAGTGGTTGTCACCTGAGCACCTCGGACTGAAACCTCTGGCAACACAGCATCTCCTTGGGCTGCCTTATTTCAAGCTCGTGGCAGACGAGGAGATCGTGGTAGAATGGCAGCAATTGGTGTCTCATGGTCGACGAGAAGGTGACGTGACCCATGCGGTGCAGGAGGGAGTCTCGGAAACTAGCGATCACCGGAGCTACGTAGAGCATCGCTTCATCAAGGTCGATGGCAAGTGGAAGATTGCGAAGATCACCCCTAAATTGATTTACAACACGGGAAACTTCATGCGGATTCGTCGGCCGGAGGGGGAAGAGTGAAATCAAGCACTTTCCAGCCAATATATGTAGCAAATTATAGAGCCTCGCACGGTCTAAGGTCAAGCCAGTGCGGGAGCGGAAAGAACAATTTCAGATAAGCGTGCGGAGAGTTTCCTTGCGCGGGTCTTCCGGCCCTTGCTCTCTTGTTGCAGCCATCACTCTGCCACGCGTCGCCACACTACTCTGCCAGAGAATTAACCACGGAGATGCGTTGGTCTCGACCACACAAAGTTGAGGAAGTGCCCTATGACAATTCCTCATGTTCCATTGCACAGGTTGCATGCCTAAGCATCCTGGATCGGATGCAGTATTGCTAATAGTCTTGTCTAGACTGCCTATTCTGACGTTGTCACCTGCAACCAGGTCGTATTCCTATGGCCACCATGATCTTTGCCGCGTGTGGAGTGCAGGATAGCTATGAAAGGCGACATATAAATGACACATGCTCTTGAAAGGATTACTGATGGGCTCTGTAGAATTTCAAAACGAGGGTCAACCTTTGCTGCCAACATGAAGACCACATTGATTGCTTCTTTTCTCGTGACCAATGTTTACGCATTAGTCTCTCTCCCGAATTTGACTTCATACCCGGCCAGCGTTGGACATGCCGTGGCGAACTTGGATGAAACCCTCAAGTTCTACCATGATCTCGTTGGCCTCGTCGTTCTCCATCAAGACGAGGGGCCCGTCAACGACCCAGCATATGGGGAACTTACAAATACGAGCAGCGCGACCTACAAGACTGCTATTGTTGCCATTCCCAACCAGCGCTGGACCCTGAACCTGGTCGAGTACATTGGTCTTCCCAGAGAGCAGGTCAAGCAGCGCGAACAGGACCCGGGAGATCCAGGTCTCACACTCACGGTCAAGAACTCATCTGCAATTAACAAAGCTTTGCGTGCTGCCAATGTCACGACCATACTCGGCGAGCCGGCCCCAGAGGGCGGGGCGGAGGGGACCACCTCGACCGTCTGGGTGTATGATCCCGACGGCTACATGGTAGAGCTCGTCCAGCGCAGCGGGCCCTCCGATTTCTTTACCGTGTCCCCGCCCAATATTACCGACGGCCCCGGGATGGAATTTGTTATCCGCGGCCAGCTCGACCTCACCTTGTCCAACGTCACTCAGGCGATCACCTTCTACAGGGATATCTTGAGACAGAACATCAGTCGTGGCTTTGAGCCACTAATTGGGCCAGGATATGATTCGCTTGGCTTTGTCGGGACTATCTTCAACCTGAGTACCGACACGCAATGGGCTGCCGTCACTGGAAATTGCGACCCTGACACTCGATGCGAGTACTACAAATACGACGCTCCAGACAGGGTGTCTATTATATATCCAGCAAATTACCCTGGCATTGGGATCACGACGTACAATGTCAAGGGGCTGGACGGTGTTATACAGAAGGTTCAGGCTGCCGGCCTAACCATCGTTACCCAAGGAGGAGTACCTGTGAGAGTGAATGGTAGGCGAAGTATTGTAGTCCGTGACCCATCGGGGTATCTCGTACGTCTGGAAGAGGAGTTTTGAACATCTGTATGGTAATGTGAGAGGCCGAGTGTAGGATGGATGTGTTTCAGCTTTAATACGAGAAATGCACTAATTCCCACAAAAATGTTTATCCACCATCGTCAGAGGCGATTACTTCTCTTCGGAAATTGTCTAAAACTCTATTCCACGAGATTCAAAGAACGCCTTCGAAATAAGATGAAAGCTTGCGGTCTTCTATACGCGAGAGATCCGGGTGTTCACACGCCTCCAGGAGCCGTGATGACTTAGAAGAAACCAGATTATGAAAACAAGTAACGTCGCCGGTACTGTGAAGACCCAGTATATCCAGAATGTGGGTTGTATGATACGTCCTGCTGGCTGGTCCCACTGCAGTGATGGCATCGCAAAGAGCGCAGCAAAAAACGTCGCCGGCAGGAAAGCCATCGTCACGACCGCGATCGTCTTCATGGATGACCCATCGCGTTTTGCCGCATCAGCGAGCTCGATGCTCGCTCTAGCATCTTCATGGGTGAGCATGGTAGAGAGCTGCGTGTTTCATTTAGATAAAGGGCAAAGGGTTGATGACTGATATGTTATATCCTTACCATGCTAACCTGGCTCTTGACTCTCTCATGTAGATATTGAATGGATGTCTTGCGCCACGCCAAATGCCTCTCCAACGTCTGCGTTGCCGCTCTGAGACTCTCCGTGTTGTCTTTCCTCAAGGCTCCGGTCATTGGGTCTTTCGTCATTTCTGGTCGAGTGAGCTCTTCTCTAAGAAGAGTGAGCAAACCCGTTGCAATGTCTATGTGTCTGAAATGGTTCGCTAAATCGACGAGCAAGGATGACATCTCCTTCGACCACTTCGTGATGTCGTCGATACCACTGACTTGGACGCCGGATTTACGCCAGTTGCCATGGTCAGTGTTGGCTTCCATCTGCCTGACTGTTGAGAGCCCGCGTTGAGAAGCTCGGTCCAGCCATTTCACAATTTGCAGTGCAACTGTAAAGGGGACGAGACTCGGCTTTTCCAGATAAGCCACAGATTCATGCAACATATTGCCTAACTCGTCTTCGGTCATGTCAAGAGCTTTTCGTTCTCTGCCCGGTGTTCTGTTAAACAGTATGATGCGAGTAGATTTGAGCTCCGTATTTGACTTCGAGGTCGTACAGCACCAAACCGCTGTATAGAAGCTGGTCGCGATATAGTGGGTGGTTTGGCCATTTCCTGTTGTCCAGTGGTTGTAACCCATGTAGCCGTTCGAGAGAAAATAGAGAGCAAATGGATCTAACTCAAAGAGATCAAACAGCTTGAGGAGATTTGGCTCTGAAATCAGCAGACATCTCTCCCAAATGCGCTCAATTCGCGGGATGACAATCAGGCTCAGATCTGCCAACGCTGCAACAGCACCTGACGGAGATCCCTGGTATTTTCCTGCTGCGAAGTCGAGCAGCTCAGTTTCAGTCATTTGTTGAGACTGGAACTCAGATTTACCCTCGGAGAACTTGGTGATCTTGACAGTCTCGTATGGGAACCCCGCATGCTGCTGATTAAATTGTTGGATGGAGAGAGTTCCGTGGGCCAATTGTCCGAGAGCATACATCTTGAGAAGCGTTAGCAACGACTGCGACGATGATAGCAAACCGAGTCATCCAAGTGTTAAGAATTTGCAGTATACTAGATGTCGAACACTGTTGTGAATACGGGAGCTGAAAACGAGGTCGTACAAGAGAGCCTCGCAAGAGACGGCGCATCATGCCTCTGATTGGAGGGTGCTACAGTGGCGCTGCGTTCTCGATTCGGACAGGCGCTATGCGGCTCACGAATGACTTCTGGGGTGTTTAAATGTGCGTCTCTTGCTTACGCGAGAAAGGAGCGCAACTGAAATTCTAGGCAGAACTTGATCAAAGTGTATTGAAGTTTCTGTAGCCTATCTGACAACTATATAATGTGCTCTTCATACACGAGCAAAACATTTACAGCCTTCCCTAAATCACGAGCGATATGAACAAGCGCCGAAGCTAATCGTAGGAATCAAAGTAGTGGCCGTGACCAACGCAGCAAACTTTCTGAAACATGGGCGCATTTTTTGGGTTGAAACTCTTTCAGAGCGTTGTATCGATTTAAATTTGCTCGGGGATGAGGTTGTGAACCATAGGAAAATCAACTCCCATCCGAATTCGTCCTTGAGCAAAAGATCAAGCAAGATTCTCTTTGCGTATCAGTATCTCGGCCAGTTCGCTACCGATATTCGACATGAGATTCAATCTTTGATACGAACGTGGAGACAAAACTAATTTGTTTTTGTCTCGTGGCCAATGGTCTATGCACTGGTTTCTCACCGAGAAGGATTCTAGTTGAATTGACTCGTTCTTGAGACGTCAAGTTGCCATCCAAAGTGCTCGTCAAAGGTTGTAGTATAACGGACGGAGTAACAGACTTTGGAAACCCAAGGAGTTTCAATTTGTGTGTTGAAATTCGATGAAATGACTATGTTCACGGAAAGTACTGATAGTTGGATGGTCGATCGAAACCACTCCAACCTCAAATCCTCCCCCTCGGGCTTCATGATTGCCCCCCCCCCCCAACTGATCACCCACTAGGCTCGCTAAAAGACTGTGAGAATGCCGCTGGAGTTCCAAAGTTCGGACCGCCGTTGCTATTCGCACTCAGAGGCTGGACCATTGTATATCTCGTGTTATCACACGCGCCGGCCGAGTTGCTAGTCGCGTGGTACACAAGCCACGTCTGCTGCGTATCGGGGCTCTGGAAGAAGCCATTGCTCGCGGGGCCGTAGTTTCCGTTGGCGCTGGAGAACACACAGCCGTTGTTCTTGCTCCACGCGCTGGCGAGGTACGGCGCCGTTGAGCCGTCCCAGGTGAGCAGGCCGATGCAGTAGTTGGGCGTCCAGCAATACGACGCGGCGTAGGCAATGTGCGTCTTGCCGTTGAAGTACAGCGCAGCGGGGGCCTCGTTGACCGGGGTGCCGTTCTTCTCGAAGGAGAGCGTCGGTTGGGAAATGACGTAGATGGAGCCTGTGAGCGAGGTGTAGCTTGACGAGAGCTTCTGGATACAGATGGACTGGTATGTCACGCCGTGGAAGCACGAGAACATAAGCCACTCGCCATAGTCGTTGAAGCGCAGGACGGAGCCATCGATGGACCACTCTGTTGTCAGCTGTCCGGCGTAGGTGTAGGAGTCCCAAGGTGTGGCGCCGCCTGTTCTAATATTTAGCTTTGGATGATCATGGAATTAAATAGTATGCGTAAAGAGAGTAGTGGAAATACCCTTGAGTACGTGAAGCCTCTGCCCGTCGAGGTTCTCACTGGTGCCTGCCGTATAATAGATATACCAAGCTCCACCTAGGTAGTGAACCTCAGGAGCCCACACATTGCAGCAACGCGATGTCGTGGTAGTGGAGTATACAACCTTCTTGGTTGCCGTTTTGAGGCCATCTATGCTTGTTGCTCGAGAGATCTCGACATCGGTCCAAGTCGTTGTGAGTAGGTAGTAATACCCTCCCGTATAGACTAGGAAGGGATCCGAGCCGCCGGGGTTGCGAATAGGATTGGTATAGGCATCGGACAAACCGATTAGGCAAATAAAAGCACTCAAGAGAGCCGTGAAGCTCTGTAGGAAATACATCACGAACTATTCTCTTGACAACCAAACCTGATAGCCCATTTGCCACCACTGAGCTTGCATCACGCCGTCCAGTTTATTTATATGACCGAAGCGGAAATTGTCAACACTGCCAAGCCGGCAAAGGGAAAAGTCAAATCCAGTGGAGGGCTGAGAACTGCACAAAAGATGAGAGCCCATTCGAGCGCATCAAAGATGGGTCTTTCACGGAGGGATGAGACCAGTTGACGGGCTCGTGGGGACCCCACAGCTGCTTGCTAGTGCGTCCGATGCACAAGCTTCCGGGGTGTTATCTGGGGTAAGACCAAGCTTTTGGAACATGATTTGTGGAATTCATCTGTCATGTCCAGAATGGGCAACACGGGGTATTACGGACCTTTGTCCGTGTTTTCTTGGTGGATGTTATCTTTCCTTCCTTTTCACTCTCCTAACATTAGCAAAGGCCAAGCCAGAAGATAATATCGCTCCTGTAACCTTGGCTATACAATAATTACGCAGGCGTAGTGGCGGTTACTTGAAAACGTTATTGATTGGCCCCTGTCATTCCGCGCCCGGTTTCTCGGGTCGCAGATACTTGGTTTGCGCTCTAATCAGCGTCCTGGACCTCAAACTTGACCAGCAACGAGGACTTCGTTTCCCGTCCCTTCAAGTCCAACATGCGGATAAAGTTCCAGCCCTCTGTCGCATACATAATCCGCACAGTAGTAAGCGCAAGGATAGGGTTGACGGAAAACGTGTCATCGCTCTTGACCAGAACCCTAAGGAAAGCCAGCTCACTGTCCTCATACTCCCATTCGAGCGTCTCATCCCAGACAGGGTCCGTTGGCGGCGGGTTCTCCCCACGATGCAGAAAGCCAAGCTTGTGCTGTTTATATGACCCAGTCCTCTGCTTGTTCGAAGTCGGGTCGTCCTTCTTGGCATCGGAGGGATGCATAAGCGATGCGGTCACATACGGCTTGATTTCGTCCGCTTCCCGGCCCTTTGGAAGTGGGAGATCCGTGGCTCCGGCGACGTGGACACGTAGACGCTTCTTCCGCCCAGTCGTCACGCTTCCATCTCCGCCACTTCGTAGCGATGCAGGCTTGAGGACGTATCCGTCTGTGCCTGAAAATAGCGCCTCATTGAGCTGCATACTGATGCCGAAAGTCTGCCAGTTGAGAGCGCAGATCTGTGCCCCAAGTCCCCAGAATGGCACCGGCTTTAGGTTCTTGGACGAGATACGTGTTCCCTTGGGAAACACTCGCATCAAATGGTGCGCGTTGTGCTTTGCAATATTCTGGTTGAATTCGGGCATGAGGCCCAGTAATCCAGTTTCGGAGACATTGATGAGGTGGTGGTGAGGGCCGTTAGTCATCTGCGGCTGCTCGAACCACGAGTTGTCGACGGGTTTGACCGACTGGGCGTAGACACCGAGTTCAGCGAGTGCGGGTATGATGACACCTGCGCCGGTGGTTTTCTTCTTCTCCTTGTACTTCTTGCGGGCCTCCTTACTCTCGTCATCGGATGACTCATCGCTGGTGCTGGATTCCGAATCCTTCTCCCCTTGCAGATGGAACTCGACGATAACGACAATCTTGGAGCCGAGGTCCTCCAGCGTGACGTGGTCGCCACCCTCTTGCTCCTGGTGGCCCTTCTCTCGAATGGCCTTGCTCAGCAGGCGGTGTCCCCAGATCTCTTTCATGATATCCACCAAGCGCTGCTGACCATGAGCGTCGCAGTGATTTTCAAGAGATATCATGATTGGAGCTGCCCGATAACCCTGTTGGTTGACAGCCTCCTTCGCCTCTTGGTCGACCACATCGCGAATGGTCTCGCAGACCTGGCGGAAGGGAATGTGGGACACCAAAGTGTATCCGTGGGTAACCTTTGGCTCGTCCTTATCTTCCTCACCGTCCCAAGCATCGATTTCGACGCACCTAGCACCAGCTTTCAGGGCGGTCTCGTAGGCCGACGCCGAGGATGTGCCGAAGAGCTGGTGTGCCAAGAGATACGTGTTGTGGCTTGAGCTGATAAAGTACTCGGGTAACGGGTACGACCTGTCAGTGACATGTGGTGGAACGTTGATATGTGGCTTCTTGACCAAAGCGTGCAGAGCCGCACTTGGTACCTCGTCGGTGTCATCACGAAGGTCGTGTTTAGTGAGCGCGCCCTGGTCGACCAAGAAGGCTTTCAAAGCATTGCTCACGCGCAGTTGGTGCTGGGTGACGTCGGTCTGCCGAGCACTATGGCCACCACCAGCGATTGTGGTGTTGTCGACCTCCTCGCCGTTCTCGTCATCCTCCGGAGATGTGCCTTTCCTGGAGAAGGGGTTGAGGTTGGACAATGTCGAGGTCAAAGCTTCAGCCATGGCTGACGATTAATATGAGGCCGAGATTGGTATTGAGCTGACGAGTAGTTGTCTCTTTCTGGTGGCGAGACGAGAAATGAAGAGTCCCAGGTTGTTTTGACTACAAAGGAGCGGAACACTCCGTCTTTTGGGCCAGTGAGGATCAGTCGGCGACGTTTGAACTCGGGTACGAGTTGCCGTCCAGCCCTAGCTGAGACGCTCACATACGCGCGCAAGAGTTGGCATGTGGTGTGGTGGAGAGAGAGGGGTCGAGCACAGCCGAGCCCCTGGGTGGGCCACTAACCAATTGTGAGCTATAGCAGGGAGTAAATATGGGGTCTTGGGATTACCTCATCCTCACCGCTACCACCCTCTCTCACTCACAGCCCACTGCACGTCTCAAGCTTGTACTGTGACCAGATCGTCAGCTTTCAACAGGTATCCACTATTGCAAACAGGTTGTTGGGCTTTTGCTCCTGTTGTCAAGAGCGATCGCTTCACAGATGTGTATTATACACAGTCTAGGCAAATATGAAAGCCGCATCTGTGCTGGAAAATAATAAATTCCTAAGTTCTGACAGATTGAAAACAAGGTTTTGGTGCTCCTAATTGGGCGTATTTTCACCGTCCTCGATCAAAGTCGACGTTTTCCCAACATCGACGATTTACAGGCAAGAACAGCATGCCTCATACCGGTTTAAATATAATCGTAGTTTCATTATATATATACAAACACCCTTAAAGCACTCATAGTGACGTTGGCAATCTATGTCAACATCATGCGTGTGGACTCACATCAGCAAGCTGACTGGTGGCCACGTGGTTTACGCAGAATAGTTGGTCCAAATCTGATATCAGCACATTATACGGATCGTGTTGAAAGATGATATGCATGACAGGTGTCGCTGAGAGGGCATAGGAGACATTAATATCGCGAATCCTCAATGACGGTCCCATACACGAAGTCCTCGCGTGACGACTGGTGGGTGAATTGATCAAAGCCCTCACTGTAGCTCAACGCAAGACAGCCCCTCGCCGCTCAGGCGTAAGACGATCTGCTTGCTTGATTTGGGCCTCACCGATAGACCAAAAAGAGCTTTTGCAGAAGGTAGGCAGAATTGTTGCCTAGTCCTGTGTCGAGTATCAAGTTGGGCAGATTTTAACAATTAAGGTGAGCACTATTGTGCACCTTATTATTACAGAACAAGAAATCTGACAATGGTTCAGCTCAATTGACAGCTCATGCTCAAAACTTAAACAATGACCCCCTCGTCCACTTCCTGGCCTTGGCCCTGGTACCTCCATCTGCTAACATATGCATTCGCAGTGTGATTTTCAGCAGCACCATGAGTTGTCGCGTAGGCTCCTACAAGAGTGCCCGTGAAACCGCCACTCACCAGGCTGACCTCCGCGAATCCGACAACTTGGGTGTCCACAGATGCAATCCCACTCTCTACAACACTTCCCGCTGAGAAGGTATAGTGAGTTGTGTTCGTGGCCTGAATCACCAAGCGAATTCTTCCAACCGGGTCTCGAAGAGCGGCGGTGACAATTTGTGGTGCTGTTGCTTTGGCATTTGAGCTGAAAGCCTTCAGCTCAACCAAGTAATCCCCTTCCGTGGCCAACACAATCCCGAGATCAACGTGCCTTGCTTCATCGAGGTACACCGTAACGCCCGCCTCATCACCAAGCGATCTCGGCTCAAACTCGATATCCACGCTAAACGTGAATAAGGTGTCAACTTGCCTCCTCCCCACGAACGTAGTCCCCTCTGTCAGATTTCCGCCTCCCTTGGACGACAAGTTCCTCTCGCTGGCCACCAACTGCAGCTCGCCATCTCTTCTCGGAGGACTCACCACATACGCTGCCTCATCCGGCAGTCTGACGTGTACGAAGTGCTTCGGAAGCTGTGTTCCGTCCTCGAAGTCCACAACATCAGGCACATCGTGCCACGCCCCTTCCCCGGGGACGTCCATCCTAGCGGCAACTGGCAACGGCGCCTGCATGACACCCTGCACACCATTGCCCTCAACCCGCACCCATCCATCGATATCCCACCGGACGGGGAAAAGGACCGTCTCCCTCCCCATCGGCACAGTATTGACCCCTGTTGTCCCCGCCCTCTGCGCCAGTGCGACGCCCCACCACTGTCCAGAGCCGTCCTCGAACAGGTCAGCGTGCCCGACACTCTGGATGAAACTGGTGTTGCTGGCGGCGTGGATGATCGGGTTGTCGGGGAAACTCTCGTAGGGGCCAGTGACTGAGCTGGAACGTGCGATTGAGCCGCGGTGATTCTCGGCGGTGCCACCCTCCGCGATGAGGATATAGTAGAAGCCGGTGGAGGGGTTATGATACAGGTGCGGGCCTTCAGGGGTTCCAACCCCTGTGCCATTGTATCTGTGTATAAGACATCAGTAGAGGGAAAATGAATAGCAAGGGCAGGTCAGCACGCACGGGTAGGTCGTGGACCCAAGATATTCGCCGATGAGCGGATCAAAGGGCGCGAGGGCTATGGTAGTGCCGGTGGAGGTTGCCTGCGCGGCAATGAGGTAGGTGGTGCCATCAACGTCCCAGAAGAGAGAGGGGTCGTAGCCGACGAAATCAAAGTGCGTTGGATCGCTCCAGGAGGAAGAGTTAAAAGGGTCCGTGGATGTGAAAATTACATTGTCCATCTTGAAGTCCACATACGAGCCGATGGAGACCCATGTGGAGATCAGGTAGAAGGTCCCATTATGGAAACGGAGGGTTGGCGCGAAGATTCCATCCTGACCCGTAGGCGTAGAGATGAAATCAGGTAATTGAGAACCGCGGTTGAGGGCGTTGCTGGCCAGCTTCCAGTGCACGAGGTCTTTACTGGCGTGGATAGGAATTCCTGGAAATACGCTGAAGCTAGAGGTTGCACAGAAGAAAGTCTGGTCGAATTCTTCCACGTAGATGCAACTGGGATCTGGGTGGAAACCAGGCAGGACAGGGTTATGGTATCGAGCTGCTCGCGCGCCTTGACTGGTGCATGCCAGTAGAAATGGCACTGCTGTGGGCAGTTTCATCGTAAAGATCTAAGGGACAGTGAAACAGATTTTTCTCTAACTTAGCAGTTCAATAAACCAGACTGCTTTCTTATGTTGATGCGATCGCTTTTCCCTTCTCCCTATTTCTAAATCTTGATCAGGCTTCTTTTTGTTAGCCCCCCTTTTTCGTACTTGCTACTATTTTTCGTATACTCATGACAAAGGGTATCTTGGCATTGGCTACTGTTTATGACCAAAGAGCAATGCTAAACGAAATCAGATAGACCAATAGCATCTTCAGTCAGGACAGATGGCCTGCTCCAATCTTATCACAAGGAAAGGTGCGCTTGTGATATTCACTCTGGGTTCCGCAGTCCCCTGTATAGACAGAACTCGCTGTTCCTCAAAGCTATACACCCCATTCAGGCTCGATAAGACTCAGGCATCACGCCCTGTCCACCAACGATTACTTCGGAACTGCTTTTGATGATCAACCCTCTCTTTGCCAAATCACATTGCAGTGAGGAAGTGGGCGTGGAACCTCACAATATGGACAGTCAAGACGAAGCGAAACCTCTTGTGCTTGGTCCAACTTGGTTGGCTCCGAACTTTGAATGGCATCTTTTTTTTCCCTTCACCTTTTTTTCTTTTCCAATTCGTTGCTCCTTTCTCTGAAAATGGATGCTTTCTAGACTAAGACGTAGACCTGTGTGAAATAGGTCTAGTCAAATATGTCAGGCAGATTTTACATCTCCGGCTTCAATTTCAACATGAAAGCCACATGTGCCTAACGAACGCTTAGGGGCAGCGTCGTGAACTACGGTATCCCATGATTAGAGGAGCAGTGTGATTGATTTCAACGTGGCATTCAAAAGTACAAGAAGTTCTCCTTCTACAATGCAATTCAATCCACTACTCAAGTCCATAAACGTACATGCATTCTCACGAAGCAAACCGATCCATTTGGCGGCATTAGAAGACATGAAATACGTCGATTTCGACATCCACATGACCACATCCTACTCGAGCAATATGAAGGTTCTGGGCTTGATGCTGTCGCTTAGAATTAATTCTGGAATGGCCAAGGTCCTCGGGTCTTAAAATTTGGCCGAGTGGTCTAGCAAACTGGTGCTTATCTAGTTGGGACTCTGGACTCTTGAGGGACACATTTGCCGTTATTCAGGACCGTGCAACAATAATGTTCACATGACTTGGCTCCCTAGGCAGTCGGAAGTCGGAAGCCTCATGGCTATCCGCAAATCTCAGCTCTTCTGGTCCTCACGCGTCACCAATTCAAGTCTAGCTCTCCTTCGCACACTGCACACGGGCATATTTCCGTTTACTCCACTGCGTCATGTACCCAACCTTCAATCTGTTATTGTAAGCTTTTCTAATTGCTGAGCTATGAATGGCTGGCTGGCGTCTTTCCGCGCCGCAACACGAAGCTTTATTGGCGTTAGCCCCGGATGTGAGACTAGCCGCGCGGAGATCGTCATTCCAGTCACCAGCGAGATGGGTCAACTGACGGGTAAGCCATACCATTCAAGTATTAGCCTTGATGTTTATTCTTGCTGCCAGGGGGACAATGAGTTAGCTTGCTGTCTGTCAACTACGAGCAAGCCTCATGTGGAGATGAGTGCCATTCCAAGTTCTCGATCAGGAATGACGCCGTGACCAACGCGCAGTTAGGAGAGAACAACGAAGGAATCACGTCCCGGATATCGTTAGTTCCGGTGGCGAGCAAAGGAATTGAGTGCTTCCGGGTCTTCGAACACTGCCGAAAGACGACTCGCAGTCATCAATTACAGATCAAAAGGGGTTGGCATGGTGGGCTAGAAGCAGCCTCGAGAGAAATTGCATGGATAACTTCACCAGGTTGTGATATCTGTGTTAAAGGCAGTATGCTGGTGTACTTAAAAGGGGCGTTGACGATTTAAAATCCAATCGAGCTCTTCGTTCACGACCTCCTTCCTAAGAAAATTGTTATACCACTTCTGTGCCTAATTCATCGTCATTATGCAAGTTAAAAGAGCCATCGTAGCCTTGACGGCTACCTCTGTGGTGTCTGCCCAGAGGCCAACAGACACGTCCATTTGCGACTACTATACGACAGCTCTTCTGAAAGAAAACACCGCCGCCAATCAATTGACGGTTTTGACACTCCTTGTCAACACTGTTGTTATAGGAAACTGTTAGTGGCAATCCGTGGTCAAGTAGGAAGCTGGACGTGACTGACACCGACTTCACAGACACCACCCCGAACGTCGGCGTTGTGGTTCCTGGTATCCTCGCTCCTGGAACGTTCGACGGAAAAGATGTCAACCTCATGCCATACTTCGACGGTTCGCTCGCCTCCTCCAACCGTGGCGGGTCCTCAGGGGTAGCCATCAACAACCTTGACGGTGGCGGAGCGGAGCCTCTCAAGCAGAATAAGCCCGCAAACTCCAACACTTCAAACCAGTACTTCCTGCTCACGCACTTGTACGCATTCTTTGGCTCTCTTCTTGGCTGCACGACCTACGGAATGTCCGGCTTCCCTGCGTACGACGGATTCCCATCCCAGTATCAGGTACACAAGTTCATGGACCTTGACCACAACGAGGTCTCCTACTTCATCCAGCAGGTCGGTCTCGCTGCTGCATCGTTCGGCGTTGCCAAGGACGATATCACTGCCGTTGCTGGGTCGCTCGACAAGTTGTTCAACTACAAGTGCCTGCCTCCAGCCACCGCTATCAAGGCTCAAGGCCCGCAGTTGCAATCCATCTGCACTGAAGAGACTGTGAGTTGCTTCCCGAAATTCAGCTGTGTCCAGCTGGTTCTTCGAACTTGATGCGTCCGAATTGCGAGGAACTTAGTAATTCAACCCCGGATCTAGAAGCTTGAAAACTAACTCCAGAGTCTGTAGTGCCCATTGGCGGACGGAGCCGTCTGTGACCAGTACGAGCCTGCTGTCGAGCCTATGAACGCAACGAGCACGGCCTCTCCTTCAGCGGGAGGCTCGAATGCGACCGCGACCGCGACCGGCGGGGCGGGTACAACGAGTGGTTCAAGTGCAACTGGTGGTGCAGGCAGCACAGGAGCCTCAGGCACAGCTGGTACCACTGCTACATCAACTCCCGTTCAGGTCGCTGGAGCCAGCATGGGTGCGACCATCAACAGCCTTGTTGGAATCGTTGCTATTGCCTTTGCATCGTTGATGTTGTAGGCTGAAGCATGCACTTCCTGCCTGGGAACAATGCGCATCAAGTTTTCAGAGTGACGGGTGGAATTGTTTTATTCTCTAATACCTTGGATCATACAACTTCTAACCTTTGGCTGTATAAATTTGCAATGAAAAGGTCACCTGTTGTCACACTAGGGTCTATATTTAGATGAACGAGAAGTCATTCGCCAACGACGATGGCTGAAGTTATTGAAGATGCTGTGAACTATTACTACCATTCATCATTTTATCTTACTCAAATTTTCTATTACTCAGGGCCACTAATATATACCTATTGCGCCCATACTGAGCCTATGTTCTTGGTTGTTGAGCATGCATGCACCATTTGATGTGATGCGGACGAGTTTAGCCAGGTTTTCCAAGAACGGATTGGAAGTCGATGGTACTATTCCACCATTTCATCAAGATGTGAGAGACAATATTTGTCAACGACCTGAGATGGGTTCGGGAACATGTCTGCCAAACATCAATCATTTAACACCTAGGTCGAACCTACTTATGACTGGTTGCTAGCAGTTAAGAGATCGAATTTGTTCTCCGGGACGTACAACTGTTCGTGAGGTGGTGGGTTGCTCGCCTCAGTGGGAGAGGTATTCCCACAGACGTGGTTTGGTTTTCCTCTGTACTGATCGCTGCAGATCATCCAAAGTATTAGTCTAGTAGGTGAACCAACCAAACCCTATTGCGATGTGAATGCAGATTGGGCGTGGTTGGAAACTGGTTCGGTGGATGGGTAAATCCGGGCCTTTCACAGCAATACCACATCTATAGTCCCGCAAATTTCGGCCGTTTCAACGATTTCACAGGTCTGGTGGTCTAGTGGTATGATTCGCGCTTAGGGAACACCCTACAGCTTCATTGCGCGAGGTCCCGGGTTCAATCCCCGGCCAGACCCTGATGAGATTCATCCATCCTTGTTTGGATGTGTTTTTTTCTTTTTCTTTGGCCAATTATAAGAAACGGAGTGCTCGATTGGTTTTCCCCTTCAACGGTGATACCCTCCTTCCAATTATTGACTTGCTCTGTCGAGTCAACGCTGAAAACGATCCGCCTCATCCTCAAGTCTTGGTGTACGCCTTATAATCTCAAGTTGGCCTCAGATGATCATCGCGTATGTTGTAATGAGCTTCCCAACCACGCGCTGTTTTGAGCACATTGTCTCCACGTGCTTCCTGATTTTTGTTGGTATTAACTGTGAATTGCCATTATTATTATCAGATCTGACGTTGAGTGGTTGTTGTCGAGAAATAGTAAACCTCACAGCAGAGATATATGCTCCTATGAACTGGCTCGTTGACTGGGCGCATATTTTGTGGGGACCCTCGCTACATTTGTGTCACCTGTGTAAATTTCAAAAGAATCTAGCATGAGACTTTCAGCTACAGACAAGATTAAAGGCCTTTCTACTTATATTTATTATCTTAATCGCCATACGAAGCCGGGGAAAGGAGATGGCTTGTCCTGAGACTATTATGGGAGTGACAACTCGACGGCTGTCAAATTCTAGTAATCTACGGACCTTGGGAATTATAACGGACCCATACCAAGACGACATTACTGGTTGGAGTATGTAGAAGTTACTATGCTCTATTTTCCCTATCATTGTCTGCTTCTGACTGACGGAGACATCATCTCAGTAGCTCACAGGTGTGGACGCGCGAGGAGAAGTGGTCACGGGCAACACACAATTTCAAAGAATCAAGTATTGAATCCGTTCATCCTGCCTTGTGACTTGAGAAATGTATGCACATAGCGGATCCGGTATCGCTGAGCTCGGCCCAGTAAATACCGGGTCGTCGTCCCCGCTCGGGAGCTCTAAGAGGGGGCCGTTTAGTCGGGTCACACTCGCCCTTGACCTGGAAACATAAGAGTCCAACCTAACACGTCAGTCATCAGCGATTCTCGACCACCGGAAGCAAAACATAACTTGTGGTTTTCCCTGAAGACTACAAATCCTTTCGGTTCTCCTATTTGCGATAAAGCTCCACTCACTTGATACTACTGGCCAGGATGGCTGCAGCAGCTCCAATCACTCCTCCGACATCCTACCCCTTCACTGTATCTGGGAAAACTGCAATTGTCACTGGTGCAGGGTCTGGTGGGCAATAATCCTTTCTTATTTGTTGAACAATATATCTGCTGATCTGTCGTTGCTAACTAAACGCGATGACGCTCAGGAATCAATCTCTCTTTTGCAGCACTTCTCCTGTCTCGAAACTGCAATGTCGTCTTAGCTGACCTGGCCCTTCGGCCAGAAGCTGAGACTCTCATTGGCAAATATAGCAATGCTACAAGCGGCCCCCGCGCCGTGTTTGTCAAGACTGACGTTACTTCTTGGCCGGCCCTGTCAAACATGTTCAGCGTCGCGCTTGCGGAGTTCGGGGATGTTGACATCGTCTGCCCGGGTGCAGGCGTCTATGAGCCACATTGGTCCAACTTCTGGCATCCACCAGGCTCTTCCGAGAGCAAGGATGCCATTGACGGAGAGCCTGGCCACTATGCTCTACTAGATATCAACCTGAGCCATCCAATCCGCGTTACCCAGCTCGCATTGTCTCACTGGTTGCATCCGTCACCAGGGAGAGCCGTCGTCTCGCCGTCGAATCAGAAGAGGATTATACACATTTCCTCTGTGGCTAGTTACATGGCAAATCTCAACTGTCCGATCTATGGAGCGTCCAAATTCGCCATCACGGGATTTGTTCGAAGTCTTGCGCCTTTAGATGAGAAGCATGGCATACGCGTGAACGCCGTCGCTCCTGGAGTGGTACGCACGCCACTATGGCTAGAGCATCCCGAGAAAATGACCTATCTCGATACAGATGATGGGTGGGTTACTCCTGACGAGGTTGCTGTCGCTATGTTGCAGTGCGTGGAGAATAGCGACCTGGTCGGAGGGACGATCTTCGAGGTTGGGAAGAACAATACTCGCTCTGTGCCAAGTTTTAATGATCCAGGACCAGACAGAGACCCAAAGAAGGGCTTGGTCGTGAGAAATTCGAAAAACGGCAACGATATGGTATGGACATGGCTTCAGGACAAAAACATTTGGGGCCCGCATTAGAGCATTTAGCTGCCTTCCGCCTATCTGATTTCTAGGATCACTCCAACCTGTCTGTTCCTCAGGTAGCTAAATACAAGAGGGTTGTTACATTTGAGTCATCACGCCTCGTTGTTGGAAAATATGGCTTGCCAAGGTTGTCTCAAAGTCAAGGTCCGTTCTTTGCCTCAGGACTTCCTGGGAAAAGTCCATGCAATGAGGGAGAGCTGCATGCTGCGATCATCGCCCGTGCGGCTCTCTGACTGGCTGAAGCATTGATGATGAAATCTCAGTATAGGCTCTGAAATATTACAGATCAATGTAGAGGCCAATGAATCTCGCCGTGACATACATTGCTTTGACAAAACACGTCCGGAATCGCCTCCTCCGTCTCTTAAAATTCAAGCTGGACCCAATTCTATTGACATTCGCATCCTAGAATATTTACATGAACACACAACTGTGATCTATCCCGAGGATTCAAATCCCATGCTGTCCGGTATTCACAGACTCCCCTTCCTTCAACCCAAGCACGGGTATAGCGGGCCATCCACATCTCTGATGGATGGTGCAGTTATTACTCACCGCGGAAACTTCCACTGGGCCAAAATAGCGTGATAAAAAAGGCAAAACTCCAAATACAATGTGGATTCGCCCGTGAGTATCGATTCACTGGCACTTAGCGAACCTCGTCTCCACAATTGCATCCCAATCGTCGGGCACTAGATTGAAAGGGCCCAGGGCTCAGCCCTATGATAAGTGATAGACCCTCCTGCGGGTACCCTTCCCGAGCTTGAAATGCATGCTCACACCGGATTAAAGCCGAACACTCGGTGTGGCCGGGTTTCTCGGATCGACAAGCCTCACTTATGCAGGTAGCCTTTGCGCATATAAGCGCTGAGGGTGAGCAAACTGACAGGGGACAGAGTTTGTACAGACAATGCATTACCCAGCCCATGTCCACCGTCCACTCGGCCAAAGCTAATGCAGCTGGAAACCGGGGGATCATCGAGGAGAACATTCGATATACAAGTGTGGGGGATCATCGCAGGATTAAGCGAAATGAACAAAAGTGAAGGAGGCTGGTTTAACTTCCATGGAAATTTCTGCGTCATGTCTGGATGTTACTAGAGGTATTTCCCAGGCCTATCACCTCCTCGCTTGCGACTTCTCCTGGCAGAAGTGTCTGTTGGTTCAACTGCAAAAAACCTTTCAAGGGCCGCAGTGCCGGCGCGCCCACTTCCGTTAACCCGGATTCACTGCACACACTCGCCATAAATGGCACATTCTCCGGATGAGTCTTTGGTGAAGGATAGCGGTTTTCCGTTTTGTGATAGGTCCCAGCATGTCGGTACCTGTACCGTGGGCCACAAGAGGCTAGAGGTAGGAGACTCTTGTCCATACAAAAGACAGCTTAAGTAGACCACACAGATGCTTCTGGCGATTTCCCACAACACCACATCACTTGTTTTATCTATCTGCATTTTGACATGCCTATGTCTTCCGGAAAGTTTATGAAAGGAGCTTTCTCTCCCCTCAATATCATCTATCTATTCTCCGAGCGAAAATGGCTCTGGTACTCATTTCTATGTGGTAAGTAATTGGTCCAACGCTTGAATAGTACTTTCTCTGCACACTTCCTGGCTACAGCTTTCGCAGGGCCTGGGGTCGCTACGAATCCGTCATCGAGGCTGGCTACGAGAAGTATTATAAACCCTTGCCTCTGCCAGACAATCCTCAATACAATTCTCAAGATGTCAGCATTGTGGTTGCTACAATAGATACTCCAGAGACTTTGTCTGAGGCTCTCTGTCAGTGGCGAGACAACGACCCATATGAGATCATAGTTGTCACAATCGAGCGTGATCTTCTCCATGTTCAGAATCTCGTGGCACAAGTTCCAATGGCTGGTGAGATCACTCGAATTATCACTTGCAATACCGCAAACAAAAGAGAACAACTTGCGAGAGGGATCAGAATGGCAACAGGGAATGTCATCGCCCTCGTTGACGATGATGTTTTTTGGCCTAGCACTAAAGTTCTGCCGTATCTACTGGCCGGTCTGGAGGACCCGGAGGTGGGAGCAACTCAAGGCAAGCAAAGGTAAGCGCAAGAAAATACTTGGCTGGCTGATTAGGTCATTTACATTAATTTCAATTTACTTAGCGCCTACATTCCAGAATATAGACGAAAGGGCAGCGAAATTACTCCCTGGGAGGTGGCTGCCATTCGTTGCTTGGAGGTCCAGAATCGAGTGCAAGCAGTGCGATTCGCAGCGGATGAAGGCTGTTTCTGCCTTATAGGCCGAACGATGTTGTTGCGCTCACACATTCTTAAAGATGAGAAGTTCCTCTGCGCAATGTGCAATGACTACTGGGCAGGCAACAAACTCAGCACAGGGGATGATTGCTTTATCTCTCGCTGGCTGATGGACAAGGGCTGGAAGTTTTGTATTCAAAATGCTGCGGAGGCAGAGATTCTGACTTTGATTCCCACTGACAGCAAATTGTTGTTGCAGAATTTGCGTTGGAAGAGAAGCTCATTCCAGTCTTGTTTGACGATCTTGTTCGATTCGCCTGGTTTCTGGCGGTTTGTTCGGTAAGTATGGTTGCGGCCTTTCCTCGTGACTCGTTTAATTGTTCAATGATGAGATGGACAGATGTCTAGACTGATTGCGTCTTACATTCCACTTTCTAGAACATACCCTTACACAGGCCGAAAGCTTGTTGAGCGCCTCTTGAACCCTATCATCACCTGGATTCACATTTGGGCGTGGGTTGAAACCTTCCAGACCTCTCCCATCATGGGCAGCATTGTATTGCTCTGGTACGTTTGGGGATGGGTCAAAGGGTATGGGGCCTTTGTCCAAAGGTTTCCCTTCTGTGGAAGGAAGATATGGGCTGCGCTTCTCTTCGACCACTGCTACCCTATTTTCGACATATATGGTTGGTGGACGCTGAACACTGAGAGGTGGCTGACCCGACAAGGCTCTGATTGATGCGAATCATAACGAGTTACAAGGACGTATGATATCATACTTCGTCCAAGCTAATGAGTGTTTATTTGGGACACTTCCATTGCGTCTGAACTGCGCTACTCGGACAAAGAGCAACTTTGTTGATCACCACATGGAACCCTTGTCGCTCGTCCTTCAATGTTCTTGCCCGATGTACCTTGCATACTGTATCTGTGTCCTAGAATGATAGTTACTTGCCGTGAGTCACGAGTCATACCGGGCCCAGGGATCGATGTATCTGGCTGGATAATCTACTGGTGGGGTCGGGCCGGTCTCGTGAGGTGAGGAGGAGCCCCTGAAAATGACAATGGAAGCCAGAATCACTATGTCAGTCATCCGCTATAGGCCCACAATAGATAACGACAGACTACGACCTAGCTCGTTTGCAGGGTGAGGACTAAAAATCCGCAAGAACATGTTAGGCTATCCCGTAAGTTCCTGGTGGAGGCATGACTCGCCCGTGGAATTTTGATCACATATGTACTTTTGGGTGCCGGATCCCCAGAGTTGACAATTCCTGTTTGCGATTTCGTTCAGAAAACTTCAGTCATCCTTGCATCTAGACTCCTTTACGTGTAAGCAAGAAAATCATGGTCGCGGACTCTACCAATATGGCTACGCCCGACTATGCGGATACTCAGACAGGAGGAGGGAAGAGAAACGTCAAGACAACCGTCCTGTATTTTAGCGGTGATCCTAAAGTACAGTTAGAACCAACGGTTATCGGAGGGTAAACTATCTCACCCCAGGGGACAGCGTTCACAGCTGATGAATGAAATGATCCAGGCCCAAACCACCGAACTTGACACCCAAGATCAGCTCTCCAGTTTCAATAACAGATGTCACTGGAGAGGAGAACAAATACTCTCTTGAGGTTCAAGGGTTTCAGTTCATCAAGCACAAGTCCCAGTTTGAGAAAGACCTTCCTGGACTCAAGAGCCGTTACAAAGCATCAGAAAGCCTAGACGATACCACAGCGGGTTACTATTCAGAGATGAAAGAGATACTGGCAGAAACATTGGCAAAGAACAAGAATTAGTAAGTTCGCATGTCTGCCATAACGAACCCTTTGAAATGACACTAAGACCAAGGCAGTCCGAAACCCTCCAGCATACACATATTGACTCACATCATCCGGGCCGGGCCAAAGGATGGCGAAGGCGACCGAGGCCCAGCGGGGCCTCTCTATGGCGTCCATGTAGATCAATCCGCCTGGGCTGCGGAAGGAGTGGCGGAAAGATGGCTTGGAGACCAGGCAACGGAGCTCTTGAAAAAGCCGCGCTTTCAAATCATCAACGTAAGTTCTCAGATGTGACGCGTTTACGAAGCATCAGTTATCCTGACATCTCATGACAAGATGTGGCGACCTTGCAAGCCGATTACCCGAGACCCATTTGCTGTCTCAGACGCCACGTCGATTCCGGACGAGCACATTATCAAGGTGCCACTCATTTTCCCCGACCACACGGCTGAGGCGCTAGAAGTGATTCCCGCTCCGGATCCTCAGAAGCCGCATCGTTACTACTACAAGTTCAATCAGCAACCGGATGACCTGTTGTTCTTCATTCAGGTCGATTCAAGCAAACAGCCGAACGTGCCAAGGCGTTGCCCTCACGTTGCGTTCAAGGATCCGAACCTGGACGAGTCCAAGGGTGAACCGAGGATTAGCATTGAGACGAGAGCAATGGTGTTCTATGACCAAGATGAAGCATGATGGAAGTACGTGTTCGCGGATATCGAGTTAATAGACGCAATCATGTATTCAAAGAAACATCAAGCTTGAAGTGACTCGTGGAGTGCATTATTCTAGTGTTCCTGCTAGGTACTGTGTCTACCACAAGCAGCTAGTTCAAGGTCACTTAAGCGCTTCGAATAAGTGGCTCTCATTTATTCCGGTAAGCACACGCAACCTTTCAAAACCATTGATTTACAGGTGACATTCATTACAATACCCCGCCTTCGTCTCCACCTCCTCCCAGTGCCTAGCAACTCGGCAATGTCCTCGCTGCTATGTTGCTTTCTCTGTCGTTGAGAACAGACAAGTGTAACAACCAAAACTTCGTGTAACAATCGATATTTCAACCACTTGTAAAAGTACAAGACTCAGAAAAAGACCTAAAGCCCCTTTAAAACATGTCTGTCGACAACGCCCAGTATGAGAAGGTGGTGACGACTTACGACAGTATATTACAGACTGCGGTACGCCGATGTGACACAGCAAATTTGCTCCATACGCTTGGTTCCGTTGAAGGCAAGAGAATTCTTGATCTCGCAACCGGCACTGGCTTTTTCGCGCGCACTCTGTCGAAATTGGGTGCCAAGCACGTCAATGGAGTCGATGTCAGCCAGAGCATGTTAGAAGCAGCTCGCAAGGTGACAGAAGATGACCCGCAAATTCCGGAGGGCGTGGTGGAGTATGAATTGGGAGACGTTTTCAAGCCTCTTACTCTCCTCAACTACACTGAGGCAAGCTGCGACTTAGTGACGGGCGCATGGTGCCTGAACTACGCCGGGGACCAGGCCATGATGGATCAAGCCTTACAGAACATTGCGAAGTACCTAAGGCCGGGAGGAAGATTCGTGGGCGTCATCCCGAATGATAATATGCCGTGGCTCCATGAGGATGAGAATTACTACGGTTTCTCATACAAGAAAATCGACTCGGTCAAAGACGGGAAAGTCTGCAAGCTCACACTGCACGCCAAGGAGCAACCGGTCTCTTTCAATGCATACATGTTGAACCATTGTGTTTTTGAAACCGCCGCGAAGTCTGCCGGACTGGCCGACATCACGTTGGCGAATCCTACGGTAAAGCCGAAATTTGAGGGGGCTGAAGACGAAGATTACTGGGACAGCTTCCTGGCTCGTCCCTTATTCACGATCATGACGGCGGCAAAGCCTGAGCCGGAGTAAGCCCATGAGCTACTGATAGGTATCGGAATATGTATATTCTTACGAGCTTTTACATCAAAGTCAAGTTCGAGACATCTGCTCATTATTCGTGATACTATTACAGGTATGCAACAGGATCTGATATCCAAGTCACATATCATCAATTATGACAGTCTGTTCTGTTGCAGACCAACAGTGTCTAGTGTCGATAATATGAACCATATTCGGGGTCTCCACTCAAATCCCTCAGCCCCTCTGGTTTACCTCCTCCTGCTGTGGTGATACCAGAGAAGCCGACCACCTGGGGGCTTCGTTGGGGTCCAGCCCTGAAAAACCGAGAAGTCTCCTGCCCCGGTCCATATGACATATCTGGATCTGGTCTGCTGCCAAATGTGTCTTGACGCCTTAGGTCGTATATAGTCTCTCGTCCAGCCATATCGAAGGTCTTTGGACGTGTTGTTTCGTACATGTTGTCAAGATCTTGAAGCATACGGTCATCGCTGATGCCCTGCAACATGTCTTTCCGGTACCGTCGTCTGCGTTGCCACATGTATACCGCCCAAATAGCCACGGCCAGCGCGCCCAATCCACCAGCTACAGAAACACCGACCATCGCAGCTACTGGAAAGCTAGCGCCTTGACCCTTGGAACCTTCTGGCTGGTCGGCGCCAGCCTCTTCGGTCGCGTTACTGTCAGCACCACTTTGTGCAGCTGTCTCTGTCGGCAGGGGCGCTGGGACGAGGCTGGCTGAACTGCTGGCTGTCTCGAGATTACCAGTCGGCGAGTTGCCAGCACTTATAGTCTGAGTTCCAGAAAGACTTGGGGTGTTCGTGGCTGAAGATAGCGATGAGCCCGTTTCTATGGGCTGCGACGATGTCGAAGAGGTCTGTGGAGCTGGAATAAAAGCTGAAAGATCGTCGCTACGCCAGTTCATCTGGAACATGGGCGCGAATAGTGTCACGGCTGTGACAGTTGCTCTTGGAAAGACTGCGGGCTCGTCGGCATTGTTCGCAACTCCACAGCCGGTTGTTGGTACCGCCAGCGAGGTTGTGGTTTGGACACAAGTCTGGCCTCCGACATTGTCGCAAGAATAACCACTGACAATATTTAGCTTCCGGTAATCAACTAGAACTTGTTCTCAACCGTCCCTCAGACAGATGAGTTTAACGTAGCCTTTGAGATCGGGATTCATATTCGAATCACCTACCTTAGACAGCAGCCCACAGCAGTCTCCCCCGCAGTCAAACTGTATTGCACCGGCCAGTCACTCTTCCCGAACAAGCCTGCTGTTGCCGAGCATGCGCTGGTATGGCCGGCAGGACACACTATGCCAGGAGAATAGAAACCCCATCCAGGGGAAGCCGTTGAAGGGCCGGAAACACCGCCGCCTGTTGCAGGCCAGCAGGAAGTATCAACAGCGCCAACCTCTGATCCACAAACCTCCCCCAGACGGCCAAGCAAGCTCTGTCCACTGGCTACAGCTATAGCTGTCGCGCATTCTGGCGGCTGCGTGAAAGTTGCGGTCAGAGGGCCCAGATTTGTGCGTTCCTGGCCAGTAACGGGCCCTGGAGTTGACGCACCGCCCAAAAGGCTACCGATAGCGGGAATGATACCAAGGGACATTGTATGAAATAATAAGCACGATATCGGGTACCATCAAAATAGGTGGAAATGCACTGCAATCCATTCAACAAGACATGAGAAATACCAGCTCAAACTTTCAAATGTCAAATTCGAGAACGTCGAAGTTCATAATGGGGAGAGAGCATGGGCAAGAGAAAAGAGGCAATCAGGAAACTCCCCCTCCCCCATCTTGTCCTCTTTCCTCACCTTTGCAACGTCGGGAGGAAGCACAAGCCCCTGATCTCGCCAATGCGCCGATCACAGGCATTGTTCTTGAGTGACGTCGTGGTTTGTTCCACCCGTCAATTGTCACCATGATCTGTTTCAAACCGAATCACAGAGTTCTTCTTTCGGCTGTGCAATAAGCAGAGATCGACGGGATTGACAGTGTCGATCAGCAACCAGCCGACTGGTTTCTTAGCGTGATTGGCTCGCTCTGGGGAAGCATCTTAGCCCCTGAAAATCCCAGTCACATCGTCTTTGGATTTTAAGTGTCAGATTCGAAATTGGCTTTCTGTGGTCAAACAATGCTCTGTTTCGATCACAATCAGGCGCTCGGCTACGAAGGCGCAGCACCCTCGACTTCTCTCAACTGTGACAAGGAAGACCAGCAACAGATTCACGGCTGACTCATGGATGACTCTTCTTGCGATAGCTACACCTCCTCGGCTGATGTATGCTTCTGGTGTGCAGTTTTCTACATTCGACTTAGGCTAGGGTCAGCAAAATCAATCACGCCAAGTTGATTAATTTTGAGATGGTTAATATCGAAAGCTACCGTGCGTGCACTGTTGCTGCTTTTGATTTCAAGATTGATTGCACATAAACATCGCGCGAACATATCACAAACGTTAATTGCATCGCCTGCCATGAAAATGACTAAGCGTAGGTAATGCTTGATCATAATACAGACTCTAAGGTTGAGTTATTATTCTCGTGGTCATCTGGGGCTATCGAGTCTACTTGTCCACCGTTCTTTTCCGTCCCCTTTCTCATGCAAGCGAACGAGAAACGAGACAGTAAAAGGGCATAGGTTTTGAAGATGGACAGAGACAGTACGCCCTCGAACTCTTCAGTGAAAACAATGATCTAATCAGGTCAACACATTACTTCACGCTCCTACAGACGACTATTTCTTAGCTGCTTTTTGGAATCCTGTCATCTCGGCTGGCCTTAGGAATCGCTATATTGGATACGTGACCGCAAAATATTGGGGTAGTGAGGGGGAGGGGCTTGTGGTGTAACATTAAGCAGGTAGTCTGGTCATGTTGCTTCGCTTGCGAAAGTTACCATCCATGCTTGCTTGAGCACGCAAATCAATGAAAATGATCTGGAGAACCCCGCGCAGTCTGACCTGTCATCAAGACACTGCTTATAATCGAGTTTTGGAGAAGCTCAGGCTACTTGACGCGGGGCCCGGGTACAGCAAAGGAGGAGATCGACTGTGCGGTGCAACCTGAGTTGCATAAGACCGGTGACCGGCGTTGGACATCACGAACTGGGGGAAGCTAGTTCATGAGCGGCATTGCTTGCCCTCATCTTAATGGATGAGGTGCGGGGAAGTGCAGGTCGTATTGGAAGATATTGTACCGTCACTATTCCAGATTGAAAACGCTCATACACCGGGTCGATGTGACTTGGTCATGGTGGAAGTGCAAAGCTTTTTGCTCGCAGTGCAAGAAATCTGAGCACATCGACACGAAAGCAGATACCGCCACTTCACCAGCTCTACTGCGAAAAGCGATACACATAATATGCGGTGGATTCTAATCAAGTACTTTCATTGCCTGACGGTTGCCCTGCTGTCAAGGCATACTTTGGCGCAAGTAGACTATTCACGATTCGTAAACCCGCTCATTGGGGGCAGTGGACCATTCGAGGGACAAGCATGTAAGTTACGTGTTTTAAAATCCCGCTGAAACCTCACTTACTTCTCTCCGAACATTCAAGATGGCGGGGGAGATATCTTTGTCGGTGCCGCTGTCCCCTTTGGCGTTGTCAAGGTCGGCATCGACACTTGGGAGGGCTTTGGCAAGGATTCCGTCACCAATGGAGGTTGGACGCCCAACGGAAATGTGACGGCGATCACGATGCTTCACGAAAGTGGGACCGGGGGAGCCCCAAAGTACGGGATTATTCCCCAGATGCCCTTAACAAAAGTCGATTCTCCTGTCAATGTGCTCGATAATCGGACTTACTTCCAACGCCGTGTGGTGGATGACACCGCTCGCGTAGGATACTACAGTACAGAGCTGTTGAACGGGGTCAAAATAGAGCTCGCTGCCTCCAGACATGCCGGTTTTATGCAGTACTCTTTCCCTGAGGGCGAAAAACACATTTTGGTTGATCTATCTCACTATCTTCCAAGTGAGTCCGGAGGTTATACCAGTCAGGTGTATCTTGCTGGCAACATAGACATCTCAGGAGCTGAGTATCATGGTTCTGCGACATACGGTGCAGGTTGGAATGAAGGGGCTCCATATACTGTCTACTTCTGTGGTTCCTTTGAGTCGCCTCCTGCTCAAATAAACACTTTCAGGGGAAGGAATACAGATCCGATGATCAGGTACTGTCGATCTTGCAGAGAGCAACGAGCCGGATCCGTTAGCTTACTTGCACCTGCTAACAGTTCTTTTGCGTTAGATATCACACATTCAGTGACCAGGCGATTCCTCAAGCAGTATTCAGTAACAGCACCGCGCAATACTCCGCTTCGAATGGGGGCTCTGATTACCTAGGCGCGGTTAATGACCGAGTCGGCGCAATTTTCACCTTCGAAGACGGAGCAGCCGCAACAGTCAAATCCCGCGTCGGGGTCTCTTTCATCTCGACTGCCCAAGCCTGTAATTACAGGGACGATGAGATCCCGACCTGGTCTCTGAATGACACCGTTGACGCAACAGTGAAGGAGTGGAATGAAGATGTTTTTAGCAGAATCCGAGTCGCCACAGATGAAGAAACGTCGAACATCACCAACATACGGCTTTTATACTCATCCCTATACTTCATGCACCTGATGCCTAGTGATAGGACAGGCGAAAACCCGTTGTGGCAGTCTGACGAGCCGTATTGGGATGACTTTTATACCATGTGGGACATCTTCCGATGCACAGTCAGCCTGTATCATTTAATCCAGCCCGCAAGATATCTCAGCATGATCCGTGCATTGATTGATATCTGGCGATTTGAGGGCTTCCTGCCAGATGGGAGGTCCGGAAACTACAACGGCTTGACACAGGGTGGGAGCAACGCCGACAATGTGCTCGCGGATGCGTACGTCAAGGGCCTAGGGAGAAATAGCGATGACCCTTCAATGATAATCAACTGGACGGCGGGTTACCAAGCTATGCTGAAAGACGCAGAAGTTCAGCCGTACAACACATTCAGCCCTTTGGATCAGACTGGCAGCGTCAAAGAGGGCCGCGGGTCGCTTTACGACTGGATCCCTTTGGGCTACGTTTCAAGCAACAGCTCGAGATCCATTTCGAAGACTGTTGAGTACGCGCTGAATGACTTTGCGCTAAGTGTCGTGGCTGGTGGCGAGGGCACGGAAGCTGACGTCGACAAATATCTCAATCGCTCGGCGGGATGGCAGAACCTTTGGAATAATGATATCGTCCATGCCGGTTTCACGGGATTCATGGCCCCAAAAGATGATCAAGGTAACTGGATGTCTCCTGAGACCTACAATCCAGCAGTTTGCGGTGGTTGCGAGTGGAACGCTATCAGTTACGAGGCCACTCCATTTGAGTACAGCTTCGTAGTACCACATGACATGCAGTCGCTCATTGAATCTATGGGCGGTGAGGCAGAGTTTGAGCGGAGACTCGATTATATCGTAAGTTTGTGTTTGCTTTCCTTATCTCTGCCGGGACGTTACGCAAATTCTTGCATTTTTCTGACGTTGTCTTGTAGTTCATGCCGAACACCTCAGAACAGAACCTAAATGAAAATGGCGCTGGAATAACGACTATTATGAATATTGGGTACGTACTGAGGACTGTTAGTTCATACATCATAAGTAACAAAGTGACAGCAATGAGCCTGATTTTGCAACGCCATACCTCTACAATTATTTGAACAAGCAGCACAAATCAGTTAATCAGACCCGTGCCCTGGCAAACCAATTCTTTCACGACGCCCTCTACGGAGTGCCGGGAAACTCAGACGCAGGTGCTCTCAACTCATGGCTTATTTGGCAAATGATGGGGCTCTATCCTATCGTGACCCAGCCTGTATACCTGTTAGAGTCTCCGTGGTTCTCTGACATCAACTTGACAATCAATGGAAATAAGACACTCCGGATCACTAGTAATGGCGACAATATTTCGCTTGGGCAGAACGCATATTTCGTTGAGTCCGTGAAGATCAATGGCGAGGAGTGGGAGAAAAATTGGTTCAATCATGAAGATATCATGATCGAAGGAGGTACGATCGAGTTCACTGTTGGAAGTAATGGGGAGGCTTGGGAGACTGGGGATCTGCCTCCAAGTCCAGGACACAGAATTGTGAATTCCAGCTGAGTATCCATGGCACCTCAACGGGTGCACATACGCCACTTCAAATTCCCTGCCAGCTATTCGTCAACCTACTGCATCACTTTATTTGTACGAACGCCGCTCAGGCTTGGCCTTCCGGCGGATTCTTTTCGCTGACCAAATTCTCGGCTATTTCCAATCCCAGTTCTCCACGAAGATATCCATATAGCCGTTAGAGAGGTCCTTGTGAAGATCCTACCATTTTACCCGATCAAATCCGCAGTGATTGGTCACTTTATTTACAGGAACTTCCTAGCCAAATGTTCTGTGAATGATCATCAGACATTGGAGATCCAGCCTGCACAAATAAGTGCAAAGTGGCTCGTGTCGCTTCGCATCTTTTCTTGAAAGCATCACCGCGGTAGAGAGTCACCTCGTTTTCTCCTTGACAGGAAATACTGTAGTATGCAGGAGTGAGAGCACAATGTGCATACAATACCTAACAAGAGAAAAGAGTGCGAGCTTCATGGAATCTAGAGTGTCATGATGGTGGGTGGGGAGCAGCAATGCGAGAGGAAAAATAGGCGTCGATTGCCCGGATGATCAATGGACCACAGGCGGTCTTTGAACCTGGCAGTTTGCTTCAACTCATGCATGCAGTGCTATTTTGCGATCGGGACTCGGTGGCAAATGACCAAGCATTTCTGGGCATCTGTCAGACAGTAGTACAATTCACCATTCCACCCGCCAGGCCTACGACTGGTCACTGAGACAAGCGATGATTGCTGACAGCATTGAGCACGGATTCTGTCGCATGATTTACGATTATTCTGCAGTACTAGCTCCATGCAGCTAAGATATGCGAGTTCGGATGCGTAGACCGAAGAAGAAAAAGTCGAGGCAAATCTGAAGGTATTCTACCACGGAGGAAAGGTTGTGCGAACTTGCGTCTTACTGCTTGGAACAGAAATTGAAACAGTCGTTGAGGCTGGTTAAAGTTATTGAATTTTCCTGGAGTATTTCACATTACTATCATCTCGAAGATGACTGATAGGAAGATGATCGTTTGGCATTCGTAGTTGCAAGCTGCAACATCCTTCTGAGATGAAACCATTAAGTGCTGCTTTGCTACAGCTTACGCACACGCGCTATAGCCTCGGCTCGATAAAAACGCCCCTACTCAATTTGATTAAACTCTCCGAGACTTCAACACCTTCAGAATAACATCGATGACTTGTTCAGGCACACTCATGAACGCATTGTGTCCTCCGCTGCACCGGTACGCCCGGACATCAACACCCTCACTTCTCAGCCTCGCAATGCTCATCTCCTGGAACTCGGGAAGCATGGCAGTGTCCCCTTCGCAAACCAAGTAGCTCGTCGGAATCACCCTGAAAGCCGCCTTGCCGCCTGCACAGTCCATAGGCGTGAACATGGCTTCTACCTGGTGTTCCACGAGCATCCCCACAGCCTTCTTGGCTTCCTCGTCAGGCAGGTCGTTGAAAAAGTAGTACTCCGGGTTGTCGATTTTCAATGTGCCGTCCGCCTGGGCATGGAACATTGGAGGGAGAACGCCGCCAAACATGCTCACCATGGATTGCCCTTCATTCGGGGGGCAAGTGGTCACGTAAAGGATATCCACGACACCTCCCTTCTTCGTGTCACCGGTCACTGGGAACGCAAACTCGCCCACGGCTGCAGTCGACACGGTGCCTCCGTAGGAGTGGGCGACAACGGTGAGCCTGGTGCCCTTAGCGACCTCGGCTGCCGTGATGTCCCGAATAAAGTCGACATCGTCCTGGAAAGACTTGTTGGGAGGCACCACATTATTGTTTGTTGGGAGGGTGGGGCATATAGTCCGAATCCCTCTTGATTCGAGTCCGTTGATCAGTTTGCGATAGTGGCTTGGGATGTGCCATGCGCCGGTGACCAAAAGCACGGCCTCATTTGTGCGTTTGCGATCCATTTTGAGTGAAGAAAGGTGGAGAGAACATGGAGGATGTTAAGCTTTCCAATTGAGTCAATGTCTTGTTGCTCTTTAATGGTTTCCCAAAGTCATACGGTCTGGTAGACCCCCAGGGGTTCAAAGTTTTCTGCAACTGTTGGACAACCCCGCCTACACCCCCTGCGCATAGATGGAGTGATACACGGCAGAATGCTGGGATTATGATTGGGAGGTGGGAGTGATTCATGTGGAAATCTGCTTTGCAACGGTAATCACTGGCTGTTGAGATCCTGTCTCGATTGCCGACATGAATGGCCCAGTGATACGTGTAGACCCGCAAGGGCCTTTCCTGCATGTGCAAGACAAAGTGATAAGTGACACTGACAGAACCAACGCTTGGACTGCTGTACAGTAGTCTGAACTAGCTGATGCAGGTGCGGCCCGCGATACTACCTAAGAGGAAGTGCTCCAGAAGTATTTGTGCTCGGAACGCACTGGGCCGTGACATACAGATACGAATGTTGGTGCCATGCAGCCCTTTGATCTTGGCAGGTCCTGCGTCAAACGGCCAACATTTGTCAACATTGGGATCAACATTTTAGAAACAGACCAACATTAAAAGGAACCAATTTGGAGGCGGATCATGATCGTAAGCAGGGCATTGGATTGAAATTGAGATTTGACCATGAACAATTGTATTGAGAAGTCGCTATTGTCTGTATCTGGGTCTCCCACTGAGTGATAATCAGCGCTTCTTCGTACTTTCGACCATTTTGTATTATCAATCTCTCCCTTCCTCTCGACATGCAGATCCAGAGAAATGTACGCGTGTACGTCTTCCTGCCACTTCAAGCGCCCAAGCTATCCATAGAGTTTTGGTTCAATTAAACGAGACGTGTCAAGTCCTGATGTGGGATTAGATTTATGTTACTAGCCAAGCAAAGGAACTAGACAGTATGATGCAAACGAGCGGGAACTTTACCCGGACTGTTGAAAGTGTCAGTACATCTTTTCCAGTGCTGTGGGGCTCGGGAAGACTTGCCTTTGAAGCCATAACTTATGGATGTGTTCGGAGGATTGGACATGGTCGATGAAGTGGATGTGTTGGGTGGATTGCCTGGGGCACCCGAGGCACTCGGGCTTGCACAAGCAGGCCCAGTTGGCACCTGGGCAGCAGGGTCGTTTATGGAAACATCAGGCCCTGGGTTAGGATATTTGGTATCAACTCCCTCCGTGTTCTTGCAGCCGTTGATGTTGGCAACGAATAGACCAGGCCTATCGAGGAAAGAGGTCGATTGTGTTCTATGCTGCCCACTTGAGATGGTAACAACAGCACAATTCATGTACATTTCCCTATTTCCTATCTTGTTGAACCAAGTCCAGGCAAAGACAGCCTGCTCGGAGGAGGGTGTGTCAGAGGGGAGCGTGAAAGAAAAGGAGCTTGAAGCTGCGCCGCTGACTGGGCAGCCACCCTCCCAAGAATGGACCACATGGAAAGTGGCTCCACCATCTGTCGATATGGCGGCCTGACAGGAGCCTCCATCGTGTGTGGATCCGCCCTCAAGTGTCAAGCTGCAGGTTTGTCCAGCCGTCCAATTAGCAACAGGGGTCGCCTCGGAGGTTCCTAAGAGCTTAAGGCTGCCTTTACACGGGTAATCGGACCCGTCATCCTTTAGAGGATTCGTGAGAGAATAATCAACATCATTTCCGGCATACGGATTGCCTTTATATCGAAGCGCTGGGGGGTAAGCGAGGAGCATGTGGGAAAGAGCCCCACCTAAGAGGTACGTGATCGAAAAGAATAGTCTCATTGTGAAGTTTTCGGGTGCAAAAATCGGTGTGTTCAAATGTCATGATTTGAAAAGAATGGAGTTTGCTTCTGTACCTGTGGAGGAATGAAGTACGGGAACTGGGATGTGAAATAGTCCACCGTTGAGACTGACTGGTGAGATTTGAAGGTAATACAATCACCACCAGGGATAGTGACAAACCAAAGCCAACACTTGGAAAGCAAGTATCTGTCACTTCCACTCACTCAAGGCCCCTTTCATGAGTTTGAACAATCACGTTAAAATGTGCCGCTACCTGTCATACGACGTCGGGAGACACCCGTCTTAGTATCACTTGTTGCCCTGAGGACGGACGAAGGGTTGTCTTTTCGCTGCAAGTATATCCAGATCCAGGAAACCGATCAGTGCGACGTGATTCAACCTAGATTAGGTCCAAGAAAGGGTCAGATACTGTCTGACGGAACAAAACATTGCGGCCATGCTACAGAGACCGTCCACATGTGCTGACCCCGAAGTAATTAACGTGGGCCACCCAGGACAAATGACTTGTAGAACAAGTAATAAATCAACATTAACCCGTTGGCCACAGTTTAAGGCTCCTCATATGACGGCCCCAGAGACTGGTTTGCAATGACTGGCGAGATGGGCATGTGGCTGCCACTCAGTGGCAGGGACGGCTTCAACGAGACGCACAAAAGCACCCAGCCGAGCTCATAACTCCGTGATGGGATAGAATAATGAAAAGTTCAGAGCTCGTTAATGATGAGAGGACTGAAAACTGAATATTGTTGGGTTCACTGGCGGTAGACAGGAAAAGTTGAGCTGGAACGGCACAACTCCATAGCTGGACCGCGAACACCACATCCTTCACAAGTGCTGTGCCAAACTTGAATTGAAGAGGAAATCTACTGTCAGCTGGAAAACACATGTGCATGAATGAGCTTCATAGAGAGGCATCATGAGACGCGAAGATCACACAAATAATCACCTTAGAGGTCACGATGTTGTTCAAAGCCATTATAAAGAGTGACCAGAGCAAAAAAGAATTGAGGGGTTACGTACGTACCTAGGTGAGGAGCTCAGACTGAGGACCTACCCCACCGGCCTCCCTCGCCTGCGCCACACGAAGTACATGTCACTTGTATCTTTGACCTGGCTTGGCTCAACTTCGCTGCTGTGATCTTTCGGCGCACGGACCTCTTTTACTAGCGCCACACAAGCTGCGCCACAATGGACTCCAACAGCCGCCTGGAGTTCCCAACGCTGGTGGAGGGCGTAAACCCTCTCACCAGCCGACTGCACCAGGAGGAGGAGCAGCAACAACAACAAAAAACATCTTCGCCCTCGCCCTCATCCTCGTCCTCATCCTCGACCCTTGCGCCCTCCGTCGCCTCCTCGGAGGCAATCTTCCCTTTCGAAATGGACGCGCCCGCCCCCGCCGAGATGGGCTCGGCCGTTGCTCCCGCTGTCGCCGCGGGCTCCTCGCTCTCTGCTCCCTCGGAGCAGCTTAAGAAGGCGAAGAAGAGGAAGGTCTTGCTGATGGGCAAGAGCGGCTCTGGCAAGAGCAGTATGAGAAGTATAATCTTCTCAAACTACCTTGCCGTCGACACCAGGCGCCTGTAAGCACTCAATGCATTCTTACTGCAATTTGACTTAGTTCTCACTACACCCTCACTTCTTGATCATTGTCTTCAGTTGTCGTCACTTGTACACACATCCATCACCATATTTCTTGCGCGATTTCTTCTTTTCGATCTGGATCATAGTTTATTTCGCGCTGCTGTCAAGATCGGATGCGGCGCCTCTCACTCGTGACGGAAACACTGCTAACCAAATGATTACCGCAGCGGCGCGACGATCGACGTCGATCTGTCGCACGTCAAGTTCCTCGGAAACCTGACGCTGAACCTGTGGGACTGCGGAGGCCAGGAGGCCTTCATGGAGAACTACATCAACCAGCAGCGCGCACACGTCTTCAGCCATGTCGGCGTGCTCATCTACGTCTTCGACATCGAGAGTCGCGACGTCGATCGGGATCTCGCTACTTACGTGTCCATCGTCTCCGCCCTCGCCCAGTACTCTCCCGCCGCAAAGGTCTTCGTCCTGGTCCACAAGATGGACCTCATCATGCCGAACATGAAGGAGTCGGTCTTCAACGAGCGCGTTCGGCTCGTCCGCAACAAGACCACTGAGGCCCTGCAGAACATCGCCGGTCTGGTTGGTCCCGCTAGAGTCGACATTCAGCCATTTGCGACGTCCATCTGGGACCAGTCTCTCTACAAGGCCTGGTCCTCCATCATCCACGACCTCATCCCCAACCTCGCTGTCATCGAGAAGGAGCTAGGCGCCCTTGGCCAGGCCATCGAGGCCGAGGAGATCTTCCTGTACGAGCGTACTTCCTTCCTTGTCGTCTCAACCTGGAAATCAGAGGAGGCGCAGCGCAACCCGCACAAGGACCGTGAGGAGCGCCTGTCCAATGTCATGAAGACCTTCAAGAACAGACTCGCTGGCTGGAGCGGCACCTCGCGCAACTCGGACCAGTTCAAGGAGTTCCAGCTTAACCTTGGCACGCTCTTCAGCTTCGTCATCATGACCTTCACAACCAACACCTACATCCAGCTGGTCCTGCCGCCGGGCGAGGCACGCCTCAACGCCGCGAAGCTAAACACACGCATTGCAGCGTCGCATTTCGAGCGGCTCGACGCGCCTCCCGCAAAGGATGCTAAGGGCTCCGGCGCCGGTTCTGCTAAGGGCAGCGACTCTAAGGGACTCTCTGCGACCATGAGCGGGCTGGACATCAGCGGCGACGAGCAGGGACACGCTCAAGGTGACGGCGACTTTCATGCGCAGCCTGGCGGCCCATCTACTGCCCCTGCTGCCTGAGCAAATTGCCAACCTAATTACATACCTACCTCCTCCATTTTCCAGTCTCTACGATCACTAGGGCTGTACATCACCCACCTTAACTCGTTACGACATGACGATCCTCAATGACCATATTAGATCGAATCGGATCATTTCTTCTCATTGCATGGCGTGGCATTCTCAGTTGGCCGGATTCCTACGATACCCCAGTGTGTGCCTCATTGAGCATCCTACACAAAATCGGCGTTGACGGATTCCCTGTTTCGGTATTGCGCAGTCACCTCCCCCAAAAGCCCATTTCCATCATCAAATGCCACATGCGACGGCGCACTTGACCATGCTGCATCGCGACGGATGGACGAACGATTGGTTATCGCGAGTACCTCCTCGGCTTTCACGGAACTGCATATTCGGTTTTTCCCTTTGTCTCCGCATCACCTCCATAATACTCAAGGCTGAACTACTCACTGGATCGGTCACGGGGACTAGGGGTAGACGGATAGACAGGGCTTGTACTGGTACGGACATTTCAGAGCCCCAAAATCGGGCTCTTGCGTTGCGGACGGACGGATGGACGGGATCAACTTGGGTTCCTAGTCTACAGGTCCAATCAATTAAATCATCCGGTGCTCTTCCTATCCCGAACTCCCTTGAGATGACGGCTTTTTGTGCGTGTTTGTGTGCGTAATGTGACATGTGCCCAGCAGGACTCGATGCAAGACCAGTCTCGATACTGGGGCCGTCCCTGGCCCCAGATCGCAAAAGGCAAAGTTGTGCGCGAGATCAAGACTGCCCCGGTTTATCAATGACCCATAGCCAGGAGCAATAAGCTTTTCAATCGAGATACATCTGCTATCAGGAACGCATTGGAACGACGAGATTTAGAGAGCATGGTACAGCTGTGGTAAGTGACGGTCACTGTAGGCCCTTAATAATCTTCAACGGTATACGCTGTTGCACGCATTATGCAGTCATTTTCACAATGAGCAAATGGAACGCAACAAACGAGAGGGCAGTAAGGTTGTTAAGAAGTCATCCAGTAGTGAGAGATTGTGCTCAAGGCCGGTCCAAGGCAGCGTCTCATCTCACAGTCCTCAGTGTCTATTAGACAGTCTATGGAGCCCTACTCAAGTTGTCACGCCAGAACGCCGACCTTGCTCCTCATGCTGCCTTTTGCCGCTTTTGCATCTCTCCCCCTCGCCTGCAAAACTAAGCCCACTTGACCACAGCAATGCCACCTCGCTTGAAAGCATCGACATCCTCCAGCTTCTGGCTGTGGTCGGTGTAGTCCTTGCTCGGGAAGGTGGACTGGACGATAAAGGCGCGATCGCGGGTATCGGACGAAGCGCTGCGGGCGAACTGGTAGAGGTCGCCGATCGTGTGGGACAGGTTGAAGCGTGCGGGCAGTCTTGAGCCATCGGGCATCTGAAAACGGATAGCAACAGTGGGCTGGCTGCTGTCGAGGTCTGCAATCGGGGCCGGTCCAGCGGCAGGCTGCGCGCTGCTCGTAGCAGGCGCAGCAGTCGTCTGCGTGGCCACTGGGGCGGTATTGCCGTCACCGGGGACTGGACTTCCGAGCCGACGTCCCTGTCCTCCAAAGGGCTTGTAGATACGCGGGAGCTGGTGCCAGTCCTCCTCGTGCTGCTGGAGGCGAACGTCACATCGCTGGCCATGCTCCACCTCCATCAGGTGAAGGGGCGCACGACCCGTGCGGATCATCTGCAGGTCCATGGCGTGCTCGGGGTCGTCGTAGCGGCGCAGAGGGCCGTCCTCAATAGAGAAGCCATCGCGCCACAAGTGTAGAGTACGAGTCACTACGGGAAGTTCCTCACTAGGGCGGGGAGGAGCACGCGGGCCTGAGGGGTCGGGGATGGTTCGAGATTCTGTGCCCTCGCCGCCAACCGTCGTGCCACTACCTCGGAAGTTGGACGAACGGGACGGGCCGGGGGTTTCCTCTTCACTGGGGGCGCGTTTGGCGTTTCTGTTTGTTTTCTGTCAGTATTCATGTTCGTACTCCAGAGTTCAGAAGGTAAAGGGAAGAGGTAGTGTAGAACGTACGCCTTGGCCTTCGCGAGAATGTCTTTGATAACGTTCTGGGGGTCTGCGGCGTTGCGAGAAGGATCTTGGACAGCGAGGCCGGATTTCTCGCCACCAGCGAACAGATCCCTGGGCCCTCTACGATCAGTCGGGTCGTCCTCCTCTTCGTCATCGTCGTCATCGTCGTGATCGTGACCACTTCCACCACCCAACGAGCTCAGTGTCGCCAGACCCTTCTTCTTGGCGGGCTTCTTTGAGGCGGAACTGGAGGAGGGCAGGGCGGATTGAGGGGCGGGACGGCCATCGAGAGTTCTGGGGCCGCTGTATGCAGGCTCTGGTGCAGGCTGGGAAGAGGGGCCCGCGTCACCAGCGGTCTCGTCATCGTCATCTGCAAAGAAAGAGCCAACGGCCGTGGAAATGTTCCAACTACTGGCCTCGAGGTACTGTGCAGCCTGATTAGAGTAATAGAGTTAGTCTTGATGTGCTTCTTCAGCTTTGCAAACGGCAGTTTATTGCATACCCGGTCGGCACTGGCGCCGGTGAGCTCGCAGAACTGCATGACCAACTCGTCGTGGTCTGCCATGCTTGCGACTGTCGATGGTAGGTAAGGAGGAAGGTTTGGCCTGTTGCTGTCGCGAGGTCGCTGTATCGGAGCGAACAGTGTAGATGCCGCAGCGACTTGTCAAGTGTAGGCTTTTTAAATCAAAGCTTGAGGGCTGTGTATTCACTTGTGCAGATTTGTCTGATGTCTTAGGCTTGTGAAGTTTGGGGTTGAAGATCTGAAATGTACTGCCTACCGGGGGAGGCTGGCTAGATGGTTCAGGAACAGAGGTCCTGCAGGCAGCTGGAGCAATTACGAGCACAACCCCGCGATCGCCCCCCGAACTCTCGCCTGTCCCGGCAGGCACCCCACTATGACGAAGCTACCTTCCTGCCTGGGAGCCTAAGTAGCCCAGGTACCTGGATGGGATAGCTCATGGGGCAGACTTGCGGCACAGCAATAACAACTTTCTCTTTGGCTCAAGAGATCTTTAGGAATGATACAAAAGGTAGCCCATAAGAACCAGTGTTTTATAGATGCAAAATACGTAGTGGTCATGAGAAGAAGCCTACCCTCATCTACACGTGGTAATGTTCTCCATGTTTTATACTTCCTCGTGTGCTGAAGGGAAACAGAGACGCTGTAACTGAGTAATACGCCCAGAGTATCCCAGGTAAGTATGTCAAACATTTTCGAATCATTATACTCATAAAAAAAGAACAAGCTGTCATCACAAATGTTCTCATCCAATCGAGGCAACCAGGAAGATAGAATAGTCTGGATACTAGCGGGTACAGCGGGTTACAAACGACTGGGGGAGCTAGGGCCAGGTCCACGCCGGAGCTCACTGGCTGTCAGCGTCACACCCCCAGACGCCAGAACGCCCAGCTGCCGGCCCGCTACACCAGTCCCATTCCAAGGTCGGCCGACTGAGTGCGTGGAAACACCGACACCGACGACACCGCTTGCCCTCCTGGATTTCAGATCTCAGATCAACCTCGCCCACATCGCACACCAGCAATAGCTGCAGCCTATCTCCGAATCACAATCGTCGCAATAACACCGGTACATTCGACGAGTCTTGCCGACAATCGCATACTCTTGAGAGCCCCCTCGCAATGGCGTCAGACGAGCCCTCGAACCCAATGGCCGAGTCCGGCGTCACCATCCGCTCAGACAGCGAGCAGTACTCAGCAGGCGAGGACATTTCAACGTCACCACCGTCCTCCAACTCTCCTCCTCTCGTCCTGTACCAGCCGCCGACTCTGTTCGGCATCATACGTGGCGCCGCAATCAACCTGTTCCTGCCCTTCATCAACGGGATGATGCTGGGCTTCGGCGAGCTCTTTGCACACGAGGCAGCTTTCAGGTTAGGATGGAGTGGCACAAGGGTATGTTTGGGTCTGAAACTTCTCCATACATTTGAACTGTCTTTACTAACAAAGCGCTCGTTGCCCAGATCTTTCCTCTGTCGAGGCGGCAAACACACCCCGCTGGTCCAGGCATCGAAGTGCGTGACCGACCCAAGACCCAGCCCGACCTGGACGACCTCACCAGCCTGGAGTGACTAGCAGACCAGCAAGACAGCTTCAACTCGACATCTTAGTTGGGGGGGCCGGCGAGCCTCAGAGCCTGCCTTTCGAGCTGGGGGCGACCAGAGGAGAAGTGCTTAGGGCATACAGCAACCACGACATATGGCCTTGGCAGTGGCGGCATGACCTAGATGAAGCGTGTAAAGAAGCAGAGATGTCCATGATATCTACCGTGCGAGATGTGTTTGGAGGATCTCGATTCGTTGTACATACGCTTCGAACTCTCAAGCGTGGCGGAGGATATACCTGGTGTCTTGCGGCGATTGCCTTCGTCCAGCTTTGCATATCCAACAGGCCTAGAGGTCTGCATATAGAGGCGAATGATCAAATCAATCCAAACGAAATAGCAGCCTTGGAGCATTATAAGACCCTAAAGTCGTGGGGGCGATGGTCATATGACGCTTCAAGGAAACCAACAACCACGCGGGAGCAGTGGGCGCACCCTGAAGAATAGGTCCAAGAGAAATTAGTGGATCTTCACCAGTTTTTAGGCACCGCAGCAGAGATGAGTTTTACTGAAGTTTTGAGACATGCCGCAGCGACCTATGTAGACATCTCAGAGGGTGCTCACACTGGAGCTCGATCTCTCTGAACTCGAGAGAGCTATATCACGAAACCTTTCACACGACAACGCATTTTCAACTGCAGACGACAACATGATCGCAGCCGACAGTACGAGAATATGCGTTCAACTCACCCTTATATCATCTGAATTGCTACATGATTTCAGAATTAAAGGTGCCAATGAAGCGTAAGGGTGTTGAATGAGACTAAGCGCTGACATGTACCCCAGCACCCCAGCACTCAGTCAAAGTTAGGAGCTTCCTGTTGCCGGCCGGGAACCCAGCTGTGCCGGCCTGGGGGTCCGACAACTAAAATTTAACGAGCATCATCGGTCGCGATCTCATTGACCTATACATGTTCACCAGAGTTCCGCAGAGCTCCAGCGATAACCATGATTCCTAGTAGGGGTTTCGCGCGGGTCAGCCCGGGCCTGGCATTTCAAAATCAAGTGCGCCTGGCCGTCCAGTCTTCATTCATGACATTACAAACCGAGGGCTGACCTTATATGTGCAGATATTCTCCAGAGCTCCGGGTCGCTCAATACCGCGACGAGCCAGATCGGTCGCAACCACAAGACAGTTTGGGACGAGTCTCAAAGCCAATGGCAGGCCCTTCCATGGCGCATATTCAGCCAGCGTCTCCTCAGGAAGCAGGATAGGAGCCGCCGCCATTCTCTCCTCCTCATCCGTCTTCCTCTCGTCGACCCGACAGGCACGCTTCGCCTCCACCGGCTCTTCTCCTTCACCTGCAGAGTCAGCAGCATCCTTACCGTCGTCCTCCTCGCCAGAGTCCCTCTCTACTCCCTCTGACTTCCCCTCCGACTTCTCCTCGCTCACCGATCTCGACGGCGCGTCTCTTCTCAACACCCCCGAAACGATTGGCTACCTGCACAATCTCGGTCTTGACTATGGCTGGGGCCCGACCGCCTTTAGCCAGTGGTTCGTCGAGCACCTCCATATATGGGGTGGCCTTCCCTGGTGGGCCTCCATCATTGGCTTCGCAGCCATCGTGCGTCTTGTCTTAGCCAAGCCCGCCCTGGTAGCCCAGCAGGAAAGCGTCAAGATGAACAAGATGCGCAAGGACCCTTTGTTCAACTCCCTCCAGGAAAAGTGGATGACGGCGATGGCCGGTGGCGCCGCCTTGCCTCCGGCCGAGATGATGCAGCTGCGCCTACAGATGAGCCTCGTGCGTGAGCAATACGATGTCAAGACCTGGAAAATGTTCCTCCCCATGCTACAAGCGCCCATAGCCTACGGCATGTTCAGGTTGACGACTGGCATGGCTGCGCTACCTGTACCGGGCCTCGACACCGCCGGAATGCTATGGTTCACAGATTTGACTGCTCCAGATCCGTACATGATTCTACCGCTTGTCAGCTCTGTCATGATGTATCTCAGTATAAAGGCAAGTCCGGGTCCTCCTCCTGGTCCTGGGATCGACCACAAACGAGTCTCCGAACTAATATAAGCATCCACGGATAGCGCGCAGTCCCATACATGAATCCCCAGCAAGCTGCCTTCATGAGAGTCATGCCCTGGGTTCTTGGGCCCCTCGGCTTCTTCATCACGTGGAAAATGGCCGCCTCCGTCCAGGTCTTCTTCGCAGCCACGGCCATCCTCCAATTTGCCCAGACCACCTTCTTCCACATCGGCTGGATCCGCAAAGTGTGTGGTCTCCCGCCCCTGGAGGAGATGAAGCAAAGCACGAGCGGCGGCCCCACTATGCCGCGTACCAGCCCAATCTCCAGCCGTTCAGCCCAATACCAGGCGCCACGCACCATCAACACCACCGCCACAGAGAAGGTCGAGAGCAATACTGATTCCGACAACCCGATCCATGCGGTCAAGGGCGCGTGGGCTGGCATCCAGGACAAGCTGAAGAAGCGGAGCGAGTCGAACGCGCAAAAGAACACCCAGAAGGAAGCCGCTCAGTATGAGAAGAAGAGGCTCCAGGAGGAGCACGAGCAGTTTCTGAGGAGGCGGGAGGCGGCTAGGAGGCACGAGAGCAAGTGATTGCTTAGAGGAGCAGCATAAACCTGAAGCGCAGGGGTCGAGGGAGCTGGGACGCGGCGCGCGAAGAGGGTAGCAGCTGATCAGCGTCCCAACCCTGTGTCTCCTACTGGTCCGTGGCCAAAAGAGGCTTTGGAAGCAGCCCAGAGTACCAGGAATCAGTTGATTCCTCATATATGTAGAACACCAACACTCCAAAATCAATGTACAAACAACGCAGAGGCACTCAAGACAGTACGCTGGAATTGGCTTGAGAAGTCTTGCAGATACGGAGCCCAAGTCCACACGCCTAATTTCATGCTCTTGTGACATCTGGCAACAGAGACATCCTCACTCATGATACTGCTCCTAGAGGTGATTGTTCCGAACTGACATGGCATTTCGTATATCGTATGTACGTCAAGCTGTCCCGTGATTTGAATGGTTTCACCGGAGTCTAGTCATGAAGGGTGTACGGACAAGTCTGGTTGAAAATCATTCATGGATGATAAGCGAAGGAAGACGGCCTCCCCTCGTTTGTTCGTCTCTTCGGTATGTCCATAGAGCCAGGCATCTCTGTAAATGGTTTTCTTCAACCGAATGCGGTCAAATATTGGTTGATTTCGAGATATGTGCCCCATTGTCACTAGGGGCACTCTGGACATATCACAATATGTGACGCAAGCCTGAAGCCTGGGGAAGCTTAGCTATAGTCTTACATTATAGCGAAATTAAGTATATTTCTTAGATATTCCAGTAATATCGATATTGAATAAGACAACGATTGTTCTAAAGCAGCGGGCAGCAAGCCATGCATCAAACCCTCTCTGTTTCTCTTTCCCTCCATCCTAAATAGCCATCTATATCAAAGATTGAACAACCCCCTCTAGTGGTCAAGGCACAAAATTGGACGGAATATCGATACCCTGCGCGCCTTGTATCAGTGCAGGCGGCCAGTCTGGATCCTCCTCCCATTGAGTCTCAAAACTGTACTCGCCACTGCCCACCTTCTCGTCCACGCCTTTTAATTTAACTTGAGCTTCGCCGTTGGGCGGGACGGTGACATTTGTGACCATCTTTGAGCCTTCAATCTTCCAGGTGACGGAATAAGGTCCGTACGGAGAGTCAAACGACGTGTGAGCGTGGCGAATTGTCCCGCCTGGCTTCGGGGAGACCAAAGCCGTCTTCCACCCAGGCGAGATGGGGCTCAGGCCACCGACGGTTTGATGCAGAAAGTTGCACACCGAGCCAAGGGCGTAATGGTTGAATGAAGTCATTTGGCCAGGGTTGATAGTACCGTCAGGGAGCATCGAGTTCCAGCGTTCCCACTATGTAGCGTGCTATTAGATATATCCCAACGGACCAGTAATGACATCTGAACACTTACGATAGTCGTTGCCCCCATTCCTACAGGGTATAGCCAGCTAGGACAGTCGCGCTCCTGTAACATCCTATATGCATGGCTGAGCATGCCGTGGTCGGCAAGCACTTGCAGAATTATGGGTGTACCAGCAAAGCCGGTGGTGATCTTGAACGCCTCCCATCTAATCATCCAGTCGAGCCTCGCCTTTGCGGTCTGGACTTCTTCCTGCGTGCTGAACAGGTTGAAGAGTAATGCTAGAGCATAAGCAGCCTGTGTGTCGCATGCCAAGCGGCCTCTTTTCGTGATATACTCGGCACGAAACAACTCAGTCATCTCGTTTGCCTTCTTAGAGTAGGCTGTTGCGTCGTCAGCCTTGCCAAGTATCTTGGCGATGTCTGCAGCAAGCCTCGTTACGTGAATGAGATAGGCGTTGGCGACCAGATAGGGATCGGTAGGGCCGTGACCGGGCAGCTGTGGCGGAGATCGAGGGTCCAGCCAGTCGCCATACTGAGGTGTTGTGTCTGCATAAAAGCCATGTTGGTCGCGAGGAACGCCGCTATCCAGCCACAGGCTCATGCTTTCCCACTGCTTTTGCAGTATTTTTCTGTCGCCGAAGGACTTGTATAAATCCCACGGAGTGATGACGGCACAATCAGCCCAGACAGCCATCGGTCTGTTTTCAGGGTACCTTGGTGGCCACGGAATCTTTGGAACAATGACGGGTACAACGCCTCCCATCTCTCGCTGATCGGCTTCCAAGTCTTGGAGCCATTCTCCAAGAAAGGCCGCAGTGTCAAAGAGGAAATTTGCCGTTGGCGCAAACACTTGGATGTCGCCTGTCCAGCCTAGTCGTTCATCGCGCTGCGGGCAGTCGGTTGGAACTGAGACGAAGTTGCCTCTCGTAGACCAGACTGTGTTTTCATGGAGCTGGTTGATGAGGGCGTGCGAGCAAGTGAAGGTGCCGGTGCGGCGAAGGTCGGAAGAGACCACAATGGCTTTGAGATCAGACAAGGACAGTTGGTCATATCCTGTTATTTCAGCGTACCTGAGCTGACATCAGTAGGATGAATGCAGTCTTCAGGGAATGTTATCAACGTACCTGAAGCCGTACCAGGAGAATCTTGATTCATAGCCCTTCGTCTTCCCTCCAAGATGGATAATGTTCTCGGCCCTAGCTGTTCTCAAAGGCCTAGTTCCGAGTTCACCATGTTCAAGAACTTCGGCATGTCTGATCACGACCGTGTCACCACTCTTGCCTGGAATATCGACCAGTATTCTCAACCACCCGACAAGATTCTGGCCGAAATCCAGCACTTTCTTTCCTTTTGGCGTCGTGATGAGCTTCTTTGGTTCTATCTCCATAATGCGCTTCACTGGAGCAACATCAGGAGCAATGAGCTTTGCAGAAGGGAAACCAACATCTTCAACCTTGCCAATGGAGGTTGCTGAGGATGTGGTGGTAGACCAAGAAAGATCATCCAACCTGGTATCAAATACTTCACCATTGTAGATCTCCGCACTTAGGATAGGACCCTCAAGCCACTCCCAGGAAGCATCTGTGGCACATACAATATTGCCGTCAACCTCCAGCTGACCCAGGAAGCTCAACCGATCGCCCCAGATATTAGAGACCCCTGGTCTACCTAGCCTCCCTGCGTACCAGCCTTCAGCAATGTAGGCTCCGATCACATTCTCACCATCCACTAGATACGGAGACACATCGTAAGTCTGGTAGTGCAGACGATGATTGTAGGATTGCCAGCCCGGCGCGAGAAGATCTTCGCCAATTACCTTGCCGTTTACCTCCACTTGGTATATGCCGTGCGCTGTGGCATAGAGCCGCGCAGAGCCAGTTCTTGAGCAGGAAAATGATTTTCTAACTCGAAAAGGCCTCTTAGGCTCGTCCCGACTTTGAACGGGACCAGAGATGAGTTTCGCTGCCCATTCAGAACGCTCTAGGAGAGCAGCTTCTACGACAACGGATGCCCAATTGGTTTGCGAGCCATCTTTGCCAGTCGCTTGTACTTTGATGTGGACCACTTCGCGAGATGTCAGTGGCAAGGTAGGCCACGGCACGAGTACAGATTCAGAAGAAGTGACATTAAAAGTTTCTTCTTGCCCATTGCGTGAAAAGACCATAGTGTATGAGGCCTGAGTCCATCCTTGCCTACATGATAGACACATTAGCTTGAACACAAGTCACAGTCTCAGTAGAAGGCATACACTGTAGTGGATTCAAAGCGCCAAGAGATCCTGGGCCGACTGTGGAAAATTGCGAAGCCATTGTGATGATGTTCGGCGCTAACAGCTGCGATGCGGACAGACATTCTGGATGGTTGAACTGCTCTTGTTTGTCCTGCAGATGATTGAGGGCGACACTTTCGAGCATGGACTAGTTGGCTGGCACTTTATAGAGAGATAAGTACTACGTGAAAGCGGATAACGAAAACACCCAGTGTCTTTACAATTGGAATCCTTTAGTTTTATCGGATCACCATACTGAAGTCTTTATGAGAAAACGGCAGGGATATTCATACTCCTGGTAGATGGATGACAGATTCCAAGGTCCTTCGGTGGAGACATATCCCGAGTTACGGCTGCGTTCCCCATCCAGTCGTTTCCACCCCTCAAGATGCCAGTGGCAAGTCACGGGAGCCATTGGGGACAGTTCGTGAGGAGTCGCTGCGAGAAGCCAGTTGTTGGACAACATAGGGAGCCGAGTCCGGCGGACCCTGGCTTTCCCCAGCTTTCCCCAGCTTTCCAAGACTATCTCCACAGATGTTGGCTTACTCGCCTTCGGTCCGAGGCCACTAGGTATCAGACTCTCTCAAGCTGCAGTGAAAGTGCCGAGATATCGATCTCATGTCTAGCTATCATTTAGGGACCAGTCACACAGATTGGACAAGGTCGGCTCATCACGCACCGATTTATGCTTGTTTGGTCACAGTATAGCTCGAGGCTTTAAACATTCGTCTCCCGTTTGGTGGCGATGGCACAACCCTTCAGCCGGCTGAACTTATAAAGTGTTCTTTTTTGATTTTTTCATGTAAACCCTCGGCATACATTAAGTCTTAGCACCGCTATGGCAAACGACTCCCAGCATCCTGACGCCGAACCAAAGTTGTCCGTCGGGCATCATGAGCTGGGCCAGGCCAGAGTTGTCCTCAAATCCGATCTTGACACTCTTGGTATCTGGGAGACGGTGAAGAAATTCAAAAAGGTTTGTAGAAAATCCTGCTACTCATTCACCCAGAAAAAGGAAATATTGGCTAACCCAGCAGACAGGCTGTCCTCGTCTGCAACCTTCTCTGTTTCGCCGCCGCTGCTGATGGATACCAGATCAATCTCAATGGTTAGTAATTAGCAGAAACCATTTCCCTTCACACCGTCATTTGTATTTGATCCACATACTTACACTAAATCCACCATAGGAAACGTGATCGCGAACCAAGGCTTCATCCAACATTTCGGTTTCAAGAACGCACAGGGCCGATGGTATCTCGAAGCTCAGTATACTGCCCTATGGGGGGCCATGCAATCCTTAGGCCAGCTGATCGGGATGCTGCTGCTCAATCCCATCTCGGACAGAATCGGCCGCAAGGCCACACTGTACGTTCTCTGGGTCATCCTCGCCGGGTCGCTGCTGATCGAGACCCTCGCTCGTGACTGGAGGGACTGGACTGGTGCGAAGATCCTGGCGGGTGTCGGAATAGGTGCCATACAGGCTACTCTGCCCATCTATGTGACAGAGTGGTCTCCTGCGAATATTCGCGGAGCCATGGTCCTTGTATATGGGTTTTGGAATTCGTTTGGGAAATTCTTGCCCCCAATGGTGCTTCTTGTCGTCCAGAACGCCAACCCGTTGGATTTCAGGGTGCCTATCCTGACTCAATGGGGTTTCCTGGGTATCATGCTCCCCATCTTCATTTGGCTTCCGGAAACACCAGGTCTGTAAAGTATAAATGCTTTCTAGTGTATCATGTTCGTAGTGGAGAAACATTGCTGACACGCAATCCAGCCTACTTTGCCGCGAGAGGCATGGACGACAAGGGCAAAGCAGCACTGCGCCGGGTGAATGGAGGCATTCCAACGTACGACGTCGAGGCTGAATACGCCATCATTAAGAACACTATCCTAGAAGAGCAGCAGATATCAGAAGAGACGAACCCCCAAAACATCAGCGGGATCGTGCGCTCGTACATTGACTGCTTCAGGGGCCCCGACCTGTGGCGGACAATCGGCTCGACCTTGCCAAGCTGTGCGCAGCAGCTGACGGGGCTTGCCTTCCTGAATACCTACGCCAGCTTGTTCTTCAAGCGGAGCGGGTTCAACAATGCGTTTCTGGTGACTACCATCATGGGTAAGCTGGCGCTCCACGTCCTTGTCGTTTGAAAGTCACCCTGCTCACGAGACGTCTTCGCAGCCATCCTCTCCCTCATCACCGCCACCGGTCTCATGCTAGCAGTTGATAGGTTCGGCCGCCGGCAAGTTGTCATCGCTGCCTCCATCCTCTGCTCCCTCGCGCTTCTGGTGGTCGGCGTCCTCGGCCAGGTCGGTCACTCAAAGCCGCTGCAGGACTTCCTCATTTTCGTCGCCTGTCTCTGGGCCCTCGGGAACAATGCTCGTTAGTCCTCCCTGACCCATCATATAGCCAAATGAACTCCGACCCAGGGTACTGACCTGCAAAGTCGGACAACTCGGCTGGGCCTTCGTCGGCGAAGTAGCCTCACAGCGCCTGCGCGCGCGGACCGCCGGCCTGGCAGCCGCCATGTCGGTCGTGTTCGGCCTGACGTTCAACACGGCCGTGCCCGTGATGCGTAAGTCTTTGTGAACGCGTCATGCGGCGCCACTTTTTCTCCATTCAACAAGACCCTGTGTACTGACTCACGGTGTGCGATCGCAGTTGACACCGAGGGCGCTGACTGGGGATACGACACGGCCTGGCTGTTCTTTGCCCTTGGGTCCCTCGTCTGTGTCATGGTCTGGTTCTTCGTGCCTGAGCCGTCGCAGCGCAATTATGCCGAGATGGATGAGATGTACGCCAATGGCGTCCCCGCGAGGAACATGAGGAGGTACGTCACCGAGGTGCAGCTTGCACAGCAGCAGCAGATCGCGGAGGCCGAGAAACTCCGGTAGCGAGCTGTCCAGGGGCTGTATGAAACCACAGGATTATGACTTATGTGTTATCAATTCCTCAACCCGAGCTCCAAAGTAGTCATGACTTCTCCGCGGAGGTGATGTCCAGCTCTTTGCGGGCCCGGTGTGGGAACCTATCGATGGCCTCTTGGACGAGACACAGCAGAAAGTCAGCCGGAAGCCATCAGATACGGGACTGAAAATACAGCATTGCACGCTCCAAGCAATCGCTTTCATAAAGGACACCATAGGAAATTGCCATAGCAGTGTAGATTCAGATGTGTTCCATTGAATTGAATCTGCCCGTAACCCACTACGGAGCCAGGTGCGGAAGTGCGCTCTTGGGCCAACACAGTTATCTCTGATGCGCGGCCGCGCATCTACCGAGTCTTACTACAAAAATCATTTTTCCTTCCAAAAATTACGCACAATAATGCTCCATAGACCCCGCTGACATTAGATTAATCTTCTCGTAGAGGTCGTTTCCGTTTCCGTTTTCCCCATTCAAATCCACGTCTTGGTCGTGGAGAGGAGGGGAGCCCATCTGGGCTAATTCAACAAAACTCGTTTGTTGCTTGGTCACGGGCCCCTACACTGGATAAAAGCAGGCGGCGGCGCACCACTAGAACACCGTGCCGTCGCTGTCGATAAGGATTGGTGGCTCCTTGGTGTTTGGCCGGTTGATCTCGGCAATCTCACGACCACCCTGCGAATGCAATGTCAGCTAGGTTCACGTATCGGCGCCAGGTAGTACACCCAGAACAGGAGTGTGTGGCAGTTCATAAGGGAGTATCTCACCTTCCAGCTTCCAGCCTCCAACACTTGGGGTAATGACAGCTCGTTTCCAGCCAGCTCGGTCTTCAGCGTATGGTTGACATCCGCAGCCAAACGGTCCAGGAGGCCAACAGTGACGCCGCGCCACTCCACCACGAGGTCGTCACTAGGTTCGAACATGGGGGCGACCTCGATTCCGGGGTCGCCGGTCCTAGAGCAGTACTCCTTGTAATGCTGCAAGCCCCTCTCCATGTCCTCGGGCTTGAGCGTCAACACGCCCAGGTCGACGAACAGCCCACCGTTCCGGTACTCGGGAAGACCAGTCAGGAGCTCCTGGCCGGCAAAGTGTATTTTCATCAGCTGTTGCATGGGCTGCATCAGGGAGTAGGTGAGCCACTGCGTCAGCTTATGGAACGGCAGGATGGACTCCCAGGCTGCTGCAGATCCAGACCGGCTAGAGGTATTGGGGAACGGGCTGAAGCTGGGGCCGGTGCTTGAGGGCGATGTAGCTTGTGCTGGCTGGGGCATCGTGGAGCATGGCCAGGCGTCGCCTAGTGAGATGCCATTGATGGCCGTGCGCGACTGGGGCCAGATGGGCGCTAATCCTGACATGAGGACGTTCCAGAGCGTCGGTAGCGGCACGATGGGCATTGACGAGGCTTGTGTCGATGGGTGAGAAAGTAGGTAGTCTGAGAGCCGTGTTAGCGTGTCTGTGTGAGAGAAGCCATGTGACGAGGTGCATTGAGCTCACCAAGCATATTGCCCGGACGTCCATTCTCACCAAAGAACTCCTTGTTGGAGTCCAATGCGTCTGCGAGCCTGATCAGGAGCTCGGTTCGCCCCTCAAGACCTGCCATCTCGTTGCCGGGTTTTGACTGCAGGCCCTTGGCCATTTGTTCAAGACTGAGGTTGCGCAGTCCGTCCTTGTCAACTTGGTACTTGTTTGTCTTGTCACTGGAGAACATGCCCTATTGAACCATTAGAATCATAATAATAAAAGGAGTGGCATCATCGCAGCTTAAAAACTTACAGTCTTGAACATCTCCAGGCTGGCGACTGCAATGCCCTCAGATCTTCTGTAGATTCGACCATTTTCGGTGCTCTTATAGCTCCACTGCGTCCCTGCGCCAGCATCCAGTAGAACGCTGACCAGGAACAGGTCGATCAGACGACGGCATTTCTCAGTGCTATCCAAGTTCTCCCAAGTCGACAAAAGGTGGGCGATCCTATCTCGGCCGCCCACGCAAAAGTGCTGGTGTCTGCCATGTGCGGGTATAGAGGTAAATGGGGCGTCGTAGTCTCTCTGTAGCTATGTTAGCGGCCTGGAGTAGTGGTGGTGGGGGGAGGGAGGGAACGCCACAATGTGTGATTCCTTGGTGGCTGCATACCCTGATAATGCTTGCGACAAAGCTCACCACCTCGGGGAACTTGCGCATGTCCACATCGAAATGTCTCAGCTCATTCTTGACTGCCTTGGTGGTGATGACCCTGCATCTGTCCCTGACGGCAGCCAGGTCCCTGAGGTACCCAGCAGGGTCGATCTCCGGGTCCGGGGGCTTTGGCAGGTCGATCTTGGGGACCTGTGGGGAGAATGGAGAGAGCGGCGTGTTTGGTGCCGAGGTGTTATTCGTGCCTGCGGAGCTGCGATTCATTGCTCGAGAGCTGAAGGTGCCTGCTGGTGATTTGATGCTGGAGCTTCCTGAGTCGAGGCTGACCTGTGACTGCACGGTTGTGAGGGACGGTTTGGATGTGACGCCCCGTGTGGACTTGTCTTTTCTGGAGAAGAGGCCCATCTTGGCAGGATCGGCGGGATGGCACGACTTGCGGTACGACTGGAATGACCAAACGGACAGGACAGGGACCGCCTGAACAACGGGGGGACTTCGGAAGGCGGGGCGGGCTAGGGACGCGAGCTGGTGGATCCCTTGATGAAGATCAGGAGCTCTAGGAGGGGTTGAGCTCGCGAAACGGACCCGAAGTAGTGCTGACTGCTGATGGAGCAGCGAGCAGCGAGCAGCGACCTATGCTGGGCTGCTCTGGGGCTGGCACCGTTGTGGTCGGTTGGTGGGTCCTCCAATCTTCTCGTAGCAGAGGCCAGTCAAAAGTTGTACAGCTTCAGGGGCAGCTTCACTTTTTTTTTTGGAGGGTTGTCGTCGTTGATGTGACGTCTCTCTTGTGAAGCCTTGGATGCCCACTCAAACGTCGCGGGACCTTTCTATCTCTCGGCCTGGTCTTTTCTGATATGACTTGGGTCTTGAGGTGCAAAGGTAAAGCCAACTCGGAGAATTGACTCGGTAGTGGTGAGTGTGTGCACCGCGCCCGTAGCGTGATTGAGTTTTCGTCTCGTTCTTGTCTCGTTGAAGTCGTGGTGGCGCGTGAAGTCAATTCAATCCGACCCAATCGAGTAAACCTGCCAATGTCTCTGCCGTGTGTACAATTAGGTGTACCGATGAATGAGGGAAGAATCACTGGCCAACAAGAACGCCAAGGTGTGGTCGAAGGTAAGGCGGCGAAGAAAGAAGAAAGGCCGCGGTGAACAGAGACTTATGAGGTATCAAAGGATACGACAAGAACAAGTCAACCGGTAGAGACGCGACGAGACGAGATGAGACGAGATATGTGTTGTCGGTGGCCGCAGTGATGCTGTCGTCTGTAGACGGAGATACAGTTTGATTAAGCCGTAGTGTCCGCCTCGAAGTCTAATGTGCCACAGCTGTTCCTGAAGAACCCGACGTCATAAGAGCAAGGCAGGGTAGGTATCAGGAAAAAATTAAACTCCATGCAGTGGTTCCGTAGCACAAGGTGAAGAACGGGGGGTGGGAGGGAAGGCCAGATGGTCTGGGAGAAAGAAAGACTGGCGAGGAGGTGGAGAGAATAAAGAGAGAAAAGAGGATGGATGAACAGGGTCACATGGGGAGAAAGCAAGTCGTCTCTCCGGTATCGTATGCAATTTGAACGTACCAGCGAGTGGGAGAAGACGAACAAAAGATGCCGAGTCCCAATGAAAGGAAGGGTTGACAGCGATGTGGGTGAGGGCAGGGCCAGGTTCGGCAGGTCGAGGCTTATATGACATGAGACGAGACGAACACAGGACAGGCACAGGCACAAGCACAAGCACAAGTACAGGCAAGAAAAGCGAGGAGTACCTGGTCTACTTGGAGAATCATGTATGTACAATGTAACAGACCTTGACAACTCGGTACTGTGGTACCGCACGGAACAGATTACACACGAGTACCTCGTCAATACAGTACCGTATTGGGGAACACACACACACACACGCGCACGCACGCACAGAGAGAGAGAGAAAGCGAGCGAGAGAGGGTCGGCGATCAAGACAGGGATTATGAGGACGGATGCACATGGATGGCCCAGCACAGGCACGGGATGGGGTCTGTCCTGTCAAGGCTCAGGCTGTGGTCTTTTTTGGCGGCTGAACCCGCAGTACATGAAGATCACACCCGGTTCCTGAGTCAAATCCCTCATCGGTCATGGTTCTGGGCGCCCACCGACACGCGGTTTGAAGTGGACTGCTGTCTCCGTGTGCACAGCAACTGTATTGGATGTATGTAATCAATTCGATTGATCCATCCGCGGGCACGGATCCGACTGACTGACCCCAGCCGAAGCTGTCAGAAATGATGGGTGACCTGTCGGCCCCCAGTCCTGCCCAGCCTGACAGCCTGGCGAGCTGCTGTCCCCCGTCAGGCCAACTGAAACCAAATGGATCGATCTCTGGTAATAAAACCCAGCAGCAGGAGCTGGAGTAGGAGCAATAGCAGCCGAGCCGAGCCGAGGCCATATGAAGCCAAGCCAAGCCCTGCCCTGGTGGGTGGCGATGGAAATTGTGTGTTGTTGTTGGTGCTGGTGTTTGTCGATTGTCGAATGTCAAATGTCAAATGCAGCCAGTGCTGGGGCTACCCAGAGCAATGGGAATCGTCGAATGTCGCTTGCTGGTTTCAGCAGCTGCAGGGTGTGGGACCTGGACGCTGGAGCCTCAAAGTGACAGGTGCTTTTACTCTCTGTCTCTCTGTCTCTTTCTCTGTCCCTCCCCTTACTTCTCCCTCTGCCTTTTCCCGCTGGAGGTTCGGGGACCTTTGTTGCCGTGCTGCCGTGCTGCCGTGCTGCTGCAGTCTCGAGGTCGCCTCCTCTGATTCGTTTGGCTCATCTCAGCCCAGCCCAGCCTTGGTCTGGTTCTGATCAGGTCGGTCTAGTCTGGTCTATCAGTTCTGTCTGGCCCCGTCTGTGCCTTGCCCGCCATTTAGTCAGTCAGTGTCTCTGTTTTGGCCCAGCTGCCATTTCGAGCACCAGAAAAGATGGGACGAAAAATTAGCACCTCGCTTCGATCCCTCGTCCCGGTCCAGATTTGTCCATCAACCCGACGGCGTGATTCCTCGCGTGTCAATCAACCCTGGACCTCTGGGCCCTGGGGGCCCCTGGGGGCCCTGGCTGCCTGGGTCCGTCCTGGTCGACGGCAGTCGAAGCCGTCTCTCTCTTGCCGTCTCTGCCTCTGCCTCCGTCTCCATTTCCGTGCTCCGTCTCCATCCTCCTCCGCCGTCTTCTCCACGTCAAACGTGTCACACTTCACTTCCTGACTTCCTCACGGCCTGCAGCCCCATAGCCTACCAGGACCTACCTAGGAGGCCGATTGACTATTCAGGTAAGCCTATTGGGACAGGCAGACGGCAGAGGAGGTTGACTATCTTATGAAGTGGATAGGATGTCACTGTGGATGTCTATCAAGATGCCTGCACGTGCAGATCGAACTCGTAAAGGGTTTACGGCCCGTGTCTGGCTGCCCAATCTCAAATCAAATCTCGAGCAACGTAACAGCGTTACCGTCGGCTCATCCCCTCGCAGAACGGTCCGGAACCTGAGTAGCAAACGCCTCACAACGCCTCGCCTTCCAAGCTCCCACCCGTTCCTCGCTAGGTGCCGTGTCTGTGTGTGTGCTCCCCCGTCTCCTCCACCCTTCCCTCCACGCACAATGCACATGCACGCGCTACTTGCCCGTAGCACTGGTAGGCAACGACGCCTTCTATGGGTGTGGCCTTGACTGCAACCCTGGCCCTGGTCAACAACCAATTTCATCTACTGTGCACTACTCTGCAGTTGCATTCGCAATGGCAGTTGCAGTTGCAGTTGCAGTACCAGTTGGATTGCAGTTCCATTTCCGAGCAAACCACTCGCATCTTGGATCGCTTGTCCAACATCGCACTTCCAACAAGACCCTCGACCGTCCAGCAAAGAAGGCACAGAGTCAGAGTCAAGCACCACGGGAAGAATGCAAGAAAAAGGACGGACCACCGACCACCGACCACCGCGCCGTCCCTGAGCATGGGCAGGGATCTCTCACAGCAATCTGCAAGGCACCGAGCAACCCCTGCTAGACGTCCTTCACCAGACCACCAAGTCATGGAGTCCTGGTCCTGCCACGCAGCAGGTGCTGCTCACGTTCCCGACCGGCGGTGGGAAAGCCACTCTGCAACCAACGAGACGAGCAGACGAGACAAGACCATACCCCACAGCCGTTGCAAGCCTATCCACCTGCGCATCTCCAGTATTTCCAGGCCCTGCAATTGGGAGATGCGCACCTGATTGACAATTGGAGAGACTATCGTAAGCGTTGTGATGGCTCGACACATGACAAAAGAGCACTGTTACCCGGTGGGCACTCCTCCACTCTCCACGAGGAAGAGCCACAGACAGGCATACAGACGTGGAACTGCGTACACACAGGCACACAGTAAAAGCACGCCAAACGCGCATCTGGTGGAGACCGCGTCTTCTGTACGTACAGGACTACATGTAACCCATACGTCGTGCAGACCCGAAACGAAACCTGCCTCGGTCAACTTATCCGTCGTCGGATTTGAGTGAACCGCGTCTGGCCAGCAGGACTGGCTCGTCCGTCTACTTTCCCGTCCGCGCCTGCAATCTCTACGGCCGTGTCTGTGTGTGCCAGCTCCAAATGTTCGGTACCGATACAAGCATCTACCTGTGGCATCATTTAAACTTTGATTCCGCGGGTGGTCCCACTGGAAATGGATCCTGGAAACGTTGCGACCTTGAAGATTCTTTGGACCGAAATTGCAAATAACATGGGACGAAGACCCAGGATCCCTCGTTCGGGATCCCTTCCCCCTTCCCCGCCGCACGATCTGGAGCACACTTGGTACCCGTTGTACCGTGCTCCGGAACGGCTTCCTGTACTGTATCACGCTGAGCACGACTCGTCCGTCAAGTTCCCCGGCCGGAGGAAAAACAGAAAGCAGAAAATGCTCACTGCGCACGAGATAAAAACTGCTTGCTTGGCTGTCGCAAGCCGACAAACTCCCCGACGCGCCGCATTTCTGAATCGTCGGATATTTCCAGCCCACATACACATGACAAGCAGGTGGGCCAGTCCTACATTTGTAGACTACGCATGTACACATGTCCCAGTCCCACGGGCGCCGCGCCCGGCACCTCGGGGTGGTGGCCGACCTTTGCTTCTTTGCTCGGGAGAGCTGCGGGTTTGCCTCTGGCCTCGATGATCATGAGCAGGATCGCAGGATCGCAAGATTGCAGGCTAGGCGCTTGCCGCGGGTGATTGACACGCCTTCAAAGGTCCGTTCCGAGCGAGCGGATCTTGAGGATCTCTGACAGCTTGGTTCATCTCCACACTGGCGTGCTGACCGACCGGGCTGGGCCGCCCCGGCTCTCGATCTGTCAGACGGGAAATTCCATCGAGAGAGAGACACACATGTAAGACCCGACGACGTACATAAACCGGGCACAATTCGTCCTGATCGTCGAGGTTATGGATGAAAGATGTGATTTGATGAAGATCAATATATATGGCGACCAATACCACCGTTGCTCCCGAGTCAAGAAGACGAAAGCACTTGACAGCAGAACTTGTGAAAATGAATACATACGATTATGCATTCATACTTTCTCTCGAGCCTGCAGGACCGATTCCACAGTCAATTTCGTCTCCCCGTCGTACTGGCTCAAGCGCTCCGCTGCCTCGCGTGCTTCTGACCGGATGAGCTCTTCAATCTTGCCCGAACGCGGCGTGAACCGCGCCTTGAACGGCAGCGGACGCATGTTCTCGCTGTCATTGTACGCAAAAGCGTCTAACTGAACGGGATTGCCCTATATTTGAAGAGCCTAGTCAGCCAACCAACGGTCCTGTGGACAGGGTGTCGAGATCGATCATGGGAATTCGTTATCATTGGGAGCACTCACCTTCTCATCCAGCCCCGGCTCAACCCGAAACGCCCAGAGCAACCTCGCCAGCACCATCAGCACGCTCTGCTCCGCCAGAGGCTGCCCACTACACTGCCTCCTCCCCCACCCAAAGGCGTTGTGGCCCCTGCTGTTGGGATACTCAAACGCCAACCCTCCTGGCCGGTCGCCCAAGTACCGCTCAGGCCTCACTGTGTCCGGGTCAGGGTAGTCTCCTGGGTTTCGGTGCATGGCCCACACGTTGCAGGTGAGCTGGATGCCTTTTGGGATCAGGAAGCCCCTATACGTGTCATCGACAACCGGCGCGTGCGGGATACCACCCAGAACCGTGACTGTCCGCCAGCGCATGATCTCTCTGGCCAGCGCGGCTACGTACGGCAGGCGGCCGGCGTCGAAGTCCTCCCAGGTGGGAGACACGGCCTCGCCTAGGACGTTGTCTATCTCGGCTTGAGCTTTGGCTTGTACTTCAGGGAAGAGGCAGAGGGCAAGCACGGTTGAGGTGAGCGTTCCGCTTGTGGTGTCCACGCCGGCGCCGAGCAGACTTGTTTATGTAAGTGTGTTACTATTCACAGAATACATATCGATTACACTTACTTTGTAGTGAGTGACGACACTTCGTCATCACTCAGACCGAGGACAGTTTGCTTCTCAAGCACCGTTTTTGCAAAGCTCGGATTTGGATTGGTCGCGGCCGCTTCCTTGTTCAGAGCGAGAAAGTATTTCCCCAGGTGCGACGAAACCGTCCTTACAATGGTCGGAAAGGCGTAAAGCCAGGGTGGCATATCAGCAAGCCAGGGCAATGAATCGACCAGTAGCCAGCCCGGAATCACATAGTTGACGACTGCCATAGTCTCCAGGGCCTTATGGCAGACGTAGTCATTCTTCCTGGAGATGCGTCTGCCCCAGCCTATGATGGACACGACCGAGACGGAGTACCGCTCGATGGACATGACATAGTCGTCCGGGTCCTCGAGGAACTCCAGAGTCAAGATCTTGGACTCATCGCCTTGGAAGGATCGATGATCTCGAACCACGTGGCTGCCGACGATAGAGTGCTTGGGCCCAGTCAGACGCAGAACACTCATGCCACCACAATTCAGAGGGGCGCCGGACTCACCGTGAGCTTCCTATGCAGCCTCCACTGGTCACCATACACAAGCGTGGCCTGGTTCGTCGTCGCGGACCCGGTTAGCTCCCCCATCGACACGAACCGTGGGCGCGACGAGTAGACGTCCGCGCGCTTCTCCAGCAGGTCCGACGCCGTCCACGCATCATTCAGGACGATGATGGGCCTGCTGCCCAGCCAGAGCGTGATCATCGGGTTGGCATACTGCCGGCTCCATTCCTCGAACTTGATCCACGGCTGGACGAACGGGATGCGGAAGTGGTTCCCGATGATGGGAAGGGGAAACGGGCCCGGCGGGAGCTTGCGGCGCAGGTGTAGGACGCGGATGTAGTTGTAGCTAGTTATGCAGGTGAGGGCTAGGCCGGCGAGGGCGAGGAGACGAGTTAGGAGCTGCGGCAGCCCGACAGAGTCCAGCGCAAGGAGCATGTTGAGTCTCTTTGTTTACTTATGGGGGCAAGCAGCAATATAAAGTGTTTCGTATGAAATTGATTGATCTGGTTACAATGCGTCAAGAAGATGGAACTCTACTCGTATTTATACAATTACGGTCATGTGGTGTGAGACAATGGGAGGTGGAGGCTATGCCTGTCCGCCCAGACGACAACCGCCACTATCCTAAGTGTGCGAAGACGTCAGTCAAGCATGTTGAAGCTGTCAGGTGGCTTTCATGCGAGAGCGATCATAGAAGAATGGCATAAGATCGATGGGCAATAGAGTTGGGGGATGCCCATATATCCCAGATCCAGAATCGGGTGCGGGGTGCAGATATGGCCCCGATTGCATCGTCGCAGTCCTGCTTATGCAGGGTTCAAAGATTCAAGCTTCCTCCTCCTCCCGTTTGCTCGGCAAATGTGTGGGTGTTACGAGGAGTCGTGCCAGACGTCTTGGCCAAGTTCAAGACGGCATTGGTAATGAGCCGCGGTGCCCGAGCATGTGGCATAGTCATCTGGAATAGTTGAAGAGCTTGTTTAGCATATGCTAGTATCGATGTGGCAATCCCTTGCTACTCCTTGGCAACTCAGAACTATCAAATTCTATGTGGACTTTTTCCGCCTTCTATCTTGAATCATACAAATTTTCATTGTTTACCGCGGTTTTGAACATTTCTAGGGCCCTCACGTGTGAACTAGTTTGGAACTTCTACACAGAGAAATGTTTTTGCGAGGAAACTCTCTCTTCTTGCTTCGGAACTTACGGAAGCTTTTCTTATCACGTCTTTTCCTTTGCCAGCCGTACATATACGTTTCCTATTTCACTTCATGTCGCTGCTGCTGGGGTAAACAACGAAATCTGAGTAAATTGTGAGAACAGGGATGAATAATGTTGAATTTATCTTGAGCGTTCAGGATGCGCGGAATATCTCTAAGGTCTTGTCACCAAGTTGTGAATTACCGCCCCCAAATTTCATCTTCATGGTCATGATATCATATTCATTGGTAGGTTCTCGCTTGGAGAAACAGTACCCCGTTCTGTGGCTTGAACTCAAGAGTGTTGTCAGATTTGAGGCGCTAATGCTATGCTACATCAATCATATCTGCGTTTTATAACATAAGGGAATCATCGCAACGGCCCTTCGTCCGCTTTATGCTCAACGGGCGTTATGATGCTGGAGTTGTGACTCAGTCTATCCCTCCCAGCAGGATCACGCGCAGGCCAAGGCGGCAGCTCCGTATCGCTCCTCGACGCAGCTGTCGCCGTCTCCGGCCTCCTGAGGTTGACCTCGTCGCCAGCGACTTGGGTCTCGTTGACAGTCTGCAGCGACTTGTCTAGCTTGGCCAGCTGTGCGCTGAGCCATGACTGCCTCGTCTGCGGTGGTGCTTTCCTCGACGGCCGCGACGGCCGCGACCCAATGGTCGGCAGGTTGATGTGGTTTGCTTCCTCTGGAGTTCCGGTGCTCTGTCTCGTTGAAGCAGCGAAAATCCGGTTCCAGAGTGGCTTAAGCGTCATTATGGATGCACAAACGATGGCCGTGTTGACTTCGACGAGGGACCAGTAGTTTATGTCCACTGCGTTGTAACTGTAGTCCGAACCGCCGATTGCGTTGGCGAGCAGGACGATCCGTATAATGGAAACAATGCATATACTGTGGCGGAATGTCAGTTCTCACCCAACACATGTATCCACAATTCGGGGGAGGCAGAACGCACAAGAAGCCAAACGAGAACACAATCGAAAGTACTATCTTCTGATCCTTGGGTGCCCGTATAGACCATACAACGGGCAAGGGCAGCAGGAAGATGAGAAAATCTGTTCCTATCTGCAGCCCTGTGAGAGCATAGTAGACCTCATTTGAATGGCAATATCTAGCTTGCACCTCAAAATCCCAAAACGCGTCGAGAGGAATGCAGGCCGTAAAGTCGAGAATAAGATTGACGGCGCTGGTCACGATGACGACTACCAGGAACCCCAACAGTATCTTTCTTGTCCAATCATATGTCAGGGTTCGCAAGTATAGCAGCAGGACGCTGATCTTTGAGAGAGATAGGCTTGATGCGTAGAAAAGAATCGTGAACCATGATGCCTATGTTGAGGGATGTTCTGTCAGCCTGAGAGCCGCAAGTTTCTTTTACTGTCAGCATATGACTTAGGATTCTAACCTCAAGCATTGGAACATAGTTCTCTGGGGGTATGGCAAGGGAGTGTCTCCCGAGCCCAAAGCTTGCTTCGATAATGAAGCCAATGCTCTGTGCCAAGGAGAAGAATAGAGATGCCAAGATCACCCAGTCCTCCGCGCCGAGAAGCTTCATCAAATGTCCCCTGAGGTACATGCGACTTCCCACTACCAGGGCTGATATCAGCCATGTGAGAACGGCACATGCGATGATGTTGCCTTGGTACGACTCGCTGAGGTCAATCACCCCATCGTTATCACTGGACATGGTTCGTGTTGCTGGGGCTCGAGCAAGCAACACAAGTAGGATATCCCCTGTCCCACGCAGGAAGGGCTCGTCAATGACACGGTTGGAGGCAGAGAACCATCGTCATTCCTTGTTCGGCCGAGTACTGCAGGTATAGTAGGTGGGGAGGGATGTAAGGATACCGAAGAATCCCCCGGTTGTCGATCCTGCAGTGACAGATGCCGGACTTGCAGAGAGTGAATCTGGGGTACTGAGAGAAGTGAAATGTGACAGGTAAAAACGCGAGTGAAATCAAGGGAGTAGAATTCTAAAAGGTGGGATCACATGTGCAAAAAGGTAGTGTTTCCAAACATCATGTGCAACTCGTAATTACGACACAGCATCCACAGAGCACACCGCTGCGCAGAAGGGGGCGGGAGAGAGCTATTCATCGTCTAGTAGCTAGCAAAACTGGAACGCGTGGACGGGGAAGCCCACTGCCGGTGGAAGGCACTTCCACACACGATGGGGCCGACAAAGGTCTGTGTGGTGGAAGTGCCCAGCATTGGGCAGCGGCTGTCAAGGGATCTGTCGATGGTCTAGCCGTCACTGTTGATCCTCAAATGCAAGAAAGTGGGAAGGTCAAAGCACCCTGGAGTTGTCCCACATTTTGACTGATGGGTCTCGATTAATTCGACCCTAACAGGAAACGTATCCGAGATGAGCGCTTCGATTGTCTCCAGCTGTCTGCGGCCCTAGCTTTGTCTAGATCCTGTCAGGGCGAACACTTTTGTGGAAGCGAGCATCAGCTGCCGAACCGTTACGGGGCGCCGGCAATCTGATCAGTACCTGCCGTTCAATGCAGGATCCGGGTGATCGTGCCTGGCCTGGGATGCGATCGTGTTCAAAATGTCATGTCTTGAGGACTTCGTCTTTGGCTGATCTCAGCTCCCGGAGCGTGTGTAACTCCCAATTGCAGATTCTAAGGAGTACTGCAAGCTGGTGTATAATTTCATTCGCCCATCCAAATCCAGTATTTGTCCGTTTTTGGACAAGTCGAGCTAACTTGCTCTACTAACTGCTGAATGACTATCCATGAAGGAAGTTTTGTGTCAATCTTGCATGGGGCCTTGGCAGCGGAGTCGGCGACCTTGAAGGAAGAGTGGATCATGGTAGGGGGGCGCTTTTCATGATTTCAAGTGCACAAGCCCTCTGTTCTGTTTTGAGCTGATTGATAGACATAGCTGGGCTCGACTATAGCACATCCTCCTGAACATGGACAAGCAGGCCAGGCTTAATACTGCATAAGTCTTACAGCGAAAGCTATTTATTACAGCAGCGGTCGGTATCATACTAGGTCTCCTGTCTTCGCGGCTCGCTAATTTCGTGCGCAGCCATTGCCACGCCCCGTAGAAGGAAGGATAACGAGTCAAGCAATAGGGCTCCGTCAGGAGATTTCTTGCCCTGTCTCGAAAACACGGCCCAGGAGGGGCTCGACAGCCTCGTAGATTCGGGACTTCCCGCGGCTAACTCATCGTCACGTGCGGCCGCATTAGTGCTCGGCACGTGCAGAAGCTGGATAGTGGCGCAAAGGCCGCATTGGGGCCACCACTGCCGCGACAAAGTTCGCAAGCCCATGATGGCCCAGTAAGCGGCCCGTGTCCTGTTCGTGTATGCCACGTTAGTAGTCTAGTCAAGACGCCCTTCCCTTTGCGCCTTGAACTGGACTTCTGGCACCTCACCTATATGAGGCTCAGAATCTTATCATGTTGTTCAGACTCATAGAGGAGTCTAGCCGTTGCTCCTCCCAAGACTCCCTGCCCCCACCCCGATTCCGCCCATGTGGATCCTCCTATACCTCAGTGATGATAATATAAGGCAGTCCACATCCCGAAGCCATAAATGTGGGCGTAGTGAATTGGACCAATGGCTATGTGACTCCTCGCCTTCGACGCTTTGAAATCTGCAAAGTCACTCGGTGGAAAAGAATTTGACGGCCATGAGCAGTAAAGGAGTAGTGAGGCAACACTGCATCACTCACATGGCTTTGGCTCATGGACGAAGAACGGACAATGTCCAATAGAGGTGATTCGATTTTGCATCTTGCGTTCAATGGTCAGCTGAGATTCCGCGCTGCGTGCGGGAAGATACTTACTGGCTAAGCAATCTGGCCCCTTTCCTCCCACAATCATTACTCTGTGATACTGAACGGTATTTTCTAACGCCATTCATAACGCCGGCCCTTTACGGCTTGTTTTTCCAGCAGTTTGCTGAGAAGCTCTGTGAAGGGCGCAAAATACATTCCAAGCCTGCTTTACTTGGTCACAACCTTAAGAAATAAGATCGGCGACGTTCATTGGCATCTCGTCAATCTGGGTTGAGTAGTACACTGCGAATGATTAGCAAGCGCCCATCAAGGGAGATCCCGGGAAACTCACACTCGATATCTCGCAGAATGCGCACATCCTCGCTGGTAACGAAGTTGATCGCAACACCCTTACGTCCAAATCTTCCAGATCGGCCAATACGGTGGATGTAATTTTCACGATTGCTGGGAAGGTCGTAGTTGATGACCAGACTGACCTGCTGGACATCGATACCACGCGCCCACACATCAGTGGAGATGAGAACACGGCTGTTGCCCTGCCGGAAGTCCTGCATAATACTGTCTCGCTCCTTTTGCGGCATGTCACCGTGCATGCTGCTGACAGTGAAGTTGGCCTCGCGCATCTTGTCGGTCAACCAGTCCACCTTGCGCCGCGTGTTGCAGAAAATGACGGCTTGGGTGATGGTCAACGTGTCGTAGAGATCACAGAGCGTGTCGAACTTCCAATCCTCCTTCTCGACGGCAATGAAGTACTGCTTGAGACCCTCGAGAGTCAACTCGTCACGCTTCACAAGGATACGGACGGGATCGGTCATGAACTTTGTGGTCATGTCGAGCACATCGTAGGGGAGGGTAGCAGAGACGACGACGACTTGCGTGGCGGGAGGGAGGTATCGATACACATCGTAGATCTGCTCCCTGAATCCTTGGTTGAGTAACTCATCGGCTTCGTCGAGAACCAACATCTTAATATGGCGGGTGCGCAGATGCCGGCGTCGGATCATGTCGGCAACACGACCAGGAGTACCAGAAACGATGTGTTGGCCGTAGTCCAGCTTGCGAATGTCCTCGCCGACGTTTGTTCCTCCGATGCAGGCGTGGCATTGCACGTTCATGTAGTCGCCGAGAGCCATGACAACGCTCTGAATCTGTGTGGCCAACTCGCGTGTTGGAGAGAGAACGAGTGCTTGGGTTTCGCGGACCGCGGTATCGATGACCTGGAGCATGCTAATGGAGAAGGTCGCAGTCTTGCCGGTTCCGGATTGCGCCTGAGCAATAGTATCCCGGCCTTTGCATACTTGGACGATGGCGCGTGACTGGACAGCCGAGGGAGACTCGTATCCGTAGGCGTAGATTCCACGAAGGAGAGATTCTAATAAGCTCAGTCAGCATGCGCTGTCCAAAGAGTGTGTGCGATGCAAGATTGAACCTTACCCTTCAGCGACATGGACTCGAAGGTAGGATGGACAGTGACCTCCTTGGAGGTGTTGAACTCCATCCGCTCCTCAGCCTTACGATCGATACCACCTGCTTCAGCCATTTTGAAAGTCCGAGGGTGCTTCAATCAACTGGGTTTGGTTCGTTTGTGTCGTTGACTTGTTGATGAATTCGGCGCAAAGTAAGGAATGAAGTCGAAAGTCAAGCTGGAATACACACCTGCAGGCGGGCAGGCTAAGAAGCAAATTCATGCAGGGGTTGTCAGAATCGCGGGACCTTATCTTATCGGAGCTGGGCTGGCTGGCCCGTGCTCCCATAACAACTTCAAGAGTTGCGACAAAATCACAAGCGAACTTGTTCGTCTTTAGCTTGAGAACCAGTGCGTTGACCGGGCCGCTGAAACTGACATACTCTCCGCCTGTGGCACACAGACATCAAAATGCTGCTGGAGGAACAGCGCTATATTGCCGAGGACCTCGAGCGCCTCGAGCAAGGCGTCGCAGATCGCATTGGCGAGGAGCCCAAGGTGGTACGTGGTAGTCCTCTTCCCGCCCCAAATTCATGGACACAGCTGATCAAGGCCCCCACGAAACAGATCCGCGATCGCCTGAACCGAGACCATGAGGTATCTCAGCTCCTTGACCAGATACAGAAGCAATCCGCAGAGATGTTGTCTTTGTATCGTGATGCTAATGGCCTCCGATCCAAAGAGGTCCTGCAGATTGGCAGCGGTGACCCCTTCGAAGAGTTCTACAAACAGGTGAACGACGTCAGGGAGCATCACGCACGATATCCCAACGAGCAGGCTGAGAATTCCGAGATCCGATATCGTCAGCGCAAGACAGGAGACAGCGAGCCCCTCCCCTCCCTTGTCGATTCCATGTTCTCTGGCGAGGAGGCCTACGGACGATACTTCGACCTACACGCGTGCCACGAGGCATACATCAATCTACCCAACGTCAAGCGTCTCGGTTACCTGCAATACCTTCAGATATTCGACAACTTTGCACCGGGCCATGGCGGTGTCAAGAGGGCAGACAAATTGACGGATCAATACTTCAAGTACGTTGGAGGGCTGGCAGAATACTTGGAAACTTTCATGCGCCGTACACGGCCGTTGGAAAACGTGAGCAAGGTACTTGAATCCTTCGACAAAGAATTCGAAGCGGCGTGGGAGAAAGATGAGGTAGAGGGCTGGGCAAACGAGTCAGGTGCTTCCACATCATCAGCAAAGGAATTAAGCACTGCTGATGCTGTGTGGTGCGACGCCTGTGAGAAGGAGTTCAAAAACGAGAATGTCTATAAAGGGCATTTGAACGGCCGAAAGCATGTCAAAGCAGCAGAGGCTCTAGCACAGAGACAGCAAGGTTCCACAGATACTGCAGCACCTTCTGGGAGACTCTCTGCGACAAGAATGAAGGAGCGTGCCGTCGCGGAGCGGGAATTCAGAGTGAAGCGCCTAGCCAGCGCAATGAGCACTGAGCGAGAAGACACTCGGGTAAATGTGGAGCGGCGGCAAGGAATGACGGAGAGGGAAAGGCAACAAGAACTCGACAATCTGTTCAGCATGGCGGAGCAGCCACAGCAGATCGACGACACGGCTGACGCCGAGGGCGAGGACGGTGAAGAAAAGATATACAATCCTCTGAAGTTGCCGTTGGCCTGGGACGGCAAACCGATCCCATTCTGGCTGTACCGTCTACATGGCTTGGGGGTGGAATTCCCTTGCGAGATCTGCGGAAACTTCGTCTACATGGGTCGTCGTGCCTTCGAGAAGCATTTCAACGAGGCAAGACATATTTATGGGTTGAAACGGCTTGGTATCAACGACACTCATCTTTTCCGAGATATCACAGGAATCGAGGAAGCGCTGAAGCTTTGGGACAAGAGGCAGCGTGACAAGAAAGGGAACAAGATCGAGGATGGCAGCATCGTCCAAATGGAAGATGCTGAAGGTAACGTCATGCCGGAGAAGGTGTATTATGATCTGCAAAAGCAAGGTCTGCTCTGAGGAGTTGCAGGCTCGGAAGTCAATTTCATTGAAGCTTGCAGTGAGGCTGCGAAAGACACAGAACAAAGAAGATGAAAACGTTGTAGGTCGAGATACTCGAGTAAATCGTACTCACTTTGCATCAGATAGACCAATGGAGTCTCAAGCTGCCCCTCTTACTTCATGTGAGCCTTGTAGGCGTCAAGATCTCCCTTCATACATGTTTTCTCGCTTTTGTACTGGTCCCTTTCATGTTTAGTTTTGGGAAAACCTTTATGCACCGAGGCGTGGATAGCATCTATAAACTTTCGGGTCTACCTGCTGTCCCTGTCTGTTGATGTCTGATCGCAACTTCGAGTGAAAGGTATTTTGATATTTGTCGCGTCAACTTGGGAAGATGGAGTCAGACAGAGCAAGCCGCTCTGGATTGGCATGTGGTGCCTTGCACACAACCACACTCACAGGAAAGCCTTCCTTGAGCCACAGCGAATCTCATCTGAGCGTTGTATCAACCGATCGAGACTCCTTTTCTTCTCCTTCACGTTCACTCAGCCGTCAGTATTGTGTCCGTTTCTGCTCCTTGATTCACTTCCAGACACACCTGGTTGCCAGATTGCGGGAAAACATCTGGCGTTTACCTGGTACATTGGGTCAACCTATGCATCGGAGAGGAACCCTTGCCCTTTCCATCGATCAGAGACAGCGCGTGTGAGAGTGACGGAATGAAAAGCATGTAAGGTCAGTATTTTTCACATAATGCGACACACCGGCGTTGACAATCCTGCGTGTTTGTTCGACCGTGGTTGCCACCCCTCCCCCTTGCTGAGGTAGTCTCGTACTGATATTGCAATTCTATAAGATGGAAGCCGTCGACTGGGAAATTCTCGGCGTAGACCTTGACGACATCGAGATTCCAGACAACAACATAAGCCACACACTCGCCGTTTTTGAGCAATCTCCAGAGGTATTCTCGGTGCCTTCGGACCACGACTTTGCGGACATTGATCTGGCCCCCATCAATTGGCCAAACGAGTCGGCCCCAATATTTGATCGTTTCCCTGAAGCTTTTGACCACAAACTGGACGAAGAAGTGGCAAACAAGGAATCGTGCGTCATATGTGATCCCAGCGACCGTGTTTCCGTCTTTGGCCAGATTCCTAAGCCTTCGGCTGTTGATCCAACTCGCCTTCCATATTCTTGGATGGTTCAGAATCCAGGGCAAATGGCTGAGAGTGATTCCTCTCCCGATGACAAGTTTTGCAGAAACACCTTTTTTCCACGATACGTCGGCGCCTCGCCAGGCAGCCAGTTTGTCAGCAACATTAACGCAGAAAAGCACATGGAAGTGGAATTCAAGCGTGGACTTTTGAGCCCCGCTGCCTACTTTTTCCGTGCTGTTAGCTTCTCATGTATCATGGACCTCAATAGCCGAGGATTGTAAGGCAATCCGAGCCTATGACTTCTCCTTGGCGTCACCTTGCTAATTCAGACTACATTCAAAAGCATCCACCCCACTCACTTCGCTGTCTTCATCGGTCGGCTTTTCAATGGCGACCCTCGCTTCCTGGATGTCTTCAACAGGTTCTTCCTGCCCAGAGAACTGAAAATTATACCCGTAATTCGATGCGGTGTCGTTTACGATTGTTTTCTTCAGCTGGGCCGCCATCTCGACCAACATCCAACTCACGCCCGCCATCCTCAGTTCAAGATGCTGGTCAAGGTCTTGCACCATTTAATGATGAGAAGGGTACGCAACGAGAAGCTCCAGGACGAAATTGTCGGGAAATTGGTCAACACGTCGAACGGCCAAGAGTTCCAACCTACCCCTGCTGCTAAGACAGTCCTTCGCGGTCTGAAGTTGTCGCCCCGGTTCTTGAGCCAACTGAGCAGCTCTTGGCCTTTCAAGAACTACCCCTGGGAGGACGCAGATGAACAAGGTCTCTACAGCACGCGGGGAGTCAACAGGAAGAAGTCCCCTGGTTCTCTGGACCCACGACTTCTCATCGTCAGGGGCAGACACAGAGCTTGGGCTTGAGTGAGAATGCCACCGGCTTAGTATCCTCTTGTAAACTTGCGCAACATCTATGGAATGATCTCCAGAAACGAATGACGTCGGATCAGAAGGCATTCACCATGCAAAGGATCATGTTCAACGGGGTGGGCTCGCCGTGTCCGGGAAGTTCGGAATTGCCGGACTTTTGGCCAGCCGACGATGGCAAGGCATCTGGATATGATTCGCGCCATTCAGGATTCTTTAACCGACTCCGCGTAGGTAGAGAGTCTGAGGCTTGGCAGAAGTTGAATGACAATCTTGCGCTTCTAGTGACGATTGAGAAAATTCACAAATGAAGTCCTTTACGGGCTCTTGCGCAGGTCTTATACTGTGTGACAACAGTATTGTTTATTATTGGATGCCATCATCTTTCGTGACTGCAATGTATCCGATTCGCTCGCTAATGGCATGGATTGACGAGGCCAGGGCGGCACCAGGCGCACCTGTGACAAGGCGCTTCGATAAAGTGATCTATCTTACAAAATGGCAGGATTTAAGAAAGCAATTTTTCGGTTTCTATTACGAATATTATGAGTTCCGAAGTCGGGGCGATGATGGACCTCTTGAACAATATCTTACTGACTTTCCTTTCTCAGGCTTGGGTACGCCATGCTCTTTGGCCGAGATCTCCACGTACGTAGGATGGTAATTGTTTCAAGGTCTCATAAAAATACCTAAAATGACCACTTATAATCCACTTGAATGCTTGATGAATCTCGAATGCCGCCCGCAATTGTCTGGTTTTCACGTCTTCTACCCACCCCCCCTAGGTAACACCACCCAACGGTAAACCCTCTCATATCACACTAAGATTTCTAGCTCAAGCAGCCCAAACAACTTCTATTCAGCTGGCCGTAAAAAAGCTTCTCCAGGAATGTGTGAGACCAGCTTGTGGAAGCATGACCCCCGCCAAGGCACATAGACTTGTGACCTGTGTGCTTATCAGACCAAGCTTTTGAGTCGCGAAAATATTGGAGCCACTTACCGACATAATAACAAATGGCAAAGCCAGCCACGGATCTTCTTTATTTCCAGTCCTGGCCCAAAAGTCTTGCAAAATAGGCCACGCTATGAGCTGCCCCAGCATCTCTGCAATCTGGATCATGCCGTAAAGTCGCCCACGGAGTCCTGGTCGTGCAAGACATGTGATATATGACAACAATGATGTTCGTAAGCCCAAGCCTATGACGAAGATGATGTATGCTGTAATCATCAGCAAAATTATTCTATAGTCCGCGGAGTCTTGAGTAACTACTCACCAATCATTCGCGATACAAAAGTCGAGACCGACGTTATGAGTGCGCCGCTTATGGCAAGGTGTAGAAGACTGCCACGGATAATCCATGTATCTACGCCAGGACTGGAGATTCCAAAGCGTTTTTGTACAAAAAATATAGCCCGCGGGACGATGAATACAAAGAGAAGGAACCTAATAATTCCGCCGGGCAGAAGGGACAGAGGAACTTGCTGTCGGTCCTGGTCAGAGGGACGGGTGACCCATAAGTAAGTCGTGGATGCCTGCAAGGCAATTCCCGCAAATGCAGGCAAAGTGAAGACGACTAGAAAGAATAAGATTTGCCGTGACCTCAGAAGCCAAAGGAGGCCTGTTTGTCCAGCGGCCTGATCTGGCAAACCCGGTATTTCCCTGGAATGATTTGATAAAGTCGACTCTATGTCTTCTAAGCGTCGTGAGTCCTCTATCACAGAGGGCTCATCCACGTATCTAAAAACCACAAAGCAGCTTCCAAGAAAGACTAATGATAATAAAACATTGAGGTAGACTAGTGGCGTATCGACGACGAGTGCCTCAATTTGAATGAATGGAATGATAGCCTCAGTCACAAGAAAGGCTCCATAAAACGAGAAATAAAGTTGGCTTCTGTGTACAACATGAGCATCTGCCTGTATTTTGATCCAATGGGTAAGTCGGATCAACTTACCTTTGTTCTTCGTGGAGACTTTCTGATGCAAGGAGATATATCAGAGTCATTGCCAAGGAACAGCCCCCGCCAATGAGCCAAAAGGCCGGAGCAATCCAAGTGAGTTCCAAGGGAAGCAAAGCAGGAAACGAGACTGCAGCGGAAAAATTCAGAAAACTGGAGTACCTAGGTAATACCTATGCAGATGAGCGATGAGGTGATCAGGGGTTCACGAACCTACGGCAACGGTCCAAAGGCACGAGAATAGCTGACCGACCAGGGCCAGAGTTATGACCTTCTTCTTGCCACGAAAGTCGGCGAATTTCCCATAAGGAACAACCACAAGGAGCACTGCAGCAGAACGCAGAATTCGTTAGCTCAGATGGACAGGCGAGCAAAACAACTCACGGATAATGAATGCTAGCAGCTTCTCCCATTTCACCAGCTCCAAGAACGGTTGCGTTACAGGTTCTTCGAGATGACAATGAAACCAGGCTAATTTCCCGCCGGGCCCAATCCTATCAGGGTGGTGGTGTTTTGTGTGTTTATAGCAAATCCGTCGTATTTTGAGCTCTGTTGAAGCGTTGCTGAAAAAGATCAAGTGGGCCTGAAGAAGGATTGAAACAAGAATGAGGAGGACAACATTCTTCTGCAGGAGTCTTTGCCTGCGAACGGGTGAGCTGCTGTCGTCCCTGCCTCTGACTGAATCATTCTGATTTCTAAGGAGACTAGTTGTTTCGTCTGGCGTAGTCCCGGCGGCGTCCATTCTGTCAATATTTCTGATGAGTTGATCCAGAAGTCAAATGCAATATTACTGAAATGAAAATTATTCTACAAATGATTCGAAAAGAGATCTTGACAAAATTGTGTTTTGCTGATTTACCAGTGTTGCTGACATCAGACCATCCGGCCGCAGTCAATTGTTAGCTGCCTGGCCGGCAGCTCAGACAGTACACACGTATCCCAGTACATCTGCGCCTCCTCTACTCCTACTCGGATCCTTCGACTCGCATTTCCTATAATTAATTAATGTGTAACCAGACTCAACGCTCCTTTGATGCTCTGCATATCACACTGCGTCCAAAGTAATAGCAAGGCTATCTGTGCCTCGTTATGCCTATTTAGTGGGGCCAACCGCTTCATTACCAGACGAACCACTCCGTAGATGGTAGAAAGTGAACTAGCCACATACAGATTGCTAAGGTTCACTCAGACACTTTGATAGTTTCAGAGACATTTCGGTGGCAAACGGTTGTAGAGGCAACGCGTCCAGGCGGCTAGTCCCTGCTAAAAACCAACGAGTCCCACGGTGCCTGAGCTCTTCATTAGCAATCAATTTCTGCGTGCTGCGTGCTAATCTAGGAATAAGCACACTGTATTTACGAAACGTTTGAGTGGCAATTATGACGAGTCTGGCCAACCAAGCGAGGGTTATCAATCTTCCGAACATTGAAAAGAACCTGATAGCAAGTACGGTGTTTTGATACACATGGAAAAGATCTCAAGTCAGAAGCTAGGACAAAGGGGTCGAGTGTAACTAACGCTAGATCTGCTAACAAATGCCAGTCCCCGAACACATCATCAGCGGTAATGACTATGGAAGATCGACGCTAGATGGCATCTGCAGCCAATCACCAAGTCCCTTACCGAACGCCACACCCATCAGACCCTGTTCCCTTCGATGGGATTTTTCCAAATTCCCATCCAGAAAAAGCGAATGGCAACTTTTTAGGTGGAGCTTTTGCTCCGTGGGTTGCGGTATCGCTAGCTTGCCAGAGTAGGCTAAGTAATTATGAAATGGAAGAACTGCTGCCACCCTGAAGCTCGTCATAGACTCTTGGACGTCATGGCAACACTTTGGCGAGTTTGTTTGGTAATGAATAATTACGGTAGCTTGACTGGCCAGGTTGGTCAAGGCAAAATAGAGACTGATTGCATATAAGCTTCATCGCTTCCTGTGCTTGCGCATTTGCCCATTTTCTCCAAGTTCTCGATATCAAAAGACCAGAGCCGATGGATACAGTCCAGAAAGTTATTGCACAACCCATCGAAACAGTCAAACAGACCCTCAACATGGCACCCTCAGCAGATACCAGCTTTGCAGGGCATATTGCCAGTCAATTTACTGCGTATGAGAGCGACCGAAAGATGTCCTCCAAAGACGCACTTTATGCTACTTCCAATGGCGCCCCGATGCCTCACCCATACGAGACTCAGAGAGTGGGCGAGAACGGCCCTCTCCTCCTACAGGATTTTCATCTCATTGATCTTCTTTCCCACTTCGACCGCGAGAGGATTCCTGAGAGAGTGGTGCATGCGAAGGGAAGTGGTGCACACGGCTTCTTCGAATGCACCAACCCCGTCCCCGGCTTGACCGCCGCCGACATCTTCTCCGAGAAAGGAAAGAAATGCCCGGTCACAGTGCGCTTCTCGACAGTCGGTGGAGAGTCGGGCTCGCACGACTGTGCTCGTGACCCTAGGGGTTTCTCCGTCAAGTTCAGAACAGAGGATGGTAACTGGGACGCTGTTGCAAATAACACGCCCGTCTTCTTTTTGAGAGACCCGGCAAAATTTCCACACTTCATCCACACCCAGAAGCGGGATCCATCAACCCATCTTACGCATGCGGACGACTCGACCATGTTCTGGTTCGTTCTTCCTTTCTACTGTCCTTATGCATCTGAAATGACTAATATCAAAGTGTAGGGACTATCTTTGCAATAACCCAGAGTCAATTCACCAAGTGATGATTCTTATGGGTGACCGCGGTATTCCTGATGGTTATCGCTTTATGCACGGATATGTTGGGCACACGGTGAAGTTCGTCAATAAGGAAGGCGAATGGGTCTACGTCCAGATTCACTTCAAGTCCCAACAAGGAGTCAAATTCATTACGCAGGAGGATTCGGCCTCAAAGTCGCCAGATTACAGTCAGAAAGATCTTTACGAAGCGATCGCAAAAGGTGATTATCCGAAATGGTCTGTCGAGGTCCAGACAATGACTCCCAAGGAGGCCGAAGAGCTCTGGGAGAAGGAGAAGATCAATGTCTTCGACTTGACCCACGTTTGGCCACAGAAGCAGTTCCCTCTCACCAAGATTGGAGAGTTTACTTTGAACGAGAATGCCGTCAACTACTTCGCCGAGGTTGAGCAGGTTGCATTCAACCCCTCTCACATGCCTCCAGGCATTGAGCCTAGTGCCGACCCGGTCTTGCAGAGCAGACTGTTCTCTTACCCTGACACACACCGTCACCGCATCGGGGTCAACTACCAGCAGTTGCCGGTCAACGCCCCAAGAACAGGATACAAGTTCGGAAACTTCCAGAGAGACGGTCCCATGGCTATCTTCAACCAGGGTGCCAGGCCAAACTATCTCTCGTCCATCGACCCGATCAAGTTCCGTGCTCGTACCGTCGACCTGGATAAGACGCATGGTCATTTTACGGGCGAGGCTATCACCTTCCTGTCTGAGATTCGACCAGAGGACTTCAATGCACCTCGCACCCTGTGGCAAAAGGTCTTTGATGAGCCCGCGCGTGAGCGTTTCATCTCCAACGTCTCGGGCAAGATGGAGGCTTGCAAGGAGAAGGAGTTCATCAAGAGGCAGATTGCCATCTTCCGTGAGGTCGACCCTGATATTGCCACGCGTCTGGAGAAGGCGACGGGCATCCAAGGCTATGATGGCATCGCGAACCTCAGCTTTAATGGTACACACAACGGTATGGCTGCCGACAAGAAGCTCAGGTATGCGAATGGCATTGATGTTACGAAGGGCCAAAGTGTGACCAAGAATAACGGTGCACCTGTTTTCGGAACGCACAAGGTTGAGAATGGTGCCAATGGCCACTAAAGCTGAAATCGCGAGAGAATAGAAATTTATCCATTTATACCAAAATCCGTGTTTTGAAGCGTATTTTATTTTCTGAAATATTTTGTAAGGGATCGATATTCATTAAAATAAGAAGTTTTCAGTACTCACCAAAAATGATGTTTGTGTTGTGCTTGCCCAAGTGGGGAGTGTATACGTCATGTTGAGCCTACAATGACTCCAGGACGATCGCGTTCCAGAGCGGAGCGATGATCAACAACTGGAATGTTGGCCGATGTTCTACACGCCTCTTCTGAACTACTAGAACCCGACAGTAGTAGTTGATCCTGCTGTTGTGGATGTATGCAGAGGAACGACCGAGCCAGCTGATCTAATCCGCAGCATTAAATCGACTCCAGCTTCTTGAGCCAGAGCCAAAAGATCCTGATAGTCTTCGGTCTCATTCATACATCTGGTGAGGTCAAGATTCTTGAGGCTTGGGAAGCGTCCTTTGGGGCCACATTCGCGAAGAAGGTCCACCAAATTTTCTTGGGTGACCTGATCCCCTGCTGACGCTGGCTCAAAAGCAAGCCTCAGGCTGATAAGGCTCGGGGGCAGAACTTTTGACAGAGGTTGGCTGGCGCAATTCTGGTCGTAATCATCGAGCCCGTATAGCACCACGAGGTCGATGGCGAGGTGCTTCAGCTTGTTGCAATGGACGAGGCAGTCTCCCAGGCTCCCCGGATCAGCATTATCACAATATTGCACCCATAAATCCTCATAGCAATCGATCCAGACTTCTTCCAATGAGTCGGCATGTAGGCTAATTGCGTTGGCAATGGATTCACTGGAGAATTCGGACTCCTCTTCTGACACGAGGGAACCGCCCCACTGGAGGATGAACACGCGGAGGCGCCTGCACGCTCTCGTCAGAACCCTGATTCCGTTATCGGTTATGAAAGACCGGTTTATATGGAGTTCTTCGACATCTGACGTCCCGTTGGGAAATAGTTGGTCTGCTAGCGGCTGTATTGCAGTACCCGAGCCTGAAGGGTCGGCCTCGTCGAGGGTCAGTCCGGCAGCCTCCATCGCATAGGCCCTGAACACTCGCAGGCCTGGGAGGCGGAAGAAGGGCGCCGCAATACGACCATCCATGGATCCCTCAGTATCCCCTAAAACGTGTTAGCTACTATTTTCGAGCCCGCAGGAAGGGATACAATCCTACATACAGTGACCCAGCGACACGCAACGCAGCTTAGTGAACATGGCGGGTGATGGAAGGTCGCGATCTAGACCTTCAGGTGCCGACAGCACGCCCACTACCATTTTCACCAGCCGAATTAACCACGGGTCGGGCTCTCCCGAAGCCCAAAAGTCCAACGTCAAGTCAAGCGTTGAAAGCTCTGTTGCCCACGCCACCGCCAGAGCGGCTATCGCGCCTGGAGATCTTTGTGCAATTTGGCCTGTCCAGGAAAGTCCTACATCGTCACCCCTCCAATCTGCCAGGGGAGGATATATTCTCTCAGCAGATTGGACGAGCAGCTCGACTTCCTCTGTAGAACAATAGCTTTGAGGCCACCTGTTATATGGTGGGGCGGGGTCGTCGCCTTGCAGCGCTCGTTCGAACGAGAGCACATTCAGAGCCAGGGACTTCACCTGGGAGCGCAGATATGGGTGTTTCAGAAGATGCAGCACAAATTTGGCTCCATTTCTATCCGTCGGTCTCAAACGCCAGTTGAGGACAAGGAGAGGACTGGCGACAGCGTTGAATCGCTTGTTGACCTGCACCACGGGTAGTAGAGGATGAGGGCCGTACGGCCAAGTGAGAAGGCCGCAGTCACTATTTTCTGGATACTCCGTGGCGATATGCATGAATATCTCGTTTAGGACTTCATCCGGGGCTCTCTCGAATGGTGAAGTGGCATGGAGCTGAGCCTGTGTCATCTTTGATTGATATGTCTCGAGGCTCTCGGTATCTCCATTTGGGGTTATAGGTTGAACTTAACTAAAGGGAAGTTAAGTAAAGCGGGGACCGATTCCTTAAAACGAGTGCTCAATGATGTAGATTGGAGGCTGTGAAAAAGCGTGCTTTTTCGTACGGCTTTGGAGAGATGCCTCCCGCTCGTCCCCGCAATTTGCTAAGAGTGGCGGCATCGATTGGCTTCCCAGTTTTGGATATATGCAAGGCATGCAAGGCAAACAAGAAGGGTTCAGCCCAACTGAAATATATTGGGAAGATGCACAAAGTTGTTTGCCAAGAGCACAGCGTCTGAATATCACATGCTTTACCTGTAGGACAGATGATGTGTAGGCCGGAATCCCCGACCGGCGCTAGATCCATCGCAGCTCACTCTTCTTCATCTTGCATACCCTAGTCGGGTTATACACAGATTGGTAAGAGAGATGCGAGCGAGCTGTTCCGAGGGTTAATTTCATTCCATGTTTAGGTAAAACGAATAAATATAGAGCCTGCTTCGACACCTCCGTCCACGGACACCGTCAGCGCATCTTGTTGATGCCTCCGAACATGAACCGTTTCTGCACTCCCAAAATCTGACAAAACCCGCACAAATAAATAGATGAATAGTCTTCAGGTGTACTTGGATGAATGAAAGGCGTATATTGAGATCAATTGAGGACTAGCTGCAGAGCCTTCTTGTGAGATGGCCTAAAACAAAGAAGTTATTGCGTAGACATGTTTAATACTACAACTCACACAACTATTTCGGCCATCATTCGTTGACCACAGATCCCTTTTGACTGCAGTTTGAGTTCTGGATTTGAATGTGAAGCAAGCCTTGATTGCTTTGCACCACAACACCCTCGCCAGGGTCAGAGGATGTCTGCAAATTGGTGGGAGTGTGTTTGTACAATTTACTGAATTTCGTGATATCTAGACACCAGAGATATCTCGTGATGAAGAGCGGAGATGAGCATGTTGCTGGCCACTTGAGCCGAGAGGGTTTCCTTAAACACCGTAGTTGAACTCTCTGTACTTCTTAAAGAAGTACCATGTGGCCAACCCTCCTGTAGCAAAGAGACCAAGTGGCACAGGAGCCCTGAACTTGGTCTTAATACATCTGCTTGTTGCCGCGCCGAGCAGAGTAACACTGCTTCCAAGTGCAAGCTCTGAGCCGTAATCCTTGTTCTCCTTGAGGAGGTAGCCTGCGAGGTATCGTTAACACCAGCATAAATAGAGGGTCAATGGCAGAAGATGTCATACCCGCGACGCCGTATGAAGCGCCCAATCCAACGCCTGCGATGAGAGACGGTTTTGAGCCGCCCTTGACAAATCCCATTGTTCCGCCCGCAGCCACTAGTCATCGAGACAGGCACGTTAATAATCTCGATCTGTGAGAGGTTAGGGTGCAGAGATTCAAGTACTCACACAGGCCGGCTAGTGTGAAAGCTGGGTGATCGGCTCCCATTGTGTCTGTTGAAGATGTAGATGTGGATGTGGTGATGGCTTCCTCGAAAGGTGGCTGAAGTCGAGATTTCTAAGCCAAGTTCCTCACCAGATATTCCACCATCCCGGTCGGTCTGGACCCTGCGTGCTCCCAAACATTCGAGCCCCACAGGCGAGCCGCATGGGTTCCTGTGCACGGGCCTAGTCTTCTAACGTCATCACTCCGACGACCTGCGGCACAGCATCAACATCAACACCAGCACTAGACATCAGCGCCAACCCCGCCATACGGCAGTCTGACCTGCCTAGATGTGAACAAACACGGCGCGAGGTCTCACCACAAACCCCGCCCCGAAGATGTAGCGACAGACTCAACCATGACTGTCCAGTCCAAACCAATACCTGCCCTCTACGTCGTCTACATCCTGCGCAGCACCGTCCGCCAAGCCTCGCTCTACATCGGATCGACGCCCCACCCCCCGCGACGCCTGAACCAGCACAATGGCAAGGCCAAGGGTGGTGCGGCGCGGACGTCGCGCAACAGCCTGCGACCATGGGAAATGGTCGGAGTGGTGTCTGGGTTTCCGAGCATGGTTGGGGCCCTGAAGTTTGAGTACGCACCGTCCTTTTGCGTCCCCAATACCGGCCTAAATCCCGCTTCCTCTGCTTCTGAGGCTAACTTGCGTCGTTTTCTCAGATGGGCCCTGAACAACCCGCACCTGTCCCTGCACATTTCCCCCGAAGACCGCCTCTCGTTCTCCACGCAGCGCAAGCGTAACGGACAGCCCAAGAGACCGATGCACACCATCGCGTCAATCCTGTCGAACGTGCACCTCCTGCTCCGCGTGCCCAGCTTCGCGAGGTGGCCGCTGACTCTTCACATGTTTGATCAGGGCGTCCATGCACGGTGGGAAAAATACCTCGCCGGCACAGGGGTGGAACCGCTGCAAAAGACCCTGGAGGTCGTCACGGATTTCAAGCCGGCTGCGGTGGTGGGGGCCGAGGCTAGGCAAAAGGAGGCTGCAGAGCGGGCAGCCTCTGATAGTGTTGACAAGGAGAGCGACGAGGAGGCCAAGGGAGATGAGGAAGAGCCGGAGGGCCCGAAATGGGGAATCCACACCCTCCCTCTTGATTACGCGCCGCTGGCGCCATATCTCGAGAAAGGCCAAAATGTCACAACTTTTGAGCGCGAGGGCAACTGCGTCGTCTGCCTCCAACACCTCGAACACGGCAAGGGCTTGTTTGCCATCTGTCCCAACGGCGAGTGTGAGGGCATGGGGCACCTGGACTGCTGGAGCCGACATCTGTTGCACCAGCAGGGTGACAGCGATGGGAATGTCCTACCACTGGAGGGCCGCTGCCCAAAGTGCGACGGTGCGGTGAGATGGGGCGATATGATGAAGGAGATGACACTAAGGGTCAGGGGTCAGAAGGAAGTGGACAAGGTTCTGAAGAAGAGCAGACGCGCTGCTGGCTTGACTAAGGCGAAGGCCAAAACAAAAGGAAAAGCTAAAGCCAAAGCTGATGCTCAAACCTGAGGAACCAATCTTGGCTACCTAGGTAGCTTGTCCTCTTGTGCTTATTACTCACGTCTAAATGTGGAGATATATGTTGATACCCGCGATGAATTGCATTTCTTTCGATGACGCGATGCTGAGTTATCACTGCATTTGAATTCTCTTTTTCATTTTGACATATTCGCAGATTCATCAGGACTCAACGTGATGTTGACGTCGTTGCCCCCAAGATCTCAAGACCTGCAAAGCGGACCCCCTCCCACCCAACTTTCAACCATTGAATTTGATATCGCCAATAACTTCAAGATCGAAGCATCGGGACTGAAGTGTCTACAGCTACTACTTTCACGAGGTAACATTGCCTTGATATGAATGTTTACATTTACTTCGACTCAAACCTCAGCTGCCCAATTAGAGACTTTACATTTTTGAAACCCACACGGCCGCAAGGGTGTAAAAGGCAGGGCTGCGATCATACGATGAGCGGTGTATTGAGCATGGAATAAATAGACATTGGGTACCCAGCTGGCATGCAAGTCGTTTCTTCGCTCCAAAGGGAAATCGTTGGCGGAAGTTGATGGGGACAGCATGAGCACAAGGTACTCTTCACGCGCAGCGGCAACCTACTGTGGGGATACAAGCATGGCTTTCAGTTGACAAGAGGGAAGGATGAGGAGCATATCATCAAAACTGGGATTTGGCCAAAAATTTCACTTGAGGGTCTTGGACGACCTGACAGAGTTGACAATGACAACGATGTTGACAATACACATGAACGAGCACGACATTGGGGGCGAGCAGTCTGGCCTCATCTCAGTTTACCGTTGCGCAGCATCGGAAGCGGAAGGGGCCCAAATCCATGATGGAAAATCACGGAGAATACAACCTGCGCTGATCGGCTGAAGTGAACATTGCGGCTCCGCAGACTGGGTGTGCAGGTGCTATATGTACGAATGTACGAGGAGATGTCGTTGAAGGTCGGACCTGCTCTCCGGACCCGTTCAACGACATGTCTTTTCTCATTGGGCGGCAGCTGCAGGGGGTCGGCCCATGTAAGTCGCCCGCCCCTGCCGATATCAGGGTCGCTCCCTGACCTCACCTCATCTTGAAGCAGCAGCCCTTATGCCCCTGCCCTTTTGAGTGAGCCACGAGAAAAGATCAACCGCAATGCTTTGGCCGATTCATAACCAGCTCTCATCGATTGCATCCAGATACTTTGGCTCTCATATTGATGCAGTTGTTGCCGACGGCCTGGCGTTGGAATAAGCTCGTTACCGAGCCCGTGGAAAAGTTGGGGTTGCAGACGGGCTCCAAGTTTTGGCTAGATTGTGGCCCCCTTCCAACTCCAATTCTAGGTACCTGACAGCCCCGACAGCCCTGGCGGTGCCTGCCACTGCACACTGATTGCCCGCCGTCCGCCTCGGCCGACTGTTCCCCTTTCCCCACGGCCCAAGGCAAAAGACGAAAGCATCAATCAATTGATCTCCCTCCCCACTTCAGATCCAGACATCAGCCCACCCACCGTCCGACCAACCGACCAACCGACCAAAACCACCAAGCACGCTAGCATTGATTCAACTACAAAACAGGACAGAAATGGCAAGCGGGGCGCGATTTTAAAGTTGAACGGAATTCATGGGCGACAAGGCCCCCGCGCCCTAGCCAATGCCTACTACTAGTACCTACCCACCTAGGTTGGCTCTGGAGGCTATATGTGCTTCATGGCCCATGGGATGCGACAGTGTCAAGATCCTGTGTCATGAAGCCAACTGTCCATCGCACGGTACATGATAGATACATTTATGCCGGCACAGTACCTCGGCTTACGCCTCGAACCGATCAGCGACGGAGACTCGCACCACCTTGGACAAATGTAGCAACCAGAAGACCAGAAGGCTGTGGTGCACTGGACTCGGTCAATATTAAGTGCCTGCTAACTTCTACGGGCTAAAAGCTTAAGATGCAGGCTTTTGAAAATGCAATTGATGAAGAGGGAATGATGAGCGAGCGATGCTGAGGTTGACGGTACCTGTGCGTGTACCTGGTTTGCCACCGTGAGCAGGTACCGTAAAAGTGGGACCCCTGCACACACATGCACCATATCAGCCTCCAGAATGATGATGATGGATTTGAATGTCCCGTCCCACCCAAGTCTGTTCAGTCCGGCCTTGTCTGGCCCTGCCTGACCTGTCCCATGTCCCATGTCCATGCCGCCCATGCCATGTCAATCGGGTGCCACGCCTCTCTCTCCCTCTCTCTCCAGTCTCCAGCTTTTTCGAGAGGGTCCCCATATCCCCCGGTCGCCCTGCACGCCTTCACTTTTTAGTCTACTGTTCGTTTCTCATGTTCGATTTTTGGCGTGCTTTATGCACCGCACAGATGCAGCCATTCTGATAGCCAGGCGAACCCTCTCTCTGCAGTTCGCCCTGATAGTCCTTCTCTCTTCTCTCTCTCTCCCTCATCTCCCTCTCTCTTCCCTCCCATTCTCTCGCCCATTCGCCCACCCCATGTCCATACCTGGGCCCAGCATAGTACGTACCAGCCCCATTCCTAATCCCACCTACGATACATGTCTACCAGGTTGCCATATCCCGCACCTTCCCTCCCACTCCCGTTCTTACAGCACGCCTTCCCGCCTCTTCTGCCACATCGCATTTCCCCTTCGGCCATTTTCCTGTCCCTTGCCTGCGATCCTACAAACCATCCAAGCCATTCATCCCTCGGCAGTAACACCCACCCCCCTCCAGGCGCACTGGTTCCACCACCTTGGATGGTCAGCGCAAAACACATCTGACCCTAGGCCGCATCCGTCTGACTTGACTAGTGATAAGCGTATGAACCATTGTCGCCCTCCATCACCACCGAGCCCTCCTCGCTCTGTCCTTCCTGCCAACAATCCTGCCTCCTGCGTTTACGAACCCGACCACGTCGACATGGAAACTTGACCACGACCAAATATACAGCCACCTGCGAGGAATATTGCTGCCAGCATACTCGACCGGTCTTCTGACACCACAGGAGAAATCGGCATGCACTGCGATGCGATCGTCTGTACCTGCACCCGACTTCCCAGTGTTGTATGAAGGACCGCCAAACAATTGCAGCACAGTCCGGCCGCAACGCTGACCAGACTGTTTACTGCCAACCCTCGACAATATTCTTGCCGAGCAAATCTTCCCTCCGATGCCTTTCACCGCGATCAGCGCTGCCGCAGCGAGCGGTCCCAGCGCCGCCGGCACCTCGAGTGCGAATGCAAGCTCGAGAGCCTCGCCTGCCGTAGGCGGACCCTCGACAAACCAAGCCTCCAAGCCAAAATCGGTACAGGCCAATCCAAACGGCACTTCTTCACATCCGCATACCGTCTTGAGTAATATGACGAGCTTGCCGTTGGATCTATCTTCAGTCGAACGCCGAGGCCTACCCACAGCGCCCAAGGAACCTGTCAAGAAGACGGGTCGCATTTACGACCTGGAGGATGCGCCAGTCTACCAGCCGACAGATGATGAGTGGAAGGACCCTATGGAATATATACGCAAGATCACACCTGAGGCCAAGAACTACGGCATCTGCAAGATCATTCCGCCAGATTCTTGGAACCCAGATTTTGCTATTGACACTGAGGTAAGAACCCTCCGCTATGGAGCAGGAATGCCCGCCCCGGTGCGCAGCATGCGCCGGCGCCGGTATTGTCCAGCCTGGATTTCCCATGGAATATCATAGGTCATGTGGCTGACAAGCCGTACAGAGATTTCACTTTCGCACTCGAAAACAGGATCTCAATTCTGTTGAAGGCAGTAAGCATCCCTCACCCCTTGTTTCGCAGTGTTTCTCTAGGTGTTGTAGAAACTAAGAGCGCCCACTCTGTGACAGGCAGCCGAGCCAATATCTCATACGTCGACTCTTTACTCAAATTTCATAAGCAGAATGGAGGTCACATGGTCCGAATGCCCTATGTCGATAAGCGGCCATTGGATCTTTGGCGGCTCAAGAAAGCCGTCGAGTCTCGCGGGGGTTTTGAGAAGGTCTGCAGGTCCAAGAAATGGGCTGAGATCGGCCGCGACCTGGGCTACAGCGGCAAGATCATGAGCTCTCTGTCGACATCCCTCAAGAACTCATACCAAAAATGGCTGTGCCCATACGAGGAGTATCTTCGGCTCGCCAAACCTGGCGTCTATCAGCAGCTGGAGACGGAAAATGGCGGGCCACTGACTCCAAGCCCAGCTCCAAGCCCCATGAAGCACTCCAACATGCCCACGCCCTCCAGTCTCAGAGGTGAATCCCCTGCAAGGTTCGCATCATCCGCCTTGCAGGCTTCTGTAAACTCAGATAGGGATACGCCAATGCGGGACGCACAGCCCTCAGCGCCGCAGTCTGTCACAAGTGGATTTACAGCCATCAATTCCGGTGGTTTCACAGCAGTCAACTCGGGGTTCACCAGTGTCAATCGCGCGCCCGCCGCTGAAGTCAAGTCCAACACGCCCTCAAAGCAATTCACAAGCCCTATGACCTCGGCCAAAAACACACCGGAATACCGACCTTCTGGTCTGGGACCAGCAAATTCGCTGAAGCGGCAGATGAGCGTTGACAGCCTTGACTCAGCCAGAGAGAATGGCGTTGACAAGGACGAAGACAACGGTAGCAGGAGAAGTAAGAGACTCAAGAAAGGTACGTTTTGCATTGCTCATACTGTGCCCCTTTCAGTCATCCATCGCGGCCCCCTTCCCTTGTGAGCTGCAGGTGCCACCTGGTTGCAGTCGTGAATTTTTTGCTGGTGGCGTTCCCGATTCATTCACCGTTTCTTTTGCTGGTCGGCGGAGCCTTGCCACATGGCGCAAACCGGTTGCAGCCAGCCCAAAACTCAATCTGGGCGCTCCAGATGACTGGGCAGACTGGCAAACTGCGTCCAAGTTATGGTGTGTGGGTCGAGTCATGCGACCAGCCGCTTCGGCTTGCGTGTTTGAGATGCAGGGGACCTCGCCGCCCCTCATTGGAAGGATCATCCGGCTAATGCGTTCTTGACTTGCAGAAGCCGTTCCTACTGTAGCTGGATCCCACATGTCCATGTTTCGGCCGATGCCCAGGCTATCGCCCCGAGAAGACACATCCGGCCCGGGAGAGGTAAGCCGGCTCCTGTCAAACAAAACACCGGATGAAGCGGCACTGACTGAGCGTACACAGAAATGCACTCATTGTGGCAAGGCTGAAGAAGCTGGATTCCTCGCCGTCTGCGAGTCGTGCGACCATGCTTACCACGGTGCTTGTTTGGATCCGCCTTTGAAATCAAAGCCCGACTCCGAATGGAATTGCCCTAGATGCCTAGTCGGCGATGGCCAATTTGGTTTTGAGGAGGGCGGGTTGTACTCGTTACGCCAATTTCAAGAGAAGGCTGCCGATTTCAAGCAGGGATATTTCGAGAAGCGCATGCCACTTGATACCGTATTAGGCTGCGCAAGACCCGTCACGGAAGATGATGTTGAGCGCGAGTTTTGGCGCCTGGTCACCGATGTTGACGAGGAAGTACAGGTTGAATATGGTGCTGACATCCACTGTACGACACACGGATCTGGATTCCCAACTGTCGAGAAACATCCTACCAACCCCTACTCGACCGATCCATGGAACCTGAACATCCTTCCATACCACCATGAGAGCCTTTTCAGACACATCAAGTCAGATATCTCAGGAATGACAGTGCCTTGGGTCTACGTCGGCATGATTTTCTCCACCTTCTGCTACCACAACGAAGATCATTATGCGTACTCAGCTAATTATCAACACTTCGGTGCCACAAAAACCTGGTATGGCATCCCTGCCGAGGACACTGAGAAATTCGAGAGGGCAATGAAGGAGGCTGTTCCTGAGTTGTTCGAAACGAATCCTGATCTACTGTTCCAACTCGTCACGCTTCTCACACCCGATCAGTTGAAGAAGGCCGGTGTGCGTGTCTATGCAGTGGATCAGCGTGCTGGCCAGATGGTCCTCACATTCCCATCAGCGTACCACGCAGGGTTCAATCACGGGTTCAACTTTAACGAGGCGGTCAACTTTGCTCCATGCGACTGGGAGCCTTTCGGACTTGATGGTGTTGAGCGTTTGCAGGCATATCGACGACAACCCTGCTTTTCTCACGACGAGCTCTTGTGGACTGCTGCGGACGGAACGACGACCAACAGCCTGACGATCCCAACAGCGAAATGGCTGGCCCCCGCACTCGACAGGATACACCGGCGCGAACTTACCGAGAGAGAGGCCTTTGTTGTGAAACATCTCTCTGAGTCTCCTCACAAGTGTGCGCTTGGTGGCGAAAACGAAGGGGAGTCATGTCCCCTTGCATTCAAGATTGACGACACGGACGTCCCGGAGGAAGAGTATTCCTGCGCATACTGCAAGGCATTTGCTTACCTGTCGAGATTCAAGTGTTTGAAATCTGGCAAGGTCTACTGTCTGATGCATGCAGGGAGCCAGCCCTGCTGCGATATGACTCAAGGCAGCCGGTTCCTCGGCCAAGACCACGAACTCATATTCCGGAAGTCGGACGAGGTCATCACTGCAACCAGCAAGAAGGTCTCCGAGAAGGCGAACGTGCCCGAGGCATGGGAGGACAAGTACGACAAGGTGCTCGATGAGGAGGCAACCCCTTCGCTGAAGACCTTGCGAAATCTACTCAACGAAGGAGAACGCATACCGTACGAGCTCAAAACCCTACCTCTCTTGCGAGCGTTTGTTGACCGTTGTAACCGCTGGGTCGAAGAGGCAACCAATTACACGATCCGCAAGCAACAGAATCGGCGAAAGAACGAAAAGGCCTGGCAAACCGGGTTGCGCAAGTCGATAGGCAGCGCGTATCAAGACGAAAAAGAACGCGAAATGCGCAAGGCTGAGAATATTAACCGTCTTTTGCGTGAAGCGGAGCAAATTGGATTTGACTGCCCAGAAATACAGCTCCTCCAAGACAGGGCGGATGCGATCAGGACGTTCCAGGAGAACGCGAGGAACGTGATCAATCACCCGTCTATGCACCAAGTCGAAGCTGTTGAAGAGTTGCTTGAGGAAGGCAACGGATTCAACGTCGACCTTGAGGAGATGGAGAAGCTGTCCAAGGTCCTCGACAGGTTGAAGTGGAACCAAAAGGCCAAAGCCAGCCGCAGCGTATTTATGTCATCACAAGAGGTTAAGGACCTTATTGAAGAGGCAAGACGCATCGGCATCGAGGCCTACAATGACCACCTCAGTTTCTATGTTGAGCAGCTCTCAACGGGCTTTAATTGGGAGAAGAAGGCGAAGGAGATCATCGAAGCAGATGTCATACACTACCCCCAGCTGGAAGCTCTGTCGCAACAAGCTACACAGAATCTCCTTCCCGTGTCAGCAGACGTACTGGCTCAGGTTGACCAGATTTTGCACAAGCAGCGCGAGGCATTGCGTCAAATCGCTGATCTGAATGCTCGTACGAGAAACGATGACTTTCGTAAGAGGCCGAGGTATACAGAGGTTGCCGATATCATGAAACTGGTCGAAGATCTCCAATCGAAGCCTCCAGGAACACTTGACCTAGAAAAAGAGCAGCGCCGCCACGAGGACTGGATGCGCAAAGGCAAGAAGCTCTTCGGAAAGACTAACGCGCCCCTGCACATCCTCAAGAGTCACATGGAGTACGTTCTGGAACGAAATCTTGACTGCTTCGACATCACCAAGGACAAGCCCCGTCTACCAGCAGAGCCAGCCTCGAGAGAGCCAACGCCCGAGAAGGAGAAAAATGCAGCGTATAGGTGGGACGATCCCAAGTTCAGAGAAGTCTTCTGCATTTGCCGGCGGATTGAGGCAGGCATGATGATCGAGTGCGAACTATGCCATGAATGGTGCGTTGTCTGCCTTTCCATCAAAATCTCTTAGCTAACTTTGCGCAGGTATCATGGCAAATGTCTGAAGATCGCCCGCGGAAAGGTCAAGGAGGAGGATAAGTACACTTGTCCAATTTGCGACTGGCGAGTGAAGATTCCGCGAGACGCGGCCAGGCCAAGACTCGAGGACCTTCTCGACTGGGATGAGGAGATCCCCAATCTGCCGTTCCAGCCCGAAGAAGAGACCGTCTTGAAGCAGATCATCGACAACGCCCAAACCTTTCGAAACCACATTCACTCATACTGCAATCCTGTACTGTCTACTAGGAATGAAGCCGAGACCCAGCGCTTCTACTTGCGCAAAATCGAGGGTGCAGAAATCCTCCTCGCAAATGAGACCAATTTCTTTCGCCAGGAGTTACACAAGTGGCATCCCGTCGCCCCGAATCCACCCCCGGTCATCGAAGTGTCGAAGAGCACACGCAAACCTCGGCCAACTAAGCTGGACAAGCTGCTTCTTCAGCATGGGGTCATCAACGTGGAGGATCTGCCAGAGCATGTCAAGTCTAAGGGACTGAGTCTGAAACGCAAGCGTCAGAATGCTGAAATGGCCGCTCAGGCTCACCAGCAGGCTGTCGCAGGATCCTCTACTTCTGGCCCGGCCACGAGCCCTGGCGTGAATAGCTACGCTTCGTATTACCAGCGGGGCACATCGTCACAGCCGCAGACTCCTGGACTGTCGATCGCGAGCAGCTCCCACGCTCATCCATCTCGTGGCCCTGGGTCGTCGTCATCTTCGACTCACCACGGCCACCCATACGGGCGAGCTGATTCAAATGGCCCTGTGATTCGCCCTGAGAACATGGACCTCGACAGTAACAATGCCAACATTCATCCCAGTTTCTTTATGCCGTCTGGTGGAGGACCTCAGATCATGGCAGATAGTACTTCTGGTCCTTCTCTCGAAGACCGTCTCCTCCGTGGTCAGCCGGACGATTCGACACTGAAGGCCTACATGGCGACCGAAGCAGGACACCAGACTGCTTTGGAGATGTTGTCCAAAACTCAAGAGGGTCGACGAAAGGCCGAGGAAATCTTTGGTCCTGGTGCCTTTGACGGTGGCCGAGCAGCTTTGAGTGGACCGGAAGATGTCGGCATCGATGACGGAGCTGTTGATCAGATGTTTGCTGACATGGTCAATCAAGATGATGAGGACGAACTCAAGGGAAAAGGAAAGGGTGCTGCCAGCAAAGGAAGCGGCAACAATAGAGACGAGGAGAAGATCACAGCCGAAAGCTTGGAGACCGAGAGGAACGACCTTGACGCGTTGCTGGACAGGGACTAGAGGCCCTGGACAGCTTGAAGGTCATCCTGAAGTGCTGGACGTCGTCTTCCGGGAATGAAGTTCGGCCGTTACGACCTTCCTAGACTTTGGTGTCGTTTTGCTGTCGTTTTGCATTCCGGAGTTTGAGGAGAAAAACATTACAACGGGGGAGAGAGAGGCATGAGTCGCATTTTCCTTTCTTGCTTGCATCTAGAAGCTCTTGCTTAAAGTGGGCGGGGGCACCTCGTCCAGGAGACACGAAGAAGACGGCGAGAAACAAAAAAGCAAAGGCGTTTCAGCGGCATTATTGCGGGGATACCACATACCACGACGAATAATATGTGTTTTCGCATCCATGGTTTTTGGGCGGTCGGCCGGCCAGTCAGACATTGGTTGAGACGAGGCGGATGGGGGGCCGGGTGAATACCTGTCAGTGTCTGGAATGAACGCAGAACATGTATAATAGATACCACTTGCTACGATGTGATATGGAAACGAAAGATGCTTTGATTGGCTCAAGCAAAAAGCGTCATTGTGTGTGTGTGTGTGTGTGTAATGGCTTTTGATGGCAACGATTTGTTCACCTGAGGCTTCGATTACGCCGATGTATTGGAGTGTCTGCCAAAGTTTGGCATGGCACCGTAACCGGGCTAGATGGAGGATAACCAAAGTCCTTATTGACAATGGGCTGCCAGACTTCTTGCAGGACCTTGTCGTCACTCGCAGACTCCTGCAGCAACCTTAGGCCTAGACCTTTCGTAGACAGCCGGAAATAATAAAACTAACGACAAATGACAGGCGCCCGATCAGCCAGGACTGCTCTGGCCCCGCGGCTGAAGATATGGGACCACCTGGGTATCTTTTCTCTTTGTGACTCGCACGATCAGACCACCTCGTCTCCTCGCTGAGAGATTGTGTCACTTCGGAGCGGAGCTCAACACGCGGTGCGACGCCGAGCTGCCTGCGTTTCTGGATAAGACAGCGGGGATGGGCCAATCTAGGCTCGACATCACTCAGCATGATTCCGTATGATGCTTGGGATGTCTTACTCCATTAATCAGAGTACGCTGCAGGATCCGAGCAAGGTCGAAAGAGTACCTGTTTTTGGGTATATAAAACACAGGGTCAGGCACGTGACAGGCAAGTTGTTTTCTCTCCTTTTCTATTCATACATCTATTTTCGCTCTTTCCTACCGCCTACGCTCGGCTTTTTTATGATTCCTTTTCTGTTTTCTGTCTTCCTATTTCCTTTAGAGGCCGGGGGGCGGGGGAGTGCTTCTGATAGAAATAAACACATCTCCTTCGTAATTCCATCGCTGTGTGCCTGAAACTAGTCGCATAGTTCCAAGATCCCCCTGCAAAATTAAATTATCTCTCTCACCAACTGAAACGACTCGTTGCGCTGTCCATGAAAGTGACTGCATTGGACATGAAATATGAGAGGCAATAATGAAGCTGTAGAGGAAGAGGCTATGCCAGTCCCGCAAGCACCCCATGGTACCTACACAAACCAGGATCTCACTCGGCAGAGCTATCGTCATCCGGAGTCAACAGAGGATGCTCATCACCGTACTGGGGCGCGATAGATCTGCAGTCATCCGCGTCGTCTGAGTCGTCAAGCTCTCCGATCAAAGGACGTTCTTCCACCTGACCATCTTGATGTTGCTTCCGTTCCACAGAGGCGATATTGGTTCCTACAGTCTGGCTTGAGTCCTGAGTACTGCCGCTCTCAGAACCAACTTCAATCGTGGCCATCGTGTGCTGGCCAAGATTTTGTGCATTAGTTAAGCCTGACTGGTCAGCTTGGCTGCTTCCAGGATGTCCCGGTTCCAAGCCATCCTCACTTGTGTCATCCTTGTTGTAGAGCAATATTAGTGGCTTTGACCTGATGTTTTCAAGTTTAGCAGCGAGATTGGAGCTGGAGGGCTGGCGGCGTTGGTGAGAGTCGTTAGTTTCAACGTGTCCAAGGTGGATTGGGGACTTGCGCTGGGGGTGATGGGCTTGCACGGAAGAGGACCCCGCATCTTCCTGCGAAGATGCATCCTCATCGCTGGAATCAAAGTCCTCAGAACTGTTGTCCCGAGTCACGGGAACGTCTTGTTCGAGGACTTGTCTTGCAATATCACCCAATTGTTTCTTGGGGCCACTGCCCTGTTTGCCGCTGACCAGCTGTTTTATATCTTCAACACTTCGGCGGAGACTATCGGAAGGTTCCTTGCGACGTATCAGATTCTTTTTCATCTTTTTGAGTTGTCTCTTTTCCTTGGTCCTCGTTCTCTCAGCTTGCCTCTCGGTCTCGTGCGCCGCCATTCTCTCTTTCTGTCGCAGAAGTCTGTCGAGTTCAGCGCTTCTGCTTATTATGCCTCGACGTCCATTCGCCCTTGTGTAACTCAAGAATCTATCTTGCCCTTCTACAGGTTTCATTTCGACGATCTCTGCCAGGGGGAAATCCCGAGTGTTGTCGACGATGAGACCATCCCATCCGTTTCCCAGCGGAATAATCTCTGGCGCGCCGATGGCCTCAGCAAGGAATGCCTCGTCGTTCTCCACCTCAGCCGCTGTCCGCTGGGCATCGTCACCATCTGACAGGTTGTCCGCAGTATTGGCTGCTTTGGGCTTCTTCGCCTTCTTTCGGTTTCTTCGCTTCTTCTTCTTCTGCCCTGGCTGCTCGCCCGCCTCTGCACCTTCGGCGATGGCGGTTGATTCACGTGGCGTTTCCTCGAGCGTGGCATGAATCACGCCTTCTTCGTCGGTTTGGTCCCTGCCCAGCGTAACAGAGCTTGGGGCTGAGCTAATGGGGGACGTCATCTGTGGCTTGTCTCGCTGGACAGACTCCTTTGGTGAGAACTCTGAAGGATCTGCGACCCTGGAGCGTTTCTTCGCGTTGTCTTCGTTCTCCATTACCCCATCATTGAGTCCAGCAGCAGAGGTGTTCATCAAGCCACATGTCTGCCTCAATTCAGTTGGGTCGGGAGGAGGCGTAGGCGGTTGAGTAGACCCAGCTGCGATTTGGGTGGTTTGAGAAGATGGCTCAGAGTCGGCCATGTCCCCAGCTGTCTGTTTAGACACGACAGCACCGGTGAGAGATGAGTCTTCTCCGGGGACCAAGGCCTGGTCTGGTGGTGAGACGGCGCGGCCATCCTTTTCAGGAACAGGAAGAGTTGAATTTGGCCGCACCGACATAGAAGGGGCCTTAGAGGCGGCGCTGCTGACAGCCAGAGCTGTAGCAGTGGAGAGAGCCTTCAATTTGCGGTCTTTTCTCTTTTGGCTATCGTTCTTTTTCTGGACGACCATCGTCTTGTTAGAGACACCATCAGCCTCCTCAGCTGTGAGAGCTTGGTCGCCATGGACAGTTGACTTCTGCGCATCGTCCGCTGCATGGACGGTCGCAGTCAGTGATCCTGTTTCCTGGTACAGGTCCCAAGCTAAATTGAGCTGGTGGACCTGCTCTCCTGCCACAATATCCCAGTTGTAGGTTGTAGAGTTGAGCATGCGAATAGACCAGTTGGTCATGGACATGGGGTAGAACGGGAAGGTTGCAAGACGCAACTCATAGACTTCGGGACCTTGCATGGGAACAATGCGAATAGAAAAGTGTGTGAGCTGTTTGAATTCATCTAAAGTCCCGGCAATGTTGTCGAGCGCGTGCTGATTGAACGCAGGCAAATTCTGGAAGGGATACTTGTCTGGAAAATGGATACGGATGCGAGCTGATCTGGTGTAGCATTGGAGGCTGGCTTTTTGTAGGTAACTGACGATTTTGTCAAGTTTGGCCTCGTTCTGGTTGGTGTGGACGGCCTTCAGATCCACGAGAATGTCGAGGTCATTGACCGAATAGATGAAACGAATGAAATCGGTAGAGATCTGCTTGTTGACCAAGAGCAGCCAGCAGGGTAGCCCATCAGTTGAATCATTGTTCAACCCATGCGGGGCTTCTTCGATCAATCTCAGTTGCGTGTTGCGTTTGAATCCGTTCTCAGAGACGATCCAGTCCAGTTTTGCCGGATCGCGACGTTCACGCGACCAAGTGAGAGAGTAGATCCTGTCTCTAATCTTCTGAAGATGGCTGTCATCTTTGGCGTCAGAAGAAAAGAGCTTTAAGAAGGGAAAGTTCTGTGGCATGTTGTTGAAAGTCGACATGGTGATGAAGGGGCTTGTTTCGACGTGGAACGAGACTGTTGAGACCTGTTATTTGATCAGCTAGGTGTAACCACTGGTTTGGAATGCGAAGAGATGACTGACAGAAAGTAGAGGTGATCGAGCTCAGCAGGGAGAGATGACTTGTGGTGATGCTGAAAGTTGAGTGAGCGCAGTGGGGGTATCGTCCCAAGTCCAAATCTAGAGCGACCAGAAATGCTGAAGGTTGTTGTGGCCACCACTCGTCTTAACTCTGCCATGCGATGGTCAGCGGCGACAAAGCATGCTGTTGGGATGAACTGAATGAGAAAGTTCCTCTCCCGTTGGAGTTGTATCAGCGTGGCCTCAACTGGGACAAAACAATTCAAAACAGCTTTCCCATGAAGAAGGTGCTTCAAAATGCTTACCCGTAGGCCAGCCTTGTAAGACACATACACTCACACACGCACGCAGGCTTTCAAGCCTCTTTGCATTTCCAAGAGACCTCCTTTTCGTTTCAGCCCTGAAGCTGATACCTGCGTTGGCTGCGGAAGTATTTAACGATTGGTGTTCTGACGAGCGTGCTCTGGGTCAATGATTGGAAGGGTCAAGATGAGTATTCCGGCAAACGCAAGAACCAACATGACACCTAGGACGATCAACCACAGAAAGAGGAGCATGTCCATTTTAAGTGGCCATTCTGAGTTCGAAGGACAATGGACAGTAGACAGGAAGAGGACGCAGCATATGCGCCGATGTCGATGGCTTCAGTCAGGAGATGCACTGCACCAAATCTGAGAGAGGAACATACGGCTTCTAGCTCAATAGAATGACGGAATTACCACAGTTTTGACCCCAGGCATAAGACAGAGAAAGAGAGAGAGAGAGAGAGAGAATCAAGGTAGACAGACAGATCTGGGTGTCTGTGGGACGGGGTTGGAAGGCAAGACTCAACTAACGTACAGTACCTGGAGAGCGGCTTCAGGACGGCAAGAGAGACCTGCGAGACGTGATCTTGTTCGCTCCTCCTGCCCGCACCTTCCCTCCCCGTCTCCTCCGAACTCAGACAAGACATGGCATCAGATAACCTCCTGCTTGGCTGGCTAGCTGGCTGCTTGCTCAGTGCCCGCCCACATGCTGCCAGGTGTAGCCTGCAGACTCCCGAGCCCCGGACACCCAAGACATGCATCACTCGAGACTGCACCAAAGGAAAGAACGCGTAGTTGAGCCCAGCCCATTAGGACGAGGATGGGGCGTCTAGGAAAAGTCTCTAGGTAACTACCTGGTTGGTATCTAGGTGCTTAGAACCCCAGGCCCCAAGGCCATCACAGTCCAAGTTCATCGACTCGCGGAGGAACAGTTCGACAGATCAAGGACTTGCAGGGAGAGTGATTAACAACTTGAACAGAGTATACGTGATCACTGGCTAGGCCACTTTACTCAAGAGCTATGGCATATGAATGGGAGCTGAGCTGATACGAGCTGCTCGTCCGGCCCGGCAGAAACAAGAACACAGGCAAGACACGAAATGTAGATCTCAGAATGAAACTGAAGCTAGATGGAGAAAACTAGCGTCCAGAGATTAACGAAGGATCAATTTCCTCTGTGAGGACGCCGTCGACATTAGAACATGTCCGACCAGTGCTGCACACTTCATCGAACCAAGAACAGGTCCTGTTGTGCTGTGGTCGGGCGCCTCAGCTGACTGAGGAAAGAAAAGAGAAAGAAAAATGGGAGCGGAAGCGGCTCCCAATTTTCAGATGTCGTCTGGCAAACGGGCAGAGCTGCACGTGACGAGCTTGGTAATAAGGTGGCTTCTGATTGGCTGACAGCCGCCTGGTAAGTACCGAGGATAAACGGGTGCAGGCCCAGACGGTAACACGCTGCCGATGATAGCTCGGAACGTCGAGCGAGGATTCGTCTTGTCGTCAACACCCTCCGAAACACTTACCCACCCTTCGATGCTGGTCACCCACTGACCATTGCCCACTTGCGATCCCGAAGAGCAATCAACCTGCCATTTACGATCGACAGTCACACATACTAGCAGCCATGATCACCTCAAGGGCAGGCCTGACGGCCGTTCGCCGGGGTAAGTTCTTAGACGTCATCCACGATGCCGATACCTACCGACCTGCCTGTCTACCTACCTAGGAGCAGGAACGCAGTCCAGCAGTCCAATCCAACCCATAGCTAACCACCAATGCCCTCCCAACAGTAGCAAAGCCCTCGACCTTCTTCACAGCCACCGCCCTCACGACGCCGATGCAGGTCCGCTCGGCCGCGACGCAGTCCCTGACGCCGGCGGACGGGCAGTCGATCCTGGCCAAGCAGCGGCTGCAGCGGCCGGTGTCGCCGCACCTCGAGATCTACGACAAGAACCAGACCTTCTTCGGCTCCTCCATCTGGCAGCGCTTCACGGGCATGTTCTTCACGGGGTCGCTCTACGCCTACTCGATCGGCTACCTCGTCGCGCCCCTCGCCGGCTGGCACCTCGAGTCCGCCAGCATCGCCGCCGCCTTCGCCACCCTGCCCGTCCTCGTCAAGGGCGGCTTCAAGGTCGTCCTCGCCTGGCCCTTTGTCTTCCACGGCATCAACGGCGTCAAGCACCTCGTCCACGACTCCACCGCCAAGGGCTTCCGGAAGGCCACCATCAAGCAGAACGAGTACCTCATCTGGGGGTCAAGTGCCGTCGTTGCGTTGGGTTTGGCTTTCCTTCTGTAGGCGGATGAGGTGCACCGGTGTTGGTGGGTTCTTGTCTTGTGCACGTGTGAATATATCGTGCTGGGCGTGTTAGGAATACATTGATTTGAAAGCACAATTAGACTGGGCCGAGGAGCCACTGCCTTTTGGGTGACGGTGACCTGCCTACTCTGACCCTCCTGACGAGAATGCCGTGGTCTCCATTGGAGCACACATCAAAGTGCCAGGAATTGAACAGACCTGATGGAACATGGGAAACATATGCTCGAATGTTTGCGGCTGCAATTTGAGAGCCTGTACGCCGTATCTGAGGTATCAAATATGAAGCAAAGCCTTTTGTCCCTTTCCATGTGATTTCGACCCTTGAACGCCATTCGCCCTTCCCAAGCCATCTCTCCATGCCCTACCTAGCGATTAGGTAGTCTCCTACTCGTCCCTGTACGCCTTGGCGTCCAGAACTTGCCTGTTCAGCCTGGCACTGCCCAGGTTTGCTACCTCGCGCCCAATGGTTTCTCCAAGGAACTCCGTCAACTCCGTCACCGTGTGTTCCGTAGTGCTGCTGTGGACTCCGTTCATCATGCCGATCTCGTTCTTATCGATGGTCTTGATAGCATTGACGATCGCGCCAAGGAGCAGCTTGATCTCGAAATCCGGCGTGCCCCGCTCCTGCATCGGCCGCAGGATCATATCGTCGAACGACTTCAGATTCGGCAGCAGCAACACCCGCACGGACTCCGGCCCTCCAGCCGCTGAAAGTCCGCAGACCGCCCCGTACAGCACCGCAGCTGGCTTCGAAGGATCGAGTAGGTATTTGAGGCACGTCCGCGTTAGCTTGGGCCGCAGCCTCGTGTTCGACTTGCCGTAGTTCTTGGCAATGTTGCCCAGGATCGCGGCCGACAGCTCGCGCAGCTCGTACTGTTCCTTGACCGCATCCAACCCCTCATCCGTTCCCAGCTTCCTGCTCATGAGGCATGTCAAGACAGGCGCACTCAGCGGCGACGCGTAAGGGTCGAGGTAGAGGTTGTCGTTTGCGATCAGGGCAGCCGTGAGCTCCATCATCTGTCTAAGCGTGAAGGTGTCATCCAGTCGATGGGTGACCTGGTTCGCGATGAAGTTGACAAAGTATGGGACCAGCTGGTGCAAGCCCGGGTCGGACCTGACGGATTGTAGAGCTGCGTTGCGCAGTTGGCGGACCTCGTCGTCCGGGTTGTCATCGAGGATCGCTGACTGGATCTTCTCGAAATACATGACAAGCTCTTTCGAAATAACGTGCCTAACGTGCGGTCTGAAAGATACATTGTCGTTTCCGGCGAGTGCAGCGAGGGCGGGGTTTGCGCCAGGACCCTTGGGGACGAGTTCTTGGGAGCGGGCTTCGGCGGTGGTAGGGTTCTGCGGGATAGTTGGCTGGACGCCCTCTATGGCGAGCCAGTGCGCTGATGGGAGAAAAGTAAGTCATCATTGCCTTGTACGGCTGATTGTAGCCTGGAAGACGGTAGCACCAACCTGTGAAAGTCGCGTCTCTGGGCACCTTGGGCAAGGGCGCGTTGATGAGTTTCTCGAAGTCGACCTCCTCATCCTCGATGTAGAAAAGCGGCTGGCCGGGTCCCAAGCTCGCTTCACCGTATCTGAGAGGTCTCGTGGACTCATATCCGTAGAGAGGCTCGACATCAAGCACCTTCATGGCTTGCGACACGTCCTGGACAGTGAGTGTGGTACGACCGGCGTGTCGCATGAAGCGCAGGCTCTCGATGATGACCTGACCGAGTCGGTATTCGACATCTTGTGATAAGCATTTGAGGGCTTCTTCGTTGAGGGAGCCGATGCCCACAGACTCGGCGACGTCCTTCACGTTCTCGGGGTTCCAGAGCAGCTTGGGCTCGTCGGCCGGCTTGGGTGGGGCCGCAGCCATTGCTGTCGGGGTTGGCGAGGCGGCGACCAGTATAGATTCCTATCGCCTTCTGCTTCGTTTCAAAAGGATCGACCCATGAGGATGATTGTGTCTCTTGGAGCAGTGAAATGCTGCCACTTCGCGCTGCCGGGTATATTGCTGCTACAGTGTGAATTGGTGAAGTTGGGAAGGTTATGGGCGGCACCACGCTAAAGAAATGGACCCACCCACTGCCACCTTGTGCCTGCTCCTAACCCTTGGACCAGCCACAAGTCCAACTACACTGGGCCAAACACGGTCCAGCCATCCAGCCCATCATGAACCAATATAGATCAGAGTGATGGGGAAGTGATTATAAAAATGGTCAGCCAGTTGCATTAGCGTGGTGAGAAACGAAGATCCGTCTTGTCTGGGTGCTAGGGTAGGGAAGACAGGGATGGTCAGCCGATTGCATTAGCACCTGGTCTTAGGAAGGACTTCTGCCACGATAGCATCTGTTCAACCTCCATGCATTCTCACAATATGAGAAGAAGTGAGACACAGTGTACAGGTCGTAGGTGGAGTTTGAGAAGTCTGTGGCTCTGTTGGAAACTCGATGTCCATAGCCTCCATTGACGCTCACCAAGCCTGCCAGGCACTGGATGTAGGAGCTCACAGGCTGCTGGCTGCCCGCAGCCTTGCTATACATGGACGTGTACCAGTGAAGGAGGTAGAAACCCAGACACAAATATGTCCCATCTGCTATCTCTCTAGATAGTGACTCCATGGTCATCCATTTGCATAGCTTGGCACGGGATTATTCCCTTGGCTCGGCTCACAGCAGGCTGAATACCTTGTTACTTTGCGTTCCGCAAGCACACCTATTGGTTTTTGTATTTGTAAGTGGCAGACAGAAAATTTCGCAAATTATTAGGCAGCATTCAGTCTCTTCATCAAAGGCCGACTTGAGGATTTAATATTGCTGCATTTTGTCCCTCTCGACCTTACCTCGTGGTAATCCAGCTACTACCTCAGCCCTGCTTCTTTTAACCACGAGACAGGCTGTAATTCACCACTATAACAGCTGCGCAATTGTCGAAAGTATTTATTCTCCTCTTTTGTACTGTTTTATAATCCTCAGCTTGGCTTGCATCGTGTTCTATTCTTCAAAATGAACGAGAAAGAAAGGACGACCGGTCTTGCCCACAGACTGCCTTTGAGCAATTCGGAAACCACAGCGCGCTCCAACAGCCCAGTCGTCAACACCAGAGAACCAAAAGACACAACAGAAGATTTTGTACCTGTGTTCAAGCGTGAGATTCACGGTCTGAAATGGGCTTTGACTGTTGGCGCCATTCTTTCCTGCGTCTTCCTGTACGCCCTCGACACGACGGTGGTGGCAGATATCCAGCCAGACATCATTGCATCCCTGGGAGATTTTCAGAAATTTCCGTGGCTCGCAACTGCCTACGCCTTGCCCTCCACTGCGCTTGTGCTCATTCAATCCAAGACGTACGGGCATTTTGATATCAAGTGGCTCTATTTCGGCTATGTTATCTGCTTTGAGATCGGCAGTGCAATTTCTGGTGCCGCCCCCACGATGGACTCTATGATTGTCGGGCGTATGATTGCTGGCATTGGTGGTTGTGGTATCTATGTCGGCTCCTTGACCTTTTTCAGCGTGGTCACTACCCCCAAGGAGCGTCCCCTTTACATTGCTTTGATCTCTCCTACATGGGGAGTTGGGACCGTCCTAGGTCCGATAGTATGTCTTCCCGCACGGCCAGTTTGATTTCATGCGAGAGACTCATCTCAATACCCAGGTCGGAGGAGGATTCGCAGAGAGCAGCCTGGGCTGGCGATGGGGTTTCTACGTCAACCTCTTGATCTTCGCAGTCGCCGCGCCCATCTTGATTTTCATTCTGCCTTCGATTAATTTCGCCAAGGGCCAGTCCATCAAAGAGAGAATGAACAAGATCGATTGGCTTGGACTGGCCGTCTGGACCGGCTGGTGTGTTTCATTTTTCATGGCCATTATCTTTGGCGGGACCCTATTTGAATGGCAGTCTTACAGCATGATCATTCTTTGGATTTTCGTGGGTATACTTGGGATCGCTTTCTTTCTGACGCACAAGTTCTACCCTTTTGTCAAGAAGGAGAACCGGCTTTACCCGAGTCACATGCTCAGGAACTTCAAGTTGGGCATTTTGCAGTTCGCCACATTCGCGGCCGCGTCGGCTGTTTATATTCCCATCTATTACATCCCTCTTTACTTCCAATTCGCCAGGGGCGAGTCACCCGTGGAAGCCGCTATTAAGCTCCTGCCTTTTGTCTCCATGATATCCACCGTTGCCATCCTCAATGGTATTTTCATGTCGAGATGGGGTTACTATATGCCGTGGTTCTTCGTTGGTGCGCTTCTGGCGGTCGTGGGAGGTTCCCTCATGTACACGGTCTCGATCGACACGAAAATATCGGCAATCTACGGATACAGCGTCCTAGTGGGTATCGGTGGTGGCTGCTTCATGATTACTGCCTTTGGTTGCGTCTCGGACATTGTCAGCCCTAAGGACATCTTCAACGCCATCGGTGTCATCAGTCTTGTCCAGTGCATTGGTATCACGCTCTTCCCCTCTCTCAGCGGAAACATATTTCAGAATCTGGGTGCCAAGTATATCACCCCAATTCTACCATCCAATTTCGAAGGCGACCCACGCGTGATCCTTGCTGGTGCGAGCAGTCCTGAGTGGCAGAGTTTCTCTGAAGACGTCCAGAACCGTCTTTCTGGTGCCATTGTCGACGCCATGAGCAACGTTTACACTATGACTATTGTCGCGAGTGGCATGACAGCCCTCCTCTCGCCTTTTTTGGGGGTAGGTACGCTCTCGTCTATCACATTTGTGAGCAGTGTACTGATGAGAATGCAGTTTCGCAAAGTGAGCGCTTAGTTGAAAACGTTCTACATACTGGCTCCTTCAAAGTATTGGATAAGGCATGTAAAATGACAAGAGGCCATATTGGTGCGTCAAAACTACTGCAATAACTCGCGTTCATTTCTTCGCATTTCATTCCTTGAGTTCTTCGCTCCTTGCCGGCAATGTATTTTCGATGTATGTTGTGGGCTTTTGCTTCCGTGCAAGTTTTAATTGTCATTGATGATATAAGTAATTTCGTCATGTTTCGTTCCACTTGTTCATTAAAGTAAAGCTCTAGAATTCAGAGTTGCCTCTATAGTCTATTCCATTGCGCGAGTTGTATCTTCCACAATGACTGGCGTGCCTGAAAATACTCAAACAAATAAACTACAGATCGGTCCCAATCAGGCACTTGCAAGATCTTCGGGTGAATATTCATTTGAGCTGGGACTTAAGACTGCTGTTTATTCTGCATGATTGAGACAACAAAGAATGTCCCTGCAGTCGTCCGTAAGTAGTGAGAACACAGTGTCCTGTGACTAAACTTTTTACAGTGTCAGCAAGTTGCATACTTGGCGAATGGCACCATGTGTCAAAGAGCACTGTATTTGGAGTTTGAATTATTACAGTGTCAGCCAAGTGCATTGTGATTACGCACTCAGGGGATACGAAGATTCTGGCGCGACGTTTTGCTTTGTAAGTCGTTCTCAAAACTCCTGGCTAGTCTCGAGAGCGACTAGATGGCAGTATATCTTGCGCGATCAGTCACAGCAGATTGACTCTGACGTACACTAAGGAGGAAAATCTACCGAAGGATAAAGAAACCGTAATTTCTTCTGAATTCCAGTCCATCATTTCCAACAATTTTATACACTAAAGGCACAACCCATCATGGCGAAAAAGCTCATCGCTGTCCTTGGTATTACGGGAATTCAGGTATCTCGAGAATCCTAGCGTCCAGTATCATAGCCCGTTTCAGACGATAACATTTAATTTTAGGGTGGCTCCGTCGCTGGCCGATTTCTCACTCACGCCGAATGGCAAGTACGCGGGCTTACACGCAATCCCGGCTCGACCAACGCGAGAGAATGGGCGAGCCGAGGAGTTGAGATCGTCAAGGGCGACCACGATGATCTAGAATCACTCAGAACTGCCTTCAAAGGCGCACACGCTATATTTGCCGTCACTGATTGGGCCGCAAACTTCTGCCGGATCAGTGAGGACAGGGCCCTGCAGGAGAAAGCAAGGACTGCAGGGCGTTCAATTGAGGAATACGCCGGAGACTTGGAAAAGGCGCAAGGTATCAACATCGCAATTGCCGCTTCTGACCCGAACGTCCTCTCAACCCTGGAGAGGTTTGTCTTCTCAACATTGCCCGCGGTGCAGAAGATCAGTGACGGCAAGTACAAGCATTCTTACGAGTTCGATTCCAAGGCCGGAGTGGAGAGCTACATCCGAGAAGAGCTTTCAGAGCTTCGGGCCCGGCTGAGTACCGTAACAATGGGCGTCTTTCAAGAGACGTGGAAGGACATCTCCGCGTTCAGGCCACACAAGCAGCCCGACGGCGTATTTGAATATGTGCGCCTGAAAGTCCCAGGCTCGCATCAAACAAACCCCGAGGTCGTAGCCACCCGAGACACGGGTGCGTTTGTCGAGGCGTTGGTTCTTCATCACCCAGCTGGTACGGACGTCTTGGGCGCGAGTGAAATTGTCACGAAGGCAGAGTACGCAGCAATTTGGGGTCGCATGTTGGGAGTCAATGTAACAGTGAGAGACGTCTCAGAGGAAGAATACGTAAAGCACGTCCCAAAGGGATTGGAGGTCACCATACTGGATGATTTCAAGTTTTTTGCTGAATATGGATACGCCGGTGGGAACCCTAATATCAAAACTCCGGCGGAACTGGGGATCAAGACAACCTCTGTGGAGGAATTTTTCCGAGGTGAGGATTGGAGCTCAGTGCTGAAAGGAGAGATCTAAATTGTACTTGATGGCTGATTGTACATTGCCGTTCAAAACGTAGGATCAGTTTGTCAGTTCCAACGAGTCTGAGTCATTGATTGATCACGAGTTGGACGATTGGCATTATCAATGTGCTTCGTAGAATCATGAGTGATAAACATTGCTCTTTATTGTATGTCGATAATTGACTAAGTCCGGGTCCCTCTTGAATCATATTCATGCTGTTCGTGGATAAAATCTGGTTTCTCAATAGGACTCTCATCCCTCTGGCTCCGCCAATAATTCGTAGATGTTATGATCTCAGGGCACCCTCTTAACAGCCATCCCCATCTTTGTAGGAAAGGAACGCTGATTTCCCAACTGCGGGGATCCCATGGCTCTCCCCAAACCACGAGCCCAGCCCATTCACTCCTCCCTCCGCCCGACTCCATGATATCGTCAAATAGCAGTTGCTCGTCCTCGGCACTTATGACATTTGTGGCCAACAACAGATTGTCGCGCATTTTAGGTAACGGAAATAGATCAAGCCATGGGTGGTGCCTTGTTCTCAATTGCATGCTCGTAGGCATAAGGCTACCTGGCAGGGAGATTGTGGATGGTGTACCCAGCTTGTGATCCCGTGCGTCCCGTCCAAATGGAGAAATACACTCGCAAATAAGCCAGTCGAATTTGAAGCCTAGTGCGGCAGCATTTCTGGTAAAGCCGTTCACAACATTGAGTTGTATGAGTTTCAGGCGGTGGTCCGCACATGGGTCAGCCGTCTTGTAACTCGTCAAAGCTTGCTCGGCGAATTGTTTGAGAAGAGCTCGCTTCTGTGCGATGTTCTCCTCTGTGCAGTAACCAAAAGTCGTCACTGGGTCGTTTAGGGGAGAGACCGTCGTAGTGTATGATTGACAATTCTGGGTTGGAATGACATCAGGGGAAGCAGTATCGGGTGAGGCACGGTGGTAAACATTTGTTCTTTTCCTCTGCCTTGCTAAAGTGTCATCTCGTTGAGCTTCACTTGCTCCAGCTGATTCAGGAAACCTGGGCAATCATAACTCACAAACTCGTTTGTTCAGCCTATTCTGCAGCTTCTTTCGCTCTTTCCGATTCGTTATCCCTGCCCAGTCTTCTCCGCGGTGCCGAATGTTCACCTTGTGTGGCATCTGTTGCAACTCAACATGTTGCATGTAATGAGCGTGGGCAGCAATGCCAGGGGTCATTGTTGTGACGATTTCACGAGAAGAAATGAATTGGCAGTAGGAATCAACACTGAGACTGTGCGAGCTGAACCTCACGACCTTAATAGCTGCACGTGGCTGACATTCTGGGACTAATAGTGCTTGGCTAACCTTGGCTAACCATAAATTCTGCAGACTGCGGTCAAATGGTAATTGGAAGGTGTACTACTGCAAGTGGCTGACTTTCCACACAGTTCAAGGTCCACTATTGATGACGTGAAGAACTCGTATTGGCTCTCACATCATATATCCCCTTTGATGCCTCAAAATATATCATGTGGACAAGAATTCGGCGTGGGCAAAGTCAGCAAGCACTTACGTATTCCGTGCCTTCGTAATGTGACCACCCCGTCTTCGTGTGCAAGAAATTCTCGAGAGTATTTTCATTTCAGATGACACTGAAAGGCCATAAGCTATTGCCAAGCGTAACAAAGACGCGCATACCAAGTTTGTGATTTAATTGCAAATAGTCCAAAATTCCTATAACTTGTATCACAGGAAGAGACTCAGTTGGAAAGCAATCAAGGCGTTCTTGGTTTTGACAGTCAATGACTAACCTGGGCAGGGCGAACTCACCAAATGTGGATAACAGAGCTTTCAGTCATCTGTACTCTTTATGCCTGCGGGGCCTGGCATTTAAGACCAACTTTGATTAAAGTAGGTCCTTACGGAGCTCTGAATAGCCCTGCACGACGGATCTCTGCTGTCTGTCTCATTACTATCAATAACGGACACATAACGAAGATTGCGTGCCGTCGCACCGTCGGCAAGCTCTTGAAGCAAAATGTCTTACTCGACTATAAGGCTACTGTGCCCCTGCGCGGATCGTCCCGTACGTGCCGTGTCAACTACACTTGGAGCTAAAAGGGGAAATTTGGGATGAATCTCGCATGCCAGCCTACTGCAGGTACCCATAATTCCCCAGATCTCAGCTCATAGGACGTCGAAAGTTCAAGAGCACCAGTTTCGAACTTGCCTGGAGAAACCGAATCAACATTGATTTGGTATCAATGTGCTCTAGTCCTACGCCTCGGCACCCTATGGGAGCTTGTTTAAAGTGGGTCAGCCATAAATGGGATGGTGAAGGCATGTCAATGAAGAGTCCGGCATTTGGGCCGTGGAATGTGGTACGAACATGTTTCGATTTCTGGGCATCATTTCTCATGTACATGGCGATCTCTTATGCCTCCGACAAGTGTATTTCATTGCATTCTACATAGACTCAAATTATGCTGCGTTGCCAAGGGAAATGAGAAACGACATGCCGTAGCATATGCGTTCTCCGTAAGTTGTTTGGAACTCGGCTGGCCATTCCAGATTGGCTGCATGTGTCCAATACTGGTCAGCAAAGTCGGGCTAGCTCACCGATATTCCCGTTTCTCAGCTGTGGGCAATGCACGGCTCTTCCTGTGGCAACGGGCTGAAGCATGGTTTGTGTCTGTTCACAATCTGTTGCCTCACATTCCAAGCTGGCAGACACAAAGAGAGTTGGACGCTGATAGGGTCGGCTGAGCCCGCCGCTGCGGCTCTTGGGAACACGATGGTAGGGGATTACTGAGCGGAGACAAGAACGTTTCACTGCGCCAAGACAGGGGAAAAGCAACATTGCACACAACTTGCTGCCATTCGAGATTATAGCGGTGGGAGCGTCGTATCGAGATGAAGTTCCCACAAGACCTGAAAAAATGGTACGCGCTGAAAGAGCTGCAGTGGTCCAATGAACAACGCATCGGGAAGAACACGGATTACGTGAGACACGCTCAGCTTCACAGAGCTCGGGCGGGCGCTCTCGAGTTGTGTCTCATTGGAAGCCACAATTGGGTGGCTTTTTCTCGGCCGCATGCGATCTGACCTGAATGTGTTAAGCGAGAAGTAGGCCAAATGCAAGTTATCGGACCATCACTTAGGTCATATTTGATCTATACATTGTAGAATTCCATTCATGAGACAAGGCTCTTCACCGCACGAAAATGGTAGAACGCCATAACATGTCGACGCCCGAGAACGAGACTTCGTCCTCTTGACAGCTAGCAAGGAAGTAGGGTATATAATGTTGCGATGTTCCCCCTCAGCCTGTCTGAGAAGATGTATAGTATACAACAGAGCTATTCTACATCATTGAAACACTCAGCCTGATTCTTTACACCATCTACTGGTACCCGCAATCATATCTGCTATGGATAGAGGAAAGCTTCTCCTCCGCTCCTGGGACCAAGGTCTAGTTGCGCAGGAGCTGAGCAAGTACAAGCTCATTCCTCGGAGACTATCTCCAGAGGCAGTCAAGGCTGCGCAGGGCCTCATCGTCCCCGACACTACACCAGACAACAAACTCTCAGTCGGCACCTTCTCAGGAACCTCAAAGGCCTTGACTCAGGTCTTCAAGAGAATCGAAGACCGGTGAGCCTGCAATAACTTCAACTTCAGTAGCGAGTTGGCTGAAGCTGACAATATCAAGTTTCCACTCTTACTTCGATGTCACTGGTATTGAGCCATCCATTCCGCAAGGCACCAAACGCGAGGATGCCGTGAGCATTTACAATTGGTCTCCAAAGACTGGCCCGCACGCAGATAACTATCCGCCTCACTTAGACTTGATTCCCAAGACGGATGAAGTATCTATCTTCAATATCTTCGACAAAATGCGCCTTCTGGTGAGCCATTTCCTTTCCTTGTTTCAGCCTGGCGTCACAAAGCTCGCACAGCTTTCCATTCTTCGAGTAACGAAATAGCCCGATGGGTCAATCTTTTCTACTACTTGAGCGCGTCTAGTTGACGTTTATTTACGGGTCGATCATAGCTAATATAGATTTACTTAGGATACGGGATTCGTGCTGCTCTCTGTGGTCCCAGAATCGATCAAGGACTTCACCTACAGCTACCCTGACCAGGGAGCTACCATGGCTGACATTGATAAGCGTAACGCCACGCTCAGGGCTGAGAAGAAGAACATTCTCAGCGAGCCCAACATTGGCGATCTCAAAACGCACAAATGGTTCACTGACGAGGTCTTCGCCCAACAGCAGTTCACTGGGACCAACCCAGTCACTATCCAGACTGCAAGCACCTCATGGATCCAAAACTTCACTAAAGCTGCCACAAGCCAGAATTTAACAGACTATGTCGCACTCATCAGCAGCGTCAGCAAGACCTCTTCGCTATATGTGCAGGACTGCGGATATTACCGCTCAACCCTAGGCGTGTCTGCGCAAGCTGTCTTCCAGGCCGATGACACCCCGAAAGACAAAGCCCGCTACGCTTGCTCTTCGGTAACACTCTTCCATCTTACAGACTCGGGCAAGTTGCATCCTCTTGCGATAGTCATTGACTATAATGAGTCTATCGACAACTCCGTCACCATATTCAACACCCGTAAGAGCCCGGAGGAGCAGACAGATCAGGCCAATGATTGGCCATGGCGATATGCGAAGTCAGCTGCTCAGAGTTCGGACTGGTTGCAACATGAGCTCACCGTCCATTTGACCAATTGTCATCTAGTTGAGGAGGCCACAATCGTAAGTTTCTTTCTCGTCCTTTTGATTAACCTCGAGTGCCGTGGTGCATACATGACGGACTCCTAATATTATTTCGCACTACTTTCAATACATTGTTCTCAGTCTTAAAATTCGATGGTCTCATACTAATGAAAACCAGGTCGCCAGCAAGCGGGCACTTGCAACTAATCACCTCGTCTACCGATGCCTTCAGCCACACTGGCTCAAGACATTGTCATTGAATGCGGCCGCTCGCGCCACACTCGTGCCCAGTGTTATCATACCAATCGTCGGTCTTACGGGGTCACAGACATACGAATTCATCCAGAAGGCGTATCAAAATTTCGACTGGCAGGCCAACTATGTTCCAGCGGACCTCGAACGCCGCGGCTTCCCGGTCAAGGACATCTTGGACCAAGGGAATGTCAAATTCCACAACTACGGCTACGGCAAGATGGCGCTGCTAATGTGGCAGGTGTTGCGAAACTTTGTTGCAAGATTCCTCGCCAATGGGGGCCAAGGATTCGACACGGACGCAAAGGTGGCTGCAGACCTTGACATCAAGCGCTGGTGTGATGAGATGCGAAGTGATAATGGAGGCCAAATGAAGAGTTGGCCAGTCATACAGACTGTCGACCAGCTGGTTGACTGTGTGACCATGTGCATTCGTACGTATTAGCTGGACTTCCTTTTCCCTTTTTTCTGGACTATAATGATCCTCTCGCCTCAGACATTAAGAGCATCCCTTTTTCTTTTCTTCTTCCAAACAGGTTGCTGATATGCCACAGATATCGCCTCGCCACTGCACACAGCCGTCAACTACCTCCAGGAGTACTACCAGTCATTCGTAGTCAATCGCTCACCGTCGCTCTGCGCACCACCGCCAACCTCCTTGCAGCAGCTCAAGGGATTCCAGGAACCAGACCTCATGAAGTCGCTGCCTATTAACCGGCCCCAAGAGTGGTTGCTTGCGTCGCACCTAGTCCACCTGCTGAATTTTCGTGTGGCAGAGGACCAGAACATTCTCAACTACGCCATCTCATTGTACCATCTGAGTGCACCCGGAACAGGTAGTGGTGAGACACATATCCAGGCTGCGGCTAAGGCACTGGTGGATGACTTGATTGAGCTTGGAGACACGAAAGACAATGTTGGAAACATCATTCCTGGAGTGTTTTCCAAGATCAGTGACGCTTTGGACAATCAGGAGTTGCCGTACGACGTGCTGCAGCCCGTTGACACGGCCGTTTCTATTTTAATTTAATAGCTGAGATTCAGGTGTCGCTCAAGTGAGGTTAGGTAAGGCGTATGTGATGAGGCAAGACGCATAGGTCGTAGGCTATCTCCAGGGAGGCTGGTCGTGTAGTGGAGGCTCGGGAAGTCGCTGAAAATCTTAAAATTTGAGTGGAGAGGCCTTTGGGCAGGGCAGCGTCAAGTGAAGCAAGTCCAGCGCAGGTTATGGAAAAGAAGGCCCCGTATGCCATGCATTATTCGCTATTTACGTACTAGTAGGTGAAAATCTTCACATTGCTTTTTGGAACAATCCTTCCTACTTTTTCTCTCGGTGTCTTAAACAACCAGAGAACCGAAATCTATGTAATTTGACTCACCAAGGCACGAGAAAAAGAATTTCGCGAAGTCGGTCGAGAGCAAAAGGTGTGGGGGCCGCTGTACGAATCTTGTGTGCGTGGAGTATACATGCAGACATGCAAACATCTATTAGGCCCACGTGCACATATATATGCTTTCGATATACGCAGCATGCAGGCTATGTAACCTTTCAAGTGGGCCAGATTGCACATGATTTTGTAAGCACAGGCTTGAAGACTGATGAAGGCTAACGGGTCCGACTGCTGCAATCTGAAATGCTTGATCACATGGCTTCCCAGGGTTGCCCGTCCTGCATGGGTCAACGCGTTTGGTCCCTGGGGAAAAGGCGGGAAATGGCATTGAGGCCTCTTCGCCACCTAGATTCGGCGTTCGTAAAGTTGATAACGAGAAAAACCATGGTCTAGAAGGGCCTGGGCCGGCTGGCGACTCCCCTGCGCATCTACCCGCAATCCTGGTGCTAGTCAGCTCAGGCGGTGGCAAGCCTTACAATCCTGCTTGTCCCGTTTCGTGACTAGACTCATACTCAAATTTTGACTAACGGAGAGCGTTGTGTTTTATTCCAACTAAGCTACTTTAGACTGACTTAATGTGCTGCCGCCCATTGTCCAACCCACTGTTGGCTGCTCCCCTCGACTCAACGACCGATACCCAACGCCCGATACCTTCACCTCACCGTACCACATCAGCACGTTCACCTCTTGATTATGATACGATTGTAGCACGGTTCTGGGCAAACCTACGCTGCGACGTCCAACAAAGAACTGGCCTCTGACGGCACAAAAGTTACGGCATAGTCAGGATGCCTGCCAAATCGCCCTCACCTTCAGTGTCGGCCTCCCTGAACACCGCCTTCGCTCCCTATTTTCCCAAGTCCGAGATCAGTCCGCGAGAGTCACGGCCTCTACCCACTCGGCCGCTCTGTATATCCGATGAGCAGCTGTGCAGCAAACCAATTCTTGCATACGATGAGCAATTGCACGAATCCAATTACAATCCGCCTTCAAACGTGGATCTTGCACACCGACCTGATGCCGTCTCTGATCCATATCTCATGCCCTCCCTGGCGAGCAACGAGCGCCTCCGACTGACTATGCTCTGGTATTACACCCGTGGCCTCTACGAAGATGGAGAATTTCTGCAACTACTGCAGGAGAAGCTAGATCTTGTCCAAACCTTTATGGAATGGGAATTCGCGCTGTTGGGCCTGCTCAGCGAAGATGTGTACACTCGTGTGGCTGCAACTGGTTTGCCGTTGGCGGTACTACCTCGTCGAGAGAGCACCTGCTCCCACACCGTCACCCAAGAACCCGGAGTAAGTTCCCTGTGCCCAAAATGTCGTTGACCATACTAAATCATGGGCCAGACATTATTTATGTTGCCTAACATGGCGAGCGACTGGCGCTTCAGATGTTCTCCAGCCGTGGCTCAAGGTGGCCTTCGCAGTTACGCTGGAGTACAACTACGATGTCAGACCCTGACTGGTGAATATGTTGCCCTTGGTTCTCTGTGTGTTGCCTCGAATTCGGAGCAGGCACCACTTACTCAGACTCAAGAGGGTGCTCTGGTCCGCTTCGCAGACATGCTCGTAACGGAAATCGTCAGTCACTCACGGCATGAGCGTCGAAGACAGCGTAACATCATGGGCCAGCGTCTCGCAGAGTGTCGCCCTGATGAAGTCGAAAACGCTGAGGCACACATCTTGAATCTTATACGCGAAATGTATCCTGCCGCATTTGTGGATATTTACGAGGTTTCCGACAACACAGTCCCGCTACCCAGCCATCCTCCTATAGACTTGGTTAGCATTCAGGACGGCTTGTGGGAAGATGCCGAGCACATCGACGAACTCATCCGGACGGCTAACTGCACGAAGATCAGTACATCAAAAGTTGTTCGAGCTATCGTCCACCCTTGTCAGAGTTATCCTCATCAGAAGTACCTCGTGGTTGCCTCAAGTCAGGTTCAGACCGTCTTCGACGATGTTGATTCCTGGTTCGTGGAAAAATGCGCCACATCTCTCGCTAAAATCGCCCAAGAAAGCAGCTTGAGAGAAGCCATCAGGGCAAAGGATAAGTTCCTCAGAGGAATCACCCACCAGCTCCGAACTCCAATTCATGGTGTGCTGGCGTCTTGCGAATTGCTTACTGAAGAGCTGGCTGCTCGCAGCACACCCGCAAATGGTCCGGACGCACCTGCAACAAACCCCTCGTCTATCATCGATACCATCAGAGACTCGGGAAAGGAGCTGATGACAACGGTAAACAACATCCTCAAGCTCAACCGTTGGGCAGAGACTATCGCGGTCAAGCACCATATTGGGCTTCAATCTCTAGCTCACTTGGAAGATGACATTATGCACGAAATGAGGCAGGTGGTGTCAGGACACGATCTTTCCAGGATTCCCATTCTTTTCGAGAATCGCCTCGCCAGCGATGGCTACATCACCATCATGGATCCCTCTCTATTGAAGGAATGCATACAGTCTTTGATTCTGAATGCATTGTCCAACAATAATGATAGCGCGGTCATTATTGTTATTACAGCACCATCAGACAACTCGAGCCTTGCATTCGATGTGTTGGATGCTGGTTGTGGAATTGCCCCAGCCGACCAAGGCCGCATCTTTGAAGCGTTCGAAAAACTCAACCCACACAGTCGCGGAGCAGGACTTGGACTGACCCTCGCGACAAAAATCGCTGCCTCGATGGACGGCAATGTCTCCCTAGTCGCTTCCTCGCAGCATGCGGACAACCACGGCTCTCACTTTCGCGCTGAGTTTTGCAGGCTCGAATTCATACATAGCGATTCCCATATCACACCGCTATCAGAATCACTCCATCAAATACCTCGCGAATTTTACATCGCCCACGCTCCTGACCAACGTCTTGACCTGGTCTTACACTTCGCAAGCTTCCTAGAATACCAAGGATTCAAACGAGCTAGCACCCCCAAGGATTCCTTCGTTGTCATTGCGTATACACCTGATACTGCCGAATTCCAGAGTCTCGTCGATTCTCTGGATGCTGAGCAGCATTCAATCTGCTTGGCACCTTCAGGAGCTGGGATGAATAAAATATTTGGAGACAGAGTTCACTTTTTCTCTGGGCCATTTTTGACAGTGCGTCTCAGAGAAATACTCAAAGAGATCGACATAGCATATCAAACCCAAAATCTCAAAGGCTCAATGATACTGCCCGAGGCTCGTCAAGGCATTGAGATCGACCTTCGCCAGATCTCCGAGCTTGAGATTGCGACGCCACCGACACCACCACCCGAGGTTGACCCTGTTGCGCTGCTAGTCGACGACAACATGGTCAATCTCCGAATTCTCCAGATGTACTGCGAGAAGCGAAACATTACATACAACACGGCAGTCAACGGCCAGGAAGCTGTTGACCAATTCAAGAAGTCGTTGGAGGAGGGCCGGCCCATCAACCTTGTGCTCATGGATTTGCAGATGCCTGTAAGCGATGGGATAGAAGCAACGCAACAGATTCGAGACGTCGAAGGGAAGAATCAGCATGCGCTCTCACCGAGTCGCATTTTGATGATCACGGGTCAGGATTCCGCCGAGGACAAGGCCCGATCCTTCGCAGCCGGTGCAGATGCGTTTCACGTTAAGCCCATGGGCATGAAAGCCCTTGACCACGGTATTGGGGAATACTTTCCAGGATTTTCAAAGAAGATTGCATCTCTCAAGCCGAAAAAGATACGATGAAATGTCACATCGGTGCGGATGGGATATCCGCCCTTGGGCTGTTCCAGAACACAGTACTCATACCGACAACAATAGACTTCGGTTCACCTGAAACCAGGTAATGGACTTCACGCAGAACTCTCCGACGGGACCTGACATCAATGTCTGTCGGCTCGAGTCTAGACACAGATTTGTAATTACTACTGACGATAAATCGATCTGGTATGCTCTGTACAAGCCATATATGTTTCGGTCCCAGGGGCATGTTTGGGCTGAACGACGCCGACTCGGTCTCATCTGTTCCTTCAAAACTCGGTTGCCAATGAAGCAGATGGACCCAGCGTGGGAAATACGATTAACCAGTTGGCAAGACACTTCTGGACTTTGGATTGTCCCAATGGACGTGGGAGATGTTATTGATACCGTGGAGCAGCTAAGAAGCCCCCTCAGAGGCGCTGAGCTTCCACACATTTGAAGGCGTGGTCTCTGAAGTGTATAATGCTGTAACATATATTCGAACCCCTGATTGGATTTGAACAGTCGCCGGAGGGTGATTTTCGAAAATCTCATCACGGAGGAAGTGAACTCATGGGAAATGTATGGAGAATATCCAGAATTGACATTAGGTCAGCACTGAAATCTATCTCGTACACAAGAGCCAAGATCGGGGAATTGTAAAACTCCCTCCAAGCCAGAAATAAAGACAAAAGAAATATAGCAATGGAAGAGGATAACGACAAAAGAAAGTAACGACTGAGGATATATGATGAAAAAAAAAAAGGTCCAATCCCCACCCACAGCGGCAAAAATAAGGCAAGGACCTTAATTGTCCAACTTCCTTATCAGCAGCCTAGTCGTAGGGTCTGGCACAGGAGTTGATCCCACGAACAATGGGTTCCCAGAACAACCCGGAGCCAGCTTCCACTCGTAGTGAAGCAACAGATATGTCATCATGATCTTGACCTCATTGGCGGCGAAGAAGCGACCAGGGCAGGCGTGTGGGCCGTGACCAAACAACGGCATCTCGGGACTCGTCATTACCAACTGTGCGCGGCGCTCCAGACCGGGCGTCTCGCGCCAGCGCACGTAACGGTAAGGGTCGAATTCATTCGCATTCTCGAAGACCTCAGGGTCCCAAATTCCGGTAATGTCGAGGTTGATCTTTTCGCCCTTGCGGATGACGAAGCCATCTGACAACTTGATATCTTGTTTGGCCTGGCGGCGGATGGGCCCTAGAACAGCAAACATCGTTAACACCCAATACAGTAGAATTCGTTCTCCGTGTGTCATTCATGCTTTGAGAGTGTTGGACGTACATATTAGGATTGGCTTCACCCTCTGGCACTCCTTGAAAACACTGTCCATAAGCTTCATGTCGTAAAGTGCCGTCTTCTTGATGCAGGTCTCGCTACCAAGCACCTGTCTGACTTCTTCACGCATCGGCTCGAAGATCTCAGGGTGTTGTGCCATGGTCACCATGGTGTGTAGAAGCAAATCCGAGGTGGTATGAATGGCAAGGACCGACAAGGTGATCTGCGACACGGCCGGGTCATACCCGGTAGGGAAAATTCCTTCAAACCAGCTCATGGCATCGTCGAAGACAGGCGGCTCCCTACCGTCAGCCACGGCCTGTGCAATCTGTGCTTTGCGATTGGCAACGACAGGAGCGAGCATTTTCCGGCACACGTTGAGCTGGCGGCGAACTGCCCAGGCACCTGGCATAAACCAGTGTACGATCGGACGCGTAAACCGGGGCAAGCCACGAAGTATGTGTCCTACGCCGAAACTGAGAGCAGCGTACTTGGAGGATTCGGCCACCCAGTCTTTGTTGCGGCACATTTGCTCACCCATGAAGATGCGGGATGATACTCGAGACACCATGGGGAGAACCAACTCGCTGGGGTTTATCTCGTGCCATTCTTTTCGTTGGATGTTGTGGTCAGCCCTGAGTACGCAGGCGACAAAGACGTCAAGGGTTTGGGGTTGGCTTACCCCGGTTTTCTGTAAAGGCATCCCTGATGGCCTCTTGTGCTTCAAAGCTAAGAGCCGGCGTGAGCTTGCCTTTTTCGAACGGGAGGTGTCAGTCAGCTATCAAGTTTCTGTGTGCGATGACCACTTGATAAACCATACCGAGTACTTTAGTCAAGTGTCGGTTGATAACAGCAACTATTTCCTGTGTGGGGAAGTCAAAGGGTTCGTAGCCCGGGATATAGTTGTGCGTATCCTGGGAAAGACTCACGTCAGTATTAGGCGTGAAGGGAACATTTGTTATATCCTCAGGCCTTCACTTTAAATTCAACCTGAAATTCAGGGGCTCTCACATACGTCTTGGCCCCTTTCAGAGGAATCTACCTGCGTATTAGCGGCGGCCGCGATCTCATTGGTGTAGCGCGACGGCAAAACCACCACGTCACCTTCAGCCGTGAACATCCTGTACGGGTTGTCGCCATATTTTAGCTTGGCCTCTTTCGTCATCTCTATGCCATGCTCCATGAACTCCTTGATGCGTCGAAAATCGGTGAACTCGAAAGGTTTCCTGGGGTTGAAATGTGGTAATTTGGAGCCATCTGGTCTCAGCACATTCAATGCTAGGACGAAGAAAATTGCCGTAATGATGTAAAGAAGAGACTTCTCGCTTGGAAGTGTGATGGTAATGTCTCCTGCTCCGAGTTGGAAGCCACTGTTGGCTGCGGCCGTTGTCGACATCTTGACTGGGTATCGCGTAGATTGTCAAATGCTGCTGGGCTGTGTTGCTCGTGAAACTGGATTCTTTTCAAGTTCTGGTCGCCTCTACTGTGAATATTACTTCCGCACTAGTGTTTTATAGAAAAGCACACAATTATCTGGCGGAAGGATGCTACTTGGTGTGGACCCGGGTTTCAGTGTCTTTGTGCACTCATTCCTGGAGGTTTGACTCGAATCCATAGGTTGCGCATGGGTTGGGCAGTCGATTATGTCGGCGCCGATATGGTGCCGGCATGTCGTCGGGGAGTTAAATGTCAATCGGGTTCTTCATGTCCCCGGTCTATTAAATTTCCCTATATCCGATCTCTCAGGCCCGTGCCGCGTTCTCGATCTGGTCGTTTCTTGGCTGGCGCTCCACCCAACAGATAGACTCGACGAGCTTAGAGTCTACGGTGGTTTCTAAATTCCGATACCGAAATCCGTACCAAATCGCGTCGTATCACTGCTACGTTGTACCCGTGTTTCGACCACTCTAAGCTTTATTGTATCGACGAAGGGGAAGGATCTGCGGGCCCGACGAGCGAGGTAATCTTGTAGCCGATACAGATACTTAGCACTTTAAGCCAATGGGAATGAAAGCTCTTCATGTGATCACTGAAGCGCAGAGTGCTGTGACATATATTCGAGCCCATGGTTGGATTCGAACGGTCGCTGGAGGGGGCTGGGGCACCAACAATAAGAAGCTGTTCTTTTGCTGTGACATCGATGCTTTGAGCTGTCCACGTAAGTGTTTCAATGATGCACTCGGGGCTGTTCTCACTCGATTGCCACAAACAGGAATGCTTTGCGCTACGAATAAGACCGCAAAGTCCGATAACTCATTTTGTAGCTCGTGACAATCAGGAAATTAACATCACTCAAATCGCTTGGATGACCCCCACATGAGTTTTGAAGAAGAGTAGCACCAGCCCAAACACGAAATTATCTGGCACTCAATTGGAGTCAGTTGTCATCGCTACCAAACACAGTCCATTAGCTTCGCTTATCACGAGTTTGCGTTTCAATTCATCCGAGACCGCACTACGCAACTAAATGGCATATTACTTACTTCATTCATCCAAGTGGCACTTCTCATTCGCTCTAGAGTGTCAGGATCATCGAATAAATCAGAACTTACGAAGTCATATCGACGGATGTCTGAGAGGAGAAAACAAAGAGTCGGGGTGTGAATGCGCCTCGGTCGACTACTCAATCCAGACAAGGAGGATCAAATACTTTTCTTTATCTTTGCTTCAAGGAATAAACCGCAACTACTGTCATCTTTGTTTCAAAGTTTCGAGACACCGCCAAGGTCGGGAAAACCACAATGAAGTTGTTCTCTGCACGGGAGGATTACAGCTACATTGTGATTTCGCATCAACTTAGCCATAGAGTACTCAAGGGAGAAATTTGATGCTCTGTATAAGATAACCAAATTGAAGCGCATATAGACCTCAGGTAGAATTGAAAATCCGCATCAAACTCGGCAGTCATATTGTTCCGAGAAAGGAAGAGGCACGGTACAATAAACATGCAGAGCCTCTCGGATTTCGACCAAGCGTCGATCCGGTCATACACACAAATCGCCCTGACTTTTCCACTTGCTCAGGGCACGTCGACCACGGCGGTCATCCAGCACCTGAGGTCATCTCTCGCCCGCCTAGGAGAGAAACTCCCGTTTCTCGCCGGCAGGGTTCGCCTCCGAAAAACACGCTTTGGTGAGGAAGCATACATCTCACCCGGAAATACGGGAGATATTCCCTTGCGGATCGCCATTCTAGCTGGACAACAATTCAATGTTGCCGAAGTCGTCGGTTCGAGCTACGCCAAGCTCGCAGCTCGCGGGTTCCCTGCTCATGCATTCGTTCATCCCGCGTTGGATCTGAACGACGACTTCAAGATCGAGGAGAAGCCCGTTCCTGTCGCTCACGTCCGCGTTAGCGTTGTCACTGGAGGGCTTATTTTGTTGTTGTCGCTGCATCACACGGCTGGGGACGGGTACTCACTTCAGCTCTTCGCAGACTCATTCGCCGCTGCAACGCGTAGAGAGCGAATTCCCGGCGAGAATCTATCTCTTGATTTAAAACTTCCTAACGAACAAAGGCCCTATTCGGCCACTCTTCTGGACCTATCCAGGACTTGTCCAGAGTTTAACATTCTCTTGAACCCAAATTCAAGCCCAGGCCTGGAAGATACGCTTCCAGGAGGCGTCCCAATAGGTGCGATCCCCAAGACAGGTAAGATCTTTGTATTTGACTTTGGCCGCCTACAGAAGCTTCGTGACATGGTGTACATGGCCTCGGGCCCCGAGACGAAGCGACCGACCGTTTTTGCTTGCCTCGCCGCGTTCACCTGGGCGCATGTGACGCGAGCACGACTCAAAAGCGAGGTAGGATTCGCCCCCAAACACGAAGACTCTAATGAAGCAAAGCTGTTCATCCCTGTTGACTTTCGTGGCCAGTTTAGCAAGGAGACAGAGGTGTATTTCGGAAACGCCGTTGTTACGGTCCCTACTCGGGCTTCGGTCAGCGAGGTTGAATCAGCCTGTGACGGTAAGAACCTGAAGCCTCTGGCCACACTATTAGCCAAGGTTGCCGCCACCATCTCCGGCGTTGACGAGGCAGCTGTACTCCGTCGAGAAGACTTGTTCAGCAGGATTGGAGACTGTAGGCGTCTTGTCCTGAGACAGGACCGAAGAATACCAGGGCAGCTTCAGTTCAACACCTGGCGTTTCATGGGCGGTGACACCTCATGGAGCCTCCCTGGTGTGGGCACAAAGAGAAAGCCGGATTCAATACGAAGGATTCAAGGAGACTTGAGCATCGGAAACGCACTTATCCTGCCAGCAAGGTCGGATTCGAAGGTTTACGAGCTATTCCTCCAGATTCCTACGATATCAATGGAGCTACTTTTGGAAGACATGGACTGGATGCGATGGGTCGAAAAGGTCGTTGGATAGTGGCAGGTGAAAATTGCCAGGTTTCTAATAGCATATGGAATATTACTTGTATTGTATAAAGGAATTTTATTTTCTACTCGACCATGAAGGAGCCATACATATTAGGGACACATTCTCAGGGATATGACAGATCTGGTAAAACTGTGTAGGCCGCGGAGGCTGGGAAACACTTCCCTTCTAAAGACACTTTAACCGTCGCCATCGCTGGGCAATATATTTTCTTTATACATAGTTGTGTGGATTGAAACTACATAGGTCATGGCGTATTTCTGACTGATTCCCATGCATTAGTAGGACCCTTTCACTAACCAATTACCACACCATCAGAGATGTCCGGGATTATCTTAGCAACGATCTCCCAACAACCCTGCATCTCCGTTACAAAACCACCGACAGCCTCACGCCCCAACGTGTGAATGACTCCGATACTCCGCCTCCTCAGTCGCAACCGGTGCCGCCGTCCCGCCTCTCAGTGCGTCCCCACCGGCAGCCTGCGAGCGTGCCCCGTGCTGCTGGCCTATCGTGCTGTCGGCGCTCGCCAGCTGCTGCTTCCCCTTTTCCTTGATGGCCTGGTTCTTGGTCGCGCTGGCCTGCGCCTGCGGGTGGTTGGGGTTCTTGTCGAGCAGCTCGTCGGTCACCTCCATGGCGCCGCCTCGGATTGTTTCGCCCGCGCCGCGGATCCCCTTCAGGCCAGCCTTGATGTCCTCGGTGACTTTGGACATCTTGTTTTTTTGGTGCCGAGTCTTGATTATCTTCTTTGGTAAGGTGCTTGACTTTGCTTTGGCTCAAGGTGTTCGAGACGTCGCGGTATGTAGAAAATGATAGCTTGATCGTGTGTTTGCGAGTTGCACCTGGTTTTCAGAATTTGGTTGATAAACGTGCCAAGAAAAGCACCGATGAAGATGGCAGTGGACATGGCTTTATTTAGATACATGCTATTGCATCGTCAACATGACGTCCGCGATCTTAGTGCCGTAGGGTATCATGCCCGGGACGTGCCGAGGATCTGCACGGTGGCAATGTTGTGACGCTTGTCAGGACTCCAGAATTCCATCACAGGCGGTCGAGCCCATCTGCGATAACATCCGACCGCAGGATTTCGTGTCGTCCTCTATCCATAATCTGGCAGCCTACACATAGATACTGCACACCGAAGCCATGACCTCAAGCAAACATGCGCAACGTATGTGTAAACTCTTCGTGCAGATTAATTGTAGAGAAGCTTTCTCAACTAAGTCGATTTGTCCGAGCCTCCGTATTGCATTGCGCTCTAATTCAACGTCCTTGCCAGATACTCTTTATCCTCAGGCTTGGTCCACCCCCCAGAACGCAGAGGATGCCTCGACCAGAAACACCACATTGACACGCCTGGTGTTGGGGCTGACTATCCTTCCACGGATCACCACCCAGACATAGCCGATGAGAACCAATACACGCCCTGTATGGATACCCATTCAAGACCTTTCGAGAAAATGAATGTGATTGTATGGTACAATGTATGTACGCGGCACGCCCCTTCCAAGCCCTTTGTCAGAGATTGTCCAAACTCTAAGATTTCCCAACCCATTTTCCTCCCAGTAACACAAAGAAAAGACCTCCAACTCCGTCAGTTATCATCAGAACGAGCCCGGAAATAACTAACTAGATCCGAACCCCGGTATTTTTGCCAACTATGTGCGAGACAAATGTGTGAAGCCGGGCTAGGCATATTACCAGTTATGTCCACCCGATTATGCTGAAGCTACTTTCAAGCACATATTATGTTCAAACGTTATAAATATATCCAAAATCTTTTGGATGAGCTGTTCATCATGAGTCGTAGCCAAGGCCTCGTTGCCATGGGCTGCCAGGAATCGTTAGACAAGATCGTCGGATTGAGCCACGCGCACTGTCATCGCACTCACCCTGTGTGATCACCGCCCCTCTGCGCCGGAATGGCGCTGTGTGGCTGGTGGGCTCCATTCGAGCCAGCTCCACTAGCCAGGGGGCTTACTGGCACAGGCGCGCGATGCATATCTCTCAGGCTGGCTGAGTCTGCAGTGCTCGGAATTGATACTGGCCGTTGGACCATTGCGTCCTTTTCATTAAGCTCCTCCGACGGTACCAGACTCGTACCGCTGCGCCTGTCCCCATGTCCGCGTACCCGGGGGACGCCATGGTGGCGCGGAAGGTCGGACCGGGACGACGTAGTGTCCTCTTCGTCCTCGTCCTCAATGCGAGCCTTGATGTACCCGCCCTCGTGGTCTCCTCGTGCGGTGGCGGCTAGAGCATCGAGTTGTGTTGTAGTGTTGAGAACAGACTGTGATTTCATGAAGGAGGTGCGGTCGTCGGCCATCTGGTAGCGGCCATCCGGATTTGTCTTGAAGAAGATGATCACGGTAGTGATGATTAAGATGAGCAGCAAGATCAGCGTGACCGCCGCGTTCAGAATCCATAGCAAGATGCCAACGATACCAGTCATGAGGCCAGGCTGATCGAACACGTCGGTGAAAATGAGGAGGAAAATAGCGTTAAGGAAATTAACAACGCAGATAGTGATGTTGAAGGCATTGGTCGACTTGTCCATATACGGACGCAGGACGCTGGTGCCGATCAGGGCAGTGACTTCGATGATGATCAGGGCAACGGCTTGTGCGACACCCGACTTCTGAGCAAAGGCGACGAATATGGCCTTGAATAAGGTGTGGATGAGTACTGGCACAATAAAGTAGTACGCCGAGGCGCGATACTGGATGTACAAGAAACCCCACTTGTTGAGTGCGTGAGTGTCGGAATACAGAGCATAGGCCGGGTTCTTGTGCAGCGCGATAGACCGCCTGGCCATGCGGATGACGTTAAAAGCCGCCCAGCTGAGTGACACCAGGATGCCCAAAAAGAAGAAGACAGCCAAAACCATCTCGGCTGGAGAGTCTCCCTGGGTAAGTTCCCAGAGGCACAGAACAGACATGGGAAGGAAGCCGACCAGGCTGATTCGGAATAAAATACCCTTCATGTGAGTACGCCAGTCCCGCCTGAAGTCGGAGAAGGAGTCTGACTTGATCCATCCGGCCCTGGCGCACCCCTCGCAGGCGTATTTCAACGCGACCACGGCCAGGGCGCTCAGGATCAGGAATATACAGAACCAGACGAGTCCCGTCAAGAAAAAGTTCGTGGTCTCGATGCCTGCCTGGTATGCATACCGCTGGACACCCGTGACGACATAGTCACCGGACGGGCTTTTGTAGTTGCCCGCACGCTTCGCAATTCTGGCGAGGTGGCGTGCCGCTTTCGCCGTAACTTCGCTTCGCGGCATCATCGCGACGGCCCTCCGGTATAAGCCATTGACGGCTGGCACCTCCTCCAGGGCCAACGATCGCTTCTGCACCTGGACCGAGTACTTCGTCAGGGAATCGAACAGCGAGGCGGGAGTACCGCCGGTGGCACGCTGATACCAGGTGAAAATGTTCTGCATGAACTTGACTTTAATGATTCCCAAGCTCCACTGGAAGTCCTGAGTCCAGGCCTGGACGGAAGGCGGCAGGGGAATGGCGACGAGGCCAATGATGGCCTGGGACTGGAAGTAGCCGCAAAGCGACAGGGCGCTGGCGGCGACATGAGCGGCAGCGTTCTGGTGGCCCAGGCCGGACATGAGGGCGGAGGAGGCAAGAGCCAGCCCGGCAATGACGGCAGAGGCCCACTTGACGCCGACAAGATCGACAGTCTTGCCGTTAGACACGGCAGCCTGGACGCAGGCGACGGGGCTGCCGTCTGTCTTGTTGATGTACACACGAACCTTCGCGTCGATATCGGGAAAGGTGTAGGCGATGCCAGGGATCTGAGACTTTGCGCTCGGGTCGATCTGGATATTGAAGGGGTTGTTCAGGTTGCCGGGACTCATGGGACAGAAACCTTTGAAGCCGTCGCCAGCCGAGCAGGGATCGATGGTCTTGTGCATGATCTCATAGCCGTAGGCGGTGATAGAGATGTCGAAGGTCACATAGCCTTCAACGGTGGAGGTGGCGGTCATGTCGACGGCGACAGAGTCGTTATTTGGCGTGAAGACGACATCGAACAGGCTGGCGGAGAAGCCGGAATTGGCCTGGCAGGTGCTGAGCGAGGTCGTCTGGAGTACATATTCGGCGTTTGCGAAGAGAGAGGCGCGGAGGAGGCATAGGAGGAGGAAGGGAAGTCGCTGAGTATGTGAGAAGCGCATGATGGGCGATGGTGGTGACAGCGAGTGCGCGGTCGATCAGTCGGTCGGGCGGTCGGATCGGTCGGTCGCACGCGGGCGAGTGGGTGGAGAGTTGGAGCTCGGCCAAGAGGTGTTTATATTTTGCCCTTGTCGGGTCTTGTTCTTTTGTCCTTGGTGTTTCGATTTTCTAATCAGATCCTCGAGGGAAATGACCTAGCGAGCGGATGCCAAAGGCCAGCCAGAGAAGGTGGGCGTCATGCGAGGCAAGACGAAAGCCAAAACCCGAGTCTGAGCCTGAAGCGTGAGCCCGAGTTAGAAATCCGGACGGACGGTGAAAGCGAGTGACGAGCGAGCCGTGCTCCCAGCTGCGAGAGTGTGTGCCCGTTCCCTTTTGTTAGCCACGTTTTAGCCCGTCCTTTACACGTGAGGCGGGAGGGTACGAAGGTGGTGGTGAGGTGGGTTAGAGGTGAGTAGGCGGGAAGGCGGGAAGTTGGAGCAAAAGTAGTTGGACGACGTCAAGGACCGGGCAGAGGCGAGAGGCGATGGCAAGCGGGTGTTTGTTGGGGTGCGCCCAGGAGCTGCCAGGTGCCCAGACGGTCACTAGAGCCTGGAGCACTAGAGAGCTACCGAGCAGCGCCGAGCTAACCACACCCGCCCAGGTGGGCTGGGCGCTAAAACGCTAAAACGCTAAAAACGTGAGCCTTGTTGCCGTGTTGCCCGTCTCGGACCCGTCAGCGTCCAGGACCAAGGACCCAAGGCTCGACCCAGCCTCCTCCCATTCATTATCGTCTGCCAGGGCTCTCGGTCAGATCAGATCAGACCGCCAGAATCTTGCCTGGGCAGTGGGCACAACTAGCACAGTGATTACAACAGGCACAGACAGACACAGTCTCGACAGGCACCCACCCCTCCCCCAGAAACAGAAACAGACAGCTCCGTTTCCGATGCGGTTCTGGGAAGTCCGTGGGCCCGCCTAGGACAGAAATGGGCTGGTTCATGTTCCAAGGCCTTCCCAGCTGGGAAGATGGAAGGGTAGCTGGGCAGAGCTGTTGTGATCATCCCTCCGATCAACAACGGGCCGCTGCTGAGGATCCACTACGCAAACAATCCTGACAGTCCAATCCCGGCGACTGACGACACGAACAAGGACCAAAATAATCCTGGACCGACTGGACAATGTACCTGCTCCCTCACACACGTTATGCGTGGACTCCGAGCACCACTGCAGCCCGCCTCCAGCACCCAATGCTCGGACTGCTGACAGCCACGTCCAGTTCTGTCATTCGTGGATGGACGCAAGAACCCGTTTCTCTCTTTTCTACGAGTCTACTGTATGTGTAGCTCAGTCAGACTGACGGCGAACCGCCCTGGCCAATGGGATATGCGGAGGCGTGGCAGTGCAGACCTCGTATCGCCCACAGGAACGACGGCCGCCCAACTTGGCTGGCTCATTTGTCGTCCAAGGTTGCTGGGCCAAATCCCAGGCCATTCCAACCGGCTTATTCCAATACTGTACTGTATATAGTAGACCAGGTAACCGTAGCCACGGGCAATTTGCTGCAATGGTAGGACGGTTTATCATGTCTCTAGGAACCCGTTTCTTTATGACTGAGAATTCGCTCATTGTTGACAGTTCGTCGGTTGTTTTCACGTTACCCATTCGTCCACTATCCAGATTCAATTTCACCAGAGGCAAACGGCAAGGAATGCTTACTGTAACCAGACATGTCATCAATTAGATGAATGCTACCAGACGAGATTACATCTAAGACTGCCGTTTCCAGGTTGGAAGATTCAAGAAAATCTTGGAATAAACTCGCCTAGACTCGAACAAGGTTTCTTCACCCGCACCGTCAAGGGTTGTTCGTATTCGCGTAGGAATGGCGGGGGGCGAGGGGGGAGGGGGAGGGGGGCACCAGAGCAGAGGGCAACACCTTGTGGCTCGAAATGACGCGGCCGTAAATTTTGGTTCCTTCCCGAACGACCAGTTGTTCTATCAGCTTGGCTTATCGATAGTCATTCGTTCTTGGGTCGTCCAATCCCCTTCCCACGGTACCCACCTCCACATGCAAAAGGCACTCTCAAAAGCAACACCACCTGTGGGATCTGTACCCATAACTCTTACAAACTCCATTCCCTCACACGTGCGATTCGCATGGCATGGCACGACACGGCACTCGCGGTGGAGATGCAGCAAGCGCCTTCTCAAACTTCCCCACCCAGGTCTCAGATCCCATCGCAAACACGACAACTCAACCCCGTATGCCCGTCTCACTGCAATCGATCTTGTGTGCCCTGAAACAAAAGACACAGCCACGCGTAATTCCAGTCATGGCTTCCTCATCACGCAGTACTTCCTTCGGTCTCGCGGTGATTATGTCCGTTTGAATCGGGAATCTGAGATACCGATCAGCATGCACAGCCTGCACCATCTCCACGCCCGGCGCGGGGAGAGACCTTGGACGATTGTCTGTTCGCGACGGTGAGCGCGAAGACTGGCCCGGCACCAGGCAACGTAGGGCTGGCTGTCAACGCGTTCCTGAATCAGAATCTAAATCCTTCATCGCATCGTGCGCCGAAAGTCGCGCATGGTATGATATTCAACGGATGAACGCGCCCGGTATTGGAACTGGGGCCGCTGACGAACGCCCAATCTGATTGCTTCTATATATGGAATCATCGGGGCCACAATTACTTTACATCGAGACGGGCAGACAGGCACGGCCGGCCGTGGATGCCGGAGACCGCTGGATCCGGACGGCCAAACGGTTTCGGCGGTGGAGCGCAGTGACGAGACTTGCGAATCCGGACGCCACCGGGAATTTTATTCGCGGTCGTAAATCATTACACAAATAATACCTAAAATCGGGGCCCCAGCATCAAGCCGGCCCATACAGGGATGGCATCTAGCCTCGCAAGTAACCGCGTCGCGGGACGGGAGAAATATGTACGGCCCTCCAGGGCACCCTCAAAGGCCGTTCGACGGCAAACTGCCTCTCGCATTCAACGCAGAGCACCGTATCAGATGTCCAGACGGGGGGGTTGCGTCTCGGGATCCGGGTCCCGGGCGATCCACCGACAGCGTCTCCCATGTCTGACCTGACATGAGCAAGCCCGTCTCTCAAGGCCGCAATCCTCAGGTTGACTTCATACCCAGGCCTCTTACTTGGGCTATCCCCCCTGTGGCAGCTGTCTTCCAACCTCATCACCTCGCAGCAGCTTCCTTCCCCTTCCCTTTGCCGCCTTCAGCTGGAGCAGCGGCCGTCGCATTCCCACCAGCAGCAGCACCGGCACCGGCAGTGACGTTTTGGCAGTTGCTCGGCAGCGTGAACGTCTGTCCGACCGCCAGATTAAAGCGGTCAATCCCAGGGTTCAGACCCAAGATCTGGCCGGTGGTCGATCCCGCAGCAGCGGCGATCTTGTCGAAGATGTCGCCCTTCTGGACCGTCCCCTGGGAGATGGTGCACTGCGAGTTGGGGCACACCGGCACCTGCATCACGGATCCGCCGGTGAGCTTCGCGCTGCTGTTAGACGGTATAGCGGCCTTGTTCGCGGCGTTGAAGGCGTCCTGCGTGATGTTCAGAAACTTGGCAGCCTGCTCGGCCGTGATTCCGTCCGATGGGATAACCAGGCGGTCCGGCCCGCCGAGCACACAGCGCTCTGTCGCTGGCGGCGGCGGCGGCGGGAGGCAGGAGGTGTTGTCTGGTGTCGCGGTCGGCGGTGGGATCACTAGGGTTTGGCCCACATCGATGATGTTCGGGTCAGCGAGGTTGCTGGCCTTTGCGATGTCGCAGATGCCGGTGCCGAACTGCTTCGCGATCGCACCGAGGGTCTGGCCCTGCTGTACCACGATGGTGGTGGTGCCGTTGCCGGCCGCTGCTCCTCCTCCTTGCGCGGGGCTAGCTGCCTGACCCGAGGCTGCTTCAGCCGGCTTGGCTGCCGAGTCGGCCGGTGTTGCTACATTCTCTGTGGGATGTCAGCACGTGTCACACTACTTTGATGTCGTTCAGGGGCGTGACGACTGACCCAGCGTCCGAGGCAGGAGCCTCAGCGCCCGCTTCTCGTTGACTGGAGATCCGGCTGCGATACACCCGATTGCCGCGGCCGCGGACAAGAACTGAACAAATCGCATTGTGACGGAAAGGACTGGAGATTACTATTTGTCGCAAAAGATGAAAAGCCTCACAGAGGATATGCGGCACTGCCCTGGAGAACTACAAAGTGAGTATTAAACGAATGAATCCGTCCCAAACGTGCGATGAGATACCGCGCATCACTTCAAGTGGACAAGGGGCAGCAGTCAACATTTATGCCCTCCATACTCTTGCTACCTATTTACACAGCCCGGAGTCGGCGGAGGGCAGGATGGATGGGTGCATGATAAATTGGCTTCGCCCTTTCTCCTGTTTCCTCCATCTTGGAGTTTGAGCTTGGAAACAAAAACCCCCGAGTTTAGCCATGGCGAATCATGGACAGTGTCCGCAGATGGGCATTTTAAGGTTTGCGTTGGAACCCCGGGGTAAGAAGAAGGTGGGTCTCGCGCAGCCTTAGGTGCGAAATATTCTACTTGGCGTTGAATGCTCAACGGCAGACATTCGACGACGTCACCGAACGGTTGGTATATTCCAACGGTCGCTAGCTCAAGGTCGAGTACTGCATGAGTCGGCATCACTATGTTAGGTGGTGTTCAACCCATGTTGGGTCGGACGGAGTCCTTAACTCGCGGCATGAGCCTTCACCTTGCACCTGCACGAGGCGGAACAGTCATCAGAAAGACAAAATGCAATGGTAATGCGGCTCTGTAGGCAAAGGCCGTCGGCAGTCTTCTTTTCCAAGTGCGCGCGGTCATACGGACGGGAGCTAATTCTTTGGGCCTATCCCAAAACACCAAATGTCGGACAACTGACTCTCCAAGTCAGAGCACACGACAGGCCCAGTTGACTGACTTCGTTCCCGGCACATGCCAAGATCAGATCGCGTGCAACCCAGCCACGCGGGAAGACATCAGACCGAGAAGATTAAATAAGAGCCCTTGTGCTTGTCCCAAATGCGTATATACTTGCTAGCTGCCTGATTCATGGCCACGCTTTTCGCGATGTGCTGTTGATCCGTTGATCCGCCCAAGATAGTTCCTGTTCACGGGGGAAGTAAGCTTCAGGCCCACAAATGCTTGTCTGGCCCTCGTAAGAAGCGAAGCATCTTTTGAAAGGGGATTGGTTGGGGAATAGAGTTTACCTCTGTGATGGTACCCGTCACGGTTCGGGAGGTAGCCAAAGAGCTGAGACGAAGTTAGTCTACGACCAAGACCTTGCAACAAAGGCATCAACTACCAATGTACAACGTACAAACACGGCGTCATTCCTCTGCGTCCTCTTTGCATGTACCGTGATTTTGCCATATCAGAGTCGCTGGGGGGAAACACTGCGTGCTCTGAAACACCAGGTACCAATCATCAACAGACCACAAATGTGCTTGTGTCACGGAGAAGTCAAACGTTGAAGTGGTACGGTCGGCTCATGCGCCACCACGTGGGAAATTGTGAACGTGATGAACTTGCCTCCTCTGCAGCTGTCATGTCTTCTCAACAACGGCAGATATTTCGTATTCGTAACCAGGAACAAGCGAGGTTCCTCTGCGGCTAATCAGTTGTAGACACATGGAGAATTCGACCTGGGTGCTAGAGCTGGAGCTAACATGTGCTCTTTCGAAGACTGCTGCTCTTCATCTCACCTTCTCCTCGTCAGGCGTCGTAAGGTCTTGTCGAAGGTGGTTTTGTAATCTCAAGAAGATTCTTATAAAGGAGCACTGGTAAATTGAGATTCAATGGATAGAATGACAACTCACCCCTTATACCGATCGTTCTATTTCGATCCTCTCGTTAATCTAGCTCCTTATCAAGGTAGCTGATACCCATCTCTCAACGCAACAGATAGAACCAGAAATATTCTAGTCGATCTTCATATTGGCGCAGAAAGCTTAGGATCCTTTTTCCCACCGTGATTGCGCATAACACCGTTGCTGAACTCGCTGGAAATGAGGCCAGGAACAGGATATTTGCAAACACGACTGTGTACGGTGACGTGAATAGCTATCAACATCCCGGATAATTCCATTGACAGATCTTTCTTGGCTCTTCAACAAAAGCAAAAGAGTGATAAGTACTAAGGCTGTCAGGAGGAAAATACCCTGACTTGATTTAGTTATGCGATGGGCATAATGTCATTCGTCTTTATTGCTTCTTGAGTAATTTTCTTTCGAGTGCACGATAACTGAGGCTCATAGCTGCGCAATTGGGACCACCTGTACTGCTGTATCGACCGGAAAATGAGAAATTAAAAAAAAAATGCGTAATTTTTGTGTCTCATGCAAGAGCCCGTGAAGTATTCTGGTACTGTGCTGAGGGAGACTTTGTTCTCAATTCACCTGTCTTCATCTAGCCGTCCACCACTGACGGAATCAAAACACCAGGCTTCCTAACTGAGATTTTCCAATGACCAACAGAAAGTCCAATTATGGACGGGAAATCAACTGCTCCGGGATATCACGAGGGGCAAAATTAGCCTCGCAAGCGGTCATAACTTTGAAGAGAGTCCCTTCTCCTCCTGCCTTCGCCAAGACGGCCAGTCCAAAGGGGCGGCTGGCCATGCCCTTGAGGTAATATCTTCCCAGGGGTACGTTGGCAATAGGGTATCCTAAAAATTTAAGTGAATACCTAGAACTCCGTGCGATCGTCATGGCTTACCTGATGCTGTGCTCAGAGTGCAAGCGGAAGAATCCATGGGGACGAACACAACATCTAGATTATGCTGGCTGAAAGCCTGATCGAGCCCCTCAACCTTGGCCACTTTGTGCATATGTGCGAAGGCCGTCTTGCATTTGTCTTCTGATGGCGGGTTCTCAACGGCTTTGATAAGACATGCTTGATCGGGCGCGTCTACAACACCGTTAGCCATTCAATGATCACAACATTATATGCACACAGAGCATCTTACTCTTTGGGAGACACTCTTTCGGATGGTCCTTGTTATATTGAACGATATCCCCGAGACTGCGGATGCTAGAGTCCTCCTCGAAGTACTCTTTCAAGAAGTCCTCAGTTGCTGTGGCGCATTCGTAAACTGAACAAATGGAGTCAGATCAGGACTGAGTCCGTCAACCCTCCTCAACAATGATGTCTTACAGGGCACGATGTCTTGAGCAAACTCGCTGCCAATTTTCAGCATCTCGACCTCGGGGAGCTCGACGGGATAGACTACTTGGGCACCCAGAGTCTTCATAGTCTGAATGACTGCGTGGTATGAAGCGTCCTGAAGAAGGTCAGTGCCATGATTCTGAAATCATAGTCAAAGTCATCTTACATGCTGATGCTTTGCTTCCTCACTCGGCACCCAGAAGTCAGGCGGCAATCTCCACAAAGTAGGATTCACGAATCCAACTTTTAAGCCTTCAAATGAGTCACTGAAGAAGGATTCATAGGAGCCACCGGGAAGTGAGATCCTCGTGCTGTCGTCCAACATGGTAGTCGTAGCCATTGCCACATCTCGAGCAGAGCGAGCCATAGCTCCTGGAGTGTCAAGTGTCCTGGACACCCGAAATGCGCCGCTGCAGTCGATAAGGCCGCGGCAAGGCTTCAAACAGTAAAGAGCCTGTCGTGACGAGGGTGTCACGATGGAGCCATCGGTCTCGGTGCCGATACCGATGAAGGCGAAACCCGCAGAGACGCTTACCGCACTCCCAGTGGACGAACCGCCAGGGCTCTTTCTGCAGTGTCAACGAAGTACAAACAAGACTGTGACAATTTCATACCCATGGTGAAAGATCTCCCTCGTCTAGCACAGGGTCGCCGTAGACGTACGGTGACTTGGTCTGGCCCCCAACTGAGGAAAACCCATCGACGAGTCCGTAGCCCCTGATTCAAATCAGCATTGTGGCATTTGAATGGAAGAGAAGCCTCACTTGAAGCAGCAGAGTTCCTAAGTAAATCGTGAGTTATCAGTTTTGCATACATGTTCCAGAATATTATTAGACTTACGGTTAGGTTGCTTTTGCCGATGACGATGGCGCCACCGGCGAGGAGCTGTGGGCGAGATCAGTGACAGATCTATAAGTGTTCATCGAGCCAGCGCTCGCCAACCTTGTCCACAACAGGGGCGTTTTTCATGGGTCGGTTTTGCAAGAACGCATTGCTTCCTGCGCTGGTGGTCATCCCCAGATCTGCATGAGTAACAAAGCAATCCTGAGCCAGAGTCATCAGCGGGATCAGAAAAAGAGTAGTGACTGCATGTTGGCCAGCGCGCACCTTGATTACCACTGGGATCCCATGTAAGGGCCCTCGAGGCTTGTTATCCGCCATCTCTCTATCCAACTGTTCTGCCAATTCCAGCAGCTTTTCTTCGGGTGCCACAGAGATGATGGCAGCGAGGTTCAGGCCACAGTTGTTGTCCTCTTGGATTCTCTGGCTTATCGCCTTGACGACATCAACCACACTCAGAGTACGATTTCTGAGCATTTTTCCAATGTCATCTGCTGTCAGAGACAGGAGTTTCTTCCGATCAAGAAGAAGGGCCATCATCAGCTGTTGAATGGTGTAGAACCCAAGAAGCTGCTTGCATTGTAAGACGTTCTGGACTTGGAGAGTCAGGACCGGACTGGGAAGTAATTTATATGTGAGTTCATGAACCAGGAAGGCAGTCATCCGCCACTGAGCGGTTGCAAACGCTCGAAAGTGACTAAGAGGCCTGCCAGGTCGGATGATGTTGCGTGAGAAATTGAACGGTGAGTTGAGTTCTGCGAGCATGCGTGCTGTTGTTTGTTGGCTGCCTACGGTCACATAATCCAGACAGTCAAAGCCAACTTTGGCATCCGGCTGTCATCCAAGAAGAACACAGGTGACGAAGCATCCTTCAAAATCATGTTGACATAAGTTGGATGGTACGCCTACGGAGATACACACTGGGGAAGACTTTCGGTTGGCTATGACATTTCAGCGGAGCAAGGCCAGATGCTTGTGATATTTCAAGTTGAACCAGAAGAGAAGCATTCAACAAGCTTTTCGGTAACCATCCTGTGCTCAGTCATCTGTCAATAAGCGCCTCACAGGTGATTAAAGGCAGGAAATCCGTGCTTTCCAACCGTAGTCCGCGCAAGCCTCCTCGTGCTCATGTTGATTTCTACCCGTACCTGCGTATTCTAGGTGGCCTGTACGGCAAGTTCTACGTCATGAATAGTCCTCTGCGTGGTCTAATTTTTTTAATCCCGGGGGTGGGTGGTTCAGATGAACCTAGGTAGTCCCCTTGGCTCAACGAGTTACATCAAGTACGACGACACGGTCGTAGTCATCGTTGAAGAGTTTAATACGACCTTGGCTGGCAACTTCGTAGAAATCCACGCGAGAAGTAGGTGTCAGTCAGGAGACGCAGAAACTGTCTTCGGCATAAGTGGCGATAGGCTCAGACGATCATGTCTGCTGTCAACCCGCCCGACAACAGCGATGTAGTCGCACCCGCAATTCGACCCAAAGGTGAATAATGATATAGCTACATGCACGCTGATGATTCGGAAGCATACAATGAGCTGCCGCTTGACAAGGTGGCGATCGATATGGCCTCATGACCCTTCACCCATTGGACAAGGGGCACCATACCGCCATGATCAGATCCAGGCTGGTTTCCACAGACTTTGTGAGGTGCTTTCATGTTATATAGTCAGATACCTGAACTTGCCAAGATATGCCCTAGCTGCGTCCTATGAGGCCAAGACTTATATTGGGCCCAGACTTCGTTGTCCTGCAGCCGCAGCCGTTTAAAACGCGCGAAGGATGCTTAGGGCGTGCGAGAGAGATTTGTGGGCTTGTATGCTTGTAGACAGATTCACTGGATTGCCTGTTGATACCGCCTCTATGGTCCTATGTACAGGTGCTTGCTCCTAGTCAGTGCCCGCTCCCTCATCGTGCGATGGCCTTGGGCTGCCAAGAATCAATCTTCGCCTTCGTGCTGTTACATAGTCAGTATAATTCTGTAGTGTGGCTCTTCGATGCCCTCAACATACGTGTTGTATGGCTTGTATGCGCCTCGCGTGAATGTGTAGTTCGGGATGTGGTGAGGCTTCGCCCAGCTGCGCGCAACCTGGGCAATGGGGTCCTCGGTTGGGGGCTTGTTGACGGCGTAAGAGATCCATGCGTGCCAGAAAGGCTCGATCTGGGCACTGTTCCAGCCGATAATGGTCAGTCCAGTTCAATTGTCACCACTTCAATAGGTTGGCGATGCTGTTCGACATACGGGTCAAAGTCGTGCTTCTTGTAGTCCACCCATCGTGTCCGCACTATCGGCCATGATAATCAGCGACCTGTCCAGGAACCCGCGTCGAAAGTAGTTTGGAAGTCATACGAGGCAGCTCATCCGACCAGTTCTCGTAGTACTTGTTGCCGAACTTGTCAGTGCCGACCAGAGTGCCGGCCTTGGTGTCGCCTGCTCCAGCATTAGCAACCATGAAGTCCTCATGTGTCTTCCAGGCGAACCGTACCAATATACTGTTGGACAGAGAGTCGAAGGTCAGTCGTCATCTAGAAGCCGGCAAGGGATCGATCGGGGCAAGACGTACTTGAAGTTGATGCCAGTATTCCTGCGATTGATCGCGTTAGCAGACTCAAATGCGAGGGACGCGGGGAACCTACCTTTAGGCCAATACGGCGGATGTTGCCCAGTGTCCTGGTAATGGTCGACATCTTGACTGCTATTCAATGGGCGTCAAGGCGTCAAGGCGTCAAGTGCTGGTTAGAGTGGTGATGCGATTGAATTGAGGTTGAACGCCGGGCCCTGACGCAGGTCCAAGACGGACGGGGGTGGGCCACCCCTAGCCAATCATAGAGCTCCAGTATCTAAGGTACGTACCCTGGTCACTACAGCCTAGCGCACCCCCTTGCTCTTTAACCTCCCGACATCGACTTCTCTTCTGCTACTGCCACCGAGGCCCTCGACGTCGTGCTCCCGAGAAGCACGATTTCACGAGAGACCGTTCTTCTCCCGATGCGGCAATGCTTGCACGGAGTGCTGTGACAAGATGTGGCATCGGTAGGCCCCGAAAGCCCTTCTCCTTCACTTCCAACTTCCGAGTCACAAGGCTCCCAGCGCGACGTCACTATGCCACGGCCGGCACCGCACCTGCATCGAGCACCATGAGCTCTGCAGGCATGCTTGCACCTTTCATGAGCGAGCTCGACAGGATTGCACCATCGTTCCCTATCAATGGCTCACAGATTCGAATACTGCGGACGCCGGCCGAGTTCTATGAGACGCTGAAGGACAAAATCTCCAAAGCGGAACGGCGCATCTTCTTGTCGACGCTGTACATTGGGAAGACGGAACGGGAGCTGATCGAGACGCTGCGGGATGCTCTGCGGAAGAAACCTGAGCTTAAGCTCAGCATTTTGACGGACGCGCTGCGTGGCACGAGGGAAGCACCCCAGCCGTCTTGTGCCTCGCTTCTGGCGCCGCTCGTCGAGGAGTTTGGACCAGAAAGGGTCGAGATACGGATGTACCACACGCCCAATCTGACTGGTCTGCGAAAGAAGTACATACCTAAGAGAATAAACGAGGGTTGGGGACTGCAGCACATGAAGCTGTACGGATTCGATGATGAGATACTTTTGTCTGGCGCGAATCTTTCCACGGATTACTTCACAAATCGCCAAGATCGATACCATCTATTCTCCTCCAAAGATGTCACGGACTTCTTCTGGGGACTGCATAATGCTGTATCATCCTTGAGCTTCAGGATAGAACCATCGAGCTCTGCAGCCGGCTTTGACAAGGTCTGGCCGGCCGAGAATGCTGCTCCGTCTCCCCTCGACAACCCGAAGCAATTTGTATCTCAGTCCACGTCCTTGATCAAAGGACTGATCACACCCGATAGCAATCCATCAGCTGAACTGAAAGGCGAGCATGACACGAGTGTCTACCCCTTGGCACAAATGACACAGCTTCTGTCACCAGACACCTCTACAGAGTTACCTGCCCTGTCTCACGTTCTCAAGACTCTTGCCTCCCCTGAGTACTCCAACTCGTCTTGGACCTTCACCGCCGGATACTTCAACCCAGCGCCGTCACTCACCAAACTTCTCCTTGCCACTGCATCGCATCACAACGTCGTCATTACTGCATCTCCTTTCGCGAACGGCTTCTACCAATCCAAAGGTGTTTCCGGCATGTTACCAGATGCATACACATTACTCGCCCGAAATTTCCTCCACGACGTGCATAATCGCAAGAAGGACCTGGCCATCACCCTCAAGGAATGGAGAAAAGGTTGCGTCAACGAGCCAGGCGGCTGGACCTACCACGCCAAGGGCATCTGGGTCACCTTACCCTCGGAATCGAACCCCTCGCTGAGCCTGGTAGGGAGCTCAAACTATACGAAGCGAAGTTATTCCTTGGATATCGAGGCCAATGCGATGATCCTGACGCGAAACGAAGACTTGAAGAAGAGGCTCGGTGATGAGCAGCGCTGGCTCCAAGAGCATGCCACTCAAGTCACGAGGGATGACTTTGCCAGAACAGAGAGGAGAGTCAGCTTAAAGGTGCGACTTGCGATGTGGATCGTTTCGCTGGTGGGCGGTGCGCTGTGAGAGCAGCAAATGATTGCACTGCACCCCTAATATAACGATTCGATATTTTGGTTAGCAGTCCTGATGAGATGACGAGTTCCTCGATGGAAAGAATCCATAACTGAGATGGGCTATGTCGGCTGGTCGAATGCGCTTGGTGAATGAAAGCCATTGTGGCAGCATCACTTTAGCCAACGTTGGCCGCATAGCAGCTGGGACGCCTTGTACCTCGACGACATCTCGGTATTCGGATCCATACTCCAGGTATCAGGCTACCGCAGTCGATCTTATGTGTGGAAAGCTCGAGCGACTTGTACATCGGTAACTCGACTGGCAGGCTATAGCGGACACCATCCATGCTTTGCTCGATAGTTGAGCAGAGCTGCTACTATTTAGCATGATACCCTCACATAAAAATTCACTGAATATCTCAAGACTTAAGTGCCTAACGACCTCGGCTTGGGGCTGTTTTTCTACATATACCCTGATATGGGACGCCATTACTCGACGAGCAGACACTGCTTCTCCCGGTTACTGCGCTTATGTGTCACAGCTGGTACAGGAAGTACTTGTTTTCCAAGTCCGTAAGATCCAGCAGCGAGATGTCTGCCTCAACCTGCACAGTGCTGCCGTCTTTTTCGACCTGGACCATACCAACAGGCCGGTACCCCAATGCCTCCTGTTCCGCGATCCACCCTTTTCGCTCTTTGTTTCTTCGCGACAGGATGAAGTGAATCGCAAACATGCAGAGCGGAGCCCCAATCCAACTGACCACAATTTGCGTGATCCAAGCCCCATAGTAACGCGGCCCGTCCTTCTCAGCCCAGATCTGCGGGCTCACCAGATTCGCCACGCTATAGCCCACCATCCATATCACATTTCGGAATAACTTCTTGGTGTACCCACCCGCTGTCGCCGTGTTCCATCCGAGGGCGATGATGTATGTGATTCCGAACGTCGAGCCAGCAAGCAGCATGCAGGCGAGGAGCGGCAGCCGTTCAGTCCATTTGATCGCAACCATGCCGATACCGCCTGCGACGGCAAACATGGACCAGAAGGCGCCCCAGAACGCGGTGCGGCCGGGGAAAAGCTTGAGGAAGACGGTGGCGAAGACGGAACACACCACGGCGAAGGCACCGCCGGCGGCGGACACGAGCGTCGACCCGAGGGTGTCGACGCCGATGGCGAGGAAGAGTAGGTTCTGTTGATACGCAAGGTTATTGGAAAGCTGGTTTGCCAGCGCGGTCAGGAAGAAGAGCCAGGAGACCGGGTCGCGGAGGGTCTCATAAATCTGGGACTTCTTGACCATCTTTTGCTCGATGGACGACTTTGTCGCGGCGTGGATCCGTCGGATTGTGTGGACACGCTCGTCGAGGGTCAGGAAGCTGGCTTTCGCTGGGTTATCCGGGTAGAAGAAGAAGGTGTACACTGCAATGAACAGAGTGATACCGCCGGTAATAATCATGAAAAATTTCCACGGCAGGACGGCCTGCGATTGAATGTGTAGGAGCCCATATGCGATAAACCCAGCCGGGATGGGAGATGCGAGGCAGGAGGTCCAGAACAGCGGCTGATAACGCACAGCCTCGGCCGGGGTGAAGAACATGCCCATTGTCACCTCCATAGCTGGGACGAGACAAGACTCGAAGAAACCTAGGAAGAACCGCAGGGGGATGAGGCCGCCATAGCTCTTAGCTGTGCAGTGGAGAAAGACCACTACCGACCAGAGGAATACTGAGATGGTGACAAATCGTCCCAGCGGCAGCTTCTGCATCAGGTAATGACCGGGGATCTGGGCGACCATGTATCCTGGTGGAAGAAGCACGGGTGAGTCGCTCAGTTCGATCCTAGTTGAACATCGAAGTATCTTACCAGCATAGAAAAGCGTGTTGAGATTATTGTACTGGGTGTCATTGATTCCAGTCTCCTCGTATATACCCAGTAGGGCAGCATAAGACAGAGTCGCCTTGTCGATCTATCGGGAGTGGCATCAGCCGTGTAAGTCAAAGATACTCACTCCGTGGACAATTTGTTAACATACATAGAGCATAAGATCGATGATGATGACAAGCACCAGGATATGGTTACGAATTTTCGCCTTGAGCTTCCCTTCAATCTCAGGCGTCAGCTCGCCGACATTGGCGCCATGCTCCTCGAGCAGCTGCAAAGTCTCATCGGCGCCACTTTCCGAGACAACTTTGGCCAGTCTGATGGAAGCTTTGTCCGAGGACACTGAAGGCTGTTCCTTTGCGGCTTGGACGTTGTCGTCGTTCACCATGGTGAATGTACGGAAGCTTACGGTCAGACTCTGAAGAACCGGTCCCGCGCCAGGCAAAGGGGGTTCAAATACATCCTACGAGAGCCTACCGCTTCAGTGCCTTTGACTTATAAGCCATGTTCATTCTTTCATGAACCGCTTTGCGGCTTACTCTGCCAAACAGGCAGTAAGAAGCTCATGTTATCTTCCACTTGTGGAAAAGTTTGTGATCGCGACTTTGGTTCCACGAAGCACGCAAGGCGTTGATAGCAACCAACGAGGCATCAAGAGTGGGTTATGAGTTCATGTCGTTGTACAGAAATTCCTTATCGCCGTTAAGCTGGAAATAGTCTTTCAGGCACATCGAAAGTTGTGCAGGGGGCATGAGTCGGATGCTTCTCGCAGCCGAGTGGCTGCCGACATTTTGGTGGCGGGCCGGATGAGCGGAAACCAGATTGGATGGGCTGCAGGAGCCAGGCTGACGAAAATCATCACGTCTACAAATTCGGGTTCATGTTGAGAGCCGAGAATTAAAGCGAATATGTTGTGCTATGAACATTTAATCTGCCCGGGCAGGGGCTCTCCGGCAACTTTGCCCTCCCATTCCACAATGGAAATCAGCCAGATCTTCATGACAGCTTTCTGTTGGACATTTCTTCCAAATTGTCTCTGGAATGGACTCTGTTGCCTTGAGTATTCGCAGTCGGTGAATCTTGGGAGCCTTTATCTATACTTCATCAAATTAGCTTGTCTTGCAAACAGAATATGACATGACAGACAAGGGTGGTCAAGAAGGATTGAAGAGATACGTAAAAGTACGCTCAAAAAGGAATCGCCGATCTTCTATCCACTCCGGTGTAAAGACGCCTCAGATACATTAGTTACACGATGCGCGTGGTCACACATCTGACTCACATTTCGATAGGTTCATGCGGGTAAACCCATTCTTTTACTTGTCTCTCGACCGATAGCAAGTGAAACACGCAGGAGCATGGAATCCACATGCGACCGAGGCTTGTACCTCGATATAGTAGGTTCAATGTCCAATCTTGACCAGTTCCGATATATTAAATCGCCTATAAATCATTCATCTTGCCAGATTACCCGTCACTGTCCCCACGAGAAGACGCCTGGTTGATTTAGAACCTCCACCTCTATACCATGTGCACAGTTGTTGACCATTAGGACGAGCGACCTTACAGATATACTAATAGCTACACAATGGCATAGAGCATCACTGCCTTAGAGACAAGAGACAAAGGAAGCTGACCGCAGATATAGTTTACTACAGCAGGCAAGGTAATCTACACGATTAGTATTCATAGAACGTTGATTAAACTACTACCACGAACTCTGAGACACTACCAAATTGATCCTGGCGTCAATGCTCTTGCAGAAAGCGGGCCAATTGACGCAGCTTACTGTGTTGTGGAGAAATGGGTCGTCAGTTGTCGATACACCTTGCGAGGTGGTGCATCCTATGGCATCCAGCCAAACCACAAGCTCTAACTTATTCTCCCATTGGGATATCTCTTAGAAATTTGGGGTTCTCGTATCTATCCCCTTCTGCACTATATGTCAGAAGACTCGCGCTCGTTTCCAGCCCAGTAAAATCCGCGGGCGTAGTGCGCTTGGTAGGTGGCGAACAATGAACTCACTGATATGTCAGCCTTGAGGATCCAGGTTGTGTGAGTGGTCTAGTTTCTCCCATAATATGATCCACAATATATTTCATGGAAACACTTAGATATTGAAACATTGGTCCATCTAGACTGGCATTGTCAAGCTTTACTTGCAGGCATCCCATGGCAGTGGTGATCCCCCAGGTGCACGCAGCTTTTACCCGGGTGGTCTAACCCGTATATAAACAGGTAAAACACATATCATATGTGCGCGCTGACCTGGTCGATGTAACTGTGATCTTTTCAAGCACTGCGGGGATTTTTGATTGCTTGCTTGCGTAAACCTTCAGGGTGTCAACCGGACCTGGTTTGCGTAGCCTTCTATTTCAGGGAGTATCGGCCGAGAGAAGATCACACTCGGCCGAGATCTAGCCATCCATACCCCAATGCGTAAATGTATGCCATGACCTGAATTCCTGAGCAAAGGGATGAATGTCATATGGAATTCGCCACTCACAGAGCATCTCTTTGTGTGAACTATGCCGCATGCATTTGGCAGATGGCCCTAGGAGCATTGCTAAGCTTAGACGAATTGGGAGATGGTCGCTCATTGCAGCTCCAGTAACCCCAACCCGCGCTTGTCAGGGGCTGCGAATCAAAGTTTCAATGTTGCTCGCCAACGAGGCCGGATCACAGACGTTCCGTCCGCTCCCCCCGCAGGACGCCGGCCACGGACGGCCACGGGTCCCGCCAACACCCAACACGGGAGTGTAATACGCTTTCGTGCTGCTACAGGAGTCGATTCACCGTGAAAATTCGTCCGGCTGGTCGCCTGATGATGACTCGGACGGCTGGGTACGATGAGACCGGGCAACGTGTCATGGGTACGGGTGGTGAAGTATCGTCGTTGGACCACAGCATACCGCGCGACATGCCACCTAGACACAACACAAGCCTGACGGGCAGTCTCAAAATTTTCGAGACGAACCTCTGCCTATGGGCACTAGCTCTCCCGTCTCTCTATTGCAGGCGGTCTAGGAGAGGTGGTCGCGCGTCCTCGTGCCGGTAAGCATCGCTTCCGCGCCATCTGGCCGACCTAGTAGACCGCCTCCTCCTATTCCGGAGAACAATGCACATTCATCCATCTAACTCTGAATAATCTGCAGCCAGCTGGCACTGGCGAGCTGCAGCGCGCCCACACTGCGCTCGGGATGAGTAGAAGCCGGCCTGTTTAATCTCTTTGTTTATGGGCACCTTGCCTTTCCCGACGGAAGCGCGGGGCCTTGCGGTCACGTTTGGGCTCCTGTCAGGGACGTTTCAGCCAATGGCCGGAACGCCCGTTGAGCAGCGCTTCAACATCTTCTCGGAAACCAACCTACCCGTCTCTTCGGATCCTCCTTTGTGAGCAGATCTGCACGGCCTAGCATGTTTGGACTACCACACTTGCCCTTCCACATGACAGCCGTGGCCTTGGGGTGCTCATCCGGTACTTAGCATCCGGGAGCCAAGCCGCCGAATGTTTTCCTAGTTTTTTTGTTTCATAAACAAAATGACAGCGCGGCCCGAATGGGTTGCTTCTGTGCAGCCTCGTGCTTACATGGTCCCGGAGTTTTCTTGTATACCGACCCATCCTTTACAACAGCGCCGACGCATGCAGTAAGATGACCAGGCCATTTAAAAGTTATGTTGAGCCGTCCATCTCCGTCCCTACACGCACCTTTTCCTTGGATCCCCCCTGGCCTCTACACATGGGCTCATCCAAACCGTACCCTCTGGTCCAAGATGCCCGGAATTAAGGTCTTTCACGTCACCGCGCTGGCGACCCTCCTCCTCTCGTCTGTGTTGTTGAGCATAGCGGCTCAAGACACGTGCACCACCAGTAGTCAGCCAAATCCCATCGCACAACAGTATCCAAACGACGCGACAGGGACCCTCAACACAACACTGGCGATAGTACCAATACCTCTTTCTACTGCGAGGAGCATTATACCTTCACAGCATGCCATCCTCGAGGGTGCATATAGGAGCTTAATGCCCGACTTCCCAGCGGACATGTACCCTGTGCTTGTGACAGCCGGACTGGACCACGATATCCAGCTAGCTGCTCTCAGCATCAATGTCCAGGATTTCCAGGTGAGCATTCTCGTGACAAGACTATGAGAACACAATGCTAACTGACCACGACAGCGCTTTGGATGGTCATTCCCCTTCATAGACCTACTTGGCGATGGCTATTCATCATTTACGATGGCGCCAGCTCAGATGATCAGCGCCGACAACCAGGTGGCGATCAATGGCTCCCGAGCCTACGGCACGACAGTTTACCCGTCTAAATTCGAGCCTGGGTGCGAAGCCTATGCACGGTTACCGAGTGGCTCAACCTACTTCAAAGGTCAAGCTGCGGACGACTCCGGCAAATACGTCACGCTGGAGTTCTCACCCCTCGACCAAGGGACGACCAACCCTTTCCCCGTCGAGGTCTACCAAAACATCACAAACCAGCCAATCTTCGCCAATGGCACTCAGTGCGATCGGCAAGTACGGCTGTTCAATTCGACTATTAATGAGGGCCAGTGGGCACCAGCGCCGGTAAAAGGTACGGTGTTCTCGAACCTGGAGCCTTTGAGTGACACGGAGGGACTGGGAGAAGTTTTTGGAATTCTGGTTGATACCCCTTTTATTGAGTTTAACATGCTGGATTGCACAACGTTGAAAGGATACTCTGGCACTGGGCCTGGAGACTAGACCGAGGGCATAAGGTTTAAGGTTTTGCATCTCCCATTTCCATATAGAAAGGGATAATTCATGGCGGGTTTTGAAAGATATTTGATGAACTACATAAAGTCACATTGAAATAAATCTCTGACGACGAATATGCTTTAAATATGTTCCACAGGACTGCACAGGGAACCTGTGGCGCTAGGATCTCTGTTTCCTAAGTTCTTGTACATGATCTCCGCAATCTTGTGTGCTTGATTCAGCTGCGTCAAGTGTCTGGTTCAAAAGAACACTCCATGAGAGTTATAAAAGAGATTGAGGCGTATGTGATCAGGGTGAGCAAAAGAAAACACAAAGAATTCAGTCTCACAAAAAGATGGGATCGTCACCAATTCAGATACGATTCTGCAGGTCTTCGAGGTTTCTCCTAGCTAAGACTCACAACAGTAGTTCCAGGGCATTGTTCTGCCCGAGGCTTGCACTCTGGGCTGATAGATCACCAGGCATATCCATCCTTCCGTCCGAACTACCCACAGTAATTCATGCCTGTGAGCCACATAATGAGCCAGGATCGACCGACATATGATGCCCATAAATACAAATGGCGCCAGAGAGAGCACGCGGAGCCTATTGTTGGAAAAGTGAGTCACTTGAGCCCCGAGAGCTACCTGCTTGCAGTATTTCCCCCTCTATACTTCTCCCAAATCAGTACAGCTGCGGACAAAATGCATCCTCACATTAGATTAACACCAGGAGAAGGGAATGTAGTGGATACTGAGCGCCCTTGCGCTGGAGTTGCCTTGATTTTCATAACAGCCGAGCCTAGATTAAGAGTATAATTCATAGGCTATCGACAGGTACCCTTCAGTGAGTAGTGATTACTGCATTGGTAGCATCCCGCTATGTGAGCACCAAGATACGGATGCACACCTGACTGGATAGAAGCATCCTATGAATACCAGCTGCCTGCATAAGCAGAGAAGCACAGCCAGCAGTACCACAACCGTCATGACGGCAAAAGACGTGACAAGCAAGCCTAGATTCTCTACCAGAAGTCCTTGGCCTTGATCTGGCGGATGCACTTCAACCGACTGCAAAAGTATCGGATTTTTCCACGGCTGTCCACCACCATTCCGAACTCGGGCTGCACGATGTAGAGAATCGGATTGGCACAGATGGTTTCGTCACAGAACATGCAACTCGCCTCTGGACCGGGTGCCAGAAACATAGAGTCTTTGGCTTCGCCAATCCTCTTGAGGATCTCGATGCTCAGCTCGGGAGCCTTACGGAGGTAGGCGTGAAAGTCGTCACCCATTCTCGACAGGACTGGGTAGCAAATCTCGACGAAGTGGAATATCTCGGCGCGTAAAGGCTCATAGACGTCGTAGTAGACGTTGGATGTGTCAAATGCAAAGATAGCACCGGTCATGGGGTCGTGAAGGGCCTTCTTGAACTTCTCGGGCTCGGCTTCCTTCAAGCACCCGTCGAATATAATCTCGGAGGAAGCTCTGAGGCGGTTATTGAGCTCTTTTATGATAGCGTTCTTCAGGGTAATCACCTGAAAGAAGTCTGCGTGGCGATAGAGCTCCAAGATGAAGTTGTAGAAGTAGGCGTCATCCATAGGTCCGTACACCTGCAGGTCAAATCCAACGGCGGGCCCTGGGAACATAGAGTCAGGTCAATGGTTTTCTGCAACAACGTGTACCGAAGTCGGGCCGGGGGGGGGGGGCCTTACTGGCCACATAGATGTACTTGATGATAGCTGAAACCATGGTGGGAGTCACCACTTCCTGCAAGTTGATCATGTTGCTGAAGGCCTCCTATCGTAACGCTTAGCATTGCTATGCTAGAACCAGGCTGCATTCTGTTAGATCTGGAGCCAGGCATCTGTTACAACATACCATGAATTTCATTGCGAATGTAGCCCGAAAGTACGGGTTGCGATCACAGAGAATCGCTTTGTGGACCTTGAGAGTGAGTTCGCCACAGCGAACAACGCAGTCGGCCCCGTCGCCGGTGTGCAGGAGCCTTAGGTCAGGTTCAACCCGTTAGAATATGCGTACAGAGGCGGGTGATGTGTGTCAAACGGGGAAGAGTGTTGGGGAAAGTTTATGGAAACCGGTGGAAATGAAAAATTGAGTTTAATGTTCATAGTAACTTACTGGGCATCACTCTGCTGCTCAGCAGAGAGAGGAACTTGATCCATCTTTGCAGAGTAATCTTGCTTTGTTGCTTGATGGTACAGCAGTGATCTGTTGATTGGCAGAGATCACAAGTGGTTGGTGATGCAAGTTTTGGCGAAGCTCGTTGGGTGGAAAGTTGGGCCGGTGAATAGACTTCGACTTCTTCGCGGTTGGTCTGATCTTTCTAGTTCGCGAGCTCCAGGGCTCACCTGGTGTCCTTTTCTACAGTATCACTGCATTGTCTTGCACTCTGGGAACCAAACAAGGAAGTCTACTTCTAAGACAGCATGTAGCTGTCCAATTACTTCTAAAGCAGCCCAGAAGCTGCCTCCAAATCCCCCTGTCTTGATGAGCCATACCTTGGTTGCATAACTGTGTACCAAGAACATGGTAACGCGAAGATTGAAGTAGTTGATTGCCAGGCAAGTTTCTCCACAGTCATTAGATGTCACTGGAGGTGTATCATAGTTTTATTGAGAGGATCTCATGGTGTGGGCAAGTTGGTCATCCTGGACTTCGCAGTCTTGACCAGCGTAACCTTGATATCGTTTTCAATCTGTTTGCGTTGATTTTGTTTGTGATTGTTGTCCAGGTCATTTTTGTTGGCGCTGATACTGTTACATGACTGTGGCTCATGTGACATAGACTGGGTGATGTTAATCTCGCCGGGTCGCTGCTTATGGAATAGCATGGTTCAAAGATTGAAATACATCGGCTCTTGCTTCATCTACTCGATTTACTCGTTGGGACTATGAATTACAACTTGATATGATAGAGCAGACTTCCCATTTCGTGTGCGATTACTCTTCCTTTCAAACCATAGGGGCCACACAATTAAGCTAAGCAGATGATTTGACAGTTTTTGTGTGAATATGTGACTGTAACACTAGAGAAGGTCCTAACCTCTGTTTGCTTTGTGTATTTTATGACCTGAATACGGCGATCAACTATGACGGCGGTCACATTACTCTGTCAGCTCCAGCAGCCGTCGAGGTGTGTCGTAGCATGATGCACATCGCCCAACACGTGTGCCTCCTTCTCGTCTATGCTCCAAAGCAATGGGTAACCAGCGTCCGCGATGCCCACTACCCGCGAGAACTGCTATTCTGCGACTTGTTCCATAAAATATCGAGCACATCGCGTCTGCCACAGTCTCCTCATGCCAAATGGTACAATCTCAGGGATGCTTTCAACTTTCTAGTGTTTCGAGCGACGGGTGGTCAAGGTCCAGGTACTAAGCCAACAAAATCATGTGTCTTAAACCGATACTAATGCATTACAGTAGCGAAAGTGTGTGCAACTCGCTCAAGCAAAGGCTGGGAATAGGTCAATACTACCGGTACAAATCTCGAGATTATCAGCTCACAACAACGAAGTCTCTTCTCTGGAGATAGCGAAACTCGGACTGTAGCATGAGTCCACGTCTCCACTTTGATTTACGTACAGCTTTGGCTATCCAAATCGAAAATATATAAGAGTTGTAGGCTTTGTTTGTGAATTGAGGAGTATGGAGCGAGATAGCCTCGGCATGGATGTACCCTTGACCATAATTTTGGTGAGAAGATACAAGCGGGGACCCTTGACGTTGGATGAGCCAACCACACCACGGTGAGGGGACGGCCACGTGACCTGAGCCAAGGACTCGGATGCCAAGGTCTCTCCCAACCTCCTTGTTTTCTGACCGGCTACCTACTCATCTACGACGTGCCCCCAGCACCATCGACGGCTTTGGGTTTCCCATCCCGTCTCAACTCATACCGTCGCCACATAACGCTACTATGGGACAACGCCGCATATGAGCGCTCCCCAGTTCAAAGGTACTCGCACCGGCGGGTGACCGCGCATGTCTGCTCAGCGCTGAGTGTCGAACGCACCGGTGACGCGCGCCCGAGACCAAACGCGACTGGCTTCTACCCACTGTCCACGGGCAGTGGAAGACCCAGGGTCTTGGTGACAACCGTACTGCTGCTTCTGACCTAGTGCTGGGCGAGACATGCGGGAACGGTGCCTCGTCTCTCCGGCTCTCCTACTGTCGTCTTGATTCGGATCTGTCAAAAGGAGTCAGGGCTGCTCTGCCGACCAGAAGCCTGGGCGGGCGGGATTCCTGTCCTTCATCATCATGGATGATGCGATACAGGGGCTAGAGCTCGCGCGGTTCGTGCGCATGTGAATGTCCTCCAGCTGACCATCTCTAGGCTTCGCGCTCTCTCCAGCTTACACTTCTTCACACCGGCCGGGTCGGCCCCGTCCACCATGAGCTCCCTAGATTTGATCGATGTCTCTGCTCAACCAGCTATCGCTTCCTGGACCCACGACTCTGGGGTGACTCGTAGACTCGATGCCCTCCGGCTTCACATTTTCCACGATCCCTCGACCAGCACTGCATTCTTCAAGCTGCGGGCCACGGTGACATTCAAGGCAACTAGCGCGAAACCGAAGAGGACAACAGCTGCTTGGCTTCACATTGCTCCCGAGAATGTTGAGACGATTAGCCTGGAAGATGAGGAAAGTGTTGATGAGGTTATAAGCAAGATGATTGGGCCGAACACCGTCTGTTGGCACTTTTCTTTGACTCGACCCGCCACGCTAGTTCTTCCACCAGATTACGATGTCAAATCGAAGGGTCAACCATCAGACGATTCGTTCCACGGCCTTTGGGCTCTCGCCCGGGCCACCAAGTTTTCGATTTCAGCGAGCTTGCCTGCTCGGACCGTTTCCAGAGGACGTTTGATGTCCCTGTGTGCGGCTGCGTCGAGACCTCAATCGGGCAAAGGCACGACAGCCGTTGAAACCGCATCCGCAGATGTCAAGCTCGCTAGTAACAAGCATGCCGCTGATACGGCTAGTTTGTACGGTGGTAGAGGTGGGCAGATTGTCGAGCTCGACAGCCTCAATCTCCCAGAACCTGCTGGCAGCGCAGCATTCCCGCCGGCGTACTCAGATATTGGACCTAGTCCGCCCCTCGCGGCGGATCCTCCCATGGGCAAAAAGCGGCGACGGAGGACCAGCTCAGAAGCCAGTGCAACGGCATATCGGCAAGTCGACAGCAAGGCTATCGAAGACAAGACGGCTTTTGCGAATGCCTTCAAGAATGACTTGAAGGCTGAGCTGAAGGCAGAATTGTTGAGTGAGCTCAGGACTGAAATGAAAGCTGAACTCAAAGACCAGCTTAAGATGGAGCTGGTCAGTGAGGTGATGCAGGAGGTAGAGAAGCGAGTATTGAAACGCGTTGAAGAACGTCTGCAAGAACAGGCAGATGATTTTGAGAAGCAGCTGTACGACCTCAGGCATGAGTTGGGCGCCACGGTCTATTCCGAGGTTGAGGATCAGACGTACACCGCCCGAAAAGAGTTGGAGGATTTCGTACGAGAAGAAATGGAAGAGGCTCAGAAACGAGTAGAGGAGCGAGTAGTAGATAGACTAGAGAGTGCCAACTTGAATATAAGATTTAATGACCGGTAGAACTTGAGTTTCCAATTCCCCAGTTCCCATCGCGCCTGTGCTGTGAGGTCTTTGGGCTGAATGCAGTTCTGCTGCTGTATTTGGGTGAGGAGATTTGAGAGGGCATGGATATTGCATATGTTTGCAATCACCATCCGGAAAGGCTTAGATGAACCATCATTTTTTGTTTGTCTTGGGCGAAATCGTTCAGACTTTCTCCACGTTGGAAGTGCGCTGGACAACGCCAATTCAGGGTTAGGTTTCACCGGACCTTGGAGCTCCCAGATTCAAGGTGACGCAGGTAGCATCTGCAGACCCATCTTTCAATCAGCTACTGCTAGACAAAAGGCATCTTCGGACTCGTGTCTGGTTCGGTACATCACAAACTGTCATCGCCTACAGCTCAAAACGTTGGCTCGACGACCGGACACCATGGCACCCATTCGCGTACCCAACGCTGAAGACTTTACAGCCTTAGCACCAGACCTGGCAGTCTCTCTGCATTTCCCCTCGCCGCCGGAGTCAACAACCGCTATCCTGATCCTGTTCCACGGGCTCGGTGACTCGGATGCCCCCTTCGCCGGGTTTGCTCAGAACATCAACCTTCCAGGCGTTCTCGGCATCTCAGTTCGAGGCACCAGCCCGCTGCCACCAGCATTGCTGGGCTTGCCGCTTGATAGTGGGCCGCCGAGGAATTTCCATTGGGGAGACGACTTGAACCTGTCATCCGCTTCAGGTGGACTGGATGCCGACCCTGGTTTCACCAAGGCGACAGAGCTTGTTCTGAATCGGCTCATCAGGGAAACTTTGGTGGAAAAGTGCGGCTGGGAGTTGGCCGACATCCTCTTCTTCGGCTATGGACAGGGAGGCTCACTTGCATTGGGCTTGGCCTCTAAGGTTCGTGAGGGTCCTCAGGTTGAGGAAGTGAAGGAGGACAAGGACGGAAAGCCTGTAGAGACTGGCAAGGCGTTCAAGGGCGTTGTGTCCATTGGGGGAGACCTGCCGCCCTCGATGATCCCATCGCTGAGTGCAAGGTCCAAGTCGGAGACGCCGGTCTTGATTTGCCGTGGGAAGTCATGCGACACCGTTGATGACGATGCCGTCGACGTGCTCAAGAAGGAGTTCTCAAACGTGCAGGATGTCAAGTGGAACAAGGCGGACAGTACCATGCCTTCGAGCCAGGAAGAGGTGCTGCCGATGATGAAGTTCTTTGCTGAACGGCTACGAAACGATGGGATTTGAAGGAGCGTGGGTGGCACTTTCTTGGATCAGCTATTTGGTGTTCTCATCTTGTCCAGCGCAGTCGACGCCCTGGGGACTTCTTTCCCGGCGGCAAGCGGCTTCCTGTTATCTAGGTAAACCGCCAGCAAAACCGGGTCGTCATTGCAGTATATCGGATGCGGAACTAAGAGCCTTGCTGTGTTGCTCTACGGATAAGCAACACAAACATCATGTCTGTTCCCCGGCTTCATCCAACATGCTTCACCCTGGAGGCTATTACCGTCAAACCTATCCTCATCTGTTTCTGCATTTTCTACCAACATCTGTGCTCGATTCACATTCCATAGCCCATTCAACATGATGCCAGCATTTCCAATCGTGGCTGCCCCCCACTTCGGGATCGAAAACCACGTTGGTCCATCCAAACCTCGCGCAACCCTCAACCGCAGCACCGACCTAGCGGGACGTGGCGGCTCGCCAGAGCTCCCTGCTGGTGACACGAGCGACAAGGGAGGGCCCGCCATCCCTCTTGCCGATCTCCGCAAGGCCGTACATGGTATCGAAAATGCCCAGGCTGGGGAGCCATCAAAACTTCATAATTTCGTGGCCACTGACAATGGCATCTTTGGCAACGCAGCGGCAGGGCCTCCTGGCGCATGGCAACACAACCGGTCGAGCGCTCTCAAAATCATAGACAAGTCTGAGGCCATCGAGGGATTGATATGTCCGTGCATTACTTACGGCAAGATAAAACACGAGCTGAATCAGGCTCAAAAGAATCGGGCTGGTCAGGAGATAAGCGACGGAGACGACTTCAACGCCTGTAATGGACCCTGTGTTAGCTACGCGGCTGTCACTACCTCTTTGCTTTGTGAGTCTGCGTCGAGACGTCCGATGGGTTGACTCAGCTGACCAGTCTTTCAAGAGTTTGGCGGCGGGATCCTAGCGAGCAAGCAAACGAAGGATATCGCTCTATTCTACGATTTGGCAGGGCACGAACGCAACAAGGCGCTGACAGTTGTCGTCCACAATGCCACCAATCTCCGCAACCTAGTCGAAGTACGGGTTCGAGAGGAAATCGAGAAGAGGATCAGACAAGCCGTACTTCAGAGGGCCCAGCAATATAAGTCTCAACTGCCGATGGAAATGAAAAAGATGCTGCCGGATAAGTTGCCACAAATTGAGATACCACAGGGATTAGAGGATGCTCTTGAACACGAGAAGCCCAGGGCCATCTCTGTTGTGGACCGATTGAAACAAAAATTGGCGGGGAAAGCTTCAAAAGAGCCTGAAAAAGAAAGTGGTATGGAATTGCCCACCACCCTCCACCCTTTCCAGAATTTCATGGCTGCAGAATCGAGCACTGCAGCCCCAGAGGAACAGACTGGTGAGCAATTCCCAGACGTGCAACCAGATCAGCTAACTTCCAATACAGCGGAGCCTGATGCCCCCTCTGAGCCGAAGAAGGACGAAGCAGGGAAGCTATCTTCTCTGACCATCGGGGAGAAGATCAAGCTCAAGGAAGACGAGCAAACGAAGAAGTTGGAGAGCAAGTTCGGAAGCCGTTTCAAAAAGAGTCAGAAATCCAAAGGCAAACAAGTGGGCAGAGACGCTGAGCCTCCGGTACCTGCAGAGGCACAGCCGGATCCCGAGTCGGACAAAGCCACTCAAGGGTCAGAGCGAGAACAGGAGACTATTACTGAAGTTCGACTCGAGCGAGGTCAGTCGATCGTGGAAATCCCCGCGAATGCTCGAGTGCATTCCTTATCACACGACACATTCTTCATCGAAAAGCCGCCCCATCTCCCGCACTCGCTAGATCTGGACACCATCCTGCCTCTCGACAAGGCACGTCTCTCTCATGTCCTTGAGCACGACCAGATCATCCAGTTCAAGCCAGATCCACAAGAGCACCGCCTCTCAGCGGATGCCATGATCCCCAAGACAGTCGCCGCACCAGGGCACTTCCTCGAGGGCGACCCTGTCGTGTCGGGGCCAAAGCAAGTATTCTCCCACGAGCTGCTGCACGACCCCATCGTCGAGCGGGCCAAGGCCTCCCTGCCTCACACGCTCGAGTCGGACAAGAAAGTCGCCGCGAAAAAGATCGCCAAGGCGCACGACCTCGCCAGCGACACGATCCTGCCGACCCCGCCCAAGCCAGCCTGGCACGACCTCGACAAGGACAGCATAGTCGCTACGGGCGGCCCGTCCCGCCAGGAGCACGACCTCAGCCGCGACGTGCGCATCCTGTCGCCATCGGGCCAGGTGCGTGCGACGCACACCATCGACGCGGACGAGGTGATCAAGGAGGGGGCGCTGTTCCGCAAGTCGCCGCGCCCGGACGCCGCCGCCATGCCCGGGAACTGGGCCTCGTCTTCCACGTCCGAGGAGGCAGGGGACCACGGCGGCAACGGCAATAGCAACCAACAGCAGCATCTCGTCGCGTCGCTTAATGCTGTGGTCAATGCTGCCGACCAGGCGCTGGACGAGCTGGGCCAGGCGGCCTCTTCAGGCAAAGAAAATAAGGCTGCTGGTACGTGTAGTTCCAGGTCTACTTCAGAGCATGCCTGATCTCACTAGTCTTACCCGACTCTGGTCATCCTGTTGAAAGGGCCCTTGATTAACTTGAACTTGTAAGGGTTAGATGCGCCTACGGCTCGCGGCTTCTGGGGCAGGGTGTTCCCCAAGCACCAGGCTCCTGCGGCTGCTACTGCTGATGCCACTGCTCCTGGCGCCCACCCGGCTTCTTCGAAGGGAAAGGGGAACCTGGAGGGTGAGCCACAGACCTAAGAGTGTACTTCGGCGTTATGGAAACATGGGTTCGGCATTGGGACCGAGAGGAAGCATGGTTTTTGGTCAATTTTCTCGTTTTACATCCAGGTGTTCGCTTTGTTCTCGGTAGGAGAAGCCATGGTGGGAATAGGGACGGTGTTAGACGGCACTCTTCTCTTCTTCAGAGGCATCGATTAGTCTTATCACGAATCACCTAGGGCGACCATCACTAATACAACTCTCCGGAAACTGCAGATAGATTACTTTCTCCTATAACGCGTCTCCTTTGTTGTGATACTGTGTTTTATACTATAGATGAGGTCTCAAGCACCGATCTTGCCCCCTGCAAACATTTATTTTGATCGGGTTCACCAGACAAATCAATCGCAAGCCGAAGAGATGTATCACCCGTTTCTCTTTCAATGGCATTTTTAATTCGATAGACTAGGCCTGAGTTGACGTTGTGGTAAACGACACGCGCAGACCTGTCTCGCGGCTCAGTGCTCTTGTAATGTACATTGAAAGGACAAAAAAATAGGTCATGGGATTCCCACTTGGACCTCCAGCTTGCTTCTTGTGTTGATGGATGTTTTAAAATAGGAGATTACAGGATGAATGTGATGTGTGTGATGTGATAAGCCAAGGTGAAGGGGGCCTCCAAGACCCTCCTTGCAAATTCGCCCCTGGTTGATATTTCTGCACCTTGCAGCTCTTGCACGCCTGAACTTCCAAATTTCGCATAGCAAAACAAAGGAAAGGCGAAAATCAGACCCAGAACGACAAATCAGAAGTCCGGGTTCCTGTCCAGTGTACCATAACGCAAAAAAAGACCCCTGATGCTTTATGTGAATCAATCAGCCCTGTCTCCTCTCCTCCTCTGACAGCATACATGCGATTACGGCTCTGGGTCAAATCTCTCGATGCGATCTTTTCCCTCCGTGCAACAATTATGTTGATCCTTGCCAATGCTGATCCTTCTCGTACATGCCCTCTGTCCCTTCAGCTTGGTGCCTCTCTCACACGGAGAGCAATTCAAAATATAGGCCTCGCTGTGCCTTTTGTTCTTACTCCTCAGCAAAGCCACGGTTTAATGATCTTTCGGTGGAGTGCACAGCATGATCGGGTCGGGAAAAGGGGCCGTGTTGTGCCCAATGTTCTGTGGCTTTGGAACACTTGGTAATCGGCCTGAGGTGCTAGCCGTCGTGCAGTAAATGGTTTAAATAGGTGATCGAGCGGGATAGTCGTGTTTGACGACTTCGGTGAATGTAGGTAAAACTTGACGGCCAAACAACGTCTGCGCAGGCGAGCGACGCTAGTGAAACACGACTAGCAGTTTTGGTAAAGGAGAAGCGGTTCGCCGACGTTCTCAATCTCGGGTATTGTGCACTTCAAGTCGAATGCCTTAGACAGCACAATCTTGAAGATCTGCGGCCGGTTAGCGCTTCCAGAGCTGACTTTTGACAACGATTGAGAAGGGACGCAAACCTTTTGCACGTTGATACTGTGGCTGGTGCTGCTGAAAATGAGAGCAGCACGCATCGCCTTTGCGAAACGGCGTGCCTGTGTGTCTCGTGTTAGTCTGCCATGGCTCGTACCCCTATGGCTGCTAAGAGGAATTCGTACCTGGTTCGATATCTCCTCCTGGTCCTCACGTGGGAAGTTCACAAAGTGATCGTACTTGGTGCCGACCAGGATAGGAATGGCTGTTTTGTTGAAGCCACGTCCTTGGCGGTACCACTCTTTGATGCTGTTCAGAGTGCTCTTGCGCGTCAAATCGAACATGAACAGGATGGCGACAGCATCGTTGCAGACCAGTGGAAGCATGTTGACGAACTCGCGCTGTCCGCCCAGATCCCAGATGCTGAAGGTGATCTCCGTGTTCCGGATGCTGATTGTCTTCTCCATGAAGTTGACGCCCAAGGTCTGGATGTAGTCCTCGTCCCAGCTGCCCTCGACGTATTTGACCATTAATGACGTCTTGCCGATCTGCGCGTCTCCCACCATCCCGACTTTTATTACAACGTGGTTTCGGCCGTTTGCGGCGCTCTCTGAGGGTGCGGACCCGCGATCCGCGAAGCCTTGGCTGGAGACCTGCGAGGGCGGTCTAGAGATGTTTGAACCCGCTTGTGCGTTCTGTGGGATCGGAGGAGTGGTGTATCGTGCTGCAGGGTCCATTTCGTCTGGGGAGTAGGGGGCATCAGCCATAGCTGAGTCGAAGGATTGCGACGGGTGTTGACGGGGGTGGCCGTTCTCGAAGCCGTGGCCGCCTGCCATGTTCGGAGAGCCCTCGATACCACCGAAGGTATCCTCTTGGCCCTCCATGGGCGCCTGATCGTCCATAGTGTCGGTCGCGTGGTACAGCTGGGCTGGAGACCCCGCGATTATTGTTGATGATGAATCTACTCGATGGGACGCGGGTCAGCAAATGTGAAGGGGACGGGAGGTGAGGGAAGGTGCGCCGAGGTGAGACAGCCTAATGAGAGTCGCATCTGGAAGCGCATTGTTTCGGAAAGGGGACAGCGATTTAAGCGCCGGGGATAAACTGACCCAGATTGACGGCGTGTATTGTGCGGCGGTCGTCACCGGCGTCGGGATCAGGGTAGGGTGGTGTCGGGCTTGGAGAGTAGACAACTGAGGGGTCGAAGGGAGGGAGGGCGGCCTTATCCCAGCAGCGGCTTCATGAAGAAGATGGCTGTATTCGTTTGAGACGGGGACACAGGTAAGACCGGAGCAGGCGTCTGGAGTGTGATGGAATAGCTGGACGGTGATCAGCTGTCTCTTTGGTTAGATTTCAGTTGTAGAGGAGAGCAAGATCAAGGTTAAGGTCCAGGAGGTCAAGGCAAGGCCAAGTCCAAGGTGGTGGAGGGAGGATGTGGGAGGGTTGATTGGTGACGGGGAGTTTGGTGGTGCAGCGTGGGCTGAAATGCGACATGGATGAGCCGGCTTGGAGACTTTCAGGTACAGACACACACGTACATATGCTAGCTGTGGTACATGCGCAAATGGGATTGCCGGGGTGGGCGATCTTAGATGCAGACCAGACAGACCAGACCAGACCAGACCAGACTGGGTTCGAAGGGGTCTTCTGGTCTTGGTGGTTTTTGGGGCGGACGGGAAGAAAGGCAAAAACAAGGCTGAATGAGGGCTGCAGTCGGCAGTCCAGGGTGCTGCAGCAGCGTCACTGGCAGTGTCAGTTATCGGCGTCGGCGTCAGCGTCAGTGTCAGTGTCGCTCACCGACTGGGGGGGAAAGGCAAGTGGGCGCAGCTATCGGCGATGCGGGCGCAGGGCAGGCAGGCAGGGCAGGACAGGACAGGGCACGGCGATGCAGGGCAGGGTGCAGGACGGTTTCGAAGCCTCAAGAAGAATAATAAGAAGACGGATGCGCTGGCGATTATGACAGAAGACCGTGGATCATGGAGCATAGGCGGGTGGATCGTGGAGCAGCAAAGTGGGCTCCGCTGAGATCGTCGTCTTCAAAGCTCGAGGCTCCGTGTGTCCTCCTGCCTGGGCTGCTGGGCCCGAGGGTGGAGACTCGAAGCAAATGGTCAGAGGATCGAGGTCGTCTGGAGCTGTCAGGCTGTCGAGATGTGGGTAAAGGTAGGATCGATAGTAAACTATCAACAACCGTCAATGCCGTGTATTTGATGGTTGGCAATCCGGTTGATCAAGTTGGCTCGCTTCGACTCAGACACTGGCTGCTTGGGACTTGGGAAGTGGGATATTGTGGGCGCGCAGTTCATTCAATCTCCCAGGTTACCCAGGTACCTGGGCATTGAGAGAGAGAGCACACGGTCACAGTAAACACCGCCGAACACCCAACGCCCTCCTTGGTTGGCCTGACCCTGCACTCCAGCTGTACTGCGTCCTTGCGTTGTCGTGCTGAGCTTTGACCCAATGGCACGGCACCGTCGAAACCAAGACGGGGGTGCTCCACTGAGGGGTCGGGCAGTCGGGTCAAGTGGCCCATGAGTTGAGTTCCATACAGTAGCGCGACAAGCTGGTGCTGCACGCACAAGGGAGAAAGAGGAGAAAGACCTCGACGCGACGCGCGAAGCGTGTTTACTGCATGCAGGCTGTTGCTGTTGCTGCTGTTGCTGCTGCTCAGACCGCAACACCCTATCGCAACTCTATTTGCCATCTCTGCAACTGGTCATCCGATTCAATGCTCTACATGTCATATGTCTAGGCTCTGTGGCTCTCGTGAAACAGCAACAAACAGCTGGCGGTGTAGGCGCCACTCAGAGGCCCGAAAAACGGCCAGCCAAGCAGTCATGCATCAGCACTAAGTAGGGGAAAAACTTGTGCAGGTAGACATAGATGGAGTGATGGGAAACATTAATCACTGAATCACTGTCACCTGTTAATGGAAGATCGCTATGGTTATGCTACGTTGTCAACGACCTTGAACTTCATGCACCGTGTTTTGCTCGACAGCTCATGCCTGTCCTCCCACCTTCGAGAATGTCTATATCACACCTAATTATCGCATTTGCCCCCTTCTTAGACCACGAAACGAGTATGGACTACCCGTGCTGGTGTACCAAGGGGGAAAAAATCAGATCCGCAAGGCGATAAATTTCTCGCAATGCTCTTTTACGAATCCCATCTTAACCGGTACTCTGACGTCCAGCATCGAAGACTTCCCTTGCGTGCTGGAAGTCCGGACGGCTAACAGTGGGCGGGTCCAGCTTGCGCGCTCATCATTCTGCTATGACATAGTCTGGCTCGTGTCTGCTGCTGTGCCTAGGTCATCGCATCGTCATTACACCTTGTCGGCTTGAGCTTCTCCGGCCGTACCTGTCTACATCAACGGTTTACCCTGTACAGGCTATAGTATGCCAATGTGCCAGCATGCAGTCAGGAACTATGGCACTTTGGACTGACTTGGATCATGCACGAAATCGCACAAGATACGGATGCAGCTTCCACACACATTTCCATCCCAGCACCTGGCAGCAATAGCATCCACTGTGGTAGTCTAGATAATGCCAACGGCCGGCCCACTTCATCAAGTGCGCATGAAAGGGGCAAGGCCGAACAACTTGGGTCGGTATCCGCCCGAATGGTCTCATTCGGATAGTTGCGACTGAGAGTTGGAAAAGTTGAATGGAAGACCTGCTTTCTGGAGTAGGCGGGTCCTATGGACAGCACAAAGGATCCAATTATGGCCATCAGACGACAGGAGCTGGCCAGTCAGTGATCTGTAGCATGTGAGAGTCTGGTCAGAGTCACGATGGCCTTGCTTGTCTTCATTGCTTTATGTCGAGTAAATCACCTTCTACGCCTCCATTCAACCTTCCCCCCCCCCTCCAATCTCGAGATTCGGGTTAGGACCGGGTCCTGACTCTCGCTTTACCTAATATGCATTAGCGCTCGAATGACAGAATGACAATCGGCGCCCGGCTATCAGAGGTACGGCAACGGCGACTCGTCGGGAGACAGGAACGATTCATCGTGCTCCGAATCGCCAATCCTCTCTTTTTTTTCTCCCTCCCTCCTCACTTCCTCTCCCCAGGTTCGTCAAAATAGTCACAGCCATGGCTTCAGTCGCACGCTGCATGCGGGTCGCAAGACCATCCGCCCTCCCAGCCTTCAAGACCGCTGCCGCCCGCCCAATTCACAGGTTCAACACGGTCAGGTCCTTCTCTGTGACAGCTATCAGTACGGTCTGCCCCCTCCAATTCCAGCGCCGAAGCCGGCCGGCCACTTTTTCAACTTCAGCCATTCCCTGGTGCTTCTCAACAACAGAAAATTTCAGACTAACAGACGTTGGCTTTGCCTGAACAGACCCCATAAGGAAATACACCAAGGATCACGAGTGGATTGACCTGTCGGCCGACAACAAGACGGGCGTGATTGGCATCTCCGAGTACGCGGCCGAGGCGCTGGGCGACGTGGTCTACGTGGAGCTGCCCGAGGAGGGCAGGGAGGTCGGGGCGGGCGATGCCATCGGCGCCGTCGAGTCAGTCAAGTCCGCCGCTGACATCAACGCCCCGATCGCCTGCCGCATCACCCACGTCAACACAGAGCTGGAGGAGAAGCCCGGCAACATCAACAAGGTCCCCGAGGACGATAGCGCCGGCGGCGGTTGGATTGCCAAGGTCGCCGTCGACGAGGAGGGCATCAAGGACCTCGAGTCCCTGATGGGTACTGAGGAGTACAAAGCTTTCACGGCGTCTGAGGGCGACCACTAAGGGAAGCAAGAAGGGAGGGCGGAGGGGCCCAGAAGGGGCAATGATGTGATGTAAAAAAAAATACATCCAGGGGCTTCGCGGCTTCGTGCATAGCAGTTCAACCTGGAGGACCAGCAACTGATTTAACATTTGCACACGGACAAGGCGTTTTCGAGCTGGCGAGGCCGGTCAGGTCTCGCGCGGGGTTGGCATTACAAAGATTCTCTGCTCGCTTGCTTGCTTGCTTGCTTGCTTGCTTGCTTGCTTGCTTGCTTGCTTGCTTGCTTGCTTGCTTGCTTGCTTGCTCTCTGAATGCGTTAGAAATAAGGCAAGAGATCTAAGTCTAATAGAATGTGCAATGCAGCGCCTCAAGCTTTTTGTTGTGTATTCTTCACGTCGCCGCTGCTGCAGAGATGCCCGCAGGCGTCTCCGCCCTTGTCTTATTGATAGCCTCGAGGATCTGGCCTGCGCCCTTCTCGACGAGAATCGATGCGACCTTTTTGCCCAACTCCTCCGCGCCTTCGGCATCTGCTACCTCCTGTGTGACCTCCGTCTCCGCGCCTTGTGATCCGTCCAGGCTGACGACTGTGGCCCTCATCCTCAGGGCCTGTCCCTTACCTTCCTCACCAGGCACCCAGTCCGTCTCGACGCCGATCGGCACACTGCAGCCACCCTCGAGCGTCCTCATGACGGTCCTCTCCGCCTCGCACGCGAGCATGGTCTCTGTATCCAGCACGCCCTTCAGCAGCGACAACGTGGTCTCGTCGTCAGACCGCACCTCGATACCCAGCGCGCCCTGCCCCACGGCATGCAGCATGCCGCCGCCCTCGCTCGTCGACTCGAGGTACTGGCCAATGCGGTGGCCGACGTCCATGCGCAGCAGCCCCGCGGCGGCGAGGATGATGGCGTCGTAGCCGAGGGTCTCGTCGTCGCACTTGCGCAGGCGCGTGTCGATGTTGCCGCGCACGTCCTTGAACACCAGGCCCGGGTACTTGCGGCGCAGCTGGGCGGAGCGGCGCACGCTGCTGGTGCCAACGACGGCGCCGTCGGGCAGGTCCGCCAGCCTCGCGTACCTGCCGGCGTGGCCGGCGCGGAAGACGACGACGTCGCGCGGGTCCTCGCGCTTGGTCACGCAGCCCAGCACGCAGCCGTCCGGCAGCGAGGTGGGCATGTCCTTGAGCGAGTGCACGATCATGTCCAGCTCGGGCGGCGAGCTCGTCAGCATCGCCTCGAGCTCCGACGTCCACAGGCCCTTGCCCAGGGCCGGCAGCGGCGTCGTCTTGTCGCGGTCGCCCATCACCGACACCGTCACCGTCTCGAAGTTGATGTGCGGGTGCGTCTTGGACAGGGTCGAGATGACGATCTCGCACTGCTTCAGCGCCAGGCCCGACCGCCGCGTGCCCACGCGGATGGTCTTGCCCGAGGAGAGGGGCGCCGCGGGCGCCGCGTCTACCACGGCTGCCATTGTGTCGGTTTCCGGCGGGATGTCGTGAGCTAAGAGGTTGTTTTAGTGAGGTGGAAGGTATGCGAAGATCCACTGCTCAATTGACAGAAAGATGACACCAATTGGCTTGTTGCTGCGTGACTTGTGCGGCGTGGGAGGGAGGCGAGCTGTTGACGTCGGGGCTGTATCGGCGAAGGTAAGCTTATCGTGATGGAGGGGTCCAAAAAAATTCCCAACCCTGGCGGAGTGAGCGGACGGTCACTGTGACTTCATACTTCATACTGCATAGTCTACTACCTTCCTGCGTGTCTATTTACCAATCGCCCAATGATCCACAATCAGGGTCAAATATTCATTCACGGGCGTACTGGAATTTCTGAAGTCTCTCGCTGGCCTTGACATGGCACGGTACAAAATCTATTACCTTGTGCTTGCCTTGCGGCGCCTCCACAAGCACTGAAACCCCCCCCCCCCCCATTCGTGGCCACTTTCCTGTGCCGGTGGCATAATCCTAGAATCAATTGTTCTCCTCAAGTGGTCAAATCCTTGCTTTCGAGTCTCTAGATGTTGGCCGTGGCCGGCTCTACTTTCCCTCAGTGTTGTGTTCATGAAGACAGTCGTGGGTACAACACCACGCGTCCCTCCGCTAAGCCTGTGAGAATAATTGCACAGAGCCCACGGATTCCAGCAGTCAGGGGGCAGAAATGCAAGTCGAGTATATTTGAAGCCATCGGACAGTGCGATTGGGGACGATGACTTCTGAATCATTTCGGTGTTGCACCGTATCATGCTCGCGTCCCTCCAAGTGCATCCGAGCGAGGTCACTTCCAAAACAGGCATCACTGCAGCCAGTACAGGAGAGTGACTGGCGTCGTCCCGAGCACGGAAGCCTGTCATTTCTGGGTTCTTATCTTCTTGGCCAAGAACATGTGGCAGATCGTGACAGCCTCTTCGCTTTGTCTATGATTGATCGTACCTCGCAAACTACGAAGCGATCCGGGAGACCGTTGCAAGTCTCACATGTCCAAGGTCTCATCGTCCCACTCAGCTCACTCAGACGAGGCAAGGCAATTGGCCTTCAGGATCCGCCTCGCCTAAAATCACAAATCGTGGGCACATTTACCTAAGAGCAGCGCCTTGTGGACGCCCGGTTCCCTTGCTCGAGGTCATAGTGAGCTTTTGGCCAGGCACTCTCAAGACATGTCAGTCTCGTACGAGGGCTGGACCGCCCAAGTTCGCCAAATCCAGGGTGGCATGTAACCTGACAGTACCAAGTTTCTGTGCAAAGTGGCCACCCTCTGGCTGATGAACTAGGACTATAAGATTCGAGCACGTCATGCTCAAGAACATTCTATCGTTCGTTGTGGTGCTCGACTCAAAGACCGCAAGACCAGGTCAACTCCCACTACAGCCGAACCTCACTTCTAAACACACTTGCACAACCACCAAGATGATGACGGCGATTACCCTACTTCTTGCGCCTCTGACATTTGTTCACGCCATGAGCACTCCCAACGTCATTACCGGGTTGGGAGCGGCGAACAAAGTTTCCAACGCGACCGGAGCTACATGTGGTGTCGGATATACTTACTGCGGGTACATCCTGCAGGAACAGAAGCGTACATTCCCTTGCGCCCTTCTCCACTCCAACTATGGCTAACACAGATAATCTCCTGTAGACTTTGACATGGGCGCCATTCTCACCGCGTACTGCGCCGGAGGCGATTGCGACTCTGCGACTGGCACTACGAAGACTGACCCACTGCAGGCCTTGTACGTATGCCTTCCACAGGCGGCAGTCCCGAAAAAGCGCAACACCGACGACGACAAGCCCTACTCCGGGCCAGTCAAGCTGGAGCTTCTGTGTGCTTGCAGCGGGAAGCCGTTTAAAGGCGAGAAGAATGTGTGCTTGAACCCGGATGCCGACCACATTGGTCGCTGCAGTACGCCGTGCATGAATTCCAATTGTGTTGGACAACATTAAGAGGCAATGCTGCTGGACCCTGGTCGCAGGAGACGGATTTCATCTTTGAGTGTGTTTCGAGGGATTTTCTGGTCCGTTCAGAGTAGTTAACGAATACATTAATGGTCTCAGCCATCATTCCATTCATGCTGTATGTCAATTCTCTTTGGAAGATTTGGTTTGGCCGTCGAGTTCCTCGGAGATCGAACTTCAACTCTTCACCCAGCATGTAGCAATCAGCAATAGCGAGCAAAGAAGAACAAAAATTGATTGTGCGTAAAGACACTGTAGGTCTAGAATAATAATAAAAAATAGTACTTACATATGTCCGAAAACTGCCGCGAACCAAAACCTTGCCATGCCATGTTTTGTCACATATTTTATGACCCTTACCACCTTCACGCGTGCTCGTGTCAAGGACAAGTGAAAGGGTGTTGACCATTCACGCCACCGAAGCCCTCGAGTATGCCCTCAGCTTCAAGTCTACTATGCACACAGTATTCTCTTCATTTAGGAGAGCATCTAGGGGGGTTGGCTGAAAGGCCAAAGCACAAGAAAGCTAGTATCGTGGGTATCGTGCGTTTGTTTCTACTCTAGATTGAGAGACTATAATAACAACGGGTCGTTAGCTCAACTTCCCTAGTCAAATGAACCCTATTTAAATACTGTATTTCCTTGAGCAGTCTTAGAGAGCTAGTATCGAGACTTGACGAAGATCGAACTATGTTTCTTACAAAGATGGATTTGAGCAGAAAATATGTAATCATAATATATTCTTTTCCGGTGCCTAAAGTCTACAACTGAAAGCATAGTGATTAGTTAGACTGAAGTACATCTGAGGTAATTCATTTGAATCAACTGCTTACCTTGTTTTGCGAATGTTCAGAGAGGCTTCGCGTGCTGAGGTGCACTTATTCTATCGACTAGATGCCTTGTATAAAGAGCTACATGTCTTTCTCAGACGTATCTCAATATGCATATAACTGCTTCAATGTCTCCTTGCTCATCCACTCCTGATTCCCTGGGACATATACTCCTCCAACCAGCATTATCGCAACCACCGTTAACAACAATTGCAATCCAGCCGTGAGTCCCAAGATCACCGCAAACGCAACCGGCTGCTCTAGATTCAAACGCACACCCTGAGCCGGGGGCCGGCCCGGGATAGCCATGCGCGGATTCGTCGATGCAGTAGCAGCCACGACGCCGATGGCATACCGCGCGAGCTGATTCGCCATGTCAGGCGCGCTGTTATTGAATGGCGTGCCGAAGGGAAGCTGCCAGTTAAAACTCCGACTGAGCGGTACGTTGGGGTCAATGGAGCTGAGCCCATTCAGCGCGATGGCCTGGGCGGCCGCGGCGGCGAGCATGGGCGCGAGCGTGAGGTTGTCCAGGTCCGAGACGGGCGGTGGGTCGGAGGACACGGTGATGTTGCACTCGTAGTAAAAGAAACCGCTCGTTGGACTGTCAAAGGTCGATCCCGCGACAGCCTCGCCGCTTTTTGGCTCCAGCACATGCACGGTGCTGCATCCTGGCCCACACTCGCCCGTGCTGCACCCGACCCATGACCCACAGACATCAGTCCGGAGTTGCCGCAGGATGGGCAGCGTCCCATATGTGTTGGACTCGAGGCCCCAGGCGCTGGCGTCAAATGTGAAGTTTCTCCCACTTGTTTGGTTCACGATGAGCAGCGATCGGGCTTGGTCTATGGTTGAATTATACTCCGGCGTTTCACACACGGCTTGCGATGAGACCTTTCTGTCCGAGTAGACCGCCAGAAAGTTCGTTCCAGCGGATACAGTGTTTGGCGCCGAGTTGAGATAGTGATATTCCCAGTAGTCGTCGGTCTTCCAGAACATGGCAGGGAACTTGGCTAGAGGTTCTCCCGCCAATGGCACAGACGGAAGGACTGAGTAGTTATAACTGCTCCCGATGTCCCCTAGTATACTTGCTCCCAAGTTCTGTAGAGTTGAATCTTGATTGTATCGAGAGTCTTGAAAGCGCCCCGTGCCGCGTGCGAAGTCGCTCATATCAGGGACAAAGACCTGGCCCTGCTCTGACAGATACACATCATCAACATGGGGCTCAGCCTCGAATGTCACGCTAATGACAGCTATAGCGGCTTGCATTCCCTGAATCAACACAAGTATCAGTCTCGAAAACATTTGATCCCACTAAAATTGTAGATCCGAGGCTTACGATATTCAACAAAAGCCATGTAAGACAGACCATCTTAGTGACACTTGAAGATGACCGCCATATCAACTTGGTCACATTGACCAAGCTGTCACTTTGCAAAATGAGTTCGACCTGAAAGTGATTTCACTGTCAACACCTGAGAGAACTCGTGCGCGAGTGACGAAAGGGATATCACGTACCTCAGACAAATCCCGTCTTTTAAGGCTGAGGAACCACCATCTCATGTGCTTTGCAATATCCTTCAGGGCACTTGCAATGTTGAGACCCACGATTAGACTTAGGGTGACGATAATAGACTCGAAGATCGACTTGTCATTATTATCAAGAACCTTTCCCTGGTAAAAGTGAACAGCAAGGACGAATCCCATTAATAGCAGAGCTGTGATCAACCATCTAATAAGGCCAACGATCGCAAAGCCCCCCAGCTTTTTCCTGCCATCTGCTGCCGCAGAGGTGTCGACCAGGGGTTGGCCATCAGTTTCGGGAACTTTCGAGTTGCTTAGCCAAATTGAGCGGTTTTGATTATCTGAATAAATTCCTACCGATTGCTTGCCTGGATCCACGACCAGATTCTTTCTCGGGTACGAGACCGAACCCAAAGAAAGTGTCCGGAGAAGTAATGGCATTTGGATCTTCCCTGAAGTGAGTGGGCTCCATGGGGAGGACGGCTTTTACCCGAGCATAATAGCTCTTCGTCTTGACGAGAATGAGGACGAAGACCAAGCATATGAGTTCAGCTCTCAGCTGGGAAAGCTTTCAAATTATACAGGCTGCTAACACACAACTTCAAACACGTTCCTGACAAACAGCACCGCCACGGCGGTGTTGAGCCAATAAATGACGAGGTGAAGAATCCTTCTGAAGCAACGTCAAGACTCACACAAAGCTGCGATGGGCTTTTATAGGTTGAACCCCTGTAAGTCTGCTGACGCTTCGCCCATCCTCACTCATTGAGGCGGGCGCTTAAATTAACGCCCGCCCGGCGACCCCCTCCCCAACCCATGTGGGAACACGCAGACGCAATCGCCTCTGGTTACACAATCATGGGAATTGAATGCAAGCTAGGCCTCAACCTAACATCCCGGAAAATTGTAAAGAGATACTGTTGAAATAAGCCACTGGGGAAACACTGGGAAAGTAACGGGGAATCGCAGCTAGGACTAGATGCGCGGTTTGCCGCACCTGTTGTTATACTTGTCATCAATAAAAAAAGGGGGGGGGGCATAGGGGAGTTTAGAGGTCAATATAATTCTAGTCTTCAGAGTAGAGCTTGCCCAACCTCGGGACGGGCTGTGAAGACGCGGCTGGGCACGCGTCTTGGGATGTTATGAAAAGACTGGACCCAGAAGCACTTTCCCGTCAACAGCAGGTGACATTGTGCTCACTTCGCTTTCACAGCCAGTACAATCCCAAGTCTGCACTCACCCATTCGGAGCATCTCATGTAGTCGCGGGTGAATACTAGCGCTGCGCTGGTTCTTATTCAGGCGACCACTTGACGGTGCTCAGCGGATAGGTGTCAAAAGTAATTTTTTTTATTCAAACACAAATAAAAACAATTGGTTGGTAGTTGCACAATATAAAAAATTGTGTGCAATATAGTATACTCATAATGGGGTTTAAACTTTCCAAGTCTAAACCAATTTGTAACAACAAATTTAGTACAGCATCGCCGTTTATATATAATTCTGGACGTGGCTATCAAACGCTTTTATGACAATGCAAGCACCCAGACACCTGTACCTTGATAGCGAGATTATATGTGATGCTTTGGGTGTTACAGCGCTTTGAGTAAGTGCCACACACGCCTTCCTGATGATCTGAGCACCTTATACTTAAGTATGATATCTCATGGGGCGGATGCAATTGACAACTTGCCTGTATGTGGCTTCGAAGGGCAAATCCGAATATCAAACATTTTGGCGGATCTTGTCTGGTGGCCTGCTGCCTATTTCGGGTATCTGTGCCCCCCTCCCCCCACCGCTTCCAACATGACCCAGCGAGTGGAGCTGCGACTGGCAAATATAAACGCACCCGAAGCCACCAAGTCACCGCCAGGGCTCAACTTCTCCTCTCTGTCTTCTCATTGTCTTTCAGATTGGAAGAGCATGAATGGACAGGCCCTCACTCCTTAAATTTTCGATTGCAACCCACACAACATATCAAATGGCGTCGTCCCTGGAGTCACCAACCTTCCATTGGAAACGGGACGAATGGGTCACTACACCCCCACCCAAGTCAATTGAGAAGAGCGTCGTCGCCACATCCCTCGATGGTGCACATCAGGTCGTTTTCAAACGGGCAATGACAAACATACTGGCCACTGAGCTAGCTGAGCTTACCTTCGCCCAGCTTATTGACGGACTGCCGTTGTGGGACGTTGCCATGGATCAATCCAGAAAAACACACACAAAAGAGGAGCCTGTATACAATCACAAACAGCTATGCGATGGAGCCATGGAGAAGATGCTAGAATTGCGCGAGCAATTCGACCCATTGGCCATGGAGGTCAGAGCGGACGTGAGTCTGGCCTCCCGCTCGAAATTGTCATCCCTACGAGTCAAAGGGCTAACATCCGCTCACAGACTCTAGATCGATACCAAAATACGCCCGTTGGATCCAGGGTATCCAAGCTTCCGCTGGTTGAGCTCATTGCTGTGGCCCTGCACGAGCTTGCCGTGCATGTCTTCAAGAAAGCCGATGGGGGATTTCATAAATACGATAAGTATCCCGACGATACGTATTACGAAGAAAAGCCTTTTACTCGCAAAAGAAAACCCACACCCTTCCTCCTCTGGCTAACCTTCGACGAACCCAACCAATTACCTGATGGCGTGGCCGATATCGCTGCGTACTGGGCCGAGGACCGTATTTTTGGAGGCGTGGTTCTCTTTGGGAGGGGCAAGTCTGGGAGAGATGTCAGTTTCTCCCTCTTTCCTAGTTCTTTTCTTCGAACGGTCTGACAATCTATAGCAAAATGGTGTCTGGTTCCATAGCCATCGCCGAGGTGTCACCGAGAATGTCTATGCCCTTAGCGAAGACCAAATCGCTTCGCTAACTCACTTTCTGGAGTCGAGTCCTGGCGAGGCAAACTCTTGTTGCCCACTACCGATTCTGGCGAATAGGGACAACAAACGTCAGGATTACAGACTTTCTATGCCAAAGTACAAGATATACCGGGACCCCTGGGAGCGAAAGATGATGTACGGATCCTATCTTGTGTACAGAAATGAAACAAGAAATTGTAGGATGTATGATATTGATCCGATTGAAAGACCGGAATGGAACGGGATGGACTCGGGTTCGGATTCGAACTGATGGACGGTGATGACATTTTCATGCCATTTCTAATCACACTCTCTATTCATACTCCACCGGTCAACTCAGTCTTGAAATCAAGATCTACATGGCATTGGTGCCGGTGTTATAACACTAGATTACACTCTTGGAACGTACAAGGGGTGACTTTCACACAAAAGTCATTCTATATCTCAAGACCTGAGAAAATGATCACCCAGCTGATTGGGTTGCTAGCAGCACAGCTGACCAAATCTTCAAAGACACTGCCAAAGGCTACCTAGGTAGCATACTGTAATATATACACCTATCAACCAGAAGTTGATGGATTAATGATATGCTCCAGTATTCAAAAGAACTACTTTGATAACGACATTTATTTCAGTGATTTGTCCTTGTGACTCTGGTGAACAACCGACCCTCCGCCAGCAAGCGTATCATCTGTGAGAATGCCAGTCAGACTCTGGCAAATGAAGCCTATGAGGCTGATGATAATGACATGCGTCCTGTACTGGCTGTTCTTTTCATATCACATCTTGGCTGTGGCTCTTCCTTTGGCGAGTGGATTTCGGCCCCAAGAATACAAATTGCCATTGTTACCGATTTGTAATTATAGAATTCATTCGGTAATGATCCAAAATTGTTGAAATCACTAATAATGCCCAACACATTCCAACAGTACCTAACTGAAAATGATATACAGTACAGCAGTGGAGGATGATGAGATTGGCCGCTGCTGCCAAGTTGCGTCGTTGACAAGTTATTTGGTGCAGAAATTAAGAAAGTCGGCAGCCCTATTTGAATTTAATGTGTTAAATTATATTCATAAAAGAATGAAAGACAAAAAGTTGTCTGCCCCATGAATCGAACATGGGTTTCTTCGGACCGTTGAGTTCTTTTTAAGAAACCACAACGAAGTGTACTAACCACTATACTAGGCAGACATGCAAATCCAGCTGCATTAAGTTATTATGATCCCAGACGCCAAGAGGCGGCGTCTCCACACAAATCAACTCCTCGTCCCTAACTGAAATCTGCCCGCAGCCCGTATAAAAGGTGGATTGAAGAACAAACTAGAGAAAAAAGATTCCAGTGTATAAAGCAGGCTATTCTTGTACCCGCATGGCTGTTGCTTTAAGTATTATATTCTATTGGAAAGATACCTGAAGCCCTGGTAGGAGCACTCGCTTCGACCAGCATAAACTCTTCCTGGCAGCGACTGTCCAACGACAGGAATGTGAATGTAAAATTGTGTAACGAATAGAAAGAGTGAAATTGAATGATCTCAAGATCCAGCGCTCGTCACAACGAGATGAGCGCAGCCAATTATTCCCTGTTCAAGCCGTGAAGTACCGACAAGGTCGCAAAATCGTTCAATTCTCGTTGTCCTGAACAAGTACAAAGTGCCCTTTGTCCGAATCACAGGTTGCTCAACAAGTGTTCTCTCTGGCGACTTGACGGTCCCTTACAACAGAACCAAGCGCGTTGAACTCGGCCTAATTAACATTCGCATCATTGTGTGCCATGTGGTCCACAGTCACAACGATCATAGTGATATCCGGGGAGGCCTAGAGGATAGAAAGCACGAGGGCGACGTCAAGGCGGAGGACTTGTCTTTTGGCGTCTTGGTGAATTAGCACGCCCACAGCCAATCTCAAACACTGCTGCTGAGATGATTTCTGCATCAAATACCCAATTCAGGTAGCTTGCCTCACTTTTCCACTTCAAATGGAGATAAAGGTCTTGTCATTGTGTGCAACTCTGAGGCAATAGCAGCCTCGTACACTAGCATTCACAAGCCAGTGATATGAACGAGGAGAGAGCCATCCCGGGCTCATCATTGACCTATTTGAGCCATAAGCCCGATCACCCACTTGTGGATTATGCTGTTGAATGAAGCCACACTCAATTAGTTGCTCACCTGCTGGGACGGAAGTAATGACGTCTCAGGTGTGCATCGCGATTATTGGGCACCGTACATCTGCCATCTTGCCCGGGTAGACAGATGCAGATAGGGGTTGACTGTAGGCGTCGAGGACGCTGGGACGAAGCACGCAGCGGGTTTCGGATCTCATAGAGCCGCAGACTTGGCTGAGCTCGATGTTGCCCGCGGATAGCCTGAGTTTCACCGTCGGTGTGCATGTCGCCAATATGCCGGATTCTTCGTTAGGAATCACTGTCGCCGCAGGAATGGCCAAGTCTCGGTTCCGATGGGTCTACGTATTCAACATAGACTTTGATTACTCGTTCATCTGCCTCATAGCTTCGACAGCGAGGGCAGAATAGTCTTTTCTGGCAACAATACCCCAACAGTCAGGCGGCTATGCGAGAGCCATGGAAAGCGCTTCTGCAGCAAAAGTTTCTCCAGACCGGCTTCAGAGGGGACAGACCCAGGAGATTATGATATGTTCCTATCTTCTCCCTACCCTATCTGATAAGTCGTGAATCTGGCGAGTATAGTCTGGTGTATGAACAATTTTACGGTGGCAAGTCGACCAAACGCTTTGATGGCTTTGTCTCGGTGGTCCCATCGTCTGCCCACGAATCGACACCAAGCACTCTGTCCAGGCTGATGGACGCATCTCTGGCCCAGATATTTCCCGCAAATTAGAATTTGCTCCATGCCATGCTTTTTCGGGCCTCATAGCAAGTACGTACTCTGGACTTGGCTTGCTCATCGCGTGAAAAATCCCGCGGAGTGGCGCGGACAGCGCATCATGAGGGCCGAACTCGATAAGCACGTTGATCTAGGCCATCTCGGTAAGCATTGGCTGTACGCCTCGTCCGAATATGATGGGGTGTCTCAGATTGGCCGCCCAATAAGAATTCGTGACCAGATCGCCACGTCCCAAGGTGTGTTGTGGGCACACCGTGGAATTCATCGACACTTGGGTTAGTATGGTGCATTCTATCAGTAGGTGTTCCGACGGCTGAAGAAGTTCTTTTTCACTGCCCTGCCGCTTCTTCTACGTGGAACGAATGATGCACTCTACTATCCGTTTTAAGCTTACGCACAAAGCCCTGGTATTTCTCCAAAATCGCCCTGACCTGGTCAATAGCTGTTCGATCTCCACTCAGTGTGAGCCCTGTGACGTTTTCCCCACCTTGTGAACCTCGGAACCTCGAAGTGTTTGGGAGGTCCCACTAGACAAAGAAAGCTCAGTATATATGCTGGTGGTGCCATTCGCGTCATCGTCGTGTCCAAAGCACTTCATCGACGGTCATCATACTTGTATTTCCTCACCCGTACAGCAAAACTCTTATACTTGATACCATGGAGGCATACGACGTAGTCATTGTCGGCGCCGGTATTTCAGGTATCAACTGTGCGTATCGACTGCAATCAGAGACTCCGGATGCGCGTTTTACGGTGCTTGAGGGACGGGCTCAGATTGGTGGCACCTGGGACCTGTTCAAGTTCCCGGGAGTGCGGTCGGACTCTGACCTCTGTTCCCTGGCCTTCGCGTGGCACCCATGGCCGTATGAGCATATCTTTGCCGAGGCGCCGCTGATCTTGGAGTACATGAATGACGCCGTATCAAAGCACAACTTAGGCAAACACATCCAGTTCCAGCATAAAGTCGTCTCGGCCAGCTGGTCCTCCAAAGCCAAGAAGTGGGATCTGGTTGTGGATGCCCGCGGACAGACGCGACACATCGCAGCGGGCTTTCTGGTTCTCGGCTCTGGATATTACGACTATGAGACGCCGCTGTCGACAACCATACCTGGTCTCGACAGCTTCAAAGGCAAGACCATCCACCCTCAGTTCTGGCCGACGCAATACGATTACAGCAACCAAAGGCTTGCCATCATCGGCAGCGGGGCCACGACCGTGACGCTATTTCCACGCTTGGCCCAGCAAGCCGCCAAAGTCACGATTGTGCAGCGTAGCCCGAGCTACATCGCCGTCAAGGCAGACTCGACGCCCCTTTCGTCCTGGTTGCGCAGGCTGTTCCCCCTCTCGTGGGTGGCGGTCTGGGAGCGCTTCTACTATATCACGACCTCGTACCTGGTCGTCCTCTTCTGCGGCGCATTCCCCCAGGCTGCCAAATACGTGATGCTAAAGGATACCGCGGCCGCGCTGCCCAAGGACATAAAATTGAGCACACATTTCGAGCCTCGCTACACACCGTGGGAGCAGCGCATCTGCCTGGCGCCAGACGGCGACTTCTTCGCGGCCCTCCACCGCAAGAACACCGCCGTGGTCACGGGCGAGATTGACACGGTCACCGAGCACGGGATCCGCATGCGGGACGGCACATTCGTCGATGCCGACGCCATCATCACCGCCACCGGACTCACCATGAGGCTGGGAGGAGGCATCGAGTTGAGAATCGATGGGGAGGTCGCACCCTGGGGGAAGAGGCTGGTCTGGAACGGCGCCATGCTGGACGGAGTGCCGAACCTCATGTACATGCTCGGGTACACGAACGCGGCCTGGACGATCGGGGCCGATGCCAGCGCCATGATACTCGTGAGGGTTCTGGGGCTCATGCGCAAGAAGCAGGCATCGTCCGTGACTCCTCGTGCCCCGCGGGACGCGGCCCTGGAGACAAGGCGCGTGTGGCCGGTCGATGCCACATATCGCCAGATCGCGGACCGGGTGCTGCCTGTGTATGGGGTCAGAGGGCCGTGGAGCCCAAGGAGACTTAGCCCTTTGGCAGACTTTTGGCACTCGCGGTGGGGAAATGTGACAGATGGCCTGGAGTTCGGAGCGACGAATTGTTGATCAGCTGGAAATTCTGGATCGAGTTCAAATGTAACAAACTGTATGTATGAGAGAGAGCACCGATGGCCAAGGGTACGTCCAACACGTCTGGTCTACGGCGTACCCCGATATCACATTTTACTCCAGGGTCCTTTGGCGTGGATCATAGCAACGAGCGCGACAGTCGTGGCGATACACATGTTGACCATAATGTGAACACACTGGTAGTCCTTGGGCCCAGGTATGGATGTTGTGCTCGGAAGAGCCTGACGAGCTGTCACACGATGCCATGCAGCCTTGCGTGTACACGGCAACGCGAAGAAGCAGTGGAACAAGCTTTTCCTGACATCATGATGATCACGGTGATCACAGGATAAGCAGCGACACGGCCACTACTGGTGACAGTCCCTCGCGCGACGTAGATCCTGCCCAGCCACGTATGCAATGGTTCAGGTTGACTGCTCGTATGGTGTGGAAGAGATGAGGTTGAGTCGGCCCTAATTGGCAGTGTTTGGCCCGACACTACACGCCGGCAAGATGGAGTGGCAGAGTGGATGGCCCAAGCTCTCGGCCGGGCGATGCGATGCAACAGCCAAACCAGCACCAGGCCGAGATGAGCCAAGAGCGTCTTCCCCGCATTCTCTTCCCCACAATTCAGGGTGTTACAGAGCCTGAGAGCCCAGGGTAGGTCAGGGATGAAGGGCGGCGGAAGCGTGTTTGCTGGTTTCATCCGGTGGGCGCTGCAGAGTAGGAAGACGGATGGTGGGTAGCACAGTACTGTCAGACGTTTAGCTGATCGAGATATGGATGGTGTCACAGCATTTGCATGTGAGCGGCAGAAGCGGCCATTTTTCTGGATAAAATATCTTCGACACGGCCGAGCGCCGGCTGCCGTGTTGTCCATGTCCTGTTTCTGGGCTCTGGGCACCGGTTACAGAAGGGCTTTGTTGGCATCGCCAACCCAAACAGATTTATCCCATGTCCCTGTCGCGGGCGGATAGCTGCTTGTAACAGCTTCGCGAAGAATGCGGGGGTGGATCCGTCCAAAGCACCACCATCCTAGTCGGGTAGGTGGGTACGGCTGGGTGCGAGTGGCCTGACTGCCTCATGATCGACATGTCACTTCGCTGCACGGCTGGAGGGGCAGAAGGGGCAGAAGGGGCCTGAGGGGCTGCAAGCTTGGAAACCTTAGGTCGCTTCGAGAGAGATGGGATTGTGGGATGTGGGATGTTCCAAGGCTCAAATGGCTGGGAGCTTGGAGGTTGGAGAGTGGAGGGGACACAGAGAGACGTGGGAGGGTGGCACTTTGGAGGGATGGTTGGAGAAAGGCCACACACACATACAGGTTGATCGGCCCTTTCTTCCTTCCCTTCCACCCGAAATCTAAAACGGACCCTTTCTATCCTGTCCTGTCCTCGATGTGACCTCCTCCGTCTTCACAAGCCAATTCGTCCCAGTTCTGGCTCCTGCAACTGTGTCCTCGAGACCTCATGCGCGCCTGCCTGAGCTTCTGACGAGGCTTCAGACCACTCGAGGGCAGTGAGAAGAAGAAGAAGCATCGTGCTATCGTCCAATTGTGCATTCGTCCAGCCTCTGGTGACTGACTTGGAAGCTGGGGATCCCCTCCACTTCAAACCCCTCCGTCTCGGCAGATGATAATAACCACCTGAACACGCTTGTCGCGCAGGCTGCGGGCAGTCAGTCAGGTCCTCGTCGGCCGTCATGGCGTGGTCTTTGGTCCGGCCAGCTCTGGCCCACAATAACCACCTCCCCTCGGCTCCAGCTGTCGAGGCCCTCCTCCAGCGGTCCTCGCGTGTCCTAGGTAAGCAAGCCAGAACGTTAGAACACGCGTCGAAGCACGATTCCCTCGGCTAGGTTTGTCATGCCGAATCTGACTTCGCTCCTTAGATCTTGTCCCTGCTGTCAACGCTCAGAGCCGCCCGCTTTCCCAGCGCTATCAACACCAATGGCACGCGGCACGCGGGCAGAAGAAAGCGGTCGTGCCCCCTCTTGCAATTGCTGTCCGAAAGCAACAGCCGCTGCAGCTTGTCCGCCATGCTTCCGTGCTGTCCAGCATTCCTGCTCCGCCCCCTACAGCCTCCGGCGCGAGCTACTCGACTGCAGTTGTGCCACCTACTACTCCGTACTCTAAGCTGACTATCGGCATTCCTCGGGAGACCTTTCCCAACGAGAAGCGCGTTGCCATTACTCCTCAGAATGTCGCCCTCCTGCTCAAAAAGGGCTTCTCCAAGGTCCTGGTCCAGCGCGGCGCTGGCGCCGAAGCTGACTTCCTGGATGCGGCGTACGATAAAGCCGGCGCTACCCTTGTCGATGATGCTTCTCAGATTTGGCAGCAGGCAGACATCGTGCTCAAGGTCCGCGCTCCCTCCAGCCCTGCTGAGACAGACAGCCTGCGTGAGGGTCAGACGATTATCAGCTTCCTTCAGCCCGCCCAGAACAAGCCCTTGGTTGAGAAGATTGCTGCCAAGAAGTCTACTGCCTTTGCCATGGACCTGATTCCGCGTATCAGCCGGGCGCAGGTTTTTGATGCTCTCAGCTCCATGGCCAACATTGCTGGGTACAAGGCAGTACTCGAGGCTTCGAACAACTTTGGTCGCTTTCTCACTGGCCAGGTCACTGCTGCCGGCAAGATCCCGCCTTGCAAGGTCCTCGTCATCGGTGCAGGTGTCGCCGGACTGAGCGCCATCGCGACCGCAAGGAGACTTGGTGCTATCGTGCGGGGCTTCGACACGCGCTCCGCCGCTCGTGAACAGGTTCAGTCACTTGGTGCTGAGTTCGTCGAGGTAGAACTCGAGGAAGACGGCTCAGGAGCTGGTGGTTACGCGAAAGAAATGTCCAAGGAATTCATCGAGGCTGAGATGAAGCTCTTCACTGAGCAGGCTCGTGAAGTCGATATCATCATCACCACTGCCCTGATCCCCGGCCGCCCAGCTCCGAAGCTAATCACGAAATCCATGGTTGAAATCATGAAGCCTGGCTCAGTAATTGTCGATCTGGCAGCTGAGGCCGGTGGAAACTGTGAAAAGACCGTTCCCGGCGAGCTGACTACCTACCACGACGTGAAAATCATCGGTAAGTCCGGTCTACATGAAAATGCTGGTGCAAAGAAGCTTGATTGCTAATAAGCACTCATAGGTTACACTGATCTTCCCTCAAGGCTACCAACGCAGTCGTCGACTCTCTATTCCAACAATATCGTCAAGTTCCTCCTTTCAATGGCTCCAGCTGAGAAAGAATTCGGCATTGACCTGAACGACGAGGTTGTCAGAGGTTCTATCGTCACCCAGAAGGGCGAGATTATACCGCCAGCTCCACGTCCAGCTCCGCCACCCGCCCCGGCCGCCCCATCTGCAACAGCAGCGAAACAGGAAGAAGTGGTTGCGCTCACCCCGTTCCAAAAGACATCCCGGGAGGTCGGCTTTGTGACCGGTGGTATGGCAACCGCCTTGGCTTTAGGAAAACTTACAGGCCCGGCCTTCATGAGTAATGCCTTTACCTTTGGTCTCGCTGGCTTGATTGGCTACCGCGTCGTCTGGGGTGTCGTTCCTGCTCTCCACTCTCCTCTGATGTCTGTCACCAATGCCATCTCTGGGATGGTCGGAGTTGGTGGCATGTTCGTCCTAGGAGGAGGGTACCTCCCAGAGACTATCCCCCAGGCTTTCGGTGCTGCATCAGTCTTGCTCGCTTTTGTGAATGTTTCCGGAGGCTTCGTTTTGACGAAGCGAATGCTTGACATGTTCAAGCGACCAACAGATCCCCCAGAGTATCCTTGGCTATACGCAATTCCCGCAGTAGTGTTTGGAGGAGGCTATTTGGCTGCCGCCTCCACTGGAGCAGCTGGTCTTATCCAGGCTGGCTACATGGTCAGCTCTGTCCTATGCATCAGCAGTATCTCTAGTCTCGCGTCGCAAGCCACGGCTCGTATGGGAAATGCTCTCGGTATACTCGGAGTTGGCTCTGGTGTGCTTGCAACTCTCCTTGCCGTCGGCTTCACACCCGAGGTTCTGACCCAGTTTGGTGCCCTTGCTACTATTGGTAGCCTTCTCGGTCAGTATAGTCCGAATCCTGCTGTCCAGATATTCGAATGCTAACATGGCCAGGCTTCTTTATCGGCAAACGAATCACCCCCACAGATCTTCCCCAGACCGTGGCTGCTCTTCACTCAGTAGTTGGTCTAGCAGCGGTTTTGACCTCTATTGGCAGTGTTTTGGGAGATTTAGACCATGTGTCGACACTCCATTTGGTCACGGCCTACATGGGTGTTCTGATCGGTAAGTCAGCAATGCTGAAATGCAAACACAATGGCTAACACTGCTCAGGTGGCATCACTTTCACCGGTTCCATTGTCGCATTCTTGAAGCTCGCTGGAAAAATGTCGTCACGGCCTACAATTCTTCCAGGTCGGCACATCATCAATTCTAGCCTTTTGGCAACCAATATCGGTACTATGGGTGCGTTTGTGACAATGGCTCCCGGCTCGCCAATGATCGCTGCTGGCGCACTCGCGGCCAACACGGCCTTGTCGTTCGTCAAGGGGTACACTACGACTGCTGCGATTGGCGGTGCCGATATGCCTGTGGTAATAACTGTTCTGAACGCCTATTCCGGCTTCGCCCTCGTCGCTGAGGGATTCATGCTGGAGAATCCGCTCTTGACAACCGTTGGCGCTCTGATTGGCGTATCTGGTTCTATCCTATCGTATATTATGTGCGTGGCTATGAATCGGTCTCTCACCAATGTCCTCTTTGGTGGAATCGCCGCACCTCAACAAAGTGACTTCAAGATCGAAGGCAGCGTCACGCAAACCAATATCGAAGATGTTTCGGATGCGCTAGTCAATGCTGAGAACGTCATCATCGTGGTCGGGTACGGAATGGCCGTGGCGAAAGCACAGTACGCGATTTCAGACATTGTCAAGATGCTGCGGGCCAAGGGAATCAACGTTCGTTTCGCAATCCACCCTGTCGCTGGTCGGATGCCTGGCCAGTGCAACGTGCTCCTCGCAGAGGCGAGTGTGCCGTACGATATCGTGCTCGAGATGGACGAGATCAACGATGACTTCGGAGACACGGATGTCACTCTTGTCATCGGCGCCAACGATACGGTCAACCCTATCGCTTTGGAGCCGGGAAGCCCGATTGCAGGTATGCCGGTGCTGCACGCCTGGAAGAGCAAGCAGACAATCGTCATGAAGAGAGGAATGGCGAGTGGCTATGGTGAGCTTCCCAGAGTAGAATATCCAGAAGTCCAAACTGTGCAAGTGCTGACTGGTTATATAGCTGACGTGCCAAACCCGATGTTCTACATGCCTGGAACGCGCATGCTGTTTGGTGATGCAAGCAAGTCGACCAATTGTGAGTACACCCGTCCGATACATGACATAGACATTATACTAACCTATGGATAGCTCTGAAAGCTGCTATTGAGGCCAAGCTGTCGTAGACTCGATCGTGGTTATGTCGAAGATTTCTTATAGTTGTGAGTACCCAGACTCTGGTTTTGTTTTTTCTCACATCAGACCGAAATATATGCTGACGTTGTAAGCTCTAGTCTTTGCGCTCTGTGATTTGGGGAGACGACTTTTGCACTACATTCTCGGCGATAAAGCTTAGATACGAGGGTTGGCATCTTGCATCGCTTCACCGCTGTCTTGAGCATCGCAGGGGTTTAGGATTGCTATGCATTTATGCGTTCCTTCTCAAGAAATCGTTGTGCCATGTTCATTCCAGAGATTCGCGGGACAGTGGCCGGGGGTTCGACGGGAACTACCCGGATGTAGCTATATCGGCCCTTTACTAGGAGTGGTCATCCGCCGTCCGTCTTTTTTTGAACACAGAGGAATCGCAATTGCTGGCTTACTGCCGTCTTTAGAGCCTTGTCTGGCGTATGAGTTGCCGCGTGAAGCTCCGTTACTGCTCTGAACAAGCAGTGCATCGCCCTCTACACCTGCTTCTTTTTCGTGGTTGAGTCTTCGACGAGCAGCACAATAACGCGTTTGGCGCCTACTATGATTCACAATGAGACGCTATGACTCCTCGCCGTGACCCCTGTGTTAGCGCCAAGAAACCCGCCGTAGGATCTGGAAAACCAGACCTCCTTCAGAGATCCATCGACTTGTTACCCAAGCCGACATGCTTCATACGAAGCCATTTGGCAGCCTCCAATGCGGCTTGGTATAAAAGGGGACCGCGACAATGGATTTCGCCTGTGACAGCCGAATTGATGGGTGGCATCAGACAAAGACACTAACCTCAGCATTTACAGGCAAGAAATAAGCCACTTTGTGTTGTTGAAGTGGTCGCATAATGGGATCCATACCACTCCCCAGTTTTGGCACTTCTCGCCAACGAGTTTTTCCCGCAACAGGTACGCCAGGAGAACAAGCAACAGTGACAAAGCTATCCATCGTCGACGCAACCGTGGCTCGATTCTCATCATGTGCGGCAGTCTGGCTCCACAACGCGACCGAGACATCGCAAGACATCACGCTGCACCATGACCGCCTGAGACAAACCCTGCGAGAGACCCTCGACGACTACCGGCACTTTACCGGACAGCTGCGATGGGCGACCGAGGACGACATCAAGCCCGGCGACCTCAACCGGCGCCACGTCGGCCGGCCTCTCGTCTCGTACGGCACGCCCACCGACCCCGGAGTCGAGCTGGTATTTGCCTCCTACGACCGGCGCCTGGACGATGTCGTGCCCAGCGCCCAGGACCGCAGGACCATCAAGAAGGCCTGGGTCGCCACCAACTTCCCCCAGGACGAGCTGCTGCCCAAGTGCAAGCTCGCGTTCAACTCGAGCCTGGCCGAGTTCGACGGCTTGCCCGGCGTGGCCGTGCAGGTCACGAGGTTTAGCTGTGGCGGGTGGGCGGTGGGCGTGATGATGAGCCATTGCCTTGCCGATGCGGTGTGCTTGCTTCGGTTCGTGCACTCGTGGGCGGCACGGACACAGGCGCTTATCGAGGGTGGTGAAGCTGCCGCGCTGCATGACAGAATTCCAAAGCCAGTGTTCGAGCCTGGGCTGCTCGACCAGCACGCCGGCCTCACGGGCAGCCTCGAGCCGGACGCAAAACTTGTCACGCTGGCTCGGTCGCTGCCTATGCATCGCTACGACTGGTGGGCTACCGACGCGCCTGGATATCCTGCCTAGGCGACAGCGTCCTCGAATGCAACGAAACCAAAAGACCAGGCGGACATGAAGCTGAGCCCTTCGACCTTCCCGCCATGGCCGACGTGGGACCTCTCGGCCCCGGTAGACCACGTGCAGATCCGCTTCGGAGCGGACGAGGTGGCACGCATGAAGCAGGCCGCACAAGCCGCCCTGCCAGATAAGCAACAGCACCAACCCATCTCGCGGCTCGACGCCCTCCTCGCGCACATGTGGATCCTCATCAACCGCGCCCGCCAGCACCAAACCACGCAGGATCGAGTCTACCTCGACATCACGCTCGGCCTGCGCACCCGCGTCAGCCCGCCGCTGCCCGACACCTTCGCCGGGTCGCCGATCCTCCTGGGCCACGTGTCGCAGCGCGGGTCGGACGCGTGCTCGGCGGCGGGCCTGGGCGCCGCCGCGCTCTCGGTCCGGCGCATGATGTCGCTGTTCACGCCGCGGGCCGTCGCGGCGTACCTGCACGGCGCGGCGCACGAGGTCAGCCCCCAGCGGCTGTGGCAGGCTTTTCTTGGGGAGAGGCACACGCTTGTCACGTCCTGGGCGCGGGCCGGGGCGTATGAGGTTGATTTCTGCGGGGGTGGGGTTGATGGTGGCACGAGGCCGGTCTATGTCCAGGGGAAGATGCCAAGGATTGATGGGGTGTTGCAGGTGATGGATGTGGGTGAGGAGTCGGGGGACTTTGATGTCAGCTTGTGTCTAGAGAGGGAGGCGATGGGGAGGTTGCTTGGGGATGAGATATTGAGGATGTACGAGGGGTGATAGAATATAGAGATGATAAATATTTCTCAAAGAGTACCGAGATTAGAGCTGGGCGCTCTTTCTGTATGATATTTACATTCTTTAAGCTGGGCCCGATTAATAGAATTTGGACCTCGAGCCGTAAACTTGCACATGACGCCGATCCTCCTTTCCCCCCTTCACGATTTCTGTGTAGGTACAGACAGGTGTCTCTTCGTAAAGACGTTTCTGGCACCGACAAATACAATAAGCCGTCGCCAGTGAATGTAAAGGTACGACTACCAATGCCATAATAGTTTGCCACCTCTTGCCAGCGGATACACCACACCTAGCTCACATCAGATCCACAGCGTGTGTGTTGCGAGTATCGTTTGCCTGACCGAGATATGGAACCCTTACGACTCCATGATGAGCTGTAAGCTTTTCAGATGTAGCAGCCGCATTTTCCAAGCTAAAATACTGCAGATATACTGATCTACGCCAATACGCTGTTGTGGTCAGCCCTTCAGCTAGGCCTCGCCATATCACACTCGGATGTGCGGCTTGTGGAAGACCGGAGATGACAAGGTAAGGGCACGGCATGGAGGTACGCAAATCGCGACAATGTGTTTTCCGCCTCCTCCGAAGAGCCTCCCTGTATTCTGCTGACAGCTACAGCCGAATCAGTCGGCTTGGAAATGCTCGTTGGCAAATTAGATGCCTCCTGCGCAACCGACATCTGCTGTCATACGAACGAACGCTTGAGTGTGGTAGCAGAGCAGAAAGTAGTAATATTGAAGAGGGGTTGCTCACCAATCATCTGAATGATATTGTCGTTTCTAGTTGGATGCCGCATAGATCTAGCGCCCTTGGCGGGGCTGTTGGTCGACGACTTTGGTCGTGAACCTTGTTATAACACAAATGGGGTCGTCTTACGCCCTGCTGATCTTCTTCTGTTGTTCCCGTAGCAGTTCCGAGGGATTAGGTACAACCTGGGCCAATATTTTATATAGGTAAGCTCAGAACCTCACAGGCTCTCGGATAAAACCACAATCTTGCCTCTAGTCACAACCAGCACGTAAGTCAGCAATATCAGGAGGTCGAAACAATCCATTTCCCAAGCCCAACATGGCTCCATTGCTCGCCGCTCAGCCATTAAAGGCTATCTACGCCACTTTCATCGTTCTCACTGTGCCCGTGAGTGCGACATACTTTTATCTGAAGTTCTTAGTAAAACCTGCACATCCAGAATGGAATGCCAGCATGAGCATGACAAGGGACTTTCTGAAATTGTTCTTCCACTACTGCACTATTACTCGGTCACGACATACTCTCGAGTAAGTTGTAATTTCTCTATACCTGTGCTTAGAATCCGTTAGGGAGACTTGTCTCTGGCATCTGGCACTCCATCCTGAGCCTGGAGCAGGGGACCAGCCGCATGCTCACCTTCTCGAGAAAATGGTATGCATCCGGCAGTCCATTTTCAATGCAGTTTCCTGTTGTCTTCTGAAGTCAAATTGAACAGTCTAACAGGTGTTCAGCAATGATCCAAAGGAAGCAAAGGAAAGGTTCGTGCAAATTGAACCTCCACCAACGAACTTCTTCTCTGGTGTCCTCGCTCCCACAGGTCCTGTCAAGCCCGCACCTGTGAAAGGCGTGTGGCTGCCCAGTCTTCCTCCCCAGAACTCTGCCGAATTGAGGAAGGAAAAGGTGATTCTTCACCTCCCCGGCGGTGCCTTCGTCGTCACTTTCGGCCATGAGTTTTCGGGACGCCCCGTCATGGTGATATTCACCCAGCACCTGAAAGTATCCAGGGTCTTGTGGTCCCATTACCGGCTGGCAGAGGTCGAGGAAAGCCGCTTTCCTGGCGCGGTTCAAGATGCTCTCACCTTTTACCGCTATGTCCTCTCCCTGGGGTACGAGCCAGAGAATATAATCCTGTCCGGCGACTCTGCTGGTGGCAATGTCGCCCTAGCCCTCCTTCGTTACCTGGAAGCCGCGAAACTCCCAGAACTCCCTCCCCCAGGCCGTCTCATCACCTTTTCCCCCTGGGTCAGTGTCACCGCGAACGCAGGTGCGGACTTCGAGAATTCCGTCAATCACGAATGTGATATCTTGTACGGGCCCTTCCTGCAGTGGGGAGCAGAGGCGTATCTGCCTTCTGCAAGACCGATTCCTCCTGATGTGCAACCCTATATCTCGCCGATCCACCATCCGTTTCAGACAGCAGTTCCTATCTTCATCTGGGCAGGGGCTGCTGAGGCTTTCTGTGGGGATATTAGGACCTTCGCGGATGAGATGGCAAAAGTCCAGGGCAATAAAATTCAATACCACGAGCAAGAAAAGGCGGCGCACGATCTCTTAATGAACTTAAATATGTTCAAGTTGGAAGAAGGTTTCTACTCAGCTATGAGTCAAGCTTACAAGTTTCTTAGCAACGCAGAGTGAACGCGTTGCTTAGAACCGCGCGAAGACATTGCTCTAAATAAGCTCCCTGCTTAGAGACATTGTCCAGTCAAACCGGAAGAAAATTTGAATGGACAATGTCTCCAAGCAGGGGGCTTATCTAGAGCAACGTCTTCGCGCGGTTCTAAGCCATCTTGATTCTACTCTGTTCCAGGCAGTTGGGAATTTCATGCATAATCGTAGTAGGTAGTGTGCATTTAAAAGCTGAATTAGCAAAGTCTGACCATTAAAAATCCATTTCAATGTCCAATAACCGCTTGCAAATGATAGTACTTTGAAGCGAGGATAGTGGGTCCTCTGAGTGTGTAAGTCAAAGCATCTAGATTGCCCCACTCTCTACCTTCAAGGGTTACAGCTGGCCCGAAGATCCAAACAATAGTCCTGTTATAACTCTGCTCCTTTTCAATAGCGTACCTAGATGCTGTGAGAATTTAGTCCAGATATGACATGGTGAGCTGGATCGAAATAAGCAATGGCTGCCTAGTTAACATTATGGACTGCTGAATTCGAACGGAGACACCAGTACGCGGAAATATATACAAGAGTTACGGAACCACAGCGTGATCTGCTCATTGCGCTGGAATTTGGCCAAATCACGTTAAGAACTCATGCGGGATATAGCTATGATGCCTCCTCATGAGGATTGTGGCCTGCAACTTAGATAGATATTTGTTCCTTGATCAGTGGTACCGAGCGATTTGTGATAGTGAATGGGAACTTCCACTTCGATTTTTCTTTCAATCGACCTAGAGCGACCCTATAAAACATTGTACCGACTGACAGAGACCCTGTACCAACGTCCAACAATTATAAACCAACCAGGATTGAATAATTGTAAACCAACCGTAATCTTTGGGGCCAACCATTTTAGAGTCAACGATCCCTGGACGGTAGCTGGGCCTCTACTTCACTCTCCCGGCCGCTCTCATAGAACGCATCGAACCGGCTTTTCTGTGTCAAAATGGTGAAATAATAGTATGACGGTATTGTAGGTTCATGAGCCCAAACATCAGCAGAAGCTGCCGGTTGTTCTCGAGCCCCCCGAATCAGACAATCAACGAAGCGGTCAAACGCCACAAGATAGAGCGCAAGGGAGGCATGGCGATACGAGGGATGCCATCCTTTTCTAAAGGACCCTTCCTTCGCGTCACTTAGTGCGCAGACCCTAGTCTCCACGTAGTTGGCCACTCGATTCGAAAACAATCAAGCCTAACCAACATACACGCCAAGTTGGCAGACATTTGTCGTCGACCGACTCAGATCTGAATCCAATCTAAATCCTTCTTCCCCTTTAAGCATGGACTGACCCGGGATCTCCGGCAATCCCAAAGTTTCAAGGTTCCAAGGTTGCGCTGTGCTCGTACTAGGGTTAGGAGGCCGAGATTGTGACACAGCATATGAGGCGTGCCAATCCTCGCCATCTTAGACAACCATTTCCTTCTGCAGTAGAACAAAGGACTTCGCACAACATTCATCTCAGTCGATAGGCCCCTCGATCTTATCTTGAGAGTGCACGCTAATAGAGGCACATAAGAAGCTTGGAAGATACCGGCTTCACGAACCCACAATGGCTCTCTCTTGGCTGGGAGGCATGGAGCCAAGCGCGCCTTTGGTGGGGAGGTCCCTAGGAATCGCAGCTCTGGCCGCGCTGGCGATATTCTTCACACGTCTCTATCAGCACAGAACCCGTTTTCGCAACATGATGAAGAAACACGATATTGTAAGAGACTCTATAATTGTCATGATTTATTCATGAACACGGAGCTGACGTGTTTGCAGCCCATCTTGCCTCACTCGTTCTTATTTGGCCATCTGATAGCTGTGGGCAAAGCCCTCGCCTCTTACCCGTCAGACTTGTGAGTTTCAAAGACGTTCCCTCTCAATTTTGATTTGGTGGCTCCTTCAAACCGCCTTCACGGCACACACAGGCGTGGTGTGTTGTGAGATTGTCATGAATGCCAAAGCGAGTGTGCCGAAGACAACTGCTGACGCCTCTTCCCAAAGCTCTAAACTCGGGATTATATATGCCATGACCAAAGTGTACCCAGAAATCTGCGAGTACGGCCTGATATATTTCGACACATGGCCGCTGGGCGAGCCGACACTCGCTGTCTTCAATCCTGACCTAATGGCGCAGTTTACCCAGGATAGGTCCTTCCTGAAGGCACCCATGGTCAGGGTCGAACTTGAGCCTCTGACAGATCTGCACGATATTGTGACTATGGAGGGCCAAGAATGGAAGACTTGGCGCAGTGTCTTCAACCCTGGGTTCTCGGCGAAGAACTTGACTGCACTGTTGCCTGCCTTCCTGGAGGAGATACAAGTGCTCAAGGAGAGGCTTGTGAAAGTTGCTAGATCAGGCGAGGTGGTCAAAATGGAGGGAACAATCCAGCGGGCGACCGTTGATGTCATCTTCCGGGCAGCATTGTAAGTCAATACACCAGTTCATGGTCCCCAGCACCCCCAGAGGGAACGCATGGTCTTCGGGGAGACACCTGAGCCTGACTGACCACTTTGCACAGGGGTATCAGACTGCACAGCCAAATAAGAGAAACTCCGTTCGTCACGACATTACAGAACCAGGTTCGAGAACCAGCTCCTCTTTCCCATGTGATCTTTAGCTGACCTGCAATGCCGTAGATCTGGTGGCTTGTCTGCGACACAAGTCTTCCTAACCTGATAAAGACCATGATCCCGTTCAGACGACTTATGATATGGAACAACAACCGCAAGATGAAGAAGTTTCTCGCTCCCTTGATCGAGGAAGATATATCGAGACTGGATAGGGGTGAGCTATCGGAGGCCAAGACCATCAACTACCTCGCCATCAAAGCCTACCGGTCTGAGGTCCAGCAGTCAGGGGCCACCAGCAAGACGCAACGTGTCGACCCCAAGTTCTTGGACTTCGCCATCTCGCAGCTCAAGATCTTCATCTTTGCCGGCCATGATACCACGGCCTCCACCGTATCATTCGCCTACAGCCGCCTGTACCGCGACGCAGGAGTCCTGGCAAAGACCCGCGCCGAGCACGACCAGGTCCTCGGACCAGACCCATCTCAGGCTTTCGCCCGCCTGACCGAGAACCCGAACCTCCTAAACCAGATGCCCTACACGACGGCGGTGATCAAGGAGACGCTCCGCCTCTACCCACCCGCCGCGACGGCACGAATCGGCGCCCCTGACGGATTCCTGACGCACCCAGACACGGGCAAGGTTTACCCGACCGACGGCCTCATGCTCTGGTCCACCAGCTTCGCCACGCACCGGATGGAGGAGTATTGGGAACGACCCGAGGAGTTCCTCCCGGAGCGGTGGATGACGCGCGACGAGAGCGACCCGCTGCACCCGCGCAAGAACGCATGGAGGCCCTTTGAGCTCGGCCCGAGAAACTGTATCGGACAGGAGCTCGCCCAGGTGGAGATGCGCGCGATCCTGGCGATGACGGTCCGCGAGCTAGATATCGAGCCCGCGTACCCTGCTGATGCTCCTGAGGCTCTGGGTGAAAAGGCTTATCAAACGATGGGCTTCGGTGACATCACCGGGCATGTGAAGGATGGCTTCCCCGTGAGGGTGAAAATTAATGCCGGTGAGAAGTAGATCGATAGGAGAGGACGACATATCGATTGCACTACTAGCTATCTTCCTTTGTAAAAAGCTTAAGGTTATCCGGTATGGTACTTCAAGCACCACCAAGTCGCCTTCAAGGCCGGTCAGAAATACTTCGATAAGAAGCATGTATACACTAGAGGCGTTCCGCAGAACTTTTCAAAGAACACAGAACATGATGATTTATACACTCTAATTCTACTCGTATCCAGGTCTTGCTGCTTATATCCAATGCTTCCTTTCTTAGGTGTCGAACCGCTCAAAGGTCTACTTTGATATCGCTATCACTGCTCCGCTTGCCGATGCTAGACGCTCCAGGCCTCATAGCTTCCCATTCGAAATCCTTGTCCCACACACCGGCCTTGGTGTAGTCAAGACTCCTTGTCCCAGAAACATACGCGAAACGGAAGTATTCCTTTAGATCCTTGTCGGCTTTCCTATTCCATGTGAAGGCCTTATCTTCGAAGTCCTCGTCGTCATCGAAAAAGCCCCTGAACCGTTCCACGTCGTTGACGAGAAGGCTGATGCCATCGAGCCTGATGTTCCTCTTGGGCGGCGAGTCCCAGTGGAAAGTGATGTTTGACACAGTATGTCCCACCTGAATGTCTGGCGTGGTTGCAAGTGTAGGGAGTACGGAGCCAAGTTGCCCGTCGCCTCGCAATGCATACGAAGTCTGGAGGATTGGGTCCCAGCCCCAGCGAGCGATTCCGTTGATGAATAGTCCTACCAATAGGCCTTGGTATAGAAGAGCAGGGCGAGTCTGCATGCTTGTGCCTGTAAGCAGCAGGAGCGCGAGGAAATAGTGGTGGAGTCGAAGATTGAGGTCCCAGATCTTCAGGAAGATACAAAATATAACGCCACCGACTAGACCAAGATAGAGCGCTCCGTAACGAATGAGGCGTCCTTCTTGGCGGAAGAACCAAATCTGCTTCACAACGATGAAGAATATGATACCGACGATGATGAGCAAGGCGAGCACACCTCCAGGCTGCTGGGAGATATCGTGTGCGTTTAGTCTGTTGATAGGTATGTTCGGGCTGAGGGTATAGTTATCGAGCGCGCCCACCCAGCATGCGCCGAGCCACAGAATCGTCTTCTCGATCTGTGCTGTCAGTCCTGTTAGGGTACGTCGCACTGCCATTTTGTCGAAGATGACCCAGGTCACAAACATGACAGGCACGTATTTTCCAATGATTATGGTGAACAGCTCACGGAACGAGCTGTGTGTAGGGGGATCTGAGACCAAGCCGACGTGCCAGAAAATGCCCGAGAATATGGTGAAGAAGAAGAGCGCGGGTGAGGTGGTGAATAATGATAGGATTGTCGTGAAGATGACATCGACCACAAGTAATGGCCACCTCATATCTCGAGCCTTGCACTGGACGGTCTTCTCAAAGAGGAAGGACTGAGGGAAGTACGAGTCGAAACCGATGCTCTCAATGCCATGTCGAAGGGTGCTGTAGTAGTTGTTTCGTTTGCCAACAAGTTTGATGACGCCACAACCCCCTTCAGCATTGGAAATTGCCCCAGCATGGATTGCAGAACCACAAATAACAGAATCACCCCTATAAGCACCATGCTGGTCAGTGCTATTAACCGGACCACCGATGACGAGCTGTCGATAGTTGATCTCTTGGTCGCCAACCGCACGCGGTTCACTCAGTTGGTAGCTGGCACAATTGGCTGGACATCTGAACGGGAACTCGCTACCCTTGAATGGGCGACACTTATTTCCATTCAAGTCGCAGCTGTTGCCCCGACCCCAAAAGTAAGCTCCGCAGCCGATCTCCTGTGGCTTACCCCAGGGCTTGAGCTCAGTGATGCTGCTCTCTTGCCGCTTGACAACGGAAAAAGTCAGAAGCCATAGGAAAAGATACGCCACAAAGGCCCAGAAACGGTGCTTTCTCCTGGGCAAATACTTGTCGAGAAGAGTGATCGGGAGTTGCTGGATGGCTGGGAAGATAGGTTCGATATGGAAGACGACTGGACTTTGAGGTCCCTTTGCCCATCTTGCTGCGGCCCTGCCGAATTTCCTCACTGGATAAGGGACCCATTTCCAATGCTTGCTGAGGCCGTCTTCCTCGAGAAACCTGGGCAGCGGGGTCGGGTTGCCCTCTTGCAGCTCGTGAAGTTGAGGCCCTTCGATAGGTGCGTCAGGGTGAGACCCCAGGCCTATTCCATCGGAATGCTCGGAAGTATCAAGGCCTCCATTGCCGTTCTCTGCATGTCCATTCGCAGAGCTCATGGCATGCAATGAGAGCCGTCCAGTCCAGCGTCGATGAGCGAGATTTAACGGTAGGAGTTGGGCGACAGGAGCGATGGTGACATGTGCAATATGGGAGTAATAATGTAGGAAGCGAGGATGAGCAAATCGGAGCAGAGCCAAGCGAGGGAACAGGTATTGATTCAAGTTCAGGAAACTATCGAGATGAGGCAAGGAAGGAAAAGAAAAGGAAAGTTTAAAAGAAGACGTCAGCAGGTCTGAACGGAGACACTTATCAGCCAAGATGGGGTGCATTACGGCACGGCACGGCTGATCGACGCCGTGCGAGACGTCCGTCCCAGCAACGTGGTTCGGCGAATGGTCCCATTGGTGAGACAGGCCCCTGGACCCACTAAACGGGGTGTTCCGCTTGGGGACGGGCAAGGACCCGTTTTCTGCAACTCATCGGGAATTGGATACCACCCATGAAGCAAGCAGCAGTCATATCTCATCTCGACCTCGACTGCGCTGTGCACCCAGCCAAATCACTTTGTACTTTATGTACTTGGTTTATCATTGGGCATTTGGAGCTTTGTATCAGCGAGATCTCAGTGAAAAGAAAGTTGGTTACACGGCTTCAAACTACTGGATTTGAGTCATGTTCGTGTGTTTCTGACCAGCCACGCTCCTCACTTATCAACCTTTGAGGGCTGTCAGAGTTCGCTATGAGTGAACCGAGTAGGATCGAGGAGGGTATGAGGTTCGAAACTCTGAAGACGGCCGGCGCCGAAGGGCTGGCAGCGAGGCTAGGCAGACTTGTACTCCCACAGCGCCAGGCCGTCGATACACCCAATTACTTTGCTGTCGCATCCAGAGGCGTAGTGCCTCACTTGACCCCAGACACCATAGCAAGGCATGGCGGGCTCTCAGGGGCGTATATGGCCATGGAGGACAGTGAGTCTACGTGAAAAACCAGCGTGAACGGGGCGCCAGGCTGACCACCCGCTCACAGTGGTCGAGAAGTCTCAGAAGAAAATCACGAAAATACCAGCTGTACAGAGAGTTCCCACGGCAGATGGGAAACGACTTCATGCCTTCACAGCCTTGCCTTCGTCGTCAATCACGATCTTGGGGCCTCGCCGGGTTCCTCCGGTCAAGGCACCCATCGGAAACAGTGACAACTATATCCAAATTTTCACTTCCAACGGCTTCCAGGCCCTAAGAAATCCAGACTATATCAACGCCATCGAGACGTTGAAGCCGGACATAGCTATTCCCCTGGCTGATATTAACTATGGCCAAGAGACGACGCCACAAGCCAAAAGTATCCGCAGGATGTGCGAGAGGACGGAGGAGTGGATGTCTGAGCTTCACGCGTCTGTCGACCTGGATAACCTGCGGTCGTCAAATACTTCCATATTTGCGCCGACATTACCCGCTCCATATCCAATGCAATGGGAGTATCTGAACCACCTCTCAGAAGATATTGTCGACATACTGAGTGGTCTCGCAATCTACGATGTGGACATCCTCCCCGACCTAGTCAATTATCCGGCCCTGACACCCCTTGCACGGCTGTCCGTCGACTCCCCGTCAAGTCCACACGATGTCCTCCGGCAGATTTCCCTCGGCATCGACACCTTCATCCTTCCATTCATCAACGCCACCTCCGACGCTGGCGTAGCTATGACGTTCACCTTCACAGCGCCAACGGGGTCTGAAAGCAATGCCGGCGGAATCGACCTGCTTCCACTGGCGACAGACCTCACAGCCTCGGAAAACCAAACCTCCCTGGAACCCCTGACCGGCTCCTGCACCTGCTACGCCTGCACGCATCACCACAGAGCATATTTGCACCACCTTCTCAACGCGCGGGAGATGCTGGCCTGGACGCTCCTCCAGATCCACAACCACCACACCATCACGGAGTTCTTCGCGGCCGTCCGGGCATCCATCGCGTCTGGTAGCTTCGAGGACGACCGCAGAGCGTTCCAACGGGCATACGAGGCCGATTTTCCAGCGGGGATGGGGACGCGGCCCAGGGCGAGAGGGTACCACTTCAAGTCCGAGGGTGGTGACGAGAAGAGGAACAAGCCGGTCTGGGGCCGCCTGAACGGGGAGGAAGAGAAGGAGAAGAAGGTGGTTGTCACGGAGAAGTTGCGTGCCAACGAGATGGAGACCCCTCTGGTGCCTGGTGCGGATGCGGATGCGGCCGACTTGTGGTCAGGGAGGGTTTTGCTGAGATAGATATCAACAAGGCGCAAGCCGGCTAGACGGGTGGTCATGTTTGGGGACTGACGTGTCGGTGGCGACTGAAGGACGGCGAAAAGTATATTTTCAAATACATCGTTTAGCATGGGCCTGTCATCGGTTGGCTGCCAAAATATCAATGGACTGCTGGATGCGCCTCTGGCGGCCCGCTCGACTCCAGCAGTGAGCTTCATCGAATATCGCACGCAATTTGTGGCACAGGACGCACGATCACCTTGAACCGCATCTTTATTCTGCCGCAGCTGAGTCTCTTATTTCTGGCAATCTCGGGTATCTAGACAGCGTCTTGTATCTCGACTGGCGGCTTCGGTTTCTTTTTCTTCTTCGGCTTCACCACAGCCTCCCCAGCTTCACCATTGCCCTCTGCGTTCTCGCCGCCTTCATCGGCTGGTACGGCAGACTTCTTCTTCTTCTTCTTGACCTTGGTCGCGACGGCCTCGCCGGCCTCGCCAGCGACGGCTTTTGGCTTCGCGACCTTCTTCTTCTTCTTGATGACCGTCCCTTCCACGTCCACCCCTTGAGCCACATGTATCCTCTCATTCGCCCTTTGCATCTCTAGCCTTAATCGTTCGACCTCCTTCATAGCCTGCACCATTTCCGCTTCTTCCCTCTTCTGCCTCTCGAAGTCGTACCCACCGTCTGAGTTCTCTCCGTTTTCACCGCCTTCGAGGCTCAGACTCCCGAGGTTACTCGAGTCGACCTGGAGGAGCGACTGCTTGAGCTTCTTGACTCGCGCCTTAGCCAAGCTATCAGAGTTGTTGGCCTCCGAGTCGTAGTTGCGCGGCGTAGATACACCACTGCCGCCAAGGTTCTCATCTTGGGCAACGACGATTCTCTGGCGTGGCTTTGGTCTTGGGGCAGCGTGTCTTGGTGATGTTAGGGCGGGTGCGTTATCAACTTTGCCCAAGTCAAGCTGCATGATAGGTATCGCGTCGATGTCGAGATCGGGACCGTTTTCGTTTTGCAGAATGTTATGAATGGGCGTCGAAGTGCCGGTGCGACTAGAAGGTTCCCCGATGTAGAAGGGGTCGTCTTTGTTTCGTTCTGCGCGTTCTGCCTTTCGTCTTGCCAGGATATCGGCATCCAGATAGCTTTCCTCGCTTGCCTGGTACGAAGTTACAACTTCTTCGGACGTATCGGCTAGTCTGTTGATAGCCGGCTCACTGGACGAGATCTTTGTTGCTGGTGGCTTTTGGTGATAGTAGACTTCAAACTCATCTTCTTCCTCCGCCCCGAGATGAAGATCGTCCGCCAATGACAATAAGTTGCCCAAGTTGGGATGTATTGGCTCATCCAGGTCAAGACCTTGTGGTAAAGGCACATTGTTCTGCGCACCAAGCGCCACGGAATTCAACTCCCACCCAGTAAACAGGGATGGAATCGCCTGTGTTAGCAGGAGCGGTGGGTCTTGTTGAACCTCATCTGTAGATGTATCCTGCGCAGAAACAGCCTCAGAGGTCAGCTTGAGCAGCTCTGTAAATTCAACTGCTCTCTCTTGAACTTCCAAGTTTGGATGAAGTACGAGAGGCTCCAGCACGTGTATTATCCGCGCAAGGAGAAGCGAAGTCTTCGCTTTTCGTTCCGAGGTCCAGAGTTCCAGATCACTGCCTGTGACTTGAGCAAATATTTTGATGGTTGCTTGAAGGCAAGATGCAAGCACATCTGGGTACTTTGTGCGTGGTATCAGCTGCAACAAGTATCCTAGGGTATCTTCTGACGATAAGAGCTGGTTGGAGTACTCGCCCACAATCCACGATACAGGTCTCAGAACCCCAGAAGTAATCGGTTGTGAAGAAGTACAGAGTTGACGGAGGATCATTTCGGCAGCGCCAACAACGATCTGTCTGATTGCCATGACCTTCACGGCCACACTTCTCAATTCGTCTCCAATCTTGGCTGACACGTCTCCGGGGGGCGTTCTGGCACTTGTTGCAATCTGGTTCGCTGTCTCATCCGATGGTCCAGGAACAGGAGCCATCCGCGCGAGCTGCGTCAAGATATCAATGTACCATTCGAAGTCGACCAGGTTGCTATAATTGTCCTTGGAGCACATTGCTAATATCCGATTGATGACGTCAACCTTGTAATCGTCAGGTAGTGGCGGCGCCTGGTCCATTTCGCGTTCTGCCATATCGATGTTGACCTCAGCGTCCGCGTCCGAATCAGAGTTCGATTCCTGTCCTTGAGCAGCTGACCTGCCAGCGGAGGCGGAGCTTTTCAGTTGCCTCATCAGGCGGCCGACGATGGACATCAGGTTGTCGCTGCTGACCATGCCCTGCACCAGGTTCAAAGCTTGAACGCGTATTGTGATGTCAGGATTGTCGATACACTCCATGATAACATCCTCTTGTTGTGCTACCAGGAACGGATGCGTGACCACGATCTTGTTGAACGCAAGCAAGGCGACGTATTTGACTGAGTGCTGCTGTCAGACTAACTGTTTCTTTTGGGCCAGGGTTATCTCTTACGATTTGGGTCTCCATCGACCATGACCATCCCGCGCAATTTGGTGACACACAGTGACGCGATCTCCTCACTACCTGAGATATCATCGTCGCTCCCAAGAATTCCTCCCTGGATAATGCCGTTGATACACTCATATAGTAAGGACATGGCTGGCGTCGTTCGGATGAGGTCTGTCAAAGGAGGCAATAGCTTACGAACAAGCCGCGGCTCGAGTGGCGTCAAAGTAGCAAACTATACGACCTTTAGCGAGATGTTTTCATGATCCTTTGGAACAATGACACTCACCAGCTTGATCAATTTTATTGCCATCCAGTTGTTACCACCATCCACAAGCAATTCGAACAGTCTCGGAGCGAGGGGCAGGAAATCGTTGGGCCGCCTCCATCCAAGCTCGCACACTACATTCACGATGGCGGCCGTGACACTTGGGTCCTCATCCTGAGCCATAAGGCGTTCTTTGATCTTCGGCCATGCTGCTCGTAGAGTTTCCGGGTATACGAGGGCCAGTCTGTACAAGGTGACTATTGTTTTCTTTCGTATTGAGGGGTTCGTATGTGTGAGTCGTGGAAGAAGATCGGCCAGAGTCGAGAGCGCCAACGAGGGTGTGATAAAATGAGGTAAGGCGTGGATCGGTAATGACAGCGTGGTTGTGGTGCCGGAGGTAAGGTCCTGCAAGTGAACGGTCAGTCAAACAGGAACATAGATTCTGGAGGGGAGCGAACCCGGCGCAGACCTTCTTCAAGAGATTCGTGGCCAACATGAGAACCTCGGTGTCTGGGCGGTAGCTCTGGACTGCACCTAAGTATCCAATGCGTTTCTGGTGGTATTTCGGCGAGGACATGACCTCAAGGACGTTAAAGGAGGCCCAGGACATGTCATGGCCCATCATCTCGAGATAGATGAGCTTGAGCAAGGCGGTGGCCTTGATGTCTGTCTCGGTCCGTTAGATTCCTACAAGCAGTATCGAACCCATGATGATATTAGACTGACCCATATCCTGTCCACGAATCTCTGCGCGGCATTCTTTCAGACAGTTCTGGATGTATTCCTTCTCGTGTCCCTTGTGGTTCCGCAGGCCTCGGATGAGGTCGTAGAGGGATTTCTCAAACCTGCTCTTTTTTCAGCGTTCATGTCCCTTGAAGGTGTGCCAGTAGCTCAGAGTCTTTGCGTACATCTTGTCTATACCACGAGGCGACCACGCCTCTCGAACCGTGGCGGATTGTAGTGAGGGAGTAGGTGGAGGGAGGTAATCCGGCTCAGCGCGTGAGACAAGACAGACAGTGACGCATCCCTCCTTTTGGCATGTTGCAGCGTCTCTGCCAGCCCAAGTGGTTGTCGTAGAATTGGGACCGGTCCGTGAGTATGTACGTGCTCGTGCGTATGTATGTTGAGGATTTCCCCAGAGCTGTCTGCTGCTGGCGGTGGTTGTTTGTTTTGCCTTGGTTCACTTCGGCCTTAGCAGCACATCATCGGCCTGCTTGTAGCTGCCCCACGTAACGAGTGTCATGCAGCAGACAGTCAGACGGTGCAATCGGCCGGGTACCAGGTAGCTTAGCTTATCTCCCCACGCCGCACTGTGCCGCAGCAAGCACCACCTAGACTAGTTACTACGTGCACAGAGGAGCTCCTGTCCCTGTCCTCGATCAGCGACACTGCATGTGTACGGTAGCAGCTCCCCAGTATCCACAGCTTCTTCCCATCCGCGCATCCAGCAGCACGACTACACTTGAGCAGACGCTCCGTCCCAGCGTTGCCTTGTCAATCACACAGCGATTGCCTCCGACCATTCCGACCCCTGATTGCTTGACCAGTCAATTGTGCTCGTCAAATAGTCCATAATGACGCCCTCGCTTCTCCATCCCCCCAGCCACTTGTCGCCAGCGCAAGCTCTGGAGCTGTCGCAACGCGCTCCGGCGATTCTCCAGAGCTCGCCGCGCACGATTTCGTCGTCACCATTGGTTTCCCTCTTCTCCTCGCCAGAAAACACGGAGCTCTGGATCACTGTCGAGAATCTGCTGCTGTCATGCCTGCGCACAGGCGACGAGCAGGCGGCCCACGAGTGCCTCGAGAGACTAATCTTGAGGTTTGGAGATGACAACGAGCGCATAATGGCCTTTAAGGGGATCCTGAAGGAGGCGGAAGCTTCCGACAATGCTGCACTAGAGAAGGTGCTAAAAGAATATGATGAGATCTTGTCCAAAAGCGAGACCAATATTGTCAGTTGTCCGGACTTCGTTATTTGAGGACCATACAAAGACTGATTTTATGTCTACAGCCTATCACGAAACGACGCATTGCGTTGCTCCGCACGCTTGGCCGAACCGCCGATGCTGTGTCTGGTCTTTCAGCCCTACTGGACTTTTGCCCAGTTGACGCAGAGTCCTGGGCAGAGTTGGCGGACCTATACTGCACCCAGGGGATGTATGCGCAGGCTGTCTACGCTCTCGAGGAAGTCTTGGTGCTAGCTCCAAACGCTTGGAATGTTGGTGCACATACTCTCTTGTCTGATTATGAGCAGAAGCTGATGACTTGGGACAGATCCACGCTCGTCTGGGAGAAGTCGAGTACATGGCCTCTACCGCTTCAGGCGCCGATGAGGCTGTTTCGCGGAAGTATCTTGCAGAGTCCTTGAAGCGATTCTGCCGAAGCGTTGAACTTTGCGACGACTATCTGCGAGGGTACTACGGGCTCAAGCTGGTAAGAGGCTTGACGTAAAAGAGAGTATTGCATGGTCTGTATTGACATGTTGCAGGTCACTTCGAAGTTGTTGGAGCCATCAACGAAATCCGGTAAACAGCCGGATTCAGAAGATTTCGCAATTCCGCCTACAGCTACCCTCGAGAAACTCAGTGAAAAAAGCACTGCGAAATTAGCTGAAATTGTCCGCCGTAGTACGGCAAAGGAGAGAGGCTGGAGTGGTTTTGAAGAATCCGAGGTTGAGGCGGCCCGCGATCTCCTTTCCAAGGAATCTTCTGGTATCGTTAGATGAGCGCATCTAAGCTTACACGCGGGTTTGTCCATGAGGCAGGTGATGTCTTTAACATGCCTGGGACCCCGTGAGTCACACAGATAAGGAGCATGTCAGTGCGATTCGACGCAAATTGGAACCAGTCAGAGAGCACCAGAGCCACTATTGGAGCCTGGCAACATGAACTTGCATAACCGGTGGATACTCAGCTGTGCAAGCTGGCAGTGCCACGGCACGTGGCGCCAGTCGAAGCCAGGACAAAGAATCCGAAACGACGCAAAGAGGCGGTACCAAAACTTTTGTTGCCCGAGGAGGAGGCTCACCCAGAACCACGCCAGTCAAGACGTTTTATTCGATTCAGGCGAGTGGCAAGTTGACGCAGCTCGGTTGGGGGCTCCGGATCTCCCATTAGACACAGGGAACAAGCTTGGATCAGGCTGATCGCTCTCGCCCGGTCGACTTGATCCCTTGCATTTCGTCCGTTGCCGACGGCGTCCCGTCAAGCGGCAATGCAACCATGGAGTTGGACTACTGCGAGATATTGCAATGCGGCTCCCCGTCAGCGATGTGATACGGCCAGCGGTGCCTTGTGCGCGCGGTCTACTTAGACAAATTCACGTACATTTCTAATGCATGCGTGCTCCGCCAGGCTCCTTGGCATCCGAAGGACTATCAAGCGACTGACATCGGCAATGAAAGACTGCGGCCGAGACTAAAACAGTTGCATAGGATGGCTGCAAGCTTGCACCGTCATCATCCCACCGCCTTTTCGCTGCGCGGAATCGGGCATTTAGACACCATCCCACACTAGCAGGCGTGAAACACTATGGACAAGTTGGTCGACTTTTTCCTACGGCAAAATTGTGCAGGTTCTGGACCAATTCGCTGTGCTGCTGTGTCCTCGTGTCCTGTTAAATACTGGCGTAATGCACCTGCACCTGCAGGCGTTCCGCTTCTGGCCGCGCCCAAGCATGTTTAATGACCAGGGCTACATCAGGGCGCAGGAAGGATTTGCCCCAGCAACGGCACCACCTAAACTCAGGCTATGAGGGCTAGATCAGCGCACTCGGAACAGGTCCAGGACCAGCCCAAGCGCTGTTCGTCTGGGAAGACTGAGAAGCAACAGAACACGGCTTGAGCTCACTTGACGACGTCGCATCAGAATGCACTCGTCTCGTCCAAACCCCCAAGGCTGTTGCACCTTGCAAAATGTGATCTACTACATAGCCTAGGCCGCGGGATGTGGCTAGCATCATGGATAGTCCCTGGTAACTACTGTCCACCGTTGAAACGGTTCTCGCCCATCAGAGCATCGCGCCTCGTACCGAATGTCCGGCTTACACGGGAGCCCCAGCTCAGTGTTATTGGACCAGAGGTCAGCCGACTGACCTGCAGTCTGATGGCATACCTTTCCCCAATCCCCCTTGCGGCAGAGGCTCTCTACCGATTCATGGAGGCCTTCCACTCTGCGGGTATCCGATCCGAGTTGACATGTCTCTCATGACCAACTGTTGCCTTGTCCAACGATTAATTCGAGAGGCTAGAAGGGGAGCCGATGCAGTGGGGCGGCTTTAATGCCTCGCCGATCTGAGCGGACCCATCCGAGTAGGAGGGGTCGACTTTCCGGGCTTCTTCTAATGTGTTCTAGCCTTAACGTTGGGCAACCACATGGAGGCCAGCACTTGACACCACCTGACTCGAATCCTATAGTCGCCGTACCTTGACCATTGTTTTGGCTGCCGCATCGCATGTTGAATCAAGACTGAAGGGAAGGGGTGCGAACGCCGAACGCCTCTGACAACTTGCCCAGGGAACAGGGACATCGCACAACCCTTCCTTCAGAACCTCCCAACAAGCCAGCTTAAGCCCCTCCCCTCCCCTCCCCCCTTGCGTGTGCTGTGGGATTGGAGCAAAGTCCCCTGTGCTTAGGAACACAGCAGTTGCTCTAGCTCCTAGTGCCCATGCTCGACACAGCACGCTACCTCGGGCCGCAGCAGGGTGTTCTTTTCCTTGCTTTGAAAACAAGAGCCAGGGTGCAACATTCCCGCCTAATCAGCGTGATAAATAAACTTGCACGAGCCCAAGACAAGTCCCGGCCAAGGCTAACTTCGGGACTCGTTCACCGCAACCCCAGCTGGACGCAACCCAATCCATCCGTTTCTATTCGAGCCCAACGTTCTTCTGGCGCTCGTCCTGACCAGGTCAGCCCGGCCAAGTCGTGGCTTTTTTGCACCGAAAAACGCTTTGCAGGTAGATCTTTCTGTCCCACCTTGAGCGGACTTACACGGCCACCTGGGCAACACCCACCCACACTCATCACGCCCTTCATCACTCGCCCAAAAACACTCCCACATGCGCTCCTTACATACCACACACTCTCACACACACCCATACACACAGCCTTCTGCCTCTGACTTACCCCTGCGTACAAATTCCAGCGTCATCATCTCGTGACAGTTCCGAACCAAAGCTTACGCTCTCAGGCAGTGCTTCCATACACCGGTGTCTATCACTATTACACAACACCCTGGTTTGCCGTATCGCGTCCTGCGGGGTCATTTCTTATAGACGCTGTTGCCCACCCCCCCTTCGCGAATCCTGTCGCCACGATACCGGCGGAGTGTCATTCCAGCTGCACCGACAGGACACTAGTTCGCAGCCGCAATCCAAGGGAGAGCGCCTTTGCTCCGGCCATCTCTTTGCAGATTGTCCGGTGCAAAGGGTTTTCACTCCAATACCACCTTCCCAATGTCCCGGTGAGCCATCTTGTTCTGAATCTCTTTGCGACTTTGCGCGCCGGTCACTGTTTAGAAGCAAGCTCTCCGACTCCTTCGCAAGGCTCTGGCTTTTGCCCTGCCCCCCACTCCCTTGCCCCAGGACCCCTTATGAGCTGACTTTACTGCTTCTTTCTCATCATCACAGAGAAAGAAGATCGACAATCACGATAGACCACCCAACGTCACGGTCGTCCATCACAGACGGCGAAGACGAGTCGCAATTCAGCGACGAGCGAAGCGACTCTCACGCGGACGAGGAGGACTGGTCGCATGACGACGACATAGACCCCAGTGACTCGGCCTCCGCGACAGCAGACTACCGCGCTCAACCCCAACGACCTCACAGTCGGGGCGCTGCGCGCAACCCACCACGCCAGCACAGCATCCCCCGACAGCAAAGATACCCCTACAGAGCGGCAGTGCCGCCACCACCACCACCACCAGATCACATGCAGACCATGAGCAGCGACGCATCTGAAGACTACATGTACAGCCACCGAGGCCAGTACGCGCCTCCACAACACCAGGGATATTATGGAGGAAGGGGTGGGTATCCGCCGCCTCAGAGCCTCGCGAGCGGATACGCACCTCCCCCGCACCATGGCTACGGAGGGCAGATGGTACCATTTGCCTCAAATCCCTTCAGTCCAATGACACAGGGCGGAGGTACTGGCTACTTCCCGGAGCAGCGGCCGCCGTACGATATGATGCCTTATCAGCAGCCCGGATACTTTGGCGGTGCGGGTCCTGTCGCTGCCCCAGCCTACGGGATGCCACCACACCATGTTGCGCAGTACATGTACCCATCACCGCCGCCTCCGCCGACCGAGGCACCGGGGCCGCCCAAGACTCCAGCGCCGGCAGAGGAGAAACCAAACCCTCAGATGGAACTTATGAAACAGCAATTAGCGCTCCTCCAGGCCGAGCGCAAGGAACAAGAGGAGTCGGCTAAGCGGGCCGAATTGGAGAAGAAGATCAGAGAGGATGCAGAGCATGCGTTCAAGATAAGAATGGAGGAAATGCAGCGGGCGCAGGAAGAGGCCAAGAAGGAAATTGAGCTTGCCAAAATCGCAGCCGAGAGGGCCGCCCGGGAGCGCATCGAAGAAGAGCGCAAGGCCGAGGCTGAGCGCCAAAGGCAGCATGCAGAGATGATGGCCAAGGCAGAACGTGACGCCAGAGATCGTATTGAGAAGGAGAGGAAAGAGGAAGCCGAGCGCGCACGCCAGCACGCCGAGGCTATGGCAAAGGCTGAGCGTGAAGCCAAAGAGAAGTATGAGGCTGCTCTCAAGGCCGAGGAGGAGCGCAAGGCACAGCAGGAGGAAGAGCGGAAAAGAGCGGAGGAAAATGCCCGGCTTAAGATCGAGGCTGAGGCGAAAGCCGCTGAAGAGGCAAAAAAGCTCGCCGAGAAGCAAGCTGCAGAGGAGGCCGAGCGCAAGAAGTTGTTCGAGGAGGAAACGAGAGTCAAGGCCGAGAAGGAGCTCCGGGACAAGATTGAAGCCGCCAAGAAGGAAGAGGAGGAGAAGAAGACGGCGGAAGAAGCGGCCAAGCTTAAATACGAGAACGAGGCTCGACTGAAGCTTGAGAAGGAGCGTCTCGACGCGGAAGAAGCCAAGAACAAGGAGGAAGCCGCCAAGAAAGCTCAAGAAGAACTTCTCAAGAAGATTGAGGAGGAGGCCAAGGTCAAGGTGGCCGAGGAAGCGAGAAAAGCGGCCGGCGACGACAAGGAGCCCATCAAGTTCAAGGACGCCGTGGGTAGGAAGTTCAACTTCCCTTGGAACCTTTGCTCGACGTGGAGTGTACGTACACCAGTTCTGTTCCTTCATCCTTACCTGAGTGCGTATTGAGTTAACACTGTCTTTGTTTCTAGAGCATGGAAGATCTCATCAAGCAAGCCTTTGCGCACGTCGAAGTTATTGGCCCTCATGTTCAAGAAGGCCACTACGACCTGATGGGACCCGACGGCGAGATAATTCTGCCCGTGGTCTGGGAGAAGACGGTCCAGCCGGGCTGGCAGATCAACATGCGCATGTGGCCAGCGGACAAGCACCCGCTCCCGGGTCCACAGCCGCCTGACCCGCGCACAGCGACGCCCGAGCAGATTGCGCGCTGGCATTATTTGCAGCAACAACTGCGCGCGCGGAACGCAGGTGCACCTATGCCAGGAGGCCATCACCGCGTCCACGGTGGCGGACACGGTGGCGTCCCACCCATGAGACCTCCCGGCTTCACTGGTGGGATACCCTTTGGAGGGCGGCAGCCTCCACCACCGCCCGGCGGCCGAATGTTTGGGCCGCCTGGCGGCGAACGGGGACCGCCGCCTGGGGTGGATATCGTTGATGCCCGGCCGGAGAAGAAGAAGGGCGACAAAAAGAGGGCAAAGAAGACGCTGGGTTTCTTTTCTGGTGCAAAGCCTCCCAAAAAGAGCAGTTCAAAGAAGTGGGTTAATGCTGACGAATTCTGGCAATAATAAACTGACGGGTTGAATGGCAGGCCTTAGTTGGGGAATTTTCTGTGACGGGGAGGACTTTCTTTTCATGAGCAACACTATTCCTGGGATCCGGTCAGACTTCCTGGCTGGTTATGGTTGGGACCTTTGCACTTTTCTTACCACTACCCAGCGATACCTTTTTGTTTGATTTCAGTACATCCCAACCCTGCCCCGCCATTCTAACAATCTACGCAAACTCCTTTGGGCCGATCAGCAGGTATTTTATGATCAAGGTATGAGGGTATGAGGGAACGAAGGGGCGAGACGCGGATTCGGAAACGAGAAGACACGAGAAGACACGAGACGAGACGAGACGAGACGCGATGCCATGATACGAAGCGAGCTGGGATGGGAAACGGGGTGAGCACGTACGCAAGGATGGGGGGGGGGGCACGGCGGCCTGTTCGCGTTGTTACTCGTTCTCTTCATGACCATCACCTCAGGATACCACGCTTCTGGCGACGAAAAAGTTCCTTCGGCGCTGTTTTTGGTCATTACCCACCTATGCTAGCAAGGCGCAACTGAACATGAATGGGGAGGTCTTGATGGGTTGAGGCGTGGCTTGGGACCCTGATTGGAGGGAGCCCTCCACCGGCCTTTATAAGTCTATACAGCGCTTGGATCTATCTATCTTTTGTCTACATGAGAGAATCTGATTAATTATACAAAACATTTGACCCTCTACGTGCGCTGTTGAAGTGGTGTTGAGTCTAGTCCATGACCCCCCGAGCTGCCCATTACGGGGATTGTCTTGCTTCTGCTACATCGATTCTGCCGGGGCAGCGATGCTCTTAAGTCCACCGACTGCTACATGTCTGTCCATATATTTTCCCAGAGTGTAGGCTGTACGAGGAAAATGCTAGGCAGCATACGAGCAAAATCAACCCTCCAAGTCGCCAAACAACGCCCTCGCCCTCTCCTCGAATGCATCAATCATCTTGGTAGCCGTCTCGTCCACGACCCCGGACAGCATCATCTGCACCAGCGGGTCGGTGAGGCGCATACTGAGGTCGAGGTCGACGGTGGACCAGGTGCCAATGCGCTTGACGATGGCGTCCTGCACCGTCCACTTGGTGACCAGGCTCTCGAAAGGGTTGCTCCTGCCCGCGGCGCCGTCCTTTTGCGCGACCGAGGCCTCCTGCTTGCCGCTCAGGGCCTCGATGCTGCGGCCCGGCACGCAGACTATCCTGCTCGTGTACGACTGTGTAATGGGGCCGAAACCGACAGTCAGCTCGCCCTCGGTGGGCCAGGCGCGGCCGCCGGCGCCCGCGTCCGGGCTCGACCAGGCGGTCACGCGGCTGTGCTGGCAGTAGGGCAGGAAGCTGGAGTAGGCGTCCACGTCGACGATGAGGTCGTAGAGCTTCGCGCGCGGGTACGGGAGGGTGCGGGAGACGTTGATGGTCAGGGGCTTGTTGGCCTGGAAGACGGAGTCGAGGAAGGTCCGGCGCGACGTGAGGACGGGAGGGCGTTGGGTGAGGGCCCTGCTGGCCAGTCTGAGGGGACCAGGACCCTTGGCAGCCATCGCGCGAACACAGAGATCGAGGGCTGGTGTTATTGTGCGATCATTGTATCTGACTTGAAGGGTCGGGCCGTGTCTGATTTGGCTGGGAAAGGGTCATGATATCAAGACTAAGACTTTCGAGGTTTCCTGTCGGTTCCGAACTCGGCATTCGGCCAGGTCCAGCCAGCCCCACTTCAGCTTGGGCCACAGACAAGAAAGGCCCCATAGCGCCAGTATCAAAAAGCTGGCTGAAAATTTCAACACCACTTTCACTTGCCCTTGACAACTATCAAATCTACGAAAGCAAGACTCGGGCTCTTGCAACACCATGCTGCGTCGCTCTCACGTCCGTTCAGACCGTCTTCGATAGCACTCGAGGAGCGAGCAAAACTCTCAAGTCTCACAGCCAGCAGAGATGGCCGCAGCACCAGAGGTCGCAGCACAGGCTGCTCCTTTATCAGAGCCTCAGGTTAGGGCTGCTGATGTTCAGGAGAAGCTGGCTGAGGACGTGTCGGCCCTCACAGTCACTGACAGCGAGGCTGTTCCTCCGGCGCACCGATCTCATGACCCTCAGTATAACCAGAAGCGGTCCGATCCCTTCCAGTTCGGATCCCGTTTTCTTGAAGAGGGCGATGATCCCTTCGAGTTCAACGCCTGGGACCACGTGGAGACTGACGATGCCTTTAAGGAGTTTGCTGAGCAGCAGTATGAAATGCAGCGTCAGTCTCCCGTCTCGGATTTTGACAAATGTAAGTCAACCAACCGCAGCACGCATGTCATTATCATCTTTGCACCCACGGCCTCTTGTGATGATTTACATATCATAGCATAGTTCATCTGACTTCATGATGACTACATTGTACTCGTTATTAGTCTTTCGCTCCCATCTGACTGGCCACAATCACCTTGCACTATATTGTCTTCTAGCTCTGGGTATACGCGGCTCGCTGACTCCAGCAAACAGATCGATTCAACTCAGACCCTGCCAAGTGGTGGAACTTGTTCTACAAGAACAACACCGCCAACTTCTTCAAGAACCGCAAATGGTTGCAGCAGGAGTTCCCGGTGCTTGGCAAGGTAACCCAAGAGGATGCCGGCCCCGTCACACTCTTAGAAATAGGAGCTGGTGCCGGCAACACTGCTTTCCCAATCCTGGCACAGAACAAGAACCCTCAGCTCAAGGTCCACGCCTGTGATTTCTCTAAGAAGGCCGTCGAGGTCATGCGCTCCCATGAGGAGTATGACACGAAACACATGCAGGCTGACGTTTGGGACATCGCCTCGGACGAACTCCCTCCTGGTCTAGAGGAAGGCTCGGTAGACGTTGCACTTCTCGTCTTCATCTTCTCTGCATTGTCCCCGTTGCAGTGGAAGAAGGCCGTTGAGAATGTGCACCGGCTGCTCAAGCCCGGCGGCGAGGTCTGCTTCCGTGACTATGGAAGAGGAGACCTTGCACAGGTCCGATTCAAAAAGGGTCGCTACCTGGAAGAGAACTTCTATATCCGTGGAGATGGAACCCGCGTTTACTTCTTCGAGAAGGACGAGCTGGCCTCTATATGGACCGGCGAGAAGTTCAGAGCCGAAGATGGCGATGAGGACGCGCAGAAGGCGCCGCTATTCGAAGTAGAAGGCCTCGGTTTCGACCGTCGCATGCTTGTCAACCGAGCCCGCCGTCTCAAGATGTATAGATGCTGGCTACAGGGTAGATTCATTAAGAAATAGAGTTTTCCTCTGCTACTCACTCGCCTGAAAGCTTGTACCCCGCTTCAAGATGCGCAATGGCTGTCTCACTAGCTGCCAGATATCCAGAGATCTGCTCACCATCACAGTTTATCAGTTGCAAATCATGAAATCTGCCATGTACAAAGTATCATTTTATGCAGATGCGCAATCACCAAGCGGCTAGACATCTCACAGCCTGCTCTTACCTCCCTCAACATAACTGGTCCCTAGCCTCAGCATCTTCTCGGCCTCAGCTACCATCTCCTTCACAATCTCGCCCGCAGGCTGTATCCTCTGAATGGAACCAGCGACCTGGCCCATCAGGTGCGGCAGGTCCACATCATTTCCCTCCTCGATATCATACTCGATCGGGACAACACCACTATCACATAGTTCCTTGATGCGGTCGGGCTTCTCGTGCCACTTCTGAATATACTCGTTGGTCCTCATCCTGAGCGGCCGGCCGGAGATGACCAGCGTGCGCTGCGTGTCCTCGAAGCCGCAGCTGACGACGGCCTCCTTGTGCTCGGCGCTGCACCCAGCCTCTTCGCTCGCGACGAAGCGCGTGCCGACCCACACGGCGGCGGCGCCCTGCATGAGGCTGCTCGCCAGGCCGCGGCCGTCCGAGATGCCGCCCGCGGCGACGACGAGCGCGGGCTGGCCGCGCAGCATCGCCGGCCTGTAGGCGCGCGCGGCGTCGGCCACCGCGGGGATGAGGATGCTGTTGGCGATGTCGCCCGTGTGGCCGCCGCCCTCGCCGCCCTGCGCGCACACCATGTCGACGCCCAGGTCGAGCGCCTTGACGGCGTGCCGGGGGTGGCCCACCATGTTCATGACGTAGATGCCCGCGTCGTGCAGGCGGTCGATGACGCGCCGCGGCGGCACGCCCACGGCGCTGACGAACAGGCGCGCGCCCGACTCGATCGTGATGTCGATCAGCTCGTCCAGCTTGCCGCCCGTGTAGTCGTGGTTCGTCTTGCGCGCGCCCCCGCCCAGCTGCGGCAGCGCCAGGTCCACGCCGAAGGGCAGGTCCGGCCGGCTGAAGTTGGCCTTCATCTCGGCGACGATCTCGCGCAGCTGGTCCGGCGTGTACATGAAGCCGCCGATCACGCCCAGCCCGCCCGCGTTGGACACGGCCGCCGCGAGGCGCCCGCCCGACACGCGTGCCATGCCGGCGAGGATGACGGGGTGTTGGATCCCTAGTAGGGTCGTTATCGGTGTGGTGATGGGGCCGGTCGGTGCCATTGTGAGTGCTGGTTGCCTGGATTATACAAGGAAATTCACATATGCGAGTCCAGCTATGCCCCGAGTCCGTGTCGAGAAATTAGAACTGCTTGCCTTCCTTGCTGATGCTAGCTCTTGTACGATATCGCACGATGTTTGTACTCGCCACAATGGGGTATGTAATTAGGAAATGAGCATTCCAGGTCGTAAGTGTAATAACAGATGTATAAATGAAAAAAGACACTTCTTACAGATGCAGTGCGATCTATCTTGTTAAGTATGTATGTACTTTCGCCCCTTCCACCCCTCTCCCCCGGGAATTTTGGGTGAGAATGCGGAGATCCTACCGAGGCATCTTCGGTTCCCGCCCCATGGGCACAGATTCCGGGGTAACTTGGCTAGCCGACTTGTGTAAATGTTCGTGTGGGGATTTGGTTTGGCTTCCGGGATCTGATTTTTGGGGCTTATGCAGCCACAAGATGTGTTTCAGTCACCACATGGTTTTTGCCCAATTCGGTATGCATCTCATACCCGCGCTCGTGCTATAATGGTGTCATGAAGTTGCTTTTGGGCTTTCACATGACTCTGATGGTCATGACGGAAAGGTGAGGCGTGTGGTAGAAGTTCTCGCAACTCTTGAAGATCACTACGAGTCATTTCGATATGTTGTCATGCTGTATGGCTATCATAGGTTTGTATAGTGAGCGAAATGACATTATATGCAGTTTATCTAAAGAATGTGCTTGATTCACTGGGAATCGTCTATAGACGCAACTCTTCTAGAAAGTAAAACACCGCCCACTGTTTTTTCAGATGATTTTCCACAGCAAAAACTACTTCCTGTTTTCAGTAGATTGATCCCTTCAGTTTATCGCACCAGTTTTTTTGTTTTGTCCTTGAGGCACCACTGCCCCTTCAGATGCCGTGCTCCAGCGCCGCCAAAGCACCTGGCTCGCTGCAGACATAGATCACGTCGTGGTTGTCCGAGAAACCATTGAAGCGAGTGGCAGAGCACTTGGTGTAGGCGCCCATGTCCTCAAAGTACAGCCAGTCACCGACGTCCAATGTCTGGTTGAAACGAATGCTCTCGCTGATACGGTCGATGCCGTCGCAGGTCGGGCCCCAGATGCTGTACTCCATACCACCAGCCGTGACAGGTCGGCCAGCCTTGGTGTTGTAGTAGTTCTGGCCCCCGGCCTGCAGGACATGGGCGATCGGGTTCTGGTGGTCAAACATGATGCTGCTGAAGTTGCCGTAGACGCCATCATTGACGTACACCATGTAGCTGTTGTCATCACCAGGCTGGTTCTCGACGGTTCGCCGCGCAATGATGTTGCAAGCCAGCGTGAACGCTGTCGAGGCATAGAACCGACCAGGCTCGGCAATCAGGTTGATGCCCGAGTGAGCCGGGAAGTACTCATCCAGCGCGGTGCGGAGCACACCAGCCATTCCCTCGAAGGTGGAATCGCTGCAGAAGCCACCACCCACGTCCAAGGTCTTCATCTCGAAGCCGTAGTCGGTGCCTTGCTGAAAGACGACGTGCGCGTCTTGGACGGCCTTGAGGAAGGCCCTGGGGTCGGAAGCCCCAGACCCGACGTGGAAGCTCACGCCCACGACGTTCAGCCCGAGGTCTCGCGCAGTGCGCAGCAGGCCATCCGTCATGTCCATGGAGGCGCCAAACTTCAGGCTCAACCGGCAAAGGCTGGAGGAGTCATCGGTGTGGATACGAAGGAAGAGCTCAGCCTCAGGGAACAGCTTGGCAATCTTGCGCAATTCGTCGGCGTTGTCAAAGGTCATCTGGCGCACACCAGCATTGGCGACATAGCGGACGTACGAATTGGTCTTGCAAGGCTGGGCGTAGATGACGCGCTCAGGGCTGACTCCCAAGTTGAGCACCTGCTCGATCTCTGTCTTGGATGCGCAGTCAAAGCCCGTGCCCAGGCTGGCCAGAAGGCGGAGGAGCTGAGGGTCCGGGTTGCACTTGACGGCGTAGAACGGCTTGACGCGCGGGAGATTGAGCTTCCACCGCAGATGCTGGCGGTAGACCTCGCCAAGGTCGGCCACGAAGAAGGTATCCTCGTCGCCTGGCTCGCAAAACTCGTGGTCGATGTTCTCGACACGCTGGCGAAGGGCATCGCCAATCAGATGCTTGGGAGAGACATGGCCATAATGGGCTTTCTCGTCAGAATTGAATACAGCGCCATTGGTCGAAAAGATCCGGTTATTGATGTAATCAATAGGTGAAATTGTATCGACGAGGGTAATTGCCATAACCATTCCCAACGCTTGCTTGAGGGACTGCTGCTGAGGCTGACGAACACGCTTCCAATTCTCGAGTGTTGGCTCGGTGGGGGATGAACCTCTGTTGATTGATATAGTCTCGAGGATCGAGGTGGGTGTTAAGGGGGTCGGAAACGGTAGCAGACTGTTCCCTCAGTAGATTGGCGAGGCCTCCGCGACTCTCCCTCCGTAAGAGAGAGGGTCTCTAGAAGACTCTTATTCGGCAGCTTAAATGGGGGGTTGAACTCGGGGTCCGGTTTGTTGTAGGGGAAGTCGAGGAGCGGTAAAGACTCGGGGCCTTTAGTTGACTTCAGCAGGTGGAGGCGGAACAACACAGAGGATGTGGAATGGCTTTCGATGCGCGAAATCTTGATCAGATACGAAAGCTACGGCCGAGGAAGCCGTCTTAGCGGTGCGCCTTTGTTAGACCAAAGGCAGTCCAGGTCGGGGTTTGTTTTGTGAGGTGGGAGGCCGCTGAGGTATTTTCTCGTTAGTCGTGTGGTCTTTTCAAGCAGCTTCACTGACGTAGCGTGTTGTGATGAAGAGCACGTTGACTGAGCGGATTGGAGCAGGGAGAGGAGACGTGAGCGATTTGTAGACGCCCGAGCGATGTTGGCGGTCGTGCAGAGAGATGACGGCGGCAAGTCGCGAGGACTATAGTCGAATTGGGACAATGCTTGATGCCTAAGGGGTAACACCCTCGGGTGCAGAGGCTGTGTCTCGGTTCCTGGAGGTAACGTACCTGCAGCTGGACAGCGGTGGGAGGACTGAGTCACCGGGGCGATTGATGCCGAGATTGTAGAGGGCCTGAGCGGTGAGATTCGATTGCAGTGCGATGCAGTGTCGAGGGGATGCGAAGCTGCAAAAGTCTAGCCAGTATTGGGTTGGGCAGATGAAGTTGCGGATGATGGTGATGATGTTGGGTGATGTGGTAAGAAACCTTACGTGGTGGGGGCAGGAGGGAATTGTTTGGCAGGGAGTGGGTCCTTTTTCTGCCCTGCTTTCTAACCGTCATGCTCGACAAGGTTCGAATTTTCGCCAACTGTGTGCAGTGCGCACACTCGACCTAGCGTGGCCTAGCACCTGGCTACCCCAGCGGCCCCAAACCTTAGCGCGCCACTCGAGTCGGCCAGACAGTCATTCAGCTCGAACTGGGGGGGTTTTGCCTGCAGGAGGACCTCGTTTAGTATTACCTCATCGCCTCATGTGCCGCCATTCTGTGTGTCCAACGGTGAAATGTCTCACAGAAATCTCAAGCTACACAAAGTTCAGCGGGTAATTCTATGTACCGTCGAGACCACCTAGGCCTGCATGTGCTCCGCATAATATACTTCAGCCTGAGACTCCGAAGTTATGAGTCAACCGATGCCTTAGCCTCTGCGCGCGCTGCAATTTCGCATCGACGATGATCTTGAAGATGTGCATACATCGGTGTGGCCCATACCAAACCATATTCAACGTGTTGAAACGCATGCGGTATAACTGTTTTGCCCTCTGTTTTCCCTTTCCAAAACGCCTGATAACATGCATTCTCAACTTTCACACAGCCCGCCCTGTAGTCTATGAAGTTGCAAACTTCACAATGAACTCAGCCAGCTTCTGTGCACCCTCCAGTGGGACCGAATTGTAGTTGCTGGCCCGGATGCCGCCCACACTCCTATGACCCTTGAGCCCAGTAAGGCCAAGGTCGGTGGACTGCTTGAGGAACGCCTTCTCCGCCTCGTCGATGTTGCCACCCTGTTATTGTCAGGTCAGATTTGGACACCACAAGACAGAACATTGCGCAAGGGTATGACTATAGCTCACCTTGGTGACACGGAAGCAGATGTTCATCCTTGAGCGGGCACTCTTGTCAGGGACAATCTTGTACACGTCAGGATGCGCCTCGAGCGCGGCGTAGATGAGCCCGGCCTTCTTGTTAGCAACAGCCTCTTGTCCATCGACCTTGTCGGGGAACGTGGCGAGGAGCTTCTTCAACACTGAGCCGGCGACGTAGACACTGCAAGCTGATCAGCATGCGGACCCACTACTCAATTGCTGGTTTGGTAAGAATACGTACTCGAATATGCTCAGAGTGTTGTACAAGCTGTTGTTCTTGGCGATGGTCTCGTAAGACAGCACAATGGGCCCAATGGGAAGACCGAGCTTCCGCAGCAGAGCCGGTGGCGGCTGGGGCGTCGTAGGGGGCAGGAGGGTCTTCTTGATGATAGCGACAGTGACACCGGTCGACCCAAGGTTCTTCTGTGCTCCAAAAAAGATCACAGAGAAGTTCTTGCCCGGGAACCTCCTCGACAGGATGTTGGAAGACATGTCAGCCACAACAATGGGGCCTGTGCCGTCGGCCTTGGGCGCCAGGATCTCGGGGAAGCTGGGCATCTCCACGCCGTCGACCGTCTCGTTGTCGCAGTAGTACACCATGGCGGCGTCGGGAGACAGCTTCCATGTGCTCTGGTCCGGGACCTTGCCGAACTTGCCATCGTTGATCGTCCTCGCGTCGCAGACCAAGTTGACATGCTCAGGGCCCAGCAGCCTCTGGGCCTCCTGGTAGGCCTTGAGCGACCAGCTGCCCGTGACGATGTAGTCCAGCTTCAGGCCGCCGACCGCCTTGGCCAGCTCCTTCTCCAGCAGCTCGGGCTCGTACTCACCCTCGGCCAGGTGGTTTGCCTTCAGAAGCTCGGCCTTCTTGCGGGAGACCCAGGCTCCGACCATGTTGTACACGGTGGCGGAGAACTCGCCGCTGCCGCCGCCCTGCATGAAGACGATCTCATAGTCGTCGGCGGGCAGGTCGAGGTAGGTGGCCAGGTCGGCCTTGGCGTTGTTGATGATGTCGGTGGCAAGCTGGGAGCGGTGCGAGTGCTCAGCGATGCCCAAGCCGGTGCCATTGTAATTGAGCAGTGCCTTTGAGGCTTGCTCGAGGACATCGGTGGGCAGCAGCGCGGGGCCGGCCCCGAAGTAGGTGATCTCGTCGCGGCTGGGCATCTTGAGGCTCCAATTGCTAACTTGTTCGGCAAGACTGGAGTTGTGATGAATTTGGAACAGTCAAATTATGTCACAGCCGCAGGACAACAAGAGAAGCTCGAGGGCGTGCACCTGGTTGAATATCTAAGGCGAGAGTACAGCTCAAGTTGAGTCATTCGTTAAAGAAAGCTATTAGACACTGGAGGACCCTGACGGTCGGAAAACATCCCACCAATTCCCCCCACATTACGTACTTTGTTACATCCTAGTGGCCCGTCTGTCGAACGTCACCACCCATCACTGACCACCAGCTACGGAACTTCGATGCTGTGATTTACATGTACGAGGCGAGCACGTTCGTTGATATTCTGCAGTGTGATCCATATTCCAAATATCCCTCACCAGTATGTTTTTCAAATATCGATGGCCGAGGATGCCTCTCAGTGCCAAGCAATGCACATCTTTTCAGCAACGTCCGGCCTCGGCCGCCGACTTTTACCCAACACCCCCTTCGTTTCGTCGGTGGCCGTCCTAATGGGCCCAGCACAACATGTCAAGAACAAGCAAATGAGTCCACCTGTCGGACTGAAGCACCTGCCACTCCAGCAGCTTCCCCACCCCTTCAAGCTCTACACCCGGAGTCTTTGCCTAGAATGGGGTTCGAAGATGGCAGGTTATTTGACAAATACCCGTCCCATGTCACCATTGGATCAGGAAGGTGACAATGGGCACATATGTACTCTGTTGATTAGTCCGCACATCCAGTAAACTTAGGAAGACGGGTCTGAGAAACGAGCACACGTCAGACTGAACCAGCCGCATGACCGCGGTTCGTCAAGCGTGATATGGGGTTTGATCTCGCGTCTTGTTGTGGTCTCAGTGCCATGGTAAGTAAGGCAGAAAGACGTATCGTATCTGAACGCTGGGGTCGTCGTGCTGCTGCATGGCCGTCCCGTCATGACTGGGTTGTCATTTAGGGCTGGCGAGCTTGGAGAGAAGGGTATCATTTCTATATATTGGTTGTATATATTGTATATGCATGTTGTACAGCTGATATACCACGACTTTGCGTAGGCGATAGCATCGCGAAGTTGACTGTGTTGTAAGTGGCACCCTCGCTAATCGTCACAGTATTCACGAGGATGTGTCTCCGCCACTGACATTCATATCCTCGACTTTCCACTCACCATCAACCCAGGCCTGCTTCTCGCCTAGGAAGACCGCCCTCTCGGCTTGCTTATCGAGGGCCTCCACAACATATTTCTGCGCCACATCACGCACCTGCTCCTTGGTGACATCTAGAAGCTGCTCTCTCTTGCGCTGCTTCATCTCCTCGTCGACGCCATAGAGGAAGCGACCCATGCCCTCCTCGTTCACAGAGACAGGTGCGTCGACAGATTGGAAGACACTGATCTTGGCGTCTTCTAGATCGCGGTCGCTCCACTTTTTGTCGACTGCCCACCGCCCAGCGTTGCGCATAATGCCTAGAGTGTTTACAGGATTCGGGTCGCGGTACGAGTAAAAACCGAACAGGCCCTCCATTGACCGATGGTATGCACCTCCACCATACGCACCACCTTTCTCCCGGATTTCATGGTGAAGGTGCTTGTGTGTGAGGAGCTGCGAGAGTATCTGCAGCGGCGCTCCATCGGCAGACGTATAGGACACTGTAGGGACAGCTAGGGCACCGTAATAGACCTGGTAAGGCAGAGGGTAGAACGTCTTGATGTTGCGTTCGAACTTTCTTGGTCCTTGTGCTGGGAGGTTGGCTGAGCTAGAGAATGATTTGACAAAATCTGAGAAGGCAGCTGAATTGGCCTTGACGGACTCACTCCCGCAAGTGATGGCTGCACGGATGCTGCCGCCCGTCATGGCTAGTTGCTGGATCTGCTTGAGCTTTGCGATGATATCCTCCAGCTGGTCAGACTCTGGCCTGCTCGCAAGCGAGGTGATCAATTTGACTTGAGACAAGCCACCGATCTGCTCGGAAAAATAAGACTGGTTGGTCAAACCAGCCTCGGCGGCCCGTCGTGCGTATGAATGACCAGACGAGGCAATGTCGTTCACCACGCCGTCAGCCGATGCCTGGATGAGTTGCCGGATCTGCTGAACAGCTTCAGGGCTGTCAAAATTCGTCTCGACGACTAGTTTGTGGAGGATTTCGAACATATGAGGCACGTTCCGATCAAGAGCCATGCCCGTGAAACCAAAGCCCTCGGAGGCTCGAGTGAAATCGGTCGCTGACGAGGCCGAATGGTAGCTGACAGACACACCACCTGTTTTCAGCTTCATTAGATCCTCTAGCTGCTCCATGGATGTGTCTTTGGTACCAAGGCGCATAATTGAGCCTGTGAACAATGGCAGGAGCAGCCTTAGCTCGTCCGGGAGATTGTCTAGTGCAGTGACCAGACGGAAGTATGTCAGGCCGTTTGTCGGCGCCTCGTACCATTGAGTCTTGACACCATTGACTGCATCATCCCTCAAAGTTGGGCCTGCCTTCCGCCTCGGAATATCCTGCACGTGCACACTGGGTAGGCAACTGAGGTCCTCGGTGTTGGTCTTGTTCTGCTCAGTGAGCAATTGCACCTCCTGTTCTTCGAGTTGTCTCTGGGCAGCCTCCTTCCCGCCAGCTTGCTTCGTTACAGCTTCAATCTTGGTGGCGAGACGATCAGCCTCCTCCTGAACCAGGTCTTGCCCAAAGTTGGGTGAAGGGGTCATCGTAAACGTCAATGTGTTGTCGTTCAGAAGGTATTTATCCATCAAGCCCTCTAGATAACCACCTTTGCCCAACTCTGCCTCAAACGCCGCAAGAGTGTCGTTCCAGGCCAGAGAATCGAACGGGTCAATGCCATTGAACCAGGTTGGCTTCAATCTGTGCAACATTGACATGCCAAATTTGGCTGTTTTGTGCTTGAGTCCGAGTTCGAGCTGGTGTAGGTAGCCATCAATTTTGGACCTCTCGAAACCCTTGTCCCGAACCTCGCGCAAGGTGTTCTGCAGCGTGGACTTGACCGCAGGAACATCTGTCTCCTGTACACCGCTCAAGCCAACTGAGAAGATGCCACGAGAATTGGAGCTATCGTAGCCAGTGTTTGGTGACCAGTCGAGTCCCAGCCCTGACTCGATCAGGGCCTTGTAAAGGGGGGACCCATATCCGTCCGTGAGCAATGCAGAGAGTAGAGAGAGTGAGAACGACTCCACGACGTCCGTTGTTTCGCCTAGTACCCAGGATACTGAGGTTTTGAACTGCCTGTTCGCGTCCATTAAGGGGTCGACTGGACCTTGCACTGTGATCTCTTTGGGACCACCAGCGAGGTCAATGGGTCGGTGAATCTTCAAGTCGCCTTGTATCCTCTCAAATGCACTGAGTTGGGCGTCGATCTCCTTCAGATGGTCTCCCAGAGGCATATCGCCGTAGGTGAATAGCTTGGCATTGCTGGGGTGATAATGCTCGTCGTGGAACTGCTTCAGCTGTTCATAGGTCAGGTCGGTGATCTTCTGCGGGTCACCACCGGAGTTGTTAATGTCCGGAAAGATGTGGTCCTGAAACCTGATGTAGTATAGGTAGCCAGCATCAGACATCTGTCCCTTCATCTCGTTGTAGACGACCCCCTTGAAAACCAGCTTACGGTCCTCAGGCTTGGCCTCCTCACCGCTAGCGATGGCTTGAGGGTTCTCTGGACCTATCCTCCATCCTTCCTGGGTGAAGTCGGTCTGCTTGAGCAGTGGATGAAGGGTCGCGTCAAGATAGACGCCCATCAAGTTCTGAAAGTCCTGGGCGTTGGTGGTGGCGAAGGGGTAGAAGGTGTGATCCGATGCAGTGAAGGCATTCATGAAGTTGGACAGAGTGCGCGGCAACATCTTGAAGAATGGATCTCGGATGGGATATCTGTAAGCTTGTCAGTTCTCGAGATCTTATACGAACTAGGTGGGCGATGCCTTGTTCTCACTTCTCACTGCCACATAGCGTGGTGTGCTCCAGGATGTGCGGTACGCCGGTGTCATCCGGGGGGTTGGTCTTGAAGCCGATGGAGAAGACATTGTTGCTGTCGTCACGGGCAATGTGAAGATGTTCGGCGCCGGTCTTGTCATGCTGCAGGTGCAGGGCCGTCAACTCGAGCTCGGGCACATGCTTGGTGCGCAGCAACGTAAAGCCGTGAAGCTTCTCGCCTGCTTTGGGATAGTTAGAAAGCTCCGTCACGGCTCTCTTAGCTCCGTTGACAGCGGCATGGCGCAAGGCTCTTGTCCTCTGCATCTCGCGAGTGATTCGTGAGATTCGCCAGCTTACTGGAGACGAGGGACAGGGCGGGGGAGGGCTTGGTCCACAGAGAAGTGAGACGTTCCTCCTGCTTCGTATGCGATGGAGGTTGGAAGCGTCAGGGTATTTTCGCGAAACCGTTCGATCCGTGACGGAATGGCGTTTGGAAATTTTAAGCCGTGCAGACAGCAGTCTGAGTAAAACGCGTACCTACGGCCGAGGTACAGGTAGCTACGTACCTAGTGACGTGTGGCATCTGGGCAAGAGCCACTAACAGAGCCCCGGCGGATTTTAGCGGAGTTCTGTTCAAGAACCTTTTTGGGCAGTGCTGGCGGCAGGCCGGCGCTTCCGCCTGCTTGGGTACGGTACGGTACGGTACGGAGGAAGGAAACGGGCCATCGGGCTCCGAGGCCGTGCTGTAAATGTAGACCAGCGTGCCTGTGTCGAGCTCCAGAAGCTGGCCAGACTGCCAGACAGCCCTGCCCAGGTGGAGAGACCCCAGGCCAGTGTTGCACTCGCTCTGCCTGCTCAGGTACAGACCTCGTGAATCATTCCTTACACTTTACGGCAACGAGTAGTTTCAGTCTGCTCATTGATCCATGAATAAACACATGGCCGAGCAGACACCTCATGAGGCACCTTGTCTCGCTTTTTGGTTGCCTAATGCCTTCTAAAGAAACGGGGAAAAAAGCCAAATATATCTCAAACCAGACTGCCAGGCTGGGAGAGACATGTACGTGCTGTAGACTGGGGGCTGCCCCTGCCAGCTCCCCCGGTTGACGTAGAGCATTCGATCATGGGTATGGAGCACGCTGTGCTGTGCTGCAGCGCAGTGCACTGCGCTGCACCAAGCACCCAGTCCGTGCCCCGTCGCTAGTCTCTGCGACCCCATCGACGCTGACCAACCTCAACCTCAATTTACAAACCGAAAAAATCAACACACATGACCACGACGAGAAGCACCGCAATCAGACCGAACAGCACCGGGAAGCCACCCCGTTGACCGACACGCTCTGCCAATGACCAACTAAGCATTTACTTCGAACAACGTAGCTCAATCCCGACCTTGCTGTAGCGCCAAGGGCACCCAGAGCCTGGGGTCTCTCCGACCTCTGCACAATGGCATCCACGGCGCCCCTCGCACCTCGAGCAAATGTCCCGATCGGCCATGCCCACGACGAATCGCCCGCTATTAACGGAAATCACGTCCACAATGACCCTCGCCCCCCGCCCGCGCCCCCGGCTGCCGCCACGCCCAGCAAGAAAGACCGCAAGGCGAAGAAGGCGTTGGACTCGAACGAAGCCTCCAAACTCGTAGCACAGCGCATATCGCAACTCGAACACGATGCTGCCGGCGAGAAGGACCAGGAGGCTGAGATTGGTGCGTGTTAATTTCCCCGTTTACGACGTCACGAGGGTTGGAAATGAGTGGATCCGAGGAGCAGTGAGGCACGCGGACTATGGTGGGGGAAGCTGTCATGATGGTATTTGGCGCCAGCCCACTCGGTCCTGCGGGCCAGCCTTGCCCCTCGAGATTGGAGCATCCGCCTGCTGTCGGACAGTCACGATGTTCCTGGCGCATAGCGAGGGAGGAAAACGGATCAGCGGCCTCGGACTATCCGTGCCATACGTGGATAATTTTGCTAATGTACGGACATCGCAGAGCGGGAGGTGCGCAAGGCGAATCGTGAGCTTCAGTCCCAAACCGCCAAGATGAGCGATATTCAAAAAATCGATCACCTTCAGAAACGGTGCTACGATCTTCTGTCCGAGATGAAGCGTCACGAACGTGAGAGTATCAAGAACAAGAAGCGGGCCGACCAACTGCAAAAGGAGAAGGACCATGCCAGGAATGAGCTCACCAAGAACACCGGACTTCGAGAGAAGCTGGAAAAGCTCTGCCGAGAACTTCAAAAGGAAAACAATAAGCTCAAGGTATCTACTACAGGATAGCTCAAGCGCAGCACTTGGCGGGGGGCTACGCTGACATTTCTGGCTAGAATGAGAACAAGACGCTTTCCGATACTCAGCGGCGCAATGAAACGGCTTGGGACGAGAAATACAGCGCTCTATTACAGACGCTGGACGACTACCAAGAAGAAAAGGACAACCCGCGGAAGCAAGTTGTGGACATGGACCTGGAAGAGCTGTGCGTGCATCCCATCCTAGCGATTTTGGATCGTGTCTCATGTTTTGCAGATTCAAGTCTCGGTTCAAGAGTCTCATTGACCAGTACGAGCTACGCGAATTGCATTTCCACTCGCTCATGCGGACCAAAGAGCTTGAGTTACAATTCAATCTGTCCAAGTACGACAAGGAGAAGAAGAACGCGGAGGCGGAGGCAGCGAGGGCTCGGCAACTCAACGCGCAGGTACAGACCTTCTCCAAAACCGAGGCTGAGCTGAGAAACCAGCTCAACGTATACGTCGACAAGTTCAAGCAGGTGGAGGACACACTTAATAACAGCAACGATCTCTTCCTGACGTTCCGAAAGGAAATGGAGGACATGTCGAAGAAAACGAAGCGCCTCGAGAAGGAGAACGAAAACCTGAAGCGGAAGCACGAGAAGATGAATCAGAACATCTTCAAAATGGCAGATGAGCGAAACAAGCACATCAAAGACATCGAGGACCAGAAGAAAAACAACGAAAAGCTCAAGAGCATCATCACGCAGATGCAGCAGCAAGGGAGGGGCATACCGCAAGGGATGCAAGGCACGGTCGAGAGCTGTTATGCGGAGGGCGAGGGCGAGGTGGATGGCGAGGAGAGCGAGTACGAGGACGACGAGGAGTACGAGGAAGGTGACGAGGTCAGTGAAGAGGGCGAGGAGGACTACGAAGAGGATGACGAGGAGACCGAGGACGAAGGACCGCAGTGCACGAAACCGGTTGAGTCGCAGCAACCTCAACCATTCGGTCCCGAGCGCCCTCCTCCTCCGGCGACGACTAACGGAAGTAATCACTAGGAGGACCATTCCGCCTCGCTGTGCTGTTTTCCGAACCTCTTCCGTTTTTGCTTGCGACGGCGTTGAGCCTGCCCGTCCCGGATGCCCATCCTATGTTTAAAGCTGGAGCGCCCGCCTGTTCGTGCAAATCGGTGGTTTGCGTGCGTATTTGTGAGTCCTGCTTGCCGGTCCCTCACGGTGGGTCGAGTGGCCCACGTCAAACATTGTCCCCGCAAGCAGGATGTGCTTCTAGACGTCAGGTTATCACCATGTATGTGTACAGGAACAGGTCTATCGTGGCCTTGAGAAGTTTACTACAGCCGGCTTCCCATGTTGCATAGGACAACAGGAAGTCAACTGGCCAGCTTTGAGCGTTGTAGGATAGATAGCCATTCGATGAGACAACAACGTTGGCAACAGCGCTGACAATAGCGTTGTTTACGTTAACCCTTGTCTTCCTCTTCTTAACTGGAATAATGCGGGCCTGGAGACTGGGGCTCGGAAGACAAGCTCGGCGCAAGCGATTGCGGGCGCTCCCATGATTATCCTCGCGCCGGGTCGACCAAGGTACATTCCTGAGCCCATGTCGATCCTGGCCACCTCGGCGCCCTTTCAAGATCTCAATGACTCGGTAAAATCAGTTTGGGCATAAAGTAGGTGAGGGGTTCCAAGGTTGCAATCCGTCGTTTATGTTGTCAGCCTCATCCTCCCCTCAGCCGTTGGTGCACTTGTCAGCCACACAGGATGATAAGTCCACAGCACCAACGCAGTATAATGAAGTGATCCACAACGGTAGACGAGGTGCTTCCCCGCTGGAAGGGCTCGCATGTGGCACCATGCATTGGGGGCCCTGCATGCTGGCCAAGGATGCCTGTCATCTGGTCCCGCTCCAACTTAGGGAAATGGTGAGCAGCCACCAGCCCGCGACCCTGTGCCTGATGGTGAGACTGAAACAATAGACGTGTATGCCGTCCCGTCTCGGTCCATTTCCTGTCGATTTCCCTCCACTTTTTGACATTGCAAAAGCTTCATTCTCCTGGTTTGAGCTGCCTCTCGAGCACAACCGATAGAGGCTAATTAGTTCACAACAATCCCCGACTGTTTCTTCTTCCTAGCGCCGTGCCATGACCGTCTCGTTTCGACGCTAGCACAATACGTCATTGTCTATCACACGGTCAAGCGGGCTGGGCCGTTTCAATCCATGTCGTCCGTCCACTTACTGTATTGACTCTCACCATCCCCAACCTTTGCGACCCAGCGCCTGAGACAATCGTCAAGGCCCGGGTTCGCCCTCCGACCCAGCTGTCGTGACTGTCACACACGTACGCATAATACACGGGCCTTTCCCCTCGCAGGGGACACGGACGCCGCTTACCCTTGCGAACTGACAAATCCACGCGATACTGCTGCTTCAAGCAGCCTCTCTCTACATCTCTCCTCCGCATCTTTCCTTGACGAACTGTTGCTCCTTACCGTCGAGCCGCCATGGCTTTCCTCGAGGACCCCCGTCTCCGCCAGCGCTGGAATCAGATCTCTCACAATGCCGAAACAGTCACCGAGACCGCTGCTGAGGGCATCTGGACCTTCCAGCACCGCTACATCAATCCCTGTCTTGGCGCAGTCGGCAACACCATCGAGTCGTGCGCCGCGCCTTGTCTCGGCGACCGCGAGGACCGCGCACGGCGCGCACGAGCACGAGGGCGCGACCACGGCGCCAGGGCCGAGTACACGTTTGATTTCTACGACGACTGGGACGACGATGACGAGGCACTAGCAAGAGGAGGAGGAGGAAGCGGGATCCTAGGCGGCTGGGCCGGCGGGGGGAGTTCCAGGGGCGATGATTGGGATCGCCTAATCGGCGGCACCAGCGCAGCCTCCAGGAAGGGCAGTCTCGGGCCAGAGGTGGTGGATCAACCACGGCGCAAGAGGGGAATGAGTTACGGGACAAGAGGCGCCAGGAGGAAAACCAACGACGAGGAGGACCCGACGATTATACCCAGCACTGCGCCCCTCGGGTTCCTGGGGAGACTTCCATGGAAGATCGGAGGCACACTACGATATAAGCCCAGCGCGGCATTCTTGCAAGACCACCCAGGGGCCGCAACGCATCCGGACGAGAACCAGCCGTTGCTGGACTCCGACGGTGATGAGGACATCCATCCTGTGGTGACTGCACAAATGAGGAAACGAAGTGGGACGGCAGGCTCCGGCGACACGTCGGATTCGTATAGGTCCAGAGGAGACCTATTTCCCAGTGATGGCGAAGGGGAGGAAGACGCGATCCCGCTCGACGACGAGTTTGCGATGAACCTGAATAGGGTGGACGACCGAGCCAGCAACAGGACAAGGAGTAGCAAGGGCAAGAGGCCAGCATCAAGAAACGTTTCCGGGACGACACTATCGTCCAGCACATCAAACTCTTCGCTCAGAGCTAGGAAGAGCTCACACGGCTCCATGCAGACTATGGAGAACTCGATCCACTCCATCGTCGAGGCGTCATTAGAGGATCTTCAACGCGAAGAGGAGGAAGCTGAGATGCAAGAGGACCAAGAAGTTGCCCGCAAGAGGGAATTGGCGGCACAGCTGGCCCGACAGCGAGGGCTATCAGCGAGCGAGACCTTCGACACCGGCGAGTCGGAGGCCCGGGCCAAGAGCTCGATTCTTCACGTGGAGGAGATACCGGAACCGCAAAGCCCGCGGGCAACGCAGGGTACCGAACAGGATCCTGAAGAGACGGAGCCTGGTGCACCACCAGGGGCACAAGACATGCGAGGCCGATCGCACGACACAACACCGGATGAAAGCCTGGCCCAGCAAGGAGGCCGGGCCGCTGATGATTTCGTGCCTGCGCGACTACCAAGTTTTCGGTGAAATCTTTCCATTTTCCGCCCTTGAAGCGTCGGGCGTTTAGGGTTGCGGTTCATACTTTTCTTTTTGGCTAAGGCTGCATCGTTATGGGCGTCTCGGAGAGACGTTTGATGAGGCGATTGATCAATGACATTCTAAGATATCCTACTTTTGGGCAGCCGGCGTGCTAGAGGTACCACCATAGATCGGCGTGTAATTCATACGAGACTAATAGATAAATTTTCTCCGGACGAGGCCATTGATTGTTTCAACTCATGCGAGAAGGATGGAAAAGAGACAGAGAAGCTCAGGGTCAGAGGAATGTGAGTTTCGAGCCGGCTTTACTCAGTGAAACCTAATCTAGCTCCGTGCGTCATTCGAGGTCTGCAATCAACTTAGGTGATAGTCATAGTGTCCGTCCGTCGAAGCTCCCAATGTTGGTTTAGGCGCTAGAGATTCTTTATTCTCAAATCCCCTCATGACCGAACGCCTGCTTTAGATTGAGTAATAGTTTGGCTGCATGATGAATCTCAGCACAGGTATTTCTCCAGCTTTTCATCTGCCCTGAAGTCATGATTTTAGTTTTCCGGTGTGACACCGGTGTCTCAGCTCCCAGAACCTCACCATAATATTATTGCTCCTTCCTGGTGAGACTCCATAATGCCATGGCAAGGCCCCACTCGAAGATTGGAGCCTATGCCCGCTTCAGAGCGGCACAGGCGTACGGCCGCATGGTTGAAGTCGCGAAAGTCTGGCAGCTTCCGTCTCATCTGGGCGTCATAGTCGCCGTGATAAGAAAATACGCCCTTCAAGCTGAAGCACCGAGCCCGCAAGCACAGCCTGTCGTGTTCTCTCTGCAGGACCTCGAGTTGTACACAATTCGTGCTCTCGAAGAAAAGGTCCCCGGTCGCGAGATAAAAGGCGTCATTGAGCAAGTTATGAAGGAGGGCCTTTCAGTGAGCTCGGAGGACCGCAACAAAAGGATAGAAGAGCTTGTACAATGTAGGTCAATCCCTCCCGTCTTCATTTGGAGACAGAATATTTCGACTGTGAACACTGACAAACGAGCTTCTGAACAGCCGGAATGGGCGTACAGGCTGCTATTTACATATACCTCGCAGTGAAGTGCGATCCTAAACCAATTCGCCTGCTTCACACAATACTAGGAGAGAACCAAATTCCTCAGGTATTTTCCTATTCCAAATCATTTTGACTCTTTTCAGGGCTCATACTATGACCGCTTTCTTGTTTTAATCATATGAATATCTAGTCGGTGGCGCGCACGGTCGCGATTCTTTATAACGCAAGCTTCGAACCTGGTGGTTGAGAACCAAAGCTATTGAGAAAACCACCTTTTCGAATTCAAAAGCTAAGGAGTTACCCGCAAAAGTCTTGCCTTGTTTTGGGGGGGGGGGGCATTACGTGTAACATTAACAAATACATTTAGCTACGGTGACTAAGTCCATAGCGGGATACATAGCCTTTGGCGATTGATGATTCACTGAGAATTAAATTATTTTTGGTTGATCACACAAGGTCTAAGATGATAGAAGCCACCCTCTGGAAAGAGAGAACGACATTATTGGTGTCTCCTGTACATTCAGCGGCAAGAAAGCCGAGTAGTATTCCAAAATAGAAAACTACCAATAGAACATATAGGTATTCTAAAATTGCTGTAGCGAAGACAGAGAATTATGTGGGAACAACCAAGTTAAACACTGACCTAGGTTAAGTTTGAACCAAGCCCATGCCTCCAGTAAAAGCACGTAAGGGACCTGATGCTACCGAAGCCCATCTTTGCAAAACGGTGCGCCGTCGATGGCTTAAAAGCAATGGCCCTGTTTTGCCGCACTTGCGACTTGTCTCAGTGAAATTTTGTATGCCTGAGGGCCTTGCTGCTCATCATTCTGCGCTGGACTTAGCACAATAAGTTTTTCATAGCTGCAATTTGATACTCTCCGACTCGTAGCAGTCGCACAAAATCTGGCGGGAATCCAGTGAAAACGTTGCTTGTCCCCAACGAACTCAACATCACCTGGGCACCGTGTGGAACCTCAAAACTGCCTCCTTATCATTTCCAAATCACGCCCAAAGCTTCTCATCCAGATTCAGTTCCTGTGTCAAGCAACGCAGACAAAGGCCCCGAGAATGGAAGCGGAAAGATCTTCCCAAAAGGCCTCCCTACCCTTCCGCCCACTGATCACAAAAGCCCTGTGCCGGGCTTCCAATAAACGGAAAGACGCAGCTCCCCAAGCCGCTCCGCCCGAAGGAGTCGCACAGGGTGGAATAGATGAGGCACCAGCGACGCAATTCCCCCGCTTCCCAGAGCTCCCCACCGAGCTCAGACTCCAGATCTGGACGGAGGCCACCAAGTACAAGCGATATGTCCTCCTCACCCCGCCTTGCAACAGCGCTGCTAGCTCTATCAGCCTCGTCTTCAGGATGTGTATATACCAGCAGACGGGCTACAAGGGCGAGCGCCGGCCGGCATGGACTTCAACGACGCCTCCCCCGACCCTGCTGTCTGTGAGCAGCGAGGCGCGTGAGGTCGCGCTCAGGTGCTGGAAGCGAGCCTTTGCTTTCCGAACATGCCCAGCTTCGGTGGTGAGCACAACCACATTCCAATATTTTTGTCTTTCGGCGTGCTTGGGCGGTCTCGGGCCGACAAATATGGGATACCAGAGCCTTGTTTTTTCAATGCTCACAGAAAATAAAGATGACTGACGCAGTGTATTGCAGTACATAAATTTCGACCAAGACGACATTGTGGTAGGACCTGGTGCGCGTGTGAACAAGATCGGCGCAGACACTATCCCTAGGTGGCTGCGACGTTTGAGTGGGATCTTTGACGGCACGATGGTGGACATTTGGGCACGCACTCCGGATGTAGACAAGATCCAGAGGATTGTGGCGTGTGGGAATTTCGTACGGCTTTCTCCAGCCCCCCCCCCCCACCCAAACCCCCAAAAGAATCGGTTGCTTTCGACCGCTCCTACCTAGGGGCCCTTTCTTGTACTTGATGAGATGATAGCTAACATCTGGAATTTGCACAGATGAAAGGGATGAACAGGATCAGGAATACACGTAATTTCATGGCGGGACTGAAAACTCTCACCAACATCAGGATCGGCTATCATAAAATACCCGTGGACTTCAACGACCTTGACAAGCTTCCCAACGCCATCAGGCAGTGGCCTAAGGGAACGCCCCTCTTATCACTTGGTGGCACTGTCTTGGTGAAGTCTTCAAGCCATCGCCCCTCGATGTCTCTGGCGTTCGCCGGGCTTGAGGTGATAGACTTCGTTGGTGGTTACTCCTTGGCTGAGATCGAACCGTCTTTCACCATGGGGCCAATGGCGCTGCCGTGGGGGTTGATGCAGGACCAGGCGAACCTGCCTAGTCACCTGAGCCGACGGATCTTTGTGCGGAGGGCGAGGTGGCTTTGTTACACAGTTCCCGGGGCGGACATATTCTGGGCATAATGTCAGGCAGGTAGGTCTTAGACGCCTGACAGGGGATACAATCATCCGTGACTCAAGTTCAATGCGTTGAGAAGTCACCGTATTATTGCATGTACGTTCGGACGGTTGACTTTCTAGCACATTTTACCCTCACTTTTGGTTGCTGGTACCAGAGGTAGAGAGAGCCGGTAATTTCGATTCCTGTTTTTACGCCGACCCGTTCATCATCGTTGGAGGAGACGAGCCTGCACATATTCAGAACACCAAGCTATAGCCTTGCATTTACCAGTCGCCTTGCTCATCCTGCCGCGGTTGTGGATTACTCCGTATCTCTCGTATCGTCTCCCTAGTCCTCGCATTATCTTCAAAGCTGAGATTTATCAAGTCCACGACCTCGTCCACCGTGAAGTAGAGGCTCAGCTCGCTTTCCATCCAGAGAAACCGTACGTCCCTGAGGTTCGACTGCAACACCTCACTAAGGTACTTGAGTCGCATCCAGGTCGGCGCGTACTGCGTCGTCTGTGGTACTTCCTCGCCCGCGTTTGGTAGGCGCTTCCCCGTGACACGGCTCGGGAGGAACAGGTCGTCGAGCTCAGTGACGGTTGCGATCAGCTTTGCGATATTATACGCGTCGTCTTGGCTGACAGAGGGCGCTTCCATCACGTCCGCGATGATCTTCAGCGAGATGGCGTCGACTAGCGAGCCCACGGCTTGGTACCACGCCGACCGGGCGAGGATGGTCTCCCAGGTCACGGCCATGGACCGCACGCGGGCTACAGTCGCGTCCACACAGCTATCGATGTCGTCCTGCTGGAGGAGGCTTTGTTCGCCGCCGAGGAGGTCCCTCAGGACTGTTTTTTGAATGCCCATCTCGTTGCCGTACGCACGAGCGGCAAAGCTCTGCAGTGTCTTGACATCGTTATCCAAACGCAGGGAGTTCTGGGCCCTTGTGCTCAAGCCATCACGTTTTTTCCATGCTGCAGCGAAATCGGCCAGCCTTTCCGCAAGGTAGTTCGCGTCATTATAGAGAAACCTAGGACGTCAGCGGATGCCACCGAAATGGGTGCCAGGAAAACATACATATTGCCGCCTATGTCTAGAGCATAATAGTATGGCCCAACGGCTCTGAACATTGCCAGAGCTAAGGTCGGCAGGCTGAATAAGCCTGCCGCTGCCGTGGCTACAGGACTGCTTTCGTTCCTGAAGGAAGTCAGCTCGGTAGGGTATAGGAGGGCTTGGGTCACTTACCCTGCTTGAGTCAACGTCGCACCGTCTTCCAGTATGGCGAATATTAGCTGAAGAACTGGCTCCGGCATGGATGAGATATTGTAGGTCTCCTTCAGCGTCATTTCTCTTTGACCCCGTGCATTTGGAGCAGATGAAGGTCGCCTGGCAGCGACTCGTTCTGGTTGCTCCTCCTGGGTGTCTTCATCGCCCCATCCCCAAGCCTCACCAGCGTCGTCGTCGTCGGCAGTGCTCCGCTGAGGCTGAGGCTGCGTTTCAGGGGCTTCTTGGGTTCCAGCTTCACCTTCTTCGCCCCATCCCCAGGCATCAGCTCCATCCTCCTCAGCTCCTGCAGCTGCTTCATTAGTATTTGCTTGCTCTGGCTGTTCGGTCGCCTCGCCTGGCTCGTCTCCTCCGTCGTCCCACGCAGCACCCCAGTCATCGTCGTCAGCCGCGGCTGCGGCCGCGGTGGCTGGAGCAGCTACAAGTCCTTGGCCCTCGGCGCGAGATACCATCTGCTTTTCGACCCTTTCGACCTGTTTCGGAGAGCCTAATCCTTCTGATAGACGAGTTCGGACTGTATCTAGCGCGGTCTCCCTGCATTTTGTAAGCCAGACTCTGGGCGCGTTCTCAACCCATTCTTGTAGCTCGTTGAAACCAGAAAATTTCAACTCCGCAAGCCGTGCGCAGAACCGCCTCGTGGTCGCCATGATCGTCTCGAATTTGTCCATTTCCTGTAAAGATGCTGGTACAGCCGAGTCCAACCACACTGTGATTACCCGAGACACGATCTCTGGCATCATCAAAGCAGATAATGACTCTATCAAGCCTTGAGGCAACCTTTCCGCAAAGTAAGAGAAGACCCGGTCCAGGTCCTGAAACAGCGAATCAATGGACTTGTCCGCCTGGCCCTCAGCCCGCAATATTTCCCCATCCACAGTGACTGCTGGCGTACCTGGATGGTCAATATCCATCCGAGGCCCAATAATAGCTTGGTCGATATCATGCCACAGCTGTGCCATCCGCTGATCGACCTCCTTGTAGGCTTGTAGGCCAATAACGGCGTCTGAAAGGCTCATGGCCTCATTCTCTGCTTTTGCAGAGAAGGATATAGTCTTCGCCGTAGTATCAACCTTCATCAGGGTCTTCCAGACATGGTCGAAGACGTCGTGCACGTTCGATTTAAGCTCGAAAGCACGCAGATCCAACAGTCTCCTTACTCTGACACCCTGCCCAGCCGGAAGTGCATCCAGAGCTACCCACGACCGCTCCAATAGATGGAGCGCATCAAGGATCCTTCGCTCGTCGCGCGCCCTCTCTACTTGATCAAGAATCTGGTTTACGTCTTTTATGCCCCTGAGAGCCTCCTGTACGCGCTGGTTGTATGCGATCTCGGCCTGGAGGAAGACGAACTTGTCTTCTGCCTCTTGTATCGCTGCGCCCGAGAGGACTGGCTCTTCGGCTTGGCGCACGATGTCGTTGGCGAGTCGCTTGGAGCGGTTGATGTCGTCTTGCACGGATTGGGCGTTGGCCATCCAAGAAGACACGTCAGGGGCTGTTTCCTCATTGATGGAATGGATCTCGGTCTAATCTCCTGGTTAGAGCGCAGGTCTATATAAGGGCCAGATACTATGAGGACATACCTCAAGCTTGGACTTGGCCTCGGCCAGAGCTTGGACGGCTGGGGATAGTTCCCCAGAGCTCAGCTTCAGGGACGAGACATCTTCCTCTGGAAATGCGCCGTTGGTTGTGAAATCGACAAGTGCCTGGCCGACGGCGCCTACGGGCTCGTTCGAGGTCATTGTCCAGGTGTGCCCAACTAAATGGTCGCAAATGCCGTCGCATGCAACGGGAGAGGGAGCTTCTGGGGTGGAAACGCCAGGTTGCAACAGTGATGCGCGGGCTGCAGCAGCCGGCGATTTGGCTGGAGGGGGTCCGTATCTTGTTGATCGATGGCTCCAGTAGACTATGAGACTTCCACGGTGCTTGTTTTATGGAACATGACAACAAGATCAACTGTGCAAGATTTTGGAGCTGGACAGCAACTCAGATCCACCGCACACTGACAGGTCAGATTGATGTCAACATTGGGAGGCAGAGCTCCCCTGCTAAGACGGGGCCAGGCTGGCGGGTCCGTGCTGAGCCTGGGACCGGACTGTGGGACGCAAAGTACCTCGGTACCCAGCCAAGCTCAGAGGTACCTAGATACCTCCAGCTTCACAGTAGACGATGTGGATTCCTTGAGTAACGTAGCGCCTAGCGCTTGTTGGACTTGCGACTGTACCCGCCGTTGATGACGCCCTAATAGCGGCGCTATCACTCACTCACTCACTTATCGGCGGATGTGGGGGGAAAAAATACCCCTCCAGTACTCCAATGTCGAGGAGCTCGGAATTGCACAAACGCTGTCATGGAGAGAACCCTGGTGGCTACTTAGCCGTGACTTACTCGACTACTCGACTCAACACCTCCTCCAATATCAATAACAAATGTCCGAATTTGCAACAGCCCACTGAACGGTCTTGTTTGCTTTTGGTCTACTCGTCCCCGTGCCTCTTATAACCCCGACTGTCAGCTTGGTCAGAGAGGGCACTACCAATTCTGACCGACTGCTCGGATATCGCATGGTCTGGCACCGACTTCTCAGCTGCTTTTCTCCTTTCCTTCTCCACATCCGAGACTTTCTGAACCACGTCTCATCATTGACTCTTTACTCTATAAGCTGCTCGCCAAACCCAGCTCTGCTCGCTCGCGACTTCACGATACACAAGTCTCGGCCCTCCTACAGCTGAATTCAGCACTTGCGCCCTCATCCTCGTCCTCGTTCTTCTTCCGCCCCAGTTTGGTGTCTTGGTAAGACGGCGACGACGACGTTACCAGGCGGGCTAACGAGCACGAGGGGAAACCGGTATGTAAGCGAGTCTTGTTTTTTGCATGTCCCAGACCGCCCTGTCACCAGCCTATCCCAGGATGAGCGGTGCCCAACTATCTTGTCTGTCCGTTGTCACCCTGCCCCAGAGCTGCTGTGTTGCACGACCTACGCCCCACAGCAACCGGTTGCGTTCTGTTGTCCCTGTCCTATCCGATTCGACACAGCAAGGCATCTACCTAGTTGTCCTACCACCAACCGCAGCCCAAGATTTGAATATCGTTGAGGGACTGCAAACTGCCATGGGCCCCAAGCCCTAGCAGGCAAACTTTGTCTGCAACACAAAAGTATCAGTCTATCTAGATGCGGATTGCTGCCGATTAGTCTCACCTTGAGTCTCTCTTCAATTCCGAGAGACTGCCAACGAGACTGGGCCGTTCACGCCATTTACTGTCCTCTTCTTATGTCATTTCGAAGCAGGTGTCTGATGCGAGCACACCGCGGACCCTGAGGAGACGCAGGCTTGTGTGCAGAGTTCTCGTAGTTCTTGGGAGATGTACTTCCCATTAGAAGCCGAGTTTCCGTCTACATATTACGCCATCCACTCTACATCTTCCTACGTCGGGCATCCCTTTTATGCAGCTCATTCCTTGTCACCTATCCGTTGTCCAGCACATAAAATGCTCACCATATGGGCTTCTCTGCCATGTGTTTTCTGCTACCTTCTGACACGATTGGCAGGGTAATAAAGCATATTTTTCGACCTTTGACCACCTACACAATGGCAGCTGTCCAGAAGTCACGCTTCCGAAAGGTGCAGAGCTTCAAGACTGACTATGCCCCCACCACTATAACTCAATATGAATCCGAGCGCAGCGGTATGCAGGTCATTGTGGCCGACCGAGAAGGGCCCAAAATCAACGGCTACTTCACCTTGGCCACTGAGATCTTTGATGATTCCGGAGCACCACACACCCTTGAGCATCTGGTCTTCATGGGTTCCAGGAGCTACCAGTACAAAGGGCTCCTTGATAAGCTAGCATCGAGGGCCTATTCTAGCACCAACGCATGGACTGCTGTTGACCACACAGCTTACACCCTAGAGACCGCAGGCTGGGAGGGCTTCGCTCAGATCCTGCCTGTCTATTTGGAGCACGTCATCCTTCCCAACATCACAGATGAAGCCTGTATCACTGAGGTTCATCACGTGGATGGGGAGGGAAACGACGCGGGTGTGGTCTATTCTGAGATGCAGGCTCTCCAGTATAGCATGACCGAGCTCATGGATCTCCGGGCGAGGCGGCTCCTGTATCCCGAGAACGTCGGTTTCCGATATGAGACTGGAGGCATGATGGAAGCCCTTCGTGCATTGACCCCGGCGCGGATTCGTGAATTCCACAAGGAAATGTACCAGCCTCGAAATCTGGCGGTCATCATTGTCGGAGAGACGGACCATGAGAACTTGCTGGAAATCCTTGACAAATTTGAAGAGAGCATCAAAGACGCCATTCCTCCACTGGATGCCCCATTCAGACGGTAAGCCGCGCTATGCTATTCATATAGGCTGTTGAGACTTCCTCAGTTCTAACTTAAGATACACAGGCCCTGGATAGACTCTCCACAGCCGCCACCCATAAAGGAGACCATCGTCGAGACGGTCGAGTTTCCTGAGGAAGATGAGTCGACAGGTGATATTGCCATTGCTTTCTTCGGTCCCAACTGTACCAACCTAATTGATACGTCTGCCTTGAACATCCTGATGACGTATCTTTGCGGCTCGTCGGTCTCGGTTCTAGAGAATGTTATGGTCGAGAAGGAGGAACTCGCCAGCTCCGTCTCCTACTGGTGGGACAGCAGGCCCAACACAACTATCTGGTTTCAGCCTACAGGCGTTGCAACTGAGAAGCTCGAATTTGTGGAAAAGAGGCTGCATGAGTTGCTGAAGGAGGTGGCATCAAAGCCACTTGATATGACTTATATGAAAGAGTGTATCAATCGAGAACAAAGACTCGTCAAGTTTCAGGCGGAAAGTTCTGAACAGTTCTACTCGAACAACATCATCACAGACTATCTTTTCGGCAAGCGGGACGGCTCAACCCTCCATGAGCTCCGCACTTTGAAGGAGTACGATGTCCTCGGTCAGTGGACTGAGAACCAGTGGCAGGCATTCCTCAGGAGATGGCTGGTTGATGTCCACCACATTTCCATGCTCGGCAAGCCTTCCATGGCTCTGGCGACCAAGTTGAAGCAGGCAGAAGAGGCTCGTGTTGCAAAGCGGAAAGAGGAGCTGGGACCCGAAGGACTCAAGAAGCTAGCTGAGAAGGTTGAAGCAGCCAAGGCCAAAAACGACGTCGTAATCCCTGGATCCTTCATCGACCAGTGGCCTGTTCCAGGCACTGAGTCCATCCACTTCATTGAATCGAGCACTGCGAGATCTGGAAAGGCAAAAGGTGTCGGCCTGAGCGACAATGCTGCTCAAAAGGCGATTGATGCTGCCAAGCCAGGATTGCCACTTTTCATTCAATTTGAAGACGTGCCGAGCAACTTTGTCAATATCTCTGTTCATATTGGGACGTCACAGGTGCCAGTGGAGCTCAAGCCACTTCTTTCCATTTTCATTGACAATTTCTTCAACACTCCGATCAACCGCGATGGCAAGTTGGTCGACTTTGAAGATGTCGTCATGGAGCTTGAGAAGGACACGATCAGCTACACTCTCAATGGTGGCGGAAAGATCTACGACCCCGAGAGCATGCTGATTAGTTTCCAGCTTGAGCCGCAGAAATATTCGACCATCATCGAATGGATCCGAACCCTTATGTTTGACAGCGTCTTCGACATTAGGAGAATTAAGGCGTGTATCTCTAAGGCACTGGCGGATATTCCAGAGGCAAAACGAGACGGAAGGGCCATGTCTCTTGAAGTCGATTGGGCGGTGCACATAAGAAAAGAGTGGTACCCCATGACGAAGAGAACACTGGTCAGAGCTGTCTACCTGCGCCGACTGAAGAAGCTGCTCCAAAATGAACCTCAAAAGGTCTTGGACATGTTCGAGCAGCTTCGCAAGATCCTCTTTTCGTTCAACAACGTCCGAGTCCTGGTCATTTCCGATATCGCGAAGCTCAACGAACCCGTTCAGTCCTGGGACGTCCTTACCAAGTCCTTTGGTAGCGATGACACAGCCAAGGATCTGCTGCCTATCATCAAGACGCATACCATGCTCAATGCCGAAGGTCAGGCACCGGGCAACACCGGCACCGTGATCATCCCCATGACCACTCTCGACACGTCCTACAGTGTCAGCACCACCAAGGGACTCACCTCATACGAGGATCCCCGTATTCCTGCCATGCTTGTCGCCATCGGCTACCTAGAGGCGGTCGAGGGGCCCCTTTGGAACGCGGTCCGTGGTAGCGGGCTCGCCTACGGTACGCACTTTAGCCGGGAGATGGACTGGGGCTTCCTGCAGTACCGCGTCTACCGCTCGCCTGACTCCAGCAAGGCCATCGATATCTCGAGGGAGACGGTCGCAAAGATCGCCTCAGGCGAAGTCCCGCTGGACAAGCATCTCGTCGAGGGCGCGGTCAGCAGCATCGTGTCCAGCTTTGCGGACGAGCAGGCCACCATGTCGTACGCGGCGCAGCAGAATTACATCCTGGGCGTGGTTAGAGGCCTTGACCCGGCATGGACCAAGAACATACTGGCGCAGGTGCGCAACGTGACGGGCAAGGAGATCAAGGAGGTCATGAGCGAGCTGATCCTGCCTGTGTTCCAGCCTGGCAAGAGCAACATTGTCGTGACTTGTGCGCCAATAATGCAGGAGGTACGTTCCCGACCCCCCTCCGTAACTATGGGGACGAGACCATCTCGCCGCTGTTTGATAGAAGCGCATGCTAACATGACCCTCAGAACATGGACAAGGCCTTCAAGAAAATGGGATACAAGACCCAAGTCCGATCTCTCTCAGACTTCTACGACGCCTACGGTCTGGAAGGAGATGATGAGGATGGCAAGGAGGATTCTGAAGATGACGAGGAAGAGGAGGATTCCGACGAAGACGAGGACATGTCTGAGGATGACTCTGGCTCTGAGGACGAGGAGTGAACCGCTGGCCGCGATCTAAACCCCGGATACAAGAAGAGAACTTCTCAAGAAGAGCTCTGCCCAATCTTACAACCGAGACGTGGTACATAGAAATCGCTATAGACTTGAAGAGTGGGAAGGACTGCCTGAAGGAGGGTAAGTTATCTTTTGTCACACGTCTGACAACTCCAACGAACCCATCTTGGCTATCAATATACCCTACTTCTGTACTGAGTATGCTGTATTCGATGCTCCGCTCTTCTGACTTCCCACCGCTAAGTATTGCCTAACTCCCCCATCACTAGCATGCCAATGGTCAGCCGCATCTAGGTGGCTTCTGAACGGCTCGTATTCCGTAGCCTGGGGTGGACTGCCCACGATCAACGGCGTGGCGTCTTTAGGGGAGTCGGGGACCGCGAAGTGGCTCCCAAAAGCATATCCCGTCCACACCGTGTGCATATCCCATCAAAATCGTCCAGACCGAGCGAACGCCACGTCCCTTCTGGAGAAGGCTGGGGGAGCTCAGGAGCTAGAAGGATGTGAAACGATGCTAGACGGCGCATCCCCTTCTGGCACCTACGATCTGCGAGCCGGTGCATTATGCCAACAGCCACCACCCGCATTTCGGGCCAAGATGCGATTTGCGCAGGCTCCTGTGACAGGAGGACCCTGAGGGTCACATTCTCTCTCGCTCCAGGCCCGTTGTTCTCGTCGCGAACGAAGCACGTAAAAGTACAGTATGCATTGCTTTACCAGCCCAGGGCAGGGCAGGACGTTGCGTAGCTCGCCAGTTAGCCGCGCAGAGTGAAACGCGGCCAGACAGCTAACACCCAGTCCTCTTACAGTGGCGGGGTGGGTTCGCGGCGAGCGGCTCCAGCTGGGGGAGGGGTGCGAAACAACGTGAAGCCAGCACAGCCTACCTTTGTTCTATGCGTATGCGCTGTTTCTAGGTCAAAGCTCTGCAGGTGGAAAGAAGCAAGATGAAGCGAAGTAGGGAAAAGAAAGAAAGCCAACCAAGATGCGCAGGTAGAACCTGGCTTCGTGATTGGCGCCGCAGGTCTCAAGATCGGGGATCAGATCAGCCCATCAAAAATTATGTGCAGCACCGCGTTGCGTTGGCCCGGGATGGACGGCGATGCACTGGGCCCCTTCTCCTTGGCTGGCGGGTCTCTCCCAGCAAAGGTGACCGCGGGCGTCATGCCGCGCTTTCGGCAGGCATACCGGCGATCCCAGCGATCGAGTCAAAAAAGAGTAGGAACATCCCGTTTCCTCGGGTAAGCCCCAACTGTGTTCGTCTAGGTTGTTGGCTGTTGGGTTCCCCCTTGGTCCCCAGGCTGGATTGGGCAAGGTGTTTTCAGGGGGATCGGCGGCGGATAAGGTTCTGCCAGCAGGAGCAGACGGACCCAGTGGGAACATTCTCAGTCGAGGATCGGATGAACATGTTGGTACCAGCCGCGTACCAGGCGAACATGATTTTTTTTCTTTCTTTCGAGGAACTACCTGATTTTGGGAAAGACTGCTCTTGGTGGGCTTTGCGATTGAGGCCGTGCTCTAATCTACAGAGGCAAAATCTATAGTCAGTCAGCTAGCTATCCATCCCTATCCTGGGAAAGGATAACGGCCCGAAAGAGCACAGCATGTTCAGTACCAGGCCGGCGGGTTGGCACGATTCGGATGGGGAGGAGATCTCAGAAGAAAAATCGGGACCGATGGATGATACGCAGCACAGAGTTGCCTCCGGTCCAGCAGCGTTGAATCATGGGGTGAGAGGGGGCATCCGAGCCCTCCACAACCGCCTGGCTCCAACCCGCATCCCGTACCCGCATCCCGATAACATCCTGGGCCCGTAGTATGGCGTACGTTGGCAATTCAGGGAGGACTCAGATAACGGCCGACAACGCGGGTCATTCTCGGTTGCATGATAGCTGTGTGACTGTCTTTGCTGGTCTTGTGTGCCAAGATGCACGGTAGGAGAAGAAGAAGCTGCCTAGAGTCCACGCAAGCAGTGCTCGCATGAATCCTACATTGGAACCACCCCCGCCCCGGGTGCAAGTCGGAGAGTTTTCCCCTTCGATCTAAAGGAGGTTTTCGTGCATTTGTGACACGCTCATTCTTGGCTAGGGCCCAGGAGCCCGAGGCGGAGAGATGTTGACGGGCATATTACGGGAAAAAGCAACGCGCGTTTGCATTATGTCGGCGTGAGATGCGGTGGCCCGTGAGGTGTTGGAAGCAACCTGGCGCGCACTGGCACACGCGCGTCACACCTCGGGCAAGGCTGACACTTGCTGTGTCAACTCGGGTAATTTTCCTTTTCAGATGCAGGGTGTGCAAGAGAGGAGCCATGAAGCTTCAGGGCCCGGACAACTTTGACGCCGCAAACCGAATGAGCTTGTCAGTCGGCGTTGTTGGACCGGGTCTGCCCCGTCTCCCGGAAGTTGACTTTCTGCATGGCCGTCAGCTCACAAGTGGCCATTTCGAATCTTGCACTTCCTTCCCGAGGTTTTGACAGTGGGCGTGGATAATCTAAAGAGCCGCATGAATCCGGCGGATATGTGGTTCCACATGTGAGCGAGCGCCAAAAGGATAACGGAGAACAGAAGACGTTTCGTTTTCGCAAGCTCGCGGAGCCAAGTCCATCACCCTCTGACCTCTGGCACAAGCAACAATTCTTTTCATGCTAGCAGGTCGGGTCGTATCATTCGTAGCCGTTGACATTCGACGAAACAGCACATCCAGCTTTTCGAAGTCGCCAGGATGCTTACCATCTTGGCAGTCCGCTCCCCTGGAAGATGAAGTGGACAGCCAAGAGCTACAACTGGATGGGAGAATAGCACATTCCTCCACCGTGGCAGCTGATCTACAGATTCGGAAGAAAACTAAAACATCACAGAGCCGTACATCCCATGGACCGTGACTGGAGGCCAGGGCTTGTAACCTGGAGATGCTTAACAAACTGAATCAGGATAGCCCACGAGCAGGAGTGTGCCAACCTGGCTCCCAGCCGCGTGCCCACTGCCATACGATGATCTCTCGACGGCATACACTAGGATCCGAACGATATGTCATAGAGATCCACCCGCATGGCGAATCATGACTTTTGTAAAATCGAGGAAAACATGACCGGCCTTTCGCCTCAGAAGGTGTCTCCTGTAGTCGCTGCCGGCAGTTCGCAAGCCAGGACCAATTTGATTGCTCCTCCACAAGGCGTTGTACGGTGGCTTCACAAGTGCCGTTCCTCAGCCTCATCGAAGGTGTCATTCGTAATAGAATGTCCGTCTATTCGTGCTCGGGCTTTCCCCAGAGAGGATCAAAGCAGATGCGGGAAGTGCGCAAGGATGTGGAGTCAAAACTTCAGACGAAATAAAAGATCGCACTATGCTACTTCGGGCTATGATCTACACCTCCCCATGACACGTTTTCGTCTGAAGTCTCGACCCACAATTCCAGGGGTAAGTCGTGCTCGAGCAGGACAGGGCTAACAGAGCGACAAGGGGCGCATGAATATGTTACCACACTGTGTCCAGACGTCCGTGGTGGACCTCGGACCAAGATGCTCTGGACTGAGCTTCCGGAAGAAGCCTTCCTGCATGTGTTGCCGCGGACCCTCCTCGAGAAGCCATAGTGACGGAGACAGGATATGGCAACGGGTGAGTGTCGAAGTTCCTCGTGCCAGGGATTGCGGGTTCCGAATGGCAGGCACCTCAGTCCGTTTGTGGGGCGGAAGCGTCAGTGGTGCCGCGGCGACGCCGTTCGTTTTACCCGCTCATGGGGCCAGAGCTTCAGGTTACTATTTCTGGTGTGTGGCCACTTGCCGTCACTCGCAGTCACAGCATTTCTGATTGCAAGCCGCTCTGTCAGACGTCTCCTGTCGCCTCTGATCATCTTCTATGTAATACGTACTTTCGCTCACTGGTCAGGCTGCAACCTCGACAAACTTGTCCGGGGGCTCGACCTCAGGCCACCACCGTTGGCTATTGACAGTCCGCAGCACAACGAGTCTCGGGGTTGCTGTTGCTGGCGCGTCCCTGTGGTGTCTCTGTTCGAGTAGTACGGGCTGCGATTCTCAGCTACGTCCAAAGTTGAGACGATTCAATCTCAGTGGAAGCGTCAAGTATCCATCGTCACAAGTATTCATGATTGATGTAGCGAGAGAGGGAGTGGGGGTGCATTCTATGTGTATACATACATAGACTATCGGCCTGTTTTTGGTAGACCTGTTCACTGTGAACACGGCGGCGGCGGCTGTTGACCAAACATCAAGTATCCAGTAGACCAATGCCGTGACTCGTGGGGCAAAAGCAACAACGCGAATGCAGATCGAGGTCTTCATCCGTGTGTGTCTTACAAGCCGTTGGTGGTAAACCCGTGGTGCAAGTGACAGGGCATACAGTTGAAAATGTTAGTGTGTGTGTGCGGGTCACACAGTGAGGTCGCACTGCCTGTGGTCGCTCGGCTTTCGTCGAACTTTTCTTGGCGAGCTCCCCCTTTTCAGCTGCCCCATCCCATTCGTTCCAGAACGCGCCGGCAGTGGCTCGCTGAGAGACGCGAGTCCAGAAGGGAGTCGGCATGCCGGGCGTCCACTGGTATGGATATGACGATTCTGAAGATGTATGGGTAGGCTTGAAAGACAACGGTCAACCGCGCGCACTCTGACTGGATGCCGGTAAGTTTGCTAGTGTCTGCGCTGCTGCGTTTCGCCTCACTCATCGCCAACACGGACGATATTTTCGCGCCCAAGGGTTGGAGACTTTACGCTCGGTTCCATGTACAGTACTGGAGCTCGGCCTGGCGCAAGGCGCGCGAACCATAAATTGCAGACGCAGTGTCGCTGGACTCCTTTTGAGGGGCCGGCCACCTTACGAGACTCAGCTTGCTGCACTCTGCGACGTAGCGGAGCCCATGATGCTGCAGCTGCTAGAGCGTTTATGCGGGTGGTGAGGCCTGTCCTACAGTATGTCGCTCGATGCCATCGGCATTCCTGATGGGCCTGATGGGGTTCGTCTCAGTGACAGCGGGAGGTTTCAAGGCTGACCGGCTCCTGCGGTGCACGCTGCCGTCATTGTGAGTCTATAAATGTTGGGTCATGTTTCTGGTGTAAGCGGTTTCTCTCGTTGTGCTCATCAAGGTTTGATGGTTGAACCATCGTCGCGGTACAGGCGCCGATGGCCTCGCCTCACACAGTGCTAGTGACGGGCACTGCTTGCGTTCACGGAGAGGGACAGTGCAGCGAGTGCAGCAGCTTGCAGGCAAGACCCCGCAGGTCAGACCCGGTCTCCAAGACCCGCTTCGAGGCCGGCGTGATTCGTGAGCGTGTTTGTCACTTGCTAGAGTTAGTGTTTAGCCGTAGGTTCTCCGAATGGCGACGGCACTACGGCTGGTACGGCAGCTGCACTGTCAGGACTGAGTTTGAAACATGCTCCGTGGAAACGAACACAGCCTCTTTGCAGCACCTCTGTGTGGAAACCTTGGGGAGACTTGATGCTGGACAAATGCTGTCATGCTTGCCATGCTGTGATCAGCAATAGCGCTGATCTGTTGATCTTGCACTGTGCTGATGGCTAGCCACAAGGCTACCGGTTGCGAGCGGGCGACTTGTCATGACATCTCTGCCCGAGGTGTCAAAAATCGAGCTGATGGCTGACTGGAGTTGGTTCCTGCAGCTGCACTACGTACAGTAGCCCCGAGGGCGAGCCAATGGAGCGCGCCTTGCCTTGCTCCTTGGATGTGTGGCGTTTAGTGTAGGCGTCCAGTCCATTTTAGGAGAAACGGTCCCCTGACACTAATGCAGGTACGGGGGACGAGTGCATGCGCCTACACACAGTGGACGTGCACAGTCGGGGGACAAGGACATGCATCGTTGGTGAAGGTTGACGGCCAGACGGCTGACTGCGGATCGACGACCAAACCATGGCCTGCAACCACACCACGACCAAGACCCCAGGCGGACAAGGCTCGCGTACGGAGTTACTGAGAAGCGTGCCTCGAGCGAGTTGCGTGGGGTGCTGGGTGCCGCAGTGCCGCACGCAATGAGGCAGCTGGGCAAGCAGACACTGCGTCCGCGTCTGCGTGTGCGCTCCGCTACGTTGCGTGGTGTGGTGTCGTGGCGATGTGGTGTGGTATGGTGTGGTGTGGTGTGCCGCGATTTGTTTTTGTCGCAGGATTGGGCCCGATCCAGAGCGCATGAACTGAACTTTGTGTGCAAGCAGTCTTGATGCTTTGCTTTGCTTTGCTATGCTGTGATCAGTTCTTAAGTTTGCATGTTGCTCACCCACCCCATCCGTTCGTTTGCTCGTATCCGGGCGGGCGTTCGCTGCGAGTCGGAAGTCGAAAGAGAAGAAAAAGTTTCGAACTGGTGAGATCCTTGGTGCTGAGGCATGGGCTGACATGCAGACCAGACCAGAGCAGAGCAGGAGAGGCAAAAAAGCTACCCAAGCACTAAGTTCAGTGCACCGGTCCATCACTCACTCAAAAGAGTATCAAGCTGCAGGGTGGCCTAGCTGGTCTGGGTGGTGGCAGGCGAGTGGCAGGGAGGCGGGCGCCCAGGGTGGGAGTGCATGTGGGTTGCAGACCAAGTGGGCCGTGGAGCGAGAGGAAAGCGCGTGGGACTGGTCGACTGTGCCTCCTCGATCAGGGACAAGGGCTGCAGGGTCAGTCAGGACGCTCAGGAGCCGCCCTTTCCCTGCCTGACAGCCAATCCCCGTCGAGAGCCCCTTCCAGGGTCGGAGCCAGGGGGGCCCCTTCCTCGCCCTCCTTCCCTTTTCCCTTTCTCTCCCTCTGGCAGGAAGGAGGAGGGAGTAGTGCTTGCTGTACGTACTGTGTGCATGCAGTCTGGCCTGCGTGCGTGAGTGAGTGCGTGGGTGAGTGAGTGAGCTCTCCTGTTCCTGGCTCTGCTCCTCCTGCTCCTGCTCCTGGCTGGCTCGAGCTTTTTTTTTTCTTCTACCGTATCCCTCCCCCCCGTGTCTCCCCGTCGCCGCCCTCTCCTTTTCCTTTCTCTCCATCGTGAATCCCTCACCGTCAGTCCACCCATCCCGACTCGTCGCTGAATCGACAGACTTTCTTCCCTCCTCTCCTTTTCTTCCCTCCCCGCTTCTTTATGTTCTAACCACAGTCACTCCCTTGAAGTCCCCATTGTGCGCTTTCCAGCCAATTCTCGGTTCCCCGTTCAATCCTTCCGGGCGTCCCATTTACATTCTTTCGGCTAACGCGAAAATACCACCGCTGTTGAACCCACTTCACCTTACCTTCCTTGCTTTGCCTTGCCTTTGCACCCAAACGAGGGAAGCCTTGGGACTCGACATTCCTTATCGAACGACCTGAACCCTCTCTCTTCGCCTCTTCAACTATTCCCTCCCGCCCACACACTGTACTGTACCACGCTGCCATTCATTAGGCATTTGTACTTGCAACTGGCCCGGGACGACACTCCTTACTTGCTACTTGCCTTTACTACTTCTACACATTCCTTATATCACTACTCCTGTCTCGACTATCGAGTCCGCGGACCGCCGACCCACGATATCACCACACCTCTCAAGACTAGCACGGTCTCTGAGATACACACTGGTCATTCCATTAGACGCGGGGAAAAAAAGATACACGCGCACCACACGAGCTCGGCTGTCTCCTAGAGGAAGCACCGAACCAGATCCCGCTCCTGTGTAAAAGACAATAATCCTGACCTCACCTGGCAACACTCACGGCCCTTACATCACGAGTCCTCACCAGCCCGAAATGGCCACAAAGGTTGAAGATTCGGGCATGTCAGGCCCAGGTTCTGCCACATCGACTGTCCAGCTGGACTCGGCCAACTCGCCAGCTACAGTCCCTACTCCAGTGTCCGCCGGCCACCCCGGTATGGCACAAACACCATCACCCTCAACCTCTAATTCACAACATGCTGGCTCTACATCAAAACGCCCGCCGCGAAAGAGCACTCTGACGCAGCAGCAAAAGAACCAAAAGCGACAGCGAGCAACGCAGGATCAGTTGACGACGTTGGAGATGGAGTTCAACAAGAATCCCACTCCCACCGCCAATGTACGGGAACGAATCGCCGACGAGATCAACATGACTGAGCGCTCAGTCCAGATTTGGTTCCAGAACAGGTATGGACCTGGACCGGCTATACACCTTTGGCACGAATTAGACTAACATACATTCCAGACGTGCCAAGATCAAGGCTCTGGCAAAGAAGAGCCTGGAGACAGGTGAAGACTTCGACGCTATCCCAGAGTCCATGCGCACCTACCTGGCTATGCAGGCCATGGAGTCTGGAAAGGGCCTCGGGGCAGGTTTCCTCGGACGCGGCCTGATGCCTTACGGCCATAGCGGTATGCTCCTTGGCGGAGAACAGGGTGGCCAGGGCAAAGTCCGTAAGTACAAACCAAGCACCGAGCTGTCACAAATATTCTGGTTGTCTAACGACGAATCTAAAGTGATTCATCACTTGACCTGCCGCTCTCTCAGCATTGGCAAGTGGACCCGCGTTGGTCAAAACACCATGGACCTGATCATCTTCTATTCGCCTGACAAGTGTACGATGACCTACTATATCAACAATGAGCAGGCTGGGTACAAGATTGAGTATCCTTTCGCTCACATCAAGTCCATTTACCTCGAGAACAGCGAGGGCGATCCGAACAAGCTCGGTGGTATTGTCATTGAGTTGAACAGACCACCAAACTTCTTCATGGACTCGTCCCCCACGACCAATGGCTTCTTCCAATGTGGCGATTTCACTGAGGACCAGCAAGCCTCACAATGCATGGTTCACCACCTAGGTGGCAACCCCAAGGTCCTCAGCGGCCAGCTCGCTAAGCTTGTGTCTTTGGAGTCGTTCATGAACCGTCATCAGACCAACCCTTACGAGGCCATGCATGCCATCTCGATGTCGGCTCCAGTCTCGCCGACAAACCGACCGTCCTCACAGCCAAGCTTCGGCCAGCCTCATGTCGGCATGTATCAGGAGACCCAATGGGGTGCCCCGCCGACGCTGCACCCCGGTATGGCTCGTGGTCACAAGCGGCAACGCAGTAGGTCGGTGCCGATGCCTGTTGACTTCGCCATGCTTCAGACTCCCATGCCATCATTCTTCATCCAACATCCTGGCGAGAGTCAAGCGCAGCCTCACAGCCCCAACATCTTCGCACCTGTTCCCCAACAGCCCAGCGGGATGGGACCTAATCTGCGAATCGACACACAAGCCGGCTTTGGACTTGATATGCGGCAGTATCCCATGTCGGCGACTACCGCGCCCAGTGCCGCATCCCCCTCCGACTACTCTAGTCCCAACTATTTCGCACAACATTCTGAGAACACACCGATGCCAACCTCGAGCTACAACACTCCTTACAGCGGCACCTTCCTGTCACCAATGGTCAACTCTTCGAGCCTTGTACCGCAGTCTATGTCTCCCCTTTCGTTTACCAGCCATGGTGACCCAGCCATTGTCGACCAGTCGCCACCGATGTCGATGGTTGGTAGACCTGGGTCCGCGGATCTCTATCCCGTGCACGAATCTGCTATGTCGGATGATGGCGCGAGTCTGAACGAAATGTACTCGAAGCACAGCATCAACCTTCCCATGCACCCGCCCCATTCACCAGCGTTTGTGGAGACGTCTCAAGCAGACTTGGACATGAATCAGCTGGTTTCTTTTGACCATGTTGAGCCTGCAAGTCTCTCACCGGAAAGCATGCAGCACATGTCCGTCAACGAATCATGATCGAAAAGATGGTCCGTTGCCGACTTCAGCACCTGTTGGCTGGGTCTGATCTGCTCGACAACGATGTTGTGATCTAGACAGGAATTGTCGTATATACCCTGGGATTTGCGTTTCGCCAAAGGAGGGAAGAGGGGCGTTGGCGCCGTCTGTATGACCGGCGTTCAGGTGATCTTGTCCCACATAAACCTGGCTTTTGTTGTTCGCATTTGATTGCGCCACAATGCCCATCGCTACATTTTGTTTACACTCTATGTTCATTTGCGCCACCATTCAAAGACTCTGTTCTCGTTTTATCCTTGAATCTGCGATCTGCATGTCGATACCTATCATTGGATTTCGATCATGTGTGTCTGGCACCTCGATCTGCTCTTTTCTCCGCGACTGCCGGTCGATCTTGGCTCGTTCACACCGCTCAAGGCGTGGGCGAAGCTGGAAAGACCGGCCGCCCTGAAGCCATTATTATGGCTTCAGAGGTACCTAATAGCTATTGTCGAGTACATGTGGAAGATGCTGTGTCTATCTTTCCGGGCTGTTGATCTTACCCTTTTTTTTTTCATCGCAATACAGGTCTGCAGGAAGGGACAAGTTCTGGGGTGAGGGGAGGGCCCAGGAGGCTAATTACTATTACCGCGATGGATGGTTTGACGGGCAAGCAACAACAGCGGCACAATGCCATCAACCTATTTCACACCTTCATCGAAGGTGAGGTTGAATAATCTCTGGGAGATGGGTTTGAGGGCCCTTTTTCTATACGGATCATGTGCCTGGGCTCATGTCTCGGAAGAGACAGCAGTCCATGCTTCGTTCCGTCTCTTTTTTCTTCCGCTATGGACATTAGGGACGGCCGGACGGACGTGATTTCGAACTTTCTTCTTGGACATAGGGTCGGTTGCACGGGCCAAGGCGTTCTTGGCTGAAATGGAAACATGATTTTGAAAACAGACCGCAATTGATTGAACAAAGTGCTTGACATGTCAGAAGAAGATCGCCAATGTGACTTGTCAGATACTCCGGACTGTTCAGGATGCTTCCCACGTAAGGCCAAGAGCGTTTCACACAGCTATGAGAGGCACAGTCGGAATGCTATCAGAAGAATTGGTAGATGAACATGCAAGTCACCAGCATAGTACGACATGTGAGCCTCGTATTTCTTGGATGGTAAGCTTACCAGAAACAGGCGAGGAGGCAGGGAGTTGGGATCGGGGCCCGTCGCGCCGACGCCCCCCTTTGAGCCTCCCGGTTCTTCTCGAAGCATAAACCCAGTCGGAAGCACTCTATAGTAGCAACCTCTCAGTCTTAACAGGCGCATGCCCCACAATGGGGTATCCTGCAAAAAGTGTTGCCAATGCAGCTGGCTGGGAACCCCAACCTCTGCGCAGGCACAAAGGGGCGTGCAGGTCTCAGCATATGTCCTATGCACAATGGTTTGGCCTGGGCTCTGATAACGTGCAAATTGTTCTAACACGTCCAGATTGTTGCTTGTCGTATTCCTTACTCTGAGCCTGGGAGACCATGACATGTCGAGACCCATCTATCCACTCTAGAACAGCAGCCAGAACAAGCAAGTCGTCAGCCCATTTACTGCGTTGAACTTACTCAGGATCCCGTATGCGACTACTGAGTGGGGTCCGACTTGCCGACCACTCCGAGCCTTCTACTGTACGGATGGTAGACAGCGCGGGATCCGGGGCAGTTCGGATGACACCTACTGTGGGCTAGTACACGTATACTGTACTTCAGTACACCCAGCGTGCCGGCTGCCCCTGGGCAACAAGGGCAACAATAGTCCACACGAGGATCTCACTGTCAGGTGCTCATCCAAGTTTTTCCGTGCCCAACTTTCCTTGCAGTGAATCGTTCAACCCCCCCGGGTGGGTCCGTGCCTCACTCCAAGTCAACCTAGAAATCGAGGTTGGAGCGAGGACGTGGTATTTATTTGTTTCGACGATTCGTTTTTCGATTGTCGGTTTGCCTGATTGCTGTGCTGTGTACCTCGTATGTCATTGGAACCTTGGACCGCGGAAGGACCAGGGAGCCGGCGGGCTGTGGCTGACATTTGTAGATCAATGGCCCCTTCGGCTGAGCTGAGCCCGTCTTAGACCGTCACCTGCTTTACTGCACTAATTAGGCTTAACTCTCGCTGCTGAGTGACGAAAGGTGCTCGGCAACGCCCCTCGTTCTTCGATTTCAACGACGTCTATCGCTTTACTTGCTTCTATCCCACACAAGTCTCACTCACTAGCCGAGTCTTTGCTGCCAAAGACTTTCCAGGCTCCAGATGAGTCTGCGGCTTTCTCGCATCCGCATGGGAGGGGACGCTTTGAAGTCCTAATGACCTCGTTAGAATTCTTCATCCACTCACCATGGCAGGCGGCAGCTCAGACCGGCGCAGTACCAGCATAGACATACTGCGCTCCGAGCTCGACAACATCCATGAGGCCGAAACCCTGGTGCCATCTCGGCCGAGCCTAAGGGACGAATCGCCCCCAGCTGGGGGCGAATCAATCGAGACCGGAAGACGCGCCAATGCAGGAAGGAGCAGCTCAGCACGAAGGTCGAATAGCAGCACTCGGAGAAGCGAGTCTGGGGCACATATCAGATTCTCGGATGATGCAAGCCGTCGTGAAAATCGCCGTGGGTACGGACCCTCCCACCTGCAGCTTGACACGGACCTCTACCCCATCCAGAGCAGGGTTGAGGATACCGAAGCCGCAAGGCGATGGCGGGAGAGCCGAGATGGTCCTTCACAGCCGGAGCTGTCATCCCCAGTACTAGCTGGCGGGCTGGAAGCCGGGGAATCGAACGCCAATAGGGTCAGCTTCGCGTCGCAAGCGGTGGCCAGCTCCGGGCCGGCAGCTCGTCATCGGCGGCTACGGCTCAGAGGGATCGGGGGAAACGTAAAGAATGTGGCAAGCGCCGCGGAAGCCAGCGCAAGGGTCTCACGCGCGAAAGACTGGGTGGCTCGACAGAGAGCTCGGACGAAGCGCCTCAAGAGGGCACCCACAGGCCGGCTGAAGTTGAGAGTTGCGGCTTTGTACAAGAAGTGGATTTACGAAGGGCTCCTGCGCCAGAAGCCCCTGCCTCCAAGCGTCGATGGGAGGCATATCCCTCTCAATCCCGGCCAGGCTCGTCGCAAAAGCCTGACGGACGAGCGGACGGGAAAGCCGTACATTTCAAACTTTATCAGGTCCAGCCGATATACTCTGTGGTCTTTTCTTCCAAAGCAATTATTTTTCCAATTCAGCAAACTCGCAAATGCATATTTCCTTACTATTGGCATTCTTCAAATGATACCCGGTCTCAGTACTACAGGAACATATACGGTTAGTCTAACCCATCTCCTTCTTTATTTCACGACCCCATCACCAGTAGATAAATTCGCCCAAGATGATCATCTTCGACTCTGTACATACTTACTTACACATGGTAGACCATCGGTCCTTTGTTCGCTTTCGTTGCACTCAGCATGGCCAAGGAGGGCTGGGACGACTACAGAAGATACAAGCTGGACAAGCTTGAGAACAGGACTGAGGTGTGGGTTCTGGACCCCGCTAGGAGCTTGTCAAGTGAGAAGCGGCACGGCAAGCTTCGAGAGAAATTCCGAAGACGTCGTGAAGATGTGGCTGGTGAGATGCAAGAGCTGGACCGGGTAGAAGAGCGGGAAGACGAGAACCCCCCATGGTCTGAAAATGAAGACGTCCAGTGGTCCAAAGTGCAATGGGAGGAAGTTCGTGTCGGCGATATCATCAGACTACGCAGAGACGACAACATCCCCGCCGACATGGTGCTCCTTCATGCCACGGGGCCCAATGGCATCGCTTACATCGAAACGATGGCACTGGATGGCGAAACAAACTTGAAGAGCAAGCAGGCGTGTCCCCTCTTTACGAAACACTGTGGTTCTCTATCGGCACTGAACTCAGTACAGGCGGAAGTGGTCTCGGAAGACCCCAATCTAGACCTATACAACTACGACGGCAGAGCTGTTGTCGATGGAGAGGCCATGCCTCTTACCCTGAACCAGGTCGTGTACAGGGGCTCGACACTGCGGAACACGAACGAGGCCGTCGGTATTGTGATCAATACTGGGGAAGAATGCAAGATCCGCATGAACGCGAGCAAGAACGTGCACGCCAAAGCACCAGCCATGCAGTACAGGGTCAACAAAATTGTCATTCTTTTGGTTTTCGTTGTCATCATGCTCTCTGTCGGCTGTTCTATCGGCAACATCATTTGGGTAGACGACTATGAGAGGCATGCATGGTACTTGGACGACGGATCAGTGGCTTTTGGTCAGATTCTCATCGGCTTCGTCATCGCGTTCAATACCCTGATCCCATTGAGTCTATATGTCTCCTTGGAAATTGTCAAGATTGGCCAGGTCATGCTTTTAAGAGACATCGATATGTATGACCCTGTGTCGGACACCCCCATGGTCGCTAATACCACAACAATCCTTGAAGACCTGGGTCAGGTCAGCTATGTCTTTTCGGACAAGACAGGAACTCTGACGGAGAATGTCATGCGATTTCGCAAGATGAGTGTAGCGGGTACAGCATGGCTGCACGACGTGGACCTGCGACGCGAGGCTGAGATCAGGAAGAAAAGACAAGCACAGATTGAGATGTCAGGAGCCAAGTCCACCAAGGGCAAAGAGAATCAGACCGCAAGAGCTTCCATGCACACCATGAGGTCGGAGCCTGTCGAGGAATTCCTTCTCGAGGAGCAAGGATCAAACCTGGGCCCAATCCGGAGGGCAGACTCGGTCTGGACGTCTACATCGCGACCGAGTAATCCTCAGCAGTTGAGAACGGACGATCTTATTCAGTACATACGGCGGAAGCCCAGCTCACCGTTCTCGAAGAAAGCGCGATACTTCATTCTGTGTATTGCCTTGTGCCACACCTGCTTGCCAGAAAAGAAAGCAGATGGTGAGATACAGTTCCAAGCCGCTTCGCCTGATGAGCTAGCGCTCGTTGAAGCAGCTCAAGATCTCGGATACCTTCTCATTGATCGCTCGTCGCAGAGCATCAAGCTGGAACTTACAGACGAGAACGGTATCACGGCAACCGAGACTTACGAGGTTCTGGATGTCATAGAATTCAGCTCAAAGCGCAAACGGATGTCCATTATTATTCGCAAGCCAGACGGTCGGATATGTGTCTTCGTTAAAGGTGCTGACAATGTTATTCTGCCCCGGCTTGAGCAGAGCAGATTAGCCATGGAAACTGCCTCCGCCGTCGACCGCAGGGCTAGCCTGCGCAAGAGCATGGAACAGGAAAAGGCTTTGCGGAAGATGAGCCTGCACAGCGCGAGGAATAGCACTTCTGTTGCTCGGGTGACCAGCAGTCTCACAAGTAGAGCAGGCATATTTGGGAGAAAGAGCACCACGAAGCGATCTGCAAGCATGCAAAGGAGACGATCAAGTGCGCTTGTGGATGAGGTTGACTCGTGGATCACCAGTCGCGAAAGGGACACATCTGGGAACGGAGAGAGTTACCAGTCTCAGCAACCCAGTGGGGCACGTGGGCTGTCGATCGAACTGCTCCAGTCTCCGTTGGCAATAGATGACCCTTATGACGGCATGGTCGACGAGAATGTTGCCGTGAGCGACAACGAAGTCTTCGAGCGCTGCTTCCAGCATCTCGATGATTTCGCTTCCGAAGGCCTGCGCACTCTAGTGTATGCCTATCGCTACGTGCCTGAAGACGACTACAACCAGTGGAAATCGGTCTATCTCGAGGCAACCACGAGCCTTGTTGACCGCCAGACACGCATCGAAGCTGCCGCCGAAATCATCGAGCAGGGCTTCGAGCTGGCTGGTGCTGCCGCCATCGAAGATAAGCTTCAGCAGGGTGTCCCGGAGACGATTGACAAGCTTCGCCGTGCGAATATCAAGGTCTGGATGCTCACGGGCGACAAGAGGGAGACAGCCATCAATATCGCCCATTCTGCGAGGATATGTAAGCCTTTCTCGGAGGTTTACATTCTTGATGCCACCGAGGGCGAGCTCCAGGAGAAAATCGCCGCAACCCTCGTCGAGGTTGGACGCGGAATGATAATGCATCCTGTTGTTGTTATCGATGGGCATACTCTTGGCGTGGTCGAAGACGACGAGTCGCTCAAGGTGTTGTTGTTTGACCTCGTGGCCCGCGTCGACTCTGTCGTTTGTTGCCGCGCTTCACCAGCGCAGAAGGCGACCCTCGTCAAGTGCATCCGTACGCAAGTCCCGAATTCTCTAACCCTGGCCATAGGAGATGGCGCAAACGATATCGCCATGATCCAAGCTTCCCACGTCGGTATCGGCATATCGGGTCGTGAAGGTCTCCAGGCTGCCCGTATATCGGACTACTCCATCGCGCAATTCAGGTTTCTGCAGAAGCTCCTATTTGTGCACGGGAGATGGAACTACATCAGGACTGGCAAGTACATACTGGGCACTTTCTGGAAAGAGATCGTCTTCTACATCGTACAAGCCCTGTACCAGGAGTACAATGGATACACAGGGACGAGTCTATACGAATCTGCATCCCTGGCCGTATTCAACACCCTTTTCACATCGCTAGCTGTCATCCTGGTGGGTATGTTCGAACAAGATATCAAAGCCGAGACCCTCCTTGCGGTGCCCGAGCTGTATACCTACGGGCAGAAGAACAAGGCCTTCAACAACTGGAAGTACTTTGGCTGGATCTCCATGGCTGTCATCGAAGCCGTGCTCATCTACTACGGGGTCTGGGGCATCTTCATGAAGATTAATTTCAGCGTAGACAACACGCTCTTCGCCATGGGTGACCTCGCATTTACGGTGTGCGTCTTGTTTATCAACATTAAGATGCTTGTCTTGGAGCTGCACAACAAGACCCTTGTCACTTTCATCGGCTTTTTCATCAGTGTCGCCGGCTGGTTTCTCTGGAATCTGTTTCTCTCAGCTATCTGTACGTATAAGCATTTTTCACAGACGGCTTTCATCCAGGATAATTTGGTAGAGCATCGCCTCGGGCTGCACAACAAGTTCACTAACATGTCACAGATGATTCGCGAGTTGGCCCGTACATCGTGCGTAAGGCATTCATCTACAACTTCGGACGCCAGCCGACGTGGTGGCTCACCGCAATCATGGCGCTCGCCATGGTCATCGTTTTCGAGCTGGCAGTCAGCGCCGTGCGCCGCATCTTCTGGCCCCAGGACCAGGATCTGATACAAGAGACTGAGAAGTACGCCGGCGTCCTGGACGTCATGAAGGAGCATGCTGCGGAGTTGGGCGAGGCCAGTGTCACTGCCGCCGGCGGAGACGGGAAGGGAGCGAGCCAGGACTTGGCGGCAAATGTCCGCACATCGCAGCATGAGTGGAACGGCTACGGCCAGCGTGCTGGGAGGAGACGGAGTCGGAAGATCAGCGGTGATGTCTATGCGGCACCGCCTTTCACGGCGACGCCGGAGGAGAGGGATTTGGATCCTCTGGATGATGCTGGGTCTCTTGTTGGGGCGTCCGGGGACAATGTGAAGGGAAAGCGGCAGTCTGTCAGGACAAGTGCCTACCAGGTGGATCCGTAGGTTCTGAAATCAGGAAGGCAATATCGGGCAGGGAAAGGAAGATCATGAGTCAAATGATGGATGAATTGATGAGTTCTACAAAATGAGACCAGGTTGAAAAGCTAGTGCCGACTGAATTATTGGTGCTCCGTCGCAGTCTAGTTCCCCTTCGACATAACAGCAGACCAATTGATGCAGCCATCTCTAGGGAGATTGAGAACCACGATAGATATCTAAGGGATTACAATTTCGCCTTTATGGCTTTCACGGAAGATCGGGAGAGAAGCATTGGAACACTTCTTTAAACATCCTAAAGTACCTTAGCTCCCCTCCCCGTTAGAGCGAAACAAGCTCTGGAATGTTTCCCGCTCTTCGTCCGAAGTTCAAGTCCCGCCCCTACCCGTTGCGTCGTTCTTGAAACATCGCCAGCCACAGGTGATTGGCTGCTTGGCACAGAGGCTCCATCCCCAAACGTGCAGCAACAACCGAGCCCGGTCGATCTGCGGATGAGGGTCAATGCTACATCGCTCGGGGACAGCAAGAGCCGAAAAGGAGCACTTAGGTAATCCCCTTCCTCAAACCTGGGTGGTGGTGGTGAACTCCAGACGAGATCCGAGAGATGTGTGTGCCACTTGCATTTGACCTCAAGCCTCGGAGGAATCGGTGGGAAAGCAGTTTGAGCTGCAAATAGTTGGTTGTCATTGGCCTGTCTTGTTTCGCGCCTGCAGTACCGCTTTATTTGGAAGGACATCTCATGGCTGCTCTTTTAGTCGCGGGATCGACGCCGGGCGGGACGCGGAGGAGGTTGAGCTTCCGGCGTGTTGAGAGGTGGTCTGACCCCCTCCAGTCTGATGAGGACAGGGCCAGAGCAAAGAAAGCCGTCGAGTTGCTCTTGTGGTCTGAAATTGGTGAGAATTATTCACCCACTCCCTCTTCACTTCGGCGTCGGATTCTGAGTGGCGCGCACAGGCGGGCTGACAATTCTCACAGAGGAGTGGCAGCAACATGGCAGTGACCACATCCAGACCGGGTACCGACGGGCGTGCGGATCAGTTCAAGGATGTCTTTTGAGCTGGACTTACATACACAGTAGGTGAGGCCTTGGAGCATTTTGTTTGACCTCTGCGCTTTAGTACAGAGCCACACTGGATGTCCTGGGGGCCACCCCTCCAGGATGAACACATCTCATGGCAGCTGAAAAGTTCCATGGCCCGACTCGATTTGACAACCGCTGATTTGTCTTCTTGAGCAGATGAGACGGTCAACATCTGGTCCCACATCCTCGGGGCCCTGGTCTTCATCAGCCTCCCGGCATATGTCTTCAGGGAGATACCAACTCGGTACCACGCCGCAACGGCCACAGACGTCGTCGTCTGCAGCACGTACTTCCTCGGAGTGACATTCTGCTTCATCCTGTCCACCATATTTCACACCTTCATGTCGCACAGTGAGGCCGCTTACCTGTTCAACATGAAGCTCGACTTCCAGGGCGTCCTGGTCCTGATGTGGGGCGCGACGGTGCCGCTCGTCTACTATTCCTTCCCTTGCGACGCCCGCCTCCAGGCCGGTTACCTGGGCCTCATCACCGCACTCGCGGTCGCCTGCTCCGCCGTCACCTTTCTTCCTCGGTTCAGCGGCCCGCACCTTGGGCCTTACCGCGCGGCGCTGTTTGGTGCCTTTGGCGTGGGGAGTTTTGCGCTGCCCATTGCGCATGGGGTGATGGTGCACGGCTTAAAAGAAGAGTGGAATAGGGTTGGGCTAGGATGGGTGTTGTGGACAGTGGTGTGTGATGGAGTTGGGGTTGTGGTGTATGGGTTGAAGGTGAGTTTGCAGAGTCTCCGTTGCGGCCGTGCAGGTGCACTCCTGATGAACATTTCCCCTTTCACGAAATTGCAGTTTTGCTGACGCTGTACTGGTCAAAGTTTCCTGAGAAATGGTTCCCTCGACGCTTCGATCTTTTCGGAGCGAGCCACCAGCTGATGCACATGTTCGTCGTTTTGGCGGCGCTCACATACACCTGTGCGGTAATAACGGCCTTTGACTACCGGCATGAGAAGGGTGCCGTTTGTGGAACGTAGTATATTTGAGGTACTGCCACAATCGATCAACAATGCGATTCAAGCCACATATACTTTGTAGACTCCTCTATGCCAGTGAAGTCTCTTTCATACATAACGAGGTCTAGGGCCCGAGTTCCAAATAAAACATCGCCAATTTACTTCATAGGGTCCACCCTCTTAGTTGCCGGCTTCTCTGCCAGCTTCTTTTCGATCTGGTGATGTCTGTGGTCAGTGCCTGGGCAAGGAATAGACAAACAAATATTTCGCAGGTTTGAACTCAACACACCTTCTCACGATTATCTGGCCTGTTTGGAGCATCCTCTGGCAGGTCGGAGTCTGAGCCATCCGCCTTGGTTTCTATATCTTTGTGAGGTGTGTTCATGATCCCGGGGTGTGAACTGCGCAACGCCTTCTGCTGGTCGTGGTCATTGTGATGCGTAGCCTTTTGGCCACTACTCAAGAACCAAAATGTGGTTGGAAGGATGACCGCGACAGCTCCTATGAGCCTAAACCCGGTGGTATGTCAGTGTCGTGAATGTCTCTCAACGGGTATACTCATTGAGGAGGTGGGGCGAAGCGCTGTTGGCTGGAAGGGCATGGAACATACCATGGCAGACCGCTAGTGCCCTCAGTGCGCGATGGAGGATGCTCCGGCATATCACTTGCGTATGACCTTCTGGAGATGACTGCTCGCCTCGAGTGAGGTTGAAGGCGAGGCCGTAGAATAGCTCGCGAGGTTGCGTTCATGATGTTGCCTCTCATGATAGACATCTTTGGTTCTAGAATGTTGTGCAATAAATTGAAGGATGATATAAGTCAATTGTAACTGTCTATGAGGGAGCTAGAATCATTCTGAGAGACGTCTTTTGAAGTTTTGAGACGTAGTTCGTATACATGGCGTGAGCCCTGACCTGGGGTCGAGCCCTGATGCTGAGTATGTATGACCATTAGACTTGATATTAATGTGGGCTAGCAAGGCTCTGGTGGCGCCGATCGTTTTGAGGCTCTGTTCGGGAAGGGCCTCCACATTTGACGACAAAGATTCACCTGAAAAGACCATACCTTTGATCTGACGTCAACGAAAGCTGGAAGACATTTTGGTGTCTCCTTTAGTGCCACTGGTGAGCTTGCATGTAGTTATGCACCAAGTCCCTGCAGTGCGCGCCCGAAGTTGGTTAGCCAGGCACGCTACCAACTGTCTCTTAAGGTAATGGCAATGTCTCTCTTCTGCTGTCGCCCACCTTCGTAAAGTGCCAAGAATATATCTTGTGATTTGCGTCCGCAAACACATCCTTTTGAGGCATATCCACCAGCGCGCTTAGTACAAACCGGCCGAGTTGCAAGCATCATGCACACTCTTATGAGTCCCATTCGGAGCTAATGTCTTCTAACAGGCCCTTTAGAGCTGCAGGGTAGCCAACATCAACCTTAGTTGAGGTGTGAATCCTACACTGAATGAGCTATTGATAAAAGGATTCGGCAGTTCAGCTTGGAGTGAAGCCTAAACATTTGATCTGGTCAGCTTGTAAGGCCCTTCCAGAACACTTCGGTCGGGACTTCAGACATCAAGACTGAAAGCTGGAGATGAGCAAAGCTGACACTGATAGCTCGCTTTAACCAGTTCTTTCCGTTACGACATGCCGCTTTTGAGGCAGCGTATAACGATGGAGATCTTAAAATTGGAGGCTAGGCCAAATCGAAGGGCTGTAGAATGAAAGATGCTATGCAGCGAATTTAGGATCCAGACACTATCACAGTAAGATGAAAAGTTTGAACCATCGCAGGGAAGCAAGAGCAGTGCCATGCTATTTGTTCAATTGCAAGCATTTTCCCAATTGATTCCTCAGCTAGTCGGAATCAAACCCAAGCTACGGACAAATGAACAGAAGTGCTCCGAGGTTTATATAGTAATCACAATATCCCTACCTCAGCATCTCGCTGTTCTAGGGCCTCAAACATTGGACAGCGTCATTGTACAATGTCATGTGTCTATTTTGTAGAAACAATGGCCAAGAATCTGACCCACACGCTTCTCTCGGCCCTTCACATCAAATAGTACTTCATTCAGCGCTTCCAATTTCCTGTTTCCCACAAAAGTTGTCACCAGCACCTTGTATTCCTTAAAGGACACCATAATACTCTCTCGCGAATTGGTAGTTTGTCCTTCTACTGTGCATCCTAAAATGCACCTACTTACCATTCCTCTAACAGCTTTCCCCCATCTTCTGTCAAAATGCGGAACAATTGCAGACTCAGTGAATCAGGTCTAACAATTTGAACAGGCTTGAGTTCATGTGAATAGAGTGAACCGAGTATGTTTTGAAGCATTGCTGGGTATAAAAGAGCTCTGAAAGAAATATAGTTCCTTATTAGCCTTCAAATGTGATATGCCTGGGCATTGTCTTGCAAGCGCTGTTCCGACCTATCGGTGAAACTCGTCCAGCCCAGAATCAGCCTCAAAATTTAGGCGAGTTGCGAGAAAGAGATAACGCTGGTAATTGACTGAGTTACTACTGGTCTTTTGTTGTCTGCTGGGGCAGCTCTCTCCCTCTATGGGCGTGGGATGAACACCTCGGTTCTTCTACCAAAGGAATCCCATTCAACCATAAGGCAATTTGAGCACGAGAATTCGTAGCTATGAGAAGATGCTTAGGTGATGGCGAAAGTGGATGCAGACAGACCAGTTGCTAACACCCAGCCTGCATCGCGCCCACCGAGCCTGCCTTATGATTAAGTAGCTAGGTACATGCTTATGTGGGGCAATTCTAGGCAGCGGGGCCGTTGCCGCCTGAGCACGGACTGCTCAAGGTGGGCGTCACTTCCAAAGGTTCCCCACAGCAGCAGACGAGCACCCCACCATCGAGCTCCTGTGGTGCTGTTGTTGCTGCTCCTTCGACACCAACACTAGATGACCCCCATCTGCATTTGTTTGGACCTTCATCATCTTTTCTTGTTGTTGTTCTTGCGGCGACGGATACGGACAGGGAGGGCATCATTGTTGACGATTGACGAAATTTCCATCCTTACGCCCTCAGACCACCCACTTGTTCCTGTATTCTTCCCACGTCGAACAAGTATCAACCCCTCGCGCTGGGGCATCAACCCCTCCCTCATCATCCACGATGGCGACGAGCATACCCCCGAACCCGACCTCTCACACGGTCATCTCGCTCCTTGGCAAGCTGAACGACACGGACCCTGACTTCAGGTTCATGGCATTGAACGACTTGATCGCTGTCTTCGCTAATGCCAAGAATGACATGCTACATCATGACTACAACACTGCCGCCCGCACCATCGATCACGTTGTCAAGGCCTTGGATGACCAGAACGGTGAGGTTCAGAACCAGGCGATCAAATGGTAAGTCTCCATTCTACCTTTGCTATCGCTACTAAAGTGACCCCATGCTGATCTTCCTTTCCCCACGCAGCCTTGGGCCTCTCGTCGCGAAAACACCTACAAACCTCATTGCGCCCCTGATTGAGAAGCTTACCACTCTGAAGCTCCAGAACTCCGTCGACAACTCCGTTCCCGCTCTGGCCCTTCGTAATGTCATCGAAGCTCTTCCACGACCTCAGCCTGGCCAGGCCGCCACAAAGGAGGTCATCGAAGCCTACACTAGTATCAGTAGGGTGCTGATGCCCAGGCTTTTGGGTCGCACTTCTCAGGCGGCCAAGGCTAGTGGCAGTGTTCGCCTGCCCCCAGCAGGGCAAGGAATCATCCAGGATGACGCCCTCGTGAACGCCGATGCCGTCGACGTCATCATCGAGGTTGTGAAGTGTTTCGGAACCATGCTGTCACCACAAGATGAAGTTCAGGCTCTACAAGATGTTATCCTAGGACTGCTTGACAACCAAAAGGCGACGTCAGCAGTCAGGAAGAAGGCCGTGATAGCCCTTTCGATCCTGGCTGTCCATCTGCAGGATGATCAACTGATTGCATTCCTCAATCGCGCTGTGGCGGTACTCAAGAACCCCAAGACCGACCCCGTCACCCAGCGACTCTACCTGACCATTATGGGCTCTATGGCACGATCCATTCCACATCGTTTTGGTAAGCACATTGGCGATGTTGTACAGCTGACTCTGGCCTTTTTGGCCGAGGAGGATTTGCAAAGCCATCTTGAGGAAATTGGCGAGGGCGACGACGTGGGCTTGGAGTTTTCCGAGGTCCGTGAGGCAGCGCTGCTGGCCCTCGAAGCTTACCTGGCCTCTTGCCCTTCGGAGATGCGTCCATATACCGATGAGACCATTGCAGCATCCCTTCGATATTTGAAATACGACCCCAACTATGCGATGGACGAGGACGAAGACATGGAAGAGGAGGAGGAAGAGGAAGACGACTTTGGTGACGACGATGAGTTTGAGGCCGGGGCAGGCTTTGATGACGACGATGACGCTAGTTGGAAGGCACGCAGGTGTGCTGCCAAAGCACTTCACACACTCGTCTCCACGAGAAGCAACGGTGATCTTCTGGATAGCGGCGTGCTCTACGGCCAGATTGCACCGCCATTAGTCAAGCGTTTCGACGAGCGTGAGGAAAATGTCCGCTTGGAAGTCATTTCTACCCTTTCTCTTCTTGTTCGAAAGACGGGAGAGGGCATCATTCCGGAATTTTTGTTGGATGTCACCCAATCTCCGCAGACCCAGAGCCGCAAGCGAAGACGGCAGAGCAGCGGTGTCTCTGCCACCGCTCGTTCTGATGGAAATGGTCTGGTATCGCCTACTGCTGAGAAGATCCCTTCCACTGGACCCCGTGCTGATCTCGCCAAAATCACGCCGCAACTGGTGAAGGCGTCCACGAAGCTGCTCAAGGGCAAGTCGATCCCTACCAAGCAAGCGATTATGAATCTCTTGGATGATTTGATTCTTGTTCAGCAAGGTGGTCTTTCCGACCATCTGGATCAAATCTTTGACCTCGTCATCGATGCAGCCAAGACCAACGCAGCCTCCAACACGTCGACCTCGTTGTCTGGAAGTGGCGGGGCCGCCTCTGCCACGCCATCTACCTTGCGTGTTGCGGCTCTCAAACTTCTCAGCGACGTCGCTAAGACGCACTCGTCGAGCCTGCTGCAGCCTTATCTTACCAAGATGGTCAGCGGAGTTGTGAGTGCTGCGGATGACCGTTTCTACAAGATATCCTCCCAAGCGATAGAGACCGTGGAGGAGATTGGTAAAGCCATTACGCCCCCACGTTCGCAAAAGACGGCACAAAAGTACAAATCAGAGTTGTCGAAGTTGTACGACGTGGCTGTCGAGAGGGCCACAGCTGTTGACGCAGATGCCGAGGTGCGACAAAAGGCCATACATGCATTGGGTACTCTACTCGCCCGCACAAGTGACGGTGAAGGAGCCACCCTTCTTTCTGCCGAAAAGCGGAATAAGGGTCTGTCAATCATCGCCGATAGGCTCAAGAACGAGACTACACGTCTCGCTGCTGTGCGAGCAGTCGAAGAGATCGCCGCCCATCCTTCGCCCAACTTCGATCCTGACTGGGCGCGAGATGTGACTCTGGAGCTGTCGGCTCAAGTGAGAAAGGCGAACCGTGCTTTGAGAGCATCAAGTATTCAGGCCTTGAAGCATCTTCTTGTTTCCGCCACAGGACAACAGGCCCTGGATAAAGCGACACTCGAGAACCTGATCGAGGCTCTTCTGCCGATCATCGCTAACACCGATGCTCAGCTACATGGGCCGACATTCCGAATACTGACTAGCTTGGTTAAGGTGGATGCGAAATACGTTGTTGATCCTAAGTTCGACACTGCAATCTGTGACTACGTGCAGCAGAACGTGGTCAATGCAGTCTTGAGTCCCTTGCTGGACCTCATCGCCCAGATTGGTCAATCTGGGGCTGGCGAGGAGCTGATGACACGGATGCTTAAGGACGTCGGTGTCAGCGGGGATCCTTCGACCGTGGGCAAAGTCATTGGAACCCTCTTGGTAGCCAGCGGCGGAACGGGTGGGGTAGACATCAACAGCTTTATAACCGAGGCTGAGACCGCTGAGGACAAGGCTCGAGGCAGCCTGGCTCTAAGCGTACTTGGCGAAGCGGCGCTGAGACTGGGCCCTAAATCACCTCTGAAGCCCGAAATCTTCACCAAGCACTTTGGCGACGAGTACGACAAGTTCTCACTGACGGCGGCAATGGCGCTGGGCCGTGCTGCAGCCGGCAACGCACAGGTGTACCTGCCAGTGATTCTGCAGAGCTTTCAAAATGCCGGTGCCAAACAATACTTGCTCTTGCAGTCAATCAAGGAGATCCTGTTGCAGAAGACCAACATCAGTGATTTTGCGCAGCCGATCTGGGACTGCTTGCTAGAAGCTTCGCAAGGCGAGGACAACAAGGCGGTTTGCGCAGAGTGCGTGGGACGCCTCGCGGTTGTTGACCCTGAGACCTTTATCCCTAAGTTGGATGTAAGTTGCTTTCTTAATGCTGAGATCAAGAAATGCTGCTAACAAGCTGCCGCAGAAACTTCTGGGCAACCCCACGCCAGCTGTGCGAGGCATTGCTGTCCAAGCATTGCGATACACCTTTGCAGACAGCGGGGACAAATTCGACACTGTTCTACAGAACTATTTGATATCGATGCTCACGTCAATTCTGCAAGACCCAGATATGGACATTCGACGACTGGCTATGTCGACCTTTACTTCAGCGGCAAACAACAAACCCGACATGGTCCTGGGTCACCTGAACAAGTTGATGCCATTCGTTCTTGGAGAATCGACTGTCAAGCCAGAGCTGATTCGTGAAGTCATGATGGGTCCCTTTAAGATCATGGTGGATGATGGGCTTGAGCTCCGCAAGGGTGCGTACGAGTCACTGTACGCGCTGATGGAGATCGCCATGCCCAGAATTAGCATCATTGAGCTGTACGACCGCATCATTGCAGGACTCAAAGACGACAATGATATTCGGGCGATGAGCAATCTTATGCTCTCCAAGCTGGCAGTCATTGACCCCCAAGAGACACAACGGCGCCTTGACACTATCGCGGAGGCATTCCGAGCTACATTGTCTACCAAACTCAAGGAGAACTCTGTGAAGCAGGAGTACGAGAAGCAGGAGGAAGCGGCTCGTAGCGTGCTCCGGACGACCCTGCTTCTGTCTGACAAACTTAAGGGGAGTGTGGGCAGCGGACAGTGCCAAGTCTGGTCAGCGTACGTGGACTGGGTCAACAAGGACTTTGACAGGCAGTTGAGGCAGCTACGAGAGGAGAACGACAAGATTGGCCACAAATACGCCTAGAGGGCAGCAAAAAGACAACGAAGACAGTAACCATACGTGCGGCCTTGCTTCTCAGACCCCGGATTGGACTAGATCACCCCTTGATTCCGTTTTGAGGGTGAGATGCTTCACGGGGGGTTCCTGCAGGTGGTAAATGAGAGATTATCGAGCACATTTAGTCTCAAAGAAGATGGCGGACGATGAGACAAGTGGCCACCAATCGAGGCAGTGTCCATGTGGGCGCTGTCCAAGATGGATTGTTACAGATGAGGTAGAATACCACAGAAGAACCATGAATGATAATGACAACGAGAAAGCACCGATAGTTTGATTGCCCGTGGAGCCGAATGTGACATACGAAGTTGGAAGAAACTGGCACGTCGCCTTGCTAGACAGCAAGCAACGCGTGCGTGCGTCGACACTCGCACGCAATGTGTATTGTAGATATAAGCCCTGCAACTCGGAGTGGGAAAGCGGCGCATTATCGATCCGGCATGGAGCAGGAAGCCGTCGATATCGGTGTCGGCATTGGAGCTGCTGGAACCCCGATTCTTACTCCGGCAGAGGGATGAGAAACCATCCCCACACTCCACACTGGCCAAGCTTATCCGACTTTCCGGGCCTCCTCCCTATTCGGGAAGTTAGCTATCGGCAGGGGCTGGGAGATCTCTCCTCACCATTGAGTCTGTCCGTTTGTCGACATCACCATGTTTAAAATTGAACCTTGACCTTCTTTTACAAATGTCGGCTTTGCCATTCATGCGTTCAGTTCCTCGCATCGCATCTACTACCACGTAAGCCTGAGATTCTTGAGACGGCTGGAATATCGATTGTGGTCTGAGGTTTGAACAGCCCACGATGCTGGTCACCTCCTTGCTGGCTGCGGCGGCGGGCCTCGCCCGATTCTCGAACGCTCAATTCCCCCCTCCGCGTGAAGGAATCAAAACAGTACGGTCAAAGCACCACGAGGGCATAACCATCTCTTACAAGAACCCGGAAATATGCGAGACCACACCAGGCGTCAAAAGCTACAGCGGTTATGTCCATCTCCCCCCAAACTCACTCAACGAGAAGGGTGAGAACCAGAACTATCCCATCAACACATTTTTCTGGTTTATCGAGTCCCGCAAGGACCCTCATCATGCTCCTCTATCCATCTGGCTGAACGGCGGGCCGGGAGCCTCGAGTCTGCTGGGTATGCTGTCCGAGAACGGGCCCTGCGCGATCAACGCCGACAGCAACAGCTCGACACTGAACCCGTGGAGCTGGAACAATGAGGTCAATGTTCTCTACATTGACCAGCCAGTCCAGGTTGGTTTCTCGTACGATACCCTCCACAATGGGACATATGACCTCTTGGCCATGAATTTAATGGACGACTCGCACGAGGAATCATTCCCTATCAAGTTGGATGATTTCGCAGATGGTATCCCAGAGACCAATTCAACATTCTACGTTGGCACATTTGCGAGCCAGAATTCGACACTCGCGCCAAACTCGACGGACCATGCGGCCGTTGCTCTGTGGCATTTTGCTCAGACCTGGTTTGAAGAGTTTCCCGAGTATAAGCCCCATGATGAGAAGATCAGCTTGTGGGCTGAGAGTTACGGTGGCCATTACGGCCCGAAGGTTATGCACTTTTTCCACAAACAGAACCAGAAGATCGCCAACGGAGAAATCTCTGGGCCAGGAACGCATTATCTGCACCTTGACACCCTGGGGCTTGTCAACGCGTACATCGACGTCCTTGTCCAGGATGAGAGCTACTCCTTCTTCGCCTGGAACAACACTTACGGCGTCAAGGCAGTCAACGACACGATAAAGCATAAGCAGCTGTACGAACTCTACCGGCCCGACGGAATCCTCGACCAGGTCCGGGAGTGCCAGCGCCTCTCCAAAGCCCTCGAGGCCACGGACGGCCCAAACCTGGACGTGAGCTACGTTGAGTCGTACTGCAGCAACGCGTCGGTGTTTTCTGAGGACATTCTCGTTACGCCGTATATGGAATCTGGCAAATTTGGCTGGTTCGACGTCACGCATCCCTCGGCGGACTCCTTCCCCCTAAACTACCACCTGGGCTGGCTGAACCAGGAGTGGGTTCAACGCGCGCTGGGCGTGCCGGTCAACTTCACCTGGGTTTCCCCAATAGTGTCTCAGGCTTTCGTTAAACATGGCGATATGGCGCGTGGAGGCTACTTGGAAGGCCTGGCGGACCTGCTTGACAACGGTGTCAAGGTCCACATGATGTATGGCGACAGAGATCTTGCGTGCAACTGGATCGGCGGAGAGGCGGCGTCCCTCGCGATCCCACACCGTCATCAGAAGGCGTTCGCAAACGCGGGCTACACGGCCATGACGGTGTCGTCGGCTGACCAGCCCCCGTTCGTGCCGTATGGCCTCACCCGGCAACACGGTAACCTCAGCTTTACCCGTGTGTACCAATCAGGCCATATGGTCCCGAGCTACCAGCCAGAGGCGAGCCTGAGGATCTTCGAGAGAGCCTTATTCAACAAGGATATCGCCACGGGCACCGTTGACCTTAGGGCCACAGGCGGCTGGAAGAGCGACGTGGACATCTTTAAGACGGAGGGGACTAGGGATACGTGGTGGAAGAAGAACGAGCTCATGCCTGTGCCGAAGGGCCAGTGCTATATACTCCAGTCTATGACCTGTACCAAGGAGGAGATGGAGGCACTGAGGAATGGGACGGCAATCGTCAAAGACTATCTCATTGTTGGCATTAAGGGGGCTGAGGATGACCATGCAACGAAAGATGAAGCCCCAGAAAATTATGAGAAGTACTTGGACGGAGAGCAGCAAAAGTTTGTGGGGGTGGATGAGCTGTGAGAGAAGTATTGGACTCCAGACCGTAATTGGATGTATCAAAGCACACCAGAAGTAGTTTTGAGCTGTAGTTCTCATAGTAGAAAAATTCTAGCACCATACTTGGCATCGACCAGGTCGTGAAGCACTAAACAAGCAGCATCATCCTGCGGGAATCAGGTGCTTGATGCAGCGCGCAAGCGTTGTTGTTGGTCCAATTTCACGACACCTTGGCAAGTAGGATCCGGCTAAATAAGTCCTGCAATGAAAAGGGCCTACATATAACAGCTAGCTACCATGAGTCTCATTCACACAGCATTTGCCAGTTTCTCTCACCGCAATTGAGTCAATCTCAACACAACATTTCAAATTCTACAATACAAGGAGAGGATATGGAAGCGCCAACACCAATGACGTCGCCAACGCCGGTGAGACCTACCGATCAACCCCTGACAACATCCGCACCGCTCTTCCCAGTCTTCCTTTATGGCGCGCGCCCACTGAGCCTCGACGCGTCTCTCATCGCGGCGGGTCCCGTCCCAGACGATCCGTACCAGAGCCTCTGGCGGTTCCAGCTCGCCTGCCCAACTGGAAGCAGTAGCAGCGGCAGCGGCAGCACACGCGAGGAGAATCCCGACGACCAGTGCCTCCTGGGCGGCCTCTTCCCGGCCGAGCTGTACCACACGCAAGGGTCGATCTATGGCGGGACGTTCACGCCGCGCGACGCGGCCGCGACGACCTGGCGCTGCGAGCTGGGGTCGTCCGGCGGCGACGACCCGATGAGCGGCGACTGCTCGCATTGGGAGACGGAGGGCGCCGCGTCCACGACCAAGACCACCCTGGCGGAGTGCGATGTGGTGCGGCATAGCGTGCCCGTTCGCGTTACGGATGGAGTCGCTAAAGAAACGTATTATTTCTTCTCCGACTGGTCCCCGTCCCGGTACAACAGCGTCCTTGTGTCGGAGCTGAGCAGCCTGGGGTGCCCGAACCCGACGAGCCTGGTCGACGTCGGGGCGGTGGCGACCTTGACTTCTTCGGGGACGGGGACGGGGACAGGGCCGGCTGTGTCTGCGACGGGCTCGACCTTGCCGAGCCGGACGACTGGGGCGAGTGTGGATGGTACCATGTCAACGAGTGGCGGTGCGCCCACTGGGACTACTAGTGTGAGTGCTGCGTCCAGGAGTGAGAGCGTAGGGTCGGCCGCTTTTGTCTGTGTGCTTCTGGCTTGTGCGAGTGCAGCAGGTCTTTTAGCAATGCCTCTGTACTGAGTGCAGGCCGCTGAAGACTCGACTGCACACGCACGTTGTATCTTTAGCAATGTCTTTGGTAATTTGGATATGTGGAGTGCATATACGTAATCATTGAAGTGCGTAAAACCGAATCCGTAATTAATAGAGGACTTGATCCCATCTCGCCAATTGCTAAGTGTCGGGTTTTCAGGGATCGCATTCCGTATGAAATTGGATGTGATACAGGCATTCGATTGATCAAACTGTGGAGCAAGTCAGACGAGTCAAGCGCTGCCTCTCGTCTCGTACTGGCCCGTGGAGAGCAAGTGGTGGACGTAACCGGCCGAGACTCACTCAAGTACCAGCCGTCAATTTGACTTTATACCTACCATTGATGGGAGCGCTGATCACGAAGATGAAATGAAAAGCAACCCATGTGCGACTTCATGCGCGCAGCGATGGATGAAAAGCAATCCGGCTGCCCATGGCACGAAAAGGACACATCGTTCCCATGTCTAATGGGCCAGGAAGAAAGAGGAAGTTTTCGCTAAGTAAATAATTGAGCCATTATGCGATGTACTGTGTGGGTTGCTAGACTGTTACCAACCTGCCTCATCTGACACTTCCTTGAGCATCATGAACTGACCTCAGAAGGCCTCGCTTCAAATTCTCAACCAAGCAGGAAATGCTGTAGCCTCGAACGGTGGGTATTGCTCTCGTGATGGCCATATTAGCGACCAGGACTGAGCGGCCTGTTGAAACCGCCGACGCGATTCATGTACTGGCGGTATTCGGTCTTCTTCTCCTTCCTAACAGCGCCGACGTTGTTGCCCACGATCTTCTTGCCCTTGGTGGACCCGAACCCCCCAAAGCCCATCATCGCTGCCATGTCATCGTCCATGCCGCCATCTTCGACGTCGATCTCCTCTTCGTCTTGATCCATCGGCTCAGCATCTTCGTCGTCGTCTCTCCGGCCATCAGCCCCTCGCCGTCGGTCGCGATCATCATGATAAACCTCTTCCTCCTCGTCCCTCGGACGGCCGCGTTCACGCTCGCCGTCTTGACGCGATACCTTGACGGACATAGAAGAGTTTGCGTTGGATCTATCGACGCCACCTTTCCCTCGGTGAGGTAAGTCTGCCGTGGGAGGACTGCCGCTGCGTTTGGGTGATGCGGATCTCCGGCGAGGATCTTGAAGAATGTCAGTGATTGTGTTCGTGTAGAACTCTGAAGGAAAGCCCCACATACCATCTCTGTGCCTGGGCGTTCCATTGCCCCTGCTCCTTTCATCTCTGCTATCAGAGTCCCGCCCACGCCGGGAGTCGTGTGCGTCGCGTGGCGGGCGTCCGTCGCGATGTGGTCTGTCACGCGACCTGGAGCGGTCACGCCTGCTGTCTCTGTCTCTTCCGGGCCTCCCTCCGTCCCTATCCCTGTCCCTATCCCTATCTCTGGACCTGGAGCGGTAGCGTCGTCTGTCGTCGCGGTCGTCGTCGCGGTCATCGTCGTACCGCCTGCGGTCGCGGTCCTGGTTGCGATCGTCTCTGTATCCTCTCCCACCTCCTCCTCTGCGGCCGGACCCAAAGTCCCTTTCCCTGGGCGGACGGCCACCGCCGCGGCGTGAGGACCGGTCTGCCTGCATCTGAGTGTTCGGGGGGGTGGAAACGGGCAACGGGACTGAAATGTCTCCAATATGGAGGTGATCGATCACAGGTCGAGGTCGAGGTTGAGCTTAGGCTTCCGAGGCGTGGAGCTCAAACTGGGGCAGGCAGGTGCGGCTGATACAAGGCTGCGAGCACAGATCACCCGTAGGGCTGTAGCTGGGATTTTCTAGCGGGCGATCCACTGTAGACCCCACCCCTGTATTGGCCTACTTTCATTTACTGACCCGATCAGACGGTGTCATGGCCGTTAGACGAGTAAACATTTTCACATGCTAAAGAAGAGGCAGACCACCAAGTACCCACAGACATATGTTCATATTCGTGCTGGACTTGTAGATTCACAAAACAGATTATTCTGCCTCCTTGAACTGCGGCGTTTTGTTGACCTGGGAACTGCCCAGTATGGCACCCTCGGCCCAAGCTCACAAGCGATCTCACAGTCTGCTGCTGCTCCAGAAACTACTCAACCTCAGAGATAATGCCAGCCCTCTGACGCTGGTACTCGATACTTTGGAGCAAGGCGCAGCTCCACTGCTGCAGGAGTTCACATCACGAGCAAAGGTAGACCCCCTCCACAAGGCCATATCATACATGACCATTAGTTGACAGCTTACATAGATATCTCACACCAGAGTCATATTCATATCCTTTGCCACAATAAAAAAGCCTGGCAATGCAGATGTCTTCGTTCGAGCTAGCGGCAAGCCGCTACAAAAGCTACGGGCTGAGATCACCTCTCACTACCCTACACTCCCGCCTCCCACAGCTAGGAACGCCTCATCATCACCATCATCACAGAGTGAGCCTATGTCACACGCCGGACCCCACCACGAAAATGAACAAATGGCTGATCCAAACCTAGGAACACTGCTCATAATAGACACCCTCAACCCGCTGTCGGCAACCCACCCCAGGCACCTGACCCCATTCCTGTCAAGCCTGCTCACGCACCCGTCCATCTCCCTCGTGGCGACCTACCACGCCGACATCCCGCTGGCCCTCGCGCCCGCCGCGCTGAGCGAGTACGAGCCGCACCCGCTGACGGTGCTGAACCACCTCGCGACGGCCGTGCTGCGCGTGTCGAGCCTGCACCAGGCCGTGGAGCGCCGCCGCGCCCAGAACAGGAGCCTGCCGGAGCCGGCGTGGGGGCTCGATGAGGGCCGCGAGGGCGTGCTGGTCGGCGTCAACGGCCCCGCGGGCGGCGGCAAGGGCGCCGGGGTCGTTGTCGAGATGGACCTCCGGAGGCGGAGCGGCCGCGCCGTGGTCGAGAGGTTCGTGCTCGTGCCCCAGGGCTCTGCGGCGGGTGCTCTGTCACTACTGTCGGATCACCCGCTGTTCGCTGCGCCCGAGGACGCGGACAATGGCCAGGCCGATGAGGAGGACCTCGCCGAGACCACTTTCAACCTGGGTCTCACTGAGAAGCAGCGGAAAGACAGAGACGGGATTGTGCTGCCGTACTTTGACGCACAAACAGATATTGGTGGTGGAGAGGGTGGGAGGATATTGTACGAAATGGGACGGGAGGACGATTTCGATGACGAAGAAGACGAGATCTAAACCTGCTGTACATTTTGGTATCTCCGAGTCACAACGCCTGCGAAAAGGCTCTGTTCTGATGCCAGTGCCGATCCTGATAATGTCTCGACTTCGCCCAAAACCCCTCATCAAATCATTCTTGCTCAGATGAGCTCTATCATTGTGGTTGTGTCAAGCAACTCCACAGGTCTTAAAGTGCACTCGTATCATCCCATCTAGTGACCAGACTGCGTTCATATTGGACTGCCGAGTCCCATCCACGTCACTGGCAGCCTATCTTTCACCCACTCTCCTCAAGATCTTGACCCTCTTTTGATCATACATAGATCAACGACCAAGTATCACAGGCTGGCCCGTAGCTGTCACAAACCAGGAGCCAGAGCACTGAGGGCTCGGTCTCTAGCCCTGTATCCCATTTTTGGTGTCCTGACGGCAATCTCACTTGATGAAATAAGTGACTGGTTTCTGTATTCCTGCCCGGAAAAAGAGCAGACAGGATCCATCTAAAATCCCCAATTTATCTTCTTAGCACTGCTAGAAGATGGACAAGTGTCGATGGCAATGGATCACGAAGACCACAGCGCCCTCAGTCTACACTTTGAGCAGTGTCCATCTGCTCGGGGTTGCTATTCACCTTTGCGAGAATGTTGTCCACGGAAACTTTCTGAAAATCATTCGTGACGGTCTCGGCAGATTCATCGGCACTTGAAGCCATCGCGACATCCTGGATATCGACGTCACCGTTGGTGTCGGCATGAATCTCCGTCACTTGGGACCCGTTGGCCTCGTCCAGCTTGATAGAGCCATTGGCAACAATGGCAACATGAGCTCTGTCCGCTTGAGCAGCATCGGCAGCTTCTCCATCCTTGGCAAGTCCATTGGTAGAGGCCAGACCCTCGGTCTGGGGCTCACCCTTGGCCTCCTGTTTGGACTCGGTCGGAGGGGCAGGTCGTAGATGCTCGGGCTTCAGTTCGTCAGGGATAGTTGTCTTCCAGTCCACCTCAAGCCTCCGGATGCAGTACTCGTCGAATTGACCGGCCGCGCGGGCTTCATGAGCGGCCCAAGCATCTCGAAGCCAAACAGGATCATGCATGCCGGCTTTGAGATTGGACACATACTCCTCTGTGTCGTGGCGGAAGTTGTTGTCATTTTGGAGGGACATGATGTTTGGACGAGCATCGGGTGTATTGGCATTCAAGATATGTCTTGTGTCCGGGAAAAGAGCGAGGACCTCCTTCTTGTCCTCGTCATCGAGCACATCCCATGCGCCAGGGTGCAGCAGAAGGGCCTGGGGTTGTATGTTAGTACACCAGTGAGGTCAGAATTATGGCAAGTAAACTGACCCGCAAGTCCTTGTTGGCCAAAGGTGACTGCTTGTTCTGGGTGACATATTCTGGCGTCCACTTCTTGGTGCTCGTCTTTGGCTTCTTCAAGGCAGGTGTCTTAGATGAGGTTGACGGCGAAAATGTGACCTGAGCGCGTTTGGAGGGGACTCTGCGCCGGCTGCTGGCTCGAGTTCCAACCTCGATTTCAGCGACTATTTCGTCCTTGTCCTTGTCGCAAGTCGGTCCATTCTTCATAGGTCGTTTGTTTGTCACAGCTGAGTCGCCATTTGGCTTTGCTTGACCATGGGCAGAGACGTTGTCCTCCTCGGCCACGCGCTGAGAACGAGTTCGTGGGGTCATTGTGGCTGAGAATTGTGCGATTTCTTCTTCTGTGAAGTCTGGAGGTTCTGAAAGGTCTGAACTGGACTGCTGGCTGCTCAAGGGCAGGTCATACGTAGAGGTCGCCATTGCAAGTGAATCTGCCTGCAGGCAGGAAAGGGGACCCGGCAGGCTGTTCGTTTGTCTTTGAGGCTGAAAGATGGGACGGAAAGGAACACAAGCTAGTCAAAGGACGAAAAGATTGGGGGCCCAAAAGATCTATCTAGGAGTCCATTTCTTGGTTCCTATTCAGGCTCAGTTGTGAATTGAGATCTCAGGATCTCACCGAGCGGAGTTGTGGATGGAAGGAGGAGAGAATGACAACGCCGGGAGCTACATGAGCTGGAAATAAAGACGAGGACAAGGCAGTTTCATGATTGGTGCTCTACAAACTCATGTTTAACAATGTGACAACCTGGCGATGATGCTCGAAGCAGAAGTCACTGGAGAAGCGTGACTTCTTCACTTGGACTGGCTGCCCAGAGGAAGGAGCATAATACACCATATAGTCTATCCAGGTTAGCATGTGGTCTCGCTCCGTATTGTTAGCAAGGCTGGGGGTCAGGAGCTACCCCGGCTTGCCCCATAAGCTCACTGCCATCCATAAAGTAGTCGCTTTGATTGGCGGCCTTGCTCCTCCGGGTTGTGCTCCCCCAGGGGCCCAGGCCTGGAACCCTGCTATCTATCATATTCAGTCCAATTTCAATAGCCAGACCTCTGCCCGCGAACTTCCCACTCTATCTAGTTCAACCTTTTTCACGCGCCAATTGAACTTGTCATTTTTGACTACCGCTCTAAACAGACCGTCAAATCCCAAAAGGTCACGAGTTAGGTTGCCACAAGCAGGCAGAAACGGAAGGTGGCCTCATCCCGTTGAGGACACGTTCGGCAGAGACAACAGCCACTCTTTCATTGTGGAGGACTGCAAGACGACGGCAGCTTCTCTCGCCCTCTGAACACATCCACCCCCTCTCACACGTTCACCCTGAGACAAGATGATCAGGTCAACGCAAATAGCACGGCTGGATGGCCTATACCTTTGCGCGTCCGTGGACGACGAAGCAGTGCGTGCTCTGCCCCCTTTCCTGCCTGCTCTACCATCAATATACACAAGCATGTTCTAACACCATACTCGTATAGACCGAATCATCCCTCTCCGAGATCAAATCACAAATAAAACTAATCCTCCGCCGGCTCAACCGCAACTCGGAGTCGCAGGCGTCGATCGAGTCGGGCGACCACACGATCAACTACCTGATCACGGACGACATCGTCTACTTCTGCATAACGGAGCGGTCGTACCCGCGCAAGCTGGCCTTCACGTACCTGTCGGACCTGGCGACCGAGTTCTCGACGACGTACCCCATGACGCAGCTGCTGAGCCCGACGCTGCGGCCCTACGCCTTCATGGAGTTCGACAGCTTCATCAACAAGACCAAGGGCACCTACAGCGACGCGCGCGCGACCCAGAACCTCGACAAGCTCAACGACGAGCTGCGCGACGTCACAAAGGTCATGCACAAGAACATCGAGGACCTGCTGTACCGCGGCGACAGCCTCGAGCGCATGGGCGAGATGAGCTCGCGCCTGCGCGACGACAGCAAGAAGTACCGCAGGGCCGCCGTCAAAATCAACTGGGACCTGCTTCTCAAGCAGTACGGCCCGATCGGCGGCCTGGGTTTTATCATAATCGTGTTCTTGTGGTGGAGGTTCTTCTAAGGGGCAAACAGTCGAATGGGGAAGTATGGTTGTCATGTATGGGTGGTAGGGTGTTCTGGAGTTCGGCGTTGGCTGCATAGCGGTATGCTCAGTCCCTGGAGGCAAAAAAGAAAGTAATATACAGATCTACAAACACGGCAGGCATCGTGCACCAGTAGTGGAGAAATGTTGATACCCTGACGATGAAGGAGCTAAAGACATGTCGGCTCAAAACTTGGGAAGTTCTCGTTCTGACAGAATCAAGATACGAGCGAGGGCATGTTCGTTCAACGAGAGCTCACTGCGAGACGTACAAAGTTCATTTTGAACAGTCAGAATGTGCGGCACATCTCTGCGCATTGGAAAATTCTGGGTATATTGAGCATTGAACATAGATATGAGCCCCTTGCCAGCGCCTCTCACTGCAGCTGGACCGAGCAATGTTCACGTACTATTCCGCTCAACGTGGCGCCTCTGCTTGGGTTGAGCCAATCTCCTCAAGTGCCCCAAACGCCACGGCTCGTCCTGATTGATACCTAGCAACGCCCTAACCAAGTAAGATCCTCTTGAAAATAAAACGCCGGTCAAGTGATTGTAGAGATGCTCGAGAGCCGCGGCCTCATGTGCGCCTACATGAGCACGCAATTCTTGGCCGACGGCAGATTCGGCATCGTAGTCGAGGTATGGTACCACTCTAGGTGCGCCTGGAACTCGTCCAGGCTCCCGAAGCCGCGCTCGTCCTGGGCGTATCTGGTCTCGTCTCCCTCGCCCTGCTCAAAGTAGTTGTAGTCGTCGCAGTACGGGCACAGCAGCCTCGCCTGCCAGCCGCCAATTTCGGGCGCGAGGTGGTTCGCTATGGCCAGAGGCGCGAACACGACTGTTTTGTCCTCGCCGGTCGAGACGCTCTTCCCGCGGGCCTGCCAGTTCGGCTGCTCCGTGACCGCCGCGGCGATGGCGGACGTATCCGGTTTCGTTGGCATGATCATCAGGTCGTTCCAGACAACGAAACCCTCGCAGAAATCACATTCGAAGGCCACATCCCGGTCTCCGAACCGCTCAAAGTGCCCGACAGTATCGCAAACGGGGACGAGCTCCTCCAGCGCTTCCGTCAGCTCGGCCTCCTGCTCCACGGCGTCCAGCTGTTCGCTGTAATGGATCGAGGGCACTTTCTGCTGACCCATTTGGCCCATCTCCACCGCCTCGCCGATAGAAGTCCCCATCACGGGGGTCTGTTGCTCCCAGCTCTGTATCCTTTTGGGCTTCTTGCCTTGCGCCTGTGCCATCTCGTCCCGGGTCGACTCGTATCTCGAGGTCCGTCGTCCCTGCTGCTGCTCGTATTGCTTCCGGCGATCGTTTAGTCGTCGTTGACGCCTGTATACCTCAAATGCGCCAAGACATCGCTGACCTGGCCCATCTCCTATGTCGGCCTGCTGGGAAGCGAATATGCGGGCAGCAGCACGGCATTGCGCTCGATGGAGTTCGCGCTTCAATCGCACGGTGTCGTTGACCCATAGTGGTTCTATAGGCCCACCTTGTCGCAGCCAGTCTTTGAAGACCTGGGTATGTTTCGAGAATTCCGTGTACAAGTTGCCGAGCTCGTCGAGTGACTCGACTGTGTGACGGACCCGTCTAGTCAGCAATTTGGTCTGGCAAAAGTCAAAGGTTACATGGCCGGTTGATGTTCGGATGCACATTGGGATGTAGCACAGGACCAGGGTGGTCAGACAGACGTCCAACGACGGGTTGCAGCATCCCGCTTTGGACCGGGCCAACATGGTCCCCATTCCGGTCCATTGTGGGGATGGAATAAGACGAGGGACGAAATGAAGATGCAAATGTACATACGCCTGCGGTCATTCTCATAGTACACGGAGCCCTTCAGCAAGGGTCCCAGCTCCTGAAAGTCCTTCTTGGCCTCGTCGAGGGCGTGCTCGAGGGCGCGGACCTGCTCGAACTCGTCAGGGCCCCAGTGGGCCTTGTCGGCGAACATGAGGAGGCGGAGGGCGTCATTGATGGAGTTGGCGATGGCGGCCAGCAGCGAGCCAACGGACTCGCTGGTGGACCCGTCGGCGGTGTCATTGTCGGTAGCCTTGGATGATGTTCCCCGTCCGCTGGGGTGGCCACTCCTGTTCATCGTTTGGGCAATGGCAACTCGAACTCGAACCTGCTCCAGCTGGTGGCGGCGGGTCGGTCCAGGTCCTGGTGGCGACTGAGGCTGAGGGCGACAGCCGTCATATTAAAAGAGAGCAGCAAGCAGCAAAGAGGGCCCTGATGTAAGTTGTATTGCCGTGTAGATAGCCCATGCAGTGCGCAGTCGATAGATGTCATCGGTTGGGGGGGTGGGTGGAAAGCATGCGCATGTGTCTGATTGATCTGGCTAGCTTTCTCGGCTGTGGAGTGACGGGGTTTCCAAGGGTTGGTAGGGTGGTAGGGTCATCCCTAAGCTTTGGGTGCTCCTCAGGGCGAATCAGCGTAAACAAAGCCCCTCGGCCCGCCCGTTCTGTCCTGGCAGCCCTGGTCTGTCTGTTGCACAGCCCTACGGGAAGCGCCAGGGGGTGGGGGTTTCTCGCTGATAGCACGGGGTCTACCAACCGGTCCAGGTCGCCTTCTTGACCGTTTTCAGGTCTAGGTTCTGGGTTTGTTGGTCGGGACTTTTTCTCCTGTTCTCTTCTCTGCTTGTTGGTTGTTGGTTGGCCTCACTGACTGAATCTATTTCTGGATAAAATGAACTTTGTGCAGTGCATTGCGGTGCAGAATAACACGGGACGATAATGAAGCAACAAGACTGCCCAGATGTTGCAGTGGGCGTAAGACAAAACGGCGCAGTCAACCTTAGGGCCTGGGTACTGTGGTAAACATGGTCCGCAGTCCAGTCAGGTACCACCAAAGCACGAGCCCCCCTGGAGTCCGGGGGACGGCCTCCTGAAGTGGCCGCCCGCTATTCACGTGGCTCGGAAACAGTAATACGGGCCTTGACGTGCGTTAGCGGGGCTGTGGCTCTGCTGGGGGGATCCATTCTTGAGGCTCAGTTGCTTCTCGCTTCCCAAGACGACACCGCGGGATGAGGGCCATGACGGCATCGCACCGACCTTCTGGATGTTTGAAACGACCTTGGAAGATCTTGGGCGTTCCAAGGTTACTATGCAGATAGATCGTCCTGTCTACTATGAAGGGAGACTAGTTGGTTGTTGATAGCCGCCTTATGGGTATGGTAAGATGGAGGTACGTACCAACTCCTCTCATGGGGACTGGCTTTCCTGCCGCCAAACGCATCGTTCACCTACCATATCCAATTAGAGAAGAACGGGAGCCAGATTCTGCCGGTTGTGTACATGTAACCTGGTCACCAATACAATGGTATTGAGGCTCCTCTATCGCATTCAAAGCAGACACAAGTGCACTGCTGGTCCACCGGCGTGATTCAGGGGCCGAAAGAAATACGGCAGGGGGCTAGCTGCTAGTGCACTGTCCAAGTTGTCAAATCAATAGATTCCCAGCCAGCTGTAAAGTGATTATGTTTGACTACATTCCAGTATAATCCTGGGGTTCTTTAATGTTCTTATTCAACCTCTGGCCATGGCCTGATAAGTCTGTCATCTCTTGGTCAAGTCCACAAATCCCTTCCCCACAAACAGCTTTTGCTCCAACATCGGAAAAGTCGTCGCTAACAACGGCATGTGAGAACACCGATGATCACTACAATGGCTTCAGATGGACAAAATTGCATAAAACAATTCCCAATTGATATGGTGAGAGTTAGTGCAGAGAAAGTTCCCGGGTGGGAGACCCTTTTCGCCCTCCGTTGGTCTCTTAGGTAGACGGCAAGTGACAGCTGGTCCCTATGGACCAAATTTACAGGTATTAGTTTGTAATTACGAGTAATGTCGACTTCTTCTGGAAAGCTTAGCACACCAGCTTCAAAAAGGCTATTTCGAAGGTTGTTGGAAACTGCATAGCAGGGTGGATTTATGTTTATTTCTTTGAGATGCGTCGGGCAATTTCGATACGGGGACTAGGCCCCAATAGCCAGCCGTTGCTCCATCCTGTCTGCTCTTGGCGATATATCAAGTCTGACTCGATGTACTCAAAGGACACAACACGTACATGTGTTCCCTCATCGGCACCATTCATGAAGACTTATGGCCCTTCAACCCATCCAGCCTAACATCAAGTGTCCTCTAGTTCCGAGAGCCGCACTCAGATTATACGGACGAATGTACTTGGAGTATACTACAGGGCAAATAGTGGGTAGCCAGGGGGGACGTGCTGTATAAGAAACTCCCGCGGCCCCGCGGAAACATTAACTCGGGTCTTCCATGTTAATGTGAGGAAGTGGAGCTGTGTCTCTTGTTTGGGACCCATTCTTGAGGCTCAGTCATGTCGTGCCGCTTCCCGAGACGACGCGGTGAGGGACGCGGGTCCAGACGAGATTTCATTATGACGACCACGAGGGCTACGAAGGCTATGACGGCACCTAGTCACATATAAATGAGGGCCTTTGTGAAATAAGGTGTTGAATAATAGTATAGATGCTGGGATCCCGAATTTCCGGAAGTGGCCTGACTAAAAATGCGGTGACCCGTGCCTTTCCTTCCGATGGATGATCTCTTTGGGAACTGCCTCTTTTGGGAAACTTCTTTGGGATGCCCGATTGTGTCTGTTATGATCCGGCAGGTAGAAGATCCATCTCTACGTGTACACCATTTCAATGGTTCTTTTCGGGACTGTTGAGCACAAGCATACGTGTTTGTGATCCTGGCGAGCTGAACCATACAGACAGACTAGTTTATTGCCAACAGCCGCCTCCCCGAGCCGCCTCAACTAGGCTATTGGAACAATATATCTGCCGGTAAATACCCAGGTCTTCCTTTGTGGAACCTATCTACTTCCTCTTCGTAGCACTGGCCGTGCTACCCGAGGCACCGGTGGCCTTGACGGTGGCCGCAGTATCATCCTTGGCCGGGGCAGGAAGCTCCTTGCTGTCCTTCTTGTCCTCTCCGGCGTCCTCGTCGTCTCCACCTTGGCCAAACTCGTTCACTCGAGTGTAGTCCACTGTGTACGCCCAGGTCTGGTACAGGTAGACAAAGAAGATGATGTCGTCCCGGAAGGTCGCAAGACGATGCAGCAACGGCATCTTGATGGTGAAGGCGAACAAGTCGTCAATGAATGTGTTCAAAAACTTGTACATCATTGCCTTGCCCGGCATGTGAGCAACGCTCTTCAACCGGTAGTTGATGTAGAGAGCGGGGACCATCATCAAGAAGCCGTAGGCGTAGACGGAGCCCACGAGGGTTGCAATGATGAACGAGTACCACGACTTGTGCTCGTCGTATACGAGGGAGTAGATAGCGTATGCGACAAGCAGCGGAGCGCCGACCCAGTACAGATATTTGAATGCGATCTCGTCGTACTCTTTCGTCTTCTCCTCGGTTTCGCTGAGCTTGTGCTTATCCTCGAAGACTATCTTTTTCGGCAACCACGAGCCCGGTTCTGCATCGCGCACCCTGACGTTAACCACGGTCGTGATCTTCCACAGCTCGATGATAATACCGACACCCTGGGAGCCGAGAATCATCCAGCTTGTGTTCTGCGAGTTGTCCACGAGGTAGAGGAAGATGACGGTCTGCATGAAGACATTGGCCAGGATCGACCGCACAGAAATGCCAACATTGTCCTTCTTCTTGCGATAGTGCGCAATGTCGGAACCAAAAGCCAGGGTCTCGAGGATCAGATGCGCAATACTGACTACGATGGTGATACCGAGTAGAATAGGGTTTGTGTCGAGGAAGATCTCTTTGATCATCTCGATCTCGCTGCCGTCACCGCCACCGGCAACAGGGTTGCCAAAGGCAGCTTGACGCGCGGACTCCCTGCCGCCGAGTTCGATAGATGACATCACCTGGAATTTCCAATTGGCCAGGTTGTTCAGCTCGATGTGGACGGGCAAAGTCTTGACAGTCTCATTGACCAGGCTGTGTTGGCTCTTGAGTTGCCAAAAGCCGTTGGCGAACAGGATAGGGTAGTACCATGAATTCTGTCCGGATCCATCTCGGGCACCGGTAGGTTCGAGCTGAAGAAACTGCCGGACAGCACCGCTGGAGGTTGGATACATGATTGTGCCAACTCCCGGGACAAAGGACAGCGAGGTGTTGGGGTGATAATAATTTCCGACGATGATGGGTCCAATATCCTCTTCCTCGGCTTCCTCGGCTTCAGTGATGTTTTTGGTTTCCAGCAGACTGCGTGTCTTCTTGACCTTCTTCTTGGGGATGTACTGGGTAAAAGGGTAGACGAAGTAGTAGGCCTTGGCTGGATCATAGCCTGGCTGTGTCGGATCAAGGCGGGAGTCTCCGTGCAGACCAACATAGAAGTGTCCCCAGAGTGTTCCGTTGTTCTGAACAGCCTTGGGAACTGTGATCGTAGTGTCCACAGAACGCTTCTCGCTCCAATTGCCAATCTTGAAGTCTTCCTCCTTAAACACAATCATATCCTCCGGTGTGTCCTTGAGCGGAGTCGGCTTGACAGAGGACGAGAGTGTAATAATGATATCGATAACGCTGTCGTCGGGCCAAAGCGGTGCGAGCTTCTGTGGAATTGGATTCCAGGTAGCGCCTTCATCCAAGGTCTTGGGCCGTAGAGCGTAAGGGGGAACGTCGGCGGTGTTCGCAGGGACCTGGACCGTTTGACCCGAGGCATCGGTGACAGTCTTGCTTTGCGGAGCAGCTGGCACGAACTGCTTCATGAGGAATTGCATTCCCATGTACATGGCAAGACCCCACCCGATTCTCGACATGAGAGAGGACTGGAAACACTACAAGTCAGTCTTGATCCTGGCCGACCAGACGGGAGGAAGCTCGAGATGGACTACTTACGCCGCCTTCCTCTTGCCGCGCAGCAGGCGCAGGGCCTGCTGCTGCGTTTCCTTCAGGCATATCTGAAGATTGACCTGTCCTGAGATGGGAGACTGATTCCGCGACCGTCAGAGACAAAAGTCAATGAGAGGGAGAAGGTGGTGGGGGTGGGTTGAGAGGATGGCTCTGATCGACCCGAGGTGCGTTGCAAGGAAATATACCAGCAGTCGCACAAGCCACGTACAGAGCGGGCGTACTGTACCGTACTGTACGATACTCCGTGCTGGGGAGGACCCTAGCACGCCTAGCCAGAAGACCAGGGTGCCACGGGATGCCACACTCGGCCCAAAATGGCGGCATTGCCTGCCGAAGGGCACATGGCGAATCATCAGCACGCCAACGGGCACGCATTTCTGGCATACTTCACAGCATGCAGGGGAAAGTGATGAACTATTCAACCTCATCCTCTGTGATCCAATCCATCAGGCACCTACCGCTACGCATCCGCGACACGGGAGCGGACAGAGCCATTTGGAGACGATTTATCTGTTCGACCAGCTCCTTGGCCTTCGCCTACGCAAACCTTCGCCTAGCAGCGGTTGGTTTGTTCGTCTGTCAAGGTTGTCTGACGCTTGACCGGACTTTCACTGCCCCCATCATCACATCAGCCGAGACGCTCTCTGCTGCGGATCCAAGGTCTCGACAACAGCTGCTGTTACAATGCCATTACCATTACCATTGCCACCCGATTCGAGTGCACTGGCAGGTGGCAGGTGAATATCTACCGAGTGCCACGAGCATCCATGTCATGTCCAAGTCACAAGATGGCTCCCACGGCGCCGTTCGTCCCACTGATTCGAGCGCGAGGCCAATTGGGAGCATTCACGTACCCTTCTTCTTGACTGCATCCCTTCACCCTGGTTGCTTTTTCTTTCGCGTATAAGACCGAGCGGCGCTTATACTCACGCAGTGATAGAGGAAATATATATATATATATACACATATATCCTCAACTCTCTTTTCTTTCACCTGTTGGGACTCATCAAAATTTACCTAACCGAAATCGGTCGTATCGTGACTTTCTTCCCAACCTTGCCTGCCCGTGCTAGTCCCTAGGCCGTCTTCGTCATACCTCTCTTATCACTCTTCCGTGTCTCTCGTCACCCTCGACGCTCGAGACGCTCCTAATTACTATTAGTTTACTCATTCGACCTGACCAGAGATTTCAAGACCCTGCAGCTCGTCAGAAATCTGCCCTGCCCTCCTTACCATAGCTTCTCGCAACCAGCAAGCGTTGGCCCCAACAAGCAACAAGATGGCCAGCACTGAGAACGGCGCATCTGCGCCAGCACCACAGGCCTCAACCACCCCCAGTCTATCCAATGGACCTACTGAGCAGCGACAGACCAAGATCTGCGTCTACTGCGGTGCCTCGCCAGGTAACAAGCCTGAACACATGGAGTCTGCTCGCCAATTAGCAAGGGTCATGGCGGCACATAACATCGGCTTAGGTGAGTCACTTCACTCGCACCCTTCCTCAGGTTCTCGCCCACGCAGCGAGCACGGTACTGATGATCCCACCAACTAGTCTATGGCGGTGGCACAGTCGGCCTCATGGGCGAAATAGCGCGAACCCTCGTTTCCTTGACCGGCCCGGATTCCGTGCACGGTATCATTCCAGAGCCTCTCGTCAAGTTCGAGCGCGACCCGACATACACCTCCTTCGCGACCAACGGCAGCAGCACGGGCGCGAAGCTCGCGATCCCGGAGGAGACGGTGTTCGGCCGCACAACCATAGTCCCGGACATGCACACGCGCAAGCGCCTGATGGCGCAGGAGGTGGCCGCCGGCGGTCCCGGGTCCGGATTTATCGCACTGCCGGGGGGTTATGGCACATTGGAGGAGCTATTGGAAGCAGCGACCTGGAACCAGCTCGGTATTCAGTCGCTTGGGATCTGCCTCCTGAACGTCAATGGCTTCTACGACGGGCTGCTCGGCTGGGTCGAGAAGAGCGTCGAGGAGGGCTTCATCAGGCCCGGGAACGCTTCGATCATGGTCTCGGCGAACACGCCCGAGGATGCCATCCAGGCGTTGAGGGAGTACAAGGTTTCTGAGTCGCAGTTCAAGCTGCAATGGGGCAACGAGTAGGCGCGCGAATGAATTGACCGGTTGCTTTACGGCGTTGGCAGATACCATTGTGGAAGCTGAACGGCGTTCCACCGGCCATTGTAAGGATTGTTAGGACATCGCAGCTTATATATAGACTGATACAATATACACTTCACTCCGCTATTTTGCATTCTTTCGAGGTGCGGTGTCGGACAGGGCGGCAGAACCTTGGCACATTTTGCGGGAGTCCTAAGATAGACCAGGAATTTGAGAGCAGTTAGAACGGTACTAGGAAGTTATTCTAGACAAACCTGCCTAGATGCCATCTCGGAGATTATCATTTAGATGTAGAGGTTATTTAGATAGGTGATATCCCACAGGAGGTTACCATTGGAGGTCTGCCAATAAATCATCTCGTAGAACATCCCGTAGGAGTTCTTTAGGAGCTTCTCCCGCAGGAAAGCGAGTCTACGGGTCCAACTAAGGCTGTACTTTTGGGATCTCTGCGAGCTGTGTTGTGACGTGACTGTAGTATCATTCGAATCGCATGGGAAATGCTGGGAAGAGTCTATAGTTCAGATTCAGAGCAACGTCCAGGTATTCTGCGAAACCTGTCGATATTGCCCCCCTCCTTTAGGTTCTTTTTGGTGCCATTCGTACATCGTCTAAGCTAGATGACCACACCTATCTGTGGCGCGTGATCATTATAATCGTCTCACTCATCCGCACTCTTTCGAGTGCCATGCGTGTTTTCTCAGCCAGGCCCATGCTCGGGAATAGACGCCTAGCTGTCGACATCCATGCCCTCAGCAGCCGGTGCACTGCCCTCTCCCTCACCATCTCCATCTCCACCAGCCTCCTTGTCATCAGCCACGGCATCGATCCATGCCTTGACGTCTTGGCCGTCGTAGACCTTGAAAGGCTCGACCTTCTTGATACCGTCCTCGGTCCTCTTAACTCCAACAACGCCCACACTCGTGTTCTCGACCGTCAACTCCCGATCCTGCACCAGACTCTCCTTCAGGGCCTTCAGGCCGTGCGAGATCAGCTGCTCGCTATCGCACTTCTCAAACTCGTCGATGTGTCGCTCCAGGTATGTTCGCGCCATCTGGGATCTCGCGCCGATCGCAAAGGCCACCATCTCTTCCGTCATGCCGCTGGGCTGGAATTCGAACAGGTGGGGTCCCTTGTCATCGACGCCCGCCACCAGGAGGCCCACACCGTAGGGGCGCTTGCCGTAGTGTTGCGTGTTGATCTGGGCCTTCTCGCCAATCATCTCCACCAGTGAGCGCAGGGGCATGTCGCGGCCGTAGGTCAGTCGGTGGCCGAGGCATTGCTGCTTCATGAAGTTGGAGAGCACGCGCGCGTCCGAGGTCAAGCCGGCGATGGCAATACCGACGTGGGAGTCGATGGGAAAGAGTTTCTTTTGGTATGAGGAAAGTTCTTCGGCATTTCGCTGCAATTAGGTGTTAGAATCAGCTCACGGCTGTCATCATGAGGGTCGGAGGTGTGCATCGATGAAGCCGTGGTGGGGATCGTACCTTGATGGCCACGAGGACTGCATGTGTCTTGCTTGCTATTCCTACGACGACAGAACCTTGCTTGACTGCCTCTGCGGCGTATTCAACCTGGAAAATACGGCCTTGTGGCGAGCTGGAGTGTTGAGTTCGAGTTAGCTAAGCCCAGGCCAGACAGTCGCGACAGCACCCGGGGCGGGACGCCTACAATGTGACCGAGTCGTTGTCGTAGTTGTTTCTGAACATTTTGCCGACTCAATTGTGGAATGGCAGAATACGGAATCCTTGCTGGCTGACTGGGAGAGGAGAGTCGATCGCGCGAAGTCGACGGTCGGGTGAGGTTGGGGTTGATGTGTGGTCGCGATGGCGATGGTTGCAGGTGAGGTCAAGCTCCAAGGCTGAGAGGGATGATGCAGCAGCAACAGGCAGCTCAGAGCTTCGTACCTACCTTCGCACTGCTGTACCTAGGAAGCGACCCTAGTGCCACTGTTATCGCTTATCGGGCTGAGTTGGCCAGGGTTTGGCAGGTCTGGGGTACGTCTCAAACGCCGCGCGGCTGGCAAGCCTGACCTGGGCAGCAGCTGTGCCGTAGTAGGGAAGGAGCTCTTACGACATCACAGCCGGACCCCACGCACTGCGCACTTCGACCTCACGACGACAACCTCAACGAACACGCAAGCCTCCGAAGCGACTCGACCCCGGCATCATCTAGCATCGTATCTCTCCATAACGAGCTTCCTACAACCTGCCGCTTGAACACCCTCCCAGCCTCACGGCCCCGGCTCGGCCTCCCACTCTACCAGTGACACACGCCCATCTACCCCAACACAGACGAACAAGATGCCCGCCGCCGGCCTGAAAACGATCATCGCCCTCTCCTTCGTCCTCGCTGTGGGATTTCTCCTGGTCATCCTCTCATGCGCACTATGGAAGGTCTACTACCCGCTGCTGGTCGTCGCCACGTACGTGATTGCGCCGCTGCCCAACTGGATCTGTGGCCGGTGCGCCAACCCCGATGACTTCGTCGAGAGCTCGGGGGCCGGTGTTATGGATCTCGGACGTTTCTGCACAGGGTTCTTGGTCGTCATGGGAATAGGTAAGCTTCCACTGAGTCCGGTTGGAGGTGGGAGAGAGAGAGGGAGAGACAAGCCCAGCCTCCGCTGACCTGACGTGTGACAGCACTGCCAATCGTCCTCGCACATTCGCATCTCATCTCCATCGGCGCTATGGTCATGTCAGTTGCAGGTGGTCTGCTGATCTACGGGACAATCATCTCTTTCGGCATGTTCTTCCAGGAGGAGTCGGAATTCTAGGCGGAGCCAGAGTCCTAATGCGGAGGTTGGAGAGTGTTGCATGAGCACAGCGGAGCCCGCGGCTTGGGCATGAGAGATAGAATGGGATCTACGGCCTCATACAAAACTCAATGATGCTTGCGCTTGCGCTTGCGTTGGACTGTATCTGTACGAATCAATCATTGGTGGGTTTCCTAAAGCGACGTCTTTGTTTTCGGTCTTGGGTTCGGGTACGGGTGCTCTGGGTGGTTTATGGATTTAGGTACCAACGTGAAATGATTTCCGTTTCTAAATCTAGAGTTGAGTCTCCGGTGGCCCAGATCGTCCGTTGAATCTATGAATCTGTGCCTTCTGTTGAACCGATTCGATACGTTGAGTATGATGCCTCCTTCTAGGTGTTCCTAATGCAAATAACGCCTGGCCTGCTGACGCCTAACAAGAAACCTCATGCCTATTTCCCCGGAGCGCCGTGACCATGGCCACGCAAGATCACCCTTGCATATCAAGATGTCTCGCCAAAGATGCTCAACGGCCTCGCAAGCTTCACGAACATCTCGTCCCTTTCGCCCTCAGGAGTGCTCAGGATAGTCACGGCGCCTCCAGCGCCGATATGCCAGGTCTCCTTCTCTTCATCATCCTCCCCGCCCCTTTGGCGCTCATCGTCCCATCTGAACATACTTCTGATGGTGACGCTCCAATCTCCTCTGCCTGAGACGCACATGTAACCTACCACGCCAGAGTATAAGCTCCTCTCTTTGTGTCCCTCGATTTGCTGCAGAATCTCACAGCTTCTCTTCTTCGGTGCGCCTGTCATGCTCCCCGGAGGAAGACTCGCTGAGAGCACGTCAAGTCCCGAGTATCTCGAGTGAGGTTTCCATTTGTCCGGCTGTGGAAGCTGTCCCTCAACCACGGTGATCATCTGATAGACTGTTTGATATTCCTCCACTTTCAGCAGTTCTGGCACCCACACCTGGCCTGCGCCACAGACTCCGTGCATGTCGTGTCTGACCAAGTCCACAATCATCAAATTCTCGGCTTCTTCCTTGGGGATATGCAGAATTGCTTCCGCCTCCTCGAGGGTTGTTGCGCATCCCTCGGCAGGCTCTGATGATTTCTTGATGGTGCCTTTCATAGGTTTCATGGAGCACAGGCCTGAGCGGTCATACTGCAAGAAGCGCTCCGGTGACGAGCTGACGAGCGTCGCGCCCCCGAGGCGGATGTATGAGGCGAACGGTGCCGGGTTCCGCTTTCTCAATATGCGGTAGAGATCCCAGGATGTGTCCGACTGCGGAATCGTCTTCCGAGCACTTGAGCCCGGCAATCGAGAAGGCGCCACGGAGTGTTCTGTGTTGCAGCCCTCCTTCTGGGTCCTTATGCTCTTCGTGATGTGTGTCTGATCGGTCAGACAGAGCTCATAGGACTCACCTGCCGCAATGTACTCCTGGCACATGCGCACCTTTGCCTCGTACTTGGCCTGTTCCGGTTTGCGTATCTGCGTCCCCAGCGCATGCGACGGCGTCAATCCTTTGTTCGGTTCCGTACACGATCCATGTCGCCACAATTCGGAGTCCTGTAGCTTCGCTGCCACCGAAGCAATCCATCGTGTGTCACCTTCTAAATCCTGAATGTGTAAAATGCCAATTTCGTGGTCCACAACGATGGACTTTGTGGCCCAAACCAGGCACACATCCGGCCTCCGATGTTCCCGTTCTTTACCCAGCGCGATCCCAATATCACTAAGGCCTTGTTCGTAAGTCACATAGCCAACGAATCCACCCAGGAATGGAACGTCTCCCTCTTGTGGAACGCTGCCCCCATGTGTTTCTAGAGACGAGCGCTTGTACCCGTGAAACTCGGCCAAAAGGTGCCACACGTTTTCCCCCGGCTGAAGCGAGACCTTGTGCGAGGGCTGTCCCGGAGAAATGATGCTTATGAAACTATCTCCGGTGTGACTCTCGATGCGCACACACTCATCAATTTCGAGAGCGATGATGCTGAATCTTCCGCGGACGTCAACTCCCGTCTTAGACCTGGGCTGGTTGCCGTTTGCAGAGTCAAGTATGACATGGTCGGTGTCTGTAGAACCGAGAACCTCCACGATATCAGGAATCTCGATTCCTGTTGCTGGCGATATACTGATGCTGGTGGATTTGTAGAGAAGCTTTTGATCACTTCCATGGAGCATCGACTCCCAGACGTCCCTTCCCAGCGGTCTGTTCGCATCGACAACGGCGACTCGCTGCAGAAGACTAGGTTTGAAGGCTTTCCTCGCCAAGATGATGTTTTCATCCGGGCTGACGGCGGCAAGTCTGTGTTCACAGTTCCACCGCAAAGCCTGCTTGAACCAGTTGCGGATCACCAGGTTCCCTGCTTCTTCCGTGCAAACGGATTCGGGGTGATATTGCAAGCCCCAGAATGGTTTTCGCTGATGTTTCATGGCCATCAGGACCCTTTCCGTTCCTTGGCCGTCCTCCCTGTCCTCTTCAACCCAGGCTAGAGGAACTATATCGCAGAGACCTGACGGATGATCCCACCTGCGGTCTTGCCAGTCCTCCATGGTGTCCTGTCCCACGTCGGCACAGAGGCTGTGGTACAGTGTCGCCTTGAAGTTGCGCACGCCCACAAAGATGTTTTCGTCCCTTGAGAGCTCAACTGCCGAGCGGTGCTCGATGTTCCTCACCATTCCGTGCAATCCCCTCCTCAGCCTCCTGACTTTACCACCACATGCGAGCACCAGGCTTTGAAATCCCAGGCATACTCCGAGAACTGGAATCAGATCGTCCTCAGGCAGCTCCCAGAGCCAATTCATCAAGCCCACGTCAGCCTCATTTTGGGGCGAACCTGGGCCGGGCCCGCAGACGACGGCTTCATAGTGGTCAAGCTCGCGGCGGAAATCTTCCTTGGAGATAGCGGTGTCGATGGGGAGGACGAAAACTTCGACGTCCAGGAGAGTAGCCAGCAGAGATGTTATGTTGTTGGAGAAGGAGTCATACGCGTCGATGAACAGGATTTTTGGCCGGTTCGAAGATGATGTTCGTGGTGACTCCGCAAGCGACCCCATCTCGGCGTCGACTCAACGCAGGCTGGCCGGATGAGCGAGTGGGCCGATCATGGAATCTTCAATGATAGATTTTGCAGATGGCCCTGGTTCTGAATGCACGGATTCCCAAGGCCTAGCCACAATCGTTGCGAGGATCAATATTCAGTCAACCATGGTAAGCAAAAAGCATTGAGAAGAGTTCTGCCCCAAACTTTGTCCGAGCTGAGGGAGAGCGGGTCAGCCCTACGGAGTCCCGGTAAGCCGCTCGCTGTCAGCGCCGCTGAAGTTAGCGGGTCGGTAGCCGATAACGACGAGGTACACACTGCTAGTCCTCAGCGACGAATGTGAATGACGGAACAAGGCAAGACAAGGATGGAAATTGGCTAGCCTAGCTGTCAACAAAAGTCTTCGAGGGTTTGTTAGTCGGCGGCCTAGCCCGAGTCTTGCCGACACTGCAGAAATGACTCGGCTTCCGTTCTCCGGACATCGACCGCGTCAGAACCCATCTTCGGCCCCTTTTCACGGCGCGAGCAAGCGGCATCTACTCAGGACTCAACGTACCCACCGACGTCTTCGCGCCCAGATTCCACGGCTTCACTACGATACATGCAGTTACGCTTCTACATCCTGTGAATCATATCGACTCATGATGCCCAAATTAAATGTCCAGTGTCGTCACAGAATGTCTGGAGTCACTGCACGCTGGGCTGTCATTACTCTGAACATTGATAATCAAGTACCACACAAAAATCCCGGCTTTAAATACGAAGAATTTCTATCGAATTTTACTTATAATACTGCAACAGAAACAATACCTCGAAGCATTAACAAATTCGACGAGCGACAAATCGATCCTGATAACCTGCAGAATGCCCAGGTTTGTTGATATGTATGTTCAGGACTCCACAACGGGGATCCTCCGTCTGGCTACGCGTAGTGAGGAAGAGGAAGCGCTTCAGCATTTCCCCCAGAACTTCCGTGCGGAAGGAACTTGGATGTTTGACGAGGCAACTGGAGCTTATCGCCAGGCCACGAGAGCTGAGGCACGTGAGGTAAGCCGTGGTGAGCCAAGCGAATGGCGTGAAGAACGCGAGATGCGTCGCCGGAGGCGAAGGAGGCATGCAGAACGAAATAGATTCATGCGAAGAATGGGGTTCTGTGGATGAGAGTAATTTGGATGACGGAGACACCTTGCAATCTGATTGAAAACAGTATTCTTTCACCAGAAAAGAAAAAGTAAAGGGGGGGGGGACTCAACTCATAGCGGTGACCATCTTGTAAAGTTCTTGACTCAAAACATAAGAAAAGAAAGACGCACGTAGGTAGATACCCTATTTGTTGGTGCGCAATACAGTACATATATGTCCACAATTATTTTCAATGCTGCATGACTACTGTGAACTGTTCGAAGTCATTTCAAAGCCAGGCCGGTAAGGCTAAAAGTGATTTCATCATTACGACTACCATTTCGCATCCTGTCAAGAATTATTTAAGGGACAATGGAATAAAACGACCACAGGAGTGCTTGTTATCGACAAATGAATTGAGGCAGTTTATGCAGTTCTATATACGCAAATTTATGTACAGCGACCGAACTGAGTGTCCAGTCAACGAAAACGCTCAAGTAGCCAGCTCCTGAATAGCTTAGTGCGACGTGTATCTGACTTTCTGCGAGAAAAAGGAGAGGGCTCATTCCAAAAACTCATTTGGGACAAACAGCGGCATAGAGTCCTCCCACATCGAATCCGTCAGCATCTCCTTGTTGCTGCCGTCCTTATCCATGATCATAATCTGGCCGTAGGGCTGGAATGTATCGTCGTAAGTCGCACACTCATCCCTGAACCCATACATGCCACTGCTCCACATGATCCGGTTGTCCGCGGTCCACACAGCGTGCGCGTCGTTGGCACCGCTAGTTGTGAGAACCTGGACGTCGGTGCCGTCCGGGTTGACAGTACATATTTCGAACCGGTCCGATTCCCAACGGCCGCCATACTCAGCGGTCCAGTTGGTTTGACGGGTGAAGACGATCTTAGTACCGTCAGGCGACCATCCTGGGGTGTTGTCCCAGCCGTCGGTCAGGTTTCTTACGGATTTGTCCGTGAGGTTCATGACCTTGAGGCCTAGAGGACCATTCTCCCAGTCCCAGGCACGGTAGACAACTTGCGTGCCGTCGGCCGAGTAGCTTGGGAACCCGGCGTTGTGGCTTCCATCAGTAAGCTGCTCGTAGTGGCTGCCGTTGGCCGTGACTCTGTAAAGGTAGCCCGTGTAGATGGCACGTTCGAAAAACCAATAGCCCAGACTGAAGACGATCCACTCCTCATCGGGGCTCCATGTAGGCTGGAAGGAACCGGCTAATCCTTGGTTGATGAATGTGGAGTTCAGCTGGTTTGTGGAGTACGAGTCGAAAGCCAGGAACATATCAGACCCATCGGGCTTGCTGTGCACGACAGACGAGTTCTGACTGCCTGTCTGCTTGGCTGTGTACACAAGGCGGCCAGTCTTCGAAAGCAATGGAAACACGTCCATATGCCGGTACTCCCAGTCATCTTGCCAGCTGTAAAGCTTCTTTTCCAGAGGGCGGATGTCCCAGCCGGTGCGTTCGTAGACGACCTGTGTACCATCGGGAGACCAGTGTGGGTTGCGGACACTGCTCACAAACTGCTGGTGTGTGCTGGTGTATGCAGTATAGTTCAGACCTTCGGTTTCGACACCCTTGACTATGTATCCCAGTGACGAGTTGGTCACCCATTGCGGCGAGAACTTGTTTCCTGCGCCAGACGTGTGCTCGATGCGGTCTGTACCCGTGGCGAAATCGACAGACACAATCTGCGTTGTAGTGCTGTTGATGTCCTCAGGTCGGTGGCAGTTATATGTATTCTCGCGTGTTATTTCATAGAAGGCAACACGGGCCCCGTCGGGGGACCAAGTGGGTGATCCCAATGAATACCCGCTCTTGGTGACGACCTGCCTGAAATCTGAGCCGTTGGGCCTGATGGCGTAGATAGAAAGCTCCTGTGTGTGCTCCCAGCCCGTTCCGTTGTTGTGACCTGTCCAATCCGTGTTTCGATCCGAAGAAAATAAAATCCACTCGCCATCGGGACTCCATGCGGGACGATAGTGGCCGTCTGGGCTCTCCTCGGTCGGTGCACCCACCGTGTCGGCCGTGTTGGTCAAGTTTTTTGCCACGCCAGTTTCTAGGTCCATGACCCAGATGTTACTGACGTATCCATTGGCAGTAGATACGTATGCCAACTGTGTGCCATCCGGAGACAACACCCCGTCATTTTCAAGCGACGGAGTATTTACCAACGGGGTCATCCCAGTTCCATCAATATTCTACTCATCATTTAGAATTAGCCAATCCATCTCCAAAAGTCACGAGTGGGTGCTTGTGTCCAGACACGGAAAAAGCGTCAAATACATCGATGTATGTTCAGGAGATGGTGTTGTAGCTTCGGTGTGAACTCACTATGCGATATATGTCCGCATTACCATCTTCTCGCTCCGATGTGAATGTGACATATTGGCCATCTGGAGAGAAGTGGCCATGATACTCAAAGATAGATTGGTTCGCTGGAAGTAAGGCTCGCTCGTTGCTGCCATCGGAATTGGCCACATAGAGAGTTGATGCGGAGGGGCCGATACGGTTCCTGTGGTTTGATATGAGTATCCGTTGCTAAATGGTCCAAGACTAGACTTTTCAAGCCCTCAGAGTTGTCACGTTTGATTCTCTGAAGAATGATCCAGTGGGTTGGGGGGGTTGCCGAAAAGCGCTGCTCGAGTTGACTTACATAAAAAATACGCCCTTCTTGCCTTCGGCTCTCTTGCCCCGTAAGCTGGTATCAGACACATGAGGATATGAGTTGGACATCGGGTCGATCTTGTCGGACCGAACTTCCAGCTTGTCTGCATATGGGCACGCTGCCATGACCTGGCTGGCGGCCAGCCAGAGCACAGGCAGCGAGCCGGATGGTATCGTTATCCAACGCATTTTGTGCGACTTGCTCTTTGCTTCCTAGGCAAGAGAAGAACATGTGTCAAGTTGTCCAGAGAGATTGACAACCCAGTGGCGATATGGATCAGTCCCTTGAAAGGGCGACGGCAGACTTATATGTTAGCTCGGAAGGGGCATATCTAGTCACGCTGTCTCGTTCGGCCGAGCTCTGCCAGCATCTAGATATCTGCTTCGGAACTAAGGGGGGCAACAAGCTCCACAGACCCTCCAGCGGACACTTCTAAATTGAGCAGGAGATGAGCTGAAAGTAATCAATGTCTGATTGAATCCTTGTCATATCCAACCGGTGGTCGTTTTCAACGGCCACACACTCTTGTAGCATGCGCATGGTCCAGCGTCACACAAGAAGGCAGGGGTTGCGAGAGCCTCAGCCCTTTTCAGTGTAAGTGCTCGCATTGTGCAACCACACTCATTGGTAGATTTGGCTGACGCCAGTCGTAAGAAAGTTATGGTTTATCACCGAAGTTGAACGCGTGCGTCGTGGGCTAGGGGCGAAGTGCTATATTGAAAAGAGGGTCCTCGTGGATATGGGAAACCCTCGCTCGGGTCGGGCGTCCGAGGCTATCACCGAAGGTCAAAGAAACCATCACACTCACCCTTGCAGCCAAGAAAACAGCGTCGTCAGAACCCAGCTTACCATTCAGGCAGTTGCACCGCCCATCAATCAATTGTTTCTTTCTTTTCCCATTCATTGGAGTCGGGGATGTTGCCTACATTTCATGCCTCGGAGCAAAGGCCGGATCTGGTGGAGACGCAACACGCCTTCATTGCAGTTTGGGACCGAGGACCCTTACTTCATTGGCATCTAGGTGTCCACAACCTTCGATACAAATCGAAATCAAGTATCGTCAATGAGACGGAGTACATGGATTCAATTGACTATGGTCCTTCCTCATTAGTTCATCTGCAACTGTATCTTTACAAGCAGACTCCTCACATCAGTGGTATGCCTACGGCTTGCGTCGTAAGATATATCGTAGATAGGCTGTGATAATCCACTGTGTTCCCCACATCCCGTGTTTATTATTTCAAATCCCAAGAACATATTGGCTGTTTCGATGGCCACTCAGCATCACGGAATTACAAACAAGTGAACGCAGCATCCTGAAAGTCCCAGCCCGCGAAAGAAATAGCCCTCCTGAAGTCATTGCTGAAGCCAACTTCCAGCAAAACCCAGCAAAACCCAGCAACCCACGCCAACCTATTTTTTGCATTCCAGCTAAAATTATGGATCATACCATGCTGTAATATCGAGGCTACCAATCGGACTTTATTTACCTTTCATTATCACGTCAGCTCTCTTTGTCGCCTTACCCTGCATATCGTGTAGTATAAAGCTCACACGTTTTGCATATCCGAGTACAACTATCAAGAATTGATACACTTGCCTTGTCAAACAAAGGTCACCGTATACGAATATTGTTGCTGCCGGTTTTGATCAATCACATTCTAGTCGCAATAAATTATTGTTCCAATTCAAATGTTCGCTTGCGTTTGGTTCATGGCTACTTGGAATGCTTGAAGCTTTGTACGCGGCTACGGCTTCGAAGTTAGTATGGTAATTGCTTCATGTCATAGGCTGGCAGAGACTTCTGGCTCTGCTTGGGCAAACCTGGTCACTCATATCGCGGATCTAGCTGCTGCATTCGAACTGCTCCCTGAGATTCTACCTACGTAGTAGCCGGTTACTAAGGCTTACTCGTTCAATTCTCTACGTATGCTCAATTGACTACTGTCGTTCTTATCGGGCATGCTTTTCTATGTTGCATTCGACCTTTTGGCATGTCTTCGGTTACTAGAGTAGATCCATCAAAAGGCTCTAGGTTCCTGGTCTCAACCCAGCTCTACCTGGGGGAACGTCGCTGCCCCCCACTCTCTCAGTGTCGGACACAATCGATCCATCGCTACGTACTGACAAGTCCCTAAAGTACAGCTCAATCACTTCCACCGCCGTGTTCGTCTTGCCACCGAACGACATTATTTGTTCAACACCTGCAACGGCATAGCTGCCATTCTGCGCCCCACCGCCAGGGAATACCAAGCGCGTGCCGGAGGCATTTTGACAAGTCGAAAGCAACAATTCTGAGATGTTTGGGACAGCATCCGCCGTTTCAGGCAGCACTGAGAAAACCTGCAGTCCACTCGGGAAAACAGCTTCCTCGCCTACCGTCTTGCTGGTGTTTTTGCAACGGCCGAGCAATGTGTCTGTGCGTACTGTACCATTAGGCAACACAAATTGCGTGGAGTTGACGACCAGCGGATACGAGGCAAAGGACGAAAACTCGATTGCATCGTCGCGGGTTGAAGCACCAGTGGCGGTTGTCTCGAAGTGTACACTTGAGGTATTGCCGAAGTCGCTGATGAAACCCCGAGCGGTAGTAGTGATGTCCTGAGCCCAAGTGATGTTGATCGGACCTGATGGGGTTATAATAGAGCCTGTGATGCGAATCGAGCGGGAGACAGACACATCATATTTAAGTGTCTCGTTGACCCCAGTAGCATTCTGAGTGAGGCTTTGGGTGAGGGTGATCACTGGATCAGTAGCATCAAGAGTTGGCGGTGATCCGGTCGTGATGAAAGAAGCATCGTCTTCAGTCCAGACGAAGACCTTCCCGCTGAGTTGCCAATAGCCGCCAACTGATGTTGATAGGGTTGCTGAATTGTTGCCGTTGTCATCAAGTCCTACGACTCTGAGGGTAAAGTTGTGCGGCGCGCCATCGCAAAGTAATGGCAAAAATGGCGAGATATCAATCTCAGCCTCCTTCTCGTCGAAAACATCGATTCCCACTATCGGGCTCCAGAACGAGGGATTGAGACCCCCAGTGAAGATTATGGGGAACGGTGCCTGAATGCCTGCCAGCTGGCCGTCAATGAACAGCTGTATCTCTCTGTAACCTGAGAACCCGCCTGACGGATTTCCCGTGGCATTGAAGGATAGGGCTGTGGAACTAGGGAAATTGGACCACCAAAATTCCTCATCGATCTGACCGCAGGACTGGATAGTGAAAATAGCCTTCCTGGCGTTGCGCGGAAAGTCCTTGACAATAGTCGTCGCATTGTCATTAGCAGTATTGAAAACACTCGGCCGAGATTCGTTGAGACCTATGCGCCTGGAGATTGGGATAATCTGGTCTGCATTGGGAGAAAGACTTCCAGGTGCCTGGAAGAAAGTGACCTCTAGTGTTGTGTTGAAGATACCATCCAACTGGTCCAAATCTTCGTCAGTCTCCGCAGAAAATGCAACAGTGTGTACTAGGTGGACCAGAGAGACAGATAAATTATATCATACATTTTCGTTAAGAAGATTGCCGAGGTCGAAGATGATCCTCTGGGGTTGCCGCCACAGTGGCATAAATGATGAGGCGTCTTTGATCGCCGTGTATGCCACCCCATTCCGACGAGGTTGAGCAGTAGACCAACGCAAGACTTCGGTATTTCCAAGAAAGCTGTAGATCAATTAATGGAATTATTTGTGGTCTAGATAAGATGCACTCACATGAATGAGAGTCTATCGAACTGCCTGCCAATAGTCTCGACTGTGAGGTTCATGACAGCTGTGTTGCTATTCCCTAGACATTCGGGCGGTGCGTAGTCACCCACGAAAGGCTGATTAAATGAATTTGCAAAGGAACGAATCGCGAGGGTTACTTTGCACTCCTCAGTTGAGCCCGCATTCACGGTTGTGTCGACACCAGTGAATGGTGTTGGTCTTCCGGCTCCAATAATCTGCCCGTCCCAGCCCAGGATGGGTGGTGTAACCTCCAAGACCTGAGAGACCAGAGTTGAATTCGGAAACTGCCGCTTGCTGAAGTGGCGATCATCTGCTAGTAGTATGTCCCGTTCATAGTGATGGTGTGGGATGCTAGCCTTCGACGCAGGGCTCGCCAACGACGTTACCTGGCCGAAGAGCAGCAAGTAGTAGAACAAGAGCATCGCGTGTGCCCGATGGCAGTCGGCGTGGGACCTTATAGCGTCGTATACTCCGTATACGCGTGCCGTTCTCAGGGACGAGATCTAGAGGCCTACCGGTGGACGCGTTTTAAGGCGAAAAGCTCATATGCGCGACGATAACGGCCAGGCTTTTCCCCCTTTAATATGAAGTAGGTAATCGATCCGCGGGGACAATACTTATGAGCACATCGGGGTGCAGTTGAAAGAGTAGTAGCTCGAAACGGAGGAATTATATAGGGGATTTGAAATTGGCTGGACCTCTGGTCGAAGTTTATTTGAAATTCAGATAGATTCATTCGTGTTCAAGTCGATTCAGGGGGGTTGTTCAGCTGCAATGCCAGGACGGCCCCTCACAAAACCACAAGCAATTGGGTCAGATATCAGGAACATTTTATCAATCTGTGAAGTTTTTCAGAGACTGCCAAGTCCTTAGAAATTGGAATTCGACTAGAACAGGAAGACATGCTTCATGCCCTCACGACATTGTGTAATTCACTACAGTTGTTCCATGTGTGTGGTCACCTTGGCGCCAAGTCGTTGCTATGCTTCAAGCTTCGATACGGAATCTCAGGGTTTGTTTAGAGTTGTTGGCTCATCCAGAATTTGATCATTCCATCATCGACTTACAGGACGCCCATCTAGACCGTAAACCGTGGTTGCATGTAAATCCAGACCCCGGTCGCTGGTGAATCTTTCAACTGCCATGAAATCTAATCATATGATTATTGTCGTATTTGATGGGCCCAGACCTTGAGCCATAGCAGCCTTTCATCAAGCCAATTGACCCTCAGCTTTGTCTTCGAATCACGTCTCACGAAGGCATTGGTCCAATGACGATAGAGAGGTGCTCTTGAGACAATTCTATAGTATCTCTATCAAAATCTTCAGCAGCTTAATCGGATGCTCCTTTCGAAATAGACAGTTCTGCGTGGTCATTAGACTTCGCATGTTTGGTTGGAGCACATCTCTGAAAGGGCACTTTGAAGGATATACCACAAAGAAATCTGATCCAGATTTTATCGCCTGCGTTTTCCTGTGAAACATAGGGGCTTGGATCCCACACGTGTAAGTCCAAGCCTGACTGGTTGGCAGCAAATAGGTGACAGTAACCTCGGGTGACTTTGCTTCTCCTTTCTTGGAGACATACCTTTGGAAGAAAGCTTTTATATGCTTGTTCAGCATTTGAAAGAAAGTGAGCGATCAGACAATGTTGATGCCAGTGACCAGTCAAAGTTTGCAGCACACTCTTATGCCTGGATTTGTTCAATGTCTCACTTGAGTTACTTAGCACAACGGAAACAAGGGCTTGATACAGCAGGATTTCTTTTGCAGATATTTGAAAATGAAACTCTCAGTTGGACAAAGGGTGGAGTAAGCCATGGTGGCAGACGCTGGTGCAAAATCCCTGCGTACACAGAATGCGGCGCAGTCCCGTTGACCGACGCACAGAAAGGTGGACAAGGACACTTTTGCTTGTCAGACACATGGAGGTGATAACATTAATTCAACTCAGAACCTTATCTTTTCTTTCGGAATAGGGCCATTTGAACTCATCTCAGGTCGAATTTATGCAGTTTGGCTGAGGCTCAGCCTGGCGTGCGGGAGGGGGGCTCTGACTTCTTTGTGTTGATAGCAGTTCTGGCTTGACATACAAGGCGCAGACAATCTGTCAGCCAGATAGCACTCCAGACTGAAGTTCGAGCCCTGGAAGGAAGTTGAGTTCTTGATGCATTGTGGTGTCTTACACTCTCGGTGCTGCCGCTCAAAATGAAGCTGTTGGCTCGCGAAGTCTTTTCAAGGCAACAATTGTGCGTGCCTTCCCAGCCAAAGACGCTCCGGTGCATTGGAACAACATTCGTAATTTTTATTTAAACCACGCTTCTCTCCTTGAATCTCTTCCCGGTGTTGATCTCATCCCGCAACCCCTAAGGAGCAAAATCACTGCGAAAGACAGCGTTCCGAACCCCAGCCAAAGCCATACCACCTTGGCCCCCAAAAAGCTACTTACCCCATTGTTTTCAGTGACAAGCCACTCCACGAAACTCGCCTCATAGGCACCCAGCCAAAAGTCTTGCCACAAAACCAGCTGGACAGCCTCACGCAGCACCCGTCTTGAGGGTGGTCACACTTGAAGATGGACAGGCAACGATATCTTGTCATCATTGTTCGCCCACCGTCAGAGCTCGTATCTATGACTCCCGGCAGGCGGTCATCTCTCTTGGTCCCTTTCAGCCCCGAGGCAGTCGTTGCTTCTTTCGTCGAGGAACTTTGGAAGCGTCTCGCCCGACATGATGGGGCCATTCCTCTGACTGCTGAGACTCATGACGTCTCCCTCCACCTCGAGCATGAAGCTGGCCCTATCATTGACATCGAAGACCTCCTGTCCGATGTTATCATTGATACTCAAAAAGAAAAGATTTACGCAGTTTTCTCGAAGAAGAGAAGCACTGCAAGTGGAGCTCAGGGCATTCAGGTACACAGATATTTCTACACCACGTTCCGCGACCTCCATTTGAATACTTTCTAACGTCGTGGCTTAGATGACCCCAAACCTCGCAAAAACGAGTGATCTTCAAGAACATCTTGCTTTCCGTATCATTACCCCATCTACAACTAAGCATCGAGACGCCTGTGCCAGCTTGAAAGTACCGGTGTCCACCACTATCCGACAATTGCATTCATACATCACGGACGCCCTCGGGCATACACCGGGAACTCCAGAGACAGTAGAAGCTTGCGAGTGCAACTGTACCTTGGCGAAGGAAACTTCCTCAGGTCCTTCAGACCTAAAACACTTTTTGGTCGTTCACGGCAAGAGTATCGTCGAGAAATTGCCACTTGAGATCGCCACAGTGGGCTGCTTGCAGCAAGCACTTTATGCCAGGTTCGGTCAGGATCTGGAAACGAGAAAGAGGATCGTTTACGAAGGCGCAATGCAGGAACCAGAGGACAGCAGGATCTACAAGAAGACTCCTGTGGTTTCAATCTGCTCCAAACAACGACACGTGCCATTTCACGCTCGCGTCGATCTTGATGACAGCAGAACGAGACCACAAGCACTCGACCTCCACACGTCCGAACTGCCCATCCATCCTGCATGCTTCGGTTCTACTATCGAGGCGCTAGGCCTCAGTGATCTCGCGATGAATGGGTTTGTGGATATTTATGCCGTTTTTCGTACTCCATCTGCCGAGTTGCCGATCCTCAGAGGGAAATCTGCCATATTTCGGGACTTGGCTCACTGGGAACCCTCGATTGCTCAATCTGATCGAGGTATGGCAATGTTTCTGTCCTGCTTACGCGTGTTCGCCTCAAAATTGCAGGGTATGAAGAATGACGAGAGCGCCCGAGACGCTGCGTACTACGTTTTTGATGAACTCTTTCGATTCCCTCCAGCACTTCGTTGTCTGCACTTACTCGTGGGCGGTCAGACACCTACGGTCATTGACTGCGCTTCTCTCAGTCAGTCAATGTTTCAGGTTCTGAAGAGTTGTCTGCAAATGGATGCGGTCACTCAAGATCCAGCTCGGATTCTCGAAGGCTCACGTCTCCTTTTTGGGTTTATTTTGGAGTCAGCCAGATCACTTCACAAAGTAATAGATGATGGTCTGACTGAGGAGGAGAAAACGGCGAAAAAGCTGCGTTACACATCCGCCTTCCATACTTATGATATTCGCGATCACAAAACCCAAGAACCGGTACTTCATGCACTCCAGACATCAAATGGCTTGATGGAAGAGGAACTATTCCATTCTCTCCAGGACGGTGGCATATTGGCCGAAACTCACCTACAAGCATTTCTTGTCCAGACTGAAACTGACCCGAGATTGAGTCGCTTTGCTTTGCAAAGCGGTGGCACATGTTCCGAGGTCCTTGTCTTGTCTGCAGGTGGACTTGAGGACTGCTATGGCTCAGAAGGCAGCGCTCTTAAACTTGATGAACTTTGCGATCTGTTACACCTGGCGGACATATGTGGGCGAAATGGTCTCGCAGTGCACAGGCCCACTCAATTGGCATCTGCAGTTGCACCATGTCTAGCCTTTGATCGCAATGCCCACTTGGCCGTATACACTGGAGAGCAACCATGTGGTGCCCCAGGTCATTCTTCCATCATTTTTCGACCACAACATGGAGAAGAGACTATCGATCCGTCGGTGATAGAACAGCTCATCGCACCTATCATCGAGAGGTTCGAGCAAGACGGGTCCGCAGTTTTCGATGCATTCGGGGGTGCGGAGGTGAGAAGAATGCAAGATCCGAATGAAATCATCAGTAAGCCATTTCAGATTAAGTGCCACTGGTTTCCATACTTGTCTTCTACTAAATTGCTAATTTCTGCATTGAAGTGTTCTGTATCGACTCCAGTGCTAGCATGCTTGAGGCCACAGACTTTAGCGAGGTCAACGAAGAGAGCCCCAGGCTTCATGAACAAGCGCACAGCCTGATCGAGTACGGAAGTCAAAATGCGCTGTCTTTGGAGGAGATCAAGAACAGTCTTGTCGCTCACGAGAGTTTTGGAGACATGGTCGCCATCGTCACCAAGACTGTAGAGAACCGCAAGAACTCGGTGACGACCAAAGTTTTGGCTCTGCTCACCTCTATGTTATCCTCCGAGATTAGTACAAAGTCGACAGAGCTTGAAAACGAGCGACAATCCATGTTTGGACCTGTCTGGCGCACGCGGATATCTGGATTGGAATCTGACCTGCGAACGCTCAAGGCTTTTTGTCATGGTCTCAAGACCCACGAGGAGTCTCTGGTTCAGTTTTTGAGGTATCGGGCGAGCTGTGTAAACCAGGAGGCAGCTCAGAAATGGACATGGTCTCCTGGTGACCCAGTTCCTGCGGTTCCCGGATCAGCAATGGTCCCGAGACTGGCCTACGATATCACGGAAGTCCCGAGCCACCTCAGATGCCCAATTTCCCACAGCCTGATGGAAGATGCAGTGGAGGCCTCTGATGGTCAGACATACTCTCGAAGTGCCATACAACAATGGTTTGCCATACGTAAAACATCTCCGTTGCATGGCGCACCACTTGATGACCTCTCTCTGACGGTGAAACCAGAGATTCGAGGCGAAGTGGCATCTTGGATTGCTGGTGGTGCTACAAGAAGCACTTCCCACATCATCACTGTGATCTTTGACAGTCGAGTTGGCTCATTCGCTAGAACCATCGCCGGAGCCACAAGCTTGAGAGACCTTTACAAACTTGCGTATCGCGGGCTCAAAGCAAGATTTGAAGCATTCCAGCTTTCATACGGTGGAATCAGGCTGTCAGAAAGCACGGTCCTCAATGTATCGACCGTGGGGCTGAGAGACTCCGATCATATCACGCTTCGAATACCAGAGGACGCAGACATCTTGAGAGAGGGACCACAAATAAGTTCTAGACGAGTACAAAATGCGTTGCCAGAAATGTGTCTTGTGAAGGTCTTCTCACATACCAAGAAGGAACTCTTCGGATTCTGGGTTCCTAGAGATACCACAGACACTTTTGCATCAATCATTTGGAAATACTGGCGATACCTTGCAGGCAATCATACTGAACCCCACATCATGCGACTATTGACAAAGGTAAAAGATATTGGTGATGGTTGGTTCAATGCATCTAGAAGGAAGGCAACCGAGAAACTAGCAGCCGATTTCACGACTGCTCAATGCACTGGCCAGCTAGAGGCCGAGAGTGTCTTCAGCGGGGTCAGAACGAGTTCCGTTGGGTCGCAGTCCAACCACAAAATCCTCAAGGTATTTGTGCAAGAACCAGTCAAGGCTGGCTGGGACGATAGGCTCACGCGCCTCGACGTTCTGAAGCAAATGTTTGAGGCTCTAATCAACCGCATGTTGGCATACAACTACAAGAACCATGTGGGACTTGTCAAATTCTCGAGTCAATCCCAAGTCGTCATGCCAATCTCCCACGTATTGGAAAACTTCAGAAGAGCCACCAACGAGCTGAAGGGTGGCGGCGACACGGCCCTGTGGGATGCCTTGGCTCTTGCTGGAGATCAGATACAGCAATACGCGTCCCGATTCCCTGAGGCTAAGAAGCGTATTGTCGTCATTTCGGACGGAATGGATACCAGCTCAACAACAAATACAAGTCACAGCATCACTTCGGACCTCTTTCGAAAGGGTATCTCAGTTGACAGTGTGTCACTTGGTGCTGAGGTCAACATGGACCTACGCACACTGTCGTATTTGCTTGGTTCATATAGATTCCATCCAACTTCGTTGACGAACGCGCTTGCAATGTGCGAGATGGAGCCTTTCCTATCGCTCTCTCAGAGACCACCAATCGCATATCCTCTTGAGAATGTGGCCTATCTAGATACGAACCACTTCAACATACGATTTAGAAATTCGAGGCGACAAGCAACAGCTACCTTGGTCACGGGTGACACAGTGCCTCCGATCAAAGAGCATCCAAATATGGGAGATGACTTCGTGCAATTGACTGCTCTTGTCTCCGGTCGCAATGTCATAGGTCCAGGGGTCACTGCACCAGCAAGCAACGGCTCGGGTCGCTCAAGACTGCGTGTACCACGTCTGATGAACGAGATCAAGACAATCGCAGCTCGTGGGCGTCATGCCAAATATGACATCTACATCAGCACAGCTGATGTGTCCTTCTGGAAGATCGTCGTGGAAGGACCAGATGACAGCCCGTATTCTGAGGGAGTGTTTCTGCTGTATCTCCACGCAGACGATGGATACCCAACATTTGCGCCCAAGGCGCGATTCGTGACGAAAATCATACACCCCAACGTGAACGTTCACGGCAGGATCTGCCACAGCATCTTTGACCGCGATTGGACCAGCGACACGAGCATGGGAGCGATTCTAGATACCATTTACGGCCTCCTGTATCAGCCAGAGTCAAGCGATCCCGTCAACACGACGACGACGCTGGGTTTCTTCCACGACCCGGTTGAATTTTCCGAGGCGGCTCGGGAACATGCTCGGAAGCATGCTTCGAAGACGCGTGAGGAGTGGAAGGCTGAGCTTTTGGGCGAGTGATAGTTTATTGAGCTATGTCCAGGTAGACAACCTCGTCTCCGGACAGATGGAGATCATTTGAATCCATCTTGCCTCTGAAAAAATCATAGCCTTACTTGCGCAGCAAATTTGAAGGAATGTTACGTAAATCGCATCATGATTTCCATATTATGACGGCCTCTTTTGTTCTCAAATATGATAAAATGATTTCATCCCTTGGACGCTTGACGGAGGAGTGAGCGGTGGAATTACTTTACTTTTTCTTTTTCTTTTCTTTTTTGGATAGGACGTTTTCTAGTGCTGACCACATATAAACAGTGGGAATATGTGTCTGTAGACTTTAAGACAACACGTGAACTCTATCGTGGAGATATCCTCTATCCGGTAGGGACATCGAATCTCCCTAAATATACCTTTTGAACTGATAGGTGGGATAAAGCGGAACCATTGTCATTGAAGGATCGTCATTCATGGGATGTGGACCGAGGGAATCAGTCTCTTTAAATACAAAGTTTGGCATGTGCGCAAGGGTGGATCAGGAAAAGAACGTCTTTCAGGTCATGCTCCTGCTACACGTTACGCCCTTAACACTTCTCAGCATCGCTCCAAGAGCCTCACATAAGTAACTTTGCGCCACACTCTTGTACAGTATAGTATGATTGCTATTTGCTATGAAGGTTGGAAATCCCAGATTGAAAACGAAGTGTTAGCCATTGATGATGTCATTCAAAATCTATTGGTCCATACTGCGAGGAATGAGTTCAATTTCGCTTTGGTGCTTTTCACATATTCTTTAGGCTGCGTTGCTCATTAGATGTTGTTCTCGCAGCGACTGAAGATTTCTTGTGACAATTTAGTCCACGACACATAATAAGACTTTCGTCTGGTTCGTCTCACAGCTGTGGTCTTTCCTAGCTTTGGACAAGAATCCCTAGCGAGAGGCCACAACCAGATAAGCTTCAAAGTTGCTGATAAAACACCGGGTCGATCCCCACTCGAAAGGCGCAAAGTGGCACGGCAACTCAAGATTTGTAATGTTTTGTCAAGCCTTGTTAATCTCGGACTGACGAGACTACAATTCAGACTTTTGGGAGATGTTGCTCTTTCAATATAAATACATTGATCCTGTGGCCCAGCCAGCCCGGCTGTCTTGGAGCACAAATCCTCCAATCCCCTCTATCACTTGCTATAGGCTTGGGACGCTATCATGACGGAGCACAACAGAATCGCTGTGTATGGCCACAGGGGCTGGGCAAGCTCAGCCATCGTTCGCGCCCTCTCGGACAGTGGAGCCACAATCACAATCCTACATAGGGCCAGCTCGGACACACATGGGCTTCCTTCTGGGGTCAAAAGAATACAAGTGGATATCAATGACCGTGAAGCCTTGGTTGCCGCCTTGCAAGACATTGATATTCTCATGTGAGTTTGACCGCCAGATGCACCTAGCTTTTTCCCCCAGGTTATTGACATTGATCACTCCTTTCTAGATCTCTTGTGGGCCACGATGGTGTTCAAAGTCAGCATGCATTTGTCAAAGCAATCCCACACACACATGTCCAGTTGTTTTGTCCATCGGACCTTGCGGCCCGTTATGACGAACAGGGGCTCCAGATTCCGGTGAACAAAGCCAAAGACGAGGTTGAGAGGGCGGCCAAAGAGACAGGTATCTCCACCATAGTGGTGCTACCCGGAAACTTTGCCGAATTTGCATTGAATACAAAGTGAGTGTTGAGAGAGTTATGCTTCGCGCCGCCTGTGCGATTCGCGCGTTTCACGTCCTGACAATACACAGGGCGATGGGAGTGGATATCCCGGGGAACAGAATCATCTTCACTGGTGACAGCGCTGAGCGTAGACTGAATTTGTGGTATGTTCCAACCCCCGTAGGAGCCATTTCAAGGCAAGATCCTCTTGCGCTTGAAATAGGAGGACCGTCAAGTCGACAAGAGAGACGGAAAGCGGGACGTAGAACGTGTTTGATGACCAGATGGAAACACTTAGCTGACTTGGTCCGTCCGGCAGCACAAGAGACTACGTTGCTGCTGCATATGCCTCCATATTTGCGGCAACCCCAATCTCGCAGCTGCGGAACCGTTCAATCTGCTTGACGGAGCTCTCGCCGACGGGTGATGAGATAGCAAAAGCACTGGAGGAGAAGAACGCCGCCCCACCCAAGACCATCGTGCACAGCCTCGACAAAGTCAACAACGAGATAAAGAGTTGTTTACAGTCGGGGACCCCCTTCGCCCTTCCATGGTACTGCCGCAAAATATGGGGCAATGGAAAGCAAGCGAGCATGGTGGGATCGGACGTCTGGAATGTCGGTGGGTGTCGAAAGGTTGGTATCCGGGAGCTCATCATCGACGGTCAGCTGGAATCATACCGCGACCTACCTCCACAGGTTGGCGAGTATTTCGAGTCCACCTTTGAGTGAATAGCAGGATAGAGCAGCTCAAGATTCCCCTTCTCTACCAATTACCCTTCTGGGCCTTCTGGGTAAATATTCATGCCATCCCGTGCCAAGACCCACTCTGGTGTGACAACGCTTGATGCCCATGAAATGCAAGCTTGGCGTCCTATGTTTCATAGGGCCCACCTCGTTGTCGGATCTGTCTTTGATTGGCTCAGCTCTAAGCCATCTGACTAGCGAATGATATTATCATGTACCGTGTCCTGCGTTAAACTCTATCGCAATCCGTCCTACCGCTCTCAGCCACCAATCAGTCAGATGAAATTTTAATTTAACCACTCGTCAATTGTGCCCTACTACGATCTTACGAGATCCAGCCGCTGAGGAGCCGTCGAGCTGAGCCCAGGCGCTGCGTAAGCTTGGCTTCACTGCCTCGATTCATCAGCCCCTGCGCCATCGCCGTTAAGAAACTATGTTGTTTGAGCGAGAGTCAGATTCGGATGGGACTTCTGAGTATGATATAATTACGAGGCCCATGGAATTATGTCTTGAGTCACACTTCCCGATGAACACAGAAGTTTGACTGCCCAGGCACATATTGTTAAAGGCTTTCATACATCGAAGACGGCAACGTTGGGTAGCAAGATGGAATTAACGGTCGACAGGGCTCCAAAGCGCCTCGGATATCGCAAGTCACGCACCGGATGTACCCGATGCAAGGAACGGCGCGTGAAAGTAAGTGTTACTCACTTACGCTCCTGTTGAGGATCGGGTTTTATCTATCGCCGAATCTAATCTGCAATGTGACACAGTGCGATGAGGACCGCCCTTGTAGCGCCTGTGTAAGACACGGCTTGGTCTGTAGTCTGGAGGGCTCATCACCAGAAAGTGAATGTTCCGCCCGTCTGTCATCTGGGGCCAGGGAGTGGCCGTCACTGGATCGAAATGTAAGCGATATTTTCCGTATCCTGTTTGTCCAACCACCTAATATGAGATCACTAGGTAGTTCGTGTCAGGTCTCGTAGACGGCCATTAGCCCCTGCTCCGCATACTGAAGCTGTCAATACACAAACAGCACCTACTGAGGCATCACCTGCTGCTGTAGACTCTGATGAATATGTGTCATCACCGCCGGACCCCTTTCATTACTTTTCAGGTCTTCTGGTGGACTACAAGCCCGAGAACGCCAGCAATTGGATAATGGACGTCGAACTCATGCACCATTACACGGCCAGTGCTTACACGACCATCGCTTTCCCTGTTCACAGCGATGTTCAGGATGCTCTTCAAAATGATCTGCCCAAAGAAGGCCTGCGTTATCCTTTCCTGATGCACCAAATCCTTGCATTTGCTGGGTTCCACCTGGCGTACACACAACCACAGCGACGCCACATCTATCTCAAGCAGGCGTCTCAACACCAGAACTTCACAATCCACGGTATGAGGAAGACATTATCTGGCGCGATTTCGTCCGAGAATTGTCACGCTACATACGCTACCTCCATATTCATCTGCTTAGGGGCCTTTGCAGTGTACCCGTGCTACGAGAATTACAATACATTCTTCTCGCCAATCGACAGTATTGCTGAGATCTTCACTTTGATCACGGGAATGGGCTTGATATTATTCACTTCGGATGAGGAGTTGAGGGCGGGGCCTCTAAAGAAGTTATTCACATGGCGAGATGAAGGGAGCAGCTCCGACCATCCTTGTCCTGAGCTGTCTGGCCGGCTGCCTCTTCTTGAGGCCCAGCTGGACGAGTCCAGCATTGAGCCTGGGGAGGAGGTCAAGACTTGCATGAAAAAGGCAACGGCAGCGCTCGAGGAATGTCTGAACAGAGTGTCGCAGCGTGGCGGCCTAGGACATGCCGCGCTCAGAGCCGCCTTCTTATGGCCGCTCTTGCTCTCGACCCAGTATCTGGAGTGGATCAAATGCCGGCATCCGGCCGCGATGGTGATCCTGGCTCACTACGCCCTCATCCTGCATTCCGCCGAGGCCGACTGTTGGTACTTGCGTGGATGGGGAAGAGCGATTGCTGAATCGGTGGCAGGTACGCTCGCGGGTACACCGTGGTTGAGCCTGGCGCGGTGGCCCATCAGTATTATTCGGGGGGAATAGGTTTGGATTTCTCTTTGAAAGTCAAGATGTACGATGTGTCTTCCGTTAGAGGTTTGCTGAGGCTCCAGATATTTCCAGGGAGACGGACGTGGCTCACACAAGACAAGCATAGCTTGATCTTCTGCTAGTTGTGCGAAAGTTGCAAAACGTGAAACACCAACAAGCATTGCATTTTTCGATTAGGTCTGAAGTACATGAGATAGTCTCGAAGACCAATTTCTAGGAATAGGCATGTCAATAACAGGAAACAGGGAGGGTAGAGTCCAACAAAGAGTATCGAGTAGGATGCCATGGTGTCTGAAGACGAATCCTTTTTTATGGTGACCGGGCTTCAAGCAATCTAATTGTCTCGCGAATGGACTCGAGAAAGTTGACCCTGACTCTCTGAATCTGCCGAAAACCAAATCAGTCTTGTGCGTTCATATATGTAGAACGAGCACACACAACACAGACTTGTCTTACGTGGCCAGCACAAGCCAGTGATTGCGTTGTATGTGTAATAGTCATGTGCCAAGATACAGTCGTCATTCAAGATCTGCCACTTCCAGGGATCGATTTGATGCCATGAGCCACGGCTCGCATTTCTCAAAGGTCTTATTCGCCTCGTGGTTCCGATCCAGACCCAGCCTGAGCTACAACCCTAGCCCCACACTTCTTGAAACCGACGACGACTGCGACTGCGACTACGACAACGCTAGCGACAGCGTCTGGGAGAACGTAGTTGATTTGGTCCCTGAGGAGGGTATGGAAATTAGGGAGTGGGGACTCGTTTCTAATTGATGCTGTCAGACTTACATAGAGCTGCTATTGGGAATTAAAGTATAAATGCATAGAATGAAAGAAGGGGAAAATTGTGCAACAAGTTCCCAGAGGAGAGAGCATGGTAAGTTAGAAGATCTTGCTTACTTGCCTGCAGTGCCTCAAATATATGGTCCTGGCCGGAACACCTGTTGGACATCAAACTCCCATCAGCAGATTTCATGCGATGCGGCCGTCTGAAGCACGAATGCCAGGACTTTATTCATGATACAGATATGCCGAAGCCAGTGTACACGATACAGAGCAAGGCCACGATCGACGTAGGAGCCATAGTTGGCTTCTGCGTTCATGAAAGGGAGAACCGCGTCCTTGAAACCATCTACATGGCCAGAGCAATGAAAATCATGGATGTAGAGTAATAAAAAAAAGCTGAAGGGGTACGGCCGAGGGATGCGCAGCTTCCAAATCTTTAATCTCCTCCATAAGCCGCCTTGCCTTTGGACTGTTCCACCATGTGGTGGCGACTTAAGTGGCACGCTGACCCCGTTAGGTGACTTCCCTCATTATGCTACAGATATCTAGCTACAGATATCTACAAGCAAGTGGCCAGCAAATAAAGCCCAGAAACCTAAGCGTGCTGGTAGCACTTCGGACACATGATAACAGGGGCATGGGGATATCAATCTAGCAAGCCAATTCTCAGCATCTCAGACATAACGTTTTTCTGTGGTTAAACATCCTCTAGCCAGAATCGGACGCGAAGGATTGGGCATCACTATATTTCAGCCAACAAGATTAAGCGCATGACGACCAACTGATCAGCTAGGGGCACAGCAAGTTAGTCAAAATCCAGGCTTCTAACTAAGAATCAGGAAAGACGCCGTCCTCGGTAAGGTATTTGTTCTTTTACAAATAAACATCAATTTCTGCGAATCAAGTACTGCCAACACTTTGCACCAACGCTCCGAGCTCTTTTCACACGTCAGACCCAGTCTTTGAGAATCTAGATCTAAGGCGGACAGGACTCCACACATGGCAAAATGACTTCCACTCTCGCCTTGTGGCTTGGGAGTCTGGCTGCGGCGTATTTGTTTCTTTCTGCAATCCTTCATCTCACTCAAGACGCAAAAGAGCCACCTGCGATAGCGACTTCCATCCCGTTCGTGAGTCCACTGCTTGGTCTCATCACGGGCATGCAGACCTTCTTTGTGAAACAAAGGTAAACCACCCTCTATCAATACTCTAAGAGCAGTAGGATTCTATAATTTCGCTATGTTTACTATGTAATATTGATCGCAATTAGAGACAAGTATGGTCTCCCAATCTACACCCTCCGCATGCCAGGTCAGCGCACATACGTCGTCAACTCTGTGTCTCTTATCCCAGCACTTCAACGTCAGATCAAGACCATCGCGTTTGCACCTATTGAGGCTCAAGCGGCAGCGACAGTAATGGGTGTCGGCCCGTCCGGAAACGCCATCATCGGCTCAGACCGTATGCTCGAGGACGGTTCTTACCTATCAACATTCGTGCCGTCCATCCAACCAGCTTTGGGCCCTGGGCCCGGACTCGACGCAATCAACGGCTCAGCAATCCGATACATTGCAGATTCTCTGGAATCCCTCAACTCCAACGGCCCAAAGACGGTGGAATTATTCTCCTGGATCCGTGGAGAGCTTTTCATGGCCACAACCGAGTCTATCTATGGACCACAGAATCCGTTTCGTGACTCTGCTCTCGAGAAGGCATGGTAGTACGTCAAGTCCCTGCATTGTCTACTGAGCAGTGTATACTGGATGTTGAAATATCCACTAACCCGAACTTTGAACAGCAACTTCGAGCCGGGTATCATGATTCACATGCTCAAAGCATGGCCAGGGATTATGGCGCGAAAGAGTCTGCATGCACGAGAACACCTCCTTATCCCAGCCTTCGAGAAATATTTCACGGAGAACGGCCACCATAAGGGTTCTCTCCTCGTACAATGTCGATATAATCACAACATAGGCCATGGCTTGCAGGGCAGAGACGTAGCGGCCACCGAGATCGGGCAGATGGTCGCCTCCTTGACCAACAGCATGGCGAGCGCGTTCTGGATGGTGTACCACATCTTCTCTGATCCGACAGTCCTCAAAGAGTGCCGGGAAGAGGTTGAGCAGCTCGTTGAAGTGACCAAGGACGGTACTTGCGCCATCGATTTTACCAAGGTCAAGTCCTCGTGTCCGATGCTTCTCTCAACCTGGCAAGAGACCCTGCGGTACTCGCATATTGGTATCGCTGCTAGGGTGGTCATGGATGATACCATGCTGGCCAACCAGTACCTCCTGAAGAAGGGCGCAACCGTTATGACCGTCACCCCAGTTCAACACACCGAAGAGGCTTTGTGGGGCCCCACGGTGAGCAGTTTTGATCATCACCGGTTTCTACGCGAGCCTGGTAGAAAACGCACCAACCCTGTTGCCTTCCGGGCTTTTGGTGGTGGTACGGTGCTCTGCCCTGGGCGGCATTTTGTCACCACTGAAGTTATGTCATTCACGGCCTTGCTACTACTTCGTTTTGATTTGAGGCCTGCGACTCAGGATGGCAAGTGGGCAAAGCCACGGAAGAATTTCCCCATGACGTCGTCCATGCCGACTCCTAAGGATGAAGTGCAAGTAGAGATTGTCCCGAGAGACAAGCCAGGTCGGAAATGGCATGTCACTTTCTCGACATCTGGCAAGGGTGCGGATATCACCGCGGAAGATGAAAATAAGGGCGATTCTTGAGTACGTCTAGCCTCTAGCCAGGCCTATATACCCAGGCAGTTCTATCCTTAAGCCAAAGCACGTGGGCGAATGAAATTTGATCTCCAGAGCTGAAGTTCACGACCATGATATGCCAACAAGTCAATGCACTTGGAAGACAACCCCAAAAAGAACACCATCAAAGTGGCATACGAAGACTCCACTGGTATGGAATGATTCCCCTCCAATGTATTGATTCTTAAAGCCCCCACAACTCCCAAGGCGGCCCGGCGGACGAACGCACGATTCGTCCGTGACCGCCCGTCGATATTACCAAGGGTCCATCACCCCGATCCACTGCCCATTCACACACTCAATTACCTTTTGGCTCAGGAGTTGAGCACCATGATACCAAATATGGGGTTTGGATCTTGCACAGCATTTCACAAGCCAGAAAATACCCAAGGGCCTAGCCCAGGGCAGTAAATCTTTTCCCCGCAGGAACTCGTCACCAGAGGCATAACTATTTGCTTACAAACAATAGATGCATTGTTGGCACGTAGAAGCTTGTTGATGATTGGATTACATGAACCTAGGTGAATAAGAACGGGATATCGTTAAACCACAACCTTCGAAGGACTATAAGTACCCACATTCCGATTCCTGAAGTCTTCTTGGACACGGATGTAATAGGATCTCGGGCATTCAAACACGCTCATGTCTTTCCAATTCGCTTCATAAAATATCTATAATTGCTATCATAACGTCGAAATGACGCCATCAACCACGAAGCAATGGATCGTGTCCCGCAATGACAAGGGGTTTGATGGCCTCGAGCCTCGCGAAGTTAAGATCCTAGAAGTCGGCGAGATCGAAGTTCGGATCAAACTCAATGCCGCAGCTTTGAACTACAGAGACTTGGTGATCGCAAAGGTGATCCACATTAAAACTCCATTCTTGGAAGAGTTTAATGGTTAACAGGATTTACTTAGGGCACTTACCCTCACCCACACAAGCTGCCCGTCGTCCCACTGTCTGATGGCGCAGGCGAGGTCGCCGCAGTCGGCTCTAAAGTCCGACAGTTCAAGCAAGGCGACAAAGTGGCCACCTTGTTCCTCCAAAGGAGCATGTATGGGCCCATGACCCCGGATGCCTGGCCTAGCGGAATCGGAGGTGTTCTCGATGGAACCTTGCGCCAGTATGGAGTGTTTCCTAAAACGGGCCTGGTGCGGGCTCCGAGGAGCCTCGACGACATCGAGACCGCTACTCTGTCGTGCGCCGCGCTGACTGCGTGGAACTGCCTCTACGGCCTCAAACAGGTCAAGCCCGGGGAGGTTGTGCTCACGCAGGCACGGGTGGTGTCAGCATGTTTGCCCTCCAGGTACTGTCGTCCCTTTCCTTCATTGATGCCAATCATCCTCCATTGACAAGTAGACTAGTTTGCCAAGGCAGCGGGGGCGACCGTGATTGCGACAACGTCTTCTGCGGCCAAGGCCGAGAAGCTCAAGCAGCTCGGTGCCGATTTTGTGATCAATTACAAAGAAGATGTAAACTGGGGCAAGACTGCTCGGGGCCTTACCCTCCAAGGCGTGGGGGTTGACCATATCATCGAAGTCGGCGGTGCAAAGACCATCGAGCAGAGTCTGGAGGCTATCAAATTCGAGGGTGTCATCAGCATCATTGGATTCCTTGCCAGCCAGGATGTCAAGACAAGCGTCTTTGAATGCCTCCAAAAGGTGTGCACGACCCGCGGTGCTGTCGTGGGCTCTCGGGCCATGATGGAGGATATGATTGCGGCCATTGAAGCCAATGACATCCACCCCGTCATTGACCGCGAGGTTTTCACTTTCGAGCAGGCAAAAGAAGCCTATCAGTATCTGGTAAGTTTCAAGCAACACCTTCAGATAGAATTTTGCAACAGGGTGGAGATATATTAACGGATTGCACAGTGGGACGCGAAGCATTTTGGCAAGGTGGCCATCCGAATCGATTGATGGCCGGGAACTTTTGCATTTTCTTTAAGGCACCAGTTTCACCACTAGAAGAGCAGTGATTCAGTCTGCAGTAGATCAACTCACCGGAATTTTGTCAGGGTCTCATCTGTAGGCTCATTGTAAACTTTCAGTAATTCTACCTGGTGCGTGTGCGTGCATTCTGGCCCGTAGTATTATCAATGTGATTGTGTTCTCTGGCGCTATCCTGCGTTAGAATGGCTGAGGCATGTATTATGAAGCTTACCATTATGTGTAATGTATCACAAGTAAATAATAAAAAAAGACTGCGTCTCGTGGCCATTTGGAGACCTTACCCAAGAGAAACATGTTTAAATATCTTCCGCAAGAACCAGAGCTCCGAGACAGATTTTTGTCAGCTGAATAACGCACTCTTGCAGAGCATGGGCGTTCTTGATGAACTTCTGGAAGCGCAAATTGCACCACGACCTGTTTTTTCTACTGATTCTTCTCAAGAATTTTATGCTTGTAACGTCACTTTTGAGCTCGTTGCGCATCGGTCGGACGTGATGCCATTCGTTGCTAGTGCTGTCCTCTCAGATGCATTGCAGATTTATAGACTGGCCCCTGGAATATTGACAAGGCAGTTTGTCCTGAGTTTTGGTGTGTGGCAATGCTGTTCGGTTGGAAAACGATGAACATGGGAAGGGGGAAACATCAATGCGACCCCAGAACAATGAGGAAGACTTTAGGAGCACATCAAACTGGGGCTCTCGGTCACCCTCCAGAATATTCTGAAAAGCTATAGCGGCAACTCAATTTTCTTTTTTTCCTTCCCTTTTTTTTTTTGTTCAACAGAAAAAGTACAGAAATTGAAAACAGAAGTAAGCGAGATCGCATGATCTTGTGGTGGGTAGGTATGTTGGTGGTGGTTGACGAACATGACCACATGAAGGCATGTATTCTTGGCATATTATTGTGGGATCAGAGGTCGATTGAACGGCCCACTCATGATTTGACATGGCTGTGATCCGAATAAGAGCGCACGGTGGTTGGGCACACAACTGCCTTTAAACAAATAATGGGGGTGTGGGCTGCCGCAGCGCGCGTCCCTACACTTCGAGGAGGAGGAGCGAGCACCCGACTCGGCCGGTGTGTTCTCTCTCACAACGAACATTGACGGGCCGAGAATGCCGTCATTCCCTTCGCTAAAGCTCTTCTCTGCCGTGGATTGGCCGCGTCATATCCATCCACCCTTGCAGACGAGGGTCTGATGCTACGAGGTTGGGAGCGTCGATGACAAAAAGATCCGATGTATTAAACCTAACGGGTGCCATGCGGCACTGCAAGTGATCCGGGTGCGTTTTGACTGCCGTGCTGCGCCTGTGCCGTGCATGTGCATGCGCATGCGTCTGCGCCCCGGGGTCCCGGGTGGGGTTCCTGTCCGGTCATCCTCCCGCTTATTCGGTGGAAGTTGGGACAAGAGCATGAGCAGCATAAGCATCTGCTTGCCGGCGGACGGGTGGGCTGCCAGGCTTGGTGGCCTGGTGGGGCGGGGTCGGGGTCGGGCAAAGCAAGTCATCGATCGTCAAGCCTCGCTTTGGCCATCCTGCATAGGGCAACCGTTGAGAAAAAAAGACAGAAAAGTCAGTTGGCCGAGGACCCAGGTTCGGACGACTTTGTCTCGGTTACAACCCTGACCAAGCCAAGGTAAGGAGGTGCCCTTGGGAGAAAGTGGTTTTGTCTGTCTCCGGTTCTCCAACAGAAAGACACAACCACTCGCACACCCACAACCAGGACAGACACAGAGAGACCGACCTCTTGGACGGCGCGCCGGCTCGAACCTTGTCCACCTGCTACTACACTCACACACACCTCTTCATCCCAAAGATCCAACGGCTATTTATCACGTTGCTATTATTACTATGGTGGACACAAAACGGGCGCTCTAACCAGCTTCCGACGGACAAGATTCCACAACCAGACACGACAGAGGCCCAGAGGCCACAGGACACAGGACGGACGACGAGTCCAGTCCAGATCCAGAGCCCAGACTGAGTCTTGGTTTCGGGGACGCTGGTTTCACGGCTGAGCAGGGCGACTCGTTCGGGTCGCACTGCATCTTTGGTGACAGGTCGGATGTCTGCTCCTGCTTCTGCCTCTGCTTCTGCCTCTGCCTCAGACGCGGCAATCCACGTTGCCATTGCAGACGAGATCGAGGTCGCCGCCGACGACACCCCTGAGCCTGAGCCTCGGACCCAGCCAGACGGGCCTGCAGACGAGCATCAGGAGCAGCACCAGGAGCATCAGCAGCCTTCTCAGCAACCTCATGAGACGCCGCAGCCAGACCCTGATCAGCAGGGGCGGCATGATTCCCAGGGGCCGCACGCTGAGGACAGCGCCCACAATGCCAGCGCCCACGAGGCATTGAACGGACATGGCTCGGCCTCTGGGCACGACAACGATGAACCTAAGGGCCATGGTACGTTGCATTCATTTCCCTAGCCTTTCCACGTCAAAACGGGATCGGACGACACACACTTTCTCTCTCTCTGCCTCTCTGCCTCTCACTCTTGCGCGCGCGTGTTTTGAGACCGCCAGGCTGGGTCGTCCGGCCCGGCTGGCTTGTTGGGTTGCCATTTCTATCCTAACCCATGCCCATGCCATGCTATGCCACGCCGTGCCCATGCCCTACCATGCCCTACCTTGCCTTGCCCTGCCTTGCTCTGCCATGCTTTACTTGGCCTTGCCTTGCAGACAATCCCACACAATCCATGGATCCCACGAGCTCGTCAATTCCCCTTCGCCCCGTCATCCTGTCTCCTCGGGGTCTCATCCTATCGCGAACTCGGTCTGCCAGACTTCCCACCGAGAACGCCAAACTCTCGCAGGGATCTCACCCCCAACACGCGCGACATCATGCCTTGTCAGCCTAACTCAGCCGTACGATCTGCGCACCATGCTTTCGGGCTCCCAACTGAGCTTCAATAGCCGGATGATCAACTGCCGTGATTGATCGGTCCACATTGGATGGCCAGGATGGACGGCGAGCACCAACGGCGCCACCCAGGGTCTCTTCCTCCACCTATTACCATGGTGTGCTCACTTGCTGCCCGTTGTCCAGTGCCCACTGCCCAGTGATCGCTCACCCGCCGGTCCCCCCCCCCCCCCAGCAGCAGTCTCGGCCCATGGGAGATGAACTATAACCAGCGGGCCAGGTCGATCGCTGGTCGAGATGCGCAGACCGGCATTTTCCCTAAGCCCCATGCCGTTCCCAATCCACCCCAGATGGGACCCTCCGGTACCTTGGCGCGAACACCTTCACCGTGAGGTTTGCAACGGCTGCCCGTTGCGCCCGTCCCGATCCCATGGTCGCCGGTTTCCTCTTTTACACTTTCCCTATGCGACTGCAGCTCCCGAGTTTGCCCCCCTCCTCGTCAAATGTTTCACAGCGACCCACAGCCAGGGAAGACAAAGTAACGCCGCCATGGGCACGGTGAAGGTGCTTGCTGCCGTCTGATGTTCCCACCGCTGCATCATCTTGGCTTGTGTTTGTGTTTGCCCCGGCCTGTGCTATGCTGCTGTGTGATCCCTCCCTGTCTGGCTCGTCTGTCTGTGTCTGCCAGAGAACCCCCACCTGCCCTCGTGTGCTGTGCTCTGCTTTTATATACTTGGTATCGGGCATGTCGTGCCCGTCCTCGAGATCACTTGTTTAACACCAGCTATGGCAGAACGAAAAGGCTCCGAGGCCGGCTCATCAAGGCATGGTCATTCTATACCACCCGCCTCTTTCCGTAAGTCTATCATATTTTGAAGCAAGGAATGCCACTGACCATGATTCCAGCAACACATAATTCACCCAGAACATGGGTTTTGACGCAGGCCTTATCGCCACTTGCCATCAGGCTCATCAGGCTACTGCTAGCGCACGGAGACTACGTCGTGGCTTGCCTCCCACCGCATGAGATAGAACATGAAGACCGGAGCGCCGAGTTCAGGGAGCTCATCAACGAGTGCAAGAGCAACCGTAGGGACCGAGAAGGCTGGAAAGATCGGATACGAGGCATACGCTGTGATGGCCGCTCCATGGGTCAGTGCAGTGCCGCCATCGCCGAGGCCGTCCAGGTGTTTGGCCGTGTAGATATCTTGCTCTGCTGCAAGTTTGAATGTGCGTCCTGTTCCCCGAGAGGGCTTCCAGATGATGGCATGTGCGCTGACCTGACTTTCCCTACCAGCTGTTGTTGGCACGGTTGAGGAGCTCTCAACCACAAGAGCAACACAGAACCTCGTCAGGGACCAGTTCGAAACAATATTCTTTTCTCAGGTCAACTTCATCAAGGCTGCACTACCACAACTACGAGCCCAACATACAGGGCACATTGTAATTCTCACTAGTATCGGCGGCCACATCGGCACCCCCGGTATGCCCACACACACGGCGGCAACCTGGGCCCTGGAAGGGTTCTGTGACTCCCTGGCTTATGAAATCGCGCCTTTTAACATCAAGGTGACGATCGTGCAGCCCAACAAGGAGATACAGTCCCTGAGCAACAAGATAATCCTGGCGCCGCAGCTGCCGTGGTACGACAGCGAAATCAACCCAGCGCCGTCTATACGCGACATGCTGAGCAACGTGCTCAACACGGACCCAGAAACGGCAGTCGAGCCCTCGGACACGGAGATCATACATCGCTACCCGAAGCTACCGGCTGCGGCCACAGAGAAGCTCGTCATGGAGACCGTGCATGCATTGACGGCGATTGGAGGCCACGAGAACCCACCTGCGAGGCATATAGTAGGATTTGAAGGGGCCTCCGCTGTGAAAGAGAAGCTCAAGACAGTGACAGAGGAGCTGGAAGATTTCGTCGAGGCAAGCGTTGCAGTCGACATCTTCGAGAGCGAGCTGAAGGCTGAGGCTACGGAGGGGAGAGCCCATGAGACGCCTGCACGGCCTGCAGCCGAAGTTTTAGAGGCTTTTGACTTTATGTCTACTTAATCTGTCTGCCCCGGCATGCGCCGGCTTAATCTGCTCTTCATCACCAAGGCGGTGTAGGAAAGGGGTATCGTCCGTGTATCATAGACTTGTCGCGTGCCATTTTGGAGGCGTTGATCAGGGAGGGATTGACTCCAGATCCCTGCGAGAACACAGCATTTGACAGTGGACGGTGCTAGTCTAGTCACCAGAATCCAGCGAATTATCTACTGGAGCCCAATAGAGTTCCGGCCCGCTGATGCTGAGTTGACGTTGCGTTGCGTTGGAGGCTGAAGACGGAAAATGCTGACTGGCCGTTTGTTTCCAGGCCCTCTTGGCGGGCGAGTACGATTACGGAGCAGAAACGGAGTACTACTGTGCTGGGCGTAAGAACAGAGAAGCACGTACAGTATCAGATCCAGAAACGCTCGGACCAGCTCTTGGCCTGCCTTTGGGCTTGTCATTGTCCGCCCAAACGCAGGCGCAGAGTGACATTGCCAGGTTGCCAGATAGCCTGGGTACATACCAAGGTGCAGTACACGCTGATAGATAGCGCCAGATGACAACTTCATTGTTCGCGACCAGCTCCCGCATTGCCATCACCAACACCGCTCCTTGACCAGGGGGCCCACCATAAGGCCCGCGCTCGTCGAGTCCGACACCCCTCGGTCCTACTGTCTTGTCCGCAGTTAGAGAGAAGCAACAACACACACAAACCGTGCTCAGACACCGTCGCTCGAGGAGTCAAGTAGCTGCCGACATGCGCGACACACCAGACACCACACCAACGACTGCTCCCAGATAGAGAGCTCCCTGGACGAAGGAATGCTTTCTGAACCATGAGCGCAGACTCACTGCTGCCCATCGCCCCTGCGAGGGTCAAGGCACTGGTCCTCCCTCTCGGCCAAATCAAGGCAGCCCGATTCGCCTCCTTTCTCGAGAGGCTTCACGCCGAACATGTCGTCCACCTCCGCGATGTTGGCGCCGACAAGCGCCCAGACAGAAGTATGATGCGGCGCGGCAACCCCTGAACCTGCCGTACCCTCGAGCTCACGCTGACCCTACCGCCGACGCAGACATGTTCTCCCCGCTCGCTTTCCCCGACGGAGCCGTCTTCTACGAGCTGACCACCCACGCCCCGCCCCCTTCGCATCTTGCTTTGCTGCCCTTCGACCTCTACAGGGAACCGCTCGTCGTGGTGGCTATCGCGGATGGGACCGAGCTCGAGAATGCCGCTTTCAACAGACGACAGTCCGGCGCGACCACGGTTGCGGAGAGAAACATGAATATGTTGTACGAAGGCCTCGTGGACCTGAGAGAAACCTATTCAAAAGCCATCGTCCACCATGTCCTGCTGTTCGACTACGTTCACCCGGATGAACACTCGATTCCCCTCTCAGAGGGCATTATTCAAATACCGCCTCCCGCACAATGCAAAAGAACCACCATGAGGACCGTCATGTGCGACATAACGTCCCTGTTGCTGGGCGAAATGACCTCTTTGGCCAAGTCCTTTGAAGCATTTCCATACATCGAGTCACCAGGCCAAAACACCAGCCCGGCGAACGGCGTGGACCCTGCCAACGCCGAAAAGCGACGGAACTCACAGTTTGCGCTGCCCATCGGCCGTTCAGCCTCGGCCAGCGGCGCCCTCGACCGCAACCAAGCCCGCATGTCGATGCCAGCACCCTTCAAGGGCTCCCCTATGGGCTTTTCCTCGGCCAGCTCAACTCCGGGCCGGCCGTCCACTCCGGTCAAGAGTGGGCTGGCGAATCCGCCGACCACATTCGATGACATTCCCGCCGCATTAGAGCCTACGCCCGGGAGCCCGGAGTCAAAGGCCCCTGGTCGGCCCGGTAACACTGCGGGGAGTCGCAGCGCAAGCCAAGACCGGATATCTGTGCATGGCTTCGGATCTGGAGGCGTCAACGAGCGATGGCGCAACAAGGGCAGGGCCAGGGTCACAATTCTCTTAGCTTCAATGTACCTTCAGGCAGGCCGATGGACGGACTCGCTCAAGGAAGCTGTCGACGGTGCCACCGTTGCCAAGTCGATTAATGATCATCTTTGGCACGGCAAAGCCCTTGAGATCATCGTTGTCAGTCTGCTTCTGCTGAGTTTCGCTGGGGTCGAATTCCAGGTCCCGCAGATTTGCATTACACCGCCAGAAAAGGGGGCATCAAATGGTGTGCAGGAGGAGAACGTGGATCCTAATCAGCCAAAGTACCTTCGCCAGTTCCAGACGACCCTCCCGGACTTGCTCGACAGAATACTTGCTCTCTATTCTAGGATCTCAGCAGAGCACCTACCAGCTCTGCCTATGTCCGAGGTCATCATTAGATTTTGCAGGATATTGGCAGCGCTCCACGTCGCAGACGGCAAGCTTGGCGGTCAGTCTCTGGACATGATGATCTTTGGCACGGTTCCCGACAAGCCTCTCACAACATCTCCGAGACTCACCGTCACCCCGCCTCGGACACTCATCGTGAACATACTAATGCGTGCGTTCCCGGGGCCTGGGTCTGAGCTGTTGACCACGCCTGACCGCGCTATGATTCTGAGCGGCATCGCGTCTGTTTTGGGGCTTCTTGGATATCAGAGAAAGAAGGCCATGGTGATACGCGAATTGATATCGGTGGTCATAGGAGGACTGGTCGATGCACGCACTCGCGGAGCCGCGGAGGTTGGGATTCATCCGGCTGCAGGGCTCGTGTCTTTGAACAACCTCAATGGCCAGTCCAAAGGCGGCGTCCTACAGCTCGCAGAGAGTGACATCGAATCCGGCATTGACTCGTTCCTGCAACTAATTATGAAAACATATGGCACAGTGGCATTCGACATGCCTGTTGGTACAGATACTGCCACAGACGACGGAATAGTCGACGAGGACTCGGACGCAGCGTGCCTTAGACGGATACAAAAGCAAGGCGCGGCTCGCTTGTACGGTATGCGGCAGCTTAAGCTGAATATCCTGAGGGCTTGCATCAACTTTTCCGAGGCGTTGCCCGACTTTGCGGGCGTTCTCAAATTCTCCAGTGATCTCATGCGGACAGCCGGCAGCGGTATTGCGCCTGGCCCTCGCCAAGAAGACGCTGCGCCGCGAATATCCGTCGAGGAGCAAGTTCGGCTCGTGACCAACATCTCAAAGACACACGGCCTGACAGAGAGGATAGGACTGGGTCACATGGAGGCAGAATACTGGGATGAGTTCCTCCTCAGAGGCGTTAAACTCGACCCCATGCCTATTACTCGCACTCCCATAGAGCATGCAAAGACTGAGCTGCCCGGATTCTCAACAACCAGGACGTCTCAAGATGTCAACCCGTTTATACATAATCCGTTTCAAAAGCTGCCTGACAAGGTGGCCATGGTCAGCAACCTTATCGCTGGAGAACCAGCAACTTTCAAACTGACATTACAAAATCCGTACGACACCGAAATAGACATTGTGAGCGCTCGGCTAGCCACCGAGGGAGTCGAGTTCGAGTCCAACGTGGAGAAGGTCGTGGTCGGGGCATATCGGACACAGTCAATGCGAGTCACCGGCACACCCAAAGGCTCTGGCTCACTACGTGTCACGGGGGCGATCATTCGCGTACGAGGATGTAGAGAGAGGAGATTCCCCATTTTTTCGGAGTCTTGGTCTCTGGATTCTGAAGTCAAGGTGAAGGCCGTCGGCCTCGAGGCGTTCGATTATAATATGTCCCTTCCGGTGCCATACCACCCATTACCGAAACCGCATCAGATGGAGTTGAATGTTATTTCACAACAGCCTGTGGTGGTCGTCAAGTCGACGACTCTACCTCAGTCCTCGGTCATGATATTGGAAGGGGAGCGTCAAACATTCTCGGTGACGCTTCAGAATCTCTCAAGCACGCCGGCTGACTTCCTTCTCTTCTCGTTCCAAGACTCCACGCAAGAACCTCTTCAAGCGGCACTGAGCAACCGCGATGCTACACCGGCAGAACTTTATGAGTACGAACTTATACTGGCCAAGAAACAAGCCCTGCGCCTTTCAAAGGCAGTCGGGAAAAGATACATCGCTCCTGGTGACACGGCAACGTTTGAGTTTGAGATACTCGGCAAGCCAGGCTTAACAAATGCAAATGTTCAAATCGACTACGCTCACTTCGGGGTGCCGCCCGAAGAAGTCGAGCAAAAGTTTTTCACACGCCAGGTGTCGCTGAACATGACAGTCACCGTCAATGCCAGCGTCGAGATCGCGCGCATGGATGTACTTCCTCTTCACGGAAGTATACCACAGCCACTGTGGGCAAGGACAAGCAAGAGCAGTGGACAAAGCCACGTGCTCACTTCAGACAAGTATTGCCTGCTGCTGCTTGATCTACGCAATGCCTGGCCAAGCAATATGATTGCACACCTTGAAGTTGAAGATGGCAGCATCATTGAGGAGCACATTCTACCCGGCAATACGAGTCGCGTCATTGTGCCAGTGAAGAGGATATACCTCGAAGACCCTCACGCATCAGTCCCAGCACTGAATCCGTCGCGGCAGCGGCAATTTGTCGTTAGCACAAGCCATATCTCCCCAGATGTTGAGCGGGCCAACCGTGAGGCCTTCTGGTACCGGGAGAAGATCCTTGACACCATTAAGGGTACGTGGAAGACGACTAGCAGACCTACTCGCACAGGCACCATTGAGCTTCGCAGTATGCGTCTCACCCCGCGGATGATCGAGGCAGTCAAGGTGGACGAGATAGGTATCGAGGTCTCGGTCGAAGACCCCTCGTCCTCAGCGACACTAGCGTCGGACGCCACGAGGATGAAGGCGCAGCGCATCTCAAAGAACGCGGTCTGCGTCGACGACTTTGTACAGATACGCGTGCACATCACCAACCGAACCGAGGTGCCCATCTACCCCACTTTACGGCTGATGCCCGCGCTGTGCCACAGACCACTGAATGTCGCGCTCGACTACACGCGCAAGCTAGGTTGGAACGGGACGCTGCAGCAATTCCTCCCTGTCCTCAAGGGCAAGCAGAGCACAGACGTCGTCGTCGGCATGACGGCACTGTGCCGGGGCGAGTTTGAGATCACGGCCAGCGTGGAGGAGACGCAGATCTGGCGGCCCACCACGGACGAGGAGAAGCGGCGCGAGTCCGCACGCGGCAGCCGGCTCGGCGCCGACGGCAGACCCAGGTCCGCGACGCAGGAGCTGCATGACCTAGTGCTCGGTGTCAGGGAGAGGAGGATCTGGCACTCGAGGCAGCCTTGCCACCTCGTTGTACGGGACCAGGAGTAGGACGGGCCTGGGCCGGATGACGTTGACGTCTCGGGGTCTGAGAGGGACACCACTGAGATCGAGGTCGCTGTGCATCCGGGTCGCGTTGAGAACGAGGACGAGGAGTGGGGTTTTGTATAGATAAATAGGTGGCTACTTTTGGTGCTATGGATAGAGAGAAGTACTGCCGCGACGAGAAGTATATAAGCAAATAACACAATGGGCGTTGGATCCCTAGCATGCTCATACCTGGAACCTTGCTGGCTCCTCCTCAAGGGCCCTCCAATGCTTTCGCTTTCTTCTGCACACATCCTCCAGAAACCCTTCAACTCCCTCTATCTCGTAGGCAGGACGGTCGTACTAGTCACACGGCCATTCCGATCAGCGATACAAGGTAAGTGTGAGAGTAATCTTAAGATAGGAACAAGTCAGCAAAAGTGTGCAAATTAGTCAAGGTCACAGAATATAAGTGGTGTCTCAGCGTTCTGTACCAATCACCAGTGATAGCACAAGATAAAAAGTGCAGGAGCAACACCAAATCCACCCAACGCCGAAGCATGACAGTATTTGGAGACGAAAAGCACAATTTCAAAGGCATCAGTGACTGATCTCAGTCCGAGCGAGCTCTCGCGAGCTTTTCGAAGTGTTTTCTTCCGGCGGAACGCAATCAATCATTTGCTGTTAGTTTGAACGTTTGTTCCCAACTCGGATGTTGAGACCTGCTCGGGGTAAAATAGGAACAGCATTTCATGTTGAGAATACCATAGATAATCTTATCTCTTCTCCTTGATTAACCATACCTCGTTGCCACTTGTAAAAAGACTTCTAAATAGAACAAGATCTCAGTTGCGGTGACAATATAAGCTGGTCCTCATCATGTACGACAAACCTACATAGCAACATCAGTTCCTAGAAGATAATCTGCACCGATAAGTGCAGCCCAGGACAGATGAAGCCATCTATGGTGAGACTCGGGATTTTCACATTCGTGGCTACGCAATTGCTGCCATAAATCTCTACATGATCTATCTCGATAGTTACCCACATTCAGAAATGTCCCAGAGAACGGGTTTCAATATTTTAATATTGACAACCAAAATATGAATAGAGTTGTACGACAGAATCTTTGGACATGTATCATAAACAGGTGGCCAGGGGGCAAAGAAGAGTCGAAGTCAATCTTTCTCAGTACAGTCTACCAACAGACTTGTCCTGATTGGAGCGTTGAAGTTTATTAATATTTATAAATTGATCCTATTCAGTGATATTACATGGATTTTGGTCTACTCATAGCTACTGACGAAGACCGAAATCAAGAAAAGGTCTGTGCAGGATCATCTCAACCTCCTGAAGTCCTGCTCACACTCAATTATCTTCACAATGCTTCAACATATCGAGACACAGTAGATGTAGCTATTCATTTTAAGAGTCACTGATACGAGGCTTCTGAAAGACAAGCAAACACAATAATCTTTTGGCCAACGACAGTCCACACCGCGACATGCGTGCTCATATTGGAGCCATCAAATTCCTCTGCCAGCTTGTCACGCAAATACAAGGCACCATAATTCGACTTGGAGAGTAGCAGCGCGTTTTTAACAGTTAATTAGATCAAATGGCCTGTTCCCAATCTTAAGCAGTGCAAAAAAAAAAAATCGAGTGAGATGACTATTGAGCGGGCGCAGAGGGCGGGCTTGCGAAGGGGCAGTCCTAACACGTTGTTTCTATACAATTGAATGGTTCGGAGATGAGCTCCCGATTTCCGGCCTGCTTAAATTCCAGTAAATTTCACAAATCATGTCATCTTCATTCAGCACGTACACAATGCTTCTCAAGCATATGCGTGATGGGGAATCTATATCCACACATGCATGTGGTATCAAGACAAAGACGTTATTGTGACGCCACTTTTAACGGCCCGTTTTATGGTGTAACAAGACCATGTGCTGAAGTGAGACTTCAACATGTAAGACTTGAGGCTGGAAAGCATTCCTCCGATCATGGGACCTTCTGTTGATTAGTTCCGGCGCGTCTGTCTCAGACAGAAATTGAGCCGCATACCAAGCTGTCAGCCCGTCACGCCCAGAAAACAATGTCTTTTTAGATTGCTGTGGGTACAGAGCACATATGCGGTATTCGAATATTTAAATACGGTGATGCCAGCCTGGCCAGATCCCCGGTGGCCACGTCCCTTGAGGACTTCGCAATAACAACCAGACTGCTTGAACACGTCAAAAGAAATACAGACTTCTGCTTTCGAAGACCTTTGTGCGGTGCTCGTGGATGACCTTCACACCTGATTTGGTGAATGCAATCTTCGTCTCTCGCTGTGTGGTTGAGGTGATATTTGAAGCTTGCGCGATTCGTTGGATGACGCATGCCGCTGTTGTTCGCGACTCTCGTCTTCCTTGGTCAGACACCGGCAGCTTGCAAGTGCAGGTTGAGGTTTGGACATCTGCATCCTTTCTTTCATGAGAGTGGAAACATTCCCGAGATTGGAATATAACGTGAGTTCTTGATACAGCTTTACGATTTTTCTCTAGTCTGAGAACGCTGTGACAGTGCTCACGAAAGATCTATTGCCAACGAGACATTTGGTACACACAGTGGTCATCATTCTCCGGATCTAAGTCTAGTAAATCAGAACGTCCCGAGCAGATCGTGCATCAGTTACCAATCTCAGCCTTCAACCAGCCAGGAATTGCAGGTGGTTCGTCCCATCCATTCAAGTATGTCTCCTTGGGCACTGTCTTGCCAGAGGGCCTGGCGTAGATAGCCGAGACGTACCATACTGAAGTCCCTGCCTTGATGGTGTGCTGAATCGTCGGGATGGTGGTGCGACTCTCCACCAAGTTCGAGTTCGGGTCGGCGTTGACCAATGTCGCCTTGCGGCCCACATCTTCCCCCTCTAGGGCCTTGATGCCAACTGCGCCCTTCGAGACCGCGAACGCGCCATCCGCTCCGGTCGACCAGGCTTCGGGCGTGTTCACATCGTAGTTGCCGATGAGCTTGGGCCGCGTCCCCTCAATCTTCTCCGCGTCGTATAGATCGAGGAACCGGCCGTCGGGCGTGCGCTCGTTGCAGATCGCGAACGAGCCGTCAGCTGTCATAACTTCCCGCCCAGCCTCGATGTGGTGTGCGCGGAGATGCCAATTGGGCGTGGCCTCCTCGGATGGGACAAGGTAGGTCTTAATCTTGACGTCCGCGAAAGGCCGCCACACGGACACAAGGACCGGTTTTCCTTCTCGATCTTCGATGCCCGCATACTCGGAGATTCTCCTTGTCTTCCAGTATTCGCCACCGTCGTCAGAAAGGCCAAGTTGGGATGACAACGCGTACTGCTCCAGTGTGAAAAGACCTGGCGGCGCTGAGTAGCCGTAGGAACTGCTGTAGGCGAAACAACCATATTTGGCATGTGTACCCTTCATGGGATAGCCGCATGCCTGGCCAGATGACAGTAGCATACAATGGCCGCCCAGGTTTCTGTTCAACGTCAGTGAAAGGCAAATGGAATACTTCTTTCAACTTACGTCATGATATGACCCGGCTGCTTCAAAGGCTTGGGCGACCTTGGAATAACGTCCCATTGAGATTCCTCCTTAGAAGTCCAGAAAGGATGAGTTTCTGGGACAGCAAGGCAGATGAATGCAAGGCATGCCCAGTACTACCGTTATCTGTCAGCAAGGCGGCCATAAGATGCGTCACAATTGTAATGTCTCACCGGACTCCCGGGGCTGTTGTAGTTCTCAGCCATGTACATGTTCGGGTACGAGTATCCGATAGTCAGTGTGCCAGATGAGCTCCAGATGTTGGGCTGCGTCTGCCACCACCGGAGGTGACGCAGCACTATGCCCTTCACGATGCCCCAGGTCAGAGGCTTCGGGAGCTCAACGTCTGCGTATGCAAGCGCGCCCCAGAAGGAGCACATGGCAAAACGATATCCAACACTGCGTCCGAATGGAATTGATCGACCCTCTTCGTCGAAATAGTGCACCAGATCAAGAGCGACAGCCTGGGCGCGCTTCTTGAACTCGGCCGCCCTATCTGGCTCGTCGTCCCCGGCAAGCTTGGCGTACAGCAGTTGGAGATAGTGGATGGCGAAGCTGGACGAGTAGTAGTCCATCTCTGTAGCCCCGTGTCAGTAGCTATCGCAAAGAGTTGGTGGTGTTCAAGAATTTGACTTACGATGAATGTGTTCCGGGCCGTCGTTTGACCAGCCATCACCGCGGTAGAAGGTGTTTAGATGCTCTATGTCACTATCCAGTCGCTCCTGGGAGAACTGTCCTCCATTCTTCTTCAGACCGAGATTTGCGAACACTCTGAACCAGAGCCAGTTGGTATTTGGCATGCTTGATCACGATTAGCTAAGACTGATCACATTAAGGGCAGTTCTTGGGCTTACTTCTTCTCGTTGATCGAGTTTCCGAGCCAATTCTCAACGTTTGTTCTCTCCTTGCTTGACATAGATCCCCAGATATCAGGGGCAACAGCCAGAGCGAACCCTGGTTGGAACGTTGATATCAGAATCCAGAATGCTTGCCGTCGGAGGGATTTGAGGGGGTCACTTACCAAGAGGGCACATCTCCACCATTCTCTGGTCATTATCTCGGGGATAACCCCAATACTCTGGATTCTCGGGGTCTGTGCCAGCTTTGATGCCATCGATCCACAGGGTCTTGCCTTTATAATCTCCGTTACCAGCCAATAGGCAAGCCAGGCCCCACAGCGGACGACATATTCCCTCTACTTCAGAAGCCGTCTGGTCGAATCGCACAGCCGTGGCACCTGGCACCCTCACACGAGCTTTGTTGGGAGAGAAGAAGGGCTCCAAGGGATCGAGCAGGGTGCGGAGGAGTTCTTGCACGGAAGCACGGTCTACGACGTTGACCTTTGAGAAGGGGTGAGCCCCATCATAGCCGATCACCAGACCCGTCTTGGTACCCATTTTGTGACACTTGGATTCAATTCAGAAGATGATCAACGCTTAGACACAGGTGGTAGAGAAGGTGTTGTCTATGTGAGGAAGTGACTAGGTCTGGTTAAAGAGCGGCTGTCAATATTTTTGTATCTACATATTGCCCGAGAGCCCCTCGCGTCGTATTCTCCCGACCGGGATCGCTGTACAGCAAAGCCTCTACCCGTCCTAGATGCAGTTGGGGTTGAGGGGTTGCTCCATGCTATGCTACTATCTGGGAATAAATAGTGGGGCTCCAAGGTTCCCTTGTCGTCGACTGCAGCCCATCACCCGTGGCGGCTAAATACAACAAAACAGCAACAATTATCCCCTTCGGAAGTGGTCAAAACGAAATGCCATCACTCTGGTGGTTGTCTACAACTTGACAAGAATGTTCCGACTGGATTAGTCAGCAATCCAGCCTTTTCGCATCGACAACTTAACTGCGCTCAGTAATGTTCAGTATATAAGCCACCTCAGCACGTAGGTAGGCAGACAGCCTGTTGCTGCCAAGCCACGGATCACTTGCAATGTTCGAGATATCATTTGTCGTTCGCAATCGTAAAGTTGTTCTTTCATGTTCGATGGTTTCGTCGGATCACAGTATGAAATGGAAGGGGAGCCCTACCAGATCACACGGGATGCAGATGAATTGAGAATCCTTTTTATGTGAGGTGTGGTGAGGTGGACGTAGAAGCCCACAATTGTGGACGCGGCTGGAAGAGCTGCCTGCTTGAATGAAACGAATTCACAGAAATATGTTTCTTATCACTGAGAATTAATTTCAACTAGGAGGGGCCTGAAGCAGCGCTCAGAGACTGCCTCTAACATACCACTAACTTCGTGGAATAAACACGGCGTTGGGTCCCCAACTGCAATACTATCGTGGTAGTCGCGTGCTTCGCATAAGGCGAGACTCACGATCTGTCATGGGTACGAAAGCCAGGGGGAAATTGTACAACATGTCTGCCTTTCACGTTTCTGGCGGCCGGAGCTGAGAATTTCTGGAAACTCTAGGCGAAGGCGAAGTGTTGAGGCACGTGAGTTGCAATTCTTAAGTAAATTTGAATCACACGTGCGGTCAGTCAGTTCGTGACCATGTGTAAGACAGCGATGCCGGCAAATGATCGGGCTTAGCTTTTTCGGGAAGGTAAAGAAAAAGATGGTTCATCTTGGAAATTAAACAGGGCCGGTAGGCAAGGGTCCTATTTTCGAGTCTAGGACCAGGCATCGACTGGAAGTTGTTGATACTGTAATCTTCTGTGTGTTCGCTGCTCCTCGCGCGCGTATTTCAATATACATCGGGGAACCGTTGACGTTGACATGCCGGGCGCTGCTGGAGCACATGAAGGCCAGAACAGCCACACTGCGACCCCACCAGAATGGCTCGAGGTATTGAGGAATATAGCCACAAATTGTTGCGGATCGGGTTCGGCCAAAAATAGAATAAGAACAAAGAAAGAAAAGCCCAATAAGGCTGGAGCAAACATGTTGCCAAGCCGGGCATTCCAATGGTAAATTGGCAAACACACCGCCCCGCGCATTCCAGTCTATGCCTCTGGACGAACGAGGGCATTGAAGCACCTCCACTGTGGCATTCCCACACTGCCTCAACAGCGATTCGTCCATTCCAGCTATTGCGACGCGACCTGGCTGTGTTTCGAGCCATGCGTAACCACCACGTATTCCTGAGGACCTCATAAATGATTCTTGCCTCAGAGGGGCAGCGGATCTCATGGTTGATGCTAGGGCGTGTCTGATGTTTAGTGATTACGGTCCTACAAGATGCTAATTCTGTTCGTTGTCGTTTCGAATTGCTGGAAGACCACGGCTCAAGCGTCGCACAATATCCCGCAGATGCTTCGCCGCTCCTGAACTGTCCGTATGGGATGCTCGAAATTCAAAGGGCTCAGGGCAATGCACCATTGCCCCATCGGAGGTGAATTTATGCACTTGTTCTTCCTCTTGTCAGCCAAAGAAAATGAACAGGCAGTCAGGATGGTAAATCGGTCGCCAATATGGACATGGGTGAATGTTGTTGTTAATTGGCCGAAGAACATCTGAGACGGAGATTAACTCGAAAGGTAGAGCTGCCTAAAGCCTCTTGTCCCTTCCGCACTTAGAAAAAGGGGGTCACAAGAGCCTTTTTCTAATTGAATGTCAAGAAAAAAAAAGAGGCTCTTCTACAGAAGGCTGTCCCACATGAAGTGACCCCATAGGAGGTTATCCCACAGAAGGATAGGAGGTTATCCCATAGAAGGTTATCCCACAGGAGGTTATCCCATGGGAGACAGGAGGTTATCCCATGGGAGACAGGAGGCTATCCTATAGGAGGTTATCCCACAAAAGGTTATCCCACAGAATGTTATCCTGCAGGAGACAGGAGGTTATCATACAGGAGGTTATCCCACAGGAGGTTATTCCATGGAATGTTATCCTACGGGAGACAGGAGGTTATCCTATAGGAGGTTATCCTATAGAAGGTTATCCCACAGCAGATTATCCTGTAGCAGGTTATCCCACAGGAGGTTATCTCAGTAGGGGTGACCTATAGTAGATAATCCCACATGAGAGCGGGAACTGTCCTGTGAAACGCACAGAACAAACAGGATCTGGACGAAGACTGGGAATCCTATTATTCCATATCTGTTGTATATAAGGTCACTGCCCGTTTCGATGAAAACCCTTCCTCTGTTGAGTGCGACCTGGCTGAGACCTCATTTAGACTTGGGCATTGCAGACATCCGGAGATGTAACGTAAGGCGCTCGGGGGAATGTGTAAATTGATTGCATGCCTCACTACTGATAGCACACCAACGTGGTAGCCGTAGCAAATGGACCAGCTCTTTTGTTTGCATAGACGAAGGTTGAGCGGAAATAAGCGGAGACTTTACTCCACCGTGGCGAGATACGCGACAGCCCCCCATCTCTGCCCCCGGAAGGCGAGGAAATACCCTAACCCCTGAACTGCCCAGTGACAATTGCTTGCTGACTATCTGGGACGCGGTCTCTCTTGCTGTTGACTTGAACTCAGACTGTGTTGACCCACAGGCGCATCAAGTTCCATGGTCTCACGCAAAGTCGCCTGCTCATATGCCCAATGCAATCCACGAACCACGGTTCGCATCTCCAACTGCGGCAGCAAGCATGGATATCCAGTCAGAGTCTGCGTTGAGCGTCTCGGCTAGAACGGTTCCCTCAACAGAGCCGTGATACATCGACGAGCAGCTGACGTACTACGGATCTATGCACATGAGATGGGGACGGTCTCACATGGCATTCGGAAACATGTGCTTCCATCGGCCCCCCCCCCTCTCCTCTGAGCTTCGTCTTGGGTCTTACACAGCTCTAAATACGACAACACCCGCGCGACAACGGGCTCTTCTCGATAAAACGGGAGCTGGGTTTAAGATTCAGGTCATAGATTGAAAGAGAACGTACGATCAGCTGTATAAGCGATGACAGATCCTGTTTATTGATGAAAGCAAATTTTTACAAAACAAACCCGGTCTTCAAACTAGCAAGATGTATGCAGAAACAATCCCAGGTAAATGTGTTCTCAGCCAAGTCCAGGCCTTCCGTCCCTTTCCTTTAAACATCCTGCCCCGAGAAACATTACTCATTAATAAAAGAACATTAGAATAGACCGGCCACCTTGTCATAGGGCCGCTACGAAGGATAGCAAGAAGCCAAGAACGCCACCCATCGTTATTGCCACGAAAGCAGGGTGAGCACCGGAAACCTGTACCTTGCCTGTCGAGCCTGTTGGCTGGGAAGGAGGAGCAGGGCTTGAGCCACCTGATTGTGAAGTTTGTTAGCTTTCTTTCTCTCAAAGAGGAGGAAGTCAGTGACTTACCCTGGGCCGGGGCTGCCGGGGATGCTGGGGGTGCCGCGTTGTTGTTGTTGTTCGGGGCCGGGGCAGCAGAACCAGCTTGGGCTCCTGCCTGGGCTCCTGCCTGGGCACCAGCTTGAGCGCCACTCGAACCACCAGGAGCCGCAGGAGCCGCAGCAGCACCAGCCTGAGCACCAGCTTGGGCGCCTGCTTGGGCGCCTGCCTGGGCGGCGTTCGAGCCACCACCTGGAGCCGCAGCAGCACCAGCTTGAGCGCCTGCTTGGGCACCAGCTTGAGCTCCAGCTTGAGCACCATTCGCACCACCACCAGGAGCGGCTTGGGCACCAGCTTGGGCACCTGCCTGGGCTCCTGCCTGGGCGCCAGCTTGCGCTCCATTCGAGCCACCACCAGGAGCGGCTTGAGCACCGGCTTGGGCACCTGCTTGAGCACCGGCTTGAGCGCCAGCCTGAGCGCCACCAGGTGCGGGAAGACCCTGCTTTCCAGGGGCAGCAGGGGTGTCAACGCAGACAGCGTACGCGGGTACGCCGGCGGGCGCTCCTTTTGGCTGAGACACGCCCTGGATGTAAGGGCAACCATTGGCAGGGTAGGTGAGAGTGGCAGTGATGGGCTTGGGGCCACAGCTGTTGCAGGTCTTGACGTCGACCGCGAAACCGAAAGGCACCTTGGGGGCGGCGGTCACGGTGGGCTTCGCGGACATACCAGCGTAAACCTCGGTGACGACATATTGCTGCTTGGAGAGACCAGTGGGGCAGAAGGCGTCGTAAGTGGTGGTGTACACGTTTGTGTGAGCGCACGAATCACAGCCACAGCTGTCGCACTTGGGCGCCTGCACATAGACCTGGACGGGGCCGTTATCGTTGGGCTTTGCAACAGGGGTTGGGCAAGCAACATCGCAGGTCGGCTTGACGGGCTTTCCGGTGTTGGCGAAGCATGCGGTAACGGTCGCAGTGCGGACCTCGAGGGGGCAATATTCCTGGGCCGACGCGGTAAGGGGGGCCAGCATAGCCGCCGCCAAGATGGCGGAAAGAGAACGGACGTTGGAGCTCATTTTTGCCAGTTTGGGTGCCGTGTCGCTTCAGAGGGGGACGAGTGAAAGAATGGACAGGGAGACGAGACGAAGAAGCGTCTAGTGCTGACCCAAGAGGGAGTTGGCTTATAAAAGAGTGTGGTGAAAAGCGAGTGTCGAGGACTGTTGAAGCGATAGTCTGGTTGCGTCTTCCGTGGACTGAGATGAATCCGGGAAGAACGAGTTAAATAGAAAGGTAAAAAGAGTGTGGCTGAATTGGCGAGCGGTCACGTCGTGTTTTTCTGTTTACGCGTCGCAACAGGAATAGTTTACATTCTAACCAGTTTATAGGGATCGTCTCCCATGGCAAATCACGCTTCCGTCCTCAGAAATGGAACTCTCCGTCAAAGCAATCTGAGCAGCATTCCTGGGGTGTGCTGGAAATCAGTGCTCTGGCCTCACCGTGGGCGTTGTCTCAGGTGGCGGCCACAGCCGATCCGTGGCGCTGCGTTTTCGGGCTGAGTCAACCGTTGCGACTCTACTCCGAATCAACGAACTAGACTCATGTGCCTAAATTACCAAGTTGACGTCCCCACCATGGTGGTGCTGCGCGGATCAAAGTGCATAGTCGCGACGCGGAGACGCGGAGCGGAGCCACGAGCTCCAACTGCGAGACGGAATGCCACTGCTGCTTCGCCTTGCTGTCCACACCGTTCGAAGGTGCAATGTTGGAACACGCAATGTGATTTCCATTCCTGCACGCTACGCTCCGAGGATGACCGGTGATCCGGAAGCTTTGATGCGACGAGTCGTATCGGACTGGTTCAGCATATATATGGTTTGTGGCCGTCTATCTTCCTCTCTTGTTTGAGTCTGCTAACCTCGCCACGACCTTCTTTTGTCCTAGATTGTTCCCCTGCTTCTGCACAGAAAGATGGCTTCAACACTCCGCTCGTGGCTCACTCTTGGGCTACTGGCTCTTGCGTCACCGATTAAGGCAGAACCTGTTCCACGGCACCAAGGCCTGGCTGCGGTTGATGCTCGCAATCTTGCCCCCCTCGAGGAGCGGGCATTGTACAATGGGCTTGCATCAGTATGCTACACTTTCACGACGGAATACCTGGCCGCACCGTTCATAACTCCTGTTCCTGGCGGCCCATATGGTCCTGGAGGCCCATATGGTCCTGGCGGCCTTGGGGGCCCCGGGGGTCCATACGGCCCTCCCGGGGGTCCTCCCGGTCCGCCTGGCCCGCCTGGCCCGCCTGGTGCTCCGGGTGCCACTCCCACAGCGGCTCCTGGGATAGGTCCTCTCGCAACTACAGTATCTGTCGCTCCAGGGTCTCCTTTCAGCATCAGCATCATTTCATTCCTCAGCAGCCTGGGTGACCAGATAGCAGGCTTCACGACGGATCCAGCCGTGGCCTTCATCTTCTACGACCCAGTCACTCGATCCTTCTATGGCGTTGTGCCAGCCAACCAGCCCGGAGGCGTCATCAGGATCTTTATACGAGCAGCCGACCCGGCCACTGGTGTGACTTACAACTTCATTATTCAGATCACCATTAATACTGGAGGAACTGGAGGAACTCCTACTGGTGCTGTCCCGACCTCTTCCGTCTCGCCAGGACCTTCGCCCGTTGAGACGATCTTTGCCGGCAACCCTTTCGTAATCGACCTGCGAAAGTACCTGCGGAGTGATGCAGACACTGTGAACACACTCGCAACAACCCCAAACACTCCCTTCATCAACGCGGACTTGAACGCCGCAACCAAGCAAATCGTTGGAGTTGCGCCGGCCGACTCCCCAACCTACCCTGTCACCATCCTCGTCACCGTCATAGCCACCACCCAGGCAGCAGCCGGCGTGAAGGCTAGGCAGATCGGTGTGGGCGTCAGCTTCACCGTTCAGTTCACCATAGTTATCCTCGGTCCCAACTCCAACACCAGCAGCGGCGGGCCGGTCGTCCCTACCTCATCCATCACGAGCGGCAATCCCCTGTCTACCAGTACATCAACTGGAAGTTCCAGCAGCGTTTCGAGCGAGAATCCACCGGTGTCGCCCACTCCAAGCCCCAGCAGCGGTGTCCCAGAGAGCAGCACCGGAACCTCAGAGAGTAGCACTGGAACCTCAGGGAGCAGCAGTTTCACTGAGCCACCTTTCTCTGAGCCTACACCTACATCGTCTACCGGCACAGAAAGCAGCACTGGAACCCCAGAGAGCAGTACTGGATCCCCAGAGAGCAGTACTGGATCCCCAGAGAGCAGCACTGGGCCCTCAGAGAGCAGCACTAGTGCCACAGAGACCAGCACGGGTCCCACTGAGCCACCTTTCACTGAGCCTACACCTGAGCCTACATCTACATCGTCTATCAGCACTTCAAGCGATGAAGGAAGCTCGTCAACTTCCATTAGTACGTCAAGCGGCGAAGGAGGCCCGTCAACCGAGGCGACCTCGTCAACTACCAGTACCACTTCTTCTACGTAAGTCTGAGAATATTCCATCCCCAAGGTGCCTCCACTAATGCGTTCCTTAGATCTTCCTCTGCGAGCTCGAGCCCCACTCCTAACGAGAACGTTTCGGACTTGCCGGAGCTCACCTGCGCTGGTCCCGCGTACGAAGTTGTTGGCAACAGTCTCTACACCGTGGGCCTCGGCCTTGGCGTTGTCAACTTGTTGACAGGCGTGATTAACCTCCTCGGCGCACCTGCTCCCCCTGTGAATGCACTCGGGTATCATTCCGTTCAAAACTACCTCTACGCGGTTGATTACAATTCGAGGCCTCAGAACATCATCCGAATAGGCGCCGGAGGCACGGCCGAAGTTTTTACCGAAGCCTCTATCGCAGCGACGGTGACTAACAACCAACCGCTGCTGATCGGTGACATTGATGGTAACCAGCAGTACTGGCTCGGTCACAGCGCTGGCCTTGGTTATGTGAAGTTGGACTTGAACGCCGACAGTGAAACCTACGGAACAGTCGTGGCGTCTGGCGCCCCGACTGCAGCTCTGCCCTACCCCATCGGAGACTGGGCCTATATACCTGCTTATCCCGACGCGCTCTTCGCACTCGGCCAGGAGATCGTCCCGGCCGGCACCCTTGTACTCCTCCCGAGCTACAATACCCACCTGATGCTGTTCAACACCACCACTTTCACCTGGGCTAATGTCGCTACCTTCGCCGGCATCTCAGGTGGCGTAACGGGCGTACTGGGCGAGGCCCAGTGGGGATCTGTCTACTCTGCCAATGACGGCAACGTCTATGGCACTGAGCAAAATTCAGGCTTGCTGTGGAGATTCCCTATTGCTGGAGGGAACGCGGCCCTTGTTTCGCTTGGGGCTATCCCTCTGAACGGCGACGCCATCGACGGAGCCAGATGCCCACTCAGTGACAGTCTAGTTGCGACGTTGTTGTAACAGGCCAGAGTGGTCCGAGACAAAGGTTTCATTGTGTTTGCTTGGCGATGACAGGATTGCATACAGTTCATGAGTATGATTTGTCGGTTTTGGATAAATTCTTGTGCATGCCCGACCTTAGGTTCTTTGGGCGGACATGATGACGTTTCGTGCGGTCAAGGCCGGTACGATTAATGTTTGGAGTTGCTCTCGAAGCAGAGTTTACAAAGAGATGACTGCATTCTTGTAGCTTTATTTTGATGTTCTTTTTGGCTTGAAATGTAAAATTAAATCGTCCACAACCCCCTTTCTGGACTCATTGCAATACTTCTTCGGTTCGGCTGAGACTTGATAAAGTGAATGAATGAATTCCGAAGCCTGAACATCTGGTATGTTTTGCGAATACTATTCGGAAGCATGAACAACGTTCGTAGCCCACATTCCCTGTCTGCGAAAAGTTTTGGCTCGAACTTGAAACAAATGAGGACCTTGGTTGCTTCGAGCATTCTCTCACGGCCACTAAGACGTATATAGGCCCTGTGAAGTTCTGCATTGTTATTACTGGTTGCCAAACGTTTGACGACTACCAAGCCCACCGAATTACGATAGAAGGGATTTGGGCCGGTGCCTTGTTTTTATGGCTGCAGCAAGATATACTTTTGAGTAGCAATACAAAAAGTTCAATGAAGGCATGTCTAATCCGCATGGCGCACTATAAGTTTCTATTGCAAGTCTTGACCATCCCATGTGAGTTATTTGGTCCGGAATTGATGAATGAGATTGCCTCTTGCAACAAGAACTTGAAAGGGGAAGAGAGAAAGGTAGTCTCTTTTCCGGGGTAGACTACGTAGATATATCGATGAGCAAGGCTATTCAATTTGAAGTTGTATATTGTCTCAACCCGGCGATCTGTAAGGATGGAATCAACATACCCAAGTACACAATTGTCTCACATACTCTTTTTCATCACGCAAAATCCTTGAAGACGTCTCGTCGACTGGACCCCTTTTTTCTCGCTGATGATAAATTTGTGACGCAAAACTGCCTGTAAATCTGCACATACACTGATTCTGATGACTGGCCATATACATCTCAAAACTGCTTATTTACAAGCTCAGTCAGCGTCCAGACCAAACATTTTACGAATAGTAGTAGAGGAACGTTGCTCAGCCTGCTTTTGTTCTATCGTTGTTGCAATAAACGCCAGCGGCTCCTGGTAGGCCACGAGACAGCAACTAACGAACCGAGCCCCCCTACACTCTAGAAATCTGGCAAGGATACTTCAATTACAGCTATGTACAGGAGTTCGACTTCGATATTCTCCTAAAGCCCCACCTCATCCCGACTTATTCCATCCCATCCTAAAGCTTGGAGAACATAACACCTTAATGCTCGCCAGCAGGCGCATGCAAGAGCAAAACCGGATCCAGCAGTTTCACCCGCACGTCCTCCGTTCCCTGACACGGACTATGGAAGGGAACGCCATCCAGTGTTGCTGTTCCCAAATCTGCCTTGGGGTAAACATTATATGGATATATATAGATATGTACACCTGCTACATACGTATACGTAGGCAGGCAGATATGGACAGCCGAAGCGACAGCATACTGCAGTATTTCCTACAGCGTCTTGCTGCCCCTACTCTTGAAGGCCTGAAACGTAGCACTCATTCAATCGGGTCCCGAGCACATAGCACGACGGCATCGCGGACTCTACGCCGGCACCTCCTCTGGTTTCGGCGTTGGCACGTCGCCCTCTTCCTCAGCCGGGGCTTCGGGCTCGTCATTGTGCGTGGTACTTCCAGCCTCGTCCTTGTCCCCCTGAGCGGACTCGCCCTCCGCCCCATTGCCCTCCGCCTCATCCTCCGCTGTCCCGTTCGCTTGCTTCGGCGGCGGCTGCGCGCTGGTTGTCTTTTCCCTCCTCCTCCTCCTCGAGTTTCTCTCATCTTGGGCCGTCTTCCGCCTGGCCTGTCTCAACATTTCCCTCCTGTCCTCATCACCCTCGCCTTCGTCACCGTCCCTCATGCCCTGGAGTAGCATGGCCGCTCTCTGCGCGACATCGTCCTCCCCTTCTTGGGGCGAGGTAACCGAAGTAGGCGATAGCAGGTTGCCGCCTACGCTGCCGGTCCCAGCTGTCTCGTCCGAGGCATGGCTGTCGACACTCTTTGCACTCATAAGACCTTGTTCCACCTCGGGAATCTCATTGATCTCTGGGATCTTTTGCCCCGAGGCAACGCGCACCTGGTGCCTGTCCTTGAGCCTTGCGCGCCTCCTCCGGTCTCTCTGGTCTCGTGTCTGCGGCGCCGCTGCACGAAGCTTCTCGAGGAGGCTGTCCATCGCTCCAGCACTACTAGGGCTGACGGGTCCAGCATCTGCGAGGCGGTCGGAACGAATATTGAGTGCTGCGTTCTTGCGTCGCATCGACTCCTCGTTGCGGCGTCTCTGCTCCTCGAAGGTGACGTTCTTGTCCCGAGACTTCTTCCACTCCGAGATGAAGAGGGCAAGCTTCGCGAAGAAATCTCGTCTAGCATTGTCGTCTGTCGGATCCTCGCCATAGAACGCCATGATTTCCGCATAGGTTCGCGACATCTCCTCCAGGTACAGCGACATCTGCTCGGCCTTGCGTCTAGCTTCCTTCATGGAACGCTGTACAACCTGAGACACGCGATCTTGTGGATGGAATTTCTTGGGGTCAGACAGGTTACCGCTGTCGAGCGACATTTGCACGTTTCGAACGTTATCGATGTATCGCTTGGCGTCTGTCTGCAGCTGCTCGATATTGATCTTCTGTGCCGTCATGACACCTTGTATGTCGTTGACGAACGAATCCCATTCGGGGTACTGCTGCCGGACGATGCGTTCCACGAGATCTGCGAGCGTGGATTGGTTCTTGTCGTCCTTGACCATGGCGAGACGAGAAAGTGAGCTGAGCTTGAAGCCCCGAGCCTGTTTGTTCGCATCGTTCATGTAGTTACCGATATCAAGGATCAGACCCAGAACATTCATCAGGGCGACCGAGTCCCTGAGCGATTCAGAAACCTCAACGACTTGTCGCATCTTCTCAGTGATCTCGTCATAATCGGCCTCGAAGCTCCTCGTCAAAGCCAGAGCTCGCATCCTGCTCTTCCAATAGTAGTGGAGCTCGAACGCGGTCTGCAAGTAGATCTGATCTTGCCTCGTAAGTTCAGCCGGATCTTGCTCACGAGCAACTGACATGGCGTCCGGTCCCGTCCAGTCTTTGCTGTATGGCGCCATAACCTTGGCAGTGTTCTCTGGAATATTGCACAAATCATCCTTCTGAAGGAAATCCATGACAACAGGGTTGTCGAGGACGTCAGTATCACAGTGAATGATCATCTGCACAACCTTCTCAACAGAATGCTGGGAGAACTTAGAAAGAGCGATTTCTGGAAATGTGTTAGCCTCTTGCTCCAGTAAATTTCAGATTGAAAGGAAGGACGACTTACCGAATGCTTTCCGCAGATCATTGGAAATAAGCTGCTTCTTGTCATCCTTCTTACCACTGGCTCCACCAAGCCGTTTGGCTTCCTTTGCCATGAAAAGCTTCTCGACTTCGTCCAAGATGCCCTTCTTGCTGAGCTCGATATATTTCTCTTCCCTCTCTTCTGCAGTAGGAGCGTGAGCAGCCCAGTGAGTGGAGGAAGCCTCGTCCACCTTGTCCCAATGCAGAGCCTTGAGCTTCTTCTTTGGTCGCACCACAGGAAGACCAAGACCATTCGATACTGACAATCCAGGCGATTGAGGTAAGTAATGGCCGTGGGGACCAGCGCCAGGCATTGGTGGAGGAGGCGGGGCGCCCGGGACTCGGCCGATCATGCCTGGGGGAGGTGGTGGCGGAGGAGGAGGCGGTGGGCCACCACCGGCAGTTGGCGACAACATGCCTGGCATCGGAGGAGGGGGTGGTGGAGGTGGAGGACCAACGCCTGGAATCTGACCTGGCATCGGAGGCGGCGGAGGAGGTGGCGGAGGGCCAACACCTGGGATTTGGCCTGGCATAGGGGGCGGCGGCGGAGGGGGCGGAGGTGGTGCGTTTGTGCCAGTGATCTGGATCTTGGGCGTATCGTCGCTGGGTGTGATCGGTGATTGCGTCTCCAGGCTAGGGTGAGACGGGCCAGTTGTCGCGTCCTGTTCACCCTCAGAGTCGCTAGCATCGTATTTCTTGACCGTGCCTTTGATTTCACCCAAGAGGCCATTAGCCTGTTTGGGATCCATACGTGGCCGGCGTAGTTCGACGACCCTAGGTTTCTCAAAGACAACATCTTCGTCTTCACCCTCCTCGTCTCCAAGGCCTTCCTGAGACTCGAGTTTACGATTAATTCTCGTGTTTCGGTTCACGCTGCCGAGCACACTGTGAGTGAAGTCGCTGGGATTGGGTGGTGCGAGGCCTGCTGGCCCGTAGCCATCCATTTCCTCACGCAACGCCCGTAATCGGTCTGATGGCCCGGTATCTTCGCCCCATTTCCTACCCTCCAGCTTGAACTGAGTTTTCTGTCGCTCGATTTGCATGGCCAGACGGTCCATGAGCCTCTCACGGTCCAAAATGCCTTGCATGCGGGCTGGGTCTTCGGCTGCGTTGCTGCCACCCTTAGCAGCGTTTGAGGCTGCTACATCTTGGGCGTCTCGGAGCATGAGGTACAGTTCACGAGTCTCGAGCTCATAACGTTGGGCCTCCTTTGCCCGCAGGTTTTGAATGTTTTCGAGCTCGGACTTGAGGCTGTCCGCTTGCCTCCTCTGCGCCTCGATGAACCTTGCCTGCTCATTCAGTTGCTTCTGAAGCTTGGCGACGAGTCCATCAGCGCCCAGTTCTAGCTGTGCCTTCATCTCGTCCCTCTCAGCCATAGCAGCCTCCGCTATTTGCCGACCCTCGAGGGCCTCATCAAGGGCTTGACGAGCCTCAGAATCCGTGTGTAGCTTGTCCAAAAGACTCTGGACGGTGAAGTTCAGACTCTGCTTGAGGTCCATATCCGGCAGCCGCCGGTCCATGGCCACGTAGCTCAGCATCGAGTCAACGAGCTGGAACATCCTCAATCTCTCCTCACCATCGCCCTCTCGTATGAGGAGCAGATGTTGCAGCGCTGATATGAAATAGTCTTGCGTCTTGGTTCCCTGCAGTCTCGACTGAATGGCGTCCGCGATCTGTACAGGATCGTTGAGGTCCTTAACCTCACCTTCAATACTATCCTTAATGCTGCTGTTTTCTCGCTCGAGCATATCCTCGTAATCGATAGCCTCGTTATTGCGGAACCGTTCGATCTGCTTGTCAATGAGGTCGTACTGGAACGCCTCCATCTTTGTGAGGATGCGCTTGATACCGCACGCCCCGAATTGGGCCCGGATGTGCATCCGCAGCTGCAGGTCATTCTCAGGTGCGTCGATGATCATGTTGATGAGGATAAGTGTTGCGACGGCGTATTCCATGAGCAGATTCTCCATGCCGATACCACCGCTTCGAACCTCTTCACTCGCACCAACTAGACTGCCCATCTTGCCTCGGCCATCGACGGTGACCTCGACCAGCCGCATCCATGCGTCGAACCTCCCATTCTCGTTTTGCTGATTCTTGACAACATCCATCGCCTGGATGACCTTGACGTGGCCGTCGCCATCGCCCCAATGACACAGAAAAGTCAAGACCTCGCTGACCAGCTTGCGAGTACTTAACCTTGGTGATATGAGAGATGTGGCCAAGGCCACGATGACTTGCTGATGTGCCAAAGCATCATCGGCACCAAACTTGTTGTTCATCAATGCCTTTAAACATTTTACAATATCATATTCGCGGTCCAAATTCTTGGTGTCGTTCTTGGTCTCGGGTGCCGCCGGCCCAACAGCTTGTTTGCGATTGAGCTTCATGAGAACGTTGGTGAGAGCGACTTGTCCCTGACACTCGATGAAGCGCTTGACCCATCCGATCTGCTGTGTTCTCAAATTGACCTCCAGACTTCCCAGGCCTTTGGTGTCGAGGCTGTTATCCATGACCTTCCTAACGTACCATTCAGGGCTGCCCTCCTCGGCAGCAGAGGCCGCGACATCGAAAGTTTGGTATTGTCCGGGTTTCGCGGTGGTCCGTCTCTTCTGTTCGCCTTGCCACTCGGTGAGCCTGTCCTGGTAGATAAGTGTCCATTTCTTGGCGGAGGGATACGCGAGCATCTGGCGTTGGGCCTGTTCCGGAAGGTTATGCCAACCACGCTTCTGCATCAGCTGTAGAAACATGTCGTCGATCAACCGGTCTTCGGGCTTGGGGAAGTGGAAAGCATCGCCGGGACTCGTAGGGGAAAGGCCTCCTGGAAACTTGGTCAGGCGATGGGAATCCCGATTGGAAAGGTTCGACGCGTAGCTACTCTGAGAGGAAGCACTGGGCAGTGCTGTTCTGGATGAGCGAGAGGACGAATGCGCGTATTCATGGGAGCCTCCATTACCTGAAAATATACTAGATTGGTCTGTTGAAGTCCTGCCCGCGGATGTTGCATACGAGGTGTACTTGGAACCATGGGATCCTGCTTGATGTGAACCGTCCCGGGCCGGCCCCCATTGCTGATACTGCGTCTGGCGGCCGGTGGAGGCCATGGTGATGTTCGATTGCCTCCCAGGAGGGGGCCGGGGGCCGGAGAGGTGGGTGCTTGCATGGCTTTGAAGGGAGGACGGGTCGAAACTGGGATACTGGTGGAAGTCGGCGGTGGCCTTGTTCAACTGATGCGGTAGTGGTTCTCTTCGGACGGGCAACTGGTCGGGCTTAGGCAGGTATTCGACGGGAACGGGGGAGCGGCGGCCGTTGGCTGTACTGTCATAAGGTATCGTCGAGAAGACGCCTGCCACCTCGTTGATACCACCTCCCTCGGCCGAGTTGGGGCGGTCGAGGGATATGACGGACGAATCTCGATTGTGTCGCGAGGAGCGTGAGCCTGCTGCACTGCCTGCGTCAAGCTGCTGGTTTATTACAGCCAAATTGCGGCCCTCATCGCTGGTGGCTCTCTTATCGGCCTTGTGTTTCCCCCTAGAAAATAACGAGGCCATGTTGGGTGTCGCGCGAGGACGAGCCTCCTGGCGGCAGTCGTGCCTTGTGCTCAGTCCTTGTTTGTGCGTTGAGTGAGCCGATGGGAGCGTATGTCAAAGGGCAGACGGCTCGAGGGTTTGAGTGGGTGTTTGGAGGGAGGGGAGGGGGATGACCGAGGGTCGCAAACTGGTGGAAGGGTGCTGCGATCAGGGTGGGCAGGGATGGGATTATCGTCGGTGGCGGCGTGTGTCTCTGTGTCAGTCTCAGAGCTCGAGGCCGATCGCATTGTACCCGTCGATTTGGATCGGATGGGTGTCCCGGTGGACTGTGATGCGCGGGAGGGTATTGGCAAGGAGAGACTGCAGGCGCATAATCAGGCTTGTTTTAGCATGCACCGCAAACCCGGAAAGCCAGCAGACTAGGTGCCCAGCATCGTCCGTACTTGGGACGGACAAGTGGAGTGCGCGGCGCGGGTTGGTGGAGAGGGCAGAAACAGGAACAAGAGAGACAGATGTACGACGTTGCCGGGAATCTCGAACGAAGCCTTGGGGGGTTTGGTTTAGGTTTCGCGAGATGATGGGCCGGGTCGGGGCAAGTCCCAAGGCAGCACAAGGGTGGTGGGTGGGTGGTGTGGGTGGTGCGTGCGTGCGTTGCCTTGCTCAGCATGCCCAGCTGTGGTCCTGCCGAGCCCCTGCGTCGGTTGCGTGAGTGCGTGCGTGCGTGCGTGCCGAAGGACAGGGGCACACACGAGCCAGGTCTGGTCTGGACTTTTGCCTGGCAGGCCTGGCACGCGGGCAGGGCGGGCATAGCGGGCTCTGGGCTCAGGCTGGCAGACTGGAGCCGCAGAAGCCCAACCAAACAATTGATTTAATTTCCCAAATTGGAGGTTCCACCAGGACCAATACGACCAGTTCTTGCCTAGCATCGCAACGTGCACATACTGATATGGCAAGGTTCTGGAAGATCGACATTGGTGGCGCCTAGGTCCAGAGGTCTAGCTACAAACTTTGTGCGCCTATCCGCCTTCCTCATCCTTGAGGTGACCTCTAGACCTGCTGCAACTGCCAGCGCTAATTTGCTGGAGCAGATCATACTGTTCTTTGAGTAACCAGTTACCAGAGGCCAAACCTGTTGTCCAAAAGCAGATCGATATTCACAGTATATAATACACACACGCAAGTCGGCAGCCGAGTCAGCTGGATCCGGAGATGACCTCGTGCGCTGGTTTGCCTCATTTCCAATTCCAATTCTATCCCCCATCACCAATCCTAATCCCCGTTCCTCGTTTCCGTTTCCGTTTGCAACTAACTATAGACACGTATGGCCAGCGTGCCTACATTATACATTTTCACGAGCATGCTACCTAGAAATGCAACCCCGTTGAATTGGTTGGTATCGCCCCTGAAACCAACCTGGTTTCAACCAACACCATCAGATGCCACCATGCTCTTCTTCACCTAGTAAGTGCGGAGTAGCAAGCCAGTAACCATTCTGGAGATTTGCAATGTGTAGACGTCCCAATCTTGTCCACGTGAAGCCCAGCCCAGGCCAGCATGATATGATGACCCAGTATCCCAGCGTCCCAGCATCTCAGCATCCCTGGAGATGAAGCTGGAGCTGTAGCAGCGGAGCAGAGGACGAGGGAGCATTGACTCCGTGGTTCCTGGCATTATAGTCTAGTATATTCCTTCTGCAGTGTACCTGGGAACTTAGAGTCCGGCTCCCACTAGTCCAGATCCACGCGCATCCCCTCCGCAGGTGACCTTGAATCTATAGACCATGAGCCCCAGGTCCAGAATCAAGCCCGGTACTCCTAGCTACGGGATCTGAATGGTCCTGCAGTGTTTCCCGGACGCCGGACTAGGGTCGGCAGACAGATTTCCTGGGCTGTGGTATCCAAGTCCTCGGACCCTTCCTGAGCCAATTTGGGAGGGGGGAGGGACGGGTGACATGCGTAGAAGTACCCTAACCCTTCAGTGGGAAAGTGCCTCAGACCCGGCGCTGCCTTGGTGTGCTGTAGGATGCCGGAGACGATTGTGGCTGACGACGATCATCTCGAAGTGTCAAACTAGGTCTACCTATCTGACACGGAGCATCGACCTCGGGTTTTCGTCGTAGTTGCAGCTGGTTCCTGAGGCCGACTCGTTTCAATTGGATCTAGAGCCGTAATCGAACCCTGCCAGAAATGCGCAGCACTTAATCCAAGTGACGCCCTCAATACCAAACCAACGCTACCGTCCACTTGTTCTCAACCGGTCAGCCGCAACGCCGTTCTCTCCTCGTCCTCCCGAGGGGATCGCTAGTCATTCTGGTATATCACTAGGGCGTGACATCTAGCCCTCCAGAAGATTCAGCATGGGCTCTACAATATCCACAGCAAAGGCAGGCTCGCTGCTCCTCTCTCGCGCGCGCACTTCCGTGCCCCTTTGTGCACACAACCCACGACCCACGGCTAATGGCTAACATCTCACGGTCAACAGACTCTAATCGTCCCGGCGATAATAGCCCTGATAGTCTTCCTCCTCGCGACCTACATCCTCTTGCCCCTGTGGCAGCGTACTCGCAATAGCCGATACGGGGCGTACCTTCCGCTCGAGACCATCTCCAACGGGACCCAAACTGTCCGGGCCAGGATACAAAACCAGATCGCACGGTGGCTTGTACCATCCACCTGGCGGGAGAGGCTACAAGACCGGCTGGTCGTCGCTGGTAGTCCGGGGTCTGACAATGGGTATGACTCTGACGAGGGCGAGGAGCTGGATGAGGTGCCGGAGGATGAGGACGTGAGGAACCGCTTGGAGCGGGAAGCCAGGAGGAGCAGGACCAGTGGTCGGCCGGACCTGGAGCGGAGATTAAGTCGAGAGTGAGTCTGCTGCGCGGCCGGCCTTTTGCGATGGACTGCTAACGGACCAACAGCTTGGAGGAGGGCTTCCGGGATGATAGTGACGAGGAGGCCGAGCATGCGACAAGGGCGCGGTAATCTTACGACATGGCATGGTCTGAATAGCGCTACATTGAACGATACCCAATTATTGTGCGTCTTTCACCGATAAATCATACATCAACTGTATAAAAGCGATGCGAAACGATCAAAAAGGCGTCTTTGTGAGGTAGATCACAGTCGCCTGACACTGTCTAATACTCCGTGGAAGTGCCCGCTGGACGTCCAAGTGATGCGATGTCGAGGAGGCCTGGGAACCACGGCCGTATAACAGGTCTACAGCATACCAATCTTTACAAGGAAATGCTCTAGGTTGGTAGAAAGGGCCGATTGTCTCGGCCAGGATCCAGCCATGACGGCGTTTTGCAGATCAAAGAGTATCGCAATTAGGCAGCCTTCTCCATATTGTCCCTGGATGTATGAAAATGTTCAAAGCCAGCCCAGGCTGCAGGGTCAAAAATTCGCAGGCCAACAGTCAAGTGACTGGGGCAGCAGCGGTGTTGGACCTCCACATGAAACCCAGACTGTGCACACAAGTACAGGCGCAGCGTCGTGTGGAAGACAGCTCTAAGCAGCTTTTCTAGCTCTATTCTAGAACAGATACAGATTATCTAGTCTACTTTATCGGGCTCGAGAGAATATCAAGTATAGTGGTGAGCAGTGAAGCGAAGTGAAGTGGGCATAACTGGCGCTGCAGTCGTTGGATATAACTATACGGTGTGCAGCACACATGCAACCATCCAACCCCTGCCCCAGTCACCTTCACTTACAGCACGAAGGTACATACATCCACTTCCCTGCATATAAGCGGACAACCTATTTCGTCCGTTCAGCCTTGTCAACCCCCGCCACCTTTCAACATCCATGCCTGCAGCTTGACCCGACGTGGGCTATTTCATTGCACTTCACACCACTGCCGTGGATGATCAGTGACATAGAGTCCGCCATCTGGGAGAGGCAGAAACACTGGGCAGGTAAATTTCGAGGTTGGCTGTTGCTAAGTTCCCTTCGCTACCCGGATTGGTTTTAGGCGAGGCACGGTTTGAGGCCAAAGTTGAAGCTTATCTGTCGGCGCACAGCAAACGCCACGGCTTTAGAGACAGCGTTTCGCTAGCAATGCTAGCAATCCCGTCCGAGGCCGATCTCATGTGGTCACGCTCGGTTCGGGTCAGCCACGAGACTGGTTGCACGTACTTACTTGTACTTACTTACTGCCTTGCAGCAGGACGAGAACCAACGAAGCCAGCCCAGACTAGGCTCTTCCTGTCCTGTCCTGTCCTGTCCTGTCCTGTCCTGTCCTGTCCGAGGCCCTCCACCTGCTCAGCCCATCTTCCCCGTCCCAACGCACATGCACATGAACCGTACGCACGCAAGCAAGCAACCGCCAACACCCAGGCCACTGCACAAGTCCCAAGTCCTAAATCCCAAGCCCACTTCCAACTTACTCACTCCAGCCATCCAGCCATCCCACCCCTCCCCGCCGGCCAACTCACTTCTGCGCGCTTAACCTGCCTGCTGAAGTCTGTCTACCTGCATAGGTTATCTTTCCCACCCTAGCCCGCTTCCTTCTCCACCCACACTCTTACACACCCACCCCTCCAAGCAAACCTGGCCTGTGACCCATGTGGCACGCCTCCGTTGGAGTGACGACCGCATCGCTCTACGACAACTAGTCATTCGCACAGACTTGTGCGTCTCTTTCTCCTTCTCTAGGTCTGCGCCCTTGCCCAAGCCTTATCATTTTCCCCTTACCCAATCACCGCATCCATGTTGGGCAGGCTGCAGCTGCCTTTCAGTCAGACTAACACCTCAACTTCACCCTCGTCTTGTTCCTGGGCTTTGGCCGCCGCGCTTCTGACACACCCTTTCGTTTTCCCTTTGGTGTCATTCACATCTACCGCCGACCTCCTCGACTACATCTCCTGCTGCCCTCCTAATCTTGGTTCTCTCAGACGAGGCATCATGAAGCCGGTTAAGCTGAAGTCGCCTGTCAAGACCTCGGTCGCCCGTCAGGAGGAGCACTCTGACCTCCACGCCATCGACCCAGCCTGTGCCATCTGCCAGGTTGATGTCGGGACCAAATCTCCCGATGGCATCAAGGAGGGCTGGTCAATCACTCCCTGCGGCCATGTCTTTGGCAACGTGTGCATCAAACGCTACCTCGCCATAACGGACAAGCCACTGTGCCCTGTCTGCCGAACCGACCTTTTCCACATCTGCTCACACCCGGTACTGCCAGCCCCTTACAATCGGACCAAGTCAAAACTGTCCCGCGAGGAGGCCGCGCACATGAGCTTTCCCGGAGACACCCGAAACAGCGACTGTCAATATTGCCGGCAGCAGAGGCTCAAGCTGGCGAGACGCCAACGGGTGCAGGAGATGCTGGAGGGCGGCCCGCGAGAAGCGGCAGAGGGCCGGAGTGACAGCGATAGCGACAGCGACGACGACATGGAGGGCACCAGAACACCAAGGACGAAAGGCTTGAGGTGGGCACTGTCGGCACTGCGTATAGCAAACGCCTTGGCAAGGCTGACACTGGACGTTACGCATATTAGGAAGATCAAGTCGCTGCACCCCGAAGAAGATGAGGGCGCCGAGAACGACATGATCGTGGCCGACTCCCCCCAGCTGGTAGCGACGTCGAACCGAGACCTCCCCCCCGTGCCGGGCGCCTATGGCTACTGGGATGTGGCAAAGAAGGGGCCGGACTGGAAGTTCCTGGCATTTTACGATTCACAGGAGCCTAAGATGAAGACCACTCCCGACCAATTTTCATGAGACCAGGGAAAGGGGCAGGCGGACGACGTGGGACGCATTATCCACATGACGCTCACATATACTACGGAGTAGCGAGAAAGTTGCGAGCACTACAGGATGACAGAGCGAGACTGCGACTGCGAATGCTACGATCTGGGCATATGGTTCGGAAGCTCAGGGTGGACAAGGCGCCTTGGAGCTGCTACGGCCGTGTTGGGTGTTTTCAACGGTTTTCTTTTCCAATCTGCTGCTCCCGGGATATGGACGTTAAGGGCAGGGGTGTTCTTTGAAGATTGGCTTGCTTTCTGCTGAGGCGTTTCCGAATATGAGTTTTGTCACTGTCTGATGAGCTGGAAATCGGTTCTTTGCATCAATACGCCGTGGACAGGAGCAACATGGAAGCATTGGCGGTGCACTGAGACAAGATGGGGCGAGGCTGGGTGTTCGCGCGGGCGGAGACGACGGGATGATCCAGGCGGGGTAGCTTGTCCTTTGACAACCCCAAAACCCCACCTGGATGGGGTGGTCAGCCCGCTGTCATTACAAGGGCCAGGGGCCCCGTCTGGTGGGGGAGATACTGGGGTAGATTTCCTAGCACCACCTAAGCTACAGACGTCGCCGATAGCCGCGCCGCGCTATACCCCTTCAGCAAAGCAGTAATCCTTTTAGCACTACTACGTTCCGTTCAAGGTCCACCACGAATTGTGCATGTCGGCCCCGCTACCCGTGGTTTTCTGATTCCTCCACCAGGATTTCTTTTCACTTGACCCTTCCAAACGAGACTGACCGATTGACTGACTGGTGGGAACCTGCGACGCGTTTCGACGCGTCCAGATGGGCCCTCGGCTGAAATTTGCCCACGATGAGGTTCAAGACGGAGCTCAAGAACATTCGCACGTTCAACAAACTGATAGCCGCCCTGAACTCCCTCGAGAAGATCGCCTGGGTCCGCCTCGACGATGATACGGCACGGTTCACCGTCATTCCTGAGACGGGTTCCCAGGTCTGGGCGTGAGCACCTCGAGCCTCCTGCCAAAAATCATGGGCACAAACTTACAGTCTTCTCCTTGTAGCTCCCTCTCCATGGACTTCATCTTCAACGAATACCACATCCAGTCCGCTGAACCCTCCAACACCATCAACCTCGAGTTGCCCCTCGGCCCTCTGCAGCGCGCCCTCAAGTCCGCCATCAATAGCGACCATGCGACACTGCGCCTCACGAAGAAAGACGGCATCCCCGTGCTCTCCATGACCATCCACACCACGCCCGAGCAGCGCTCAAATAATCCCCAGCCCGCAGCTCCCTTCCACAACCGACGCGCCGGCGCAGACGGTGTCCACAGAGGTGGTACTGCCAGCCGTGGTGGTGACGAGTACGACGACGACGATCCCTTTGGCGAAGCTGACCTGGAAGCCCTCGAGCTGACAATGAAGCGCGAGCGCGAGAAGGTCATCACGCACGACATCCCGGTCAGGGTGCTGCACCCAGACACGGTCGAGACCATCATGCAGCCCAAGGTCCGCGAGCCCGACGTTCACATCCAGCTGCCCCCTCTCATGCAGCTCAAGGCCATCTCGGACCGCTTCACCAAGCTAGCCCTCACCACGTCCAGCGGCTCCGGCGGCGGCTCCGGTTCCAGGGCCGGGGCGTCCGCCGCCGGCGCCAACGGCCCGAAGCTGGAGCTGTCCGCCAACATGCACGGCAGCCTGCGCCTGCGCATAGCCACCGACGCCCTGGACATCGAGAGCGTGTGGCGCGACCTCGACAACCCGGAGCTGGACCCCACGCAGCTGGCCGTGCCCCTCGAGGAGCACCCCAGCACGCGGTTCCGCGAGGCCGGGCCCGACAAGTGGGCGACGGTGCGCGTCGACGGCAAGGACTGGAGCAGGGTGCTGAGCGTGGGCCGGCTCGAGGGCCGCGTCATCGCGTGCTTCGCCGACGACCACGCCTTGATCTTGTACGCGTACGTGCCGCAGTTCGACGATGCTACGGCCGAGGATGCGGTGGTCACGTATTATGTTTCATCTTACAGTGCTTGATATCGAGGGGATGGGTTCAATTAATTGCATTTCACAATTGGGTCATGTGAGGAGTCCGCGGTTGGACGGCGTTGTGGGGGAGAATCATTGCATAATAGACGCTCAGCAGCCAGTACAGCAGCTATACCGAGGCTTCTTGTTTCACGAGGAATAACAGGCCGGGATAATACTTCCCATTTTTGACAAGACACAAGTTTTGGGGCGTGCTGCTAGTGAGTATTTTGGGGGATTTTAGGTGAGTTTTATTAAGTTCTATGTCCAATTTACACCCATGAGCCGAAACTCCAATTCAGGGTGGTTTTTTTTTTTCCTTTCCTTTTTCTTTCCCGTCTGATCATGAGTCTGATCTCATGCTTTAGAATTGGTGTTGCTGTGAGTCTTTCCCCTTCAGTCCCCTCCACTTTCTTCATCTTCGCACCGAATGGGAATGCAACTGTGAGGAGTGGGCGAGTACTGGCTCAACGCCTTCGCAAAGTTGGCTTCCCATTCTTCTCGGGCAAGAGACGATTGGGTCGTTGATGCTACCCAGGTTGTCTGCATCTCGGTTAGTAACTGTATGGTCAGCTGAAGCTGGGGGGCACCCACTGTGCTTGTTAAGGAGTTCCCCAACAGTGTACCGCTGAGAGGGGGCACTGCGTCACCGTGGATTAGGAGACGAGACCTCAGGATAGATTGAATATCTTCTGAGGGCCACGGCCTTACCTGCTGCGTTTCGAAGCTAAGTATGTCAGCCTCGCTGAGAGGACGGGGACTGGGGACAAGAGTCTGGCCCCAGGAGAGAAGTGACGCCGCCACGACCAGTGTGATATCGATCTCCTTGTCCTCTTTGTCCTGGAACAGAAGGCCTACGCGTACAGAGTCCCGTATCTCCTCTTCTGTAACATGGTGAGGCTCATGTCTGCTTCCGTAGCAGGAAGGCCAATGCGTACATATGGTGTTCCTGATCTCATCGACGGAGACAACACGGACGCGTGTGACTGGGCCGTAAATCAGCCACTCCTGGGGCAAGCTTGTCCACCCCAAATCGGGAACGTGGATAACGGGCCAGGAATATGACAAGTCCACAACAGCTACAAAGCCTGGGCCCTCGTTCATTTCCCATTGGAGCTCGCCGAAGCTGCCCATGGAAAACCATACGGCCGTGGCTAAATCCGCGGTCCAGCTGGTAAATGGAGTTTGGAAAAAGTCACTCCCAATGTGCTTGGAAGCGAGTGCCGTAACTGCGACCTTGGAGAGTTCATCCAGGTGCGATGGAAGGCTCGGGGGCTCTCGACTTACCTGGGTGTTCGAGGCCGGCAGGAGGTTCTGCCACGCAAATGGGTAAACTCCCCGGGGAGAATTCAAGCCCAGCGCAGTGGCGCGGGTTCCAGAATGCCAGCCCCTGAACAGGACACGGGGAAGGTTGTCCCGCCTGAGCTTATATTTGTCGAATCTGGTGCTGGATAATTGATCCATCTTGAGAAGATTTTGCTTTCCTATGCGATTTTACTCGTCTTTGGCGGAGACGATTTCCGAATTCTCGCTCAGGCCGGGTGTGCCCAGATTTTATATACTCAGGAACGGTAGAAATATGGTAACGTAGAACAATGCAATTGTGTCTAACAACATAGTCCTGATGATTTCCATCAGGGATACTAACAATCTCATTGTTATACTAAGTCTCCATTAACGGGCAATATCATTGTTCTAAGGAATGCCAGAGGGTGTTATGTTTTCTTTGTACAAAGATTGAGGCCCCATGGGAAAGCAGGAACATTTGAAGTCTTCATTAGCGAGAGAGGGCATTTCACATATGCCGTGTCTTTTTTCTCTTTTCTAACACTGCTATGAACAGTCCTCCTGTCTTCCAGCTACTGCATTTGAACATCGTAGGCCTCCTTCACAGTCCTCTCCTGGTGGGGTGGTCACGTCTCTTTAATTTGTCGCATGAAATCTCCAAGAGCTTCACCGTACAGATCCAGTGGTGGAAAGCAAAATTGTTTAAGTAATTGAGCACCCTTGCTAAATTCGTAGAAAACAATCATAACCAATAAAGAATTGATATGGTTTGTCTTTCCACCTTTGTGGTTGATCGGATTTGATTAGACTCAAGCCATGCAATTTGTAGTGTACTGACCCAGGTCTTTGCATGCCTCCTCTATATGCTCTATGTTTGAGGAGCAATTTTTGTGGTGTGGCATCGCGTTAAGTCTCTTACACTCTGTCACAGCACATTGTTGTAGTATAGACTTTTAAGTAGACAACAATAATGAAAACCGCTTAGCTGCACTGTCATAGTCTCAGGAATTGATATAGAACAAAGTAAGGTACCGCATGGAAGTCTCTTGCGCATAAAGAAAATGTGAATCAATAAGGGCTGCTATCATTCTCTTTGAGATCAAGGTCGGCCACAATTCTTTGTTTTCATGGCCCATGGACAAAAGAAGCATCAGGTCGATTGTAATTACGGCCAGACTGTATCATTCTGAAATTTACATGGAGTGGAACAAGATACAGCGAATCTTATTCACCAGCCGACATTCACTCCGTCACGTTGCAGATGAAATGAAATCGGTTTGAAAGTACGAGCCGTCATCGGATCTTGCTTACCTGGGAGTAGTAGGTCGATTCCCGCTCTTGATGTAGGTTCGTCTTGCAACGATGCAGCGAGTGTCGGCCTCAAAGTGGATTATTGCCTCGAATAAAGTAATCACGTGAGAAGGTATTACGAGACGTCATGAACTTCTATCATTACAACAGTTCTATTACAGTATACCACTCCCATGATCTCGTCCTTCCCCGGATTACCGAGGTTCATCAATCTCCAGCAAGAGGAAGCGCCTGCTTTACTCCATGTAAACGTTATTTTTGTGCGTGTATGCATATACTCCATCTCTCATGCGGCTTGCTTAGTGCTATATTGGCGAGTAAGACGTCTCGAGTCACAGCGCCCGCCCGCTCTCTTATTCTCACCCGCTGAATTTTCCTTGGACTCATCATCCCCGTTGCCCATGAACTATTAGGCCGCTCCAAAATGCACCGGTCATGCATCTGCATTTGAGCTCCTTAACGACCTGCCATGACAATGCAAGGCTACCCTCTACTTGGCCATGACATCGACGTAACGCCCACCTTTCTTCTTGCCTTTGGCGCCAGCGCCCTTGCGTGGTACTGCTGCCCCGAGGAGATCATCAATACTGCTGGCGTTGCTCATACTTGTGGCGGGCCTACTGGGCGGTGCAGATGGCGGTCCACCAGCCACACTGCTCGCGTTCGAGACCGTGCGCACCATAGACGGTGGCAAAGCCGATGCTGGGCCAGACAGGTTCGGTGATGAAGCAGCGCTCACTGGCGGCGTGGGTCTCAGTGGCGGCGCAGAGTTCGAGGTGCCTGGTGGTGGGGGTGTTCCAGCACCGGCCGGTCGAGGAGTCCCCCGGGGAGGCGGGGGTGTAGCAGACTTCGGGGCGCTCTCTTCCGCGCCGGCGGCCTTGTTAACCCAGCGCTTCTGGTCAGGATCATAAACAAAGCTGGACTTCTCTCCAAGCTTGGCACGAATCGGTTTGTTGGGTGAATTCTCCAGCGATTCCTTCTTCGCGCCGCCGCCGCCAAACCATGAGGTCAAACCCCATCCCTTCTTGGACTTGGCCGCTTTCTCAGCTTCGGCTCGTTTGGCTGGGCTTTTGTCAGTAATTGAAGACTCGCCAGAGTAAAGACCGCGCCGGGCGCACTCACCTTCCTCTTCCGCGACCTTGCGGAACATCTCCTCGTTCTCCTTGTCCTTCTCCGACTTGGACTTCTCAGCTGGTGTCATCGAGGCCATAGAGGGGAAGCCGTCATCATCGTCGTCCATGAAACTCTTTTTCTTTGGCTTGGGCTCATCTGCGTCTTCCCTGTTGTCATTATCTGTATCTGGGTGTGGTAGATACGATGGAGGCTCGAAGCCCTGCGGTTGGTATGAAGGAGGTTCATAGCCGCCACTCGATCCTTGATGCTCAGTCTCAGCTGGCTCTTGTCCCACTGAGTTCATGGATGGTGGTTCGTAACCGTAGGATGGGGGCTGATATCCCATTGAAGGCTCGTGCATGCCATCATTGCTAGTCGCGGTGTGCTCAGCGGCAGGAGCAGCAGGGGTGTACTGTGACAAATTGTTTACTGCTGGTGCTGAAGGCGCGTATGGTGACGATTCTTGGGAAAAGGATGGATAAGGTGAGAAGCCCGGAGTCGTTGGGACGGAATTGCGTGACAGCGAAGGGGCTGAAGACGCCGTGCTGATACCCGGTCGAGCTGGCTGGTAAGGAGACTGGCTGGAAATCCCGAGGCCCGGATCAGGAAGATGCTGTGCTGGTGTGGATGCGTGGTTAGGGGTGTATGCGTTTGCGTGGCCTGCTTGAACATCAGACGACGGTCGTCGAGGCTCGTAAGAACCTCGATTATACTCCCCAGACGTCCGCTCCATAGATGAGCGTCCCATTGGTGTATACGACGAGCTGGGTTCGTAGGGAGATGGGGCAGCAGCAGGCTGACCTGAACTAGGCGCATATCGTGACGATGCCCTGGTTAATTGAGGAGACATCGATGGCGCAAGCGGAGCAACTCCAGCTGCAAACCCATTAGGTGATCCAAACATCTCCATGCCCGTAGCATTGGACGCAGACGCCGGCCTACTAATGGTCGGCGTCCCACCGGCGATGCGGCCAAAAGGACCAGACTCCTCACCAAGCTTGGGAGAGCCTTGTCCAGGAGCCTCATTCTCGTCACCGGCTACGAACTTGTTGAAGCGGCTCCACATGGAGTCAGACACTTTGTTCATGCTCGGCTTAGAGATCCAAGAGCCCGAAACCTCTTTGTGAGGGCTTTGAACAATTCTCTGTCGCAGATCCTCAACTGACGCCTCCAATAAGACATGGTGATATGGGGACCTTCTGGTCTGAGCGCTCATATCCTTCGAGATAATGTCGCAGTATTGCATTGCCTTGTCTCTGAAGCCATACTCAGCCAGAGTCATGGCGTGCTGTAGTTTGTAGACCGCAAGATGAGGAACTCCAACCGCATATTGCGGTGCTCCAGAAAGGCTGAGCCCATATTCATACACCTCACTGAGTAGAAGTGCCTCGGTCTCTTTGAAAAATTGTTGGGCCTGTTTCCGGTGATCCGCACCAACGAGCACAAATTGGGCCTGAGGGTCGTCAAGCCCACCGAACACGGTCGCAGCCCTAGAGAACAGGAAGCATATGTGGGCCGCCTCTGCTCTACCATACTCCGAAAGCAGATTCCCAAGCGAGCTAAGAGCCTGGACATCGCCGACACTCCTGTTGCTCAAAATGAGGGTCAAAGTCTCGCGCCACTTCTCAAGACCTTCTACGCCAGCACTTGTTGAATGTGACGTTGATGCAATCAACTGTACCCCTGCCCGGGCGTGTGTAGGCACGAGCTCGTCAACACATTCCGCGTGATTGCCAGACAAAACGGCATAGAGTGCAGCGAGTGATTCGTTATTTCGCCCAGGAAAGTTCACCTCTTTCTTGATGAACTCCTGTGAGACTTTGTGGTAAAGCTCTGGAGAGACGGTATTGGCAATCAGTAGAGCGTGGCCCCATAGGCGTTTGTCTGCAGCGTCCCAGACTGCCTTTTCCCTTTCACCAGCCATGAGAGACTTTTTGAGCTCCTGTACGGTAACCGGGTCCACGGAATCAGACTGAATTTGCGTTGCAGACGCTTCGCCGGAAAAGCTGCCGAAGTTGGCACCAGTAGCGTAGATAGGAGATGAGAGCTTGTCTTGTCCAATTGTCGTGTCGGAGAGGATGTCACGAACGGCCTTTTCCACCACTGGATTACCCTCGAGCACGCCGTCATTTTCGACGAATGCTCTCAATATTTTCCACAACAGCACACGCTCAGTAGCACGCTTGTCCTCGTGTGATAAATGAGGTTGGAGCGTTGAAGTTGGCAGACCCTGCTCGAGCTCTTGAACACCGGCCGTGAGCCAAGCAACAATCTCTTTCTTCTTTGACTTGCCCTTGAGTGGCCCAGGAAACTTGGCAAGACGTTCCTCCAATGGTTGGATGTCCTTGATAGTCTTGATCGTGACCTCCCCAGGGCTGCGAACGATCATTGGAGCAGGTTGATTGACGCCATACCTCGGAACATCAACTGGGAAAGAGGTCACAACCATTCCACCGCTACCCCAGCTTATCAAGGGACAGCCTCTCCATCTCTGTAGAGGATCATGTTCACGACCGTCTGTAGGCGGGATGAGATTTAATTTCTGCGACATGCCTCTAGGTCGTGTGGACACGGCTGGCGTGGGACCTGCTGCCACGCCGTTGGGCGACATCACATTAGCTATCGACGGCGGAGATGGACCATATGCCGAGGAAGGCCGCGGGACCATTTCTGAAGCCTTAATGGGAGACCTCAAACCAGACATGGCTCCAGGTGATCCGGTGTTGGACCTTGGGGGAGGTACGATTCCAGTGACAGGAGCCGGGCCGTACGATATCTTCCGCTTCGGCGCAGACATTATATCTGGGTTATAGGTCGAAGTCATTGCTGGGGATCTCTGCAGGCTGTCTGGTGCAAATTGGCTCTGCTGAAGCTCACGGGTCGGGGCGCTCTGAGCAGCAACCATGCGGGGAGGCCCGCCAACTGCTAGTTGCGCAGATGGATCTTCTTCCTCGACTTCGCGCGTAGGAGGTAAAGATGACATCCTATTTAGCCTGGGTTCGTGCGAGGCCGAATTATTGCGGCTTGAATGAAGCCCACCTTCGCCAGGCCCGGGTCTCTGACGATCATGGCTGACTTCGAAGTTTGCCAATGGACTGGACGTCCTGGGCAGATGAGGCAATACGGTAGGTGGTGTTGCTGCAGGACGTTGGGCAGGGGGCGCAGGGGAGTACCGATTCATCGGAGGAGGTGCTGGGCCGCTTGGCACGGAGCCCTGAGGCGGTGCTGGGGAGTATCGTGACAAGCTCGGGGGAGGCCCGCTTGGATCAGCAACCGGTCCAGTTGGCAGTGCAACATACGGATTTGTTGGCGCGGGTGGTAATAATTTCGGGATATCTGGGGCGGTTGGATGGGTAGGCATCGATAATCCTTGAGGAACTGCAAGTGTAGACGACGGTGGGGGATGCGAGGCTTGGGGAGGCCCACTGAAGCTGGGTTGTGAGGGTGAGGGTTGACTCTTGTTGCTCGTCCGCGAAGCAGGCCGTACTTTATGAGACGAAGGCAGGTCTTCGAAGAAACTGGCTTTGGGTTTGAGTTGTTGTGGACGTTTGGTGTCTAATGGCGCCTGGCCTGGATGAACTGATGACTCCGGTGATATATTCGGCGTGTAACTCTGCACCTGATCAGCAGCTGGGGGCACGGAGCTCTGAGCAGGCACCGGCAGAATCTCTGGCGCAGGAGGTCCCTGGCTATACATGCTTGAGCTTCTTGGAGGGGCTGAGGGTCTGGATACTGGCGCTGGTGACGCACGATGCATCTGTTGTAGACTGGCTCGTTTCTTGGGTTTGACGACTTCCATCGGAAGGTCGTAAGGGGAATGATAACCGCCCTTGGCTTTATCGACGAAGCTCTGTGCCTTGTTGACCGCAGGTGGCCTGACAGTTTGTACGCCAAACGGCGCCGTTGCTGAGTGTTGCAGGGGTGGAGGCTGGACAGCATAAGGATTTGCGGCAGCAGGAGGGGCCAGGGAGACCGGGTTAAGAATCTGCGGTTGTGGCAGTGCAGGTGAAGCGCCCGGGATATACGGATTGGGTGGTTGAGCTGCGCTGGGTTGTGTTGTGTTCGTAGGCAGGTACCTATTGCCAGCATTTGAGGCTGCTGTGGCGGCCGGTTGATTGATGCTCGAAGATGGCTGAGAAGGCTGCGGAATTGGCGTGTCTTCATCCTCGAGGAACCCTTCATCGTCATCGAGAAAGAACGCGGATGGATCCAATGTTTTCTGCTCTGAAGTGCCCGTGACAGGCTCGTCCTCGAGTAGGAAGCCGTCGTCGTCATCACTTGCAAAGGCCTCGGACCACTTTGCAGCGATATCTTCGCCGCGGGGTTCCTGGATTTCTCGGTCCCCAGAATCGGGGGCTCCTACTAGGACCGCTTCCTCTGTCGGATTCGTAGATTCTTGAGAAATAGGTTCGAGCCGCTCTTCGTCTTCCTCTTCCAGTGTATCCTCGACAAGACCACCGACACCTCTAGAGCCGGTCGTGTCGAGGCCGTCGAGCACCTGCATCGTCGACTTCCTTTCTAGCTGACGGGGTGAGAACTCAACAGTCTCTGGCTTGACTTCGCCCGCTGCAACCTGATCGAAAAAGTCATCTCCCTCCCCATCCTGAGAAAATGGGTCTTGCGCGTTACTGGATTCTGGCTGTTCCGTATCTCCGGCTTCTTGGTGATTGATGAGAGGCAGGCCCTCGGCATATCTAGCGTCTGAAGCCTCGTCCTCCGGCGCTTGCAAATCGCCCCCTTGGGTGATGAAACCTGCTTCCCCATCGTCGTCTCCCCAGAAGTTATCCTGTTGCAGCGCATTGTCTGCATGTGACATTGAGCTTTCCTCGTGTTCGTGGGACTCGGACTCCTGCTCTATTTCATGAAGTACATCTTCGGCTTGGTTTGCAGGAAGCGGTTCGACTACTTCGTCCACGTGGTGTTCAGTCTGTGGTACCACGGGAAACGAGTTGGTCCTCTCGTTCGGCGGCATGTACCTGTTGAAAAGATCGGTCTCTGCTCTGGGCAAACTCCACTCGGGTTCATCGTCGTCGATCCAAGTCGGTTCTTGCGAGACGGTGCGCGCGAACGAATCGTTGCTCACATGCTTGGGTGCCGACGAAGGCAGGTTTTGCGGCTCTTGAACCGTTTCGGCCTGAGCTTGGGCGACCTCGTCGGTTTCTGTTGTCTCAACCACATCGGCTGGCGTCTCTTGGTCGTGATGCGCAACAGGCTCCGGTTCTCGGGACAGCGCGTCTTCAGATTCGAGACCATTCTCAAGCTCTGGCTCTCCAAGTCGCACTGGCATATCGGCCTGTGGCTCCGCTGTTTGCTTCCGCGGGCTGCCAGCCTCGTAATTTGGGAACCATTCATCTGCCACTGAGCTCTCACGGGTCCGAGGTATATCAACCACAGGTTCTGGCACCAAGGAAGGTTCGGGTTGCGCGCTGGAAGCAGCTTCGGGCGGCGGGGTGTAAGGTTTGTCCGACTCGAGTGTGTGGGCTCCGGCCGCAACATCCGCAGAGAAATTCGGCATCATGGCTGGATGCCATGCGGCCGTCGGACCATCGGATGACATATTGCTTGACGATTAAATAGGTATCAAAAACTCAAGGCGTAGTGGAGGCAGACACGGCAATCGCGAACAGGGTGTATATGGCGCTGGGAAAGCTTATTGTTGTCAGCATGCGAGCCGAGTTGGAGGCGGATTCGATCACGAATGACGGCCTTGTCGACCCCAAGGTACAAGACACATCGAGTCGATTGCGATATGCTTGATGTGCTACCCTGGTAGAAGGCAAGAAGGAGTGTGACAGAAGATGCATCTTACATGTATAGTACAGTAAATTCAGATACGCTGCAAGCATGCAATCCCTAGAAGCAGTGCTTCATCTTGTGTAAAAGGTTGCCGAGGCACTGGCCAAGTCTATGTAGTTCGTGTCTCGTGATGGCGACAGGGAAGGGATGGGACGGCAGAGTCCACAGTAAAGACAAGAGCGGGCCTCACTTGAAGAGGAGTTGCGGGTAGATAGTTTGAAGAAGAAGAAGAAGCAGAGCAGATGGAGTGGGTAGGGTGCTTCGCAGTACTGCACGGTGCGATCTGGGTGAGGTTGACTTGAAAGCTGGCCTGGACTTTTTGCAGAAACACGCTTGCCACGCTCGCTTGCCTGCCTTGCTCGATACACTTGTGCAAATGCGACCGTGGCTCTCACTTCCTCCGAGCCAGCCAGGGAGCTTACAACATTGACAGGGGGGGAGGGGGGCGTGCAGACCACAGCACCCGGGAACCTATCTTTAGTGTCTAAGGCTACGGCCAAGACCCCTGGAGATGCATACGTAGGTACTGGTTAAGTAATAAGCCATGCACACAGGGAGTGCATTTGTGCTACCATTTGGTCTTGTCACAGGCAGTGACGTCCCGCGGCGTGGTCCCAAAGCTCAGCTGTCCTCTTGTCTGTCACCTGTCCTCGTCTCTGTCGATCGTTGGCCGAATTATTTTGACAGGCACCAACTCATGCACACCATATACGCAGTAATCGATACACCAGCTGTTTGTCCTTCATTGAGTACAGTCTCTAGGCCAGGATCTTCACTTCAAGATCTCTATTCCCCTGCTGGCCGGCGAAGCGAAGAGGATCCGATACCCACATACACAACACACCGCAGCGCAGCACAGCACAGCACGCGCCAGGTCCGCCTCAGATCAGCGACCCTGCAAGTGCAAGTGGACTTCGAGAATGACAGCATCCAGCTCCAGTCTGGGCACGACCACATGAGAGCTAGAGGGCTGCCACTTCACCCGGCCCACGCCCCAAGATAAATCATCTCTGCTCCCGCCCATATTAGGACCCCGAGGCAAGTGGGCTACTCAAACTCGCCTGCCTGCGGGATGCCTTCTCCAACTCCATACCACTCTAAAGAGCCTCCAGATTCGCCTGCCGATGATTCCGACTCCGACCTCGAACTCGAACTTCAAGAGCTTGACCCTCTCCCCGCCGATGAGCCCCGCAATAAGTCAGGGCTTTTAGGACACGATCGCGAAGCTGCTGAACAGAGGGCCCCAAGGATAGCCCTGCGCAACCTTCGTATGGGGAGCCTGCGCCGCAAGGGGAAGTCATCCAGAGGCTATCCTGGCGCTGGTGGAGGCAGAGATAGTGGGCTAGACGACGCAGCCGCCCTGCTAGGAGACGGCGATGGCGACGGCCAGTCCAGCCGTGAGAACTCCGGCGAGGATGCCCCTTTCCTACGAGAGCATGACGACCGCTCCCGCCGTGCCAACGGCCAAAAGAAGCGGCCGAGTTCGTCCAACGGCTTGCGTCTGCCCAGCTTCATGTCGTCCACCGGGTCGCAACGCCATGAGGAAGATGAGCAGGATCAGGAGGAAGACGACCCCTCGGCATCCAGGCTCGTCGCCGTCGGCTCTGCTCAGTCGACTCGTTTCCCGCCGAACCTAGTGTCGAACGCAAAGTACACCGCCTTCACCTTTCTTCCTATTACATTATATAACGAATTCTCATTCTTCTTCAACATGTACTTCTTGCTCGTTGCGCTTTCACAGGCGATACCTGCCTTGAGGATTGGTTACCTTTCGACTTACGTTGCGCCTCTGGCCTTTGTTTTGATGATTACAATGGGAAAAGAGGCATACGATGACATAGAAAGAAGGCGCAGAGACAACGAGGCCAACTCAGAACCATATGCTGTGCTAGCTTTTGACGAACCTGGCCACTCTGCCACTTCAAGCCGCCCAAAGAGAACACTGAAGTCAACGTCCAACCGAAAAGGGCGAAAGGGGAAGATGCCTGAAAGAGACCGGCTTTCCGACATTCAAGAGGAGGAGGAGCAAGCCGAGGGTGCCGGGCTTCGCAGAGAGCCTTCTTCACAGGTCCGCGACATAAGTAAAAAGTCGCGTGACCTGAAGGTTGGTGATGTCTTGAAGCTAGAGAAGGGCCAAAGGGTGCCCGCTGATGTGATCATCCTGAAATGCTTGTCCGGCGATGTCAGTGCAGGAAACGACATTGAAGTGCCTCAGAAGACCGAGCCAGACCTCCTGGGCAGTATTGATGAGTCAGGAGAAAGCAGTGCTGATCCGCCTGCGAGCAGTGAGCCTGAGCAGAGCTCAGGGCCTGGCGGAGAAACTTTCATCAGGACTGATCAATTGGATGGTGAGACTGATTGGAAGCTTCGTATCGCATCACCTCTGTCTCAAAACTTGGCCATCGAGGAGCTGGTCCGTCTGCGGGTTACTGGTGGCAAGCCAGACAAAAAAGTCAACGACTTTGTCGGCACTCTTGAGCTCCTCCCATCAAGACAGGAGGCAATGGGCAACACCGCCAGCGTTCAGGGCGGGGACAATCTGTCAAGCACAGCACCCTTGTCAATAGACAATACTGCGTGGGCAAATACAGTCATTGCGTCCCACGCAACCACATTGGCTGTGATCATCTACACGGGCCCTCAGACCCGGTCCGCTCTTTCGACAGCGCCTTCCAGATCCAAAACTGGACTCCTTGAGTATGAAATCAATTCACTAACTAAGATTCTCTGCGCCTTGACTCTCGGCATCTCGATCATCCTCGTCGCACTAGAAGGGTTTGAGAACGTGCCCGGCAACGTTTGGTATGTCAAGATCATGCGTTTCTTGGTCTTGTTCTCGACGATCGTTCCCATCAGTCTCCGAGTCAACCTTGACATGGGCAAGAGTGTATACTCTTGGTTCATCCAACGTGATCCTGATATGCCGGGTGCCGTGGTTCGAACTAGCACGATTCCAGAAGATTTGGGTCGCATCGAGTATTTGCTGAGCGACAAGACGGGCACCCTGACTCAGAATGAAATGGAAATGAAGAAGATCCACGTAGGAACTGTGTCCTATGCCAACGAGGCAATGGACGAGGTTTCGGCATATGTGAACCAGGGGTTCCAAGCCCCCTTGTCCACAGATCCATCGACTAAAGGCACGCTCATCACACCTTCCTCGACATTCACCGCCACAACCAATGCTGGAGCCACACGTACACGTCGAGAAATTGGCACAAGAGTGCGCGATGTGGTACTGGCATTGGCACTATGCCACAATGTCACTCCTACCACGGACGAGGAAGATGGCAAGATGGTCACAGCATATCAGGCGTCGTCTCCTGACGAGATCGCCATCGTAAAATGGACAGAAGCTGTTGGATTGCGACTTTCCTATCGTGATCGCAAAAGCATGATGCTTGAGTCGTCTGAGACCGGCCGGACGATTGTTCAAGTGCGCATACTCGACGTTTTTCCTTTTACATCCGATGGTAAGAGGATGGGGATTGTCGTTCAATTCTTTGAACGATCAGGGAGCCTTCCAAGTGTCAAGGACGGCGAGATCTGGTTCTACCAAAAAGGCGCAGACACAGTCATGAGTACAATCGTGGCTGCAAACGACTGGCTGGACGAAGAAACCGCCAACATGGCTCGAGAAGGCCTGCGAACACTAGTAGTGGGCCGAAAACGACTCTCGCCCGATGAATACCAGGAGTTTCAGTCCAAGTACCAGGAAGCATCTCTTGCCATTGGTGGCCGTGATACAGGCATGCAGAAAGTTGTCTCGCAGTATCTGGAGCGCGACCTGGAGCTTCTTGGCGTCACAGGTGTGGAGGACAAGCTGCAAAGGGATGTAAAACCATCACTGGAGCTCCTCAGGAACGCGGGCATCAAGATCTGGATGTTGACAGGCGACAAGGTGGAGACAGCTCGTTGCGTCGCTGTGAGTTCCAAGCTCGTCGCACGCGGCCAGTACATCTACACCGTTGCCAAGATGAAGCGCAAAGACCATGCACAAGACCACCTCGACTTTCTTCGGAGCAAGGCAGACTCATGCCTCCTTATCGACGGTGAAAGTCTTGCATTATTCATCACACACTTTCGTACCGAGTTCATCTCCGCGGCCGTCCAACTGCCCACGGTCGTCGCGTGTCGGTGCTCGCCCACACAGAAGGCCGAGGTCGCAAAACTCATCAAGGAATTCACCAAGAAGCGCGTGTGCTGTATTGGTGATGGTGGCAATGATGTGAGCATGATCCAAGCCGCAGACGTCGGTGTGGGTATTGTGGGCAAGGAAGGTCGGCAAGCAAGTCTTGCCGCAGACTTTTCTATCGAGCAGTTCTACCATCTGACCAAGCTCCTTGTATGGCACGGTCGAAACAGCTACAAGAGGAGCGCCAAGCTCGCTCAGTTCGTCATCCACCGTGGCTTGATCATAGCCGTCTGCCAGACCATGTACAGCATTGCCATCAAGTTCGAGCCTGAGGGCTTGTACAAGGATTGGCTCTTGGTCGGATATGCGACCGTGTACACCGCCATGCCGGTCCTGTCCCTCGTCCTGGATAAAGACGTCGACGAGGAGCTGGCCAACCTCTACCCGGAACTGTACAAGGAATTGACCTCCGGTCGGTCTCTTTCGTATCGGACGTTCTTCGTCTGGGTATTCGTATCGATCTATCAGGGCAGCATGATTCAGGGCCTGTCCCAGCTGTTGACTGAGGTCGACGGACCCAAGATGGTCGCGGTCAGCTACACGGTACTGGTGCTGAATGAGTTGCTCATGGTAGCAATTGAAATCACGACGTGGCATCCAGTCATGATCATATGCATCGTCGGGACCTTCCTGATGTTCGTCGGCTCGATTCCGTTCCTGGGCGGCTACTTCGACCTTGCCTTCCTAATAACCTTGTAAGCATTCCTCTGGTCCCTCGATAATTTTTTTCTTCGATGTGACACTGGCTAACCATGCACGTAGGGGTTTCTATTGGCGGGTCCTGGCGATCGGCGCGATCTCGCTCATCCCGCCGTATGCTGGAAAGCTGATCAGGAGAACTATGAAGCCCCCATCGTACCGAAAGGTACAAGGGATTTGATCTGTTTGATATGACTTCGTAGACTTCTTGAACTTACTGCTCTTCCGCTGTTCTTCTTTGTCGTTCTCCGTTGATTGCTGCACGCATAGCTTTGGCGTTTGGTTCACAGCAGTGGGTGTCTCTAGAACGATGGTCTCGTTGTTTTTATTTGTATAGGTCTATTTTGCAGAATGAGACTGCTGGTGAAGTCTATTTGTCCCAATGCAGCAACGCCGAACATGATTATCAGTATTACCCCGTGATTGCTCCCCAGCAGGCCGCCTCTGTTCCACGATCGGCTCGACGACATGACAAGTCCCTATTATTGTTTGAGTACAAGCCAGTCTCTCCAGGCCTCCGGGCTCTTCTCCATGAGCTTGCGGACGAGCCCTCCCACGGGACCCTGTCGCTCAGCTCCATCCGCCCATACCTTACGTCCCACGTATGCGCTGACGAAACCGTCTGGCCCTGATATCATGAGCAGGTGTTTGCCGCTTGCGCCCTTGTCACCACACGCACACTCCCTCATAGTTGTCCCGGACCCGCCCTGGCCCTTCAACCCGTCCTCGCCGGCGTCAGACTCGTGCGTGCTATGCTGGAGCTGCCGCTGCGAGTGAAAATAACACGGCGCCCGCAATACAGACGCGACCAATGCGGTCGGTGGTGGCAGTGTGCGCGTGTACTGGACTGCCCTCGTGACATCTGCGGTGCTGATTGCGCCGCCCTCGTCGTCCGCGACGCACCTAAACTCTAGCTCGTGGCCCCGAGCCCTGTACGCGGCCTGCAAATCCCGCAGCTCCTGCACCACAGGATGACCGAGTCCGTCAAAGTCGCGATCCTCGCGCGGCGCAGACCCGCCGGCGACGGCAGAAGACAATCGCCCCCAGAAACCCTTCACCTCCCCCGGAAGCCGCGGACACCCGGCGCAGTCGGCCCGCGCCCTGTTCGCCCAAATAATCTCCATCGACACCTTCCGCCCCTTGCCCTCCCGCGCGGAGAGCAGTAGGTGCCGCGCCGCCTGCAGCGCGGGCGCGATTCCCGTGCCCCCGGCCAGGAACACCACGCGCTCCCCCGCCGCTCCGAGCCTCGCGTCAACGTCGAAGCCGAGGTGTGGGCCGCGCAGCCAGACCTCATCGCCTGGCCCCAGCCGGGACAAATACGTCGACATCTCGCCGCCATCGTACCTGCGGACGAGGAAGCGCAGGGTCGCCTTGGGGCCGTCACCATCACCGCCGGCGGTGGCGACGGCCGGGGGCAGGGGCGTGTAGTTGCGCGCGATCTGCAGCTGCGGCTGCTTGATCTCGACGGACCACAGGCCGTGGGCCCAGGCCCCCTGGATCAGGGTGGCGTTGGTGGCTTGGTGCGGCGTCGGCGCTGAGATAGTCAGGATGAAAGTGGTGGGTGAGGTCCGCTCTGTGGAGACGACCTTGAAGGGGACGAAGCTCTCGCCGTTGAGGACGCCTTTGGGCGTTCCGCTGCCAACGTCGGTTGTGGCGCTCAAGAGGGCTGCGCCCAATATGGCGATTGTCAAGATGGCTAGTGGTCGGCCAGTTCGTGTCTTTTTCTCATGGTTCTTTGGACTTGCCGTGTTGCGCTTCAACGTGGTGCTTGCGAAGCCTCGTACGGGGCCCCTTGGGCGGGCAGGATAAGATGGAGCGCTGAGTCTCTCCTCTTGGTACTGTGGAGTGGGTGTGGTGGTGTATGTAGATAGTCCGCGAACTGGTTGTCCCAAGCCTGCGCACCGTAGTTGGGGCCGCACGCCTCTAGATAATCTAGTAGACGGGACTACGTCTGCAAGGTTACGTACCCGACATAGCATTGCCGACCTCGTCAGCTTCAGGCTTGCCATGCTTAGAAGCAACGGCTCGACCGCAGCTGCATTGGCAATGTCGTCTAGATGCCGAGGTTGACGGAGAGATCGAAGGTTAGTCAATGGTTGATTCCAGAGCTGCGGTTTTTGGCGACAATCACGTGCGCTACAGCACTGTCTGCTCTTCGGTCAGATACTTTAGGCCTGAAGGAATGAATACGAGAGTGGAACTATGTTTGGCCTTTTCAAGAATTGTGAATACTATGCCTCTGTTAGAAAATAAGTTGGGATTCGAACCTGGCCTCGACGAAAGTTTGAAGTGCTGAAAATTACGTTGCGTATTTTACAGCCTGAGTAGCACCGTCTCCCAAAGTAATGACGTTTTGGATATATTCTATCATCTCTATAATCTCAAAATCTCGCGATTTTGTTTAATACCGCCTCGGAACATGTTTTCGATGACTCGTCCTTGCCCCACTGTCTCTTGTATGATACCCTGAACATGCTTTGGCTCAACCCGACCATACCATATGCCATGTCCAGCCAGAGGATGTTTGTCTCCACTGGCCATTTTCAAGGAAGGTGGCAGATAAATGATGATGTTGCCAGCGAATTTGTGACCCCCAATGTGAGATATAAGCCCAACGCGTGCCGCCAGGGCCGGTTTCTGAACCGGGCCTGTGATGGCTTCGGCGTCACTCGAGGCATCGATCACAACAGGACCACGAAGCACCTCGACTCCCTGGTGAGCTAGCTGAGTCTCAAATTCACTCCTGAGCACCGGGCCCATCACGCCGCAGCGCATGTCTCTCCCTCCATGACCGCAAATAAGAACCAAGATGTCCTCGACGTCCCTCACACCCGGGAGCAGCTGGCCATACATTGGCTTGCGCGTCAACCTGTCGCGATGTATAGGCGACAGACCATCGTGCGCAGAGTGCAGCTTCTCCGGGAGCAAGAAGCCCTTCGCCAGCGCCTCGACACTGTCGAAAGAAACCCTTGGCAGAAAAGGCACATACTTGAAGCTGGGCAGGAGATAGACGGACGTCGAGACAAGCTCCGTCCTCGCGGGGACAGAGGACGCGAAGGATGAGTTGAGTACTGATATGTTGTGAAAAGGCTGTGTAGCGCGGCAGACTTACCGTTAGCAGCGGTTCCCACTCACCTTGGTGGTTCACATGGACTGAACTGCCCGACTCACGTCACTGTAGACACCGCCCCGCCCGAACAACTCCTTTAGATCAGCAGCGAGGTTGTCGCCACTGTTGTCTTCCTCGATCCGCGACGGCCAGTCGTCCTTGCCCGTGCAGATCAGCACCTGCTCGTTGTAATTTGAGATGAGTCCGTTCAGCTTGCCCTTGTGGTCTATCTCGAGCCCGTCTGGCATCGCGGGCGTCGCAGCGCACTCGCATGTTGATGGCGGGCAGGCCGGCACTGTCGTGAAGGCAGGGGCTCTTGACCTCGCGCTGTAGAATCTCTGCAGCGAGTGGGCGAATCGCCGTCTGAAAAGGCGAGACAGGGGCTGGAGCGAGTACAGCGACATTGCAGACTTATAAAGAGATGAGTGCCCTGCGCCTTCGACTTGAAGCGTTCAGATGGTAGTTGTTGAGTGAGCACTTGTCGCTGTGGTTGCCACTGACTGCTCAAGTTAACCCTGGGCTTGCCTGAGCTCGGTCACCGAGGCGCCTCAGGGTTTGCCCCCCCCCCCCAAAGAAAAGATCCAAAGATCATGACGTCCACGATAAACTGCATCTTTACGAGCAACCTGCTCAGGAACCTGAATAGTAAAATGTCGCTCAAGTCATTCGAGGCTGGGATTTCTCCCAAGAGAGGGTCTTCCAGTATTTCATGCCAGGATATTGTATCTCGAAAGATATTACAGTATAGGAATAAAGAGGCCGCAAGATGTAGTCAGTCTTTTTGGACGGAGGAGCACCCGAACGCACAGGCAGCGGAATTCGCTGCGCTTTCATCTGTTTTATTGTTTAAGTTGAAGTTTTAAGACGATCGTTGGATGAATCACTGAAGCGAATATGGGTATAGCTCATGCAAGTCCCGAGCTCTAGCGACTAAGTTGTATATCAGACCGATGAACAACAGTCACCCGAATGATGGATGTTGTAGTACACCGTGCCGCGCCCCTCTTGCATTCCAAGAAGGGGGAAGGCCTAGTACTCTGCAAGTAGTGTTGTCCTTTTCAATTTCTATGGCAGACAAGGGCATTCTAGTACTACCATGTGTCCTTGGTGGGGGCCATTGTTATTTTTAAGGCTCCATAAAACCCGGCATTTTCTCAGAGTCCTGCACTTGCTCAGAAGTGGCTGGGCTTATTTGTGTAGGCCTTGCCAATATGATCACGACCTCATGCCGCCTCGTTTGATTTTATTAGATTACTCGCCCCAAAAACCGCTCCTCAAAATTCCACTACCTCAATCCGACCGAGGCTTCGGTCAGATATCCTGCCACAGTGGATGCACCAAATACGATGGAAATTCGTGAGATCAGACTGGGGCAGGATGTCTGGCATGGTATGGACACATAGTCCTAACCGTCTGACCGAGCTCATAAGGCTGGAAGTGGCGGACTGCGCTTCGTCCGAGTGGTGTGGAGTTTGAAATGGCTGCTTTCCATACTTTTGCAAGGCATTAGAGCAGATCTGATCCCTCAGCCCTGTGTCTCGGGCAGCATCGTGGGTCTCTAAATGATCAAGTTGCGGACCCGCGACAGGCATCTTTCGTCTGTTCATGTCCCAGGGTAGACTCTGCGCTGATTCAGATCCCGACTGCCTCACCAAGGGCCTCATAATGCTTGGGTCACCAACTCGAGGACATCGAAAAAGGCCTCGCGGCTTTGGTCGTCAAACTTGGTGAAGCCCAGACCCACCACGAGTGTCCTTCGGTCATCAGGGTTTCTGAGAGCAAGATGGCTGGCGATTTGAGCGGCGTATAGCTGGCCCACGGTCTCTCTGTCCTGTCCTCCACCACCAAGCAGGGTCTTCGGAGTCAGGTGGAGGGAGGGGAGCGCAGACAGCTCAGCCCTGGGCATGGCCATGTCCACGAGGGCTGGAGACGGGGCAGAAAGCGGCACTTGGACCTGAAAATTATGTTCAGTACATGGAATTTAACGGAGTCTGCTTCGGACCACGGCATACCCATTGCGACAGGCGGCCCTCTTGTGAGATTGTGAGCAGGATCCTGTCGGCGAAGTTGGTGCAAGAGACGTGGGTCTGGACGCCGTTTACTGTCCCGTTTGCCAGTTTCGATGGGGCTGGGAAGGGCTCCTCTCGAATGTCGGTCGATGCTGAAGACGCCATCATGGGCTTGACTTTCCAGGCCTAAGGTAGTGCTTGGGGCAAGCCGGAGATGAGACGTCGGCCTATGCTGACGGAGAAGGCGACGAGATATTGAGACCAAAGGTCGCAGCCGGGAGTGGATATGCGGCGCCCCGCCCCGAAGCTGTCGGCCCGCCCACAAGCCCGGGTCTCGCTGTACTTAGCACGTGCCTAGGTACTGTTCTCCGGCTCGCAGGGGACCCAAAGCTGTGCACCGGTAACTATAGTAATCAAAGTGGGTACCTAAATACACTGGGCATAGATACAAAGGGGAATCTCCCACTGAAAGTTGTCCATGAAGAACTCGAAGCTTATCCCAGATAAGTCATCCCGTAACAGGGTCCAGTAACAGATTACCCTGTAACAGATTATCCCGTGGAAGTTTATCCACGGTGTATACTCCTACAGTTTGCCCACTGAAGGGGGCGGGTTGTACCAAGGCTACGCTGCAGGTGCCAGCTCCACACCATTGGCGCTAACCATAACGACCCCACAAAAAAACAGACCTGGAGCCAGCCTTGAAAGATTTCATCAGAATTTCATGTGAGATGCTCACTGTGAATAGTACAACCGGTGAGAAGTCTTGCATCCAAGCTAGGATTTTTATTCCCACCGGAGCACCATGGCGAAGAAGCACGTGCCGCGGCAAAGAAAACAAAAACACCGGAATCTAGCACGCGACAATCGCCAGGATAGCAAAGACAATGCAGACACTCCAAACACGCAGGAGATCCTCCCTGAGCATGTACAGGAGAAGGAGGCTCGCAAGGCTCGTATGCGTGAGGAGCTGAGGAATCAAGGAGTCAAAGTCAGCAGCAAAAAATCTAAGCGTCTGGATAAGTATATCGAAAACAAGCTCAAGAGAGACGAAAATCGAGAACTCCTGGCCAAGCTCGCTGAGACGAGGGTCGATACCAGTCTTTTTGCGAGCAGTCGCTCGCTAGGCCACAATCGCGAGACAACGCGCGAAGCGCTTTTGAGAGCCCTGAAGGAAACAAAGGCCGGCATTAACACGGATGACAACGAAAAAATTCTGCTCCGGCAACGACGGCCAGCACAGGAGGACAGCCAGAGCGACGACGATGACGATGAGACCCAGGACGAGCACCTTGTCAGGATCTCCGCCTCATTACCGCGACCGACAGCGCCTGCGTCTAAACCTTCAGTAACGGAGGGCGTGGGTTCAGGTCTCAAGCGGCCTCTGGACTTGGGGGAAGATGGACGACCCAAACTTGTGAAACGACAAAAGAGGGGTGGCGTGAAATCTAAAATCCCCATTGCTCAGCAGATTGAACCAGAGAGAATGGAAGTAGAATCCGACGATGAAGCGTGGAATGGCTTCAGTTCTGATGAAGGTGCAGAGGAGTCAGCAAGTGGCAGCGACAGTGAGCAAGAAGACTCGGACGCTGAATCTGAAGATGGGCCGGAAGAGTCAGAATCTAAAGGAAGCAGCGAAAGCGAGAACAGCGACGAAACATCCTCTTCTGATGATGACGATGAAGATGATGACTCTAGCGAAGACTCAGACTCAGACAACAGCGCAGAGCAAAGCAAGCAGAAACAACGCTCTTCAGCTTTCAAGCAGTGGGCCCACCAGCAACGGAACGAGGCCATGGGTTATACGCCTGTGGAATCAGGGACACAGGGCCTCCAAATACCTAAACCAGCCAACTTCACACCCCGGCCGCTTGAGGAGGACCCATTACCCCTCGAGTTGCAGCCAACAAAGAATGTCGACCGAAAGGCTTACAGTGTCACTGTTTCACGGTCTCCCGACATCCAAGAGGCTCGGCTGAAGCTGCCTGTGGTGGCCGAGGAGCAGCGGATTATGGAAGCTGTTCATAATAACGACATTGTTGTTTTGTGCGGTTCCACAGGATCCGGTAAAACTACACAGGTCCCTCAGTTTCTTTTTGAAGCGGGATACGGATCCCGCGACGGCCCAACACCGGGCTTGATCGGTATCACCCAGCCCAGGAGGGTTGCAGCTGTCAGCATGTCAAAACGAGTCGGTCAGGAGCTTGGTGACCACTCTGATAAAGTGGCATACCAGATCCGTTTTGAAGGCACGGTCGATCCAAACACGGCTGTGAAATTCATGACTGACGGTGTGCTTCTCCGAGAAGTGGCTCAAGATATCGCTCTCAGGAAGTACTCAGCCATAATCGTGGATGAGGCTCACGAGCGGAGTGTCAACACCGACATCCTGGTTGGTATGCTCAGCAGGGTAGTCAAGCTGCGAGCAGAACTGTCCCAAGAAGACCCGACAATTAAGCCATTGAAACTGATAATCATGTCCGCTACGCTCCGGATAGAGGATATGACACAGAACCCAACACTGTTCAAAACGCCACCTCCTGTCTTGGAGGTGGAAGGCAGGCAATATCCAGTCACCGTGCACTTCTCGCGGAGGACTCAACACGATTATGTCGAGGAGGCTTTCATGAAGATCAGCAGAGGCCACAGAAAGCTTCCCCCTGGAGCTATTCTTGTCTTCATGACAGGCCAAAATGAGATCACCGAACTTGCGAAGAAACTCAAGAAGGCCTTCACTGGGATGGACTCCGCCGCTGGCCCAAAAGTCAGGCTGCCAGCGAACGTGGCCTCGATAGAGGCAGAAGACATAGATTTTGGTGTCGAGGACGACCGCCACGTACAAGAATATGACGATGGCTTGATTTCTGGCGACGAGGAAGAAGAGGATGATGAGGCTGAATTCGAGATCCCCGAAGAAGAAGGAGAAACAGGCTCAGGCCCCAAGCGGATGCACGTCTTGCCCCTGTACTCGCTCTTGCCCACCAAAGAGCAGATGCGTGTTTTCGAGCCACCGCCAGATGGCTCCCGCTTAGTTATTCTGGCCACAAACGTCGCTGAGACCAGTTTGACCATCCCTGGCGTACGATATGTGTTTGACTGCGGACGATCAAAGGAGAGAAAATACGACTCCTTGACTGGTGTACAGAGTTTTGAGGTTGGTTGGATCAGCAAGGCCAGCGCCAGCCAGAGATCTGGGCGTGCAGGTCGTACAGGACCCGGTCACTGCTACAGACTGTACTCTTCGGCTGTGTACGAAAGGGATTTCCAGGAATTCGCCGAACCAGAATTGTTGCGAATGCCTATCGAAGGTGTGGTTCTCCAGCTCAAAGCCATGAACCTGCAGCATGTGGTCAACTTCCCGTTTCCCACGCCACCAGACAGGCAAAGCCTTCGCAAGGCAGAAAGACTCTTGCACTACCTCTCCGCCGTCAACGATAGCGGACAGGTAACGCAACTTGGAAGAACCATGTCGATTTTCCCCCTTTCGCCACGTTTCTCCCGCATACTTCTTGTCGGCCATCAGTTCGATTGTATCCAGTACACCATTGCATTAGTCGCCGGCCTCTCAGCTGCTGAAGTCTTCCTACAAGAGTCTCACGCCATCCCGCAGCTTGCCACCAAAGAAGACGACGATGAGACCATTCGCACAAACGCGGACGTGATTGCCGAAACTCGCCAAGCTAATGCCCGACGCGCATACAACGCTGTGCATAAGAACTTCTGCTTCCTAGACGACAAAGCCGACGCCATCAAGCTGCTGCAAGTCGTGGGGGAGTTCGCACACGATCCGACTGAGGCGTGGTGCGAGTCGCATTTCGTACGATACAAAACCCTGAAGGAGATCCTGCAGCTAAGGCAGCAAATCGCGGAGCTCCTGCGGACGAACATCGCCTCGTTCGCCGGCCTCTCGTTCCAAGCGAAGCTCCCCGCGCCGTCCATGAAGCAGGTCACCGCCCTGAAGCAGATGGTCGCTGCCGGATTCATCGACCAGGTCGCCATCAGGAACGACAAGGCGCCCACGCCGCTGGATATGGGGCGGAAGCCCAGGAGGGCCATCGACGTGGCATACTTGCCCCTCACGCCTCTCGCCGTGCCGGCGACCGCCGAGCCAAGCGAGAGGGCGGTGTACCTGCATCCGTCTTCACCGATGGCGCACCTCAGCCCGAACGAGTGTCCGGACTATGTCGTATACTCACACCTGCAGAAGGCCTCCGGGGGTCGCACAAGGATGCACACACTCACCGATGTCACGGAGAGGCAGCTTGCGTCGCTCGCCAAGGGGACGCCATTGATCTCGTACGGGAAGCCAATCAAGGAGGTAAAACTTGAGAACACTGAAGGGGGCAAACTGCGCGAGGTGTGGGTTGTGCCCTCTCTGAATGCGGAGGGCAAAGGTGGCTTGGGATGGCCTCTACCTCCGACGAAGGTCGTGCAACGCAGGGTAGCTGGAAACTGGGTCGTGCAGTAAACAACGAACAGCCGAGAAATGTAGCAGAATCAGCTTGTTCGTTGACCAACAGCACGGGCGTAAGGTGATTGCAATGCAGTAGGGATACATCAGGGTTTGGTGGGTTGTCCCAATAGAAGTCATTCTACTACCAATCGAGTTCCGTTTCCAATGTGTCATCAGTCATCTACTTGCATATGGGACCCAATACTAAGATTGAGACAAGCCAGAATAGAAAGACTAAAGATTGCAGCAGCATTGAAATTTATGCTCATCCACTGCAGACAAAAAAAAAACGTTGCTGATTTGTGGCTTTTCACAATGAGAGCCTTAAAGAGCAAACCGGATCCGGAAAGCTCTCCCAGTATATATGAAGTTGATGAGACAATGACTAAGGTTTTGAGGAACTCACGCAGTTCGTCGAGGTCATCTTCTTGCAGACAAGCTATCATGTCAACTGCGTACTCAAGACCATATAGACACGTCGGTGTTCTGCTCCCAGTGCAGCGCCACAGTGACGCTCCGGGCCTCATAGAGAAGGAATGGCCGCGCATTAACAGCGACAACCACATCGCCAGCAAAGGATTCGTTCTGATCGACCCGATCAAGAACAGGAACGACCATCTTGTCATACAGTCAGTCCAGACCGGCGAGTTCTTCGTCAACACGCTCCTGCTAGCAGGCGACGGAAGCCTTATTCAGGACGGCATGCTCGACGATAACCCCCCAGATGAGGACGAGTATATCCCTCCAGTCGGCTCTCCCAGATACGTTTTTAGATATCACGAGCCAAGGCAGCTTCGAGTATCAACATGGCAAGAGACTCTGCCGAGTACCCTTTTCCCGAACGAGCCTATCTTGGGCGTGCTGCCACGGGACGCACTGTTTTTCAATCAGCTACGGTTCTGGCAGAAGCTTTTGCCCGATAATCCTAAGCACAGACCTTTGTATTCGCTCTATTTTGAGTGAGTAGCCATGCTATAGAATTTCAAAACCTTGGTCACAGCCTTCACTGCTAACACCTTACAAAGACACTGCAATGGAGGTAGTCTGCAACAATTCGCAACGACATATCATGATAGAAATGAGGCTGTTCCAGAACATCTCATATGGTAATTATTTCTTCTCCGTGTTTTTCAAATGTCTGAAAGCGTGAAAACTTGATAATAATTGTCTCACAGGCTCGTGGCAGAGCAACTTTGCCTCGCGATGGCCTGGTTGAAATTCGGGGAGAGACCCGACGTCCCTGGACACCAAGCACCCGCCAACTGGACAAGCATACATCACCTGGAACTGGTAAGCTCGAGGATGATCTATTGAGTCCGTTCTGCTAGACTGTCTTGACGCAGGATTTCTGACGATAAGGTTCCAGTTTCCACGTAATGTCTTCATCCATTACCAACCCCGTAGACCCGGCCGCATCCGGGCCGCAGGGATAGAAGCCAATGCCTTCCCCCAAATTGTCCTAGGCGATTTCAGCAGTGCGTTGCTTGACGGAGACGATATACGCCACCTTCATCCCTGGTATACGGACCCAAACGAAGACGACCGCGGACCCAATATGGACGTGAAGCCGCCGCCCCGGTGGATGGACACCTACGGCTTTGGTTTCGTCCTGCGGTATCTATGCCAGGCGCATCTCTCGCACAAGGACTGGATGGCGCGTGGGGCAAACACCACTAGGATGGCCAACGTCAATGCGTTGGATGGCTCGGCTCCAGACTTCTCGGACGAGTTGATTAATTTTCTGGTGAATTTTGAATACAACGGGATGGAGGGGGGGACTAATATCCGCAACTTGGCGGACCCCTTGAACGAGCTCGCGGCCAATCCGCGGTGGATAGTCGATACCATATACCCCGTTGCACGCGCTCGAGTAGCGGCATACCGCAACCCACCAGAGGGTCGACCGGCTGGCTACTTTGACGGGTTGGATATCTCGTGGACGAGGCCAAGGCCCCTGATGCCTTTTGTATATAACACTGACTACGCGGCTGCTGCTGAGGATGTCGACGGCGGCGAGGGGGATGATCACCAAGGCAACAACGATAGAAGTGAGCGGTTGAGGATGTCGAAGCTCTCGTACCTTCACCTGTGGAACGACTTCAAGCCACGTTACGAGCTGCACACTCTTGAACACAATTGCCCGAACCTTAAGCCTTTGAGCAACCGGCCCCCGGATGCTGATGCTGACGGTCATGGACACGGTTAGGCGGAGAAAAAAGATATATTTGGCATTTCTGGAATATGGCATAAAGTTGGTGGGTTCCGAGACTTCGTGAAAACCTGACGAAGTGTGGACTGAATGTCAGACATGAGTATTTAGAAAGAAAGGCCTAGATATTTCTCTTGCCACGCAGAAAAACCACACGGACGAGAAACATGCCCTCTTGGAGCCGGTTCTGAGTTTCAAGAAAGCCTCCCCATTGTTTCTTTCCTCTTGAACTTTTTATATAAAAGAAAACATCAGTAGAGTATAGGACAACCAACCGCATAGAGCTTCCTGCTTCCTAAGTTCTGCGTCTATACACTATACAATCGCGGGACTAGAGAAGGGCTCGATATGTACAGGAAGGCCGCAGGGACCTAAATGCGATCCAACTGTAGCATCAAGCATCTGACAATACTTGCGACGAAGCCAATTCGTCATTGCACGGCTACCATAAGATACGTTATGCGTTGCGATCATCATTTTGGTTGTGCTCCTACTTCTCTGCCAGAGTCCCACACCCGCTAGGAGCTCGGTACTGCTATGTGGATGCGCCATATGTCGATTTCTTAGGCATGGCACACCCTCACCTGGCCACTTGACCGAGATTTGCAGCACCTGTTCCGGCTTCATGCGAGGCGAAGCATGGGTGGAAATGCAAGATTGGCCACGGCTTTCGGCCTCCGGCTTAACTTGAGAACCAGGCAGCCTGATCGCTCCACCCAGAAGTTTCTTCTCACAGACAAGATCAGATGTCGAAAAAAAAAGTGTATGCTCGTGCGAGGCGCACAGTGACGGGCGTACTTGACCCGGCTGGGGACTCGCACGCATTTCACGTGTCATGACGAGCTTCGTATGGGCACGCGAAGAGAATAATCCAGACTGAGCAGGTGGCACGGGAGCTGTCCAAAAGAAGAAGACAATGCAATTCTTTTTTCGCCTGCCGATTCAGTGGCTTCTAGACGGGGGTATCACACCTAATATTCAGACCAGAACGCCACGCAGTCTTGTCTCCTCAAGGCCTTCCTCAGGAGAAGACTGTCCCCGAAGTTTGCAATTCGACCTACTCATGATGGCGTAGTCGTGCCGGTGGCCACGCCTGAGCCTCCCTTGCTTTTCCTCCTGTCCTTTGACTTCCCGCTCGCTCCGGGCCTCGGGCTCTTCGTCTTCTTGGCGTCCTTCGCAGACAATACCTCAACGGCCTTTGTGTTCAAGGGAGCCAGCGTAGGTGGCTTCAGGGTCACAGGTTGGGTATTTGGCACGGCCAGCTTGTCGTTGCGCCCGGTGGATGCAAAATGGAAGTTGCCTGGGGCTCCGGTGATAGGTATCTCATCCATGTAGTCGCCGCCGTACTTCATGTGGATGCGGAAGGATTCCTCAGCCAAGCGCGCGAGCTCCTCTTCCTTTGTCGAGGTCTTCGTGGGCGGCTGACCTTGCTTGCTGCCAGGGCCTTCGGGCATAGGCGTTGCTTCTTTTGGCTCCAAAGTCGAAGCGCGTGGTATTTGAGGATTGGCATAGACGTGACCCTTGGCAGGTGTCCACTTCTGTATACTGTTTGCGCTCTCAAGGATTTTTCCCACAGCGGTTGAAATAGTGGCCTTCAGAGAAGAGGTCAGTCAGCATGATATCCCCTGTAAAAGAACCCAGAGTACTTCTGTGTAGTCCAATAGGAGATATATGAAGCGAACCGCAACCTACCATTCTTGAGCTCATAAGATCCGCAAATGTAGGCGCGGCATAGAGGTTTTCCCCCACCAAGAAATAGTCCTTATGCACCGTCAACTCGTCCTCCTGGCCTGGCCTCTTCCGTCTGTTCTGCTTGCGGATCACCCAGACACCTGTTCCCTGGCCCGGACCAGTCTCCGCCGGTTGTTCAGCAACGATGTATTCGAGGCCTTGCATACTCTTCAGGCGCGTCTCGAAGGCCTCACGGGTGGCGATCACATGGAAGAGATTCGCATTGTACTGGGCTTGGTTCTGGATGACGTTATTGTTGGACGTTGGGTCGAAGAACGGCGACGTAGCGAAGTAGTGCAACACTGTATTTGTGTGCAATGGACCAAATTGCATGATGAAGGCTGGGTTCCTCCACTGGATCTCGTCCATGGCAGACTCCTTCGCTGCGGAGCCCATATTGACAGCCCGAACCTAGAGATTGCCGGACAAAACAAGTCGACTCTGCTCCGGCGTGAGCGAAGGCTGGTTCGGCAAGGTTGTGAAGAAGTCAGTTGGTATTGCACGGTCCCAGGAAATCCTCGAGTGATCGAGCTCTGTCTCGAAATTGCTGATGGTGAATGGAGCTGTTGGCAGGAGTGGGAAGGCTGAACGCAGCCTGAGAATGACAGCCGTGGGGATGCTTTGATCGATGGGAGCTCGCCTGCCTCGGCGGCAGGGGTAGGTGCAAGTGAAGTGCCTGGGTTACCCCAGTTTGTCCCGCTACCGCGCGCAAGGTTCTTAGTGGGCTGGTCCACCCACAGCCGTCAACTCAGGGACGCTGCAAGGCTTCCAAACTTCTAGACTTCCAAGCCCAAACTCTCTCACTTCGCATTTTGATCCATCTAGTGTCGTCAGGCCCCCAAAACACTGCCTGGTTTCTTAACCTCACTTCATTTGTGCGAAATCATCAATTTTTCTTCAATCGCACACATTCAAAATGGATCTGGTGTCAACCATCCGCAAGTCAGGGTCACGAGGAGGAGTCAATTTCAGCTGGGATGAGGTGGCCAACTCGGCGCACCGTGAGAATTATCTCGGTCATTCTCTGAAAGCGCCCGTCGGGCGATGGCAACAAGGTCGCGATCTTGGGTGGTATGCCAAGGCGGATGCGAGTGACGCCAATGCCAATGAGACGGAGGAAGAAGCCAAGGCTCGCAGGCGTCGCGAGGAGATACAGAAAATTAAGGAGGCGGAGGAGGATGCGATGGCAGTAGCACTGGGCCTGCCGCCGCCGGTCCGGAATCAGTCAGGGGCAAATGCCATAGAGGTGTCCGGATCGAGGAGCATCGACGATCAAACTGCGGCTGGAGGACTCCAAGTTACGAAGAAAGAGGAGAAGAGCGAGGCAGGTCGTGGGCGGCGATCAGAAGGTCGAGATGAGAGGAGAAGGGAAGGACGCGACCGCGAACATCGTCACAGGCGCCGTCACCGCAGCCGAAGCCGCAGCAGAGAAAGACATCGGGAGTATCGAAGGAGGGACCAAGACGACGATGCCGAACCGTCCTCACGCCATGACCGCAGGAGTCACAGGAGCATGAGCCGCGGTCGTCGGGATGAGGACCATCGTCGACGACACAGACACCACGACCACGGTGCTACGCGGAGCAGAAGTCGTAGCCGGGAACATCGGAGGTCGACCAGAGACGGACACCGTCAAAGAACTCCTGACAGACGGAGAAGCTTCAGCCCTGAACATCGGCGGAGTGACAGATGAGCACCGCACCCCTGGAAGCCCAGATGCATCTGGGAGAGCATGTCGTGCTGCTCTTGAACGAGTGCATGACCTCCGTTGGAGGACGTGTGCATTTAATGGGCTGACCACCACATTTGTCGACTCCGGCTGAAGTCTTCGCGGGCTTTCATGTTGTAGAAATCTGAATAAGCGTTCTTCGATTACTCTTTACTGGCTCTCTATGAATAGCGTCATGTGATGCCTTGCCAGTGAAATGGTCCTTGAGAACTTTGCAGATGAAGTCCTTTTTCTTTCTTTTTTTGGTATTTCTCTTTTGTTCAGCAGTCCAGAGCATGTACAATAACTGTGATGAGTACCGAATAATGCTCTGTTTTCATTCATGTAACTAGTCAAAGAACAGATAAGTGTGAGATCGGGTCGTTGTCCCCCGCCAACTGTTTACGACTGAACTACAAGAACCTCCTTGTCAAGGAACCCCTGACTGCCTATGGTGGGCTGGCGGGGCTCAATAGGCTGGAGCGTCAGGCGGACCTGCAACGCCTGCAAGGCTGCTGCCAGGCCCGCGTGTCCTGCCCAGCTGCCCAGTTGCCCAGGGCAAGGTGGTGGCGGGAACCCTGGATTTGCCCGATGGGACCTCCTGCATGACGCTTTGTTTCCGCCCCAGACAGGCACGCAATGGCGACAAGTTATATACAGACGAAACGCAAGGCGGCGGCAGCCTTGCACGCCACCCCGTTTCTATGCTCTTAGTGTTCCAATAGACTGGTGATATTTCTAGAGAACTAGACTTGTCTTTGATCTCTTTCTTTCTTTCTTTTTGCCTCGTACAAGTCGCGATCCTTCTCGCCTGCTGCTTGTTTCGTTTTCGAGACTGTACAACCCATCCTCTCCTTCCGACCAGATCGCCGGTGTAGATACAAGCTGACCTTCGAGACTCGCCAGTCCGTCTGCCCAGCCTCCCACAACACCCCTTTCCCTGGTCTCTAGTGTTCAAGCCGATCTCGACCCTTGCGAGTAGACATTCCGTAGTCTGTACGCTCTGAAACCACTTGGATTCGCTACCTAGCCGGCGCAGCAGGCACAGCCTGTGGTGGCCGCCATGGATTACTCCAAGCTGCGGGCAACCGCCTTGACCGCTGGCGAAGACGAAGAAGCCGTCACCGTCGACACCAGAGCCTTGATCGACAAGGTGCTGGCGAGATACTCGGGTGAATGGACTACCCTGCGAGAGCTCATCCAGAACGCCGCCGATGCCCAGGCTACAACCGTCTCGATAACGTACGAGACTCTCCCCTCGACCACGACGCCTCTTCCTGCCACCACAGACCGATCCGAGCTACTCAAGCACACGTTGACGCATCATACACTCCGTCGCCTAGTCGTGAAGAACAATGGCCAGCCATTTACAAAGACAGACTGGGGAAGGTTGAAGCGGATAGCCGAGGGAAACCCCGATGAGACCAAGATTGGTGCCTTTGGAGTAGGATTCTACAGTGTATTTGCCGATTGCGAGGATCCATTCGTCAGCTCTGGCAACGAAGCCATAGCCTTTTACTGGAAAGGAAATGCTCTTTTCACCAGGAAATTGGTACTGCCACCGGAGCAGTGCACCCAGGATACTGCGTTCGTACTCGACTACCGGAACACAACGACACCAGTCCCCAACTTGCTGTCAATCAGCCAGTTCCTTGCAACGAGCTTGACATTTGTGGCGTTGCAGAACATCGAGTTCTGGGTTGATGACTACAGGGTGTTGTCGCTGCAGAAGAAGACCGCTCCAAGTGTCAATGTGCCAATTCCGAGGGACTTGGAGACCAAGACCAGGGACGGCCTTATGAAGCTGGCAGTGGTTGACCGCACGAGCACGCAGATCGATGCGTCCTTCATGGGGGCTATTGGCTGGAAACCTGTGGCCACAACAAATGCGTCCAACGAGAGTTCTGGCGCCTCAGACATTCCCACCATCAGGAGTTTCTTTTCAAGGTTAGCTTCCTCTGCCGCGCAGGCAAACAGAAGCAAAGCCGCCAAAGAGGAAGCCGCTGTGCAGCAGGCACTCTCCGAAGATATCATCGCTGAGTCGACCTCGAGCATCTTCCTCCAGGTCACTACTGGCTCAATACAGACCAAGGTCTCTACCTCATTCGCTGCGGAATTGGAGCGTGCCACGAAGAAGCCGCCACCCAAGACGACGAAGTTGGCAATTCTGACGTCGTCTTATGACGAGACACTCGCATCGGAGAATTCCTCCAGTTCAGGCCCGGCCGCTAAAGCTGCTGATGTATTTGCATCGGTGCTCCCGAACAAGAAGCCTGGGGGCAGGATCTTCATCGGCTTTCCTACTACACAAACCACAGGAGCTGGAATGCATATCTCAGCACCATCGGTTATCCCTACGGTAGAACGAGAGGCAATCGACTTGAACGCCCGCTGGGTCAGGAGTTGGAATATCGAGATGCTTCGCGTTGCTGGCATCATGACACGCCTGGCCTTTGCCAACGAGATGTCAGATCTAGAGCTGAAGCTTAGGAGAGTCACAGATGCAAGGTCAAAGGGCTCTCAGCCTACAAAAGACGAGGTCGCAAAACTTATTCCTGAAGCGCTGCACATTCTGAGAACCTACACTTTCCAGGACTCAACTCCTAGTGCGAACGTGGGTCAGATTATCGAGGAGTCATTCTGGTTCGCTTTTCAAAAGGCGTCGATCGAGGTCTTCTCGAGTCGCGGAGTCTTGCCATCGACCAAGGTCCGTGTTGGGTCTGATGAGCTGGCCAAGTTCGTCAATGGCATTCCGGTTATATTGGACGAAATGAAAGACGCAACCTTCATGAGAAAGCTTGAAGATTTTGGTTTGATTCAACGGATTAGTCCGGATGATATCCGTGAGGAGTTGGAGGCAAAGGCGCTGGATAAGGACCAGCTGGTACACTTTATTGCCTGGGCTAGCAAGAAGGCAGCCAGTGGAGAACTGGACGCCGGCAGCCGAGCCCGTCTCTTTGACGTAACTGTTGCAACAATTGGGGATGGCGACTCGGGCGAGATTATTGCATTGAGCTCTGTCAAGAATTATCTCAGCAGCAACAAAATCCCACCAAGCCTGCCGATACCTCCGACAACAATTCCTTTTGCCTTTACGAACCACCTGGCCGAACCGCAGTTACAGGCACTTGGCTGGGAGCGGCTGGAGATTGTGCCATGGCTGCGATTCTTGATCGAGACCGCCTCCGGCCGCTCTGAGGACGAGAATATTACCAAGTCGAGTAAATTCGCGGTCTCAGTCTTAACAGTCCTCTCCAAGAACTGGGACAATCTGGGTCTGAGCTCAAAGAACACCGTTGTCACGTTACTTCAAGGCATTACAGTGATGCCGACAAAGCTGGGAATGAAGAAACCTGCCGAGTCCTTTTTCCAATCAGTGAAGCTGTTCGACGACCTACCCACGATAGAAGGGTGCCATACTCTCAAGGAGAAATTCTTGTCCGCTTTGGGAGTTCGAAGAACACTTGACTTGGACACTATCTTCTCGCGGCTGCTCAATCCTTCTGGGGAGACGGCTCACAAGCCATGGAGTCATATGGAGCTCATCAAGTATCTGGCGTCTGTAACAGATGACATTCCTGCAGATGACAAGAAGAAGTTGAAGAACTCCCAAATCTGTCCTGCAGAAGCTGGACCCCCAGGCATGGAATCCACACAGGGCACCAAAGAGCTGTACAAATTGTCCGATCTCTTCGAGCCCAAGTCGGATCTTCGGGCTCTCGGGCTACCACTTTTGCAGTGGCCGGGACCACCAGGAAGCTTCAGGGCTAGTTCTAAGGAGGGTAGATTTCTTTACAGCTTAGGACTACGCCCATATCCCGCTGTTCCGGAACTCGTGGAGATGATGGCCTCAACTGACCAGTCGCTGAGAGATAAGGCAAGGAGTTACTTCATTGCGAACCATCAGATCAATGGCTACGTTGCTTTCAACATTGCGAACACCAACAAAGCCATTCTCCCATTACAGGGAAACGCGAAGCAACTTGTCCCTCCCTCCGCCTGTTACACCAATGAATCAGCTTCTGTTCTGGGCTTCAACATCCTTGCCAGAGACCTTCATCAACATGCTATTAAGTTTGGGGTTCCTCGTGATCCTCCGATTGAAAATTGTGTTTACAGGCTCACTACCACACCGCCGCAGAATCGCGATTCGGCAATCACGTTTTTTGAGTACTTCGCTACCCGGATCAGTGATCTGGGCGAGGGCAGCCTGGCCAAGCTGAGAGGAGCTCCGATTGTGCCTGTCAGTCGTAAAGGGCGGTCCTCTGGAGAGAAGGCCCAATCACAAAACATCACGCTTGTTTCTCCTCAGAGTGTCTATCTTGGTTCATCAACGACGTACGGAGAAATTTTCGATTTTGTTGACTTTGGACGCACGGCAAACGCATTCTTGCTCAAGTGCGGAGCGAAGCTGGAACCAACTAAGGTAAGATGGTTTCTAATCTCGCTTGCGTAATGCAAAGACTAACATGAGACAGCACGAAATCGCCACTTTTGCTTGTAGCGAGCCTGTTCGTTTGTGGACTACGGTGCAGACGTCTGAGAAATACTTAGACGTGCTGAGATCGCTTGCGAATGATCTGTCAACTCTTAAGAGAGACAAGGATCTCTACAGGAAGATGAAGACCGAAAAGTGGCTGTTGGCCTTCAAGGATGTCCCATCTTCGAAGAGTAAGGGGTCAGAGGACGACGAGTATAGTGAACCCATGCGCCATGCTCAGCTTGCCGCGCCCGGTGAAATCGTCATATCAGACGATTTCTACAGCTTCCGACTTTTCAAGGAACACTTGCTCTCGGCCCCTGAAGATGACGCTCTGGAGGCCTTCTATCTTGCCCTTGGATCTCCAACCATCAGTAGCTTGGTGCAGGAAGATGCACGAGTCGGAAGGTCAATGCCATCCCAAGATGGCGCTGAGTGGCTGCGGAAACATATTCTAGAGCGCACGAAATTGTTCCTACACGAGTATAGGAATATCCGGAGGGACGCCATCAAGCATGATGCTAAATGGTTAGACAAGAACCTCAATGTTGAAGTTGTGCAGAGCGTGCAACTCCGACGTACTTTACGGGGTCAAGCCCAGTCGCACACAGAGAAACGGTCAGCGATGGCTATGAGAACTCCAACAGGTCATAAACTGTACATTTCTGCCGATCAAGGCAAACCAGACATGTATCAAGTCGGCCAGGCAGTCTGTTCACTCATCTTGACGCGCCACAACCAACAGTCATATTTCTTTTTCGAGCCGTTCCTGAAGCTCGGTCTCCTTGACCTCAGGGCCCGTGGGTACAATGTTGACAGGATTTTGCGTGCGAAGGCCGAGGAGGCACGGATGGCCGAGGAGGAACGGCGTAAGGCTTTGGAAGCTGAGGAGCAAAAAATCAAGGAGAGGGAAGCAGACTGGGCTCGGCAGAACAAAGCTGCTTCTGAAGCTGAAAGCAAGCGTCCCCGTACACCGGCAGAACCCTCGGCCAAAATGCCTGGCTCATTCGGCTCAGATTCTCCTGAAGACCAGCCGACGCTCCCACCACCGCCTGCAAATCAACAGGACAGACGCAGCAGGGGCTTCTTCTCTAATTTCACCCGTAAATTTGGCCTGGACAGAGACGAGACGGCGGAGGAGCAGTTGGACAAGCTGCTCACGAACCCGGAACGTGAGGTCAAGCCCGCCCCGCCCGGACCCCAGGCTCAAGGTCCTGGAGACAGCGGACGAGTCACGAATCCAGCTGTCGTGCAGAACAATTTGTTGCAAGCTATCCGTTCGACGAGGCCACATGATTCCTCTTCGGTGTTCAATAAACCGCAAACGCAAGAAGTTAAGGAGCAGGCGACATACTGCGATAGCAAGCCGGCTCAGAATATCGTCTTCGCAGCACAAGCTCCACGTGGCATGAAGGTCTATTTACACCGGGAGCTCTCGATGGATCAGATGAGCTTCTTGACCACCAACAGAGATGCGATATCGACCTTTGAGTCACTTCTGCGTGAAGTGGCTGACGTGTATGGCGTCTCGCCTACAGCGATGCAGATCCACTTCGACGAGGAAGGCCCATGCATTGCATTCAACCTGAACGGCAGCATTTTCTGCAACCTTCGATATTTCAAGCAGCTACACTACGAGAAGATGAAGGCCTCCGGCCCTGCGGGGGCGGCGACCAAGGCTGAGGCCGGGATATGGTGGTTCGTCGTTGTCGCGCACGAGCTGGCACACAACCTTGTAGGGCCACACGATGCGAATCACAGCTACTACACCGAGTCTTTCATACAGGAGTACTTCACCAAGATGATGTCTCGGGCTGTGTCATGGACCCAAGTGTCAGACCGGGGGAGTCAGCGAGAGATCCCTGTCACGATCAATGGGGCTCAGGCTGAGCCGCAGGTTGCGCCGCCGCCGCCGTACAGTCAGATGAACTAGGTACCTGGGAGGTGGCTGCCTGGTCAAAGTCTTTGACGTCGTCAAAAGCGTCTGACCTGCACACGAAGGGCGTCTGGCTCAAGAAGTGTGAGCTGCAGGCTAGGCGACGGTTTTCCGACAGAGTGGGAGTATCCATGACAGAATTCAGAACCAGTAGGGATAGACCCGAGTCGTCGGAAGGTTGCGTGGAGATTTCAGGAGCTCGCACTAGATAGAAGAGCATTCAGCATGGCGTTGATGTAACATTTCCCGAGCGTTTGAGGCGTTGGAATTCTGGCTTGGAGTGTTTTTCAATTTCGTACCTGCATCCAGACAGAAGCAAGGACGGGGCTCTCGAGGCATTTGTGAGGGCTCACAACAGCGCATCGCACTACATTAGACAACATATCTGTAACAGAGCGAAAGACCACTCAACTTCCAAGGCCGTTTGGCCCCCTTCGATTAAGGACCTGTCAGTTCCTAGCCACGTGTGGTGTGACGTGAGGCACTCCGCCGGGGGAGGCGGGCCCAGGCCAGGGGTGATCGACCCTGTGCTTCCGCGGTTGGACAGGGCTGCGTTCGTAGGCCAGCTTCCTGCTTACTTGGAACAACATGTTGGGCGCTGCTTCGTCTTGTCTCAATTGCGAGGTAAGAATGGCTTGGGGCGCCAGCGGGCCGGGGTGACCGCGGGGAGGATTTATTGAGCCGGACTCTCTTGAGGAATGTCTCTGTCACTCTGTAACAAGCCACTGGAGAGACATCAGCTTCCATCTCTCCATCTCCTTCTTACCTCAGCTCAGCTGAGACCCCGGGGCGACTGTAGGGCGGCGGTGACGGTGATCCCGGGGGCGATGGGCTTCTAGATTGCTCCTCGCACAGCTCTCCGGGCCCGAGCTGTTGCTCAAGGACGAGCATAGAAAGCCCCCGGTTAATCATCCGAGACAGGTCTGTCGTGGCCGGTCATGGCGAGCTCGTGTTTGTGTTGTCTGTTTCGATGGATCCGTTGTGTTTTTCCCACCTTCTCCTTCTCCCTTATCATACTGCTTCGCTTAGTTGTTTTTCTTCTCGCTCTCCCTGCCGGCTTGCTTTTCCATCCTCTTTCGGATGGCGGCAGGTATAACCGTTGCTGTGGCGCGGTAGTCTGGTGATGATCCTGATAGTAAAGAAGCAGGGCGAGTGATCCTTCTCCCGCTCACTCTCCTGCCTCCCCCCCTTCGTGCAACGCCGGCTGCGCATATCCGTGTTACCACAAGCCAGGGGCCGAGCTGCGCTTGTGCCTGTCAGTCAAATCAACCCCCGCGTAGGCAGCGAGCCTCCTTGGCAGAGAGGAGAGGTTGTGTCACCCTCGTTCCTGTCATCGCTCAGTAGGGTCGCACGGCTGACATGAGATCTGCACATGGCTTGTTTTTTTCTTAGTGCAACTTGACTCGATGAATCTTATTTTTTTTTTTATCTCACCTCACTTCACCGTTGTTTCTTTTCTCACGCATTATTGCCCTCGCCTTGACCGGCATCATTTCCGCCAGCAAGCTCCAGGCCGTGCCCCGTCCAATCCGGCTGCCCGCCGCTGAGACATTCGTAGCTGTCAACCCTGCCTCACGTTTGGACCTTGAGCCAAATGCGTAAAAAGCTGCAGCAACGCGCGTGCAGGTCCAGCAAGGGCCAGAGCTGCACCGGGGAGGCAGAGCGGACATGGCGCAGCCTACACCGATGAGCGATGATGAGCAGAAAGCGATGGAGCACATTTACGTCAACGAGCTGGGAGCCTCTTCGAGGGGTGAGATGCCCCTGACAGCCTGGAAGTCGGTCAGAGTCGATTCCATGCAAGGCCCACACGCGTGCGCGTTCAACTTGCTACATCGACGTCAACGTTACTGTTACGGTAGGACAGAGGTCCATGGAAGCAGGCATTACGGTTCCACCATGGTTGATACCGCGCGACCCATCTTCGTCCCGGCCAGCCTGCTCGTGCGGCTCGAACTCAGGGGGATGACAGGAAGTGATAAGATTTTTTTTTAGTTTTCCTTTTTTTCTCTCTCTCTATCTCTCTGTCTCTTCCTCCTTGCTCCCGCTTGTTGGGGCTGCTTGGATCATGATAGATCGCGCTCCGAGGTCACTTCCGTGGCCGCCGTTGCTTCTACACTAAAGACTGGGATCCACAGTCTACGGCATGTCGGGAGGTCGGACCTCTACTTTTACTTCACTGGACCCACTCCTCCGAAGGGACGACGAACATGCCGATTTTAAGATTGACCCAGCATTCCCTAGTCCATTTTATGTGGATTCTTTCGCAAAGCGGCAAGAATTCGGTTCTGGCGGGAGGTACGATTCCCATGAGCAGTTGTGTCTCCACTGCCCTGAGACGAAACAACGAGCCCTGTTAAACTGGGGCCATGGGCAGACAGACAGGCGATAGACAGCCATGTCCCGACAGGATGGCATCGGATTGATTCACTAGACTGACTGTTCCACTCGTAAGCGACTACGGGCGTGACAGCGTGCGTCAAACTCTCGGGGACTTGCTGCTGGGGGGCGTGTACACAAGTGACACTCGAGCCGGGCCCTGTCGCGGCGCAGATCCTGGAAAAGACCGAGCTGAGGATCGATGCACACAGCACGGGGGGCTACTGTACTGCATTGGCGAGGTTGGAATTTGTGGTAAAACAGTCCTTGGGGCACACGAGCGCCGAGGCGTTGTTCTCCTTTGTATCGCAGCAGCCCTGCCCCGCTTCCCCCAGCAACCAACCCAGTACCCGAGATGGCCCAGGGGCCTCGTGGGACTACTTCTTCGATTGACGAGCCTGCTCGAGTGGGCGGGCTGTTGTTGAAATCCGATAGCTTTGGGCACTTGTTTCTACATGCCAAGCCGCGGGCAGGCAAATACTGTCAAAGGCCAAGCCACCAACGGTCAAAACGTCTACACGGCATGCCATCACGATCAGGCCACATAGCGTCGACGTGCCTTTGTCGGTCCCTACTTCTACTGCTCTATGCCCTCCCACTTGTTCCGCTCCCCCCTCCTTGTCCAAGAGTCCAGAACCACCACTTACCACGGGCGGTCTTGACCAGATTGCGCCTCGCTCGGTTGTGTCTCGTGTATGGGCGGCCGTCCTCGTCTGTGGACCCCAAGGGCCGCAAGTATGTAAGCTTTCTCAGCGGGCATAATCAACCCTGGGGTGTCTTGGGTCAGACGGCCAGGCACAGGTTTCCGCTGGCCGCAGCTTTGAGGCAACTCAGATCCAGCAGCCCTGCAGGATTAGATCGCGTCCGGAAGGGGTCTAAGTTCGGTGAGGTGAGACCTGTGCCATCCAGACTGACCGACCCGAGCCACGAGCTGTTGCCCGTTCCGCGCTGTTTCGTCGTACCGCTAGCCCTCATGTACCGAGGCTAGCTGTCAAAAAGAATCCAGCCTACCCGCCCTTGGGACACAACTTGGAAAGGCGCAGGATTTGGAGGTGAATTGGTGGATGACGCTCCCGGTTGGATGCTTCCATGGCGGCTACGGCGTGCTGGACTCGTGTGACGTTGAAACGCCGGTACTTTTCTCGTCGCTGCGATGTCACGGGTAGACTTTGGGCAGAGTAGTGCCGCCCCTCCGTGATATGGCATCCGCTGCGGGAACGACCTGGAGCCTGCTGGGCCCCCTTTCCAGGTCAACGACGCCACAGACGAGCTTCGTCGGTTATCCTTCAAAGATACGCGGCCGCAAGTTCCCAGCAAGTCGTACAGAACGTAGCGAGTCGTGTACCATCACCATCAGCCGTGAAGCACGGAAAGAGCGAGGGCCCCAAATCTGAGGCTAGACGAGTAGTGAGTAGAGCGAAAGAGGGAAGAACAACAGTCATTGTCCAAGATGGGGGCCGCAAAAATGTCAGCGCTCTCAATTATAAAACGAGGGTCGTGGCTCGTTGATCGGCATGCCTGTCTGTTTTGAGTGTTGCATGTCAGTCGAATCCTAGAAACAGAGCATCGTACCATATTATCATCAGATCCTATAACCTATGGTCAGATCAACATATCACGGCCCTCTTTGATCTCTTTGTTTGCAGTAGAAATAGAGGACAGAATTACCGCTCACCTACAACCACCCACCTAGAACACAAAATCCTAAGCAATGGCACCTCAAAATATCTACGACAACCCTATTTTTTTCGAGCTCTACTCCGAATACCCTCGTGCTAAGGAAGGCGAGAAAGGAGCCTCAGAATGGCCCGAGCTCCTCCAGATGCTACCCCATGACCTCAATGGCAAGAGGGTGCTGGACCTCGCGTGCGGCGAGGGCTGGTTCGCGAGGTGGTGCGTGTCGCGGGGCGCCAAGACGGTCGACGCCTGCGACATCAGCGTCAACATGCTGCGCAAGGCCGAGGGCCTGACCAAAGGTCCTAAGACCACGTCGGCAACCGTGTCTGCGTCGGGCCTCGGCGAGTGCGGCAGCGTCGGTGGCGGTGTCGAGGGCGAGGAGAACGGGGTCATTAATTTCACGCGCGTCGACCTCGAGACGCTGCAACTGCCGGGCGAGACGTACGACCTGGTGTTCTGCGGGCTGGCCCTGCACTATGTCAAGAACCTGGGCGGGCTGATGCGACAAGTACACTCATCGCTGATGCCAGGCGGGCTGTTTGTATACTCAATTGAGCACCCTTTCCTCACGGCGCCCGTGTGCCCCAAGTTCATCAAGACGGCGACGGCTAAGGCGGGCGCCACCGTCGGGGACAGCGGCGAGGTGGACCAGTGGACGGTGGACAGCTACTTCGCCGAGGGCGTGCGGTCGGTGGACTGGATCATCGACGGGGTGATCAAGCAGCATCGCACGCTGACGTCGTACTTTGAGTCGATGCGCGAGGCCGGGTTCGAGGTCGAGAAGATGGACGAGTGGGGCGCGACGAACCAGTCCGGGAGGAAGCACCCCGACTGGGTGGAGGGCGTGATCCCTCGGTTCTTGCTGGTCAAGGCGAGGAGAAAGGGCAGACAGGCAAGGCCTTGGGGCGGGATTGCGAAGGTTTTTGGCTTCTCTTCCCAGTAGGAGGGGGAGAGGAGGGGATTTGGGCTAAGCCATAGGAGGAGACGGAGACGGAGACGGAGATGGAAAAGGTGACGGGGTTTTTTGGGGGCCGGCTCCTCTGTTGCAATGTAGATATTCTAGACTAGGTGGTTGCAAGTAAACAAACCTTCGTTCCACTTCCTGCCTCTCCTGGACTAACACACTTGCTGACCGCAGCAGCACGAGATCAGGCTTTCATCTGCCACTACCTGGTACTCTGATAACTATGATACCCCTTACCTTTATCTGCCTCAGCATATCGTATGTCTACCTCACGGGCAGACGATTCTCCCCAGCGCCCGTGGACATGACACGCCGTAGGGATCAATGTTCGGGGTGTCAAATGAAGGATAAGCTTTTTAGATGCTTGGCTCTCCAGTCGACCCCTAGCAGATCGGATGGATCGTACATGGTCCCGATGATAAGGGAGTACTACTGTGGACTACTATACACCGTACGTGTTATGTGTACTGTGTGTGTGCATGGGTATGCAGCCTGGTGGCACAGCACCACAAGACCGTGGTTCCATGTCTGCATACTCAACCCAGCAAGCCCAGTAGCAGTAGCAGTAGCAGTAGCAGCAGCAGCAGCAGCAGCGGTAGCAGCAAGCCACACTCCTCCAGATGCCACACAGCCGACAGCACCAGCACCAGGAGCACACGCCCGCTGATGAGCTGCCAGGGCTGGCGTGGGAGGGGGAGGGATGGGGCCTACCCCACACTTTGGTCCAGTCCCACTTGTCCGTGAGCTCCGGCCCAACTTTGAGGGGGGATGCCGAGTGATGCCCGAGAATCGACCGCCAACACCATGCCAACGGCCCAGCATTGTCAGACAGACAGACGCCGAGTGGCCGGCATCTTTCCTCATTGAGCACAAGCCGTGACCGGTGACCAGTAGTACTACACGCTCGAAACCACCCAGCACGGCCAGACGAGGCCTGGACATGCGGGGTCGGCGACAGTCTGCCACGGCTGGCGCGGTGCTGAGCGCTGCCGCGATGCCATTCGCAGGTCCTCCGACGGGCTGCTGCACCATTGAGACGGAGGCTGGCTTGGCCTTGTATCGAGCGAGCTGCTCATTGCTCCGGCTGAACAGAGACATGCATTGCAGGAAGGCGGTGCGAAAAGGAGGAATGAGGAGGGGGGACGAAGGCAGCTGTGTTCGAGCTGGGCATGCTGGGGCATCACAGATCACAGATCACAGCCAGAGACATGGCAGACATGGAGCATACAGGCAGATCCATACACAGTACACTTCGATCCACAAGAAGCTCAAGTGGAGTGGGCCCACCTCTAGTACAGCATGGCAATGGACAATGGCAATTGGAATCCAGGCACACCAACCGCGCACTATTATCGGCGTTTGATGTCACCACTACCTCAACTCCCTGCCAGCAACCTCGCCAGACCCGCGGGAGCACAAGCTCCTGAACCAGCCGCCACCATCCATCAGGGTGCCCCAATGGTATCGTGTACACACCAGGGCACAGCTTCTGCGCAGGGATCTGGGTCAGATGGCTGTCTCCCAAGCTCATGCAGTCAACCTTGGAAGCAAGATCCACCGGATCATCTCTTACACACGCATCGTGTAAGTGGGAGGAGCCAGGAAGAGGAGTAGGTGAGGTAACAACAAAGTCGAGGGCGAGAGCGCGAGCCTTGCCTTGGGCTCAACTTCCTTCCTTTCCCCTTACATCGGCCCTTAAGTCTGGAACACATAAATAGGTAGCCCTGCTCCTTTACCAGACCAGTTTCGTGGATCATCGTGTCGTAATCAGATCATACCTACTTCTCAACCTTGTCATTGCCCTCGTCTAGTCTGACCGGTATCCCGACTCACCTCCGAGCTTCTCTTACACCCGCGCACACACACGACCGTCCTTTCGAGGCTATAAGACCAAAGAGCCTGCCCTTCTGCTCTCCTGCGCCTTCCAACTGGGTGCCAAGCCAATTCATCTTTCTCTCTCACACATCAATTGAGTCTCACAATCAGTCAAAATGGTACTTTCCTCTGCATCCCGTCCTCTAGCCCGCTCACTTGGTCCCATTGCTTCGCGCAGTCGAGGCCTAAGCTCTCTAGCTTCCGCCTCTGCCGTCTCCAGCCTGAGGAACCAGTCCTCGCGATCTGGAGGCGTGACATCACGACAGACTGCCGCAAACTCAGTCCTGCCGAGCTCATTATGCCGGAGCAAGCTGGGACCAACGATATCGATTAGGTCGCTGACAGGTTTCCCTCGTGAAAAGGTCAAGGTTTTGATGGTCCTGTACGATGGTGGCAAGCACGCCGAGGAGGTAAGCCTCTCCCAATATTTCTCTATTACTTCCTTTGCAGATGCCGCGTCGACGTCAGCTCTACTCGCACGCACGAATCCGCGCGTTCAAGCATCCAATTGCCACCTCAGAAGGGCTCAGGGCCCCGACCTCCTCTCTCCCAAACCGCGACATTCCAGGCTGGCCTAGATTGTGCTGTTCTATGCGCTGCTCGCGCGCTACCCAGACGGCCAGCTTTTCTGGGGCCCGGTAGACTGGTTACAGCACTGCGGGGTAGCGTTCTTGGGAGAGAACAGGGAGGAGGGGTTTGTGGACGATCTGGAACTCGATCCAGCATCAAACCCGGCCTGGGCTTGCATCCTGTCTTTGGCCTGGCCAGTCGTGCGCGGGTGGACGTCAGTCGTCTGGACGAGCGGATCCATGCGACGGCAGCCAGACAAAGAGAGGGACAAACACCGTTATTGGAGAAGTGCGGGGTACCCGTTGGAGAAACGGCCCTGCTGCGCCTCGGCGCGGCCTGGAGAAGAAGATGCAGCTCGCTAACAATAATCCTCCGATTCAGGTCCCCGGTCTGCTTGGCACCACCCAGAACGAGCTTGGAATCCGAAAGTGGCTCGAGGACCAAGGTCACACTCTGGTCACCACCTCCGATAAGGAGGGTGAGAACTCAACTTTCGACAAGGAGCTTGTCGACGCCGAGATCATTATCACCACCCCGTGAGTCTCCCTTCCTACCAGCGTTCAGCCGGCTCAGGTTCCAGCCCTCCTGGTTGTCTACTCTGTCACAGGACTCAGACTGATCGCCCATCTACAGCTTCCACCCTGGCTACCTGACCGCTGAGCGTCTCGCCAAGGCGAAGAACCTGAAGCTTGCCGTCACTGCTGGTATCGGTTCCGACCATGTTGACCTGAATGCTGCCAACCAGACCAACGGTGGCATCACTGTCGCTGAGGTTACCGGTTCCAACGTCGTCTCCGTTGCCGAGCATGTCGTCATGACCATCCTGACCCTTGTCCGCAACTTCGTTCCCGCGCATGAGCAGATCGAGCGTGGCGAGTGGGATGTTGCTGAGGCTGCTAAGAACGAGTTCGATCTCGAGGGCAAGGTTGTCGGTACCGTGGCCGTTGGCCGTATTGGTGAGCGTGTGCTGCGCCGCCTCAAGCCCTTCGACTGCAAGGAGCTGCTCTACTACGATTACCAGCCTCTCAGCGCCGACAAGGAGGCTGAGATTGGCGCCCGCCGCGTCGAGAACCTTGAGGAGATGCTGGCACAGTGTGACGTTGTCACCATCAACTGCCCTCTGCACGAGAAGACTCGCGGCCTGTTCAACAAGGACCTCATCAGCAAGATGAAGCCAGGCTCATGGCTTGTCAACACTGCCCGTGGTGCCATCGTCGTCAAGGAGGATGTCGCCGACGCTCTCAAGTCTGGCCATCTCCGTGGCTACGGTGGTGACGTCTGGTTCCCCCAGCCCGCGCCCAAGGACCACCCTCTGCGCTATGCCAAGAACCCCTTCGGCGGCGGTAACGCCATGGTTCCTCACATGTCCGGTACCTCGCTGGACGCTCAGAAGCGTTACGCCGACGGCACAAAGGCTATCCTGGAGTCATACCTGACTGGCAAGTTCGACTACCGACCTGAGGATCTCATCGTGACCAACGGTGACTACGCCACCAAGGCTGTAAGATTTTGCCCCCAGTTTACCTGTCCTGATTGTGATCGCTAACTCCCTCAACAGTATGGCCAGCGTGCTGCTAAGAAATAAGTAATTTGATGTGTATATTTACGAAGGATCATTGATTGAGCCCTTCGACTTGAGAGGGTATTCTGGAAAGGGTCTGTCCATATGCGGGACTTTTTGTGTTTCCATACCTCATAGCTCAGACGTTGAATGAATGAACAAGTTAAAGAAAAGTTATGTCCCATCCAGAAATCGTGCAGTAATGTCGAAGTCTTCGCGCAATCCGGCTGGGACTCCAATATCCTCTCATTACGCTGTTCCGATGATAAGCCGGTAACCAATTTGTGGCCAATACTTTATATATGGAGACGCATATGTGGACTTTACGAGGCCCAAGGTCACTTCTAAGGCACAATAGTCGATTCGCCCCTCCTCATATAATGGTGTTCCATTCGTTACTGGTGGCTGGACCACGTTGGAGTCCCCGGGATATGAAAGTGGGATGATCTGCCAGACTCGATCTTCACGGAAGACCAAAGACCAATTACAAGGCTCTATCTACATTATGAATCGCAGAGTGTCATAAAAAGCGGCATCAGTTGCGGCTCAACTTTATTATACTGCCAGAACATTACATCATATCCCCTGATGCCCGCCTCGTCTTTGGCCCCAGCGGGCTTGGGGAGTTATTTCATCTATATGCACATTTCCACACCCAAAACGCCACGGCCCCCAAGATCCAAGACGTTTTCAAAGTCCTCAGCTCCGCCAGCGCCTCCAGAACTTCCACCACGGCCCGGACTCGTCCTCGTCATAATCGCGCGGCCTCTTGGCGGGGTTGCTCCTCCTGACGCGCAGGAGGTAGACAGGCACGCCGGCGGTCACGAAGGCGATGACGATGAGGGTCTGGAGCGGCTCGGCGAAGACGGCGCGGCTGAGCAGGAACAGGCTGACGCAGCAGAAGATGATCGGGGTGGTGATCCAGGTGCGGTAGGGGCGCTCGAGGGCGGGCTCGCGGACGCGCAGGACGATGAGGGCCAGGACGGTCAGGAAGTAGAAGGAGTAGCCGGCGACGCCGTAGAAGGTGAGCAGGGTGTCGAACTCGCCGACGACGACGTAGCCCGTCGTCAGGGCGCAGTTGAGCACCAGCGCGTTGATGGGCGTGAAGAACAGGCCCTTGTCCTCGTCGCCCACCAGCCGCGCCAGCCCGCTCGACAGGAAGTTGCGCGTCCGCACCGTCGACACGTGCTGGTTCTCGGGCGCGCTCGACCCCGCGCCGATGCGCCCGAACAGCTCCGGAATGTAGCCCTCTTTCCCGGCCGCGTACACCAGGCGGCTGCTTGTGAACGTCGAGCTGTTGAGCGCCCCGAAGCAGGACGCGCTGACGATCAGTGCCAGGAAGAGCGACCCGATAGGGCCGAACACCTTTGCGCCGAAGAGCACGGCGATGGTGTTTGAGGAGTTGGTGGCCGCAAGCGGCAGCACCAGGAAGTATGAGATATTGGCCAGCACGTAGGAAAGAATGACCAGTGGCATAGCCGTGTGGATCACTCGTGGCAGGTCTCGGCTGGGGTTGCGGAACTCCCCCACAACGTAATTTGTCTGAGACAGTGTCAGCGGCCGGACATGCGATGTCTAGTTAATCAGTGGAGAGCACTCACGTTATCCCAGCCATCGTAAGCCCAGAGACCAGCGTAGAGGGCCACCGCCCAGGCTGAAGTCTCGGTCTTGGTCCCCTCAAACCACTCATGGTTCTTCCAGTCCAGGTTCGGTTTCCCGCTGTAGGAGTATCCGGTGGCTGCGACAACGATCCCCGTGATCGTAACTCCTAACAATGCAATGAACTTCATGAACATGAGCAAGTCATTGACCCTTGTTCCAAGCTTCGTCGAGACGCAGTTCAAAAAGGTCACTAGGAACAGCCCAGCCAAGCCCACTGACTTGTTGATCCACGGGTTGATGGTCTCTGCTTCTGCGCCAATAGCAGCCCGGACAACGTATTCCCCCATGATGATGGAAATGATGGCCGAGCTACCGGGCTTCAGCACCAGCACTGCAGACCACATGAAGAGGAATCCCCATACTTCGCCGAATATTTTTGCCAGATACACCTGCGATCCTCCGTTCAGAGGTATGGCGCCTCCCAGCTCTGCATAACTGGCCGCGCCAGTCCAAGCAAGTATTCCAGCGATCACCCAAACAATGAGCGCGGCGCCTGGTGAGCCGACGTTGGCATTGACCTGGCTTGGCGAAGAGAATATACCAGACCCAATAATCAGACCAACAATCAAGGACAACCCGTTGAGGTACGTCAGAGTCTTGTGCTTCTCGAGGGAGCCTCCACCTGGACCGCCGTTCTGCGCTGTTGCAGCTGGGGCGCCGATGGGAGTGTAGCCAGCGCCCGTCGTCGAAGACAGCGGAAAGAGGTTGGCGGTAAAGTCGAAGCCCGAGGACACGGAAAATGTGCGCCCGTGGCCCATGGGCCGCCCGTTGGCGGCCGGGTTATCTGCGTCGAGGGGATCATCCTGCTCGAGAGACAGCTTGCGCGACGAAGATATACTGGGCCGGGAGTCGGTTTCTGCGGTCTCGAGCTGGTCGGAACTTGCGAGCGACGCGAGTTCTAGCGAGTCGCGTGTGTGCCCTTGGAGGTTCGAGGAGTACAAGGGCGGCATCGTTGAGGAGGAGGAGGGGTGATGGCGAGCCGAGCGCACTCGGCTGGTTCAGTTGTATGTCGTGGTCCACCAAATCCAATTCTTCCACTACTCGAATAATTGAACTATACCAAACATGTTCGGAACAAAAAGGGGTCGTCGGGAATTGGTCGTCGCCCTCTCAATCTCCTGAGGCGTGGCCTGACCAGTCAGTCCTCTCCCGAGTTTGCGGTCGGCGAGCGCGTCACGAGGGTGCAGGCGGTACGTGTTCGCAGAAAGCCAGGAGATGCCGCACGAGGGGCAGTATCGACACACAAAAAGCAACGGTAGAGAAGCCAAAGCCTAGTTGAGTCCCAGATAGGGCGAGTGAGTCTGCTGTAAGTCTAGGTATGCAACTCGGGATCGGAACGGTAGAGACAAGATGACGGTTGCGGAAAAGGAGACAGACGGCAGGCAGTCCCGGGTGGGCAAACAAGCATCCAGGCCAAGAGCCGCGATGCTGTCTGGCTGTCTGGCTGCTCAGTCTGGGGGGCTTCACTGGGGGGGGGGCAGGGGGGCGCAACGTGCCTCGATCCTGCAGCGCTAGAACAACCGACAAGGCCAAGGCGACGGCTGAGTGGCCCAGAGAATCCCCCGAAGGCCCGTGCCCGGCTATAGACGTTTCGGCAGCTCCTTAGCTACGTATTACGGCAGGGCGCCAGGGCGCCCAGTAGGGAAGGTTGATTGACCCTTGCAGCTTCGTGGGCACTAATACATTCGAGGTACTCTCCTGTGCGGTACCCTCGATTCCACATGGTTTTGAACATACTCGATCAGGAGCGTCAACAGAAGGTGCTCGATTTTGTTGTATTTATGAGAATGAATATATTATGGCGTGGTTCTGTTCTTGTAGCATATTATTTGCGTGAGAGACCGAAATTATGATTAAAGATGCTCGCCCTGAGAGTGCCATCTCATCACCCTTTGGAAGGGTAGGACCCTGAAATACTTACCAATCAGGTACCCGGCCACCCATAGCTTGGAGCTCGAAATTTTGTCACGGCGGTCCTGGTCCCGATCCTGGTCGAGCAAAGACATCTGACGGCATGGACTGAACAAACACCACTTTCCTCTGCCGCGCAAACGAAGCACATAGCTTCAACCTGCAACACGCAAAGAATGCCTCCACCATGTTATCAACATATACAAGGGCGGTAGGCCGACAGTTGCCCGTCCTGGGCGCCACGCCCTCTCTCTTGAGCTCTAGAATATCTTGCACCCACCACGCCGTGCCGTCATGGCGCGCCGCCTCCACAGCATCGCAGAAGCTCGACCTTCCAGCCCTTGACAGGAAGTGGCGAGCAGAATGGGACCGCATCAAGGCCAGTCGGCCCCTCGCCGGCCATGACAAGGCGGACAAGGATAGCAAATACATCTTGCCAATGTTCCCGTACCCTTCAGGCCACCTGCACATCGGCCATCTTAGGGTCTATACCATCGCCGACGTCCTCGCGCGGTTTCACACCCTCCAGGGAAACAAGGCCATCTTGCCCATGGGCTGGGACTCTTTTGGACTTCCCGCAGAGAATGCTGCCCTCCAGCGAGGCATAAACCCGGCGACATGGACCAAGGGAAACATAGCTAAGATGAAGGAGCAGCTGCAGTACATGAACGGCAGCTGGGACTGGGAACGTGTACGTTGTTCCCTTCTGTCGATACCAATAGGCCTGTAATTGACACCTGTTTGCACACAGGAGATTTCCACGTGCGAACCCGAGTTCTACAAACATACCCAACGCATTTTCCTCATGCTGCACGAGAAGGGTCTAGCATACCAGGCTGAAGCGGAGGTCAACTATGACCCCGTTGACCAGACCGTGCTGGCGAATGAACAGGTGGACGCTAATGGTTGCTCCTGGAGGTCTGGTGCCAAGGTCGAGAAGCGCCGTCTGAAGCAATGGTTTTTCAAAATCTCAGAGTTCCGTGAAGAACTTCTGCAACATCTTGAAGTCCTCGCGAAAGAGGAGGCTTGGCCCGAGCGGGTAGCTGCCATGCAGAAGAATTGGCTGGGCAAGTCGCAGGGTGCAATGATCAAGTTTCCCATCATGGCTCACAGCCAAGACGCTCATGCCTCCATCGAAGTCTACACCACCAGGCCTGATACCTTATTTGGGGTACAATATCTGGCGCTGTCTGCAAACCACCCCATCGTAACGCGTCTCTCAGAGACAGACCCTGAGCTCCAGGCTTTCCTGGACACTTTGCCTGGCCTTCCACCTGACTCCAAAGTCGGCTACATGCTCCCTGGAATAAGGGCTATCAATCCTCTTGCATATCACGAACAGACTCCAGACCCAGCAAAGGAGTCTCTTCCTGTGTATGTCGCGCCCTATGTCCTTGGTGACTACGGCGAGGGCGCAGTCATGGGTGTCCCAGGCCACGATCTCCGCGACAATGCATTCTGGAAGGAGCATCATTATGACCAACCTGTTCGTTTTGTGCTAGCTGCATCCGAAGACGAGTCTACGACGGCCATTCCGAACGAGCCTTTCTTGGAGCACGGCGTTATGACAGCTGAAAGTGGGTTGTTCCGAGGCAAATCGTCTCAAGAATCTGGTCAAATGTTGCTCAAGATCCTCGAGGCTGCCGAGGTGGCGAAACCGGTCGAGAAATGGAGGTTGCGAGACTGGCTTGTCAGTCGCCAAAGATACTGGGGGACTCCCATCCCGATCATACACTGCGACTCATGTGGTGCTGTACCTGTACCTGCCGAGCAGCTTCCAGTTGAGTTGCCTGAGGTTGATAACCACTGGGCGGAGGGCAAGCCAGGAAACCCACTTGAGTCGGCAGCCGACTGGGTGAACACGTCCTGCCCTTCATGTGGCAGCGCTGCGAAGAGAGATACTGATACTATGGACACGTTCGTCGACTCGAGTTGGTACTACATGCGTTTTATCGATCCTAATAACAACGACGCCCCTTTCTCGAAGGACAAGGCGTCGCTTCTACCTGTCGATCTTTACGTGGGTGGCATAGAGCATGCCATTCTGCATCTTCTCTACGCGCGATTCATCTACAAATTCCTCATGAGCTCCTCTCTGAGCCCTGCAGAATCATCAGATTCTGCCCACGAGCCATTCACCCGCCTCATCACCCAGGGAATGGTGCACGGAAAGACGTTCATTGAGCCATCAAATGGCCGGTTTTTAAAGCCTGATGAGCTTGATCTGACAGATCCGTCCAACCCAAAGGTGTCAGCTACTGGAGAGCCAGCAACCATTAGCTATGAGAAGATGTCAAAGTCCAAGTTTAACGGAGTGGATCCCACCGAGTTCATCACGAAATACGGAGCCGATGCCACCAGAGCACACATGTTATTTCAAGCACCCGTCAATGATGTGGTCAACTGGGATGAAGGCAAAATCTCAGGAGTCACACGCTGGCTGGGCCGAGTACACGACCTGGCGAAGACCATTTCCACGCTCAAGGACGTAAACAAGGAAGCCACTGAGCATATTAAAGCCTGTGCGTCGAGAGTACACGGTATGAAAAGTCCTGAGCTCACACAATGGGACACGGACACCGGCATCTGGCGGGACGTACAAAACACGATAATTTCAGTAACAAAATCGTACCACGAGGTCTACTCCCTCAACACCGTGATCTCCGACCTCATGAGCCTTACCAACACAATCGCATCTCACAATGGCGCCACCGAGGTGATCCGCGCCGCTGCGGTCTCGACACTCGTCAGAATGCTCGCTCCTGTCGCGCCTGCATCTGCCTCCGAGTGTTGGGAGAGTCTCGGCATGCAAGAGCCACTATTTTCCGGCTCAGCGCAATTCCCTGTGCCGGACGGGACGCTTTCATGCATGAAACCCAGGGAGCAGTCCTGTGCAGTCCAAATTAATGGGAAGGTAAGGGACGTCTTGGAGATTCCCGTACCACCGGAAGGCATGAAGCAGGAGAAAGTGGAAGGGTGGGTTGTGGACGAGATCTTGCGAAAGGCCGGAGGCAAGAAGCTCCCGGCCGTGGAGGACCTTCGTGCAGCCAAGAAAGTCATTGTCGTCAAGAACGGCAAGGTCGTGAATTTCGTGCTGTAGATGGAGGATGATACCCAGGCGCATTCATAAAAGCACTCACTTTGCCATACAAGGCCGTCAAACAAATACAATTTACAGGGGAATAAAACACAACTCTTCATCTGCATTGTATGAATACCGACCGACCATGACCGCTCCCTCTGATGTGCACTTCCCTACCTCCCCCACGGACTTTTGCGGATGTCTCCTCGCCCTCCTCAGGCGCTGCATCCGGCCAATCCCTCCACACCTCGACACTCACACTGGAGCCCGAGCTCACCAGATCCTTATGATCCAGAATCATCTCCGCGACTCGCAAGGCCTGCTCCAAATCCCCCACCTCGAACAACATCACCCTGGGCCCCAGCCGCACACCAATGTCCAGCAGCCGCGCGTAGAAGACGTCCTCGGGCCTGACAGCGCCACCGCCATAGATCGCGGCGGGGACCTGGGCGATCTTGGGCTCATAGTTGCGGACGCTGCGCGCAGTCTGGTGGGCGAACGCCCAGCGGGAGACGTAGGGCGGGTTGCAGACGAGGATATCCCAGGCCGGCCGCGGGTCTGATCCTCCTGCTGCTGCTTGAGTCTCTACTTCCGCGAACAGGGAGTCGGAGAAGACGTCCCCCCGGATGAAGTCCACCGACTGCCCCGGAGACTGGGGAGCAGACACCAGGCCCTTGGCGGTGTTGCGGGCGAGGTTCTCGTGGGCGAGCCGCACGGCCTGGGCGGAGATGTCGACGCCGAGGACGTGCAGGCTCGCGGGGATGGCGCGGCGGAGGAGCGAGTACAGGAGCAGGGCTATGCAGCCTGTTCCCGTACACAAGTCCAAGACGCGGAGGGTTGAAGGGGGCTGATTTTCCCCCTGGCTTAACAGAGAGCCTTGTTTTATGAGGTTGGCCAGGTGGGTTGTGTACGCTTCAGGCTCCGGTCTTTGGTCAGGGCCACCTCAGTCATGATTAGCTTTCCGACCTGGACTTGTGGGGAGACAGGTAATGACAGCGATTGCATAGGAATTGAATCAAATTACCTGGGAATCAAGACGCCGGGGCGACATTTCAAGTCCAAATTGCCGAAAGGCTGGCTGCCGAGGACATATTGCAGAGGCACGCCTCTCCCACGTTGAAGGCAGAGTGAGGTGACTTGATACTCTGTCCTGAAGGGGGACGGTGCCCGCCCGCGTTGAAGCTCCTCGACGTGTTCACGGATCCATCGCAGCTCGTTGATGCTTGAAGGCAGGTCTCGACAGGCGGGTAGAATTGTCGCTGCGTGGGGTGAGATCTTGTAGGCTTGACGTATCGCGGCGGGTGAGATGCGAGGCATTGGTGAAGGCTTGCTTCACCAATCAAGCCTTTTCCTCCCAATACACACGCTTGGTTGGGGTCAACAGGCCGGCATGTTAAGAGTCAATAAGGAGAGAGTCTAATTGGTATCATTTGGGAGAGCTACAATTGTGACATCAATTCTCGACTTGGTGAGAACCCTTTCTCTCGTTAGATTGAGAATCAGCAGCAATACTCCTTGAATGAAAGGCTTAGGGTTGTACCCTGAAGCACACCCCCGTCCCGTTAAGTATCACTCTCGTCTGATAACGCCAGGATCCACTTGGTCGACGTCAAGTCGCCTTCTTCGTGTCAAAGATGGCCGAGCTGGAGAACCACGCCGGCCACCACCTCCGTCGATGGTGCGGGACGATGTCGGAGTTGCCTATCCCCTCGGCACGCTTCTCCGGCCGTTTGGAGTTGCGGCTTCCCCGCCCCTATCTTCGGCATGCTGTATATTATTTCCCTTTGTATACGTCCATCCTTATAAGTAGTCCGAGGTAGAGACTTAGTTTCGAATAAAATATACTTGCCAAATGAATCATTAAGTATACCATATGGCCGAGAGACTCAAAGCAATCAGTAACACATTGAAGATGCCCCCCAAGCTGAACGAGAATGGAGTCCCCAGCTTCGACGATCTGCCCCTGAGGGAGGGCGACCCGCACCACTCGGCCTGGGGCCTGTACGGCGACAAGGACGAGCTGGGGACGCTGAACCGGCTGACGGACGAGCGGGTGGCCGCGGCCGCGCGGGGCGAGATCAAGAAGGGCACCCGCGTCTCGCTGAACTGGCCGCTCGACGCGCAGGGCGAGGCCGGCTTCTTCCAGCGCAAGCTGTTCCACCAGGAGCTCTTCCAGAAGCCGCCGAGGATCGTCAACGACGATGTCTGGACCTTCAACACGCAGGTGTCGAGCCAGTGGGACGGCTTCCGCCACTTTGGCTACCAGAAGGAGAAGAAGTTCTACAACGGCGTGACCCTCGAGGATATCCACGGGAAGGACAGCAACGGCAAGAAGACGACCGTGAACGGGATCCATGGTGAGTATGGGTTCTGAGGGGAAAGCGTCGACGATGTTACTCTGGAGCTGACAGGTTACAGCCTTTGCCGAGCAAGGCATTGTGGGACGTGGTATTCTGGTCGACTTGCACAGCTGGCGGCAGCAGCAGGACGACCCAGCCTTGAAGGAGTTCAACTGCTTTGAAACCTCGAGCATCCCGCTCAAGGACATCAAGGCCTGCCTGGCAGCCCAAGGGACAGAGGTCAAGTTTGGCGACATCCTGTTCACGCGCACTGGTACAGTGTAGCCCTATATCCCTCCCAGCTCACACACACATACTAATAACGAGAAACCACAGGCTGGCACGCGCAGCACGCGCAGCTCTCAGAGCCCCAGCTCAAGACGTACCAGGCCGTGGTGCCGCACCACTTCGGCGGCGTGGAGCAGTCCGACGAGATGATCCGCTGGGTGTGGGACAACTTCTCGGCCGTGGCGGGCGACCAGCCGTCCTTCGAGGCCTGGCCGTCCCGCGAGGACTGGGCCCTGCACGAGGTCCTGCTCGCCGGGTACGGCATGCCCATCGGCGAGCTCTTCTGGCTCGAGGGGCTCGCCGAGACCTGCAAGAGGGAGGGCCGCTGGAGCTTCTTCGTCACGAGCGAGCCCTGCAACGTCCCCGGCGGTGTTGCCAGTCCGCCGAACATACTGGCCATATTCTAGGGATTCACCGTGTTGGACGGGGCTTTTGAGCTGCGAGGAAAATATGTGTCATTGGGAGTTTCGTCGGAATGAGGGGAGGGGAGAGTTCCTGTGCATTCGCCCTTCGCTCTCGACACCAGACATATATGGCCATACGACCAGGTACTACACAGGACTGTGGTGTTGCCCGCTCTTCCGGTGTCACGAGATCTCGTCACTCAAATTGGCAAGACAGGCGACTGCGACGGCTACAATACCGGCGAGAAACACCATATATCATCTAATAGGCTGGAACGTACGGCACAGGGGAAGGATTTTGACGACGTACGGACGTAAGTGAGTTTAGAACGCGTGGCTGAGTATATGTGGGCTCAAGGCCTGAACCACTTTAAGCGGCCCTCATGGTCCTCTGCACAATTTGAGCGCGCCATTCACCATTGACACACGGGATCCAAGAGGCCCGAGAAAACACAGAAGTAAATGATCCATCATGTGTCGAGGTGGGAGGTACGCATATACACATACCGAGCCCACCTTTCCTCCCTCCCTAAGCCCCCGGCCCCTGTTTGTTTGAAGCAGCCTCTTTTCCTTTCGCCTTGCTGTGTCTAGACTCTTGTTCGGCCCGTACAGCTGTATACAGTGTGATCGCAAAATCATGGCCGTCCCTTTCGGCCGGCAGAAAAGTGGTGAGAAGAGGGAGGTGAGACATCACCAGCCTGAGGCTATATGTGTTGCAGATAAGAATGTGAAAACGCTCGCTGGTTCCGGTGCATGAATTGCTGCATCCGCCTGTGATCCTGTCGTGGCCGCTGTCCCATGCACATCGACCATATGACCTGCCAATTACCAGACGAGAGAACACTCGCGACTTTAACATCGTTTCCCATCTCTGACGGAAAACTGCCAATCTGCCTTCACCTGCCTTTGGCATCCGATTCTACAGAATGTGGTGCGAGTGTGAAGATTATTTCCTGCGGGTATCGCGATCACTGTGAAACTTGTCAGTAAACAATCTTGCTGTCGGCCACCGATCAGTCCATGCATCACTCACGTTGACAGTCTCCTAGAGAGCGACTGAAGCTTCTTGTCATTGTCTGCCTCCCGTGTTGCCCTATCCAGCGCCTGCTGGCGCTCCTCCTCGTTGGCTCGCTGGACCTCCTCGTGGCTGGGAGGCAGTCTTTCGTTCTGAAGATCAACCTTCCGGGCATCTTCAAATGTGCTGATAGCATTCTTGATACCCTCGGCTCCCAACATAAGGGTGCCCGCCGGCAGCCTTCCTCCAGAAACGGTCTTGAGCTCCGTAACACTCTCAGACTCTTCCCGAAGAACCTGGAACACCCTGGACAGACGGCCAATTGCGAGGATCTTGTTCTTGATTGCCCGTCTTTTTGCCTCCACAGAGTCTGGGTCCATATTGGCCGAGGGTGTGATGGGCGGCGAGACCGGGCCAGGAGATGACGAGGAGTCATCCCTGAGCTCGTCCTCGCTGCACGTGCTCAGAATGGCAATCAGCATGTCCGTGATCTTCTCGCCGACGAAGGGTAGGGACCACGTGAAGACATCCATGAAGTTGGGCAGCCAGTATGGGTGCGGTGTGCAGTTGAACTGTCGGATGTTCATGACGTTGTTCTCGTACTTCAACACCGCCGCCTTGTTGTTGTAGACATCGAGGTAGTTTGGCGCGGAGAAAATGGTCATAACACTTGGGAAGCCCGTTGTCCTGGTCTTACGGTACATCCGATACCCTGCGTCCTGTGCCTCGTGCGCGCGAATGACCGACAGCAGGTTGTTCTTTTCGAGGAAGGCACACGCTGCCGGGTACGAGAAGAAGTATGAGCATCCTCTCACATGGTTGTGCAGGAAGTAATCATTGGTCTTTTCCTGGCCAAAGTCTTCGAGCGGGTCGGCCCAGAGAATGTCGCACATGAGGCCCTGCGTCGGTGGTTCCCTGAATCGGTCAATCTGTAAAATCTGTCAGCAGGCTGCAAGAATTTGGAGAGCATGAGACGACCAAACGACCGTGTTGAATTGCTCACATTTCGAATGTCATCGAGGGTGTGTAGCTCGGGGCTCAGGCCGCCGTGGATACACAAAAACTGCTTGTTCATAACTGCGGCCAGAGGCAGGGAACAGAAGGACTCCATGCAGGCCTCGTACACGACCTCGGAGTACTTGTGCTTGCATTCGAGCTTGAAGGTGAAATAGTCGGTCAAGTGGCGACATTCGTGGTTTCCTCGCAGCAGCCATAGCGTCTTGGGGTAGTGAATCTTCAACGACCAGAGGTATAGGACACACTCGATACTGAAATAGCCACGATCGACATAGTCGCCCAGGAAGAGATATCTCGTCTCGGCCGGGTCGCCTCCGACCTCGAAAAGCTTCATGAGATCGTAGTATTGGCCATGCACGTCGCCACAGACAGTAATGGGGGCGTCCATCTCCAGGAGGTTAGGCTCGGCACGCAGCAGCTCTGTGCCCTTCCTAATGATCCATAGCGCCTGCTCTTCGGTCAAACGGCCCTCCCGATAGAAGTGTGACTTCAGGAAGGTAATGTCGGGCTTGGACTGGGTGCTGTCCTCGAAGAATTGCTCGTCGGTGGGCTTCAGCATAGCTGGAGCTTGGACATCTGGATGTCGGCAACATGGTCAGCGTGTGACGGTGACGTGCCGCATGTTGTTGTTTGTGGCTTGTGGTCGCGAGGATTGGCAAGCGGGGTGGTGGCAGGGGGAACACATACCTTTGCAGACCCTCTCCATGGTGCTCACTTGGCTGCCATCTTCCATCTGGTGGATGGAGAAGTCGATCTCGGGCAGGGGCTTCTTCTGCTGTATCGCGCGGATCGCATTGTCGACCTGAGCGTTGCGAGGGTCCTGGGAGCCCGGCGAACCGGCGCCGTCTGCGTCCATGCTGGGCGGCGAGGCGAAGACAGGCGAGGCAAGACGAGGCGAGGCGAGGGGTACGAGGGCAAGAGAGGGCGAGAGGGCAAGTCAGCAGAGCGAGCTGTCTTTGTCTCTTGTCTCGAGTCTGGACCCTGTGGCCAGCTCGAAAAGGTTCAGCAAAGAGGCACACGCCGCAGGTCGAGGTCAGTCGGGAGAATGCTTGTAAGTAATCAGCAAGCCGTCGCCAGAGCCTTGAAAGGGGCACGAGAGTTGTAGGAGGCGAGGACGGCGAGTTGGTGAGGTAGGGCTGAGAACAGGTACAGGGCAGGCCAGGGCATTGGAGGACGGAGAAACAGACAGCCAGACAGACGACCAAGACAGTCAGACAGCTGGAAAATCGCAGCCAGATGGGGGTTCCTACCGAACGAGTGGAGCCCCGCCACGGGCCAGGGGACCTCGCTGCCCCCCAGTGCCCCCCAAGCTTACCTACAGGACACAGCACAGCAAAGCACAGCACAGCAACTCTTATCGGTGAGACGTCTACATGGGTACATTTGCCCACCACCTACCCTGCTACCCCAGGTATCTGTGGTACCGGTGTGCTGTATTCCTACGACCATGCACAAGCAGGCGGGAGAAGATAGCCCCAACATTTAGCCCTCTTGGTTCCCAATAGCTCCCTCTTCTGTCCATCTATTTTGCATGACCTATGTAGGCAAATATCCAGGTACGCTTTCTAGGGTCAGCCCCTCAAACTGGGATACCTCGCTATCGCAACAAAGGCAGACTGCCGAGGCCGAGTGTTAGCACGCTACTGAGCAGACAGACTATCGCTGCCCAGGAATACGAAGCCCCTATTCGAGGTACCTGGATGGCCAATCGACAGAGAGCTAATAAAAAGGGGTGCCGAACTTCCAGCCATGGCGGAGCGACTGCCCCTCGTGCTTCATAAGCTCTGACTGAGTGTGCATAGTAAAACTATAGACTATACACCATCTGGACGTTCAATAACCCACAATAAATACACAGACAGGTAGGTCCCTCTAGACAATTAGACTATGTACTGGGTCAAAGCTGCTGCTCTGAGGTCGCAGGCTCCCTCCCAATTCCCCATCATCTATCCGCCGTGACATGTGCTCCGATGACATGCATCTCATCCATTCCCTTCCGCCGCCAAGGCCTAAGGCAGACATGCAGGCTGTTTATGTCTTGACCACCACCCAACACTTGCCATACCGTCACAGCCTTGCCATCAACGTGCAAATCATCAACATTCACCCGATCACCTGGGCCAGCACTTCTTCTCTCGGCAGATTCGTGTTTCGCCAGCGAGACACAAAGTCGTCCATGCTTACTAGAGCCGCACATCCAGGATTAGCCACATCCCATTAGGCCCAGCATGCTGCCTCTTGGGGGATTTCCGGCGGAAGATGCCAAGATCACTCACTGTAGCCACCGCAAATTCTTCTCAGCCCTGTGAAGGCGCTCCTGCCGTGGAGGACTCGGTGGTTGTCGAAGATCACGATCGTCCCGGGCTTCAGTTGGAACCAGTATTCCAATTCCTTGCTTCTGAGTATCTGCTCCCACTTGGATGCGGCATTGTACCAAAGCATTTGGCGCGAGGGGCTGGATTTCTTCGGCAAAGGCAGCACTAACACGTTGAGGCCATGCCTATCAGTATCCTTGGTCGATATATGATGTGCGCCCGTAAACGCTTGGAGCCACATGCTGGACTGGCTTATTTCTGTCTTGCGAGGGCCACTTACCGCCTCTGTCGTCATTATTCCACCTGATCTTCTGCACTGTTTCTATATCATTTTCGAGCTCAATAACGCTGTATAGTTGATCTGGAGTGATGGTGACCCCCTCATTGCCACTCGCATGCCACGGAAGACCTCTTTTGGCTAACTCGTAGAAAAGGGCCCTGTCAGACTCCCGTAGTTTTTCAGCAGCATTGAATCCGTCAACAAGCAACGACTCCCCCCCTGTTGCATCTGGCTCGCCTGGGGATGGAGTGTGAGACAGGAGGTGAAATGCTTGCAGTCCGGCAGGATCTGTGAAGTAGGTGGTGTCAGTGTGCGCAGCCAACGCTATGTTTGTGTACGCCGTGTCCGCCTTGGCCATATCCGGAATGAAGTCGTAGAAACCGCCGTAGTGGGTTTCTCTGATGGGCCCAATACGCTCCAGGAGCTTCTTGGTGTGTATCGAGTCATCAAACGGGGTATCGTTGACAAACACAAGCCCAAATTTCCTCTACAAGTAGAGAAGTCAGATGTGATTATTTTCCGTCGAGAATCAGGGCTTAGCCTTACGATCAGGCCTGTCATCTTAGCTACGCCACTTTCAGAGTCCATGACTTCAGCGAATGTTACGGTCGGTGGGTTTTCTTTAATCTCGGCACCCCAGAGTTGACGGCTATAACAGTCAATGGTAATTCAGCTGGAACCTCCGGGATTGTGGCTCACTTTCTGGACGGCAGAGCCCTTGCTTTGTTGTCAAGGTAGTGCCTGATAAATGCCCAGTCATAGAAGCTTTCGTGTAGTTCGTGAGTCCCTGCGTGATCAATTATGAGGACGGCTCGTATCTATGCCATGCTGCATTCCTGACGACTCACAAGTAACTCTGATGCCACGCTGCTCAATTTGGACCTCCTGAGCCGGCGGGGTGGGAAGAGGCGACTAACACGCTCGTCTCAGAAGGTATTCCGTGGTTCGATGACTCTCGACTCACCGCAAAAATGTTGAAGCTTTTTTGCATGGTCTCCTGGTTGACGCACTTGGGGCATCTACAGTTGTCTCTGTAGATAGTGAGTGTTGGCTCTCCGGAATTCACTCGATTCACATCTTACCTCAACCAAGTATTGGACCTGCGGTGTCATGTCAGTATGGTTTGAAGAACAAGGGGGGAAATGCATAGGACACAGCAGTCAAATTCGAAGAATAAGGCATTGTCCTACAATATAAAGCCACGTTTACCCGCAGCACGTTCGTCGCTGTGGTAAAAAGATAGACTGGAGGAAGTAGAGAGCACCTTGTATCCGCTGGTCCCGTCAGAGACGTCGACTACTTCCTTCACATCCTCCCTGTTTTTGTACGCTTCGAAGTTGGTTTTAGGACTGCTGTTAGTTGCTCTCCTTTTTTCAGTGCTCACGGAAGTAAGCCTCTCTGCACCTTGGGGGCCGGAAGGTAGCTGAGAGCTGCGCCGCCTGCCATTCAACTTGGGAAGCGCACTGCGTAAAGCTGGCCAACAAGTCAAAGGTCGCCAAGGCTGTCCTCCTAAGGAGGTGAGAACAGCCCTGAATGTCATATACCGTCAGTCGACAAGTCCATGGCACCATGTGCGGTGTGGTGTGCGGTCGTCACAGCCCATGTCGCATGATAGAGCGTGAGGGGAAAGGGTGCTCACCTAGAGCCTGGGCGAAGTACTCGTGTTGCCATGATGAGTCTGGAATTTATCTGGCTATAGGGTAATGAATGAGGCAGGCTGGTTCCCTGAGCCTGAGCGGAAGAAATTCGAACGCACAACTTCAATACGATTGTTAGTCGGAAAAGAGGCCAGCAAACTAGGCATGTGGATTGATGTAAGTTGGTTGGAGACTGGTGGTCTAGTGCTTGCAAGTTAGACCCCTAGTCGATTTGTTACATCGTCGCCGTGACAATAATAACTTCACTGGGCTTCCCAGCACGCTGTTATCTGTGTTGCTTTTGTTCCCTCTTCGGATTTAATTAAGAAGTTCCCGCTATCGGATGTCCTGTGATCACACGCTGCACTCTTCTACCCCAGACGGATTGCCCCGGATTATCACACATCGATGTGGATTCGACGGTCACCTGGGAACTTAGGTTATTATGGGGTAATAGGCCAAAAAATTTGCCTCAGAAACACCGACTAGCGACTCAAGTCCAACGTTGAAAAGAAAGGGACGGCCCGCCGTCCGCGCAAGACGATGGCCCAGATAAACTCATCCTTTGTTCTCTGCCTTGTACCAAATCCTGTTGCGAGGAACCAGACCTGTCCAAATAATTTATCTCTGTGCTGGAGCTAGCATCGCACTGCAAGCGACAGATACCAGCTGTATATCTGACAAGCTCGAGAGACTTACTCGCCCGGGAAGAAACAGCCCAATTCCACACAAAGATTAGCTTGTACGACCCAACCAGCAAGCACAATGGCCACGGGTTACGCGCACGCGCCCAACGGGCCCGACGCAAAGTACCCAGAGTCGCGCGTCCTGATCATCATGACCGGGGGCACGATCTGCATGCAGCCCTCGGCGGACGGGCTGGTGCCCATGACGGGCTTCCTCGAGAAGGCCATGGCGCCGCGCCCGACCTTCAACGACGCCTCGCCGCCCGTGCAGCTCCACGCCTACAAGAACGGCGAGAAGCTCTCCCTCGAGAGCCTGAGGACGCCGCCCAGTTCCTACTCGCGCCACGTCCGCTACAGCATCCTCGAGTTCTCCCCGCTGCTCGATTCTAGCTCCATCTCGTCTGTCGGTTGGACCGAGGTGGCCCTGACGGTCAAGGAGAATTATCACCTCTTTGATGGCTTCGTGGTGCTCCATGGCACAGATTCTTTGGCCTGTGAGTAGAGCTTTTCCTGTTATGTGTGTCCTTCAGCGTAGCTTGCTTCACTAGGTGTATGTTATACGCATAGTATGTTTGGAAGTGAGATGCCTCAGGTTTCCAGCCTTTTTTTTTTGTCTTGTGATTTCCTCATGAGGCGGAGCTCACTATTTAGAAACGAAAGAATAGGCTGTCGCATCGACTGAGACAGTATGGGTGAGCCCAAGGTGAGTTTTGAGAGAAAGTCTGTTCGCAGAAGACGAGAATAAGAGGAGCCATGCAGAATGGCTGCACTGAAATCCTTGCGGATCATGTCTGGCTCTTAAACCTCGCCTCTGCCTATTGTAATGGGCAATCTCTCGTGTAATTGGGCTGCAGTTATTCTCGATTCTCTTCCTGGGGTTTTTATCTTTGAAGCTGCTTCAGCACGATATCTAGATGTTGGCATTTTGATGGAGTCCAGTGCTAATAAAGGAGAACAGATACCGCGTCAGCATTATCCTTCATGATGACAGATCTGGGAAAGCCAGTCATCTTGACAGGCTCTCAAGCATCAATCTTTGCCCTTCAATCCGATGCGGTGGACAACCTCCTGGGCTCCCTCATCATTGCAGGAACCTTCGTGATACCCGAGGTCTGCCTATTCTTCTCGCACACTCTCTTCAGGGGAAACAGAACGACCAAGGTCTCGGCATCGGCCTTCGAGGCTTTTGACAGCCCGAACTGTGAGCCCCTCGCGAAAGTGACTAGCCTGGGCGTCGATGTTAAGTGGTCGCTGGTGCGACGTCCCACGAGGATAGCCGAGTTCCAGGTCACCAAGTACATCGACACAGCCCATGTGGCCTGTTTGCGGATCTTCCCGGGTATCAAGCCGGAAATGGTGGACTCTGTCTTGCGTGTCCCCAACCTGAAGGGCCTGATCCTCGAGACCTTCGGGATGGGCAACGCCCCGGGCGGTGTGGACGGTAGCCTGACAAAGGTTATCAAGGAGGCCGTTGAGAGGAAGATCGTGGTCGTGAATGTGAGCCAGTGCACAAACGGTTTCGTGTCACCGCTGTACGCCCCAGGGTTCGCCCTTGGCCGTCTTGGAGTCGTGTTTGGCTATGATCTTACAACAGAGGCTGCTTTGACAAAGCTCTCGTACCTCTTGGCCGTTGAAAACCTCTCTTATTCGGACATTACCAGACAAATGGCCCACTCCATCCGCGGTGAAAGTAGGCCACCTCGTTCTTCCCAGGATCAATCACTGCGTAGCGACAACATAACTAATCTGTGGCTTTGTAGTGACCGAGATGACAACGCCGAGCTTCTCTCACCCCTCCGGCACCCTGGACGCGCTCGTGGGCAGCCTCTCAGCCGCGGACGCGGCGTTCACAGCCCTCGGCTATGCCATCCAGAGGGGCGACTTGCGGAATGTCCGCGAGGCCCTCGAGGCGGACGAGGCCAGCCATCAGCTTCTGAAGAAGGCCGACTATGCCGGTAATACAGCTCTCCATCTGGCGGCCATGTAAGTTTTTATCCTCTTCTTTTCTTTTCGTTTCTTTTTTTCTCTCTTGAGATTGAAGAAGATAATTGTATAAAACCATCAACAAGAGCTCTTGAACTACGTGTAGAGGATGGCGAGACTAACCAGAGAGCCTACAGGAGCGCGAACGTGGAGATCTTACGAGAGCTGCTCACCCGTGGGGCCAGCGTGCACGCGAGGAACTCGGCAAACAACACGCCGCTCTTCCTGGCCAGGAGGACGGCCCACAGGGAGTGCATGGAGTTGCTCGAGGGCGCGGGAGGTCACCTGTGGATAGACGAGAGGGCGCACAGCGGAGTCTCGACGCCGAGGACCGCTGACTTCCCCCTGAGCAGACCAATGTCTCCAGGGATGTGAATAATACGCATTGTCTACTTGCCATACCTGACCTGACCTTGCAGATCTCCTCGACGGCCCCGGCCCGAGAGTCATCGCTTGCCCAACCCCGGCTTGTTTTCAGCCGGGGACGGCTGTGTTCTGCCGCTTGGCTTTCGACAGCGCAGCTATGTATGTTGGTACACGACGAGGCTGGACATTGGCTGCCAAGCAGGGGAGTTCCACCAGTGGTTGAAAGTGCAGCATGCACCTTTCTGCATCGGGGCGGACTATTGGAAGACACAGGTTGGACCGGGTACTCGTTGGATGGCGCAACGGGCGGTGGATGTGTGACGGATGCGGTGATGAATGCGCTTCCCTGCGTGGAAGGCATCGTTGCGGGTGATGGCAGCCGCTGAGCCAACACGAGATGTAATGCAGGTCCCAATATTTTCTTTTTCTTTTTCTTTTTCGAGGCATAGTCCTCCGCGTTTGCCTGTTCTCTTCGAAGCATTGGGTAGGAATGAATTGTGCCCCTCATAGGAGGCGATGACAGAGCACAACCATCGGGCTCGCCGCCTGTGGAGATCGCCGCAGAGCCTCAGAAAGCACAGTTCCTCGGGTTTTATAGTTCAAGCTGCAATAAAGATCGGATGAAAGGTTACTTTCCTCTCTAGACTTAACCATAAGCAGTGTACCCAGCAGGCTGGGATGGCGGGGGGGCGTTGTCGTCAGCGGCTCAAAAGCTTCTTTCAGCAGCCGGGGCACTGCGACCCCCTCTTCCCCGCCCCAGAGGATGTGCGACCATCCTGGTAGGCTCAGCAGTAAGATGTCTCCAAAGTGTTGTTTCTTTCGGGCACACACCATCCCGGCACAGGTATGACTCTTCTCTGGTACAAGGCGGATTCTGACGTGGCAGGCCTCGCAACGCCTTGTCGATCCGTGGCCGGAGCATTTCTCTGCTCCTCCTTCGGCGACACGGCCGTAATACGGTGCTTGGCTTCTACCGCTGCACCATAGCCGATCGATTTTGGAGCTCAGGCCCCCAGGTCGCACGCATATGTCGTGCAGCAACATGCATGCGGATCATATGACAATCATTGGGCAGGCATCCATGTGCAGTAGGACTCGGAGGGACGTTTGACGACGCTGCTGTATCTTGGCCAGTTCGCCCTGGATCAGCAGATGCACTTCTCCCCGTACATCCAAGGCTGACTCAACCCCGTTTCGACTAGAAGGAAGGTAAACCACGTAATCTGCGGCCTGTCAAGTCCTATGAATGTGACCGCCATGAGTGCCTGGTCGCAGTCATACGCAGGCGGGAACTAAAAGCCGGGGTAAGGTCCGCTGCAGTCTGGCGGTGGGTAGTGCAGTGTTCGCCACTCATTACTGTACGCTACCAATCCTAGGCAGAGAGCCGCACACTTACGAGGTTATTTGGCTGCCTCATCGCCAGGATTGGTCACTACTTTTTAAGTATTTATACCACTCCATACTGTGGTTTCCCTTTTCTGAAAGAAATTTCCTTCTTAACCCTTTCGTTCCTTCCTTCTCAGGCTTCTCAACGGTTTGTTAAAACCGTCCTCGCAAGGTTGGGATATTTTGAGTTATAGTAGCCGGGTTGAAGACAGGCGCTTCTGTCTCTCCCATCTCGTCTGTCAAGACTGCTTGGTCTCGATCAAAGCCTCGCGAGATGGACTTTAAAGCCGTGTTCGGCAAGCAGCTGCACCATGGCGCCTTCAACTCAAACATGACCGCGGCGAACATGAGCGGTAGCATGCCGGGCCTCGAGGGTATCATTGCCCTATTCGGCAGCCGCAACCCTCTAGTCCAGCTGTTTATGTTGCTACACCAGGTTGTTGGTTCACGGATAGGGATCGATCCCACCATGATCCTCACCCTGGCCGGGTTCGCCTGGGCAGCCAATAAAATATGGCGCCAGTTCTTCATGGTCATCTACCGGTTCATCGCAGAATACATGATGGCCAGTATACACGTATCGAGCGGCGATGAGATCTACCTTCACATGATCAAGTGGCTGGCCTCACAGCCCAGGCTTGTCAACTCGCGGTCCCTTACCGCCGAGACCCTGTCCAAGACGGCGTGGGAGGAGGAGGACGAGGCAGACGTGCTGGCGACGAGGATTTCGCCCGACGGGGAGGGCGTCTACCTCAACTTCTCGAACCAGGAGGCCAAGATGCCGCCGAGGTTCGTCCCAGCGCTGGGCGTCCACGGCTTCTGGTTCGAGGGCCACTACTTCCGCCTGCACCGCAAGCAGGAGAGCTTCCTCGAGGACAGCGCCAGCGGCGGCCAGACCTTCAAGGACAAGGAGAACCTCGTCATCTCGTGTCTGGGCCGCTCGCCCGAGCCCATCAAGAGGCTGCTCAAGCACGCCAAGGAGGCCTACTACAATGACCACTACGCGAAGACCATCGTCAAGCGCCCTTCGCCGATGAACATGCGCCGGTACGGCGGCCGACACGCCTGGGCCCAGGTGGCTAACCGCCCCGTGCGGCCCATGAAGACGGTCGTCCTCGACGCGAAGCAGAAGGTGCAGCTCCTGGCGGACGTAAACGAGTACCTCCACCCTGCCACGCCGAGGTGGTATGCGAACCGGGGTATTCCTCTCAGACGTGGATATCTCTTCCACGGCCCACCAGGAACAGGCAAGACGTCCCTGTCTTTTGCACTTGCTGGTGTCTTTGGCCTTGATATCTACGTCATCAGTCTCCTGGAGCCGTCGCTTACAGAGGAGGACCTTCTGGCGCTGTTCAACTCCCTGCCGCGAAGATGCGTCATCCTGCTAGAGGATATTGACACCGCCGGCCTGGCGCGTCCAAAGGAGGAGCAAGACCAGGATGTGGACGCCGAGGCTGAAGGTAAAGAAGGCAACAAAAGGGAAGGCGGCAGGGGCCGCAAGGGCGGCCGACCCAACGGCACCAGCGGCGACGGTGACGGCGGCATGAACGACTGGAAGGTGTCGGACCTCGCGCGCGAGCTCAAGAAGCAGGGCGGGCCGGACGAGAAGAAGGGAATCAGCCTGTCGGGCCTGCTGAACGCCATCGACGGCGTCGCGTCGCACGAGGGCAGGGTGCTGATCATGACCACCAACAAGCCCGAGGCGCTGGACGACGCGCTGATCCGGCCGGGCCGCGTCGACCTGCAGGTCGCCTTCACCAACGCCACGCAGGAGCAGGCGCGCGAGCTCTTCGAGAGGATGTACGAGGCCGACTCGAAGCGCAGGCCGGCTGCCGCGGCCCCGCCGGTGATGAACGGGAAGACGGAGGCGAACGGGCACGCCGAGAAGGCGAGCCACCACGCCGATGAGCCGGAGCACCGCCCGAACGGGGTCCACGCCGGCAACGGCAACGGCACCGTCTCACGCGAGGCGCTCGACGACCACAGGCTCGACATGACGCTCGACGAGCTCAAGGTGGTCGCCGCCGACTTCGCGACCAAGATCCCGGACGGCTTCTCGCCGGCGGAGCTGCAGGGCTTCCTGCTCAAGAGGAAGAAGGACCCGCGCAGGGCACTTGCGGAGGTGGATTACTGGGTCGATGCGATGATGAGGCAGAAGGCGAGCAAGACGAAGGTGTTGCAGGTGCAGTGAGGCTCTCCCGTTTGCCTGTCCCAATCTTGGGGGGGGGGGGGGGTTGGTGTCAGACTCAAAACAGCAGTGGGCAAGAGCCGACGAGGAGGTGGGCGGTTTCTGCATACATACAGGCGGGTTAGCATTTTCGTTTTTAGAAACGCCATGAGCCATGAGAATGACGACACGTTTAGTATACAAACAGCCCACACAACAAGGATCTTCCTGTGCGGCACTGTGTAGTTTGGCTACTTGCCATTAATGAGATATTAGCTCAGATTGAGAAAGGGTATCAATGCCGATCTAGAAAACAAACATCTGTCAAGCCTGCAAGACCTCATTTTAGAGTCGTCTTCAGTCATCCGCATCGTCATCCTCGAGGTCCTGCTCTTCGTCCTCATTCATATGGAATGCCTGGTAATGACTCCGCTCAGGCACGTCCTCCTCGTCGTCATCACCGTAGTCTTCCTCATCAAAGTCCTCGTCTTCATCTCCATCATCCTCGTCGTACTCGCTACCATCTTCGAAGTCCGTCGGCAGGCCGTCCACGATGCCTGTCTCATCTCCTTCCTCGCGCTCCTGGTCGTCCTCCAACGCCGTCTCGTCCCCATCGCCCTCTTGCGACTGTGATGGCTCGCCAGCTGCGCCTGATTTTCCAAGACCCTTGTGCACCCTCTTCCCTGGAAAATGGTATGAGGTCCGCTTGTTGTGGCGGACCCTTCCGACACCCTTGTATTTCTTGCCTCGGATGAGCTCGAGTTCCTTCTCCGTCAGATGCAAGTCCGGCGTGGCAATAGCAATGCTCTTCGTTGCCTCCGGATCCGGGCTCTCATCGCGTGCCTGCAGCGCCTGGTTAAAATCGCTGTCCTGCAGGGTCCTCCCGAACTGGATCGCCCTCATCTTGCACTTCATGATGGCCCTCGCCTTCGCCCATAGCCCACGGTGATACCAGCCGCTGCCCTCGATATCACATTCAGGTCGCATGGCTGCTTCGGCGAAGAGCTTGGCCAGCAGTGGATCCGTAATATCGCATACCTGCCAGACCTTGCCGTCGTCGTAGTAGATCGTGCCATCGAAGAGGTGGGTCCCAGTGTGCTCATCGTTGGTCGCCTTGACCCCTGAAATGTCGCGCTTGCGTAGCTCCTGCCACATCTCGCCCATCTCGCCCACCTGAAGCCGCCTCAGGCGGAAGATGAGGCACTGATATACACGGCTTGAGGGGTCCTTACGGGGATCGTAGCCGTATCTGACGAGCGCGTCGCGCCATGGACCGCCCTTGAATTGGTAACCCGCGTACTGGATTGCATTCTTGAGGAGCTGCTGTGACAGGTTCGGTGGGAAGCGTTTTTCAGGGTGCTCGGGATCGTACGCGAAATCAGTCAGCTTGTTGATGATCGAACGCCGCGTCCAGACCGGTCGTTCCTCCAGGAGCGTTCTCATCGCCTTCACAATGACATCAAATAAGGGATCCTTGACTCTAGGCTTGCCGGTTGGAGCGCTGGGTATCGGGTCGTGCGTGCCAATGAAGTAGCCCACTGATTTCACTCTAGACGTCGTGTTGACCATTTCAAAGCCGCCATCCTTAGTGTCGACCACCCTCACATAGGGATTTTGAGAATAGAAGTAGTAGTAGGGTACGCTGATTTGGGTCATCAGGGGCGGAGCGACAATTGCCTGCTCTGGAGTCTTATCGACGCCAGGCTTCATGGAAAATTGACGAAACTTGGACACTGCAGAGACCGTATGAGTAAGAGGCCATAGCAAGGATCAGGGGGGGCTTACCATCACCAGACAAGATCTTGTCGGTGAAATCGTTCATGAAATCATTGTTCTTCATCGAGTAGTTGAAGTCGGCCATGCCCCTGTAGCGATGAGTGTGCTTGATAACACCGACTGCTTCAGCATGATACCTGTCGACATTATCCTGAAGCTTTCGCCTCAGAACTTTGGGTTCGTCAAGCCTCGACTCTGAACGCAAATTCTCCGATCCTGGCCCGGTCGGCGGAGCGGGTTGGGCGACCTCACCCTGCCACGGTCCATTACTGCCTCTCTTCCTCTTCCGGCCGGTCCGCTTTGGGACGGTGATTTTGAAGACGACATTATGAGATGACGAGTAATGAGACATCATTGGCCTTGAAGTAGGATCCTGTGGGTGAAGATACAGAGGCACAGACAGCTGGGGCCTGGAGGGATCTAAAACCTGGGATGCAAGTTAGTATCCTCCATCACGTCGAAGTAGAAGCTGGGGGCGGTGTGATCTGACTGATTGGAATTGCGGATTCGGTCCAAATGTGCCTAAGCCCTTGTCGAGGTTCTGGATCAGAAATGGGTGCTCGACGGCGGCAATGGTCCTCGAGGGTATCTTGAAAGCGGGAGCTTGGGGTTGGCTATCGGATACGGAGGATGAGGATGGCGACGCAGCACTCATGGGAGCGTCAGACTCGTCGCCATTTTCCAAGTCCACTAGAGACATATTGATTTGCAGCAGACTGAGGATATCATAAAACAAGAAGATCGAAGGTTTACTTCGTCGACGTTGAACTGCGAATGTGTTTGATTGCTTTCGCAGCGGATCCCAGGCCGTATGGGTTGGGGTTTGGCGATCTCGACTCTCTCATTCTCGCTTGCAGACTAGGTGGTTGTCCTTCCTATTGGCCATGCCTTTCGGGTCATCTAAGAACATTGGCAGAGCAGTCTCATATTGCGGGTAGGTGATTTAATCGTTGGATGTTGGACGAAGCCTACCCAAGGTTGATGAGGTTTTGCAGCTGGCAGCTGGCAGCCAGATGCCAGGCGCAAAGTGAATTGCAGCGGCAGCAGCAGCAACTTCAGGAGGTCGGTCCTGCGTCACACTGGAGGTTGGGATGGGCCCTGCACATGCGGGAGCTGCAGGCGGGCCCCGGGGCCACTACCCAAGCTTTCCGCACCCTCGAAACAGATCTGCCTTTCCTCGCTGGGAGCTGGGAGGCACGCTCGAGGCACGCAACGCATGGCTTGCTTGGTCTTGCATGGCATGGCACGGCATGGCAACGGCATGGATCACGTCTCACAGATCATCCAAAACAGCAGCCAGCTCGTCATCTCATTCTCCCACTCACACAAACACACACGTGCGGGCAGTTGAGCATGCATGTAGAGTAGACTGAGTGACTATCTTATGCCAATGTGTCTGTGTCTCTCCATCTATGTATGTATGTATTTACCTAGACTACTGTATATGCACGGATAGTATAGGCAATAATAATTACCTGGCCCGTCCATAGGCGGTACTGTAATGTCCCTCCCAAACCTCGCTTTCAGGTGTTTGGGCGAGGTGGAAACCGATTCGTCCCACCTTGCAGCAGCAGCAACACCCGTGCACCTATCTAACTGCCTCCCCAGCTGTGCAGTGAAATCATGGCTCCCAGGAGTGCCGTGCCTGCGTGCGTCAAGCGAGTGACGGGAGATCACCTTGGGCCACCTCTGAGCCAACCGGCGATGGACTTTTGTTGCCCTTGCACTTGCGAGCCCCGCAAAACCCAAGTCCACGGGTGGTGGGCTCGAGCACCCAGGCACCCTACACTCTAGTGTACACAGTAATGCCCAGTCAGTGGGGACCGGGTCAGCCCTGACCAGTCGACCTGGGACAGTGGGCACTGAGGTCAGAGTGGCCTGGTACCCGCCCAGCCAGAGCCAGCTAGCAGCAAGCGGTGCCTTGCGCCCGCAACCAACTTTCAATTGCCCGCTCATGCTCATGCACATGCAACCAACTCTCACCCAGCCAGCCTTCGTAGCACTCCCCGGCTCCCAGCTCCCAGATCCCACCTACACGTCGCTGCTGGTCTACCTACCGTGCCTAGGTACAGACAGTACCGTGTCTATCGTGTCGCCAACGCCAAAACCTTCCCATTTCCCACCCTCGCGGACAGCCATCTTCGAAACTTCCCTTTCTCTCGCCTGCTCTGCTCTGCTCTGCCTGCTGCGCTTCATCGCCCATCCGCCCCCCCCCCCAAAACAGGTCTCCAGTCCAGTGTTTGATGAGGTCCTGCCCGATCATCACGGATGCCCTCCACCAAAGATTCCAGAGACGCCAACGGCTCGTCGCCATCCAACGGTAAATAAGTACCTAGCCCGACGCACCTCCGATCCTCCTCCCTCAACTCACCTGCATGCCTGCATACCTGCATGCCTGCGTGCCTCAGTACACACAGTACCACCACCACCACTACTCCAACCACAACCACAACCATATCCAAACCCAGCCAGCCAGGCCAGCCAACCAGCCGCCTCTGCTCTCGGCCTGCTCTGCCTGCGCTCTCTGCCCTGCCCTTCTCTCGACCACCCATCCCCCGCCGTCCCATCCACTGGCACTGGCTGTGCCTAAACCCTATTGTCCCTTCCAAGCTTCCCTTCTCTTCACCCTCTCTACAACCCCTGTCCGGCCCCCTTTTGAGCCACCACCCTGCCCCCCCAAAGGTTGTTCTCGAGCCCTCCTCACCTTTACCTAAGCTCCCATCGTTTCGCTATCCCGACAACCTCACCACCCACCTCCCACCTCGGGACCCGCCAAGCGCATCAATCTGACCTTCCTCTGGCGAATTGGTTGCTCTCTGCCTTTCGCCTGCCGTCGCCTTGTTGCCAATCACCCTCCCTCCCCTTCGGACCACCCAGCAAGACTGGCTTAGACGTGGACCACGACCCATTGATCTGTCGTCAGCGCCTACTGCCGTTCCCCTGCCATCCCGCGAGGCTGAACAGGTAGATAGATCTTCAACATTTGTCCTCTCCCCCGCATCACTCACACACACACTCTCTATCTTACATATACACACATTCTCCATCCTGCCTGGACTCTCCCCAGGGTCCCGGGACAGCCACACACACGGTCCTTCCCGTGCAGTTGCGCTGAGCCGGTCGCCTTCCCGCCACCCGCGGAGCTTGTCTTGTCTCCCCTCAGGCCCCGCCATCTGCCATCCAGCTGGCCCATTGCTGACACCGTCACCACAGAGAAGCAACTTTCTTCGAAGATGAAGCGCTTCAGTCAGAGAGTCGTAAGTCTCAACCCCTTCCATCGACAACACCCGTTGAATTCGACCTTGGTCCGACATCTGCTAACGCTGGCCACCTGACAGCTGTCGCGCGGGAAAGACTCCAGCAAATCATCAAAGAAGAAGGACTCGAAAGACGGCACAGCCTCGCCCAACAGCACTGGGTCAAGGGACGCTTCCAACCAGTCTCCTACAATCACTCCCTCGTCCTCCGCGTCGAACCTAAGCGATACTCGAAACAAGCCTCTCCCCCCTAACAGTGTTGGAGCTCATGGGCAAGAGCAGGGCATAGCAGGGCAGTCCCCCTTGAGCAATATGAGCTCTGCCTCGGGTTCTGGCTCGTTTGGCGGCTCTTCCCAGGCTGCCAATGGTGGAGGTACACCTCAGCGCACCGGCGGTCTCCCGCCCACAGTCATCATCAGCCCAAGTGCTCCTCATGTCCCCCCGCCAGGCGCGGCTGAGACCATGCCGCATGACCTCGCACCCCCAAAGGCCGGCCAGAAGTCCCTGATGTTCGACCGCCTGCAACAGACGCCCAAGGACGTTCCCGAGGGTCTGAGGACTCCAAAGCGACAGCACTCGTCTCGGTTCGACATCTCGGCGCATCGCGAGCTGGAAAAACTTCCTGGATTTCACGAGGTGCCGCCTAACCGCCGGCAAGAGCTGTTCATGCAGAAGATCGACCAGTGCAATGTCATTTTCGACTTCAACGATGCCAGCGGAGATATGAAATCCAAGGAGATCAAGCGCTTGGCGCTTCACGAATTGCTCGACTACGTTGCCAATAACCGACAGGTCATCACCGAGCCCATGTACCCACGAGTTGTCGAGATGTTCGCCAAGAACCTGTTCCGCCCACTGCCACCACCAATGAACCCGTCGGGCGAAGCCTTCGACCCGGAAGAGGACGAGCCCGTGCTGGAAGTTGCTTGGCCACATATTCAGGTTGTCTACGAATTCTTCCTGCGCTTCATCGAGAGCCAGGACTTCAACACCAACATAGCCAAGGCCTACATTGACCACAGTTTTGTCCTCCGGCTGCTTGAGCTCTTCGATTCCGAGGACCCTCGTGAGCGCGATTTTCTAAAGACGACGCTGCACCGGATTTATGGAAAGTTCCTCAACCTGCGAAGCTTTATCCGACGGTCCATCAACAATGTCTTCTTCCATTTTGTGTACGAGACGGAAAGGTTCAATGGCGTGGCCGAGCTCCTTGAGATTCTGGGGTCCATTATCAATGGATTCGCATTGCCCTTGAAGGAAGAGCACAAATTGTTCCTTACACGTACGCTGATACCTTTGCACAAAGCGAAGAGCCTCAGCATGTACCACCCACAGCTTGCGTACTGCATCGTTCAGTTCTTAGAGAAGGATGCGTCTCTTACGGAAGAGGTAAGTCTTCAAATTAATCACTCATGTGCATGTTCCGATCTGACAGCTAGCCCACAGGTGGTGCTTGGTCTCCTGCGCTATTGGCCAAAGGTAAACAGCACCAAGGAGGTCATGTTTTTGAACGAGGTAGAGGACATCTTTGAGGTTATGGATCCGGCAGAATTTGCCAAGGTTCAAGAACCCCTGTTCCATCAGCTTGCCAAGTCGGTGGCAAGTCCGCACTTCCAGGTTGCAGAGCGTGCTCTGTACTTCTGGAACAACGAGTACTTCTGCAACCTGGTTAGCGATAACGTGGAGATCATCCTCCCCATTATGTTCGCGCCGCTTTACGAGAACTCAAAGGGGCACTGGAATAGGTGGGCTTCTATCTGATTACGCTGGGAACAAGAATCCTTTACTGACCCAGTACTAGGACCATCCACGGCATGGTGTACAACGCAATGAAGCTCTTCATGGAAATCAACCCACAACTCTTCGACGACTGCTCCCAGGAGTACACGGAGCAGCAGAACAGCGCGCCGGCTAGAGAGAAGCAGCGAGAGAGGAAATGGGCGGCCATTCAAGACTTGGCCAACAAACAAAAGGCTAATGGGTCAGCGGCACCTCAAGTTCAGCAGACGGAAGAGACTGACGGCACAGAAGATAACCAGAAGCGACTCGACTCGCTGAACCTGCAAGACGGAGACCGAAGAGATCGGCGGCCGGGTACGCACGAAAGGCAGAGCTCAGCGGGTTCATCGAGGAGCGGGCGATAACCCTGCGTCACTGTGTCCCGACTCAGCGGTGTGTGAGACTGGATCAGGTTCAGGGTTGCGTTTGGAGATCGATCAGTCGAAAGGTTTGCCGAACAATTAATGACAATGCCTCGTCTTCTCGTATCCTTTGTGCAGCTGATGCCAGAAGAGCCACTTGGGAGCGCGGATCTGGTGAAGGCACTAGTCTTCGGATAACTCAAGGCCTCGGACCAAACGATTTGTTTCTGTTGGCCGGCCTAAACGAAGTTAAGATGCGTTTGCTAGCGCTATTTCTTACTCTCGATTTGAAAACACGCGCAGCTGCAAGGGCGTCGTTCGAGCACTCTAGCGGGACTTCTGGTTCGCTGTGGATTTGGTAGACCAACTGGCATTATGAGTAAAGATCTGTGGCAATAAGGCTGGACGGGACGGAGTAGGGGAATCGAGCTTTCTCCCTCACACGCACCAGGGCCAGTCGTGCATGGCTCACGCTGGACAGGAGGGGCGGAGTCGGGACTGACTGATGCAAACAAGATAAGGGGGGATGGGGGGCAAGAGGCAACCTTTCCGGGGATTTTTAACTGTACGAATTTTAGTAAACAAAGCTTCTGCAAAACCACCTCTAGGGTAAAAAGACGGGACAATTGGCGTGTCGGCGTACCGATATCGTGGTTAAGGGGGACGAACGAGCAGCACACCAAAAAGACGGAGCTTCTTCTTCTTCTTTCTTGAATCTTTTCTTCTTGTCTACATACTGTTATTATGATGATGCGAGGTAGAAGCATGTCATTTCTCAGCTGAGCCACAACTGCTTTCGTTGCAGGTTCTCCGCGACGCATACTTATTACACACCCCGTCTTTTCACTTGATGGCGGGCCGTGGCAAGACGACGCCGTGCCATTCTCGCCTGGCCGGGTGGTCGTCTTACTTTCTCTGGCGATGCTTACATAGTACTTCTACTACTAATACAGGATATGCATCTGTTACTCTCACGGACTCGTCCCATGTGCCATTGTCTTATTCAGTAGTATCAATCCAACCTCGTTCAGGTTCCTTCGTACGACCGATCACCATCCTCTTCCCCTGCCGTACCCGCCGCCGCCGCCGCCGCGTCCCCGGTATCCACCACCACCATTCCCACCCCTGCCGTACTGGAACCCTCCTGGCTGTTGCTGTTGCTGCTCGAGATGCCCCTGAGGTGAGTAGGGTGGTGGCGGTGGTGGAGGCGGCGCCCAACCGCCGGCCCACGAGCCTGGAGGAGCTCCTGGGACGGGAGGCCCGCTCGGGGACGGGTGTGGTGGGAACCAGCCCTGCGGTGGAGGGGGTGGTGGTACTGGGTTGCCTCCGGCAGGAGACATGTGTGGTGGCGGAGGCGGAGGAGGCCAGTGACCTTGGTAGTGTGGAGGCGGAGGAGGTGGTGGCGTGCCTGCGTTCCAAGAGTTGAACCTGCCTGGTTGTGGTGGTGGCCCGGCGGGCAGGTTCGGAGGTGGGTACGAAGCTGGCGGCGGCGGCGGTGGCTGATGTTGTTGATGTGGGTGGTGATATTGTTGCGGGTTTGGCGGCACAAAGCCTTTTGGTGGGCCATAGCCTGCTGCTTGCACGTTCCTGGTAGTAGAGAGCACTGGTTGTGGTGAATATGAGCCGCGGGAACGGGATCTGGATCTGGGTCTGTCTCTGCCATTCTGGCCACGTCGCGGAGAGCGGGATCGAGACCGGGAGCGCGAATAGCTTCGCCGGCGCCCTGGGCTGTGGCTGCCTCTCCTTGGGCGGCTGCGAGATCGTGATGCGCTACTCCAGCTCCGGCTTCGTGAGCGCGAAAGTCGACGTCGTTTGGTAGCTGGGCGCGAGGAGTCTCGCCTTGAGGAAGGCCGCCGGCTGCGACTCCGGGACTGGCTGCTCGAGCGCGAGGAGCCTCGGCGTCCCCTACGCTCATCGTCCACGTCCATTGCGTCTCCCTTCAGTCCTCGCGTCCTCATCTTCTCACAAAAGTTTCTAGACCAGCCGTAGTAGGTCTCGCCGCCGACGATATCTCCCATCTCGTCTCGCTCGATGATTTCGCCCATCTGGCTGATATCGACCGATGAGTCCCCATCTAGAAGCGTGTCTTTCGCATAGATCTTGTCAACTTCACCCAGTAACTTCTTCACCGCTGCAACGAGGTTCTTGTCGGCCGCCCCACCTGCAAGTTGAAGCGGCTTGATCATGTTCGGATTCATAGGTCTCGTGGAATTCGGCTCTATGACGGGGAGCCAATTGGCGGCGGGAAGGTCGTACCATGGCGCAGATGCGTCGCCGTGCATGGATGGCAGTATAAAAGGTGCCTCTCGTGCTGTCGAGGTTTGATATGCCTTGTTTGCCACACCACCATCACCGCCCCCACCATTTGCTTCTCGCGCTTCCGACTTTGGTCCCTCATCGACAGCGGCGCGTAAAGACTTGAGTACGGAGTCCGAGAAGTAGCCTTTCTTCTCCCATAACTGAATCAGATCCTGCAGCTTCTTTATTTGCTTCGGTGCGTTCGCAAAAGAGGCGGCGCTCTTGAACAAAGCAGGAAGGTGAGATTCAAGCTTGTCGAAGAAGACGTGATGGTGGTGGGTGCGAAACTTGACGTGAAAGAGCACATCGTTCAGGACGTAGAGCACATGCAGCCTCCTTCGCTTCGAGGATGGGCCAGGCGCCTTCGGTGAGCCGCTGGGGAAAGAAGAGGCGAGGGCGACCAGGTATTTCCCAAAGGCAGCCGCGCGGGTTGGAGAGGGGACCAGATGCTGAAGGATCCATTGCTTGCATTTCTGTTGTCGGCGAAAGAGAATATAAGCAAATGTTTAGCCGGGGCTCAATGGCTCATGTCAAAAACGGAGTGGCGTGTGTGTTCCAAACCTGAACGTTGGTTGGTGAGCACTTGGCGACGGCTGCGTTGAGCAGACCATGGAACTGCTCGATCTCGTCGCGAGAACACGACGCCAGGTCGGCGTCGGCGTCTGCCTTGAGGAGGGACGCAAAGAGGGAGGCTTTGGCGATGGCAAGCTGTGCGGACGCCATGATGACGGGGCGGCCCTGGACTGTGGGCACAGGCGTCAAAAACGTTGTCGCACACTTTCAAGGTATCATGGACACATTCTCGAAGAGGAAGAAATGATCTGACTGACGAAGTGACGTGGAGGGGGACGGGGATGACCAAGCTCTGGGTGTTGGACGCGAACGTGAGCCAGGGGGCAGCTGGAGGAAAGTTCCGATTGAGATGCACTAGAATTGGAGCTGGCCGGGGCTAGGCTTGTTGGCCCGCAGGGCTGGGTCGCACCGTGCGCGAGGTAAAGTCGGCCGACTCGGACCCGATGTTACGGACAGGCACGGCAGCATCTAGGTCTAATACATAATCTTATCTAGTCCTTTCTTCTCTTGGAGTCGAGGGCAATGACATGCTACTTCTGAGATCTGGGAATAATTGTCACCCGAAGCAAGAGGCAAGAGACTCAGCAAGAGACAGGACAGGAGAGACAACCCTGCCCGCGAGACATTGAGAAAAGATGAGCCAACGAGGCACAGCTATGTATCGAAGATCAACGCAAGAGGCGAGTTCATCTCATTGCCGCAGTTTCGATATGCGGTCTCAGTCGTAAATAATGTACACGCGCCACAGGGCGCCAGTCGCCTAAGTGCAGTGACTCGCAGTCCCTTCCTGTCCTCCAAAAATGCCTCTTACTCGGCCCGTAAGAGCCCCGCCTCTCCTCTCATGATCTTTCTGGCGTTCGAGGGCAGGATCGTCGGCTGTCGCAGACATGGATGAGCGGCCGCGTTACTCGTCACCTCCTGTACGCCGTATAAGCTGTTGCCCTCATATATCAGAAAACCGGTCCCCTTTCCGGCTTCTGAAAGGGGTGGCGCTTTCGTACTTGCTCTTGCCGTACAGCCGGTTGTACTCTTTGTCGGACATTTGCTCTGTCGGGTGCACATCTTTGGCAGCTTGTTCCAGGCTTGGATGGAACGCATGGTCGACCCGCGGCTCTTCCCGCTTCAGACGCTCCGTTTCCTCCTCGGTTCGGGTGCGAGAGCCACCCATGGCGGAGGCGGAGCCCGGGTGGGAGGGGACGTTCTGGGAGTACTCCAGGGACTCGATCATGGACTTCTTCTTGCGCTGCTCCTCGAGGCGGGCCTGACGGTCGGCATTGATGCTTCGCTTGGCGACAACGTATGCGCCGGCACCGGCTGTGGGGGAGAGCCAACTCAAGTCAGTGACTGCCATGCAGCACATACCGAACAGCCAAGCAACATGCAATTCAAGGGGATGAGGGGCGTGGAAGCACATGAGCGGCCTTACCAACACACAGAGAGCCCCAGCCCAGCCTGTGAAAGTGTTATCGTCAGCATGCTCGCAGTCAGTATCTCTGCTGTGGAGAATTGCTGACCAGAAAGACTTGACCTGTTGGGGAGCCCTAGTCAGTGAAACCAGCTCATGATGCAAAGAAGGCTTCGATGGACGCAGAGCCGACTTACAGTGTTCATCCTGAGATTGAGATTGTTGTCGTTATTATGAAGAGTGGGTTCACCAAGGTGGAGATTGTGCTACAGACACCAACGTCGATTGACTGGTGATATCTGTAAAGGTGTCGATAAGGTGGGGTGACGTCGAGAGATGTATTGTATGAACCAGCTGGTTGTGGTGGCGATGGTGCTGAGAGGTGTGAATCGGGGTCGTCCTCCAAAAAAGTCGCGGGAAAGCTCCGTTAGCTCCCGCAGCGCCAGCCTGCCTGCCGGCCTGCCGCAACGCTAGCTACTGCAGCAACAGCGGGTGGGGCAGGGAGTTTACAGGTACCCAAGTACCGCCCCATGCCAACTACGACCGGCTGCCGCTACCGGTGCCACCAGCTGGCTACCGGCCCCTATTCATCTCATCTTTACTCCCACCTGTTTCCATAACTAAGTATAGTACGGTAGATGGAAAGCCTGACAGGAACGGAAGGCTTTCCTTTCCAATGATGACATGTGAGCCTGGTAAAATGTGTCCCCGAGCAGCAAAATGATTCACAAGCACGGCTAGCCTATATAGGAAAGGGGATTGGTGAAAATCCTTGATACTTCAAGGCAGGGCAGACTACAGAGGACCAAAGAGCCGTCAACAAAATGCGGATGTGGCAGACAGTCATGTGTTGTGTGTTGCGTGTTGTTATAATGCATATCCATCAATCTAAACAAAGGGCATGGCGGGAATCGACGGTGGCCAGGCCAACCATGTTTCAATGATAGCCCTCAGTAAGATGTGGGAGACCCAGAGGCCACGGCCTTTGCAGTTGGCCTCACTGAGCATGAGCATTGAGTCTGAGCAAGAAGCTTGAGGGCGAGGGAGGGTCCCGTCATTAGACCACAACCCTGGAATCCCCAGCAGATCTGTAAGCCTAGGTTGTACTGTGTGCCTGGCACTTGCGCCAGTCATAGACACGCACACACTCTCGCACACTCGGCCGCAGGGCCACAAGCTAGGCCAGAAACGCGTCTAAACATAGAAAAGAAACAGGCACGGCCACAGCGACCAGGCCCAGAGGAGCTTCCAGGTACCTGCATTTACTTTAATCACGTTGCCAGATCTCGGAACGGTGAGCATGACTGAGACTGTCACAAGAGAAAAAGAGACCAGCCAGATGGACTTGGGCGGGCCTCTGACGCAATCCCTCAGCCAGCCAGCCCCAAAACACCGCCCAACTGCCCCGTTCGACTGCTTCGATTGCCTTCGCAGTACGAGGTACATGTACTCCAGCACCTAATTTCCACCGCAGACGGTACATGGCACCTCCCTCATCTACAGCTTGCCCCAGGTCATTGGGGTGCTTTCCTTGCTTGTGCTGTGGGCAATTCAGGCACGCCAGCCAGCCCACCAAGACTCCAACCACGCACAACCTTGCTCGCCCAGTCAGGAGGGCAGGCAAGGCGGGCGGCCTGCATGCCTACATACATTAATTAGACCTAGGTGGTACGGAGCACATACCAGCATCGCATCTTAATACACAGAGTGCCATCTATACTCGCCTCGCGTCTCTGCTCAAGTCTAGCCTACCTGGTGCTCCTGGGGCCAACAACCCCCTTTTTCCCTTCTCGACAATCACAACATTGCAACAGCCTGCTGTCTGGTCTCCTCACAAGTGCATGCTTTCTGCGAGTCCCTGCTCAATCTTGGAGTGATGGGCGCCCCAAGAGCCAGAGCCAGAGTCCAACGCCCACGCCCAACCCCAACCACGACAAGCCTACACCCACGCCGCGCCCAAGCCCCACCGTCACCGTCACCGTCACCGGCGCCGTCGCCGTCGCCTTCACTCTCGACCTGCCCTATTCCGAATTCCTCCTTAACAACACCAGGCCATGGCAGCTCCTCAACAGGAAGGAGGGCCTGATGGATCCTCCATCGTGAGTCCTACTGCCCCGGATCCCTAATTATGTCTGGGGGCACCCCCCACCATTCCCTGGTCCCTCCAGCCCGGCTGCCATGCGGATGACTGACAGCCCACGACAGAAACCCGTCTCTTCCCTCCGATCGCATTTCGAGAACATGGGCAAGGCTGGCGAGCAGCCCCAGCCGCAGCAACCACAGCCAGCTCAACCGTCCAGCCGAAATCCCTCCCCAGGGCCTCGCCCCGACAAGCCCCGGGAAGCGAATGCGATCTCCAAGGAACCACCTCCCATTCCCAAGCACAAGCCCGGTCTTGTGCCTCCTCTACCCAAGGAAAACGGCATCCCACCTTCTCCTGCGCGCAGCGCATTTCCTCCACCTCCGCTCACCCCACGCCCTGTACCGGCTCCTGCGCTCACCGTCGATCCACCGCAGTCCCCTCCCAAGGGCCGATCTCTGAACATAGCTGTTAACGACCAGCCTAGCTTCTTAAACTCGGACGATGTCGTCAAGCCGGCCACGTCGCCGGCCGTGCCGGGCAAACATTTCAAAATTCCAAGTCGCTCCCGTACACCGAACCTGGATCCCCGCAAATCACCTAAGGTGGTGGCCTTCAAGCCTCCTTCACCGCCGCCCCCTCGACGGTCTGCCGAGCTCCGGCGGCAGCGCGAAGCGGACCCTACGCCTCCGCCCAACAATCGCTCTGGGAATGCGCTCATCAGGTCTAGAAATTCTTGGACGGAAGACAGTGCGATGGAGACGAGGAGGAACATGCCGGATAAAGTGTCACCCTTCAGCAGTCCCCCAACCAGCGGCTCCGCCAGCGTCGAGGAAGGGTCGCCTCCATCATTGCCGCGAAGACCACGGCCCCCTCAAGAGCCCGTTGCGAAAGCCAAAACTCTCCAAGTTGGATTTGAGCCGCCGCCCCTCCATCCCTCAATCGCAAACAAGAGGAGGGACAGAGAGCTGGAGATGGAAGGGTCCGCAAGGGGCCAGCTCACTCCAGATGTCACAGGGGAGCCGCGGCCGACCTTGCCTACAAGACCGCTTAGTGTGACAATGGAGAAGTCAGGGCCTCCGCCTGAGAAGATCCCACCTCCAAGACCACCAAGGCCAGGAATTCCAGCTTCGAATCTAGCAGTTGTTCCGGCGGTGAACCAAAAACGAACCGTCTCTACACCTGTCACGCAGCAACCACCACCAGCGATGCACGGCAGGGCAAACACAGTGTCTCACAGGGGGGCAGAAAGGCCACCCACCGATCCCAGAAAGTCCGCGGTAGCCAGCGCTCCTTCAAGTGACCCGCGGAATGCCGACTCGCAAGCCGTTGTGCTTGCCAAGGCTGGAGAGTCACCTGCGAATGTCAACGGAGCATATCCAGATGCTTCAAATACCAATAGGAGACCTCCTTTCATAAAACACGGGCAGCAGGAAATCGTAACGAAATCAGATGCGCGGAATTTCGATGCATGTGGCGACCTCGTATGCACCTCAGGGCATCTTACTAGGGTGTGGAGCTTGAGGGACGGAGAACTCGTCATGAGCTTTGCACACGGTGAGGGATTGAAGGCTACTGCTGTGAGCTTCAAGCCAGGCTTGAACGTCGACGAGGAGTGCAAGCGACTGTGGATCGGAAATAATAACGGGGACCTCATGGAAGCGGACATAGCGACACAAAGTGTTGTTAACACAAAGACCGGTGCTCACCAGAGGAACGAAATTACCAAAATCTATCGGCACTTCAACGAGCTATGGACCTTGGACGAGGCTGGTACTCTGCACATCTGGGGTCCTGGGCCTGACGGAGTACCAGACATGTCAGGCCACCCGCATCAGTCGTTCCGAGTGCCCAAAGGACACACATTCTCCCTGGTCGTGGGTGACGAGCTCTGGCATGCGACTGGTAGGGAAATACGCGTATTCCTCCCAACACTCGATGGCAAAGCCCAATTTCAGGTGCTTCTCCGCTCCTTATTCCAAGACGCCGTCGGCGATGTCACTGCAGGAGCCCTGCTTCCCTCGGATCCCAACAAAGTGTTCTTCGGTCACAGCGACGGGAAGGTCACCGTATACTCAAAAAAAGACTATTCATGTTTGGAAGTCCTCAATATCAGCACCTTTAAAATCAACTCGCTGTCAGGGATTTGCGGCAACATTTGGGCAGGTTACAGCAACGGCAAGATGTCTGTTTATGACGTGCGCCAAAGCCCATGGGTTGTGAAGAAAGAGTGGCAAGCTCACAATGAGCCCGTACTCAGGATCATCGCCGACCGGTCAAGCTCGTACAGGCTAGAACGCCAACAAGTCCTTTCCTTGGGTGCAGACAACATGATCAGAGTTTGGGATGGCATGCTGCAAGACGACTGGCTTGAATCGGAAATGAAGGCTAAGGACGTGCAGTACTGCGAATTTCAAACGCTGAAGGCCATGATAATGACATGGAATGCCGGGGCCTCTACACCCAACAGTCTGAGATACTCTGAGTCGGATTCTGTTTTTATACAGAATCTGCTACAGGGCAGCGGTTCCCCGGACATTTTAATATTCGGCTTCCAGGAGCTGGTTGACCTGGAAGACAAGACCGCCACTGCTAAGCGATTCTTCAAATCCAAGAAGAAAGAATCGGACCAGGAGCGCATGAGCCATCAATACCGAGATTGGAGAGATTTCCTGATCAGAAGTCTGGATGACTACATGGCTGGCGACCTGTACCATCTTTTGCAGACCTCGCACATGGTTGGTCTCTTCTACTGCATCTTTGTCAAGGCCGATGTCAGAGATCGGATATCGAACCTCAGCACGGCCGAGGTCAAACGAGGCATGGGAGGTTTGCACGGGAACAAAGGAGCCATTGTAATCCGCTTCATGGTGGACGACACATCTCTCTGCTTCCTCAACTGCCACTTGGCAGCAGGCCAGTCCCAGGCCCAGAGTCGCAACAACGACATCGCCGCGATACTTGAGGCGCCTATTCTCCCTTCAGAGCGCGATCCAAGTGTCCGCATTGACAGCTATGCCGGAGGTGGTGATGGCACCTTGATCATGGACCACGAGCTCGTCATCCTCAACGGCGATCTGAATTACCGAATCGACACCATGAGTCGCGACACGGTAGTCATGGCTGTGAAACAGGGAAATCTCCCAAAACTACTCGAGCGAGACCAACTTCTCGTGGCCCGCCGAAGAAAGCCGGACTTCAAGCTTCGTGCTTTCGAAGAGATGCCCATCACATTCGCACCGACGTACAAGTACGACGTAGGCACGGACAATTACGATTCGAGTGAGAAGAAGCGTAGCCCTGCATGGTGCGACCGTCTACTGTTCCGCGGCAGGGGCAGGATACAGCAAGTCGACTACAGGCGACATGAAGTCCGGGTGTCGGACCACAGGCCTGTCACGGGCAAATTCAAACTGACAGTCAAGAAGATATCACCAAAGAAGAGAACGATGGCCTGGATACAGTGTCAGCAGAAATTTGAGGACGTGAACGCGCAGGAGATCATGGTCGAAAAGTGAGTAAAATATCATTAACCCTCCCATTTTCACCTTGTGGGTAGCTAACAGCCACGACAGGATGTACTACTTGACCGAGATCATTGGATATGACAAGGCAACGAGTCAAAGTCTAATCAATGATCGGTAATTCGGCGAGAGTAATCGTAGAAGACAGTGATGGACCGAACACTCTTGCATTTGGACTTCAGCCATCGAGAAGGAGTATCCTCATAGATGAAACGAAACGATCATGACACCGAAGAAGCTCTTATACCCACACAACGGGGGCAACGTCAACGATTCAACAGAGACATGGGCACGGCGCAAGGAGGCATCAATCATCTTGGGCACGGTTAATGGTCCAAGGTCAAGCTGTGGCAACAGCTTTCATTAACCGCGGGGGCGCGGACCGAAAAAAGAAAAGCTTTAGATCTCGTGGTCTGGCGCAACTGACAATCAGAGTGTCAAAGCGGAAGGGGAAAAGTCGAGAAAGACAAAGCGGCGGGCACCTTTGGAGTGGATTCCCAGGCGATGAGTTAAGCGAGCATATCCAGATATCAAGGGTTGGACGTTCTATATTGTGACTAAATAATAGCTATTGTGAACAAGAAGGAGACTGCCTGTCTGTAGTCTCCCTTGGTGCCAACAACCCATTTATAAGATAATTATCTGCCCTCAGCGTCACAATGAGCATTGTTGCTTCGCATACAGCCACACGACTGTTCCATGAATCGAGCCCACGCTGCGTGAGAGAGAAAGAGAGAGAGTGTGTATGTGTTCGTCGTGAAATTATTATATTAAAAAAGAGAACAGTAGTAGATAGGCAAGGAAGGGGTGTGTTCTTGCTGTCCCTTCCCATGATTAGGACGGCCGGTCTTGATAGACCCGGATCCTATCCTTTGCGAGCCCGCTCGGGCCGGGCGCCGCTTGGCCTGCTGTGCGCGTGCGGATGGCCTGCAGGGCAGGGCGGCCGCGGCGGTCGGCCAGCTCCGAGTGGATGGTAACGGGGTTCCCGCTGAGGGCCTGCTGCGGCTGGAGGGCGGGCACCGGCTTGCGCTGCGGTGTCTTCAGCATCGCTGAGAACCGAACTCTCTTGGATACCGGTAGTACTTGTTGTGGTTGTTGCTGCTCTAGGTCGGGCAAGTTTGTCATCACTGGATTGTTCTCGATGGTGATTGGCGTCGCGTTGCCTTTGATGTGCACGCTGTACCGCTCCAAGGGGAGGGACGGCGGGGCCAGAAGTTCTTTCCTGGCGCTCTCCACGGAGCGGCGTGCCGCCTGTTGGCTAGCATCCAAGCCGTCTTCGATGTGGTCGTGGTCGTCCTTGCTGGCGTCCGAGCTGCGCCGTCTGGGTTGGCGGCGGCTCTTCGTCCTCTTCGTGGTGGATCTCGACCTGGAAGCGGTTGGCCGCTGTCGGCAGCAGAAGAAATATAGCCCGGCTATGAGAATGGGCAGGGCCGCGCTTCCGCCGATTGAGATCCCTAAGATGGCCTGCCTCGAAAGACCTGATGATACCCCACTGTTGCTGGCATTGTTTGCGTTGTTGTTGTTGTTGTTGTTGTTGTTACTATTATTGTTGCTGTTGTTGTTATCGCCGCCGCCACCGCTGGTGCTGCTCCCGGAATTGTTGTTGTTTGTGCCTGGATTTATATGTCAGCAATGTCGCCCGCTGGAGGACCTCATGAGGGTGTGAACATGTCCCGACTAACCGTTATTGAAGAAGCCCTCCACCTCGCCACTGGTCCACTGAACCTTTCCCAAACCTCCATCTCGATAGAACTGCTTCACGACCTCAGGAGTGTCGTAAGCCGCGGCATCATGCGCGTATCTATCAGTCCAGCGCAAATCAGTCATATCGAAGACCCCGAGACCCCGAGCCCACGGGTCCGGGTCGGCGAACTCGGCTGGGAAGCCTTTAGAAGCGTCAGCGCCGCCAATCGAGATCATCTGTCTCTTGCCAGCGCCTACTGCGACACAGTCGTGGTCGGCACGAGCGGTGGTTGCTCCGGGAGTGTCTGCCTTGGTGAAGACGAAGCCCGGGAGGGACAGCACGAATATCTCGTCAGAGACGGTGTTATCGGCGCCGAGGCCACCATATATGAAGACCTCATAGGTCTTGTTGGGTCCAGCAACTCCAACCGAGCAGAAGCGTTGGCGGCCCGTGGGAATGGTTCCGGTTGCCTGCTGTGAAAAGAATTGTTTGGTGATTGGGTCATAGAATGTGATGTTGTTGAAGTCAAGAAGGCTGGAGGCCGGATCCCCCGATGTACCACCAAGAAGTAGGATGAGCCCATTGGGGCCGAAAGGTGTAAATTCAGCCCTCGCGTTCACCAGCGTGCGGGGAATTGAAGTGTTGGTCCAGACTGACGAGGTCATTCCAAAGCTCACAAGGCCAGCCACGGCGATATCGCTTTCAACAGAGCTGTTTGACTGACTGGTGAGCAACCCGCCCATGCAGTAGCCCACGCCATCACCTTGCGTAGGGGCACACCCGACAGGGCGTGCGAGTTCGTTAAATATTCTCGGGTTTGAGGGCTGTTCCAGACTCCAGGAGCCTCCTCCATTGCCGTCGGCGGAGAACTGCCATATCTGATCGGGAGGGGGCTGACTGCCATCGGCAGCAGCTCCTCCCCAGATCCAGAACGAGTTTGTTGATTCATCAGACCATATGGCTTGGCTGTTGAGGACCGGTGCTGACTTCGGGATCACCTGGATGGGCACGGTGGAGTTGGTCCAATCTTCCCGGAGATTTATTGATAGCGTTGAGCTTACTGGTCGGAGGTGTCAGTCGTGATTCTCGACAGTGATCTGAGCATAGCAAGGCTTCATTGATTATTGTAGCTCACCTGGGCTCGGGACATTATTGCCTGTGGGCTGGTTGACCTGCGATACCTCGCCCCCGTCAATGTACACAAAGTCACCCAGGACTGTTCCCACAGCGAACGATCGGCGAACAAAGTCGGTCGAAGAAGGAGTTGTGGATCCTTGACGGCCTCGCAGAGCCGCTGCGCATGCTACCTTCGCATGTAGCCAGCAGGCTACTATCAGATATACGCTGGCCACCTCAGAGAAGCACAGGTTTCTCATGGTAGTCTCAGAGAGATTTTGGGGGCTTCAGAGCCATATTCATGGCACCGAAGCGGAAGGAGTCACAAGAGAGGAGTCAGCCTCAAAGTACAAGACAAGCGAGGAAGCAGAGACACATCCAGATTCTTGTCAGAGCAGACCACAGGGCGGAAACTCCGGGACGTAAGCTGTAAGCTGGCTGGCTATCTGACACTCGCAAGATGAAGCTTCCGCATGAGAATGAGAGACACACTCTCCCAAACCTTGAGAAAGCGGGTGGCCATTCCGAGGCCTCTCCAAGAATAATCTCGAATCGTCTGATGTCGAGGTCCACCGTCCGTGCCGCCTCATGTTTCTGCCACCCGCAGGTTCGCGAGCATAAAAAGTCGTCACTTGAGACAGTGCGGAGCATCTTCTCACGCGTGTGGGCAGCAAAGGAAGCAGATGACTAACTGCAGGCGGAAGGAGACAACGATAGAGAATAGAGAGAGGCGCCACATGCTCTGATGGATTGTCGCAAGATCCTGACCGTCGATCACGCCCGCCCTGGCGAGGAGGGGCTGCCACATACGAAAGCAGACAACGCAGGCTCACCGACACCGGTGTTGTCCAAAGGCCGTGTCCGGATAGGGCTGAATTCGGTTAGCATAACCGTCGAGGTCCGCGTGGCAGAAAGTGTATATATCTGGTATGCTGCGATGATGCTTGGTGGTTGTGGTTTCAGACAAGCTGTCAGGACCATGGTACGGTCCGTAGATCTGGATCCGGTTTGCCGGGGTCCTTCCCATCTGAGCAGCTGGACAACCGGGACGCAGCGAGGCCCTTCACGTGGATCACGCCGCATCCTACCTCACATCTGCAGCAATTTTCCGCTTTCGTGGTTTTTAGCGAGAGAGCTGAAATCGATGCTCAGCTTCGTGTGTGTGTCGATGAACCGCGCAATGGTCCAGACCCTCGTTCACGAACCCAGGCCAACATGGCACAACAACAGGCACTCACACTCAGGAGAACAAGCTGTGGGCCAAGCCCGTCAAGCTGGGCTCGAAACGAGGACCCATACATGTGAGGCCGTCCCATGCAGCCATGCGCGCCCAGTCATCTCGCCGATTTGGGAATGACGGTGAATACGCTCTTGCGGTATCCCAGTCGTGGCAAATCGTGTTTTGACATCCGGCTGCGGTGGCACACAAAGGATGTGTCTCGGAAACATTCGATCGGCCTATGCTATAGACTATGAGCTGTTACCCCTCAGTTAAAACCTATGTATGTCCTTGTTTATGTCCTGGTAGGAGGCTGAAAACCAGGTAGCATAAGTAAATAACCTTCCCACCCCCTTGGCTATAATCCGACGTCAGTCGGGTGTACCTACTCCTTCGTCACCTGGTGGAAATCAGGAGAGATGCATGAATTAGACTTCGGATCAAGTCGTCCGTAATCATTCCCTGCGTTGAAGACGAGGCTCACATACAGTACAGACAGACAGACGGACATACAGTACCCAGATCTGTCCAGGTCTGTCGAGAGCTTATCGAGACACCTGAATTAGGCCCCATTAGCTCCCGGAAGGCAAAAAAGAAGCTTCTCCACTGCCTCGCGTCCGAGAAAGCGTTGCATCTCCGAACGCACGCGGCTTGCTCAGGGCAGCAGAGCGGCAGGGCTGGGGAATGGGCATCATGGCCGACTTGGCGTGCGTAAACCCCACAAACTCCGCAATGGCAGCAGCGTAAATATGGAGAATCTGGCTGGTTGATCGAGGTTGCTGACAATTGGCAAGACATCCATTGCTCTCGGAACTCGGACAACGGAACAATTGCGGCCCAGGATGATATACTTCGTCCGCCTATGCTACGATGCCCAGTCACCACCACTTACACGAGTAGTCTACTAGTACCATCCAGGTCGTCCCAAGCCCACATCCAGACTAAGATTAGTAGTGTATCATTACGTACGTAGCATGTCACCTGTCTCACACTCTCACTGGGCAGTAGGAACACAGTCACTCATGTAAGTTCGACAACAGCCCTCGGCGCCATCTCGCCTCGCGAGCATAGAGTCATGCCCAGCTCCGACCATTGTCTGCCTTCTCCGCTCGGTGACGAGCACTCGACCTGACCCGGACCAGTCGTTGTGAAATGCAGTACACTATCACGCCCGAAGCGTTGGACATCCATTAGTCACATCCGTCCGAGGAACGGCAGGAGTAGCATTTGGCAGCACGTCGTGAAGAGCATAAAGGAGCACTGGCGTAAGGGTTGGCGGTGGAATTGAAGACCACCACCAGCTCGACTACACTGGGCTGCAGATGATTCTGTCAAGACTAGTAGCGAGACATACTCTTAGAAGTAATTCATCCCTTAACCTGCGAAGAACAATCACTATGGCAACGGCTCAGAAGATTCTCATCAGCCCTCAGAACACCGGCTTGTTAGGGGTTAAGCAGACAGACGAAGCTGCTAATAAAGCCAGCCAACTACTTCAAAAGGACTTGGAGTCATTCCATGTCTTCTTCAACCAGGACGGTTTTCACAACCATCTAGTCCACCACATCCTGACCCTCTACGGCACCGGGGCCGACCCAGCAGCCCTGCAGCAAGGCTTCGATGGCAACACAGGCTACCAGCGGCCGGTTCAGCCCAACCATGACCGCGTCATTGAAGATCTCCAGACGTGGTCGCACGCGAGCAAGTATGTAGGCAAGGAGCAGTACTACCCAGACTTCCTCGCCTTCTTCCAGCGAGAAATCGACAGCAAGGGCTGGGAGGCCGTGCTGGCCGAGTACCTCTTCACCGGCACAGAGGCAGCCGACGACCTGCTGGTGCGGCTCTATGCCGGTGTACTCCACCCACTGATCCAGCTCATGTATGGCATGGAGTGGAATCAACCGGCCATCGTGGCCGAGGGTCTTGCACAGACATGTGTGCACAAGGACAACTTCAAGGATGAGTTGCTCGCTGCTGAGAGGAACGCCAACGACGAGTACGGCAAGACGGGCGCGAAGATGCCGACCATCGCCTCCCTGCTGAGGGAGGTGCGTGAGAACCAGAAGCTGGCCACGGCCGCGAGGTTCGAGGACGGAAATAAGATCCGCGACGGCGTCTTCGGGCGCGCGCGGGACGAGATGGTTGCGATTATGAGCAAGGTCAAGGTACGCCCGGAGGAGATCGAGGAGAAGACGGCCGAAATGTTCAACACTGCGGTGTTCATGGCCGCCGGGGCTACGTTCCACCCGCCAAAGATCAACAAGTTTGACTTTTTCCTCATGTGAGCATTACCTCAGACCTCCTTTGTCTAGGGACTTTACGGACACACAAAATAAATGAAGCTGACGAGATACGGCTAGGCATCATGCCAATTCATGCCCCATTTTCCTGACCTTCAACGCTCAGCCGTGGTTATCAGCTGAGAATAAAGCCCGCTTGTTGGAATGGAAGATTCGATACGACCTGTTCCAGTACGCGGCCAGGGGTGTCCCCAACCTGTCTCTGGATGAGATCAAGGCGTACCAGCCCAAGGCACCGACAAGCGCATCCGGAGCCGGTAAGTAGTTTTGAACTTCCGCCATATATGGAGTCAAGTGGAACGACCGGCGATGCTAACCTGTACCAGCAGAGGTCGCATTGAAGATCCACAGGATGTCCGACGACGGGCACGCCATCAAGCTGGCCAGGGCGGCCAGCATCTGTGAGCAGATCACGAAGAAATACCAAGACAAAGAGTGGGTTTTGATCAAGGGAGACGATACGTGGAAGAGGGTTCACCACCTTATCCTCGATTCACTGCAATCGCCTGGGGAGTACTGGGTGAGGAGCGCGGGCATGGACGAGGCCTGGAAGGTAAGCCATCGCCGGCTCCCAACTGTTCCGTACCGGATGACATTGCTAACGCACAGTAATTAGAACTTTCCAAATGTAAACAAGCTGTAACCTTGCGAACAGGATCTGCAGAGGAGTCCATGCGCCCAGGTCACTGTTTCGATCTATCTCATCAGGACCAGAAACAAACGTCTGAGCGTCTGACGCATGCAAGAGTCTGTGCCTGAGGAGCATTTCAACAGTCGCTACTACGGGACTTGTTTGGCTGTACGATTCCGTTATCGCTGACGCACGTGTACCCATTGTATATTATCTTTGTATCACTACATTATCACGGACACAGATTGACAGTTGGGGTATCAGTGGCCTAGTATTCATAGTTTTATAATCCTGTAGCGCCATAACTCTACTCTATTCCACGCCGATCCATTCTTCCTCAGATTCTTCCTCGTTTACAAGATCAGTAATAGTCACCCCCTCCTGACCAGCAGTCAGTAGATTTGTGCCGTTCTCGCCACCGAGCGAAAAGGTAAGCGCCTTGCCATCCTGCGAAACGTCCTTATTCTCAGCTTGACCAAGGAGATAGTCCACCATGTAGACGTTCTCGTCAGCCAACTTACGGATCTCATCCCTCATCCTCGTCACAGCCCGGTTGACGACCCGCAGTTCCATGTCGATCTTGCCTCTGTTGGCCGTTAGCCAGGCGCCGTGCTTGTCCACCAAGGCCTTGATCCAGAGCAGACAGAACTCTATGTGCGGTGACTGCTCCGTCTCGGCAGCGACGAAGCGGAGGAGTCTTGGGACGTAGACCACAGGCATCTCCTCCACGACCAACGAGATATCCTGGTACGGGATGGCTTGAAAGACTCGCTTGATCAGGCCAGCCTCGTTGAGGCGGAAAGCCATGACCAGTGCTTTGAGGTAGTCCTTCTCGTCTTCCAACACAGCCAGTGTCGCTGCCGGCGTAATCTCCATGTTCAGATCGAATGGATCGAATTGAAGAACATTGTCGAGGCTGTAAATCAACAGACCCTCGGTCGATGCTGCGCAGAATGCTGTGCCGGCTGGCGAGAAGGAGACGCCCGACACCCGCACCTCGGGCATGTTCTTCCTGGATGATGGATCTCCTCGCTTCGAGCCCGGAAGCGATTTATCAATGCGGTCTTCCCGGTCGGAGGCCTCTCCTTGGTCGTCAAGCTCACCCTGCGGGCCGGCTTCTGTCAAGAGCTTGCTGTTCAGAAATTCTTGCGTGCCTGATAATGACAGGTTGACGCTGACTGTGAACTTTTTGAGAAGCACCATTGTCGTGACCGAGTACAAGCAGATATACTTGCTGTTGCCACCTGCGAGCAGACAGGTGCCATCTGTGCTATATTTTATGCTGTTGTATGCCTTGGTCCCAGCTACGTTGGCGGCTGTTCTCCGGTCACCAATTTTGCGGCCACCAGAGACATCCCGTCGGCCGTCTAGACCCGAGACTTGCAGTGCCTCTGTCACGGACCAGAAGGTCAGCTGGCCGTCCAAGGTCGATACGGCGAATTGTGTCGAGTCCGGCCTGATCGCAACGTCCAGAACATCTGCCTGCAACTGCAGCGGCTCACTTGTTTGTGTCCTGTCAAAAATGGACCATATTCTCGCTGTGCGATCCCAGCTTCCGCTGATCAGTGTGTTGCCATTTGGAGCAAACGCAAGGGACGATACAGGTCCCTCATGTCCTGCAAGCTGGTCCAAAAGCTGACCCGTCTGGACTGACCAGATGTGGATATCAAAAGAGTCGAGAGAGCCAGCGGCCACCACTTCTCCACTTGGATCCACGGCCATACATGACCATGAAAGCCTCGTAGGGGCTGTGAATGTCCTAAAGTTTCGGTATCTGATGAGATCCCAGGCTCTTATTGATCCGTCCAAGCTAGATGTGAAGAGAACGTTGCCCTTTTTTGTGAATTCGCACGCCGTAACGCCGCTGGTATGTTCCGTAAAAGTCACAATGCAAAAGCCGGATTCAATGTCCCAGACTTTGATTTTGCCATCATCTGCTGTCGTGATGATTCGTTGACCATCAGGCGAGTAGACGAGAGAGTTCATGGAATCAAAGTGGCCTTGTTGCTTTAAAATGTAGGACTCAGATTGCCACTCCCAGACCAGGAGCTGGCCCAGCTTTGAGGCCCCAAAAGCTAACCATTCTCCCGTCTTGTTGATAGTGACAAAATCGATGTCGTTTTGCGATATGCTCAGCGTGTGGATCATGTTGAAATCAGGCATCTCATATAAACCGAATATTCCGTTTGAGAAGCCCGCGACTAGGAGGTTCGAATCGGCGTGATAGGCGGCGCACTTGAGGTGAGCATTGTTCTGCATGAAGTAGTGCTTGTTGACTATTCTCCAGCGCAAATCTCTCTCCTGTTCCTCGTCGTCCATTTCATCATTGTCTTGTTTTGAAGCGACATATTTCCAATCGAAAACAGCACCGTCCTTGCTGATGGTGTATATTGTCTCTTGATCTTTCGAGAAGTAGGCGCCCACAACACCTTGCCTATGACCTGACAGGACTGTTGGTATAAAGCCTTCCTCCTGATTCAAGCTCCATATTCTTGCTGTCAAATCTTTCGAAGCGCTAAGGAAGAATCGCGAATCACTAGACCATTCGATATGCCGTACATCGTCGAAGTGACCGGTGTGTGTATGGTGTTTGACAAAGGGCGCAAACTCCAGCTCGCCGTCCGGATGCGCATCCGGGGTGGATGGAACGTGCCATACTTCGAGTTTGCGACCGAGACCGACGGCAAAGTAACGACCAGACGGGGAGAATGAGAGTGCTGTGACACCAGATTTGAAGGAAAAGTTGTATATGGCGATGCGTCGGGCGATGTTGGTCAGTATGGCCTGGCCATCTTCGTCGATCGTAAGGAGCAAATTGCCCTGGGGCGTGAGCCCTATCCTCGCAATGTTCTTTCGGTGGGCAAAAGGGAGTGTGTAAGATTTATTGCTAAAGCCATTGTCAGTGGTCGGTCACAGAGCGTAGAAATGCTTGCCCCCAAGATTCTAGGGGAGTGGCGGTACGGCATACTCAACCAGGTTGAAGACGGTCACTCGATTGCCCACGGGCGAGAACAGGTCGGTGCCATCTGGGCTGAAGACCAGATTGCCCCTGCTATAGACAGTTCCGAGAAGGTTTGAGAACTAGATATGAAGTCAGCACATGTGAGACATAACAAGGACGCTGTAGGGTTTGCGCACCTTGAAATCCGTCTTCATTTTCAGAGCATAGCCATATTCTTCGTCAACGTCTTGCGACGAATTCTCCCAAACTTCAGCGAACCTTTCAAGTTATTTGTGGGGCCCACCTTATCGTCCTCTTATCGCGTGCCTGGGGGATGGGACCCTGGTTAATTGGGCCAGCCCGTACTTGCCAACCTAAGTAAGGGGGCTCGAGCTTTCAGGGGAACACTGTCCAAACCGAAATTGCTCCCTCCCCTTCTCAACAGAGACGAATTGCTCCGTCAAACACAAGGAGGCGCATCTCAATTGCCATTTCTTGAGAGCTTCTCGATCGAACGCCATCTTTCCTCAATCCAATTCTCCATCGCAGAAGACCCAAACCGTCAAGATGTCGACCGAAAGCAGCGCCAGCCCCATAGGTAGGCATGATCAGACTTACAAGCACGCTCTACGCGGAGACAGCTTTCCGTGCTAACGCGACTGTTCTCCGGCATAGGTATCGCAAACCTGCCCAACCAGCGACACAAGATTGTTGCTAAGAGGGGTGCCGCCTTCACTATTATGGTTCGTATTGACGGCATTCAGCTTCCTGGCACAATATCCTGACTTCCTTCACAGGTCGCTGGCGAATCTGGCCTGGGCAAGACAACCTTCATCAACACCCTCTTCTCTACGACCATCAAGAACTATGCCGATCACAAGCGGAGACACCAGAAGCAAGTCGACAAGACTGTTGAGATCGAGATCACAAAGGCCGAACTGGAGGAGAAGTTCTTCAAGGGTATGTTTTGGACGAAACGCTGGAATGGCGTGCGACCTACTGACCCGACACAGTCCGCCTGACCGTCATCGACACCCCTGGCTTCGGCGACTACGTCAACAACCGCGACTCCTGGATGCCCATCATCGAGTTCCTCGACGACCAGCACGAGTCTTACATGTTGCAAGAGCAACAGCCCCGCCGAAATGACAAGATCGACCTCCGTGTCCACGCTTGCTTGTACTTCATCCGCCCTACCGGTCACACCCTGAAGCCTCTCGACATTGAGGTTATGAAGCGACTTTGCTCTCGTGTCAACTTGATCCCAGTGATTGCCAAGGCTGATACTCTCAGCCCTGCTGACCTGGCTACGTTCAAGCAACGCGTATGTCGCCCTGTGTCCCAGCACGTGTCACCATATACTGACGTTTCAATCAGATCCGAGCTGTCATCGAGGCTCAGAGCATCAAGATCTACCAGCCCCCTGTCGAGGAGGATGACGAGGCCGCCGCTCAACATGCCCGCAGCCTCATGGCTGCCATGCCGTTCGCTGTCATCGGATCCGAGAAGGATGTCAAGACCGGCGACGGCCGCATTGTGAAGGGACGACAGTACTCGTGGGGTGTTGCCGAGGTTGAGAACGAGGATCACTGCGACTTCAAGAAGCTCCGATCAATTCTCATCCGCACTCACATGCTCGACCTTATCCACACCACCGAGGAGCTTCACTACGAAGCCTACCGCGCTCAGCAGATGGAGACACGCAAGTTCGGTGAGGCTCGCCCACGGAAGCTGGACAACCCCAAGTTCAAGGAGGAGGAGGAGGCTCTCCGGAAGCGCTTCACCGAGCAAGTCAAGATCGAGGAGCAGCGGTTCAGACAATGGGAGCAGAAGCTTATTGCTGAGCGTGATCGCCTTAACAAGGATCTGGAGCAGACGCATGCCCAGATCAAGACACTGGAGCAGGAGCTGGAGCAGATGCAGGGCAGCGCGGTCCGCAGCCATGGTCGTCGTTAGGGTCACGAAGTGGCGGCTTAGATCCAACGGTCGACCTCTTGGGAACGACCAAATTCACCGTTTCGGAGTTTATGGTAGCCTGAGGGGCTGGTTTTCAACAAGGTTCACTGACACGGGGAGCTAAGAGGACGCGTTGCGAATATGCTCTGGAGCTTTGCTTGTGACTTGGAGTGCGCGTTGGCCGGCCTCGAGGAAGAGGAAATAATTTTTCCTCCGGCACGCCGTTGATTTCTTTCTTCGTTCTTCTCATGGGCTGAGAATCATTGAGGCCGAAAAACTGGGGCAGCGAGCAAGGCCGCTCATCGTGCCGTTCTGCTACCATTTCGCAACCTTACTCAGACCCAACTCCCCCCTTTTATTCCATTTCGAGATAGCCGATGTAATTCCCTTGACCTTTTCATGATACCAATTAATGAGAATGGCTGCCCCTTGAGACTCAATTGCATGGACCGAATCAAGGCACATGGACATATGATGTGATTCAATCCCATAGCGTTAAGATTATTCTCGCCCACCCACCGCCCCAAGCTCCATTTCACGGAGATGCAAGTAAAATTGAAAATGTGCCCAAACCGACCTCGGGGAAATAGATCCCATCAGCAGACGGCTGATGATCCACCGCTCTCTACACGGCATCCATCATGGCTCTTGTGAGCAATTGCTCGTTTTTGTTGCCCAATTTCGACACCTGGAGGAACACGTCCACGCCGTAGCCCCACAGGCTCTGTAATTCCAGACCCCCGGCCCAGTACTCGGCGTAAATGCGGCTGAGGGGCAAGCCCATGCCGAGGCGCAGGTTCGGCGGCCTGCTCGTCAGGGACGACAGAGAGCTCACGTAGCTCGCGGTCGCCGCGCTCGCCTTGACCTCGCTCGCGGGGGGCCGGTCGACGCGCACCTCCTGTAGAGTCGCGGCCATCCTTGGGACGTGGGTCAGGTTGGCGAGGATCTGCTGGCTCTTGGGGCCCTTGCAGAAGGACCACAGGTAGGGCAGCACGTCACGCGGTATCCCGCCGCCCTGGTCGGACACGCGGATCTCGACGTGCTTTGATGACTCGCAGATGGTCACCTCGATGGGCGGGGGCGGCCGTTTTGTATGGCCCTCCTGTATCTGCCGCTCGATCAAGGACTGGACTGAGTTTCGGAGAAGCTCCCCGATTATATATTCTATGTGGCTTAGGATGAAGGGGAAGTTGGCGTCCTGGTGGCCCGCGAGCTTGATATCGGGCAGTACGACGTCCTCGCCGTAGGCCGATCTGGCCAGATCGAGGACGGCCTGGCCGCAGCGCTGGATGACCTCGGCGGCGTTGCACTTCAGGAACACCTTTCCAACAAAATCGCTGTCGGGGACCTTGACGCCAGGGGAGAAGGAGGGTGAGTAAAAGGTCTCAGTGAGGGAGAGATGCTGCTCCGCTATCACGCGACGGGAGATCCTAGAGCGCAGGATGGCGTTCATGAACTGGTCCAGCTCCTCGGCCGGGAGCAGGTCGTCGGCGCTCACCTCCAGGATGCCCATCGCCAGCTTCGGGATCACCGACAGGTGCGCCTTGAGGGTGGTGCTGATGGCCTGGCAGAAAGAGTCATTTTCCTCGAGCGTGCGAATCTCAGGCACCCTCCTAAACTTGTCGAACGCATCGTAGTACAGCTCGTAGACGTCGTTGAAGTGACGGTTGGCAACGACACAATACGGCAGGGTCTGCATGTCCCGGATGCGATGTGCAATCCTACATTGGTCATAGCTTTAGCGAACAGGCTGGGGCCGCAACGCCGGGAAACGCAACGCAACGCAGCGCAGCATAGCGCAACGGGTTTTTGATTTGTGGTTGCTCTGGTCTGTCACGTACCTCCTCGGCAACTCTGTCCTCACATAGTTGGCAGAGCTGATCAGCCTCTGCTCGTTCAGGGAGCGGCCAAAGACCATGAGCTGGCGGAGGCTGATGGGCCTCGCCTCCTTCCCGACCCAGCTGAGGCATGGTCAGTGGAACCGATACTCTCTCTCTCTCGGTGCTGGAAAGCGTGGTAGGCTGGCGTCAGTAGACATACTCGTCAAGAGCAGAGAAAGCTCTCCATCTGTGGTGGTTGTGCACCATGCAGCGCGTCTGGTCGCGTGCCCACGCCCGTCGAGCTTGTTGTGCCAGGCGCCTGGGGCCCGATGGCCTGCAAGTTGATCTCATCCCCAAGCCTGCTGAGGCGATGGTGCCCCCCAACCTCGACATTCGAGCGATGGTTCCATGCGAATGGTAAACGTATGCTGGAGGTCGGAACCAAGGTACATGAGAAAGGGTGAGTGAGGAGAGTCAGTTGGGAGTCAGTCCAGTCTCGTCATAGCTGCTCATTCGTAAAAGAGCTCCCAGTCACTCACACTGACGGATGAGATGCCCAAGTTGGGCGATAGGTTGTTCTATTGTTATAGCAAGGTGCGGGAAAAGTGGGGAGCTTCCCGATTTCTTGTGTTACTCATTTTGCAGGGGCATTTCCTCGAGCAATTACCATACTGCTAACATGCCTGATTTATGGTATGCTACACACCGTACGGTGCTAGCAGCCAACGGTACAATATTTACCCCGCCATTGTCACAAGCCTCACGACTGCACGCATGCATTGCGTAGCCGGCTAGGTTCAGTCCTGCTGCCAACCTGGCACGTGTCAGTGGACGAAGCATATGTACGGGGTATGCTGAGTATCTCAGTAGGAAGAGACAACGCATGCAGATGGACGCCATGGCTACAGCCCCCAAGGAGTCTAGCAGGAGCAAACGGTCCGTTGCTTGAGGCTTCAGGGACCCTCTGAGCCGGTGGCCTGCTACCCCTGTCGGTACGGGCCCATGCCCAAATCAGGAACTATGTATAGGTATATTTCATGTATATTACCGTGAGAACACCTGCACCAGGTACCCGATATCGCCAGTCTTGGGTTTGCTTCAGGAGGATCAAGCTATTTGTCTAGGGGTCCTTCGTGTAGCCGAGCATGAGAATCTTCAGCAACGAACAAGAGCCTGAGCAAACGTGTGGGCCGGTGCAGTCATTGGCAGCCAGATGCATGTAGCTGACAAAGGTCAACTGTGGCACTCACTTGCTCACACACACACTCTCTCTCTCTCTCACTGTCGCTTGTCGCCCGCCAGCAACGGACGGACGTCATATCGAGGGCACAGCGGCGGGCCAGGGGGGGCGAGCTTACCTAGTCACCTAGTCTGCTCACCAGAGTACGGTAGTAGCTATCTAGACCGCCTGGCAAGTGTGAGGGCCGGTGGTAGTAGTAGTAGGAGTAGGAATTGGAGTACCAAGGGGCTTCGCCTCATTCCTCAGTCTTCACCCGGCCTTGTGGGACACCTTCAGGATGCTCTTCTGCAGCAAGCTAGTCTAAGCACTCCGCATCCACAACCCGCATTTCTTACGTACCTTGGCTTTGCCAGGCTTTGCCCATGCAGATGCTTTGCCCACCACCGCCGCCACTACAACGCATTGTCTATCTAGGCGAGACTAACAGGCGGACTGACAGATGGACAGACAGACAGACATAGTCTACTGACTGACTAAAAGACATCATCCTCCTTGCCTTGCCCTGCCTTGCCCTGCGTCGCCTCGCCTTGCCTTGCCTTGCCTTGCTCTTGTTGCCTGCCCTGCCCTGCCCCGGCTGCGACTTGCTTTGCCATCCCATCCTCATGCTTGCTCTCTCCATTTTTTTGTGCTGCACCAATATCCTGGCTTACAGTGTCTCACCTGCTCTCTCCTCGCCAACCCCAGCACCCGGGCCTATCTAAGCTAGACCAGGTATCGCATCACCCTTCTTAGGCGGTCCTGACGTCGACTGGCCACACGCGCCTTCTCCCCCGGTCGCAGCGAATCCGCCCGCGGTCCTTCGTCCTCTCCTAAAACACCACCAGCTTCTCCGAATCATCAACGACACATCGACCCTCGCTCCCTCTGTCGGTTGCAGCTGCTTCGGGCTGTCAAGAGAGCTTTCCCACGGGACTCTGCTCTCCTTGCCTCCTTCCCTGAACCTACCAGTTCGAACCGACCCTTCCAAGTCGAGCTCTGCTCGCGAATCCCAGAGATGGTGAGTCCACAACTTCACCAACATTCACCTCTCCATTCACCTCTCCGCCATATCTCCGTGACATTTTCAAGCTCGACTACTGCAACCTATCTTGGCATCTTATCCCAGCCGAGTCTACCCACCGAGTCCCCTGCCAATGCCACTCTCCACGAGGCCATGGAAGGTGTGGCGGCGCACGCGGAGCAGTCCTCCGGAGGGGAGCTCGCTGTCCCTCCGCACTCCGAGGTCGACATCCTCGACTCCATGCGTGGGCTCTCCGTCTGTCTCAGCGTCGCCGCCTTTCCCAGACGCCGTTCAGTCCCCTTCGCGTCCCACAACTCCCGTTGATCCCGAACTGCTTTGGAAGCTTCTTGATGGCACCCGTGCTGACCTGGACATTTCTCATGAGGCTTTCAACCCCGACATGCACTCTCCAAACGACATGCTCGTCGATACAGAGGAGCATATCGTCGACCCGGCAGCCAACGGTGTCGAGAAGGACAACCTCACAATCATCAACCCAGACAATTTAGAAACAGAGGCAGAGCAACTTCAAGACCTGACTAGGGCGGATGACTGTACGTGTAACGGGACAACAGGGTGTTGCGCGGGAGGGATGCTGACGCCCTGCAGATGAGGCCATAAAAGAGCTTGTCCTTATGCCATTGGTAGAAGAGCCTCGCGTGCTCGAAGATGTTGTCACCACCTGGGAAATTACAAACTGGCGGTCGCTCAACAAGAAGGAACGTGGCCCAATCTTCCAGGCTGGTGGATTCCCATGGTACGAGCATCATTGAGTCACTAGGAAATTGTGCCTTCGCAGACTAATATCGGTGTGCAGGCGGATATTGCTCTTTCCATTCGGCAACAACGTCGACCAGTGCTCTATATACCTGGAACATGGCTTCGAACCGAATGAGGTCCCTGAGGACTGGAGTTGTTGTGTGCAGTTTGCACTGGTCCTGTGGAATCCGGAGGAGCCCACGATCTTTGCTCATCACAGCGCCCACCACCGGTTCACCAAAGAGGAGAGCGATTGGGGTTTCACAAAATTCCTCGAGTCTCGTAGGATGTACGGCATCTGGGACAATGCGAATCGACCCATGATTGAGAACGATGCCGCCAACATCACCGTGTACGTCAGAATTGTCGAGGACGAAACCGGAGTGCTATGGCATAACTTCAATAACTATGATTCCAAGAAGGAGACAGGATTTGTCGGGCTCAAGAACCAGGGCGCCACATGCTATCTGAACTCTCTCCTGCAATCTCTTTACTTTACAAACGCGTTCCGCAAGGTGATGACCACCCCCCCCCCTCTCTGTAACTTGCGAGTGCTGACATTCTGAGGGAGGCCGTATATGAAATACCGACAGAACATGATGAGAGCATGACCAACAGCGCATACACCCTACAGCGTCTCTTCTACCAGCTTCAAACCTCCAACGCAGCCGTCGGCACGAATGAACTGACCAAGTCTTTTGGCTGGGAGACAAGACACATCTTCGAGCAACAGGATGTTCAAGAACTCTCACGCAAACTGATGGAGCGCATGGAGGAGAGGATGAAGGGTACAAAGGCCGAAAACATGTTGCCACAAATGTTCAGTGGCAAAATCAAGACATACATTTCTTGCATCAATGTCGACTACGAATCCAGCCGCATAGAAGATTTCTGGGACGTTCAACTAAACGTTTCCGGAAATAAGAACCTGCAGGAAAGCCTTCAGGACTACATCCAGGTTGAGAAGATGGAAGGCGAAAACCAGTATATGGCAGGTGAGCAGTACAAGCTGCAAGACGCCAACAAGGGCGTTATTTTTGTGGGCTTTCCCGACGTCCTTCACCTACAACTGAAACGTTTTGAGTACGACTACATGAGGGACACCATGACGAAAATCAACGATCGCTACGAGTTCCCTGAAGTATTCGATGCGGCTCCATATCTCTCGGAAGATGCCGACACGGCCGAACCCTGGACATACCAACTGCATGGTGTCCTTGTGCACAGTGGTGACCTGAACGCAGGTCATTACTACGCCTTTCTGAAGCCAGAAAAGGACGGTTGGTTCTACAAGTACGACGATGACAAGGTGACCAAGGCGACGATGCGAGAAGTCTTAGAAGAGAATTTTGGTGGCGAATACCGGCAGGCCACGAACAATCTCCGGAGTCCTTTGCAGAGGAAGGCACCCATTATGCGGCCTAACAGTGCCTACATGTTGGTATACATCCGCCAATCACGAGTAGACAAGATCCTTTGCCCAGTCACTGAAGGAGACATTCCCGAACATCTACGTGAGTTTCAATTCCGAATTCAGAACGAGGCATAGATATTAACTTGCAGTAGGCAACCGATTCGAAGAGGAAGCTGCCATAAGGGAAACTCGGAGGAGAGAAAGAGAGGAGCAACATCTCTACATGGGCGTCAAGGCTATTCTCCCTTCGACATTCCAGGAACACGGCAGCACGGATCTTGCGTCCTTCGACGCAAACCCTGATCTGGATCCTGCAGCGCCTAGATTCTACAGAACGCTGCGCTCGTCTACTGTCCAAGACCTCGTCAACCGCATCGCCGAGGATGTGAATGAGGATCCGAGGAAATTGCGCCTCTGGATGATGGTCAATCGTCAGAACAAGACAACGCGCCCGGATACGCCCATGATGGACACGAGAGTCACAGTTGAAGAGAGCTACAACAAGTCGACGACCCACAACAGCAATGTTCTCCGTGTCTGGGTCGAAGTCGCTGAAGAGGTCAATGCCGAAGGCGATGCTGTCTGGCCCACATACCAAAGCCAAAGCAATGGTATGGTAGTGAAGAATGACCTGATACTACTGTTCCTGAAGCATTTCGACGCTGAAGCACAGACCCTCCGTGGTGTTGGGCATGTTTACGTCAACAAGGAGAAGAAAGTTGAGGAGATTGTGCCGCTGATCTGCAAAAAGATGGGATGGGGCGAGAAACTCCCAGCCGATGACAAGGTTATGCTTTGGGAAGAGATCAAGCCAAACATGATCGAGTCCCTCCGGGCAAAACAGACGCTAAAGGCTGCTGAGCTCCAGGACGGGGATATTATTTGCTTCCAGAAGGTGACAGAGAAGAAGTCAGGACTTGAGAAGAGGCTTGGCCTCGGGGACAAGACACCCGATGAGACGTAAGTAATCGCGCCTGTCTCTATACTCAGCCTCTCGATATTAACTTGTACAGGGTGAGGAAATCGGATCGGTGCGAGGACGCTCGGGATTATTACGACTTTCTCATGTTTAAGAGGACGGTCAAGTTCCATGCTCACCCAACCCGGTGTGATCCTAACCAATTTCCCCCATTCGAGCTCGTCCTCAGCGGGAAGATTAGCTATGACCAACTGGCTGAAAAGGTTGGAAGCGCATTGAGCGTGGACCCAACACATCTCCGATTTTACACTGTGAACACCAACAGTGGGAACGTTCGGACTGCTGTGAAACGGCTGTCCACGAACCAGACCCTGCAGAGCATCCTGAACCCGTCAGGCTACTCTCAGATGAACCAGGCCCAAAGGAGCGATGCCTTGTATTTCGAAGTGCTTGACATGAGCCTGGCAGAGCTCGATACGAAGAAGAATGTTAAAATCACCTGGCTCAGCGAAGGCATCACCAAAGAGGTAGGTCGCTTTTGGCGCCCACACAGGGAGCCTCAGCTAACAAGGAGCCGCAGGACCATTTCGACATTCTCGTGCCCAAGAACGGAATTGTGGAAGACCTCATCAACGGAGTCATCAAGAAGGCACAGATTCCTGAAGAGGCCGAAGCCGGCAAGATCCGAGTCTTCGAGGTAAACAATCACAAGTTCTTCAGGGAAATGTCGCGCGAGTACCCAGTCATCAGCATCAATGAGTACACACTGCTCGTGGCTGAGCGCATGTCGCCGGAAGAAGCAGAGGCCACGGACAAGGAGTTCATCAACTGCTTCCACTTCCAAAACGAGCCGAGTCGTGTGCATGGAATGCCATTCAGATTCCTGCTCAAGGAGGTAAGTTGAGACAACCAGCGCGCCGAATTATGAATAAAAAGCTGACGTGTATTGCAGGGTGAGACATTCGCAGACACCAAGAAGCGGCTCGAGAGGCGGACTGGCCTCAAGGGCAAGAGCTTCGAAAAGATCAAGTTTGCGGTTGTAAGACGATCCGCATATTCCAAGGTTCACTATCTCCAGGATGGTAAGTATGCAGGACACCCCGATGCGTGATACGGATAGCTAACATGAGACTATAGACGAGATCATCACAGAGATCCTGTCAGGAGATGACGACGACTTCCTCGGTCTGGACCACGTGGATCGAACACGGTCTATGCGCAATGGGACAGGAGACCTGTTCCTGAAGTAGATACAGATGACAGGGAGTGAGCGAGTGCAGGGGTCGCGCTACAATAGTGTCACCCTCATCACTCATGGCGATTTTTTGTGTAGTGGAACGCGACACCGAATATGTCCTAGGCAGGGGAAAGTGGGCCATATTCCTGGCTCAACACATTATCATATACTCAGCAGGCATTCGGCGCAGGACGCGGGAGAGGGGCATTCAATACGTGGAGGGGGAGTTGGGTAACATGGATAGGCGGGCGGGAGTTGGAGCGGAGGAAGGGGACAGACAAGAGACTATTTTGCTTTACTAGCCCAGCTTGTCAAAGGCAAAGACTGGTCGAGTCGTTGCATAAACGGTATCTTTAGACCAAGCCTGTACGCGAATCACAAGACATTGAATGGCGGAATTTATCCCAAACATTGCACATTGACACTCCCATCTGTGAACTGAGTCCTGTCAACCCGCCCGGGGAAGTGGGAGGCGGATGCACGGGGGCGATCACCTTGGCTCGGCGGCTCCGAGACGGCAAATGTAACCGCGGCGATAAGGCGACCAAAATTCTTTATCGCGCCGAGCTCAAAGCATTAGTTCCCTCCTCCACCCATCCCATCGCACCATCCTAGACTGTCGACGACAACAGCTTTCACCAGCGTCGCTCATTACTTCCTGCCGCATTTCTATTTCGTGTAAATTTAATTCTACAGCTACCTCCAGCGCAAGCTGAGCCGAATCGCATCCTCTGACATCGCATCCCGAACCCCACCAGCCTGAGAAGCCGATCGCGCGACAACATCGACATCGACATCATGAGCTTTCCCGGCATGGGAGGTGGCCTACCGGGCATGGGCGGTGGCGCCGGCGGAAACGTGGATCCCAACGACCCCAACGCCGTGCAAATGGTCCGTTAAGCCCTGTCACCGGACAGAGAAGCCAGCCCTGGGTCGCGCGATATGCTGACGTGGGGAGAGAACAGGCAAAAACGATGAAGTTCATGAGCGAAATGCAGCACAACTGCCTCACAAAGACAGCCATGTCAGGCGTCGCCGGCTTCGGTCTTGGCGGCGTGTTCGGCATGTTCATGGCCTCAGTACGTCCCGGACACTCATCCCACGAGAAAGAAACCCAGCCAGCTAACAAACCGGGTGCAATCCAGATGGCCTACGACACCCCCTACCACACGGCGGCGACGGCCGGCTCGCAGCAGACGCCCATCTCGTCCCTGCCATGGCAGCAGCAGCTCAAGACAGGCTTCAAGGACATGGGGGCGCGGTCGTGGAGCTCGGCCAAGAACTTCGGCAAGGTCGGCGCGCTGTTCACGGGCATCGAGTGCGGCATCGAGGGCTTCCGCGCAAAGAACGATATGACCAACGGCGTCGCGTCGGGATGCGTCACGGGCGCCATCCTCGCGCGCAACGCTGGGCCCCAGGCCGCCGCCGTCGGCTGCGTCGGCTTCGCTGCCTTCTCTGCTGCCATCGAGGCGTGGATGAGGCAGCCTAAGGAGGAGTAGTGCGCGCTTGAATGACGGTGGGAAGCGCCCTGTTGGCGCTGAACATGCAGTGTTTGACGTCTCTGACGGCGAGACTCCTGCGAGGGGAGACGGCTGGGTGGCCCGCACGTCACTGATGGGCGTGCGCCTTTTAAAAGCAGCAGACACGAAGCCGTGGGAGTGGCTAGGTGATAGAGGCGTTTGATGCTCTCAGTGCTTCTATATGAACATGTACGCATAGCAAGGTATGAATGATTTAGGCGTACGGGCAGGGTCTGGTGGCGTTCAGGATTGGCGGTTTGATAACAGTCGATAGATACTTGGGCCATAGAGAGGGGACACACATCATCACCACTTACTCGGATTGGGGGGGGGGGGGGCCTTTGGGAAAACTCGAATGAATGAATTCATCCCATCTATTTCCGTTTGCTTGTTTGCTCACCTGCAGCCTGCGCCCGTCTTATAAACCCCCCGAAGCCACCCAGAGCAATACCGGCCCTCCTGCCGGTGCCATTCAGGTCAATTGGTTAGTTCCATGGCGATGGTTCTTCGTGCAGGAGATACTACTAGCCGCGGGATAAATTCAGAGCTCGCGGGTTCGAGCCTCCCTGGTAGTATACCGCGGAAATGACAGTTAACAGTACGCGAAGAGAGACGTAGGCGCTGGTCGCCGAACTCTTTTGCCTTTTTTTTGGGGGGGAGGGGGGGGGCCCATCACACTCGTCAATATTCAATGCGACAGGTACAAACAGTACACATGACTTGTGTCTGTGCTTTTCAACAGTGATTGGTCTTGGTTCAACATATTTTTGGCCGTGGGTGAGTTACATGTTGACTGCCCAGGTACTTCAAGGCATCTCTTGGAGCTAACCGGCCACCGCCCTAGATGCCAACAACTTATGAAGAAGGCAGCTCAGCAAAGAAGAGGGGAAGGGGTGTGAGAAGGGATTGACGAAAGAGAGCAAGACCCGAAACACCCGTCGACGAGTGTGCCTCTTCATCACAACATTGCAGCAACACACTCTTCAGCGGTTTTCTTTCCTCGTGATGTGAAGTACGAATTGAAATCTGTTTGATTTCTTTGCGGCTCACGCTGTCTAGCGGGCCTCGTCATCTCTTGCGTTTTCTAGCAAAATCTGTAAATACCCAATTACCCTTCCTTCCCCTGTATGTGTATCACTTCACTAGGTTGTGAGACGCGTCACACTTTATGAAGAATCTAAAAAAAGCGACACACTTTTCCCGCCACAAAACACCAAGCTAGGAAGAGAAGGTAAAACAGAACAGGGCCAGCATCCCGTCCGAAGAGTTGAAACAACCACCCCTCAGGACGCTGTATAAACCTGGAAAGTCCCCACCTCCCAGTATGCATTAGTGAACTCCTCCGGGTAGTTGGCCACGTAATCAGTGCAGTTTGACGGGCCTTTAAAAAAAAATCAGTTAGAACCTGCGCGTTGGAGTGGGACAACCAGGGGAGGGGACTCACAGCTGGTACCAGAATACAGGTCGCCGGCAAGATCACCACAGAGATCAATGTTCATGATGATGGACTGGTTCTTGAAGTGGTTGCCAATATTACACCCCGTGTCCGGGAAATCCGCGAGCGCGGTGCCCCATGTGCTGGGGTCGGGGGAGCCGCTCGTGATATCGGATGGAATACTGCTCCTCGCAAACTGCCACATGCGGATGCCTGCGCTCCTCCACTCGAGGGCCATGATGCCGCCACCGTTGGCATTGAACTCCTCGCCGTACGTCGAATCGGAGCCGTCCACGCCGCAGCCGGTGTTGCTCGTGCCGCTGGAGTCGCAGTTGGCGTGCGTCGACGTGCCCGTCATCTTGCGCTTGTGGTTCATGCTGCAGCCCGACGACGTGTGCAGCGTCATGGCGTTGCCGTCGTCGGCCAGGTTCGTCGCCTCCATCACGTCGATCTCGCCGTTGTCGGGCCAGTTGTTGGGGTCCGTCAGCCACAGCGCCGGCCACGTGCCGCAGCCGTAGGGCGTGTGCTTGATGTCGAACAGGTAGAGCCCGCCGTTGCCCGTGTTGTACTGCCGCTTGGATGTCGCCCGCACGCTGAACCGCCCCGTGGAGGCGTCCGGCGACGACGTCGGCCCCACGGACGTGTCCACCCGCAGCACGGCCGAGGACGTGCTGGCGTAGGTGAGGTTGAGCGACTCGGCTTGCTCGCGCGGCACGTAGTGCACGAAGCCGTTGGTCGGGTCGTAGCCCGTGTAGTAGTCGAAGTTGTCAAAGCTGTTGGCGGAGTGAAACCATTACTGTCAGTCAACCGTTGTTGTCCACCGCTGCGAATTGTCGAGCTACGAGGACACCGGCTCTTGCTGACATGGAGCCCAAGTGGTGCGCGTCCCTAGATGAAAACGGTACTGACAAATCTGAACCTGAGTACTCATCTGAGAGCGAATAGGACAGCCTCTTATAGTTGGGATAGGCATTGTTCTTCTGCAGCATGGTCACGACGATGACCACGACGACAATGATGACCACCACGATCGAGACGATAATGGCCCATGTCCTCCTGCGCCAGGTCTTGAAATCCCACCACTTGTCGCCGCGCTCATCGCCATAGTACCTCTGCGGGAGGTTCCCCGCGCCTTTCTTCATATTCAACGGCGGGAGGTCTGCGTAATCGGGAGGACTGGACCGTGTGGAATAACTCCGGGTGAGTTCCTTCTGGGAGATTTTCACACCAGCGGTCTTGTAGTCACCGTGATGCGTGTCAGACCAGCCTTTTGTTGATTCCTGAATTACAGCCAATTTGAGCTTTCCTTTGTCGTCGTCAGCACCCCATGGGCTGCCTGACTTGATATCGCCCGAAGAACGGAATTGCCCGATGTCACCCCTGCTGCCCACGTACTCCACGTGGGTGTGGCTGTCGTGTTTCGTATCGGCGAGCTTCGCGGCCTGCAGGGTTGCCACGAATTGCTGCGCCGAGTAGAGCTTCGACGGCTGGATTGGCTCGAACTCCCTTAGCGAGTTGACTGCGCCGCCGGGCTGCGGTTTAACGCTGCCGATCCGGCCCGTGGTCCGCGAGCTTGAGTGCTTTCGGGCGTGATTGTTGGGCTGGCGGATTGATGGCCAAGCTACTGGCTTGGGTCCTTTCCAATATTCGAATGGTTTGTAACCCAGATTGTTGGTTTTCACCTCATCTTGGCTGTAGAAGGAGGATGGGGGTCGTGGCATGTTTTCTATTTAGCCGCCGTGGGGCCGAGCCCGTGGAGCCCTTGTAGTGGTTGCAGGCTCTATGCAGGCTGGGGATACGAGTCTTGGACAGACAGGAGTGTAAGATGCCAGATCTGGCAGCCAGATCTGCATGCCAGTCCAAGCGAGGCGCTACTGTGACTCAATGTGGCGAGGAAGAATCAGGACTACTTGACAAGTAGTGTTCGAGATAAATGACCTCTCGGTGGGGACGTTTGAGGAGATGGAATGTATATGAAGATCATGATATGAGATAACTGGAGAGAAAGAAGAACTTACAGGCCCTTCCATATGCAAGAAGCAGGAGGTGAGGGAGGGACGGTCTCGAGATAGATATCTTTCTGATCGACGAGCGGGTCGAGCAGGTCTTCGGATGTTTGATGCCATGCCTTGCACTGCACTGCCATGCCATGCCACGTCCGTCTCGAAATGCAGATGATACCCCCACGGGGCTGTCGTTCATGTGCACCCCGGTTCTGCACGCCTTGCACAGACCTGCTGTCCTGTTCTGCCTTGCTGCATGCAAGAAAAGCTTGACTGTCTGGAAGAGCGAGCCTCAGACTTCAGATAAGCGAGACTGTGGTGTCGCATGTGGGACCGTGTTGTCCATGCGATCTTCGCTGCCAAAGGCTACCGGACGCGTAGGCTGGGGCATGCAAAAGATCAGATTATGTCCTAGTTCAGATGGTAGCTTCAATGGCACGCGGTACATGGGTCGGGAGAAGGCAGTGTTTCGGGACGAAGCGAAGTGTACGGCCCAGGCACAGGAATCAAGCTCAATACTCTGGGGCAGATCAGGTTCGTGAGCATCTGGGGCAACCCCAGACTGCTTCAGGTTCAAGCTCGTTCATGCGTTTCGCGGGACACGCTGGGGCTGTCTGACGTGATTTGATCGTGATCAGCGCCGTTGAAGAATTGTGGGTGCTCACGAATGACAGAGTGCAAGAGGCTGTCGAGAAATTTGCCGGTGAATCCGAAATTCTGTCACAGCAAGTAATAATTCAGCAATACGTCGTCGTCTCCATGATGCAAAAGAACAGATCAGAGGACATGTGGCATCAATGGAACAGGGAAATTTCAGATGCCAGCGCCCAATCGTCCTGAGGGAAGGATGGAGAAGGGGTCGAATTTCAGACGTTGACTGGTCTTGGCAACTGGCAACTGTCTGCTATGCCGCCTATGCCTGAATCGAGGGAGTTTCAGTAGTGAAAGACCCAGAACCAAGACATCGATTTCTCATCTCATATAGCCCAAGTTCCGTGCTCATCAAGCGCGAATCAGGGACGACTCCGAGATCCGTGCTTTTCAGGCGTCTCGGCGCTATATGTGACAGCGGCAGGGGCCGCGTCAATACTGCAACTCGGGGATTTTGTATGTGTTCGCCTGAGAAAGCTTGCTGAACCTTCGTGATGCTCTCGTTTCGGAGATCAGAGAAGCTCAACGGTAAGACCTCAGAAGAGAGCTTTAATCTGGCGTCGGATCCGAAGGTTATATATTTGATGTGATCGCTATTCCTTGAGAGAATCTTCCTCTCGGACCAAAGTCAGACTGCGACTACTGCAGGTGATGAACTAAATACTGGTGAGGCGTCAAGATCATTCGCTTGCGCGCGCGAGTCGTGTGGGGTGTGGTGTCGCGGATGGAAATCAGGATTTGGGCCAGGGCGGTCAGAGGTGATCGCCAACACAGCCCATGCATACTAACACACCCCGGACGGTAAAACACCAGGAGGTGTCGATATGTTTCTTCGATATTCATGCGCTCGACGTTACCGGAGCTCCGTAGGGCTCTAATGCTGTTCCAGCCTAATCATCGTCGTCATCCTCCACCCTTGGCCGCTTCGATTTCCGGTCATCGGTCTCCTGCAAGCCATAGCCCCGTTTGCCCGAGGATTGTTCCACCTCGGATAAGAACTTGTCCACGTTGAACGGGTCCACCGTCTCCTTCTCGAATTGTACTGGTCCTTCGCGCTCCTCTGCGTCCTCTGCCCCCTTGAACTTGCCCTTGCCAAGTACCTCGCCGAACCGGCTCGACTTCTGAATCTTGTCCATCTCCTTGTCCCCGGCCATCTCATCATCCTCATCCATGTTCGCACGCGGTCGGTAGATACTGCTGATCGCATCCTGCGCTGCAAACAAAGGCTTGTCGTAGGGGTTGTCCTCGTTGAAACCGCTGTCAAAACCACTTGACTGGTTGAAAAGCCGCGAGTCGTACATGCCCTCCTTGCTTTGAGTAGGTTTCGCAAGGCCCAGTGCAATCTTCTCAGAGATATCACGGTTCTGCTCCCGAGCCATGACCTGGATACGCCTCTCTGCACCCATGCGAGACTGACGTAGCTTGCGCTCCTCCTCCCGCCGCCTTTCCTTCCGTGCTTCTTCACGTTCACGGACCGCCGACTCATCGCTGTCGTAGGACGACCCGGAATCTGAGCGGCTGTCGTAACTGCCTGATCTTGACCTACGCCGACTGTGCCCCGCCTTCTCCTCTCGTGCCTGCTGGGCGAGTGACCGTAGATGTTCCTCCTTTTGCTGCTTCTCTTTTTCTGCCAGACGCTGCTGCATCAAGGCTCGCTGTTTGACTTCCTCACGGGCATGCCTATCTGCCATGAAGAGTGCCTCTGAGAATTGCGCAAACTTGTCGTTGATCTGCACGTCTTGTAGACCTCGTCCGTCAGCAGCAAGACGTTTGTCCAAGGGAACCGTGAATCCCTTCGGGTTCTTCCAGTTCGACACCGGCGGCGGGATCCTCCAGTCCTCCTGGTCTTGAGCGGTCAACTTTCTTGGTGGCGACCTCAGTACTGGAGGTGGCGGTGATGGCGGGCCGCGGGGAATCTTCTTGACCTTGAACTTGGGCGGCTCCATGGGATCACGCTGCCTCTCGACGATCTTCATGATCCGATCCTGCTTCTTCGAGTTGTCGCCCATCTGGTTCGCCGGCGTATACCTCACAAACGTGGGGTCGCGGCTGCCTCCCACGTTGACATTTTTGGGCTTCTGCGACGCCACAGCACCGCTGACCAGCTTCTCCAGCGCTGCCTTCGTCCTCTCCGCCGTAGCAGCGACCTCCTCCTCGCTCGGCCGCTCGAGGTTGATCTCACCGGCATCTGCACGCTGCCGCAGCGGTATCAGGTCCTTGAAGCTTGTCTGTACTATCCTGTTTTCCGCATGACCCTGCTTCGCGATAGCATCGTATTTGACCTTTCCATCGCCATCAACAGTGAGAGCAAGCGCGTTGGACTTGTTTGCCGAGCCGCCCTTGCGGCCGAGATCTAGCGGGTACTGTGCGACGTGGATCTCAGGAAACGCGCCACCATCGCCGAAATCCTCAGGATTGCGTGGTCGCCATGTAGAGCGTTGTCCGTAGGGCGGTGGCCCGCCAGCTCGCTTTAGGACGATCTGGGATTCGTTGAAGTGGCCTGGGCCAACGATTCTGGGACCACGCTGGTTGGCGCGGGATGGAAGTTCCTCGTCCTCACCAGTGTAGTTCGGTTTAGGGAGGGACTGGGAGAGTGCGGCTGCGAGGGAAGCCATTGTGGGCGCTTGGAGTTATGGCGAGGATGGCTTGAGGAAGGTTGATGGACGACTGTTGTCAACGCTGCGCAAGGCCGATAGAAATCAAGGTCCCGACATTTGCTAGCGCACGGGCCACTATGCATGGACCAGTCCTGCTTACTCTAAACCGTACAAGAATGCCTACGTACCTAACCGAATACGCAGGCGTGTTGCTCGTCCGGCTCAAGCAAAATGAAAATGGCTTTGATATTAAGTCTGATCGTACGACAAAATCAGAGTGTTCAAAGCGGTGGTACTGCATATCGATATATGTTCATATTGAAAGTGGTTATCAAGCTGCGGCAAGTGACCGCATCTGGCTGTCTTATCCCCCGTTTAGCCCGCCTTGTGGAAGAACACGCTGAAGCCCAGTTCACTTTTCATGCTTCATAAATCAATCGAGCCCCTCCTTCCTCGAGGAGAAGTACATTGGATAAGCTCCCATTCCAGTTTCCATCCTACGCCGTGCACGAGCCCAAAGAAGTAAAAAGAGCGTGACCGCACTGAGCGATCATACGTAGCCTTTTCTTGCGCCCTGGAAGAAGAACCGCACGACAAAGACCTGCAGCGCACCCATGCAGACAACCAGGCCACACTGGATCAAGCTGAAGTTGACGATCCTCTTCTCGGTGCTGCGAACGGTGCTGAAGTTGCGGTTCTCGCGCGTGCGGAAGTACTTCTGGTTGCGAGATATGGTAGACAGCTGGCCGGAGATCTTGAAGACCGACTCCTCGAGGGAGGTTGTCTGTTCTGGTGAGCTGCCCTGCTTGGAGGGGAGGTTGACCCGGGCCTCGTTCTCGACCTGCAGACGAAAAGGTTAGAAAGGCTTTGTGGCAGCGTTGGTGCGTCGGTGGTACTGACCGCAATCTCGAAGTCGACAAACTTGTCCGTGACAGTGCTCATCTCGTTGTTGAAGCAGAACGAGTAGTCCCCGATGTCGTTGCCCGTGAAAACGAAGTCTCCCTGGCGCTCCTTCTGCCCGTCTATGACAACCTTGCCCGTTGGGCCTGTAACTTCGAAATCGACATCGAACGAGCCTCCGGATTGGACCTAGCTACTTGTCAGTATTGCGTCTTGCTGTTGAGCTGGCACTCGGGGACGGGGCGTACGGCAAAGTAAAATGCGATCTTTTGGCCCTTGTCCTGGTTGTTGGCATAGAAGCAGGCCTTCTCGTTTGCGACAAGCTTGTAGGTCAATGCTGTCGCAGAAACATGGCTAGCGAGCAGGGCTACCAGCCCGCATGCGAGAGTTGTCAGCTTCATCGTCGGGCAGCGGCTTGCTGTGATAGATTTAGGCACGGGTCATAAAGAAGACGGTAGACGGTACAGTAGACAAGGCTCTGGGGGGCCAGCAAGCAAGCAAGCAGCTTCGTCGCGACATGCCACGGTGCACCTGTTTCCAGCTGCTCTAGCGCTATGCCTAAAGTGGAACAGAGCCATGCAGGGGCCAGGTGGAGACCTGTCTGAGTACCTAGGCGTGCTAGGTACGTAGTCTACTTCGCAGCACACTACCTAAACTAAGTAGACTACACTGGCACCTTTGCACGCCGGCGGAAATAAGCAGCCAGGAGCGCCACAAAAACAGTACGTACACAGTAGACCGTTGTGCCTGTAGAGTGCGTGCTATTAGTATTGGCATCAGACGGATGAAAGCAAGCGGTAAATGACATCAGTCTTCGTGGAGAGTCCCATACCACACCCCCTGCTCGTTTTTGTTTCAACAGCCAAGTGATATCTGTTTTGTATTCAATCTTCCCTTCGATGTTCTGATCTTCTTTTATTGACTGAGCTGCCTCGCCCTCAACTCAGTCTCGACTCAGCCCTCTTGCATATCCTGAATAGGTAGCTGGGTAGTGACAGTCAACACCTCTGACACGTTAATCTGAGCAACAGACAGCGAGTCTCGCTGTACGAAACCATGGCTGTTCAGAATGCCCTCACAAGCTCCTCGACCATTGTAATAAGAGCCGTCTCCTATTTCTTCCTACGATGGGTAAGTCATACCAGCCTGCTGTAGTCCTGTGAAGTTGAGACGGCTAACAAGTCGAGTAGGGCCTGCTTCCTGTAAGTTTAGACATCGCAGCACAAACTAAACTCATGTGTGGTTCTGATGAGTATGCTAGCCGCTCGCACCGATCGCCTTCACGGCCTTCGCCATTTACATTCCCGCCTCTATTTCAAGCTTCTTCCACGCACTGCAGAATGGCCAGGAAGAGGTGGTCACGACACAGACTGCTCGAACTCTGGTGCACAAGGAGGCTAACGGCGAGGTCGTCGAGGACATTGATGTCACTGATACACAGTTGATCATAGAAGAGTCTGGGGACATCAGTCCCTGGCGCACAATTCTGGCAGGCGTCCCGAACCCAAGCCGCCTCGTCCTCACTCTGATCACCTTCCTGATCAATCTCTCCTGTGTGACCATGGTGGCCGACCGGTTGTACTCAGAGCACTTGACCCCAACCGACGACCTGGCCTTCGTCAGGCCGGGATTCATATCTGAGAAGCAGGCCAAGTTCCTCGTCCGAGAGCCTGACCAGTCAAAGATGCCTGTCACCTTTGAGATCCGTGTCAAGGATAATCAACTTCCCTTCAAGACGGAAGATTTCATTACAGCCGGTGGTGTCCTCGAGACGTCCAATGACACAGATTACACCGCCGTGGTTGACATTACTGTGACGCACCATCCACAGCTTACATACGAATGGAGAACCTCGAACGGCTTCTCGGGCGAGTTCACATCACCCCCCGAGGCCGGCAGATACCCGGACAAGTTTGACGGCAAATTTACCTTCCTGTCAACCTCTTGCATTGTCAACCGTCTGCCTTACAATCCCCTGGACCACCCTCTTTCGATCCCCGGAATACGCCATCTCAGCAATCTGTTGCCGGATCTGGGAGCTCAGTTCATGTTGTTCCTGGGCGACTTCATCTACGCAGACGTTCCCCGCCTGTGGGGCCAAAGTGCTGACAATGTGAGTGACACCTTTATTTCAATGTCAAATTTCACGACCTCTTACTTTTATTGAATGGGGGTTTTCCTGTTCTCGGGCGTCTGGCGTCCCCGGGCCAGCGTTGATTTTTTATCTTCTTTCGAAACCTGTGGTACCGTTCTTCAGAAACGAAACTGATTGATTTGATCTTCTCCAGTATCGCCAGAAATACAGAGCAGTCTATGCTTCACCTGAGTGGCCAAGCGTCGGACAGAACTTGAGCTGGATTCACGTCTTGGACGACCATGAGATTCAGAACGACTGGGATGGGTACGTACTGCCTGTATTTGCCTTGCCCGATCCGTGGCATTATGGATGTCTGAAGAACAACCGAGACTACATTGTTACAGACGACTAGGTGCTCCCTTGGATTTTCTGAACGAAGCATGCTAGAAGGAAAATCATACTAACAACACGACCAGGAATACGACTGGAGTATATACTGCTGCCGTGGAGCCATGGCACCACTACCACACAGCAGTGAACCCACCTTCAGTAAGAAGGCCATCCTCGACGAGTGTCAGCACTGGCGCCACGTGGTTTGAATTCGCCCAGGGTCCGGCGAGCTTCTTCATGGCCGACACGCGGTCCTATCGATCATCCAACAAGATCGACTACGAGGACAAGGACAAGACGATGCTCGGCGCAGAGCAGCTAGCGGACCTCATCGCGTTCATGCAGAAGCCCGAGCCCAAGGGCGTCGACTGGAAGATCATCGCCTCGTCGGTGCCCTTCACCAAGAACTGGCCCGTCAACGTGCAGGACACCTGGGGCGGCTTCCTGGTCGAGAGGAAGAAGATCCTCGAGGCCATGTGGGACGTTGCCGCCCGCGGCATCGGTGTCGTCGTCCTGTCTGGAGACAGGCACGAGTTCGCGGCCACAAAGTTCCCGCCGCCCGAGAACTCAACATGGACGGAGGCGGCGACGGTGTACGAATTCTCGGCCAGCCCTCTGAGCCAGTTCTACTCACCCATCGGTACCTACCGGCAGGTTGATAACGAGGATGTTCAGATCAAGTACGTCTCGTTACCCTCCCTTTTTCCCTGTTCATGAATTGTTTTCACGAACCACCACTGACCAAATATCCAGATACATCAACAAAGGTTATTCCAAGTTCGGCGCTATTACCATCGAGAAGATACCTGAAAGCGGCAAGAGCAGCCTTTCTTACCGCCTTTTCGTGGACGGCGTCGAGGCCTGGAATACAACAATCCTCTCGCCAGATAGGACGGTGCAGAGCAAACTTTGGGACCGTATTACCGGTTCGCGATAGAACAGAAGGCTCTGGTTTTTGTTTCATGGCGGCAATCCTCCACCAACTCATGTTGCATCGCAGACTCATGACCTCATGCTATATTAGACCCAGGGCGAAGTCAGGCTTCTCTGGAAGATTTTGCTAATTAAAGAAGATTTCGAAGGCATTTCAACATGGGCTATCGCACAGCCTCTGGTCGGCGTTGGGATGGCATGTTGTCTCCAATGCACCAGAGTGACCTACTAGAACCAGCCGCATGGGGTAGTGCTCTGCATAATTTTGGCCTTTGGAACAAGTTGACATTGTTCTTATACCCCTGTTTCACTTCCCCTACAAGAAGCAGAAATGCGGCGAATTCTAGGCTACATAAGAATGTTCTTTTGATAAAAGCTGGAAACAGCTCTAGTTCATGAATTGCCCAACGCGTGAAGCCACCCAGCCATCCTGCGCCAGAGTCAGCGTAACAAACGGGCGACAGTAAGCAAGCCTCGTCTACAGTAAATCATCCACAATTCCAGGAGGGGAAATCTCGACCAACTCATCGACAGAAGCCCAGTGTCCCTCCTCAGCCTCATCGGTATTTCTCACGACCGTGCTCCTCGAACAATCTGACATAGCGTCGCTACCCATCGAAGCGGAAGTCCCGGTAGGTCGGACATTCTCAGGAGCTCTTCTCACGCTCTGATTCATTCTCGCAGATAGCGGCTGGTGTTGCGGAGACCGCTCAGCAACATCAATGTCATCGGGCAGACCGCTAACGAACGAGAAGTCGTGGCTGTGTCCACCATTCCGCTCACGTATATCCTGAGCTCGCGTGGCCAGTCTCTCATGCATCTCAACTTTGCTCTCGGCCCTCTCAGCCCTCCTCTTCCACTTGGTCAAGTCCGCCTTAGCACAGTCGAGATCTTCCCGCAACAGGATCTCATTCACTTGGCTCGCCTTCCTGTTCTCCTCGAAATCCAGGCGGAGCTGAGCATACTCTTCGCTCTTGGCTGAAAGTTCTTGTCTGAGACTACGGATCTGATCGCGGAGTGAAGAAGCACTGCGACCTCGGCTGGGGCTGCGGCTGAGGCTGGGGGAGCTTACGTCTTGGCTGTAGCTCGCAGCCTCACTGTATGCCGATGTAATACTATGCTGTGAGAGACGCGGCAAGCCTCTACTGCCACCCCTTGGCGGTAAAGGACTGGAGTAATATGCGACGGGTCTTATCTCGTGTTGAGCTGTAAGCGTGAGAGGCGTTCTTAGTATCTTCGATGAACCATCTAGCTGCACCAAGGAGACTGGACCTGTGTCAGAGACCTCCTTGTTTGGGAATGCACGGGAGGGAGTGGGCAGTCTTGATTTTTTGGGATGTGATCGCATGATCTCCAGCGAAGGCCCTGATTCATCTCGCATTTTTGTAGGACTAGCCTGTCGTTTGATCTTGTCACCGCTAACCATGTGCTGTGGTCTTGGAATCCTTGAGACATTAGCACTGTCGGCTGTGGATGAAGGTAAAAATAGTTTATCTCGTGAATGACGCATCAAAGAAGCCGGTGTCGATACTGAGGTAGCAGACTGAAGCGGGGACGGATTGCTGGTATATGGTGAGACCAGTCCAGGAACCTCTCGTCGTTGCTTCTGTGTACCATCTTCCACAGTAGGTATGAAAGGCGAGGCTCTGGCAGCATTGTCAAACTTCGCGGCCAAGTCCAAAACCTTGTTAGTACCCCGCTTGAGATCACCACGGCGGTTGATGGCTGGCATGGGGGATATTGTTTGTGGAGTGACCAAGGGCGGCAGCTTGTGGCATTTGGCTTTCCCATCATTGTGCTGCGGCGCCGGGAGCTTAGACCAGCTCTTCAAGAGGGGATAAGATGATGGTCGACTAACAGCGGTCTTTCGTCCCTCGTGATGATCTCTGAGGTCATGGAACAATCCGCGATATGAGTTCCCAGCCGTAACGATGTCTGCCGCCCCGTCCATCTGGTCAGGGGTGACAATATGCATTGAGCCAGGAGCATTCTCCACTTGATCATCCTCTTTCTCATGTGTTGACTTGACGGACCTGCTCGATGAACCAGCATGCGTGATCTCAGTTGTCGAGTCTGTGTGAGAATTCTTGGGCTGGTAACGCATTGTAGACGTTCCACTCAGTATTTTTGCACCAGGGACCACCGCGTACGCGGTCATCGAGTCTAGGTCGCACGAGAACGTAGGTTTCAAGTTTTTCCCGGGAATTGCAGCCAAGTCGTCTTGGTTTGAAGCCTTTGGGTTTCCTGATGTGGTTCTTCTGGCATCACATTGTCGTGTAGTCCCAGCCTTTGCCTCAGGGGTTGACTTGTATTCTTCAGTCGTGATTGTTTTCGTACGTTTCACCGGGGTGGCTCCCTTGCTTGAAACCGTCGATTGTATTGGATTGACGGGCCCAGTTGAACTGTGGAATGGCTGCACACTAGGACTTGAACTTTTGCTTGTGGGGGAGATGTTCTCAAGGTTTGTTGGCTGCCTTTCATTTCGAATCTCTGCTGCCTTTTTGCTGGCTGATCTGAGAGAGCTCTTCAAAGGCGTCGCCCGCTTCGGGGTTGGGATGTCTTGATTCTCACAGCAAGACTCTTCCCTTGGAGGAGACAGGACTCCAAAGTTTGACCCCCGAGAAAGGTTCGAGGCAGAGCGTGTAGGTTGATGCCGTGTCTTCTTCACAGAAAGAGCTTCGTTGGTTCTATCCACCTGTTTGAAAGACACAGCCCCTGGGCCTATGTCAGCCATATTTCTCAACATTCAGGAACAGACCCATCAACTCACTAGAAGAAGAACCTGTAGGGCTAGGCGGACGATCCTCAGACATTCGGACGTCCAGAGACTGGTGGGGTGCGGAGGCATCTTCTGAATTTCTCGACAGGCTCGTTGCACGCCTTGAGTTCTCGGAAATCGAGGCACGGCTGCGATGTCGCAGTATGCTCAAGCTTTCGTCCAGATTTCTCATCTGTTTAACAACATCTCTCCAATTCGTGATGAGCATTTCCGTGATATCATTGGCAACGTGAATCTTGTCAACGTCCCAGAAAGCTGGCGGGGGTTCATTAGTCGACTCCTTGGCCTTCTTCTTCTCATTCTTTGGCTTCTGCTGAGGTGACACTGGAACAAGGAACAGCCCAGAGCTAGGATCTGCCAGCTTCACAGCATGAGAGCTGAGCATATCACCAATCAGCAGCGGTCCAAAAACAATCCCAAGAGCACTGTAGCCCATAAGGTCCGATGTGGGCAATGGCCTTCCTGAATCATCTTCCCTTGGAGCTGTCTCAGCAGCTCGCCCAAGGAGGCATAGGAGACCAAACACAGCACAAATCAACTCCCTTCTGTATTGTGATCTCATAGTTCCGACGGCAAGGGCAATGAGTCGCGCTCGGAGCTTGCTTTGTTTCGTCCTGCTGAACTCGGGATCGGTGTATAACTGGCTGTTGATCGCAACCAGAGCGTCGAAAAGTGATAAAGACCCAAGGATTCCTCCTGGAAGGCCCGCCAGGAATTTTTTGAATAAGGAAGCAACATCGTGAACACCAGGGCTGATATGGGATGGCAGATTCGGGCTTCGAACCGTGTTGGCGACATCCCCTCCCACCTGGTGTGCGCAGTAAAACTCGTAGAGCTCGTTGACGACTCGCACCGAGCCTGGAATCCTGAAGACACCGCGTGTCTCTGGCGCTACTCATTGTCAGTGATTTGAAGCTAGGACTGAGAAAGGACAAGTTGCTGACCGAGATGGACCAGATACTGCGCAGTGGCGCGAAAGCACGTTGGTAAAATCAAAGACCCGGGTGCATACTCGGGGGGCAGATACAAGAAGCTCTTGCCACACAGACGGACCAGTCCCTGAAGATCTTGGTCCTTGAGGCTGTCCCTTTTGGGATGTATCATATGGGCCGTCACATGACCAATACTGCGTTTGCGCTTGACGCTATGCTCTGTAGACTGGCTGGAAGTTCTTCTGAAGGTGCGCGACCACCAGTTGCGTCTGGGAGCGATTCCCTCAGACTGGTCCACACGTCAGGTAAATTTCTTGAGCGGAATGCCCAATCTATGCTCCGAGGATACCCAACATACCTCGGAAGTCTCGGGCTGATCGGGGATCAGTTGACGCACGCCATGCTGTTCAAATAGTCAGTTGAGTAAGACTGGTCATTCGAACCGAATGTACATGCCTTCTTTGCCAACCTGTTGTACTCCTCAACAAAATCATCTCGGTTCGCGATCTCGTCCGTGTCGGACATCATATCACCACTGTTTGAAGTCCAAGTTGCGCTGCTTTGGATACCACTAGATGTCTTCTTGACTGGAACGGATAGGCGGCCATGATACCCGGTGACCGAAGGCCTTGGCTTGAGATCCGGCGTGGAAAGCTCTCGGGACGCCCTCATATTCGCAAGAGAGAGAGGGTGAGCACATGAACAGCAGTCAAGAGAAGCAACGCTGCGCATGAAACTAGGTCTGAGAACTCAGCAGATGACAGGTTGAGATGGATCCAATCGCCATCCGTCGTCTACATCCGGATCGGTATCGCAGGTTCAAGGATGTCCAATAACGAAGCTTGAGTGCAGTGAATAGCCAACACTGCTGACGGGTAAGTACAGGAGGATGATAACGAGATACTGCCGTTAGTGCAATCCAAGACGAGCTGAAAAATGCGAATGCGAATGATCGAGAAAACGAAAAGAGATCAGAAGGTGTTTGCTTAAAGTTGGAATCTTGTCGGCATGTTTACTTGCTTGCTCGGAGGGCGCACTGCAGGTGAATGAGGAGTTTAGATCACCATCGTCCCTTCCACAGACGTTTCGAGCCTCTTTCACATCATTGCACCTGCCTCACCTGCAGATGGTCTCAAATTCCCGTCATTGAATCAGAGTGAGTAGATCAAACTGCAGGTCGGTTCGTTTCTGCTGGTACAATCTCAATACGAACTGCTGGAGTGGTGGTACCCGGCCGTACACCGTCCCTGATAGCTTTGCACCAAAATGGTATTATGTCTTTGCCAAACTTACCATGAGCCGTTCAACAGTACTCCGGCACGTTGTGAAACCTCGCCGTTGGCACGTGCAATGGAGGACAAAAGCCAAGTGAATTAGTCGCGCGAAGAGGTGCTCACGTCGTCCTTAGCAGTCGACCTGCCCCCCTCTGTCCTTCTGAATACATCTAAAGCGCAGAGTCATTTTTTGTTCTTGTGTTTTTTTTGTTGGCGGTCTTCCTTCTGGTATCCCAAAATTAGAGGTTGCCTCCCAAGATATCCCGTTCCTTGTACGTCGCCCAAAGGTCTATAATAGCCGGAGGCAATGACAATATTGTACCCATGCAATCAGCCTCCTGGAATCCCTTCTTCCGTCCATGACCCTCCCCTAACGCCCTGCAAATGCCTCGAAACGCAGAAAAGCCCCATACGCCTGGGATGATGGGAATGTGGACCGTGAGGCTGAGGACTGTTTCCTGCCTGGTCATGCTTGCTGCATGTGCTCTTCTTCTCCGTGGACCAGGACGTACTTTAAGATGTCGGACAGGGAGATGATGCCCCTGAGCTTGCTGTCGTCGTCTACTACAATCAGCCGATGTACTCTGGATTTTCGAACCGTGTCGAATATCGAGTCAAGACGATCCTCTTCTGTGCAAGTGTAAATGCCCTGGAAATCATCCGATCGTTTGCACAACGCGTCTCCGACAGTGCCCGATAGCTCATCGTAGGCACCGCCCTTGATACAGGGGATGACATCGATAGCTTCGAACACATTGACAACGTGGTTCTCTTGATCCACAATCGGGACAGCCGAGATATTGTATTTGACCATGAGCGAGATCACGTCGAGCACGGAACTGGTCATGCTTGCCGTTGCCATATCCTCATATGTTCCGAGATTGAGCTCCCGTACAGTCTTTTTGAGGAGCATTGTATTCTTCTCATTGTTCACGGCGATGAACTTGAGTATTCGATATTGGGTGATGACGCTGACCACACTCTCCCTGCCCGTCTCGTCATCGATGTCGACTAGGGGTATTCTGCGGGCTCGAGTTTGCAGCATCTTTCGACAAGCTTCATAAAGGGGCCGTCCTGGGTGGAATGATACGGTCTCGAGAGGTGTGACGCCAATTGCCTTTTCGACCTCTGATAGCAAAAGAAATTAGACCAGTATGCCTGCCAATGTGACGCATTGCCCCTGACACTGTTCACCTACCTCGCAAGCTGCTTAAACGGAGTCGATCCACATCCTCGAATCTCTCGGGGTTCTGGAGATAGTATTGGATGACGTTGATGTAGTCTGTGCTTGTAAGGAGACCTGCAAAGGTCGACGTTTTCGAGTCCCATAGCGGAGCGGACACAATGTCTGGACCAAACGCGTCAGTGCGATGTAGACGAGATTACGGTATCCGAGTTTGGCGTACTGTTCTGCATGAGGATGTTCACGCTCGTGCGAATTAGAAGGTCATTGTCGAGGACGATGAGTCGGAAGGATAGGGGCAACACATCGTAGCTGGTTCGGACCTTGAGGAATTCCCGTATAGCCCTCTGTCAACGAAGTCAGCAAACCCGGACCGGCCATCGAGCTTGTTTATCATATTCGACATTCGGGGGTTTCAAGAACATGCGCGCGCCCTGCTCCCGGCTCACCGAGCTCACCATGCTCGCTGCCAGTACCCCGCACCTTCATGCAGGTCGCGCGAGACGACATTGAGCCACGTTGGATAGGCCAGGCAGTGCAGCAGTGGCCTCGCAGACGTGGCACCAGCGGCGGGCGAGGGATCGGGATGTCCATATCAGCGGCGCAGGAGACGGCGAAAGGAAAAGAGGAGCGCGCGGGACAAGTGTCTCGGCCCGAAGGACAGGAAGGCTTACCAGACCCTGCATCTGCTCTCTGTCGAGCGGCGTCATGAGGGGCTTCTCTGCTGCCAGGGGAAAATCTGTGCGACTGTGACTGCTGGCCGTGGGCCTGTTGGCAACTGGAGCGCGCAGGTGCAGGTAGGTCGAAGGCGTGACAAAAGGCAGCTCGTGACCTGGATGTCTTGCACTTGCGATGGCGGCAGGCTGCTTTGGGCCACCCTCGCTGGGATTCGCGGGGTCCGTCATCTTAACTGTGGCCTGCGGTTGCACATGAAAGGGGATGCTGGTTCTAAAGTCGGGTCAAGGCCTGGCCCCTAGTGTCCCCGATTCAGGCCACTGGTTCCGGTGCTCAGAAACATGTGCCGCGCCAGGGAATTGGAGACAAGTTGGCTCCAGCCTCGAGCCTCCCGGCAACACCTCCAGTTTCTATCAGGTCAAGCGCCAGGTGTAAGGCAGGCTGGCAGGTTGTGCGGGGAGAGAGATGCGTGTGCTGGTGCTGAGTGCGGACGCTGCTGGTGATAGTGATGGAGGTGGTGGTGAGGTCAGACGGCAGAAGTCGGTGGGCAGCAGTGGTAGTGGGAAAGGAACAGAACGGAGACAAGTTGGGCTCGAGGTCTGATGGCCGTGGGCAATATCTGTCTTTTCAGACAATGACCGCTGCTGCTGCAGCAGTGATCAACCCACCAACGGATAATTGATGCTTCTTTCTTGCAGTTGGTGCCCCGTGTTACTGCCTCGATGCTGCAGTTCGCCCGAGCATTGACGGTGGACGAGGGGACTGGACTGGACGGGACGGGACAGGAGTGGACGTTTTATCAGATAAGCAAAGTGCAGCGGGAAGGGAAGCTGGGGGCCCTTGGGTGCTTCCTCCCATCCCAGCCTTGGGAGCTGTTGCCTTCACATGTGCGGACGAGAGCAATATGGGAGGAGGTCTCGTACGCCTTGTCCTGCTGCAGTGCTTTCTTGTTTCATCCTGGATCGACAAGAGAAAAAACTGACATCTCGCTTGCCTCCAAGCTCGCACTCTTGCGATGGCACCAAAGCCAGCAAGCCAGGCAGATCCTACGCCTACCTAGTCTAAGTATCTAATGTTGGGACTAAAGCAGGATGCCTAAAAAGGCAATTGACTTACGACACAGAATGTACTGCTGCACGGTTGTAGATGCACCTGCCATCAGCTTCTCTTAGCCCAGGTGTTCGTGGAGTATAGCCAGCATAAATACATATCGATAGGAGATCGAAGACGTACCATATCAAGCTTCTCCGCTTCCGAGGGGTCACCTCACCATTCCTCCAAGGCTGGTACCTATGGGATTTGCTTACAGGTGAACGTGTGTGATTGCAAGCCTGGGTACTCTACTCCGTGGTCAATACCGATCTACCTATATCACCCAGCACCCAGCATACATAGTCTAGGTCTATCGCCGACGGGCTTGTTTGAGTAGTGGTTTACCTCGGCCTGTATATCTCCGGTTGATCTCCTTCCCGAATGTCGAGATCACCGGGTCCTTTAGACATGCAGGCAATGGCACATTCTGTTCTGAGACTACAGTCAGTGCACATGAGTGAGGTTCATTACCCATGGAGGGCTACAAAGTCCCAACGAGAACTGAATGAAGCAGAGAAAGCACGGCTAACAAGCACACTCGTCCGGTCCATTCGGCACCCCAGCCGCTTCCACAAACGTAACCCATTACAGTATACAGCTCACCGGGACCCCTGTTCGGGCATGACATGACCGAGCACATAGCAACCCTTCCATTGGAAAAAGCTCTTGTAGCATAACCGCCTTGGGATAACCTCCTTGGGATAACCTCCTGTGGGATAACCTCCTGTGGGATGACCTCCTGTGGGATAACCTCCTGTGGGATAACCTCCTGTGGGATAGCCTCCTGTGGGATAACCTCTTGTGGGATGATCTGTGAGGAATCCTCTCGCGGGGATCAGCTCTCTTCCTCTACTTACTGACCGATCTGTGGACTCCTCTTGTCTAGAAGAGCCGGAGCCCTTCTCTGGAAGTAGGGATGGATCAGTTTGGGAACGTAATCCAATCATATCCACTCAATTTTGAACTGGGTCTCTCACCGTCACTATAGTCTATACCAGCCATCCTGCGCCCCGGCCGAGGTTGCCCGTCGGTACCTGGGCAGCTGGGCAGGTACCTACGGGGGCAGGTAGCGCGGTGGGCAGCCCCACAAGCTATGGACCCAGGCAAAAGATGCCGCTCGGTTCCCCCAGCATCTAGGTCGCCCTAGGACCACAGGTGCACAGAGCAACTCGAAGCTTCATCAAAACACAACATCCCCATACAATTACGTACGCTCTCGCGCAGCGCTCAACTCCTGGCTCCAACGCCTCAGCTCCTCCACTTCCATCTCTGACTGGAGACCTTACTCGAGCAACCACTGCACAGACATTTGGAGCATCCTTGGTGCAGCCTGCGATCCCGCCCTCGAGGCACACAGCTGCCGCTCCTCCGGCGTCCCAGATCTGTTGACACGGCCAAACCCAACACGCTGAGGCCGGTTCAAACAGCCCGCCGCCCGCCTTCGAGATGGGCATCTGCAGCTCCTCATGCTGTGGAGGTATGCCACTCCATCCTCCGGCAACGCATTTCTGGTTTTCCTCTGACCTCTAGGCAGCTAAATCCCGCGATGGCCTCTACGAGCCCGTCCTCGCTGACAGCGAGCGGGAGGCAGTCGCCGACCTCCTGCAGTATCTCGAAAATGTTCGCTGCGCCCTGTCCCGTGCTTGCTCATCGCGCAGAAAACTAACAACTACCAGCGCGGCGAAACCGACTTCTTCTCCGGCGAGCCACTACGAGCCTTGAGCACCTTGGTCTTCTCAGACAACATAGACCTCCAACGAAGCGCAAGTCTGACATTTGCAGAGATAACCGAAAGAGGTGCGTTTTGTATATCCCGGAGCCAGGAGAATGGGCGTGAAGAGCAAAATGCTTCGAGCAGCAAGCACCATGCTTGAACATAATCGGCGGCGTCAGTCTTTGCTAACGTGAAGCCGAGCAGACGTTAGAGAGGTCGACCGCGATACCCTCGAACCAATATTATTCCTGCTTCAAAGCTCTGATATTGAGGTCCAACGGGCAGCCAGCGCCGCTCTTGGAAACCTCGCCGTCAACAGTAAGTTGTTTGGGACGGAGACACCTGAACGCGATCGCTGACGCACTTCGCAGCGGAGAACAAAGTTCTCATCGTGCAATTGGGCGGTCTCCCGCCTCTCATCCGTCAGATGCTGTCGCCCAACGTTGAAGTCCAATGCAATGCTGTGGGGTGCATCACAAACCTTGCCACACATGAAGAGAATAAGGCGAAGATCGCGCGATCCGGTGCACTCGGCCCGCTCACGCGGCTGGCAAAGTCCAGGGACATGCGCGTGCAAAGAAACGCCACAGGAGCTCTCCTGAACATGACGCATTCGGGTATGTTGATCATGAACCCTCAGCTCAAGAAAGCCTGTCTGACCTTGTTGTCTAGATGAAAACCGCCAACAGCTGGTCAACGCTGGTGCCATACCAGTGCTCGTGCAACTACTATCGTCATCTGATGTCGATGTCCAGTACTACTGCACGACAGCCTTAAGCAATATAGCGGTCGACGCGACCAACCGCAAAAAGCTGGCACAGTCAGAAGCGAAACTAGTCCAGTCCCTTGTCAACTTGATGGATTCGTCGTCTCCCAAAGTCCAGTGCCAAGCTGCTCTGGCCCTGCGAAACTTGGCTTCAGATGAAAAGTATCAACTCGATATTGTCAGGTCTCATGGCCTGCATCCTCTTCTCCGACTTCTCCAGTCGTCCTATCTCCCGCTCATACTGTCTGCCGTTGCTTGTATAAGAAACATTTCGATACATCCCATGAACGAGTCACCAATCATCGAAGCTGGCTTCTTGAAACCGCTCGTGGACCTCCTCGGCTCTACCGACAACGAAGAGATCCAGTGTCATGCCATTTCAACCCTGCGGAACCTTGCTGCCAGCTCGGACCGAAACAAGGCACTTGTGCTGGAGGCCGGAGCGGTGCAGAAGTGCAAGCAGCTTGTACTCGATGTCCCCGTCACAGTGCAGTCAGAGATGACCGCCGCCATAGCAGTCCTGGCCTTGAGTGATGAGCTCAAGACCCATCTCTTGGATCTCGGGGTCTTCGATGTGTTGATACCACTAACGCAGTCGTCAAGCATTGAGGTCCAAGGCAACAGTGCAGCAGCGCTGGGGAATCTTTCCTCCAAAGGTACGTATTATATTTTACACCCGCTGGTTCCGCTCAAGCGGAGCAGAATGCTGATTAAAAGACAGTCGGAGAATATGCCATCTTTATACAGGCTTGGACTGAACCGCATGGCGGCATCCACGGATATCTTAGCAGGTTTCTTGCGAGCGGCGATGCTACTTTCCAGCATATTGCGATCTGGACACTGCTGCAACTTCTCGAGTCCGAAGACAAGAAACTGATTGGATTGATTGGCAAGTCAGACGACGTTGTCGACATGATCAAGCAAATCGCAAACAAGCAGATCGAGACCGAGGAGAACGAACCCGAGGAGGACGATGAGGGCGAGGTTGTCAACCTCGCTCAGCGGTGCCTAGAGCTCTTGGGTCAGAGCGGCTCCAAGGCCCACATCGAGGGTTGAGATCTGCTTCAAGGCTGAGTGTTGACGATTCAAAGACTGTATGGAGGCTTATGGCATTTGTTACTTTTACTGGTTGGGGTCTGCGGCGTCTCTTCTCTACGTCTCCTATACCTGCATTTACTTGGACTCGGCTGTTCGGCACGGTGTTCCCTGGCGTATGACTATATACAACATGAGGGAATGGGAGAGCGCTTCTTGTTGCTTGGTCTTTGTTCTGCATATATGTTTTCTTCAATCTGTTCGTGTCGGGTCTTTCAAACCGTACACCTTTACTGCAAAGAGCTTATTCCACTTAAATGTGTGTCTCTTTTGTAATTACTACGCACGGGCCCATGGGCCCGACAAGATATTTCCTTTGCTCTTCTTCCTGTGCGTGATCTTGATGGTCTAATGCCCCAATCCAATCCTACACAGAATTAGTCAGACAATGATAGGCCAGTTTGAGTGATGACCCATACCTTTTTTTTTTTTAGCAAAGTCAAGTCTTCTGCGTGCCTGACTAGTATCTCCGTCCAAAGGTAGCTGGTGCTTCAAGCTCCGAGTATCTGACTTGCTTGCGAGAGTATCACATACTCTTGGGGTGACTCATGGGTCGTGCCCAACATCAAAGGGGTTCTGAATGGGGTGAATCTGCCAAGGCCATGAGCCGGTCCGGGCAATCACCTTCCCATCGATCAAAGCCATGGGTACTGGCCCGTATAACCTGGAGTCTCGAGACGCGGGCAGATTATCTCCAATCAGCCAGACATGCCCAGGAGGGATCTAAGCCGCGCGTTAGTGTCTCCGTCCGTACTCAAACAGAGTTGCATGCTCTCTGCCTCACCTGTATCATGGTGTCCTGTCCAGTCTCGGGCGTTCCCATCATAACGTAATCGCCCGCGAGCCCGAGGACTCTCTTGATGGCAAAGCCGTCGTCGACAGGGATCTTGAAACGGACCAGGTCGCCGACCTCAATGTCCCTGCCGCGGCGGTACCGGTGCGATATGATGGCGCCTTCGCCCCAGACAGACCAGCCCGGCAGCATGGAGGGACCGGACACCGTGCCCCAGTCATAGCCGTAGGCATAGAAGAGGTGTGCGGCGGCCAAGACTTTGCCGGCGTCGGCGAAGAGGGACACGGGGCGGCCGTAGTACCGGCCGAGAAAGAAGCGGACTGCGGGAGTTGTGAAGCGGCTTATGAGACGGCCATGGCCCTGGCGGAAGAAGCGGAGGAAGGAGGACATGGCTGCGACTTTGCTATGAGAGCGACATGGCGGAGGGCGCGGACGTTTACTGGGCTGGATCATCCATCCATGAGCTCAGATGAAGAGTAGCTCTGGCGAAGACAATTTCCTGGATTCATAAGGTGTAATCAATGAGATTCATGAAGCTCACCAGAGCTGGACCCTGGCCATGTGAAGCACAAGAGCACTTACGTAACCCCATTGATGCGTCCTGATTGGTCATGGAAGCTACATATTTCCTCTGGCGACGACGAATTTGAAGCTCCAAGGGTTGCTCTCCAATCTTGTCCCTTGAAATTTTCACCAAGCCAGTCAGACGGAGAATACTTTGTCTCTTCTTCCTCAGCTTCTGGAATTGCCTACGCAACCACCTACAGACAGATCTGCTCCTCACCTGCTTCTTCACTCCTCGCCATCATGCCGAGCTCCCAATGCGTCTTCAACACGGCCACGGCCTTGCGGCGCGTCTTCATACCAGCCAACCTCGGGACTTCAAGCACTCTACACCTCACAAGAATATTCGTGCCGGCGCTCCTCACACAATCACATCAAGCGCGAGCATACTGGGCAGGCCGAGACTCGGGCACGAGCCAAACGCCGCCGAAACCCAGCCCCTCCATCTTCGACCGCGACAGCCACGGCCACACGAGATCCGCGAGCGGCAGCAGCTTCAACATCCGCCGCGGGGCGCAACCGCGCCGGAGAAAGGAGGCGGACCCGGACGCGCCCGGCCCGCGCGTGGAGGTCAAGCTCGGCCGCATGCCGCGCGACGACGAGATACACTGGCCCTACGTGTATGTCAAGCCGGCGGAGGGCTCCGGAGGGCTCGACTCCCCGCGACCGATCAAGGAGGTCCTGGCGGGCCTGGACCGCAAGACGACCTTCCTGGAGGCGGTGGCCCTCCCGCGGGCCGGTGACAGGGATGCGCCGCGGTGGCCTGTCTGCAGGATCGTCAACAAGAAGGAGGAGCTGACCAGGCTCAAGGACCTCAAAGAGCGCAAGAAGAAGGGAATTGTCAAGGAGAAGGAACTGGAGCTGAACTGGACGCTGGCGCCCCACGACCTGGATCACAAGTTGAACACGATGCAGAAGTTCCTAAGCAAAGGCTACAAGGTGGAGGTTGTGCTGCAGAAGAAGAGCCGTTCCAAGAGCAGGGCGACTGAAAATGATGCACAGGCGGTTATTGAAAGGATCGAGACGGCCGTCGGGGAGGTGAAGGGCGCTAAGGAGTGGAAGAAGAGAGAAGGCCAGGTGCTGGGCAGCTACAGGCTCTTCTTGCAGGGCAAAGCTCAGGAGGAGACCACCAGCGCCAGCTCTGGGGCGAAAGAGAAGTCTAAATCTGCAAGCACTGGTAAAGCAGAAGAGACCACAGCTAGTAGTAACATTGTGGCCGAGGAGAGCCAGGAATCAAGCGCAGGAGAGCAGAGCCGATCATGATGAGCTCAGCTGGTGTGATATCACTGTATTTCGGCATAATAGAGCAAAGCATACTTTTCTGGATCACATTATTTGTATTATGTTCTGGTTGAGGCAGATTTCAATTGTTGCCTTCATTCGTCATGTCCTCTGCACAAGCAATTCGACAGATGTAGGCTTGACGGCACAGCATCACTGGGGAAATAGAGAAGAAAAGAGAGTGAGAGATGGCCCACTAGAGGGTTTTGCCAAGACTTAGTGTTCAGACGTACACTGTCATGGCAGCCAGCTGGTGAGAAGGAATCTGAGGGGAATCACACAGGGCCACGCTGATTTGGGTTGATGAATTGAAATCCGAGTCACAACAGAGTTCCCATGGCGAATGTACAGCAGCTACATGCCAGGATAGGACAAACCAAGACAGGGGTTTGGTGTATATTTCGCCCAATCAGCAAAATCAACTCGATCCTCATGATTTGTACTAGAATATTTGCATCAGCATAGGTATGAGCTCTAGAAGCAGTCTGGCCCATGAAGTTTTGTCCTTTGCAAATACCTAGACAGGTGTTGTGCCTGACAAAGTTGGTGGTAGCAACTGACAGAGGTTCGGATCAAGCCGAATTTAGCGCCAAATCGAGGAGGTACTTCAGGGCAGATCCCAGCTGGGGTGGGCGCGGGGCAGGATTCTCAAAAGGTACATCATCTAAGTACAGGCTCAGTTGGGTTTTGACTCACTCACCCTGTTTCTCACTCGCATCCGTTTCGTTCGTTCCTCACTCAACCCAGACACAAATTACATACCTGCGTATCAAAATGCCAGAAACCGACCCTCCAGCTGCTCCAGCAGCAAAGGCGGCTCCCGCTCCGGCCACTGCAGCAGCCCCGGCTCCAGAGGCTACACCTGCAGCACCGAAACTGACAGGTGCCCAGCTGAAAGCACAGAAAAAGGCTGAGAAGGCTGCGCGCAGAGAGCAGTCCAAGGCCGCAGAACCAACTCCTGCCGCCCCCGTCGCCAACGACAAGCAAAGTGGTGGAAAGCAAAATAAGTCCAAGCAAGATGCGCCAGCGACTTCAGTTGCGAGCCGGCCTAAGAAACCAGTCCCAACTCCTGCGCCGGCACCGCCCAAGCAGCCCGCTGGACCAGTGATACCCGAGTGCTTCAGCCACCTACCCATGGCCAAGAAGCTCACGCTGTCAAAAACCGACAAGGATGTCCACCCAGCCGTGCTGTCCATCGGCCAGCAGATGGCGACCTTCACGTTGAAAGACAATGTCACCAGACTCGAGGCGACCCTCGTGGCATTCAAAAAGGTGGGCATCCCCTGAAATGTTCTGCGCCTACGACATGAGGCTGACAGCAAGCCCAGGTCATCAAGGAATATGAAAGCCCGCCAGGGCATGTCTTCTCTCGCCATTTCCTCCCTCATGTTCTCAACCCTCAGATTGACTACTTAGCCGAGTGTCGGCCCATGTGCTTTGCTATGGGCAACGCCATTCGCATGCTAAAGTCCAAGATCGCAAAGCTCGACCTCGACCAATCCGATGAGGCCTCGAAGGAGCAACTCTGTGATGCTATAGACCTATTCATCCAGGAGAGAATTCTCTACGCAGAGGAGTCCATCGTCTCAAAGGCTGCATCGATGATCGCCAACGGCGAGACCATTTTCACTTACGGCCACCACAGACTCGTTCGAAAAGCGCTTCAGGCGGCTCGCGCTCAGGGACGGAGTTTCGAGGTAGCCATTCTCGACGACCCGTATGAGCGATCCGGACAGCAGTTGGCCAAGATTCTCAGAAACGATGGAATACGGGTCTACTACTACCCTAGTCTCGCCGGACTGAGCATCAATCTCAGGCGTGCCTCAAAGGTCCTGCTAGGAGCCGAGGCCATGTTCGCCAACGGGTCACTATACGGCCCAGCTGGTACTTGCGACATCGCAATTTCGGCCAATGACGCCGATGTCGCCGTCATCGCCCTGCTTGAGACGGTGAATTTTGACAGGGATCGCGTTTCGGCGGATTCTCTAACGTACAACGAGATCGACCCCGAGCGCTACAGTGCGGATTCGTTACGGCTGCTGTTTGACGCAACGAAGGACAAGTACATAACGGCAGTGGTGACGGAGAGCGAGGAAGGGAACGCAACTGCTTCCACGTCAGCCATGCTCCCAGTGCTGAGGAAAATGGACGAGCGCACGTTGTGAAGGGACTTCTAGTCCGGGACAACAGAATGTGGTCTCGTGGTGTGCGCCCCGCGAGACACTGCAAACATCTCAGCCTATGCGGTCAAAGACAGATGGTATAAGAGGGTGGTGTCAGTAGAATCAGTGAGATCCGGTCTGCATTGCCCGCCCACGAATTTAGGGAAAGTCGCCATGCTGGAGATAATGTCAACTCCGGTGGGTCAGGCAGTCCAGCCATGCTAGCGAGAAGGCTTAGAGGGCACTTTAGAGGATTCATGGTTTCATGAATCTCTGTGGGAACCAAATGGGGGGGTTAATCAACGAGGGGTTGGAGCAGGCAACTCATGAAATGTGCTTAGGTTTGAGAGATCAAAGTACCAAGTGCACGCCCAGCTCAGCCCCCGTAGCGAGACGGGCAGTTCGGATGTCGCTGCACCCAAGCAGATGAGGAATAACAATTATCGGCGCAAGCCCCTTTGCTGTTGACTTTGATCATTTGATTCTTCTCATCGTATCTGAAGCTGTTCTGTGTGACTAGGCTCCATACATCGCCCGTGCCCCCGACTATGCCGACTCGGCTGCCCCAGCTTCCCGTGCTGCCCTCCTTGCTCGCTTCGCCAGGATCGATTCTTTGCGTTCGCTGAGGATAGCCGTCTGTTTCTCGTCGACGGTCTGGAGCCAGTATCCGAAGCTTGCTCCGCAGCCTGCGAAGACGGGGTATGCCCACAGTGATCCCCGGTTGAAGAGTGGTCGCATCTCGAGACCCAGCTGCCACAGCCGTGTGGCGACGCCTGCACATTAGACACTTGTTAGACCTCTCGTTCCCCGCACAACATGTGGTTGCTGGTTGTAAATGGTTGGTATTGATGGGGGTTCGTACCGAAGCCAGTCCAGAAGAGGATGCGGGAGACCATATTGACGTCGCGATTGGGAGTGAACCAACGAGGGTTGTGAGTGGAGAGGTGTCACAATTCGAGCAGTGAAGCTCTATGGAGCAGTACTCAGTCAATTGTGCTCGTCGAAGAGGTGGCGTGGGGAGGAATGTGCGTTGGTTCGGCGTCGTGTTGATGACTGATAGCTCAAGCCTGGTTGGAGCTTTCCAATCGCTCGGTTGACGTTGGCGGCCTGAGGTCTTTTCCAAGCGCGAGCCGGCCAGTGGAGTCAGCAGTCACCCATGGGCCGTGGGAGCCCCTAGCACCGGGCCCCACATGCGGCTAAAGCGCACCTGCATGGGCGGTGTCCCCACACAACTTGTCCCATCCCTGCCTGCCATCCATCAAACCGCGATTGAATCTTTTGGGAGCCATCGCGCGAACCTTCTCCTTCACTCAAACTGCACTCACTTAAGTTCACAACTGCTTCTGGGCGATTTCATCAGCTCTTCTACTCCACAAACTCCTACGGGGCGGAAGCCAACCGGGCATTTCCATGTCACGTACCACTTCTTGAGCTGCCTCTACACGATGGCAGCAGCAGTCGTCAACCTGACTCCTGCGGCTGGCGACCAGCATGCAGAGACCGATGTGCAGATGGCCGATGCACCGCCAACCGTCACTCATCCTCGAAAGTTCAAGGCGTCAGAGCTGCCCCTCACTTCAGCGACTAGGACGGCCATTGATGGACTTGCCCACGCCTTTAAGAAGAAGGGAGGCTATGATGCGACGCGCAAGCAGGTCTGGGATACCTTCGAGGCCAGTGTACGTGCTGAACAGTACCCTATCCCTTTGCAGTGATTTTTCTGGGCAATATGGCCGACACCTATGCGACTTCTTAATGCCAATACATGTCACTGATTCAATATGTGCTACAGGATCAGCGGGAGCAGATCACAAAGGCAATCCTCGAAGTCGCCGAGGAGGAAATCGAACGGAATCCAACCCAGCTACTGACGCTCGACCGCGGCAAAGCCGTCGCCCTTATCGACGGCGCGCTTGACCGCACGGGTGTCTACAGAAAAGCCGAGGCCCTCCTTGAAAGCCTGATCGACGTTGGCGCAATCGAACAACAGATCCGCGAGCTTCGAAAAATTGAGGTCGGTGAAGATGTGGCCGAGGAAGAGCGGATCCAGGGCGCAAAGACAGATGAAGAATATGCTGCCGAAATTGGCGCCAGAAGGGCTGAGCGCGATAAGAAGTATGCTGATCTGAAGGCCATGGAAGAGGAAATCGCCCGTCAGCGCAGGGAAATCGCTGAGAGGGAAGAACGCGCCGAGCAGAAGAAGCGAGAGGCTGAGAGAGCTGCACGCGAAGCAAAGCGGAAAGAAGAGCGGGAGAAGGAACGAGAGAGGGAGAAAGAGCGTGAACGGGAGCGCGAGCGTGAACGCGAACGAGGGAGAGACCGAGACCGGGACCGAGAAAGAGATCGTGACAGAAGCCGAGAGAGGATTCGTGACCACCGAGACAGAGACAGAGACAGGGAAAGGGACAGGGACAGGACCAGGGATAGGGACAGGGACAGAAGTCGGGACCGAGATCGACGTGACAGAGCTCGGTCAAGAGTTCGCTCACGAGATCATTCGCGCAACCGCTCAAGGGATCGACACCGACGGCGCCGAAGCCCAAGAGAGGAAAGCCGTGGCCGCAAAGAAGTCACCAAGAAGGAGCTCTCGAAAGAAGAGCTCTCTCGCCTCGAGGAAGAGGCTTTGGCTGACCTGCTTCGGGATAGCAAACGTGTCTCCTCTAAGCAGCCTGAGTTGGAGATCGACGAGGAACTCAAGCCACCGCCTCGCAAAATCAAGCCGGCGTCTGCGATCAACCCTATTCGAAAATCGTCTCAAAAGGTGGCGGAGGTGAAGAAAGCCCCTGAAGTGTTGCCAGCGAAGTCGAAACCTGAGGGACCTTCGGAGACGAAAGACGTGAAGTCTTCCAAGGAAAGCAAACCAGCAGATGCCGACAAGGAACCAAAGGAAGCCAAATCCAAAGAAGAAAAGAAGCGAGCACCTACGCCCCCGAGGAACCGTTCGCCGTCTCGCCGCAAATCACGCTCTCCAGCTGCGGCGTCTCGGGACACCCGAGGCAGGAGCCGTCATCGGACACCGAGCCCCAAAGCGAGGACGTCTTCGCTCAAGGAAGACCCGCGGAAGGACTCTCACCGGGACTCTTCTCCATCGAAGCGTCGGAATACAGATGACAAGGACCGCGCTTCAGATGCTCACAGGCGCCGCGATAAGTCCAGCTCACGTGCTAGACGGGTTGCGGATGAGACCAAGCCTCCGAGAGAAGCGAGAGATCCCAAGCGTGATCGTAGCCGGAGCCGAGACCGCCACCCTCGGAGGTCAAGAAGCCGCTCAGTCCGGCGCCGCCGATCGAGGAGTAGGTCTATCAGAAGAGATGATAGGAGGCGAACTCGCAGCCCTTCACGCCCTCGCGGCGACCACTACACATCTTACCGGAGGTCGAGATCGCCCCGCAGGCGAAGTCCTTATCGAGCAGACCGACGCGACACATCGAGATCAGTGAGACGGAGACGGTCACGATCTGACTCTCGGACAAGGCATCGTTCAAGGTCAAGGGCCCGAGCCAGGTCTCGATCTAGGTCCAAGAGAAGGGACCGCTCACGATCTGTCCGAAGGAGGTCGAAGAGTGCAGACAAGGCAAGAAGGAGATCGAAATCTAAAGAGAGCCGCCTAGACCGCCCGCCAGCATACCTCGACAAGGAAGAGAAAGAGGCATGGAAGCAAGACGAGGTCAAAAAGCGAGAGCGTGAAGCGAAGGCATACCTGGCGGCTCAGAAGGAAGCACGCGAGAAGGGTAAGCCTGTGCCTGGCATCGACTTCGAAGTGGATGACGAACGTGGCGAGCGTTCCGAACGGTCTCCCGAGGTCAGACGACGGGCGCCGGATGACATCGATCGCTATGTGCCGCCAGCGCGGGTCGATTCACATAGGCCCGATCGCGACCGGGACCGGGACAAGGAACGGGACCGGCCAAAGGATGATAGACGAGACAGCCGTCGGGAGTCTGTCATTCGTCGGGATTCAATTATCCGCCGCGACCGCAGCGCTTCAACCACTCGTCGTCGCAGTCGAGAACGTGAGCGTTCGCGGGATAGAGTCAAGGAAAGACGTCGCAGTCGATCCCCTCGTAGTAGGAGTCGGCCTCGCCACCGAGTCAGGGACGACTCTCGTGAACGTGATCGAGACCGTGATCGAGATCGTGACCGAGACCGCGACCGTGACCGAGACCGTGACCGCGACCGCAATAGAGATCGCGACAGGGACCGGGATAGGGACCGGGACCGCGATCGGGACAGAGACCGAGACACAGCCAGGGACCGCGATCGAGACAGGGACAGGGTCAGAGATCGCTCACCACGTCGGGATCGTCGGGACCGCAGCTCGAGTCGGCGCCGTTAGCAGCGGTATCGACCAGAGAGTAACGTCAAGCGGGAGCGGACTGAAGATCCTGTAGTCGAATCTGAGAGCGTTGTGTCTGGTAGCGGTCTATCCAACGCTTGGTCACACACGGCGCAAGTTGACCGGGACGAACGACAGCAAGATGTGGTATTCAGAGTGCCCGCCAGGTCCGCCTCTTTGCGGCAGCCTATGCCTACTGCTAAACAGGACCGAAGGGTGTCTCAAGGGTTGACGAAGCCTCACAGTATGTTTCCCAATATCTATCAGCCGCCACGAAAAGCTTCCATTGACATCCACACCCAGGGCCGTCCTGATGTGCGTGTCGTGGGGGCTCCTACCGAGCCCATGGCGATGAGGCATCGCGCTGTGTATCAGGGCTCAAGAGAGGGAGTGGCTGCTGGATATTTGAGTCATCGACCACCGTCCTAGGAGAAAGTCTCCATATGAGGCATCTGCGAGGTCAGATAAAGAGACAGAGTGATGCTTCTACCAGGAGACGCGAACGTTGGTAGTGCGCAAAACGAGTGCGCTTTCCACGAGGGAAAGCGAATTTGACCCAATAATCTGACTGTGTATCAATACATGTATTTTGGCCAACAGTCAACAGTGCAGGTGCAGCTGGAGAAGAAGAGGACCATCAAGGGGCGTCTAGGCTTGGACATGACCAGCCAGAGGAGGCCATAGGTAAATCTATCTGAATCAAAACATCGTGTCCAGGAGCTGTATACACCACGACAGCATCATGTTCCGTATTTCTACTTGGTTCTGTTCTCGACAGAATTTTTTCTGTCGCTTCCCTGATGATATCCCTGATCCAACAGGGCCACAGACAACAAGAGATAAGACTTCGACCTTGTGAAGCGGCCATGCCTTCTCAGCCCTCGCTTCGCATCCCGTTGTATGTTTCCAATTCTGCCGCCATACCAAATGCCTAGTTTACTATAAATGGTCACCATATGTCTTCGTGCCCTGATACCTCTCTGCCACAGTGTGTCGATCCGCTTGTTCTGACCGACACTGGCTTTGGCACCCACCAGCACGAGCTCGCAAGCAAAGAGAGATCGAGCCTGCTAGGGTAGAGATGATGTCTAGTCGCTAGGACGAAGAGCATTTCTTGGTGAAACGAGGCGACTGGACTAGACAGGTGGGGCACAAAGACTTCGATGAATGCCCGAGACTCGACTAGATCGATCCAGACGCTCTTGTTGCTCTTGGGTATACACAGGGACGGCGTGAGAGCCTCATTTTTCAGTACAGTAAGCCTGAGCAAATCGTCTCGGTGCGCTGCCTTGAACCTCTGCCAGCTATGTTAGAGTGAAGATGCCTCAATATATAGGGTGCCCACCTGAGGACAGACTCCGTGGAGACCTTTTGGGCTATGGGTGCACAATCGTGATGCTGTTAGTTTTCGAGTCGATAGCGAAGTCTGGTCAGGCTCATTGCGATATCCACGAGATTTCTTAAGACTTAGGTCGAAGGATTCTTGTATTGACTCCGTATCAACATATCTAGACTATGCCTTGCACCAGTAGGGAGATACTCTCGATAAGCCCGATTGCCATACGGTATTGTCCTGGTATAAGTTGGTTGACAGGAGGTCATTCAGGTTACTGGCCTCGACGCATACAGCCCAGGCGTTTAACGACACACAGGTCGATATTCTCTGCTTTCAGGGCCACAAAGGACCAAGGTGTAACAAGTTTCCAGCGACTAACTCTTGGACAGCTTCCATGACTTTACGATTAAGTGTGTGCGGCGGTCTTGCAGCATGCTTTACTCAACTGGTTGTCGCAAGTCAGACGGGCTTTCTTAATGGCACCTTGTCCACAGACACTAAGTCTCGCTGACATACCTATCCGGTAGTTCTTTGAGGGAAGTTCCAGATACAACACCATTGTCCTACCATAATACAGGTGATATTGACTCTCCGACAGGGAGATACAAGCGCACCGAGCACAGACGAATGGCCAACCTGTGGGGAAGCGGGCGGCTCAGTCAATATTGAGGGGACCTTCTCTTCGTGGTGGGTTACTCGACGCACGACGTCTGCAGCTTCTGGCTTCTGCTTGGATGAGCACTGGGCCGACATTTACCAAGGTTCCGAGTCAAGGCTTGACCATCTCTGGAAGCCGATCTTCGCGATGCACCGTCCGCCTTTCCGCTGCGGCGCGCTACCTAGACGCACTCCCGGGTTGTGGACAGCCATTGCCGCCAGTTCCTAGGCATGACTTGCATCGACTCTTCGTCGTCTGTCTGTCTTGGCTGCTGTGGAGTAGGTAGCCTCGACTCGGATGGGTCGACACGATCTGGGCAAGGTGCAGGCCTGCGGTGCTGATCACTCTATCCATCGACCGCCCGACGTCCGCAGATCAAGGTAGGTCAGAGGTGGAGGTCGGATGTTTCCCTGCTGTCATTGTATATTGCTTGTCAAATCGTATAGCCCGACTCGCTGTTCCCTGTCCTTCCAGAAACCTTGATCCCGGGACGGTTCTTCCCACGTTGTGTCCATCTTCTCAAGAGCTGATGCTGCTTGGCGACCTGTAACTTGATTAGATATGACCGATCGTACAGCCGCCACAGTGGCTCCTGTGGTACTCCTCAGTCGAGTCTATTGCGATCCCTCTCATTCCGGCAATACTGGGTGCTCGACGAACCAGATTGCCCAGGAGACGCGACGAGAAGCTCCACTACGGGATAAATGGTCCGATCTGACAGTTGTTGGCGCCGTCGTCGGGGCCTCAATCGAGGCCGAGGAGCATCATTCACACGCACAGCACTCACATAGCACCTCTAGCACCAGCAAAGGCTGCATGTTGTGATGGATCTCGGCCTTTTTTCTAGCAACCTGATGCTCCGCCTCCGCAGAGCGTATCTTGGAAGGAGAAATGATGCGTGCCGATCTCGCATCGAGTGCCGCGAGATTACACTGCCAATATCTGCAGCTCGTAAGCCTTACTAGTGGTGGTAGTATCAACATGTCGAGTGCCAAACATCCGGGAGCAGCATCGCATCATCTTGATGTAACATCTCATCCCTCTTGACACTGGCCGGATGTCTCTGGATCCGCTTGCCAGCTTTGTAGCTTCGAGAGGCCCGGTGAACAGGTAGTCTGGCGGGTTGACGAACGGGTTCCTCAATGCCCTAGGTACTCCGGGCCGTTCACCTAGTGTCAACTGCCGAGCAGGATCCTCGTCAATAGTCAAATGTCAATAGGAGGGCTGAGACTCCAACATTCTCTCATATCCAGTCCTCAAGGCAGCTGGCCTGGTGCAAGGCCCACTGATCTGTATTTAGGCAGAAAGGGGAAATTCGAGGGCTGGGATACCACGAGAACCACCTCGTATCATGGTATTGAGTGAAATTTGGACGGTACCGCGCCTCTGCTTGAGACGATCGTTGCGACTCAGCGTTCTTGGGTTGGCAGTACATCTTCTGGGTGAGTTAGCCCGTGATCTGTCTGTCTATGCGGTGGTACAAGATGTAAGAGCCTCCAGATGTGATACGTACACCAGGCCAGAGGCACATCTATGCCAGGCAGCGAAGCATCATGGTATCGATATATTGCAATTTAGACAATCATTGTGCAGCATCATACACCTCTCACCGTCGGCAGTGCCGACTGTCGGGTGAAACAGGTTGCTGCGTTCGCCGCAGACTGCAATGGATGTCTTCAACTTGCCAGCTGACAGCAGCCTGGTGGCCAGCTGGGACCAGCTGCCCAGCGCAAGAGGCAACTTACCGCGCCTTGGCTTTGGTGGTAGAGCTGTGGCTCGACCTGCAATACTCGTCCCTACGTCAATGTGATGGATAATGTTATTCCAGGTGACTGGTCGAATCTCCCGGCTTCATCTCCCTCTTACCGTCGCCCGCGTCAACCATGGACCACCTGTTGCATTGTAAAACACAGAAATCGGCTTTCGCCGTCACGGCCGCCCTAGCTCTGTCCACACACAGCCTGACATCCTGACTGACTGCATAGTGATGGGGATGGGGATGATCCGGGGCATGGGAAAAGCATCTGGGGTCGAACGGCTCCCTTCTCACATGCGCAACGTTTTCCTCCGTGCCAAGCCATTCCGCTTCTGGTCTCTTACCTTTGGCTCCACGGACGCCTGCATCCCAAGGCCATGACTCTGGTCTCGACCGGTTAGTTGCGTCTCCACCTTCCTATCCAGCCGTCCTACCTGGCTGTCAGTCTGAGACGTTGAGGCAAGGCCGTGTATGAGAGCGACTGGCGACTGGGGACAGTGTCAGGGATTGCGACACCTCCCTCTGGCCCAGGTCGCGGCTCCCAGCTTCCCAGTCACCGCGCGAGCCTGGTCACGCAGACCTTCAGCTCCCATAGCTACACCCGCCGTGTCTAGCAGATGGCTAATGCCCCATCAGCTCAGGTGTGGGTGCTTTCATGGGCGCTGGCGGGCGATCCGTCCTGGAGGAGGCAGTAGTCGATTGCTACCGTTACACCCACCATTACTCGGAGCCGGATGATCCAACCGTTACCGCCGGCCCTGGACCAAACACTCACTCACGTTCGTCGGGGTACAAGCCCTCGCTCTGCAAGCTCAGCCATCGGCCCCCTCGGTCGTTTCTGGTGCAACGGCGCAGAGCAAATCGTTTGGTGGAGGACCGCAGCATCTTTTGGCCTGGGCCTCGGTGATGTGGGGGTGCAAGTTCCCGCCACCTGTGCTCGCCCTCGCCATACGCTCCACAACCTTGACTGACGCACAACGCGGCTCCGTACCATCGTCGAGGGGAGAGTGCATCGATCAGCCTACCGCTCGAGCTCGGGCCTCAGACAGCCACTCGGGCAGTTGTGGCCACAGCATCCTGCATTCGACATCTATCTTGCCCAACGGAGCGGCCCAGACCAGTTAAAGAAGGAGACAAAAGCGCAGCGGCTGTGCTTGATGAGCGCCACTTCATCTACCTTCTACATGGGGCGCGCCATTCCCACCTGTCGTTGTAGAGGACCGTCGATCTAACCATCGATCGACGTCACCCTTAGTGCCAGGCGACAGTAACCGCTCTGTATGCAGGCACTGCAGATGCGCATCAGAGACAGCATAGTCTACCGGACGCCCATCTACTAGGGTTTGCCGCGGCAGGACTCCACATGCCCCAACGTTGTTTCTTTCTTGGCTGCGAACAAGTGACTGAAGACGTCAAAGACACCGAACTATTCGAGCGGCACGGGACGGTGCCCTACAGAAGCCACAGTCTCACAAGCCTTGCCAACGGGCGACATGTGAAAGGTCAACTGATTGAGCCTCTCCCACTGTCTCGGGGCAGCAGAGCTCACCGGTCAAGAGCTGAGTCTTTGCGGGTGACCAAACTGGGCCGGCTATCAAGCCATACTGTCGACGTCCTTGAACTGGGATTTAGACACCAGTACATGGCCGTTTGACCGCAGCCAGGCTGAACACTTCTGTACGACCCTCTAGGCAGGACCAAGAGACTGAAGCTTTTCAAGCTATGCCTGTCTGGGGATCGGCGCACTTGCATCAAGATGCAGAAGGCTGCAAGAGTCACATCACCCGCCCGCACACCCTCATCTAATGGCTAGAAAGGAGACCTAGACCCCAGATCATGTGAGCTGCATCGCAACTCGGGCGAGTGGCGGACCCGAAGAACTTAGGTCACTATTCCCACGCCCACTTGGTTCCCTTGCCTGGGTAACCCGCAACTATCCTGCAAGCTTAACTTGACCTCCCGCGAAAACCTGTCAGACCCCCTAGACCTCATGACTGTGGCCGATCTGCCGCTCCACCATGCTGCACCGGAGGGACGTTCCGTGATGGGATCTTGCAATGCCAGGGAGGCGGCAGATGACACGGCATAGCAAATCCTGTAACCGCCGCAGCTTACTTCTGATATGCGAGGGTCAGCGCACGGCAAAATTGTGCTGAGCAGCAGTGCGGTTGTCCTCGCCAACGTAGCTGATCGCCATGGGGGCTTACCCTGTTTGGCCCGCTGTATCTGGCAGCTAACGGCGCCTCGTTCCGCGCCTAGAAGTAGCCATGGGAAAACCATTCCGCATGCCGCCCGGATTCACCACCACCCAGGCAGAGGCGCGCGCGCCGGTCGGGGCCTGCTGACAACGACTGCCGTGGACAATTTGCCCAAGCCACCTGACGGGTGCATACTGCATCCCATGATAAAGACCCGGTTGGATGGCCAGAAGCACCTTGCGATCAGTTGGGGTCAGAATTCGGGCGTCTCTTTGGAGGGCGGAGGGCGTCTAGACGGCAACCCCCCCTCCTTTTGCGCACCCCGACCGACGTACCTAGGTATCCCAAGTTCTTCCAGTGTTCTTCTGGTGCTACCTCTAACCCGTTCCGAAATGGGACGCAAGGCCCGTCACTAGTAGTTTAAGCTTATTTCCACGCGCACCAACAAGGCCCTGTCGATGAAACCCCCATAACCCTCCCCCTCCCCTCAGAGTCACGGTCAACCAAGTGTGGCCCCCGACTGTGGGTAGTCCCAAAGAACACGAAATTTCATCTTACAGCTGGGAGCGATGTTGCCCAACGATGGCAAGCAGCGGCCGAGGTGCGGCCGGAGGGAATGCGACCTGCATTCGGCCGGGCAGGCCCAGCCAGCTGGCTTGGTCGAAGCACCGGCTCGGTCGTTCTGTCAGATTTTCCCCGAGCCAACGGTTCACCAGCGCACATCTGAAGTGACACAGCAGCCCGATCACTCTTCAATTGTTTTTCTTTTTTTGATGTTGTTTTATTTTCTTTTTTGGTATTTAATGTATCGTGACAGACAGTACGTACAGTAAAGCAGCACAACCCTCTCTCACACGCACGCGCTAGGAACAGGTAGGTATCTTGAAGCAAAGCCCTGGACCAGGTAACCCCAACAGCCGAATGAAACCAATTTAGAAGGCAGCTATCGTAAATAGACCTCTGAAGCGGGGGCGGAAGTAGAAAGTAGGAAGTAGAAAGAATACCATATTGGCAGACCGGCCGACCGGAGTAAACAATGTACCTAACCTAAGTATGCGACAGAAAGAAGAGCTCAAACAGAGAGAAAAGACGTTACCCGAACAGGAAAAGGAAGTGAATTCAACAAACTTTGTACATGAAGCATGCAGAGAATCCCGGGAAGGAGGGAAGGGGGTGGGGCGGGCAGAAGCAAAATACCCAGACTCGCCGGAAACCGTAGAAGCCCCTGTCTATCCGAAAAGCAGACCAGCCTGCGTTTTGTGCATGTGTGTGTGTGAATGTGTATTGGTGTGTTGGTGTTCGTGTTAGTGTGGGTGTGCGAGGATGTGGGTGACAGAAAGGGTGTGTGTGCTTCGTCCCGCGAGTTATTTCCTGGGCACAACCAGCCGAGTTCCTTCGCGCCCCTGGCCCCCACATCGTAAAGCTCATAGGAATGGGCAGAGAGCTTGGCCGCTTTCGAGCGGAATGGTGGTCGAAAAACCAAATCGTCATCTTTGAAGTTGGCTGGCTCTTGGCCCCTTTCGTGGTTCGCTGGTTCCAATCCACCTTTCCCGAAGTTCCGAAGAAGAAACAAAGACCCCCCTGTTGCCCGTTGACCGTTGCCCCATGAACCCCTGGCCACTTTTTCCTGGACTGTTTTGATCGAATGCTTCTCTTCGATATTGGTTCGAGACGGGAAATGCCATGCGTCATAGCCTCAGCTGTCGCCTGGTCCCCTCCAGAGTGTCCGCCTGTGACCCCGTTGTTGACAAAGGAAAAATACGTTTCTCGTAGGTCCTAGCCCGGCCAGTCCCCCAGCGTCGTCTTGCGTTCTATCCCGTAGAAGCACTGCAGGGCGGGTCTCCTGGCTGCTGGTCATTTCAATACCTTGCTATTCAAGCCAGGTGATATCTAGTAACCAAGTCATGCCAGGGTGATGTGAACGTGTTGCTGCAAGTGTAATAAGTGTCGCGGAGCATGCCGTGTAGCCAGTTGGAAGGTCTGGAACACAGCCCTGTGTTTCATGGTCGCGTCGATAGATGAGCACCCCCTCCGTCGCGGCTCACCGCTCTTCCGCCTATTCGTCGGAATTCTTCTCAGTGCGCTGAGCTGCCTTGTGGGATCGTGAAGCTCCTCTTTCTCTTCAGCTCGCCACCAGGTCCTCCGTAGTCCTCGCCACTCCTGTCACCCAAGGGACCACCGCCTCCAAATTGGTCTCGCATCGGTGTCCTCGAGCTGTGTCCCGAGCTCATGCTAGCGTGGAAGGCCTGCGAGAAATCGTTGGGCGGCGCAATTGGCGCACTCATCTGTGGCATCGAATAGTCGTGCGGTCTCGTTGGGAACCCTGGTGTTCTCGGTAAAGAGAAATCACTCGGCGCCGTCAGAGGCGCCGTCGGGAATCCCGTGGAATATGGCGCGGAAGTGACTGCGGCATGGCGGTGGGTTGGCGAGGTTGCGGAGCGCATGCCGTGGTGGGAAGCGGAGAACGATCGCTGGCCGCTCAGATCGAGGCCGAGCGGAAGAGTTGCAGATGAGGCGCGCAGGCGGGAGCGGTTCTGTGAGTTTTGGAAGGAGTTTGACTGAAAGTTTGGATATGACATGTGCGTGGGAGATGTCACAGATGAACCTAGAGAATATTTAGCAACGACGATAATCATTGTAACCAAACCACGCGACTTACCGGCATAAGTGCTCGATTCGTAGCCGCCCAACGTCGTCGAAGGAGAACCGCTGAGTCCTTCTGAAGGCTGGTAAACAGACTGCTGTCGCCCACTCAAGGGTGTTGGGCTGCCAGCCGCAGGATGGTAAGACGAGTAGTCGATCGAGTCTCCTTTCCAGGACATGCTCGATCTAAGGGGTGATTGGAGGTTGTCGGATCTAGACCGGGTGAGCGTCTCTCTGAGTTGAAGTGGCTGAAGAGGCCGCATTTGCTGTCTCGAGTGATGATTCTGAACAGGCATTCCCGTCTCCATGCTGCCCTGTCTTCCAAAGGGGTTGGAAGTCCTGGGCCCGGCACTCAGCGGAGTCAAGTGGTTCGAGTAATCATACCGGTCACCGGACTCTTGGGACATGGGAGTCAGCAGGTCTGGGTTGCTCATGGACGCCGATGTGTTGAATCCGATGCTGCCAAAAGCTGGACTCAGCCCGCTGGACGACATATGTTCGCCGCCCTCAGCTCGTCTGACATCCACCACCAGTGGTCCCCTCATAAGGTGATCCGGATACGGGCCCGGACCAAAGCCAACAGGAGACGCCATTGGAGTACCGAGGCCGTGAACGGCTCCGTATGGTGAGTGAAGAGCCTGAACATTGTCAAAGTCATCAGGCACGGCCCTCATCTTGATCATGCGCTCCCTGTCATCAGCTGTGAGGCGCTTGATCTTCGCTCGCCTGAGACTCGTGATTAGTAACCATGTTCATTCATTTCTTTGCAGGGACTGCGAATACCTGTTCTGGAACCAAACTTGCACCTGCCGGGGACTCAGGCCTGGGATTTCCCTCGACAATCGTTCCCTGTGCGCAGCATCAGGGTGTGGCTGCTTCGCAAACTCGCTCATTAGGAACCGTGTTTGCTGGTGTGTGAGCCTGGACAATGTTAGCCTCATTCTGACAACGCCCTCTCGTCACATCGCGTACCTGAACCTCTTCATCTTCCTCCGAGCCGCGGTTCTTTCAGCGGGTGTCATCTGCTGCAGTGCTGCTTCTGTGTCGCCGTCGACCATGTCATCTTCATCTATCACGTCATCATCGTCCTCCTGCTTGGCCACCTGGTCCTCAGGGCCAGACTGGCTGGCTGGTAGCTCCGGGCCCTGGCCCGCAGAAGAGACCGAGCTCACTGGGTTGGATCCTAGCGACATCCCGGGAGTGTCCGTCGAGGCTACTGAATCCTCTTTCAAGGACTCTGCTGCCTTCTGAGCGTATACATCGCCCTGCGTCTCTGACTGCTCAGCAATAGGCGATGGTTGTCTTTGTTGACGTAGACCCAGGGGATCCGCACCCCGTCGTAGGCTCAGAGGCGGACTCAGTGTATTCGGCTCCGTCTTCGGCTCTACGTCCATGGAGCTGCTAGCCTCGGCAGCACTGCGCGGCTGTGCCTGGGACTCGGAGTTGCCACCGGAAGCTGCTCCATGGCCATAAGACTGTGCATAGATGGAACTTTCCCCAGGAGGGAGATACGAGTACTGCTGTCCCTGCCAGTCAGACTGTGTCGACAAAGGAGCGTCAAAATTGTTCGACATGCGTGGACTGGCTTCCGACCTGTGGTAAAGGGTCTCGTATTTGCTTGTCGACCAGTGGTTTTTCTCGGAATCGCGTTGCCTGGAAACAAGCATTGGAAAGGGTGTCTGACGGTGATTTGGGGGAACAATTCGCTTTCTTTCAAACGACGGGTGATTGTGTCGTCAAAGCGGACTCACGAGTCTGCTACCAGAGAAACGAGCGGGGAGATTGTGCCACAAACGAGGGTCAGGTCAACTGAAGGAGCGTGTCGACTCTCAAAAAACGTGTCGAGGCGTCAGGGCGGAGGCCAGCTGCTGATTGTGGGCCAAATATATCTTTAGCCAAGGGTGATAATTCTGTCAAGATCGACCGATGTTGCAAGACGCTCGAAGAAGGGCCCAGAAAGATAGTCGCGTCGATGATCCCTCCACGGTGCTGACTGCGTACAGCGTACGTCCTAAGAAGTGTCTATCGAGTGAGCTAGAGCCTCTTTGAATGAGAGACTCAAGTATGTTCTCGAAGCCACAGGCCTGCCGAATGCTTAGGGTCCAGAAAGGGTATCAGGAAGTGAAGTCGATGTCCAGTAACAGAGTAATGGGACAGACGAGTGCTTTGAGGTGGAAGATGGTGTCGAGACAGTCAAAGGAGATCGAAGTAGAACACAGTGGTCTAGTCTCTGCCGAGGACGATGTCCGAGATGATGTTTATAGAATCCTTCCAGAAGAGACGAAAGTGGAAGCCAACAGGGAGTTATTGACGAGAACCTGAAGACTGGACCAAGGGCTGTAATGTATACAATCCGAGGGTCTCAACCTGATGGAGCCGGCGGGGTTGACTGATTTTCAAGGTGCTGCTGGGAGTGACAGGTCCCCCGGCCTGCATGGAGTTTAGAAATAGCCGTGGTTGCAACAAGGTCAACCCCTATGGGGGAAAGGAGCCTTGTACTTTAGTACAGCACGGGTGGAGCCAATATCACAGGTACCGCCAGACCAGACGGAGAAATGTCAGGGCAGAATCCGAAAAGTAGAACAGGGCCTGCACGGGCAGCCGCAAGGGCAATGGGTGAGTCCTGGGCGATCGAGAGGATGTACCAGATACCTCATCAAAGATAGTGGGTATTGCCTGGGTCACCCCGGTGCGCTGCTCTCTTGACGACTCCACGACTCAAGTACAGCTGCGGGTGACAGTGTGGTGGTGTTATTTTGGTTTGAACGGGGGAGGGCGCCACGGCTTGAAGTTGAGCCAGCACTGCTTTCCTCTGGACTGGGTTGAGGTCGACGGGAAGGGACAAAAAGCATGTAGACCAAGGAAACTGGGTGGTAGAAGTCCCGGCTGAATGGCTAATGCTGTATTATCAGTGGCCCGGAACCAACCAGACAATGAACGGGCACTAGGAAGACACAGAGTTGTTGGGCTTATTAGGTGGGCGAGAAAAGGGTAGCGAGGGCTATAAGGGCGATGGGATAAGCATACAGGACGGAATGGTTCAACCGTGACCCGTTAGGAGTAATCGCAGTTTCTGCTGATGCGGAGGAGACACCTTTGGCCGATATAAACAGGAGCGTGTGTTCATGCAGTAGCAGCCAGCAGCCAGCAGTAGCAGCGGCACGTTAGGTCTGGGTTCAGAGACCTCGACCCCGAGGATTTGACTAGCAATGGAGGTTCCTGGCTGTTGGGCGGGAGACTAGACTCCTGAAAAGGCAAGAGTCTGGGAAACCCAAGCACTACTGGTGCTGGTACAGAGTAGGAAGGTTCAGAGGGAGATGAGAGAAAGCGGCCAGGAACTCCGCATAGGAAGAAGGATACGCCTGTACAGAGTACAACAACGTTGTGAACCGTCTCGGCTGGAATATCTGAGCTGTCTTCATTGGTCCTTGATTACATTAGTCCTGTGTTGACTCCACGGATGAAAGCATGACCGTTGTTCAACCTGCCCCTGACATGAGCCAATTAGAAGGCATGATGATTCAGGAGGAGGGGTGTATGAATAGCAGCTGCACCGCGGACAGGGTATGGCTCTGGGGGTGGGAGTTGCTCAAGGGCCCACCATGAGGCTTTGTTGCGAAACTCGCTGAGAGGTGATGCGGGAGGTGGGGAGAGCCAGGGTGGGTATTCTCGACGGCAGCCCCCCGGTCAATCATGGTTACAGAATAGCAGGGGTGTGCAGGACAGGAGGGCGGGCTGAACGAGCAGACAGATCACTGATGCAGATCTCGAGCTGCTGTCGGCGTCTTGTCAGGCGGCCAAGGCGCGCAGAAATGCCAGAGCCTATACTTTGTATGCCCAGGCCTCGGGGTCTCGTTGTGAGGGAGAAGAGGGCCGGTCGGCGACCGTGACCTTGACCATGACCGTGGAGCGTGACAAGACAGGGCTGAGACGCTGCAAGCAACGCGGCCGGTCGCAGTGCTGTTGTTGTTGTTGTTTGCTCTTTAGAGCAGGGCAGAGAAGGGCAGAGACGCGCGCGGTGACGGTGGAGAGCCGGCGGCACAGGTCGCGCCTCTCTGGCGAGGCTACGATCAAATATCTGGTTCCGAGCCAGCGAAGCAGGCAATGGCCTGGGGTGTCTGGATCACAAGTGGTGGAGAGAGACATCCATCAGGACGTGTATACGTGACGAGGGGACACTAATGAGAGGTGCTGCTAGTACCCCGGATTTTCCAGCTCCCTCTCAAGACGGCTAAGCTTTGATAGACGCAGGTGAGATCTCCCGGAGCCACAGCATGTTGTCAACGGACGTTGGCCGTAAGATGAAAATCATGTCTGGCTGTCGCGGTATGGAGCGACATGATCAGCACGGGACGCCAGCCCGAGAGTCTAATGTCAGATCACGGATTGCCGCGGCTTGCTTTTGCAGAGATGGTGAAGCTTGACCTTTGGTGGGATTCCAACCACCACGAGAGTGCACCAAGTGTGTTGGGCTTGTCCCGAAAAAGCCGCGGTCTGGTACGGATACGGCTCAGGACTGGGCCAGCATCAGCTGTCGGCACGCATGGGCAAAAGCTGCAGTTGGTCAGTCGGTTCAAGGAGGAGGGGTGTCAGACCAACAGAGTGAGCGGTGTCACCGCACCCTGATCTAGCATGCAGCCAGCACACAAGCAACGGTCGTCAGCTGTGCCTGTGAGACTTGGCCTGGGCTTGGTCTTGCGCAAGGGGGGAGAGGGTGAGATGAAGCTTCGGGGATTCGAGAGCGAGATGGTGATGTGAGGTGAGTGCGAGGGCGGCGGGCGCGCGAGGGCAAGGATAATAGTGAGTGTGAGGGCCGGGTCCTGGGCCAGGGCCAGGTCCAGGTCCAGGTCCAGGTCCACAGCCCATGACAGACAGTAGTGAGCAAACAAGGGCTGGTTAGTCCGATCGCCTTGGACGTGGTCAGTTGAGTGACATCGCCCTGGTGGGTTTGAGGCTTGGTGCGGAAGCAGGAGGCGCTATTCGAGGAGGTCGGACCAAAGAGGAAACTCGAGGAGCGACATTCTGATGTCTAACAGTAGTGTACTCGGTCTACTGTATGCAGCATGAAGGACAAAAACGGGGAGGGTGTGTGGAGATGGAAAAAGAGAGGGCACGGGAGCATGACTTGACGAGCTTCCCACAGCCTCGGGGGTGGGATTCGTGTCACTGCTGCGGGAGGAAGTGGTGATCCGGTTCGGAGTTACTGCTACTCCTCTGAGGTTGCGTCCCAAGGTGCAAAAGGATGATGGGTTGGGTTGAGGGCTGATCATCAGGCTGGTGGATGATGATTGCTGCTGGGTTGGGCCGGGGTCGAGTTAAGGTGACAACAAGAGCTGTGCTGGGAGCTGGGAGCTGGGAGCTGGGAGCTGGGAACCAGGCCCAGGCCCCAGGTCCCAGGGGTGGAGACTCCAATCTGCAGACAGACGCAGAAACTGACTACGCGGTGCCAGAGCTGGACAATGTACGGTACGGTACGTGATGTGTGTGTGGCCCGGGCTGTCTACCCCCTACAGACTGTACCGAACATACTGCATACCTCGATGGTCGACAATGGCGCGCGATGCAGTCCAGATTGAGGTCATCAGGGTCAAGGTGGGCAAGGTCAACAAGGTCGAGCTCCACGTCCTTCCTCGTCCACGTCCACGTCCACGTCCACGTCCGCGGTCGAGGTCGAGGGTCGATGTCGGGGCCGAGATGGTGGTTCCACTAACGTCCACGTCAGGCTCAACTCTACCACACAACTTAAGCACAAGGGACCGAGGTAGGCGGGCTGGCTGGCATTGGTAGGCTAGCTAGGCCAAGACGAGGGCCAAGCTCTGGTCAGCAAGCCCAGTTCCAGTTCCAGAAGATTTCGCCAACATTGTCCACCGTTTCATCCAGGATTGGGCTACCACCCAATCCCAGTGCCCACGGCCCGGCTTTCCCTTCAAACGCCGGCGTTCCGTTCCAAGAGCTGCCCCCAACAGCCACAACCTTGCAGCCCTGACAGTCCAAGAGTCGGCATGGTGATAATCATAGCTCGCAGGAACAATGGACGCCCACGCCGCGCGGCGGCCCCAGAGTCAGTCAGGCTTTGGCTTCCAGTCTTCTCCCTGGATGCCCAGACTGCCAGAGCCCCGAAACGGACAAGCACAGATCGCACAAATAGCACAGGCAGCACAAGCAGCCCAAGATGGGACGAAACGTGGCTGATTTGACGACGTACTGGTGACGGCCAACCAGTGGAGTCGAGTGCAGGCTGCCAGACGGACTGACGGACAGACAGACTTCCAGACTGCCCATAATGGCAGTCTGCGAGGGAGACGCGCAGGGCGCCGCCCTCGGGAGATGATCTGGAGCCGGTGGATCCTCCGCGCAATCATCCTTGGACCCATCCATGGAATACTACGCAGTACCAGCCACTTGCGAGATCTCAGAGATCCCGCCCGCCCGTTTCACGGTACGCAGAAGCACGCAAACACACTTGTTGAAAGGGGTAAATCTTGGGTCTCGGCCGCCCATCCCACCTGCCCACACGTCACCTCCTCCCCCCCTCCGACTCCTGACGCGTGCGGAAACCCACTCCTCAGCAGACTAGACCACGGTCTGATGCTGGCCCATCTCTACCCAGGCACGTATGGGCCGACGAACTGAGTTACCCGTGCGATCCAGGCACAATCCATCGATCGAGCCATCCAGGCCCACGGGACAGATAGACACGCAGCCGGGCGGGCAGTAAGGCCGTGTGGTCATGGCCGTGGTCACGCTCATGGCTGTGGCTGAGAGACATAGACCGAGGGCTTTCACGGATTAACCTCTGGCGCATCCGGAATTGATCACACCCAGCACTATTCCCACCCTGGAAAGCATCTACAGTACACCGGGCTGGTCCCCAATTTCAGCCACAGCTGCAACAAAGGCAAAGGAGATGACGCTGGCACTGCACCGGCAAGCCACTCCCATGGGCCATGGCATGACACCCCGCTGGTCTCGGCGACATACGATTTATTTCAGGGGCATCATCAGGCCCACCCAACTTCCCTCCCGACGAGCCCTGCTGCCCTGCCCTGCCCTGTCGGCACTTCTCCCTCTGATGATGCAGCAGCCTGATCCACCTGGATGCCCCCAGCGATCCACGATCGGCGAACCGTCCCCCTAGTACCAACCACTGTATCATTGCCGAACGTTACCCTGCGGTACTTGCACGGAACTGATTCATCATCGTCAGCCTTACACAGATGACCGAGCGAGGCAAGACATTCTCGGCCTGGCCATCTTCTTGCCTACGCAGCCACGGTATCCTCGCCAAACGAATAATACCAGGCCGAGCTCGTCTCAATCGGTCCGCCGGCCGAGTGACCAACCTTACTTTGGTACAAGCAAGCACTTACTCGCACTCCTTCTGCCTCCCCGTTCCCCCCTCCCTACCAAGCCAGCGGGCAGCCACAGAGCCCGGGGCACCGGCGATATTACCCCCGAGATTTGACTTGCTTCTGATGCTCGATGTAATGTGTGATGAGGACCGGCTGTTGGTCCGCAGCTGCTTGTCATGTCCTCCAATTTCCATTCCACTCTTTGCTCTCCGAGCTTCATGCAGATCTCCTCATACATCCGAGATGCGTTGAAGAACTCCATGGATCGCAATCTAACCTGGCCGCAGTATCTATCCCACTGACACACGCTTCGCTGCTGCGGAAGAAACTTTTCATATCCTTGGTACGGCACGCGGTAGCGTTCATGGCGCTCAGATGTGTCAGTGTCGCACGATTGGGATGAACGACAAGCTCTCTACATGCGCCGCTGCGCATCATGGGGAGTCTGTTCCAATTGCAGCCAATTGGGTTCTACGCGGCAGGTAGGTCGTGCTCAAGCCTTATTCAAGCTGTCTGCCAATACTTGCTGGCAAAGCACTGGCAACAACGCATACAAACTTAGTATGTGCCGATTGAAGCGATTGACACAACAAATCACCACACAACTCATTCCGACCAGAGGCGTTTGCACAGCATCACATCAGTCAGTTCAGTCAGTTGTTGCTTGCTGTTACCGTGCTTTGGCACCATTAGGGTGCCGCTCCTTTGTCAGGGTGCAATTTAGTCTGGTTTGAGATGCACACCCGCCAGCAGTGCCTGTGCTGGACTTTCAAGCTCTGATCGCACGATTCGCAACTCTTGACTTTGGACCTTGGGCAGTACAAGTAGCTTGACGCCAAGCTGACCAGCGATCCGACCAAGACTGAAACTTCTCTGTGAAAAGTAAGCTCCATCTACCCGCCTCTCTACTGAAGGGGTCATGGGTGATGTTTAAGTTTGTGCCTGGGACAGGTGTGCTTTCGCGAAGTTGCTCGCATTCAGGAAAAGACGCAGACCGAGCTCCTCTCAGCTGCGTCTTGGCATGATCAGTTGCAGTCGGATTTGGGTCCGTCTTTGAGGAACCTCCCACAAGACATCTCACATCCGACCCGTCACTCCTGTTCGGCCTCAGTCCAAACCTAGGCGCTGTCCTACGGCTGCCACGAGCAAGGGAGACACGAAGCTCCCTTCACCTTTGCTGGTCGGCGGGACGCCACAAGTACGTGTTACAGGGCGATTTCTGGCCGGCGCGGCCCATCTGAGCGGCCACTTGAGGGGCATTGGCGTAGGTACCTCGACGGGAACAGCAGAGCAAAAAGCAGCTAGCCGCGCCCATGGTGTGATCGGGAAGCGCACAGTCTCTCATCTTGAAGCTTGCTGTCTGGTTTTCCCCTGTTCCACAGCCGCCGGCAGGGCCTGGATAGTGCTCCTAGCCACCAGCCCTCCCGATCGCTCCGCGCAGTGGCTGGGCGAACGGCGGCATCCGTGATTCGGCCTCGCAGCGGCCAGCTCTGACTCTGAAAACCGCCGTTACACGGACTGTTGGTTTTCACTTGACCGTTGGAAAAGACTATGCATCATGCATTGGGCGGAGAAGAGCGGGCCTTCGCGATCTTTAAAATTACCGGACAAGGCAAGATCAACGATTTTTCCAAGACTCTCATGTTCGAGACCCTCTACGAGTACGCTACCGACCCCCGTACTCGTCCGCCGTCTGAGTCGGGGCTGGATAGGCTCACCCCTGGAGCCCGGTGGCGGCCCAGATTAAAGGGTCCACGGCGCGTCTGATATCCACTTCTACCGGAGATCCTCTGCAGATATCCCACTGCCCCTCCACAAAATGTGTAATCGCGCTTGAGTCTCCCGGAGCGCAGATCCTAGTCTTCACCCACGACACCAGCCCTCGCTGGTCTCGGAAGTGACGACCTTGAGGGCATCGTTGGATCGGAGATTTTGGTGACTGATGAGGCTCAATCTCCTGTGTTTGACCCAGGGATGACGTTAATTTACCAAATGCCGACTGCCAGCACGCCTGTCCTTGAAGCCGGGTTGAATTACAAAATCACACTCATGGAAACCCTGCCGAAGAACGGCCTCTGGCTGCATGTGCCTCTTGCTATGCGGTGCCGCCTACAGCACGCAGGCAGGATATCTTCGCCGACGACCTCGGGTAGCCTTTTTGCCCAATGGAAGCACCTCACTCAGCCCGAGTCCACATATACGCGGATCGCAGTCTCCAAATAGGTGGATGTCGTTTCCGAGATCTGATCCATTGCGCACGTTCAAGCGACGTACGATAGTTGAGACGAAAGAGGGATCGGCGGCTCAGAATAGCATACGGAGTGGAAACGGTTTCTGGGAACTACTGTAATGGTAGACTCACCCCTGCCCGCGCCTTGTTCGGATCGTTCACACTTGCCGAGGATGAGGGCGATGGCATCTTGGAGTTGTGCCTTGCACAGTGAGGCATGGTAGGAGCTGGAAATCCAAGACAACGGCGCAAGCCTTGCCCAAGCTGCTCCTGACAGTGTATCTGCGGAGCATACGGTGATGTCTTGCATCAGCCCGGTCCCACTCGGTTGGACCTGCCCACCTACCTCCTTCGCTTCGAAATTATGTGGTATGTCATTAGCCTCGCTGTTCCATCGCCTACTACAGCGACGTGACATGGGAAGAAAACGTTATGACAGGTCACTGAGACTGTGCTCGGAAAATTGTTCAACCTTTTGTAGCCCGAACATCATCCGGCTTGACTGAGCGTGATTCGACCCTGGAGTTTCTCTCCTTTGCGCAACGGATCTGGCTCCCCTGACAGGGACATCGTCACTCCAGTCTCGTACCATTCCAAGGCCCCACCTTTGTCTATTCTCTCTTTGTCAGCCCTCAACGCTCTTCCCTACCACTAGGCGAACGGAGGTCTGTGTGCCAGGTACCGAGAACCTAAATGGCTGGACGAGTGGGCAAGTTTTGCTTCGAAACGGCCCACCCGCTAGCCAGAATAGGCATTCAGTTTGTACAGGCGGGATCTAGCACTTGGATCTGAAGGCTTCATCATCGTCTACGTAGGGAGCGCAGTGCGAACTGAGATCGGCCGTCAACCGTACAAAATCGACCAAACACCCGTGCACTCCGGTGCTTTTTGCTACACATAGTATGGGCCGTCCGCTCATCCACATCCTTCATTCGAGGAACGGCTGGCCGATGCGTCTCCACCCCCTTTGACCGAGGAGTGACCGAGGAGTGAGCATAAG